TTGGTGGGCTCGTCGAGGAGGAGAATATCGGGGTCCTCGAAGACAGCACGGGCCAAAGCCAATTTCATCTTCCAACCACCAGAAAGAGAGGTGATGGGGCTCTCAAATTGCTCCTGGAGGAAACCGAACTCAAGAAGCTTGGCCTCAATATCCTTCTGAGCAAGGTTGATACCAACGCTCTCAAGCTTCTTCTGGGTCCAGCCAATGACAGTCTGCTCAGTATCGGCAGCGTCAAGGTCGTGCTCGACGAAGACAGTCTTGACCTCGCTCTTCTTGGGGAAACCCTCGACCTGCTCGTTGTTGATAGCGCGCATAAGGGTGGATTTACCAGAACCGTTGGGTCCCAAAAGACCGTAACGCTGACCACGCTTCAAACGCAGATGGGTCTGGTTGAGCAAGATCTTAGCACCGTAAGCCAAGTTGAAGGTACAGTTACAGAGATCCTCTCCTTCCTCTTCGTCAGAGTTGAGTTCCTCCTCCTCGGAGGCAGTGGGGGAGGCACGTTTGCGGAGAGTCTCAGCAACGGACTTGGCATCAGCCTCACCGATGAGGGCAACCAAGTAGGGAGTGGTGTTCTCAGTCCAGCTGACAACCTCGACAACCTTCTCGTCAATGAGCTGACCGGCAATGGCAGAAATGTAGTTGATAGCAGCATCAGCGTTGGCAATTTGAGCCTTGTACTTAGGCTCGAGGATCTCCTTGAGAATAGCGGAGACGGTGGCAACATCACCAGCGTGAGAAACTTCGGGGATCTTGCCATCCTTGACATCACCGACACGGACCAAAGTGTCGAGGGCTTGCTTGGTCTTTTCACGAGCCTCAGGGTCGGCGAGAGTCTCGTAGTTCTTGGTCAGGGCGGGCATCAACTTGGGCAAGAAAGAAGCGACGATCTGAGGATCCTCGACAAGCTTACACATGTTGTCGACGATGACAGCAGACTTACGCTTGATGGCAGTCTCACGCTCAGCAAGACCACGCTCAAGAAGAGGGACCATGATGGCCAAGGTAGGCTCGTGGACATCGGTAACGAAAGTGGTGGCACCGAGCAAGTGAACAGTCTCGGGAACGTTCTCGGGCTTGGAAATACACTTGATGAGCTCGGGAATGAAACGCTCAATATCCTTGTTGACGATCAAGCCGCAGATCTTCTCCATGGTACCATAAGCAGCCTTCTTGACCTCGGGCTTGGTGTCCCACATGGACTCGGAGACAACGGGGATGAGATCTGGAACGAGGAAAGCAAGCTGGGCAGGGGCGGTCTCGACAAGAGCCTCGATGCACTGAAGACCGGTCATCTTCTCGGGCCACTTCTGGGCAGAAAGAATGGAGTTGATGATGGAAGGGAGAGCGGCCTTGGTGGCGTTAGGGTTAATGGCCTTCACGAGAGAAATAGCAGCCACCTGGGCAGCGTTCTTGACGTTGGTCATCTTGTCACCAACAGCGTTGAGAGTAGGTCCCAAAAGAGAGACCAAGTGAGGCTCGACACCGGGAGCAACGGAAGAGTGCTCGGCGATGGCACGGATGGCCTCGACGGCACGCTCACGAGCGTTGGCATCCTTCTTGTTGGTGAGCTGCTTCTTGAGAGCCTCGACAGCCTTGAGGGGGACGGTCTTCTCTTCGATGGGGCCGTTCAAAAGAGTGGCGAGGTTGTTGGCGTGAGTGTTGGCCTCATCGGGGGTCTTGGAGATGGACAAGTTCTGGATCAAGCTCTCAACAACAGCGACGGAGTTGGCGGTCTCCTTGCCGGAGACGGCGGGGACGGACGAAACATCAACAGCAGGCATTTTGGTGTTGGACGACGTGGTGAAAATCGTGAACGAGGAAATATTAGAAGAAAAGGAGGCGAAAAATGCAAAGACTGATCTATGAGGGTATCTGCAAGTCTTTTTTTCGAGAGTTTTTTTGTTGTGGCGGCCGACGAATCTGCGTAAGTGATCGCAAATGCGTGCTTCGAAAGAGGCCCGAAAGACAGAAAAAACGATTCTATCTGCTGTCTAATCTATTTCTTGTAGACAAGAAAGACGAAAAACAACAACCCGACCTCTTGTATGTAAGAGACGAAGGGAATATTAGGTAGGGAAAGAAAAAAGAGAACTGAAAGATAAGAAGAGGAAGAGGGAAAAAAGGAGGGGTGTGAGAGAGTGGGCTGGCAAGATTATTTATCGCTGTGTGGCCCCTCGCCCAACCGCCCAAACACGCGCTAAGAGTTTTTCTTTCCTCTTTTTTTTTTTTTTTTTTTTTTTTTTTAGGGAAAAAGCAAAACCAAATTTTTTCCTCCCAGAAATTTTTGCTTTTTCGTTTCGGGAAAGGCTCCGGTTTAATTCCCTATTAGGCCTAGTGGCGAAGAATTTGCAACGTACTATGCCTGAAATGGGCATGACCCATTCAACCACTTTATCTGAGTGATGATTGGCTGCTTTTATACTTCCTGTACTCTGATTGGTGGGCGTGTGGCTGCCTCAAAAAGCGGTGGGAGGCAACACTCTAACAACTGTTAGTTTCCCCCAGGATTTTGCCCTTAAACTTGTCACTACTGCATGAAAGAATGAAACAAGCCGATTTCGAGTTGAAAACTACCTGGAAAACTAGCCAAAGTCTGTTCGCAAACTAGGGGTCGAGGAAACTTGGATTAAGACTGGCACACTCGTATGACGAACTAACAAGGAGTGGCCACCAACCAGATCCGTGACTCGCACACGCGCCTACGGCATGAATAATCGCTACGTAGCACGTACCCTATGTAGCGACGTAGCAATAATCAAATAGAATTTAGTTTTAGTCTGAAAGGGGGAAGACATTCCTCAGCCGACGTGGAACGATGTGACGAGACGACCCGAGAATCGTCGAGCGGCTACGAAAGGCAGCCTATTGCCTGGCAGGCTGACACAGCCTCCTGACATTTCACTCGAGAACCATTCGTTCGTTCTAGAAGATCTGTGAAATTGAGAGGATCATAGATTTTCTGGAGTGAAGATGGGGTACAAGGCTGGTAGGCTGGCAGTTGGGTCCAAATTCTAATTTAGTTGCCACCCACCGTAGCCGGCTAGCTTATCGGGATCTATCTGGTATTGCCTGCAGGCGACTAACTCGACCGTAGGCTACCTGGGTATTCGTACCGGTGGGCTATGCCCAAGCCTGGCATGCCCAGAGTTGTAATGCCAGATCAGCGATGTCGATGCCTCGATCCTAATAGACTCGGGCTTTCGTCGGCCTGTCCGGTATTATTGGATGCGGCCTTCATACGTACGTACATGGCTAAATAATTTCCCCTGAACGTCCTGTCAATGAAGAAACATAGTTCGTCCTAGATTGCCAGGGGTTGTTCATGCCGGAGATTATTCATTCGATCTACATTAGAATCTATTTCTTGCACTTCCAAATTAAGGCTCCTCCGGCTTGTTCCACTGTTGTAAATCTGTTTACTGACTAATTTCTCTCAACAACGACGGAGTGTCGGTGTCAACACAACTTTTTTTAACCTAGGCATTGGTATCTACCCCCATACTCCATCCAGATCACAATATTTGCTAGACTAAACCCCCCTTACCGACAATTCATGCTTGCGACTGCGTACTGATTACAATTTACAAGTCATCAAAAACGAATGCCTAACGCTGAACAAAATCAGCCCCTTGAGAACACTACGTATCAAATTTTAGCCCCTAAACAAGACTAAGGGACCCTCCCCCAGACTCCGGTTTCTGTTCCAGCTCCATAATCAGCGCCGACGACTCCATTCTGCCGTCTTCCCGTTAGTGTGTTGGGTCTTTGTCTGACTCTCTTTGCTTTTTATTCCTCTTGGATCTATTTTTTCCACCCCCTTTTTTTTCAGCTGGCGCTACATCGGGATACCCCGCGAAAAAAGATCGAAACAGCGAAGAAAAACCGGGTCTTCTTCCGCTTGAAATGAGCGGGTCTGAGAACTTTATTCGTGATTGTTACTTACTCCGGATTTTCTCTCTCAAATTCTAGTGAAATGTCCAAGCTAAAGATTTTTTTTTTTCGTGCAACAAAACTCAAAAGGGCTTCGCTCCGGTCACGTTCCGTAGGTCATACTACCTTGGTCCACGAATCAGATATGATACAACCGAGAGTTCATATCACATGCTGACTATCATTGGACCGACTAACAAGTCGAGAGATCCTGTGCGTCATGTAAAAAGCAAGATTTGCCACCTTGATACGATAGTCTCTGTTTTGACTAGCAGATAAGATAAGATAGTAATGATTACAGGAAAAAATTGTTGACATTGTTTCAAGTTTCAATCAGCGAATGAAAAGAATTCAAGAGTCTAGCCCTTGATTCTTGGATTTGCGTCGATGAATGGAATGTGACATGAATGTAGATCAAAATAATGTACCTACGTAGATGGCACTGTCAGTGACTGTCAGTGGCGAAAATGGCACCTATGGAAGCTCCAGTTTCTTGTCTTTGTCGACGAAGATCTGGATCTCGCAGTGTTTCGGAGCAAAATACCAGATAGCAAGAAAGACCCTCACATTATCTATCCAAATCCAGAATTTCTTTACAAGAAGACGACTCCAGACTCCCGAACATTGAGCGGACGACGAGACAGTGGAAGCAGAACCCGCAAAACTCCCGGAAGGAGTGGGTGGCGGTGCCCACGTTTTTATTCATTCTAGAAATGATCGAATCGAGATATTCGATCCGTGGAACGAGAGCTAGAGTCTCGTCTGGCACCGGTTGAAGATCGGCTACTGCCATCTGCAAATATTCTGGGATTTCTTTGTCCAAGTGAGCATGTGTAGACCTTTGTTTTACGTGCCAGTGAGTAATGCAAGAGATAGTAAATGCAAATTATCGTCATTTTTGTAGCTGAATATATACCCTGAAGCAGTTGTACTATAGCCTTGCACACACTTCAATCATATACATCGAATCTCCCGTTCCATGTCGAAATCATCATCGACTCAGCGCATCAGCGCATCGCACGTCCTACAAAATAAACCAGATGACGAAATGCTTCCAAGGTTGTCGATTACTCTGCATGCTGAGCGGTGCCCTTTTCCGTATCCTTCTCATACATACGACGAGCAGCCACCTCATTCAAATCCGAATCATGCTCAGCATCAAACTCACGACCTAGCTTCTCGGGACCAAAGAACGTGATAATAATGACGTACGCGTACACACATCCCATGAAGATGCAGATGACTTTGCCATAGTCGTAACGCTTGACACCGGTCTTTGATGGCGGCAAGGGGAATCGCTCACCGATGGTTGATTCTATGGTTGAGGATGCCGATGACACCAAATTACCCAATTGGTAAGCGGTACCGACAGCAAATGTACGAATAGGTCCAGGTGCCAGCTCCATCAAGTGAATGGGGATCACACCCCAAGCACCTTGTACACAGAATTGTTCGAAGAAAGCCGCGGCCATGACGGATTTGTTGCTAACGAAGTCGTAAGGGTATAAGAGCGCGCCACCGACGATGGAGATTACGATGATCGAGAATCGTCGTCCGAAAATTTGACTTGCCCATCCGCAGAGGGTACCGCCGGTCATAGCACCGAGGTTGGCGATGACTTGAGTGACTGTGACGGCGTTGGCGGAGAAACCGAATTGGGCGGAAAGCATGGTAGGGTAGAGATCTTGAGAGCCGTGAGACTGTTTTCGTTAGTGGGCATTCCTGGATTATACGTATCTGTTGAAAGAAAGAGGAGGTACCATAAAGTTGAATCCGGCCATCAACAGGACAAGATAGATGAGAAGCTTCCAATGATTTTTGACAGCCACCTTACCCTCCGACAAGAAATTTCCAGCGACACCGCCAGCGAGCGACTTCCGCACTTGTTCGCGACTCTGAAAGGCCTGAGTTTCGGGCAAGCATAGACGGAAGATGATGAACAACACAGGTGGGCAAGCACCAAACCAAAATAGAGGACGCCAGCCGTGCGAGGTGGTGTCGACAAGACCACGTGCAAATGCAGTGACCAGCAAGTAACCAAAGGCATAACCTTGTTGCAACATTCCAGAGATAATACCACGGGCCTCGGGGGGACAATCCTCCAGAGCGGTAGCAGCAATGTTACCATACAACCCACCCATGGCAATACCGAACAGCGCACGGCAAGCAAGGAATTGTTTGTATGTCTTACAGAAACCGGTACCCAACTCCAAGATGATAAAGAGAACGTTGTTGGCGACAAAGGGCCATTTCCGGCCGTAGCGATCAGACAGGATACCGAAGATAATGGCACCGACGGAACGCAACATTAGCACGAGGGTGATACCCCAGGTAATTTCGGAATTGGGACGGTCGAAATATTTAGCCAGACTGGTCAAAGAAATCGAGACAGAAAAGAAATCGAAGGCATCCCAAGTCCAGCCCCAGAAGGCAACCTATTACCTATTAGTACCGTCATGCTAAACTACAATGAAACCCGAGAGAATAGACACACCAAGAAAAACAGCCATTGTTGCTTGTTCAACAACATCAAGGCCTTGAAAGGGTTGGGAGCTTTGCGCATGGGAGGACGCAAGGACGTGACCCGTGTAGCCAGGTATCTACCGACAGACATGTTCTCCTCCGGAAAGCTTGAAGGGCTAACCTCATGCGAAGGCTCCGTGTATTCTTTTGTGTCGGCCATGTTGGTAATGGTACAATGACAGTAAACAAAAATAATGTTTCGTCCAACAGGCCAGTACAGAGGGTGCTACCTCCCAAAAAAGTATAGCGGTGAGTGAGTCTCAGCCGGCAGTGAAGCAAAGAAAGAAAAAAAAGAATTGCCGCGGGGATAAGAAACCAAAAAGAGTCGACCGGAGAGGCACGAGACCCTTTTAAATAATCCAGAGGAAATGCTCACCCCTCATACCGCTCTTCATTGTGCAGCATTTCCATCATGATCAACTGGTTAGCCATGTGCTGCAAAGCGCTAGTGTTGTGCGAGCCAATGAGGCCGCAATCTAGTCAGTTAGCTTGACCAAGCTACATCAAACCCCGCATGGTCATTCGTATTTTTCCTGCTAATTTTCGCTGTTCGACCGGGCCGCTTCTGGGGTTGTAATTAGCACTAGCCTACCAAGCGCACAATTCTCCGTGGACTACGTACACCAGGTTGGAAAACAATATTCAAAACAGTCTCTATTGATTGGAATGCCCAAATGGTTGCGAGTCATCTGATCTCCGGGATTCTGCGCCCACCATCGAATCCTTTGATGCTAACCAAGCGCCATTTCACCTAAAGCGTGATTCTCTCCGTACTTCTACGGTAATTTCCTACGATCTGACTCGTTGAAAGATCAAACATCGGTTCTAGCCATGTGGCATCCCCTTTCCTTTCCTTTTCTTTCACTTTCATCAATTCCTATGTTTCTCTCGGCACATTCGGTAAATTCTCTACGGACGTACGGCATAGGAAAGAAAGCCGGTCTTTTAAAGGAACAAGACGCCAAGCCGAAGCCAAGTTGCCCGGTAAGAAAGCTAAATAGAGTGATTTGCTTAGTAAAACGCTTGCCCCCAAAGACTAGAACCAGCCACGAGCCGCCGATCTTCGGTATTGATTTTCACAGTAAACAGTCGGGCTGGGAACTCGGTGTGCCTGAATTTCGCTTCTACAGCAAACATTGAGTCAAGCCGGTTCAGGGGACAAAGCACTTCGTCAAGCCGATTGCTAATGGAATGGTTTGAACCACGGTACGGAATTCAGGTGAGCCTGACACGGCAACATACCGACCGTGCTATTCGTTTTCGGATTCCAGTTCTTTGTTAGCACCTTTCGCCTAATTTGCTAATAGTTTCGACCCTGGACAATGGACACGGGAACTCGTGGTTTGCATCGTCCTCATGATCCCGATTCGTTTTCTTGGATCTCACCATAGTTCCAGGTTTTCTAGAATCATATGTGGCATGTCGAGATTTGTGTGGTTTATCTTGACTGGAAGTCAATTGATGGAACAATTCTACTGGCTCTAAGGGTCGAGATCAATGCAGAAGTTTATTCTGGGGTCGCGAATAATTATCGTGACGTCCCACAAAACGTGGAACCCCGGTCCCCAGATGTAGCTCCTTTGTTCACATTTATTATCTCTCGCGAATTAATAAAACCTTAAGAAGCTGAGCCCTATAACCCGAACCTTGAAACACTACCAGTCATATATTCAGACATGCCTAGAATACATGGGGTTCAGACTCTAAACTGTGGATCCTCTGCAGTTGTTCGGGGTAGTTCTTGACCTCGTTCAAGTGTATCTGATGTAGCCGTATTCACCCGCACTCTTCTGAGCATCGCTCCTTTTGTCTGGTATCGAGTTTCAGAAGAACTTGTATTGTTCCCATCTCCCATGAGTCTCGGCGCGTGGCGACGAGAGAATTGGCGCAAGTAAGGAAGACAGCCGCACACTATCACAAAATTTCCCTCAAGAATGCTGCATTCTTTGTTAGCAGAGAAAGGCCGGCGAGGACTGTGACTCTCACGTAAGAAAACCGGCCAGTCCCATCTGATAGGGCTGATCAGGCGAATTCACCAGGGGGTAAATTGTGGCTAACCGGACGATGCTAGTAATGATTGTCCTATAAGGAAATGAGCTCTGAACAACCAATTCGGCATGCGTTCACAACGAGAGCTGACATCAACTTACATACAACCAACCCCAAAGATGGCCGCTATTCCTAACTTTTGTCTAATCGACACATGCAACCGCCAAATAATCGGTATCGGAATCAGAATCAAGATAATATCACTCACTGTGTTCGTAAGAGCAGTTGCGAAATACACTCCCGTCCGATCAATGCAATAATCCCTAGTCCATGACTGAGGTATCGGATCCCAATTTCTCTCGACAGGATGACAAGCGAAAATGAGTGCGAAGAAAATGGCTAAAGTGTAAGATATGATGACACCGCTGACGATGTAGATAACATATTTCCAGAATTCCATCACGTTCAGTAAGGCGTAGTAGAACATTAGAAGGGCGAGTTTGGCGTATGCGAGACAGAAGATATAGATTGACGAAGCAGCTAGCACGGTCTGTGGATGGATACAGTCAGCAGTTGGAGCTGAACCGAATCATCTTCTGAAACTGAATATCAGGCGAACCTTTGGGTAATTTGCTCGATCGGCTTGACTTAGGTTCTCGAGATGCACTCCAAGTCCTGAATAGGACCACCCATCTATCATTAATTGTGAACTGTCAGCAATCTTCCAGACTTCTGAGCATAAGGTAGATCTTACAAAGTATTACAGATTGAGAAGCCACCGAAAAGACCTTGAGACAACCATTAGCGGTACAATCTTGGAAGTCGAACGGCTTTCAGCCACAAACCCAGGCAATAATTATAAACGCTAGCGACACGTTAGGCAAAACATCCAAATCCCGGAGATAACAGACATACTATCATCCCACCAGAACTTCTTTATAATCCTTGCTTTCGTGTAAATCCTCATTATCAGCAAGCTCGTGCTTATTCCAACACCGACTCCAACCGCGACTCGACTGGCCGTGTGTAGCCATGGATCTGAGCGGTCGCCAACAGCCCTTGTTGCAAGGTGGGGTCTTGATGATGTATATGAAGGGTTTCTGGTATTCGAGTTAATGCTAATGCAGTTATCAACGATATTCATGATTGTATGACTGAAGTTGCAGTCGCCAGCCCTCTGCGCCGGTTATCACCCAAAGACAACCGACTCTGAGTGATAAATTTTTCGCATATGTGCTATGTAACAGGAAGAGGGGGAAAATCTAAAGACATTGGCTAACAATAATAAATATATCGCCTTTTCGTTATATCTTAGAGGTGGATGTAGATCAGATATCATGACTGCTCTGGAACCCCAGTGCACCCGCAGATCTTGGATAACGATGGGAAACCTCGAATTAAAAAAGTCTTAGTTGTCAGGAGAATTTTTGGCAAAGAATACGTTGCCACAGATGACTATGTCACAGACTCGACTCATTTGGCGCCTCAGGCATGCGAGAATAGTTTATTTCCGTTTTCAGTAGAAAAGATCCACTTAGGGCTAATGTTCTTGGGCGAACCAAAGTTTCGGACCGTCAATCCCGGTCGGTTCATCCAGAAATGAAGCTCGGGGTTGGTCTCTAATGATTTTTCCATGCTTGTTTTGATATCAACCGGTGGAAAAGTGGACGGAAGGCAGTAGTTGCAGGATAACCGAAAGTCGTAGAGTGATGGTGTCGGGCGACTCTAATATATATTTATGTTGGATATACAAACTCTCAACTACTCATTTTTAGATACTTGAATAAACATTGAACTTTTTCTAGCTTTGTTCAAGTTGAGAGAGACAATTCTCTAATGCGCGAAATATTCAAAGCTATCCAGAGAAATCGAATCTAGTATTTTTTCAAAAATCGATTTCACCCTGGTTTTCAAAACAGTGAAGTGCAGTACTAAGTTAAGCAGAAATATTTAAATAAAGCAGACACCGAATATGTTTGCCGTTTTTACACCGTATAGGTATCATTCAGCGAAAACAATCATTTGTAGGGTTTAAAAGTTGTCGGGTGAGATTGGGGTCCGTGCAAAATCCCATCAGTTGATACTAAGTGATGGTATACAATCTTCCAAATCCATATCCATTGAACAAATGGCGCACCGTCAGACATACGATGTTGACATTTTGAATAAACAAGTAGAAACCCTTTCAACTCGCTGTTCGATACCATCTCACTTAATCCTAGCTTTCTTTGGGAAACACTACCCAGACTTTATGCTGTTGGTACTAGGCAAGGTTTTGAAGAATATGATTTTCACAATACGATTTTAGAAGATAGAATATTGAAGTTTGCTATTATAGAGCACTTTACCCACCCACAAATCCAATGACTAACCAGCATAGAGCTCGTTCATCTGGATCTCTCCTAGATAGTGCTTGTTGCGACTCATCCCCGCATGTCGAACACTTTCCATGCCGCTGAAACCTTTATCTCCCCACCAAAATCGCTTATCATCGTCCAATTTCCAATCGTCAATAACGTCTGCAAGAGTTTGTATGTGACCATACGTCGCCGGCTGGGGTCCCTTAGGCTTCATACAAGCAATGAAAGTAATGACTGACGCAAAGGCGGTAGCGCAGATCGCATAAATGAACAAACGAGAGTAGTTCATGGTCAGCCAAACGCGATCCTCTAGGAGCTCGACAGAAGCCTGAGACGACTGACCGAGCAGCCAATGTAATAGTGACTTAAAAATCACAAGCACAATGTATTTCCAGCTCATGAGGGCAGCCAGGAACGGGGGCTTCTCAAGAACGCTTGTCTTGACACCCTTCGACCGGCCATAAGCATCGAGAGATCTCCACACATCTTCGTCTCGGGACAAGTTTATGACGAGCTCTGAAAAGTGGAGTCCGAGTGTTTGCAAGCCCTGTATTGCGCAGACAAACAGGAGATTGACGATCAAAGCAGGCACAAAAGGCATGTCTGAGTTAATTTGTGCCCAATCCAGACTGAAGAAGACGGCATTGAAAAAATACGTACCTCCTAGGTCGTCTACCACAGGGTTCGATGTAGCATTCCAAGTCATTGAGAAATGCCAGGTGGCGTTGGGCAGATGCCCGATTTGATTGATTGCACCTATCATATTACCTCGTGCAACAAGGACTATTGTTAAAAACCACACAAAAGATAGCCCAGCCAGAATCCATATGAATATTAAAGCATGTCTGGTTGTAGGGATGAGCTGCCATTGGCTCSGCTGCTGTGGACTTGGAAGCTTCGGTGCACTTTCCTGTTCCTCCCCCAATATGTCTCGAACTTGCATCGAGTACATGCAGCGGCCCTCTCTATGCCGTACCAACTGCCGATCAAGCATTAAGACTGTAGTATCCAGTGGATTTGAGCTCCATGTTGGAATATCGCGAAGGTTACTATAGTAGCACCATATTGCAACTACGGTTTGTCCCAACAACGCAAGTCCTAGCGCTAACAAGGCGAGCAAGTTCACGTGCGTCTCATACAGAGTGCCATAATCCATGTTGACTCGCGGGATGAAAAGCATCGAAGTTGCTGCATAGCAAAGAATTAGAAGTGCCGCTGAGATCGCGTTGATATACCAGCTATTGGGCCGAGAGCGATTCGAGCTGGTTATCAAGCGTATGTTGGTATTAAACACAAGGCGCTTCTCCTTGAGAAGTGCCCACCGAAGAGATACTGAATGAACATAGGCTAATCCTTCAAGGCATTGCGTGAGTATCAAGTTGACGATGAAGGAAGCCGCCTCGCCGGGTAAGCCACTGTGTATAAAAATGTTCGCAGGGCCGGAGGACGTGACCCAGTATCCAATGCTACATGCGATACAAGCTAAGGAGCACACTATGCCAAAGATTATTGTAAGACGGCATTGAAGGCCGGTCCCCGATTCACTGTCGACGGAAAGTAGCGAGTCTCGGCGTTCTGCACCGGTCAAGATCTTTTTTGACTGCATTTCCGTTTTACCGTATGCGTCTCTATCGTTTGATTCATCCGCGGCCATGGCCACGGTTGGCACTAAGTCGTATTTGTTGTTGTCTATAGTGTGCCATTTTGGAGGAGAAATCTGATTGTCAGAGTTACTGAGTAAGTAGGTATTCAGACCAGTCGGCATCCTTGCTGACTACTTACTGATTTGTTCGTGCTCGAGTTCGATGTTTCGTAATCATCAATGGGGAGATCAGGACCTTCGCCGCGAATAATAGTATATGTGCTATCCATTCCGCCCCTCGATATTGAGTAGAGCGTAGTCACAGACAGGGCGTGTCTAGCCTGGTAGATTTCTATGCACCGTTTTTGAGAGCGCCCTCTGCATTATATAAGGCTAGAGCGGAGTGCTCGTGGCCCCCACTCGACACTCAATAAGTATTTACATAGTAATGAAATTGGTGAGCCGGCGAGCGGATTTTGGGCGGAAATTCTTGTTCACATCCGGCTAGATAAAGGTCCGAGTCCGCGTCCCGTCTCATCCTCCCGTTATCTAATTCAACGGGCCCTACCACTCAATTCGTCAGTCATGCATGTAATTAGTTAGATAAATATAACTATCCCTTGGTCTATAAATGCCTTGTTCTGGTTTGAGCGCGCGATTCGTCCAGGCTGCACGCCAAAATGATAGCGTGTAAGCCGCAGCCTATCATTTGTCGCCAGAGTTGCTAGTTCTGACAGTCCTGTGTCAGCTTTCAAGGCATTTCAAGGGGAAACTGTTCTAGATCGCGAAATATCTTTTAGATTGGCCGGGGACTTTAATGTGGGGCTCTTCAAAGAATAAGCCCCAATCTGAAGAATGAGAATCTGTACTCCATGGCGTTCAATTGCGATGTCCAGAAAGAACACCATATTTACAGAATGTGCTTTATTTGTTCACAATCCAAAGCTCTCTTCAGGAGTTTAGTATATCACGGAGTACCGTACCAGCGATATGTTGTCTATACTATGCCTCACTTCCTCATCAGGCCATGATTAGAAGTAGATAAGGTACCTAGCACAAGTCTCAGCCCGGTATAATACTGCGATATTAATGAAAGAATCACTTTGGATATATGAATATGAGTGTTTGAAATCGTAAAGAGCCCCATATTTTTTTTTATAGTCACGGATCGAATACCTCTCTCAGCTGCTTTCAGAAGCTCGTACATGTCGTTTCTGCTTTCCCTCCGCTATTATATATATAAACCTAAAACCTCAAGTGTCGACCACAAAATCGATACAAGAAACAAACGTCAACAAGAAAACCTTTTTCGCGAAGTAGTCCCCAAGGGATAAAAGATCATCATACCTTCCATGAAAAAAAAAAAAAAAAATTAAAAAAATTAATTATTAGAATAGATATAGAAGACGAAAAGAACGACACAGCTCACTGCACGTAAGAGTAAGACTGTTGAAAATTGACTTAGTCTTTCGGTTCAGAGTCGTCCGTAGACTTGTCCTGTTTTGGGTGACTTCTCTCGTCCTCTCTTATTTCTGTATAGGTTCGATTCCTTAGCCCTAGTGCCACCCTGTTGTTCATTTCTTATTTCGTGAGGGATGAGTGGATTTATCGGGAAGGTTATGGTTCTGAGCAAACAGGATACTACAAACCTATATGCCCTGTTGTAAACAGGTTGACAGAGCACCCAAAATGGGTAACCATATAATATTCAAGGTTGCATAATGTCTGTCCGCAAATCCGATCCTTAAATATATCGAGGTTATTCCAGTGGGATGGCACGGAGAGCACCACACCCACTTCCCCAGTTGCTGTGATACTTAGAAACCGTACCAGAGAATCACAGATCAAGATACACACCAAGGTTTCCAGATGCTATGACGGCTTCTGGCAGGCTGGGACAAGAATATTGAGCTTTGAAAATCAAAAGTCACGGAAAAAAAATTTTTATCCCCCGAACCGGAATCGACGGTGACTTCTCGATCACAATTAATATTACAGTCGAGCGTGATAAACCTGGAATTTTATTAGACAATAGAATAGCAGTGATATATTAGAGTAACGTACCAACTACACCATCAGGGGCTTTTATCGATTCTCAGGTTGACTTTCAGGTTTTTCTAACGCCAACTCCAAACAAGAAGAGTCAAATGTTTGCAGTCGATGCGCTGCCGACAGATTCTGCAAGTCGGCTCGCAGTATCAATGAAGGGGGTAGGGACCAAGGGTCCGTTTCATATATTCCTTCAAAACTCTGGGCTTCGCACTGTGAAGAAGATGAATAGCTTCGTTGATGCATTAGAAGGATGCACACGGGAGGAAACAATGAGATTCGAGCGAAGATGGTGGAGAAAAAGAAGCGAAGAAGAAGGCAAAGGAAAAAACAAGTATATTTACTCGTAGAAAGGTTGGTGCTCGATGGCAGAAATACCTTGATTGAAGCTATGACTGCTTTTTTTTTGCTACCACACCAGAATTGTTGTGATAATTCGAACGGTTGTAGTCAGAGGAATAAAGATGTCTGTTACACTCTGAAAACGGTGGATTCAACTCTCTGAACGAGTATTCCTTCACAATCAAGATATGGTTATTCTGATCGATGAAAGTGCGGATCTCTTCGTATTACCACGCATCACGGTGTTCCATACGGACTTAGAACCTGAATCATAATAACGATCTTTCTCCGGAGACATTGCATGACACTCAGCTCTTATGGTAAAAGCTTCGGCCGGGGCTGACGAACCCACCGGGCTCAACGGAGCGAACCCCCGAATATTACTTATTTAAACAGGACGGAGACACGAATGCTTTGCTTAGCCTTCTTTTTTTCCTACAATAAATACTAAATAAAATCGAAAAGAAAAATTGATTCGGTGTTCATTGTCCACGTAGACAATAGAAAATCATGGCTGCTGTTGCTACTCGTCAACCCTTCGAGCCTGCTCCTGGCTTCGTCCCAACTGAGACTCAGGCCACGGGAAGCTTCTTACACTCTACGCTCGACGGTGCCCCTGCCTTTGTCGACATATCAGCTGGAGGTTCTAATGTTAAGAGCATCGAGCACTCACTCAAAGTCATCAATTTGCGAGACTACCAGCCACAAGTGAAGCTTGACGTTGAAGGTGTCGAATACGTTCCGTTCAGTTCCAGTCTTCAAGAGGAAAGCCTCTTGCATCCGGACAAAGCTGAGATCAAATCCGTGGTTGAAAAGGTATACTGGCCCGAATGCGCTGAACTCGTCAAAAAGCACACTGGTGCTGTGGAGGTAGTCCCATACCACTGGCGTCATCGCCAAACCCCGAAGAACATGCAGGAGCAAGACGCCAGCAAGGGAGTGAGCAGCAAGCCCGTCACACACTTTCACATCGATAACGATGCCAGCACCGCAGAAGGCTCTCTTAAAGCCGCTCTAGGCGAAGAAGAAGCCTCACGTTGGCTTGCATCTGGCCACTGGGGTATTATAAATGTGTGGAAACCTATTGGGGATCCAGCATACCAGTATCCGCTTGCTGTGGTTGATGTTAGCAAAGTAAACTGGCAACGCGATGTCGAAGTTGTGTTAACTCGAAACAACTACAAGAATAGCATCAATGGACTCCGCTTCCGCGACGGCTTTGACTATTACTATGTGAAAGACCTGCGTGCAGATGAGGCATTACTATTTAGGAACTTTGATTCCCAGGATGGAAGGGGAATCGGTGTACCACATGCTGCAGTGGATGACGTGAACACACCGGTTGACTGTCCGCCGCGCCGAAGCATTGAGGTCCGATGCTTGGTGTTGTATGGTAACTGATCTACAAGTTGTGTATGTTATGTTGAATTGCTGGAGCCCTAGTTAGAATATCAGTACCAGTTGTAACTTGATTTCCTAGTATACTAGTCAAAACAATATACGAGGATTACGGACGTTGATCTGCATTCGGCCTTACTTTGTAGAGAATTGTCTATTGAACTATAAACCAGTCGTAAATGTGTTTTTATTCGACTTAAGAAATGGTTTTTGATGTCCAGTGTCTCTACTAAGCTGTCTGGATCCTGGTAGGCCCACCAAGGTGGAATCTAGGGGATTCCAAACTTCCACTACCTAGGTAGTTTTTGAATAGTAATCATTTGAAAACAACAAGACCAATGAGATTATGTTTCCTCTAAAGTCAGAAACTGGACGTCGGGCCCGACTGACGACAACTAGTTAGAAATTTCTGAGGGAGACGCTCGGGGGGTCGGGCCCGGTAGCCGACAGCCACAAATTCACAAATCGATACCCAGAAATCTCTTCCTGCTTAGTTCCGCCGCCCGGGTTCCCGGCATTGGGGAGCATCATCAAATTGAGACATAGTAAAATTGGGGGCGGCTTTGCAAAAAAGATATGGCTTACACCCGATACAGTTGATGGCATCACAATACCTAGATAGGGTACAACCCCAATGAAGAAACCCTAAATTTCCAGGACCAAGGTCATCGGTTCACAAGCAAGCAATCATGGTTGAAAGTCAGAATCCTTCCGAACAATCAACGCGCGAGAGTAGTGTTATTCTCAACGATAATCTTGCAGTTGATATGAATGATGAAGGCGAAATTGGTCATGGTGATGACAGCACATCTGTTGGAGGGGAAACATTGAATAAAGTTATGGATGTGCGGGATGAGAAAGTTATCACAGACATCAAAATCGTTAGTTCTGACTTGAGTTCTTCTTCGTCTGATCTGGAAGCGGCAGTGAAGACTACAGATGAAGATGACCAACAAAATCGCGACCCTAATGAGGTCGATTGGGATGGACCGGATGATCCTGAGTGTCCCATGAACTGGCCACGATGGCGAAAATCGTGGATCATCATTATCCTCAGTGTATTGAGATTACTCATGTGGGCTGTGTCCTCTCCTGATGATGACTTGAAATTACCTTTTCGAATAATTGTAAGGAAGCCAGAAACTGACATGAACGCATTTTACATAGTCCCTTTGCCTCATCAATGATGGCTCCAGCAATACTGAATATCCATGTCGAATTTCACTCCAACAGTGTGGTTCTTGACACCCTCAGCATTTCCATTTTCATGCTAGGGGTAGGAGCAGGTCCGTTGCTCTTCGCACCGCTTTCCGAGCTCTATGGACGCAACCTCATCTACCATTTAAGCAATTTCTTCTTCACTATTTCTAGTGTTGCTTGCGCGAAGGCTCCCAGTTTAAAGACCCTCATCGGTTTTCGTCTGCTAGCGGGCGTCGCTGGATCTGCAGTGATCTCTAACGGTGGTGGAACAATCGCTGATATTGTGCCCAAAAAGAGCAGAGGCCTCATTACCACGTTGATGGTCCTGGGCCAACTGATTGGTCCTGTCATTGGACCTACAGTGGGAGGATACGTTTCGCAAGGGGTGGGATGGAGATGGATCTTCTGGCTATTAACTATTGTTGTGAGTCGAGCTATCTACTTGTCCCGGTAGATCGTTATCGAACCCTGACTAAAATCAACGTGTTGAAATAGTCTGGAGTTTTTACGTTCCTCGGTTTCATTTTTCTCCGCGAGACCCATGCTCCCACCCTCCTCAAGCGAAAAGCAGCAAAATTGCGGAAGGAAACCGGTAACGAGCTGCTCTACCACAAAGGCAAATCATCCGTTCCTCCAAGGAAGCAATTTATGGACGCTTGTCAACGGCCTCTGAAGATGCTTTTTACGAACCCCGTCATTTTCATCGTTTCTATCTACATTGCCCTCATTCTGGGCTATGCATACATCTTGTTCACCTCCTTCGCTTTCGTTTTTCAGCAGCGATACGGCTTTGGAGAGGGAACTACAGGGTTGCTATATTTTGGTATTGGTATTGGCATGTTGGTTGCACTAGTTTGGATGAGTCGTTATAGTGATCGTATCTTCGCCCAGAAAGAGGAACAAACGGGCATATCAAAAGCGGAGTAAGCTCTTATCACTCTTTTCTGCAAAGTCCCCGGTGTTGAGTCTGACTTATGGCAACAATATTAGGTTCCGCCTGATACCTCTATTATATGGGACGTTTTTCATACCTGTTGGCTACATAATTTACGGCTGGGCTGTCCAATATCATGTTTACTGGGTTCTTCCTATTTTTGCGACCATGTTGATGGGAGTGGGAACTGTTCTAGCTTTGGTAAGTTTTCTTCTCCATCATGACGATACAGTCCTATGATCCAAAAAAAAACTGAAAAAGAGTTACTTCTAGGTCGTCACACAAACATATCTCATAGACGCTTTCACTGTCCATGCAGCAAGTGCCAATGCCGCAAACTCTCCCATAAGGTGTCTTGCAGCTGCTCTATTACCATTGAGTGGAACTTCGCTTTACGATGCGTTGACATTTGGCTGGGGCAATACAATGCTCGCACTCATAGCGTTATTGTTCAGTGCTCTGCCGTGGATAACGTATCGATATGGTGAGAAACTACGAGCAAAATATACCGTGCGCTGATAGACAGTAAACTCATCAAAGGCAGCAGCCAACCATGTTGGGAAATAGAGGGACATCTATATGCATATGGTGGTTGTTTGGAGATTGGAAGGAAGATGTTATTTAATGTAGCACGGCGCATACTTGTGAAATTGCTGGTTTATTTATAGAGAATTTCTTCGATCAACGAAATCAATAGAATAGAGCTGTTTGTATACATGAATGACTGTGAGTACAATTTGGAGAAAAGTTCTTAGAACGGTTAAATGGAGACAGATCAACAAAAATACCTTAGTCAGTTGTGTTTCTATCATGATTATTCGGAATTTTGGAATAAAAACCTAAAAGGATTGCGAGTGACAGATGAAGATAAAAAATTAGTAACACCATGACATTCTTAAGCTACTCAACGCACGCAAGCTAGGTCTATCCTATATAATATACTACGTCGACTTGAAACACTTATCTCAAAGCAGTATCACAACTTAACGCCAGTTCCTTATAGATAAATGTTCAATTCAGCCTGTTCCTTCCCATTGAAAGAGTAATAGTGGTGCCTCTTCAAGCAGTGATAAAATACTCGCTCATTTCTGAATCCCAGAAAGCACGGGCACGAGGATCAAGAAGGACTGCTTGCTCGTTATCCTTCCAGGGAGACTCCTTCTTGGGTTTGAAGAGAGACTTGGTCATGAGCGCTCGAATGAACGCCAACTCAGCCTTTTGCACCCTTGATTGTACGGTGTCTCTATATTGCTGATATTCGGCCTCTGTCATAGTAGCGAATATAAATTTTGGAGAAATTCCAATCGCGAGGACTCCCTTTTGACCAAAGCCAAATGAGGTCAGCATGAAAGCCTTGAGTCCCGAAGTTTGAATTGTCTTGGACGGATATATGAGATGCTCAAATGGCTGCAAAGCAATCTCGATATTGTCCGCATTTCTATTCCCAGGTACTATGCCAGTCTGTAACACTTGCATTCCACCATTGAACATCCAGGCCCCGGCTGCGCCCTTGGGATGACCGGTGAGCCATTTCTGAGAAATTGTTAAAAGTGGATTGCCGGCTGTTCTTCCTAGCTTGATCATCTGCTGGTTGATTACATTGGCTTCGTTTTTGTCGTTTGCTTTTGTTGACGTTCCATGAAGCGATGCGACACCGATGTCATCTACCGTCAAACCCCAGACCGCGAGCGCAGCACGAATAGGAGCGATCTGAGGATTCTGTTGTCGAAAACTCGATCCCCACATGTTGCGAGCGTCTGAAAGTTTACGATCTCTGAGTCGATCCAGCAATTGTAGCATTTCGTCTATATCATCTTCCGGCATCGTTTTAATAAGCTGCAGCTGGCGAGCTCGCCAGGAATCAATCTCCTGAATGGCTTCGTTCAATCTTTCGCGACGGTACTCAAGATTCAATAAGGGAGATTCTGCTGCATCGGGAGCTTCGCGAGCGGCAGTCAGGATACCCTGGCCAGGTGCTGGAATAGATCGACCAATGCGATCGCTAGCCATCTGTGTATGGGCGACGATGGCGTAGATCGGGAGCCCCATCTTCAGCGCCATTTCAGCTGTTGTAATGATTTGCACGCCACAACCGGCAGCCTCCATGAACCCGTTGCGAGTAGTTGTACTTGGACGGCACATTTCGCTAGGAGCCCGGCCCTGGAGAACCTCCTCATCGGTATTTACTGTAGCTTTCATCTGGCCAAATTCATATGAAGCTTCTTCGCGGAAGTCATCGGTACCACCAACTAAAGCCATTTTTGACTTGCCAAGCAAGATGGACTCGCATCCACTATCCAGTGATCTGAAATTGTTAGCGACTTTGTAACTAATGGATTACACACAGATGACTGTAATGAGTATCGCAAGAAAAGGAGAGGGAATACTCACTCGATAGCGGTGGCGCACGCTCCGGAATTGGTTTTGATAGGACCAGTGGATGATAGAAGCAATAGGTTAACCCATGCACCCATTGTGTTCAAAAAGGTCTCCTGAAAGACGTCGCTGTTGGCTGCGTGCTCCATATATCTCTCTCGGTACATCTTGCGCAGCGCTGAAACACCCCCTGCACCTGTACCAATGCAGTTGGCAAGCTCTGACACATGCATATGAGAATAGATCTCATAGGGGTCTTCAATCCCTGCACTGTACATAGCCTCACTGACACAGCAGAGAACATACAATGTAACTGGATCGACTTGAGAGATGATGTCCTCCGGGATGCCATATGTTGCTGCATTCCATCCGGTTGGGAGTAGACCAGCAACTTTACGATCAAAAGAGACGGCCTTTGGAATCAATAACCTAGCGCCCTTCTTGACTTTGACCTGATAATCTTCTGAATTCGGTATTGGTGTGATGGAAACCTTGTCACCATGTTGCAGTTGAAAGGCTTCTGCAGTCGCCTTGGATGCTTCAAATGTGGGTAGATCCTTATCCATAACAACTTCATGAAGAAACTCCTTTTCGTCAGGATTATAGCCGTCCAAAATTTCTGGTTCAATTTGCCTAATTCCAGTGTGTTCAAGGACGTACTTGCCATATCTAGAGGCAACCTCGATATCAGGGACCGGCTCTTTTGTCTTAGAATCCACCCAACCAACGTAATGCGAGCCCTTGATTTGGCCGTCGTAGTGTTCTACTAGGCCCATGATCCAAGCTATCTCAAGCATCCCGCCTGCCGTAAATTCCCCACCATGCTCCATTTCCCATCTGGTTCGAGAGCTTCCCCATGGGCCCAATTCGGAGAAACCGACGACGACAACGGTTTTTTGGAGATCGACCATTCCTTGGAGGTTTGGCAGGCCGCTTGTAGTTGTTTGGAAATCAGACAGCACTGGGTAGCCAACTTGAAGATTTACGCGGCGTGTCTGCAGAGATATAGTTTTCTTGCTGGATGAATGCTGCGAATTTTGTCCTCTGCAAAGAGCGTCTAGACGGCCATCTTCTTCGTTCAGTGCTTGCTGAAGCCTGCTGCGATTGGACAATTGCTGACGAATCCCGGAAATCAACTCTTTGAAATTTTGAACAGCAGAGAGATTCCCACTCAAATCAGCAAGAACCGGTTCATTTTCCATTGCAGCCATGATATCAGGATGTATTAGACCTAGAATGCTGAATGCCATCTCCGCCGGGCTGAACGTGAGGGCATTTTCCGCCTCAATGGATTGAGCAAGAACATTGTTGGTATTCATCAGTCCGGTGCCACGCGTCCAGCCGATGACTGCTCCGCATATGGTAAGATAATCGGACCAGCTTTCAGAATGGAAGCGATTAAATAGAGTTTCCAATCCTAGCTTAGACTCTGAATATAAACCGTCTCCACCAAAGGTACCATGATTCGGGGAAAGTGGAAGAATAACTGCGGTTGGACGCGTGTTATAACTTCTCTTCTGTTTTTGCTGCTTGATGTGTCCTAGAATTCGAAGGAGATTTGTCAGCATTAACCGGTGGCTAAGCTCTGATTTTGCGTCTATTCCATCTAGTTGCCCTGTCTCGCCAATAGCGGCAAATGGAATAATCACGTCGAGATCTCCATCCTTGGTCTCGTAGATGTGATTGACAAGCGCTTCACAATCTTGTTTGCTAGCCTGGTTGAAGGGTAGCACAGTGAGCTTGCTMCCCTTCGAGCCGTGGGCCTTGTACATTTCGTTGAAGAACTTTGTAGTGGAAGCAGGTGGCGTGCGGCTCGTAGTGACGAAAACTTCGGCGCCCCCTTCTAGTAGTCCCCGAACAATATCAGAGGCAATCGAACCGGGTCCAGCGCCGGTTACAAGGACAGTATTTCCTGAAAATGATAAACCACTGGTCTCGCCAGTCATCAGATGGTTCATGAAATTGTCTGTCCATTCACTGCTGTATTTCCATTCTGTTCCAACTTGCTGCTTCAGCTGGATGACGGGCTTTCGTAGTCCACCAGACGTACTACCAGTCAGGCCATAGTTGATAATATCAACAAAACTGCAGCCTTGACCCAACATGTTTCTGGGTAGCTCCTCATAGATAATTTTGCCACTTTCGTTAATCCTGGTTCGAGGGCCTTGTGCCGGCTTGCTATATATGAATACCGGCGACCGTGTTTGAAGAGAAGGCTTGTTCGGTCTCAAATCTTTCAATAAGTTATGGTTTTTTGGAAACTGGGTTAAGATGTCGTCACACGTTGGTGTCCATCGATTGAGAATCATACGGACTCTATCTTTGAAATCGCCGGAATCAAGCCGCCCGATCTGAAGCTCTTGCTTCAGTGCAATCAAATCCACTCGCACCCAGTTCCACCATGAGTCATATACACGGATCTTGTTTGTGTCAAAAATTGGTTTCGTTCCGGCATACAAATCATCGCCGAACTCGGAAGTCCAGTGACCAAGCGTCTCTAGAAGTGTGTCGTCTGAGTCTTTGCCACAGTTTGTGGTCTCGTCGCCATCACGTCGCTTTATGAGATTGCCAATAACCTCATAGATTTCTTCTAAAGCGACTTGATGCTCTCTTTGTGCTGCTTCCAGGGCTTTGGCATCTACGAGAGGTGCTTGTGCAACCGATGGGCCAGCCGATCCGGAAGTCAAAGAGAAATTCGCAAATGCGGCGTAGCGTTGAACAACCTGGTCGAAAAACTCCTTCGCAGCGTCAACGCTCGTTAATCGAGAGGATGGCTCGAGTGTGATGGAGTATGAAATAGCAGTATCCTGTCTTTGGGGACCGAGGCCCCAGCGCGAGCTCAGATATTGTCTGATTGCCTGCTGGTTAAAAGAAGCAGGCATTCTAGATGAAATAAGTTTAGAAATCAAACTGGAAACCTGTTTGCCAGGTCGTCCCTTGAAACCACCTGCTAATGCAGCACCAAGGGCAGCAAGTGGCATATCCTCGGAGCCATCGGGCAGGCTGCCCAATTCGCTACCAAGATCGCCCACAATTTCGTTCTGTAGAGTCGATTTTCCTGCATGAATCTATCAGTACCTTAGACTGTATAATTGTCAAATATCGTTCGACCTACCTCCCGAAAGTTCCTGAATTGATTTCGAAATCGGAATTTGGTCGAATTGTTTCCGCAATTTCTGTGCAACCACGGCAAGGATTATATCAGTAGCAGTCATGGGGATATCGTCGACTGTACCTGCTGCCATAATAGTAGGAGATCCAGTATCTACGCGTTGACTGGTCTCAACCACCATGCTGGGAGCGGGACTCTTAGCAGGCGGTACTGTTTTCTCAGGTGATGCCGCGGCGCTGGTACCGGTCTCTGGTTGGGCGTCGTCATATTCGTAAAAAATCTCTTTGTGGCTATCACTAGACGAGAGAAATTGTCTCGTGACGGTGTGAGACTCGGCATGCTGTTCCATTGCTGCTTGTTTCTTGGCCATATTGGCCAGAACCCGACTGGGTCCGACCTCGACATAACGCTCGATAATAGGAGTTTCATGTAGAAACGTTTTTTGCGTCTCTATCCTGTATGGAATTTAACTTATTTTCTTCACCTCCGTAAGGGGCGCAAGAATAGAAAAAACATACCATCGGACAGGGGACGCCAACTGATGACTGTTCACTTGTGCATTAGCATCGAACCTCTTTCACTTTATCAACCTTTCGTTTGTACTCACGATAGTAATTCAATTAACAATTTATGAGTTAAGTGTTGTTTTTGGGCTCCTGACCGACCCTCTGTCGGGCGTACTAGTTCTCGCTTCATAATTGCTCAACATATGGATCTGGTGCTTCGTACGATGGAATAAACTCAGCAGGATTCTTTATCTTTGATTATAGGCACACAGAGAGTCATAAGTCACAATCCAGGTCTCCTTTTGATTGTATACAACTTTGACCCTATGAAAAATGTAGGTTACTACTAGAACTGGCTTTCGGCGCCGTCGAACCGATACTTTCGGCCCCTACCGTGACGCGTCCGAGCAGGCAAATCCACCCGACAAGGCATCCTATTTTGACTTATTTTGTATGCACGCTAAGTCTGAGTCTTCCGATGTCCCCGTTCCACCTAGTCTTCCTTATTCGGCCCATGGAATTCATGTCCGACAAGGGGATCTAGTCCCTCGCGGCAACGTGCGTTAGGGCTAAATGTATTTATATATACATCATCCGGTGGATTACAATGTTTCTACACCCAAAGCATAACGACAGATTTGATTGTATGTTCTCGTTTCGCTAAAAGTCGCACTACTCGATCAATTCCCACCGAGGCCTTCACAATGTCACCAGCCGCCATTATTAGTAGCGATGACACGGTCAAAAGCGTCGATGCTAAAACTTCGACTAAGACCGCAGTTGCATCAATTTCGAGGAACTTTCTGCATGTGATTGATGAGCGTACTGGACAGTATTACCAGATTCCAGTCCGCCACAATGCCATCAATGCCAGCGAGTTCAAAAAGATCAAAGCCCCAGACACTGAATACTACGCTGACCAGAATGAAAATGGAATCCGAGTCCTTGATCCTGGATTCACAAACACCGCTGTGGTGGAAAGTAAAGTCACTTATGTGTTCGTAACATCATTCTGATACATGCGGAACAAAATTGAAAACTTGTACTTACGAGCTTTCTAGTGATGGCAAAAGAGGCAAGATCCAATACAGGGGCTATGACCTCGCGGATATCGTCGCCAACGGCAAGAAGTTTATCGACACTGCTCACCTTATGGTGTTCGGATTTTGGCCTTCGGCTGAAGAAGGAGCAGGCTTCCAGCGCAAGCTTTTCGATGCAATGCATATTGATCAATGTGTCTTTGATACCATCCATGCTTTTCCGTAAGTGTCCCGTCATGAATGACTTTGTGATATAGAAAACCCTGACATATGTAAGACCGACTGCTTCTACGACCCTGATGTTGACGGCTGGGTTGGCGGCTGTGCAAGCTACCCAAATGGATAAGATTCCCGCTCACATGGCTAAAAACCTCTATCTTGGAAATCCGACACTGGTAGAGGAGCAAATCATTCGATTAATGGGCGTTCTACCCATCGTCAGCGCGGTCGCTTATTGTCATCATACCGGCCGTGCTTTCAAATCGCCGAGATCCGACCTGACTTACATTGAAAACTTCTTGTATATGTGTGGCCATGTGCTGGAAGAAACAGGGCTCCCTAACCCCCGCTATGTGGAAAATTTCGAGAGACTCTGGTCTCTCGTTGCCGATCACGAGATGACTTGCTCTACCGCAGCCTTTCTGTTGACTGCTAGCTCCTTACCTGACCCTATCAGTTGTATTATTTCGGGTATCGGGGCATCATACGGTCCTCTTCATGGCGGTGCTATTGAGTTTGCCTACAAGGATATGGCCGACATTGGAAGCGTGGCCAATTGCCAAACCAAGATTGATCGTGTGAAATCTGGCAAAGAACGCCTGTTCGGATATGGACATCGAGTCTACAAAGTTACTGATCCGCGTTCCACACACATTCAAGCTGTTTTGGACACACTGAAAGAAGAAATTGATAACGACCCCTTGTTGAAGGTTGCTTTCGAGCTGAACAGAATCGCACAAGAAGATGAATACTTTGTTTCCCGCGGCTTGAAGCCCAACGCTGATTTGTTCGCAGCTTTCACTTATGGAGCAATGTGAGTTTTATCGCACGATATATGCACTGTACCTAACTAACAACTTCTTTCACAGGGGCTTCCCTCCGGACTTTATCCTCACCATTTCAACTATATCCAGAACTCAAGGTCTGATGGCACATTGGAAAGAGGCTATGTCTGGAAAGCCACTTATCTGGCGCCCAACACAGATCTACACGGGCAAGCTCGATCAGAAAATGGGCGAGTAATTGAGAAGTCAGCTTTGGACTAAACCTAGGTAGTGGCTGTTGAAGTATTGAAATATATTCCGCTGTAAGATCGTACCGTATATAGCTTTCTGGAAGTCTTGATTTTATAAAATTCAAATCATGGAAATTGATACAATTATCTTCGCTACTATATCAAAGTTATCATAATAAGTTACGTGTATTATCTAAGACCATATTCTATTTGAAAGAGGGCTAAGTGACGTCTTTCACAAGTCAATAAGTAGGTATACAGGCGGGGATAGATCTCTGTTCCAGGATTATAAACCGCTGAGGCAGGATCCTCGCATCGCATTAGCCTTTAACCATGGTCAAAAGCGTGCTGCTTAGCTACTGTCTTATACACTACACACTTTCTAATTGGGTATCTAGAATTAGAGCTGCCATGTCTCACATATACCCAGTCTTGCCGATATGTACAATTTTTCCGAACACGCTAGCGATGACTGTCTGAGGCTCGCCCGGTGATCCGGGACTTGGGGCTGTTGGCGCCGTCGTTGGGTACCGCGTTGACATTCCGAGCCCCGATCAAATCCCGCCCCAGCCCCGAGTTAAATTCAAGGTTGAAATGTACTTAGCGCGTCTTTCGGTACACACGCTCTAGACTCGCAGTAAAAATGGCTTCTGCATTATCACGACCGACCACGCAGCTCGGCGGTTCACTGGCTTTCCCCCGGAATGAGTTCTCATCCATACTATCAGCGTCGGCTTATGTTTCCTGATACAAGGGAGCAAGAAATGGCCGGGCTTGAAGTTACCGGCAGCGCTCAGCAGCCTCATGTTGTGCCTAGATAGATACGCCGCGTCCGCCATCTTCTTCATCTCAGTTCTCTGTCATCGATGTTCTTTCCAGGCTTCGACATGCCTGAGAAGTAAATTTTATCGCTTAAAAAGAAGGCAGAGGCAATTGAATGTATCCAATCGTCAAGATGGAGCATTTTAGTCCCAGCACGACACCTGATACAATTCAGAGCTCTGCATCCACCCCCTCAATGACCTACATCACTCCCTCGACGGATGTGGAAGATGACCCGTTCTGCCCTCGGGTTACGTTCTCGGTCGTTTACAAGAATCTCAAATACTCGACATCATTATCAAGCAACCATACCATTGATTTGTTTCAGCACAAAGATGTTTTCCTTTCGTCATTAGAGGAATCCAGTGACAAACCCAAAGAAGCTCTAGACACAATAGAGAGTCTTCTGATTCGCTTTTTTCGATTTCTGTTAGACCGCCAGGTCCCGACTACACAAATTCTGCCGTTGGTTGTTGCCTTTCGCAGAGACTTTCTGCTTTCAAACGATATCCACTCGTTGATTGCTTCTTTACAAGAACCAATAGAAGTCCAGCGGGATTTGCTTTGCACGTACTACACAACGATTCTACGATGTAATCTACCACCAGATACACATATACGGGAGAGCGCCCTCTTAGAAGCCGCGAAAAAAGGAAATGTTAAGCTAATGGCTATTTTCGGAGGCCAAGGGGCATCAAATCCTCGGTGCTTTCGGGATCTTCAAGACTTATACAACACATACGGCCCCCTCTTGGACGACCTAATCAGTACAGTCGACAACGCACTCTACGAACTCTGTGTCGTCCCTGAAACTCGTGATTTCTTTCGGGGCCGCGAGATACGCTTGCTCTCGTGGCTGAAAAATCCACAGCGTTTGCCGGATGAGCAGTTTCTTGCAACTGCGGCAGTCAGCTTTGCAATTCATGGAATTACTGCTCTAGCACACTGGTGCGTTACCTGCAAAGTCCTCGGGAAGCATCCTGGGGCTTTGCGTTCTCTTCTAGATGGAACAAGTGGACATTCCCAAGGCATTATCGTGGCTGTCGCCATTTCAGCATCTAATTCGTGGTCATCATTCTATCAAAACGCTGTTACAGTTGCAAAACTGTTGTTTTGGACGGGTTATGAGAGTCATCAAGCGGCTCCACGTCTAGCTCTTACCTCCACAATAGTTCATGACGTCGAAAATCGTGGCGAGGGCCAACCAAGTCACATGCTGCACGTGTCTGGGCTTTCAAGCAAACATGTCATTTCGCTGGTTGAAAAATGCAACCAGGATTTGCCGCTTGAGAAAAGGGTTTATCTGGGTTTATCCAATTCAAGATCTAGTTTCACAATTGCCGGTCCGGCATCATCTCTGGTTCGATTTAGTGGGCTTGTTCATGATATTGGAGTGGACAGAGGAGTGGATCAATCTCGCATCCCATTCGACAAAAGAAAGCCTGAAGTCGAGACGCAATTTCTCCCCATCAGCTCGCCTTTTCATACCCCCTATCTCGCGACGACCGCGCAGATTATCAAGAGTCGACTTTCCGATGAAGCTTTTAATTCAGAACAGCTTGCAATTCCTGTCTACAATACTCGAGACGGATCGAATATGGCGGCAGTAACTGCCGGGGAGAATCTCTTACCATTACTCATCGATGCTGTCACCATTCACCATGTTGATTGGCCGTCGGTGCTGAACGCTGCCAGCTACACACATGCATTGGTCTTCAGCAAGGGCCTTAGTGATATGGTTGCCAGCAACACCGATGGGAAAGGCGTGCAGGTCGTATCTGCTACAGAGCTGACAACCACCAATGCGCGCTTCGGATCTAAATCTAGTATCTTCAGCCTCAGTCTCTCTGAATCATTCCTCTACCCTCAAAGCTGGGAGAACCAATTTCGGCCGCGACTTTCAAGGTCCTCAAATGGATCTATCCAAATCGAGACCAAGATGAGCAAAGTATTGTGCGCACCACCGCTGATGGTAGCCGGAATGACCCCAACTACGGTGCCCTCCGACTTTGTTACAGCGATCATGAACGCAGGCTACCATGCGGAGCTTGCCGCCGGGGGTTATTTCAGTGCGGAAACCATGTCCAAGGCTATTGAAACTCTTTCGACTAATGTACAGCCTGGCATGGGTATTACCTGCAACTTGATATATGCCAGCCCGCAGTCCATGGCCTGGCAGATCGCTTTGGTTCGTCGCCTTGCTCGCAATCAACGACCCATAGACGGACTCACGATCGGAGCTGGAGTCCCTAGTCTAGACGTTGCAACAGAGTACATTACCTCCCTTGGTTTGAGGCATATTTCTTTCAAGCCTGGATCAGAAGATGCAATTGAAAAAGTCCTGGAAATCGCAAAGGCTCACCCGGATTTCCCCATCATAATTCAGTGGACCGGAGGCCGAGGTGGCGGTCACCATTCCTTCGAGGACTTCCATTCTCCAATTTTACGACTTTACGGAAAGATCCGTCGCTACCCAAATGTCATTCTCGTCGCCGGCAGTGGCTTTGGCGATGCTACTGGGTCTTACCCTTACCTAACAGGCTCCTGGTCGGTGGAATACGGTTATCCAGCAATGCCATTTGACGGAATCCTTTTGGGAAGCCGAGTAATGGTCGCTAAAGAAGCACATACCTCGCAAACAGTCAAGCAACTAATTTGCAATACTCCTGGAACTCACGAGAGCAACTGGACCAAGTCCTACAGTGGACCTATTGGAGGAATTGTGACGGTACAGTCTGAAATGGGACAACCGATTCACAAGATTGCGACGAGAGGCGTCCTTTTCTGGAAGGAAATGGATGACAAAATTTTCAGTCTTCCGCGAGCTAAACAACTAGATGCCATTAAGGTTCGCAAAGACTACATCATAGGGAAACTGAACAAGGACTTTGCAAAGCCATGGTTCTGCCGCAATTCGAACGGAGACAACGTTGAACTGTCGGACATGACGTACTTGGAAGTTCTCTCTCGTTTGATCAGCCTAATGTATCTTCCGACGAAGAGCCGATGGATTGATCCATCGTACCAAGTTCTAGTGCATGACGTCGCAGTTCGCATCTTAGAGCGCCTGGACGCCGATTGTGAGATTGATGACTCGTGCAAACCAGACCAACTTGAAAAACTCTTCCTCCAGAAATGTCCCCAATCAAAGACTTCAATAATCCACCCAGAAGATCTCTCGTGGTTTTTAGAGCGTTGCAGACGCCGAGGGCAGAAACCTGTTAATTTTGTCCCAGTGTTGGACGAGAATCTGGCTACCTGGATGAAGAAGGACTCATTATGGCAGTCGGAGAATATTGAAGCGGTCATTGACCAAGATCCCGGCCGAGTCTGCGTCTTACAAGGACCTGTTGCTGTCAAATTTTCGCAGCGAGTCGACGAACCTGTAGCTGATATCCTCAATGGTATCAAGAATTCCTGGATTGAGATGCTTACCGATGGGTTCTACAGAGACGAAGATGTTCCACTTCAACGTCCTACCTGGAAGCCCAATTTTCTACCCAGCATCCAGTTCAACATCGAAGTCATTGAGCATGATCACGCTGTCACGGTGCAAGCGATTCGAGGTAGGGCCCTTCCTACACGAAAGGAATTCCTTCATTATCTTGCCAGCAAAACCCATGGATGGATGAGGGCCATACTACTTAGTGATTTAGTGCTACAAGGCCAGGCTAAGCGGTCGAATTTTCTACGAGACTGTTTTCAACTTGACGAGGATAAAATAGTGGAAATCGACAAAATCAATGGGAAGATGCTTCTTAAGAAATCTATCGACGGCAGCAAGCATCAAAGGATGTTGGCCGAAATATCCAGTCCAGATGGCCTCTCCATTGCTGCTCAGATTTCACATTACAGCCCTGGTAGGGACACTCCTACTGTGCTTCATCTGAAGTTTCGTTATGATCCACAGAATTCTTTGTACCCACTCACCGAGGATATGCGAGATCGAAACATGCAGATAAAATCTTTCTACAGTCGCTTATGGCTCSGATCTGAGATAGAAAGCAGTTCCTTCGGTGGTGTCCATTCCACGTTTGGTGGTTATCGCACGGTGCTGTCCAAAGAGGTTCTCAGTGGTTGGATCTCGTCCGTTGGCTTATCACACTCCAATGATCGTCTTGTATCGCCGAACAGTGAGCTGTTCCCACTTAATGCAACCATCATACCGGCATGGGAGGCTTTAGTGCAACCTCTTATGGTCCCGGAGATTGACGGCGATCTCTTAAGATTGGTGCATTTATCGATCGAATTCGAGCTGTTTTCGGGATCTAAGCCATTGTGCGTTGGACAGACTGTGGAGATCAACTCCCATATCAAGTCCATTACAATTGACGATAAAGGCAAGACTATCGCAGTGCGTGCGGTTATTTCTCGAGACGGCCTTCCTACGGTGGCTATCATCTCCAAATTTTTGATTCAGGGCTCTTTCTCCAATTATAAGGACACCTTCCAGGACAATACGGAACCGGACATGATCTTAAGCGTATCGTCACCCATAGATGACACGATTCTCCGGACCAGACCTTGGTTTCAGCTAGATGATGAGACGATAGACCTAGTCGGCAAAACTCTTTGTTTCAGATTGAGCTCGTTCTGTACCTGGAAAGCGCAGAACGTGTTTGATGTCTTGCGGGTAACTGGTGATGTCTATGTCCAAGATCGTCGTGATAGGCTCCGAAGAATTGGCTCAGTCGATTTCGACGCGACCAATGCCTCCGGAAATCCTGTCGTTGATTTCTTGACTCGCAAAGGGAAGCCAGCGATTGAGCGACATGAACTTGAAAAGCCCGGGTGGAATGGCCCTTCAACTCGCACAATCAAAATGCCCTACGACAATGAGGTTTACTCCCGAGTCTCCAAGGACTGTAACCCGATCCATGTATCACCAATCTTCTCAAGTATCGCCAGTCTACCAGGGACTATTGTCCATGGTATGTACACTTCGGCTGTGACCAGCGCGATTTTAGACCATGTCGTCAATGATTTCAATCACCTCCGCACACGACGTTACACAGTCTCATTTGTCGATATGGTGCTCCCAGGGGAAGAAGTAGAGCTTAAGTGTTCTCACGTTGCAATGCTTCAGGGACGATTGATCCTCCGGATCCAAGCCTTTAAGGCTGGCACAGGGGACAAGGTCTTGGAAGGAGAGGCAGAGCTAGAGCAGGTACCGACAGCGTATGTATTTACGGGCCAAGGTAGTCAAGCACCTGGAATGGGTATGGAACTTTACAGGTCCAGTCCCGTGGCGAAGAAGATATGGGATGACATTGATCAATACCTGTTGGAGAATTATGGTCAGTTCAGTCGCTAATCTTTATTGCAGTTTATTTCGTTGGTGCTAATGAGAAGTCTAGGATGGTCTATTCTCAAGATGGTCCAAGAGAATCCGAAACGGCTCACCATATACTTCTCTGGAAAGAGAGGACGCGCAATTCGCGATCGATACCTATCCATGACTATATCCTCCATTGGACCAGATGGGCGAATTATCAGCACGCCGTTACTGAAAGGTATCACTCCCAACACGCGATCTTTCACCTTTGAAGACTCCAAGGGCCTTCTCTACGCTACGCAATTCGCACAGCCAGCCATCGCTGTCCTCGAAAAGGCAACTTTTGAAGATATGCGAGCAAATGGCTTGATTCAGGAGGGTGCCTTATTTGCCGGTCACTCGCTGGGTGAATTTGGCGCTCTCGCATGTCAAGTCGAATTTCTCCCGTTCCAACAACAGATTGATATCGCATTCTATCGTGGATTGACCATGCACAACGCCGTCAAACGCGATAGCACGGGTGCGACTGATTTTTCAATGGTTGCTGTCAATCCTGGTAGAGTAAAGAAGCGTAAGTCTCTTCCCCTATAAGTCACCAATTACAAATCAGGTTTCAGAAGACTAAACAATTGTTGTCTCTAGCATCCTTTGACGAGGTGGCTTTACGCCGACTCGTTGATATTATCGCTACCGAAAGCGGGAAACTACTTGAGATAGTCAATTTCAATGTCGAGGGTGAACAGTATGTCTGTGCTGGCCACGTGAGTTAACCCCCCATGTTTTGATAATAAGACCTGGTTGAGCTCATCCTTCAAAGAATGCAAATCTTTATGCCCTAGCCCAGATTCTCAACGAAGTCTCGCGCATGCCAACAGAGCAGGTAGCAATCTGGTCGCGTGAAAATGTTTCTGTCCGAGGTAGCCAACAACAAAATGAAACATATAGCCCACAAACCGCCGCCATAAACACTTTGATCAAAGACGCAATTCAATCTGCTCACGCACTGCCGAAACCAATCATACTTTCTCGGGGTCAAGCCACCATTCCACTGCAGGGTATTGACGTTCCCTTTCACTCCGCGCAACTCCGATCTGGAGTCGCTGCTTGGCGCAAGTTTCTTCTGAGTCGCATTCAGCCTGAAGACATCCAGCCGAATGACTTGCTCGACCGATTCGTGCCAAATGTCATGGGTCGCCCGTTTTCATTAGATCGAGAATATATTGCGGAGGCAATGCGGGTGATGGGAAGTGAGACACTGCAGGCGGTGTTGAATGAAGGTGTTGTTCACTGATAGTACTGATATCCTTCCTTGGAGGCTGTATCTTTTTTCTTTGACATATTTATGCTTAGAATATATATTGGCGTAATTCGCTTTGCTTAGAAATAAATCTATGATCATTATAAGAGTAAGAATGTCTCGTAGAGCTACAAAGATAGCAAATGATGTAAAACAGCAGAACACAGGTTCCCAGAGCAATAGCTATACCATTCAATACAGTACATTGTTTGCTAAACTATCTATGGTCACTCTCTCCAAGTTCATCTTGTAAATCCCTCGTAACATTTAATAGCTATGTTAAAAACTCTTCTTAAAGGGCTTGCTTTAGGGGTTGCTCGATTTAACAATGCACCACGCACGTATAACTCTAGGAACAGCTATAGATATCTTCTTATGATTGGGACTTGTTGAATTCTATGTCATCCCCTTCATTAGCGATGAAAACGCTTGCTCCGATACGGATTGAGATAAGTAAGATTTGGAATGATGTTCTAGACACAAAATCTACAATTTCTATCATAAAAATAACTTGTATGTGTATATGTAAAACGCCTTATCAATGTGCCCAAAAGTTTACCCGTCTATCCACGCCGTCTGTCACTGCGCCTCCTGTATCGTCGTCCTTGTTGTGGTCATACGTGTATTCGTCGATTCGAAATAGTCTAGCGTACTTCTTTCTGAGCAATTTGTAATAACCAGTTCGAAATATCATCAGACATATAATGATTTGGTATATCATGGTCTTCGTGCTGCAGGAAATTGTCGCAGTCGAGAAAGTTGGTGATGGAATTTGTGTTGCATAGATCTGCCGGAGGGTCGTCTGAGTAAGTGTAGAACATCATGGGAGTGGTTGCTGCTATTGTCGCTCCTGTAGTTGTTGGGAATTGCGTTATAGGATAGTTTGGCGTTGCTGCTGTGCCTAAGGACAAAGCGGGAATGGAATCAGTGACTAGGGAGAGCTCTTCAGTGCTGCTACTTCCAGACTGAATATTCGATGCGCTGGAGAGCCCGGGGGGTTCATTGTGCTGATGGTGTAGTCGTTGTTGTTGTCGTTGCTGCTGCGGCTGCTGATTTATGATATAAGGATGATGACCTAGGTTGTTCAAGTCTTCGGTAGTTGATATTGCACCAGAATTGTTCCTATCTTGTAGGCCCGTTGAATAATCCTTCTCAACCGGAAAGTCAGACAGATTTGAATAATCCGCTTGACCACTGTCTACCAATGATAGCTTCATTTTCTTCGGAAGTGACTGATTGGGTAGCGAGGATGAAGGCAAACCTTCTGAGAACCTTTTCCGTGATAAACCCGGATGATGTAGTTCGGATGAGGGAGGGGTAGCTGATACTTCGAAGAGAATTCTCCGACAGGCTTTTGCAATTTCCAAACACCATGAGATACCCATAAATGTTTTACCAGTGCTGCAAATTGTGATATTCGGGTCAACCAGAATCTTATAGGCATCGCGTACACCCTCCATAAGATCTAAATCTTCAAGCATATGGATACTCGGGTTCTCGAAGAATCGCATGCAAATTGAATGACCGGCAATCAGAGGGTAACTGCGGAGTATCCTATAGATTCTTAAAAACAGAACAAAAGAGCTAGAGAGATATTGTGTGGTCTTAGAACTTACCTGCACAGTAAAGCCAATGAACCTTCTGTTGGTGTTTGATTGACCACTCTGTTGATGATCTTCAATGCAGCCCTAGCATTTTCCAATTCAATTTCTTTGCTGTTGGCCGTATCCGACCGGCTGTGAATCAACACCTGGGCAATGTGATAAGCGTATTCCAGCTCAATTTGCCAATTATCCTCAACGAGTCGATTGACATTGCTACTGTCGCTATCATGATCGGTTAAATTCGCAGGAAAGAGTTGCAAGGTGCGTGAATGCCATTTTTGAGCCAACTTGTCAAGCCGCGCAATTTGGCTCTCACGATACGAAGAACCCTTACGCGCCGCCCGCGCTGAATAGAGAGATATGTATGTTTCCTCCCAGATGGTGGTAATATATATATGCATCATCCAACTTTGCTGGCCCAGACTGATTGTTCCACCCTCAGGAGCCAAGGGCAGGTCCGAGTGGTAAAAGTAAAGATCGAAAGGCAGGCCATTGACGCTGGTACGTTGTTTGTCCATGACGAAAAGCGTCCAATACAGTGTCCTCCACTCTTCAAAGTTAGGGTGATCTACTTTTGACATCGGGGATTGTTCAGAATCCATGGCCTTAAAAAGATCACAGGCCATATGGCAGATCATGTCAAAGACGCAGCTTTCGTGATATTCTCGGGCGACCAATGCCTGTAGCAAATAATTTCTTAGTCTTCTATCTAATCATCACGGAGGAAGGCTTACCAAAGTAGCTAAGGCTTGTAAATTGACATGACGGGGTTGAAGGAAGAACTTCAAATGTTGCAACGCCCTGAATGAATTAGCCAGGAAAGCAGGGAGTAATTCCTCATTCATTCCCTTGGAATACGATTTATCCAGTCGAGCCAATCGAGCCCGTAATCCCGAAGATAGCACGATAATATTGTTGAAACACAAATTATATGCCTCATCGGTTTTGGAGTCCGGACCGGAACTATACTGCTCCTTGATTGCTTCGCGTAAGCGCGACTCGTTAAAGATGGGCGTCACGGCGTTAAATTTGTCGAGGAACAATTGCAAGGATGTGTCAAGGATTGATTGCGGTGGTAGGGACACAAATTGCCCGCCAGGAAGCAGACTCACTGCGCTCGCATCATCAAAGGTGGGGAACGTGTCGTATATTGTCTTCAATTCGGAAAGGGCCGATGGAGGAGCATTTGATAACATTGGGCAGGTTGAGACATTGTTAGTATCACCAGACGTCGAGTCCGGCGATGGTTTGCGGGATCGATTGCCCTGTAAAAGGTTATGGACCGCCTGTCGCACTTTCTCGAGGAGGGCACGATTGCCAATAGAAGTTCCCGATATCGTCTGGGGTTCTTGTTCCGGTCCAGATTTGTGGAGCTCAGCATGGCGACTCCAATAGTCCTGCCCGTCTAAGGCGCTCGAGAAAATCAAGTCTATATCATCTGCATCGTTACACAGAGCTTCTGGGGTCGACGGCGAGCTCTCCGACCTCAATCGCGGATTTGACGCATCCGAGGAACTTCTTTGAGGAGTGGGAATCTGTCCGACAAGACTGAGGATCGTGCTGTCGATTGAGTCTAGCCGAGCTGCAAGACCTGAAACCGCTTCGACCCTGCATTACGACCCTTGCTGTTAGTTCAATCACAGCTTCTTACTTTTTAGTCCAAGCAAGTCAAGCATACAATTGTTTCACCGGATTGACGCGCTTTCCACGAGTTGGAAATTCGCACAGTACACCAGCTTTTTCGCAACTAGAGCATTGAGGCAGTTGTCTGTCGCACCGAACCTTACGATTGCGACACTGATCACATGCAGACGGGGCTGGAGGATCGTCAGACTCGTGGGATCTCATTCCCCCGCTTTGATTATTGTTTTGCTGTAGACCCATAGCCTTATAGGATCGACAAGAGTAGCGGAACCTCGAATCAAAGGAGGAAAAACTTAAAAGATCTCCAATCTTTTTCTACAGCTACATGTTGTGCGACAATGGTAGTTATATTCCAATCGGTTGCTAATAATTACTTACCTGGAACATTCTCTAATCCTTCCAACAGCCCTGGTACGCCTTTTACTTACTATGATGGGCTGATTGTTGGGACCGAGTCAAGGATCAGGACCAACTGTGCGCCTCTTTTGCTAACTATTCCATTAGTGATAAGAAGTAGCCATAGTGCTGACGGTATCGTTCAGCTTCATGTCAGAACCAACACTTCGAAGCTTCTTCGGGGAAAGTTCTTCAGAGCGCGCCATGTTGTTTTCAGACCCTGGAATCCCTTGGCTGCAAGATAGGCTTTTTTAGTGGTAATTTTGTATCTGCAATAGTTCGTAATTTTGGCGTAAATTCGTAGTGCACCACGTGTAGGAAGTACGAGATACTCATGACACTAGCCCTAACGAATTGATTCCTTTTTATGGTAATCTGGATGTTGAAAAACCGCGTTACGGACAGCATTTGCCTATTGTAGAGCTCAAAGGTTGAAATCCAACTTTGAATCATAGACGATACGGTATTAGGCGGAAATTAGCCTGGTCTTAGTACGAAAGAATTCACCGAGTACTTCGTATCTTTTCCAGCCCCATTGCGATTTAGCGAATTTACGAATGTGTCAAGCAATGATCGTAATAATTGGCAAATCGAAAGCCATAATTTCATACCATGACATACGCCCTAAGTACCCTGAGGAATTGGAGGCTCAACGACAATTTTGAACTGGTATACTCCTTAAAATCGTAATTCACGTCCTCTAGTAACTGAAGACCAAAATTACCATTAGGATTTGGAGGGCACAGGAGCTTCTGATTAGACTTGTTATTAAACGCCAGTAATGCGCACTCTATTTGGTCATATTCTTGATGGTGAAAGAGATATTGTATTTTCTATATTTGACACCTGTAGTAAACTGGGATTCTTTGAGTGTACAGTTAGCACACGTAGTATGAGGTGGTAAATGTGTTCTGTTATTGGCGGAGTACCGAAATCAAGATTGAAGGAGAACGTGGCCTGAGCAGCCAGTGAAATCTAGGAATCTTGAAAATCCAACTAGAAAGAGAATTACCATAACGTTCATAGTGTGTCAGCCACACAATATGTTGGACTAATCAAAGTCGCGCAGTGACCATCTGTCTATACGAAGCTAAATTAACTGTTAGACTAGCCTGACTCAGACTGATGGGCCTAAAAGGAAGCTAGCCCAACCGTATACTATGTACAAGGAGCTGTTCAGGAAATAAACTTTGTGGAAACTCCTGTTCCATTCGTAGAAGAGATGGCTGACAACTTCAAAGTCATACCTTATTCCTGATGCTAGATCTCGTATGACTCTCATTCCCTTGTTTAAAATGACCAGCCTAGTTCACGTCTTTCCCGTTATAACCAGCCAATTGCATGGCGTATGCATAGCTGACATGCCAAATACGAAGAGAGCTAAGAAGGGCATAGTTTACGCTGTCATACAAGTTAGTAAGTTGATATCTCCTCTGCTAAGTCTCCACAACTGTAAATCAGATCCACACCTCTTCAAAGCTTATTTACGTATTGTATGTACCTTGAACCACGTAGTCACTAGCTGATTCAGCTACAATTGCGGTATGTGCTGTACTCCGGAGGTTTTACCTTATCTTAGTACTGTAACTAAGTGTCCCAGCCACTCATGCGAACTCTTGCATTAATACATGCGGAGCATCGCGCAATCATACGACTTTTTCTCGTGGTGAAACTGCCTTGTTCCTGAATGTAAATAGCCCCAGATCTCGACTGCGCTCAGACACTTAAGGCCGGCCCAATGCCGACATGGCTTGATGCTTCATGTAGGTATGCAAAAGAACTTGCAAGCGTTTCGGGTACGAAGCAAATGCTATTATCCCTTGAGTCACGATTCTGTGACAGTTGGATACAGGCAATCACAGAATGAAGAGAGATAATACGGATTTAAAGCTACATTCTGCTCTCTAGAATATCGCAATTGACCTTGACACGCATCGGCACTGGGTTCGATGTCTCTCCCGATTTCATTGGCTCGGAGATTTACTTCTAGGTGGTCCTTTATTGCTATCGTAGCCTAAATACCTAGTACATTTTATCTGACCCCTCACATTGGTATTGATTAATTGATAGGCGATAACGACTAGAGTCGATAGTGGGGCGTTCAGCCTTGAAAAGAGTCACATCTCTCAACCATGGATGGCTGACCAATGTTAAAATAACTATTACAAACGATTATTCCTGACCTTGCTGGTACGTACAAAATTAAGTCCATAAGAAAAGAGTTTACTGAGGATCAGTTGACGGTGCTCCTTAATTTGGGCCGGCATGAACTCGGGAAAAAAGCTTGCTCCCGCTGGCTGAGATAGACGAGTCTAGTGAGCACGTTGCAAGGTGAACAAAAAACCTCTGGGGCTAGATCTTCGAATGTTGGTAGCTATGATATCCGTTTTTGGTAGTCCGCAACGTGGCGTCCATAGCTTAAAGCGTTGATTGGCGTCTTTTGTGGCACAATCCAACCTTCTTTTCCCTTGCATTAATTTACGACAAAGCCACTCTCATGCTTGATTATCCCTGGCTATTTGAGCCGATGTCTCAAGGGATATAGACCCAGACTCCGGAGGTTCTGCAGCTCCACCCTGTCAACAGAACACATGGACGAGAACCATAACACAGACCCATAACCATGCACTGGGATCATAATCCTTTCTTCATAATCAGCTTTTTGATACCTTGGTCCAGAGCTAGTACTGCCGCTACTAGTACCAAGAGATATCAAAGCGCCATCTATGCCAACTAGAAGAAAGTAGGCTGTTCTCATCTCCAAACAGTACCCAAAATGAGAGAACTATTGTCTACTTTTCTCTGGTATGGTATGTCTCGTATTGCTCGGAGCTCCCGGAGCTCGGCACAGAACACCTGTTTGCTGATAGATTGTTTCATTTTGCCCCCAATAACATCTTAATAATAGGCTGTGTCCTTTCAACCTAATAATATCCGTCGAAAGGACACAGGAAATGTTATGGAGATGTCCATAGCGGGACCTCATATCGTGGTGTTTCCTCTCCGATCCCGGCTTTCAATCGCGTTTTCGACTGGAATTGTACAAGAAACCCCTGTTGCCGTAGCGCTTGATTGATGGAAAGGATAGCTGATCGTAGCAATTATAGCATAAGATGCTGAAGATAAGTGCAAACCTCTTAAAAGCTTTATTCCTTGATAAATTAATGTACATAATTTTGATGAGAGCAATATTTACGAATTAACAGTCATAGAATAGATTTAGGTAGGGAAGGATATAAAGGGTCCTTATAGAAGTCTAAAAAAACCTAAAGCTATTTTTCTAATTGAAGGTCAACACAAACACAAAGAAAAAAACATTCTCCCAATTTCCGACACGGAACTAATCTCATCTCAAAAATCCTTCAAACACTCGAATTATTTATCCGCGGTCTGCAAACTCATTCGAGTGTTGAACAGCCTCCGATGGTGTTGAGGGTGCCTTCGTTTCCAATTCTCTCTCGGTTTCGGTCTCAGCGTCATATTGATTTTTCTTTGAGTGGAAGAAATTGAAGTCTGCATCAGCCCAAGTCCCTTTGAAGGCGACACCGGGATGAAGAGCAGTCAAGCACAATGATGCTATCGCAATCATTGCGCCCTCGAGGACCATGAAAGTAGCCTGGTTGTTGGCGAGAGATCCGTGGAAACCACCAGACAATTCGGCCACACGAAAGGCGGAGCGGATTAAAATCGTCAAAGTAGCAAGAGCAAGACCGCCGAGGAAGAATGTAAAGATAGAACTTTCAAAAACCTCTTTGCGGGTTGTATCCCACTGAAAAGGGCTGCGCCAAACACGATACGCAAAGTCGCCGCAAAGAACTATGAAAAGCACCAGAGAAAAGACCTGGAAGGAGAGACCACCGATCATGATATGAATACCCAATTGAGTCTATTCACACAGGTCCTGGAATTAGCTTGTTTCGTTGATTGGAATAATGTATTCAAGGCACTTACGGTGGTATAGTCTGTGGCGATTGATGCAATGGCACCGCCAATCGCCTGCAGAAGGAGAGAGATAAAGTCGCAGGTACAGAAGACAATAGTGTAGAACCGGGGCTTGAAGCGACTCAGATTCTCACCATATACCACAATGATGCGAGCGAGGCAAAGATAGATGCAGGCAGAAAGAAAGGCCGGGGCGATTGTCAGGCACACAAGATAAATCAGAAAATTGTTCTTGTCGAACGGACTCTGGTTGATCATAATTCGGCCTGCATATCCAACGATCTCCAGGGCCAAACCGAATATAGCCGCAACAAGGAAACCCCAGGTCTTGTACCTAATACCAAGACCGAATTGTACCAGAGCACACACGCCGAATAGAGCGGCCAGGAAGGCATTCGCGCCCAGATTCGGGATATAGTCAAAGTGTGCCAGGGTGAGATCGCAGGTTGATAGAGTGCAGAGAATATCGTTGTTCAAGCACAAGGTAACGTTTCCGTAGCATTGCCCATCATGTTCAGAAGTTAGGTTCGTGCCAGGCCAGAAAGGTGTCATGACACCTGCCTCGCTGAGATCGATAGACATGGTGATTCGTAAGCTATAATTCAAGAGATTCCAGGTAGTAAATGAAGCTTGAAAGAATGCTTTGAGTAGTCTTGAACTGTCAATTGGTTCGTCGACAACACTTTAGATCATGAAATGTGCAATATTGGCGACTTTCAGATCTATATATGTCACAATTGATGCAGTCCCTATTACAGAGAGTATTATTTGACAAACTACTAGGCAGCCGAATTGTTCAAGGTTAAAGAAGAAATAGAAATGAAGTTTTACTCATGCGGACTTCGGATGACCTGGCCGAGCTTGGTGACGCGTCACGATAAGACAATACGAAGGAATATGTCTTCCTTAATATTACAGTTCGATCATTCGATCGTTTACATCCAATCAAAGATCAAAATTCTGATCTCCAACCTTTGCATTGGAAACACAGCCCTGTATCGCGAAGAATACAAAGGCTGAATCGGAAGCGCCTAACTAAAACGACTTAGTTTACGCGCTTTACTGATACATACTACTCTAAACGTACGTACAGGTATAGAAGATTCTCGCTAACCATTTCGAGCCTGCAAGACAATATCCTATCTAGGTATAACTTACGCTAACGAGATTTACGAACAACAAAGAATCCGATGTGGGTAACTTTGCACAAAGAACCTTATTCAATGGGGCTGGATGATCTGTTTTAGATACCTACGCTAACCTAACGCATGAGACGGGTCACGGAAGGCTGAGGCTGACTGTTACATCTTAAATAGGGATAGTTTACGCGCTTCTGAATATGATTGAGAATCTGTCCATTTGAGGGATAAATCACGCGAATTGGATTGCGACCCTGACGAACAAGAGTGCGGCCGGTCTGCTGTCTACTATCGGCGGAGTGAGAGTTTTGGTAGAAATTTGATTTCATATCTAGTGAAATCCTACCTAGGACCTACATGTAATAATCAAAGCCTTCCGTCGCCTACTTAGGTATCGAGCGATGATTCATGGAAGACACCCAAGATCTGGATATCCAAAATATTCCATTCAAGTTTCACCAAGACTATCGAATGATACTGAAGATCATTCAGAAATCGACTGAATAAGGCTTTCTGAAATGGCTTCCCAGCGGTTAATCATCTCATATGTTTTGGATTGGGTTATTCTCATGTAAGCAGAAATGTTGATGCCAATTGAACGGATCTTTAACGAATTTTTTATATTGCAGAGTATTTGTTGCTATTGCCGGCAGCTTCTCCGCCGTTAGTCCGTCCAAACGACCGTTCAGCTTGTCGGATCCGTCAATATCGCTTCCGTATAAAAAGGATACAATTTCAATCGCGCTTGCAGCAGTTGTGTGCGGTGTTATCCCAGCAGCAATCATTGCCTTGGTATGTTGCTCAATAGCTGTTTGGGCAGTACGACGTGTAGACGCGCGCCAGCGTGGTCAAGTTCTGAGGCGTGAGCTGTGGGAATGGCTAACAGGTTGGCTGGGCCTCGGATTCTCCTTTGTCACGGCTTTTTTCTTTGCTCAGGCTGTCAAGAACCTGGTTGGAAAACCTCGACCGGACTTTCTGGCTCGGTGCAATCCAGACTCGGCCAATGAATCTCACTTTTCTTTGGAGCAATATGATCCTGCAGGTTCAGTCCTAGTTGATTGGCAGATCTGTCAGGCCAAAGATGGCAGTGGTGTTGGCATCTCAGAATTCAATGATGGCTTTCGCAGTTTTCCCAGCGGTCATACCTGCAGCAAGTTTCCCTTCCCCAGAAGCTAAATAGCTAGGGAGTTATGTGATAGATGCTAACCCTTCAACTTTCGTGCTAGTTGCCTTCGCAGGTCTTCTTTACCTAAGTCTTTGGATAGCGATGAAACTCTCAGTGGGAATTCCGATCCTCTATACTGATAGGACTCTACATACTTCCAAAGATCCTTCACTTCAGCGCAGAGGCATACATGATGAAGCATCTTCACTGCGTCGACAGAATGCCGCTCCTCCTCTTTATCTACTTACTCTCGTTCTCATTCCATTTGCCGTCGCTATATACATTTCGACGACGCGATATCAGGATGGAAAACACCACGGTTTCGACGTGATTTTCAGCGCAATCATAGGGACAATCTCTGGATACTTCGGATTCAGGTTGTATCACTTACCACTGGGTCAGAGTGCTGGGCGATCATGGGGCCCGCGGGGTCAAGACCGAGCTTTTGGAATCAAAATAGGGGTTTTGAGCTATGCAGAACCCGTGGAGGACGGCATGCGTAGGGATGACATCGAAATTGGAAACGTCAGTCTCTAGGTCAATATCAAAGAAGATTCGACAAGGAAGTAAACTCCCACAGAAGAAAGAGAGATGGAGTTTAGCATGATACGCCTGTGGGTGAATGGGATTATTTCTCTAGGCATATCGCATCTATGTTGACCTTGCAGCATAGTGCTTCACATTTTGTATAATAACTGGTCATAGCAATTACATTCTTAAATAATTAATAATTAAATTCATTCGACTGCTAACTCCTACTAAACGCAAGATTTTATATCAGATGTTAAGGGATTCACAAACATGTTTGAGTTTATTCGAGTTGGGGTTAGTAGGAGCAACCCAGAATGAAAGTATAACATGCCCAGGACTCATATTTTGCCTCATGACGTCTCTTTTCCTAAATTTGGAGAGTGTTACAAAAGACGCTGCAGCACATCAATATCGTCCCCGCTTCTTCTAGCACTCAATTTACAGTCGTACATCACGCAAGTCGTCCCAAGTACGCGCGTATCAATGCCGATGCCCATTTCTGTACACATGTCTCAGGCGACTCACCTGGAGAGATCAGTAGATTATCGTGAGAACGCTGTTGCCTGGGATGGCAGAGACTCGATGGAGTGAGTCCGCATCGAAACTCAATCAAAAGATCGTGACCGTGGGGTGGTTATCTTTTGCGTACATTATACCGTTCCGGGAAACCCCTAATCTGGTGGCTTGGAAACAAGCCTTTTCATTAAAGCTTGTGCACAAATTGTTCCAATAAATGAAATAAAAAAGGACGAACCAAATACCACAAAAATTACCATACTGTTTAGTCTTGTAATAAAACACTCGTAGAACAGAACAAACAAAAAAGAAGAGTAGGCTGTACCTCGTTTACAAGCCTCTCGCAGCGAGAAAACCGAAGACCTTGACAACTTTCACAGTGGACTTGACCCCCTTCCATATACCGTTCTCACACGCATTCAACATTCTATCCCACGCATGTTGGAGTTTGCTCCACGTCTTGCCCGCTTTGTTACTGGCAGTGCTCTCTGGAAACAGCCCTAGATTTCCCCACCCTCCAAGTCTTTCAACGCGCCCCTCTAGTTGCAAGAAATCAATCAATGACAGCCACTTATCGTCGACCACTGTGGTGTCTTCACCCCCTGTCTTAATGCTTCTCATCTCCATTGGCGCATCAATAATCACCTCCAAAAGGCGTCCGTTTCCTTCCTTATCAAAGAAGTCCCGAACTCCTTCAACATGGGCCCTGTATGCGTCCAGGTATTTTCTTATACATTCCTCTCCACGGACTTTCTTGCACCCAAATATCCGTTTATTGGCCTTCCATTTATGACGATGGGTGTGCTTGTCGATGCTCTCCAGCCATGCGCTCTCGTTCGCACGTAAAGTTAGAATGAACTTCGCATCTGGAAACGCGGTCGCAAGTTCTTTGTAAGCGATTGCCCAAGGAATGTCTTCTAGTATGTCGTATTCTTGCGCATAGGAGATAAGAGGCGCTGTGTAGTTGGCCGAGAACATATAATATAGATACCGGGAATAAAAATCCTTCAATTCTGGTCGCCGAAAGGAGAATTTCTCGAGGGCATCTCCGACCGATTTGGTTCCTGTTTGAGGGAGGCCGACAACAAACACCTTTGGGCTGTTGATGATGGTTTGATGTATTGGAGACGCAAGAGCGACTGCAAGAGCAAGCAGGATGACAAGCACTGAATTAATGGAGAGGGGAGAGGAAAAGACATTATACGCCATTGTGAGACTAATCAGTTGATAGTTGATTTATAGAGAATGAAGGATGGAAGATAGAAAGACGATCAGTTGAAGGAACCGAGTTGCCAAGGATAGGAAGATGGCTGGATCTGAGTAGATATATGATACCCTCCTTGTACATTCATCTGTCTTATCATCTGTACTTGCCCACTTGAGTCAAAAAGGAAACAACTCGCAGAGGCTAACTCTGCCTAGGTAGTGTGCATGGCCCAAATGACTCGTATTACTCGTAATTTCGAGTACTGTATTCGTAAACGTAATGTAATAATCTATTTCATCCTTTTATTGTCCCTCCTCCCTATCTCTAGTTGTAGAGATTGGTATAAAATCCCAATCTTTTACTTATTCATTCTATTTTCTCCTTTCTTCGATGTGTTTGTCTCTACTCCACTGCATATATCTAGCATTGGCGGCGCTCTTTTGTACTATTTTGTCTCATCACCATGTTTCTTCAATGGATGTCACGATGTTTCTCAGGCTTCAGTATAATCGCCCTTATGCTGCTTCTCGGAGCTGCATTCCCCACCATTATACATTCTCCGTGGTGGGTAAGCGACTTGACTATACAGCAGTCAGCTCCGGGTTCCCCTCAAGGCAAGCATGAGCGCATGAGATTTGCCCAGAAAGTCTTTGTCGTTTACTTGATTCTTGTTCATCTCAACATGCTTGCATTCACAGTGCGTCTTTGTTTCTCCTTAATCAGTCTCTGGCGCCAGGCAACTATGCCCTTGCAACAAGCCCGTTTTCATGGCAATGACAAAAGGCAAGACACTGGACTCATCTTGGATTCTACTTATGCAAATAGCATATCTCCTGGCTCGTTGGATAATAGCTTCTCTGCGCCCTCATCCCCACGGCCAATGCCCAAGTATGCCGATGTTGGTATCTACTCACTCGAAGACCAATATCTCACTCCTGCTCCCCCGAACAACGAGCTCATACATGCCATTATTGTGCCAAATTATCATGAAGATTTGCATACTTTATTTACCACACTGAGCGTTTTGGCTAGTCACGCACGTGCATCTTCTCAGTACGAGGTAAGACTGGATTTCCCTACAGTTCCGCGTTTGCATGTCGAATAATTGACTCGTTGTTCGTTCGTTCCTGTGTTTAGATCTTTCTCGCCATGGAAGAGAAGGAGAATGAGGCGGTAGAAAAGGCGAAAACGCTGATCTCCAGTTTTGGCAATTCATTCTATGCCATTCACGCCACATTTCACCCTGTAGGTTTGCCAGGGGAAATAGCCGGTAAAAGCTCCAATGTCGCCTACGCTGCACGCGAGATAACAAACTTGCATCGTCATGAGTTATCTGAAGACAATTGCAAAGTAGTCATAACAGTCATGGACGGTATGTTGTTCCATTTAACCTTTATACCAACGCTGATCTAACATTTCATTTAAGCCGACACACATTTATTACAGGAGTACTTCCTCGAAGTCCGACGCCTCCATTATGAACACATCGATACCGCAGATCGCCAATTATACAGCTGTCCAATTCTGTTTGATCGAAACTCCTCCGAGACGCCAGTCCTCGTTCGCTGTGCCGATATAATGTGGGCGTTTGCCGGGATATCGACAATGTACCCAGGCTCGCCTGTGTCAATTCCTACTTCGGTCTACTCTCTGCCTATCCAACTTGCCAATCAAGTAGGTGGCTGGGACAGTGATCCGACTGCGATTGGCGAGGATATGCACATGATGTTGAAATGCTATTTCAAAACTGGTGGCTCTGTCATCACGCGCGCTGTGCATGTCCCTGCATCACAATGCAATGTCTCAAGCGACTGCCCCATTAAGGGCTGGCGGCGCACATTAGACACCTGTAGCAATCGCTACAAGCAGGCGCTACGCCATATGTGGGGAGCTCTTGACACCGGATATGCTCTCCGCAATAGCATGCCTTTTGCCAACATCAAGTCGAAGAGGACGCAATTATGGGCGTTTCCGAATATGCTTCAACCCCTGGCGCTGGTTCACTTGCTATGGGAGGCTCATTTCCTACCATGCCATTTAACAGTGCTGCTCATCTTTTCCGTTATATACACCGCCTTCAGTCCTCCGGAGACCTTGCATCCCACCTTAGTCAGGGCTTTTTCTCTCGCCAATCTCATCCGTACATTATCCTTCATCGGTATGAATATCAATCTCACCATATATGATCAGTGGCACCAAACCTGGCTCTGCGCCCGCCGGCGTGACATGGCGGAATCCAACCTGAAAGACTGCGGCTTCTCGTCGCGGACCTGGTGGCACGTCGCCCAATTGAAAGAACGCATATGTTTTCCTGTTTCGGGCATCATCTTTGGTGCTTTAGCGATGGGCCACGCTGTTTTTTCGCACTTTTGGACAGATCGTCTAGTTTACCGTGTTAGCAAAAAGCCAACTTTTGCCAACCCGGATCACTATTCTTTGGCTTGACCAGAAATATTCAGATGTAAAGGACACTCCCAACAAACCTTCAATCCCTACCGGAATTGACTTTTCTCTATCATATTTTTCTTTGGGCTTGATTCCTCGTCTATGGGATGCAGTGGATGAGGTAATATTCCATTGGGTGATGTTCCTTGTGTACCCTGGTCCTTGACATCAAACATTCAACCACATTTCTCGCATGTAGTGTCATGAGTCTTCAACGTGTACAATATCATTTAATATATCCTAATAATAACATCACCGACGACATGAGTATGTATTTGTTTCTCCAACAATCAATTCCCCTAATATACAAAATATACAAATCCCAGGCAACTTCGTCCGATAATTGCCGAACCGATAATTCTTCTCTCTCGAATTTCATGTATGAGTGCGGCCGGAATTACTCTGATAGAAGGCCAGGGCATCATTCGGCATTAAAATCACGGGGAGAGAACCGTTCTGGTTTCAGCATTAGCCTAGCAATAACTTGCAGAATCCCTATGAATGAGTTTGAAATACCTCGCAGATTCATGGGTTAGGTTTATCGACGCCGGCGCAGCCTCCAGATAAGTAGACTTCCACGAATCTCCTCCCAAAAGAACACCACCTGATGAAGCAAGAGACTCGTCCTCCGCATTTGAATCAAATTGTCTTTCTTTGCCCGCTGTAAATCTTTCGATTGCTTGGATCAAGGAGCTTCAGGACCGCCAAATAAAAAGATGAATATGAAGGCCTTTGTTTCAAAATCCATAAATTGGGAACTACCAGAATAGAATTTTGCAGGCAGAGAGATTATTACGGCGACTGAAGCACTTAAAATCCGATTCATCTATTTACAGGTGGAGTCGATCGAGACAAACGATGCATTAGAAAACGAACCAAGTCCAATGTAGCTAGTAAGTTCTTTGCAGTTGGTCTGGTTCATGACCGTTTTCGAGGGTCTTGCAATACTTGCAGCTCAAGTATACGCTAGAAATCGGGTCTCGCTGTAATTTTGCATTGATTCCGAATTCGGTATGGATTACGCTGTCGTCCATCGCCGAACTACTCGTTAGGAAGTCCATACGTAGCATACAATTGTTTATAAACAAGAATGAAAAGACTGAGTACATATTGACAAAGAAACGCTCGCTAATCAATCTTCCTGTCACTATGTCGTGCTGCTTAGACTAGGTTCCGATACCATCTACTCTATAGTGGTGACGAAGTTGTGAATCAGCTTGCATAAAGCAATCAATATTGAAGATTGACCGAATAAACATTTATTTTATTAATTCTCATTCATTTCAGTCATAGCCGGTCTCAAGAATGGCGTCCATTGACCGTCGAGGAGAGAAACCACATGATAGAAAATCTGTTCACTCCATCCTCTCATCCACCAGTGATTACGACTAACTTTGTGAACCAACACACAATACTGAGCCAGTATGAGTAGCGCTAGTGGATGTCTCGTCTTCAAACACATAATGAAAGCCGGGGTAATCGCCTTTGCCCATCTCAATATCGAAAACCAACTCATCGGCCTCAAGAGCGCAAAGTAGTAGGAAACACCCAGTTCCCAGATGGATCTTGAGAATAGCGTCTGTTCTTCGGGGTCTGTTATCATATTCTGGACTATTTTTTCGAGGTATACCAAGCTGGCTTTTGCTTCCGCCACGAGAGTGTCTGCAAATTGTTGTCTTCCGTGGCCGATGAGCTCTCTGATCATAGGCTCGGTGCGGACCAGTCTCGCGTCGCGCCACAAGTTCAGAATGTTACGAACGACGGTAAGTTGTTGTATCAACTTATCAACAGGATCAATGTCTGCAATACTTCCATCATCCCAGACAGGGCGCATCAAGCCCAGTTCAGTGAGGACCAACAACGCAGAAAAGATAAAAATCGCATCGCAGTTGTCACCATTAATTGTTGCCACTTGCTCTTTGAATCCACTGATAGCAATCGCATGATGATGGCTGGTGAGAACCAAGTATTTCTGAAAATCCTGCGGTTGCAGGTGCGCAATATGAAGCGAGGAAAAAGCGAGCAGAGTATGCCTCACAAAGTCATGCGAGGATGCAACTGAATATGCAATCTGTTGCCAATATTGATATACAGCAGCACTGTCGGGAGCAAGTGTATTTGCTGTGATAGTCAAAAAATGAAACATAAGCTCATTGGATTGGTCAGACTGGTCAGCGTAGGGAACATTGCTCGGATATCTGGGCAATAGGAGGCAAGGCGCAAGCCAAGCATTGAAATCGCCCTGACCCTCCTCCTCTGCATTCCCTTGTCGTTGGACCGCACTCCTAGTCAGCCTCGGGCGATGATCCGAAACTGCCGAACTGTTTACGGATTGGCTGAACTCGAAAACTATATTCAAATCGTTCGCACCTCCTTCGGTGGCTCCCAGTGGAGATGAAGACAGTGATTCGGTGTTGAAGAGATCCTCGTAGTCGCATTTTAAGTTCCTTCTCTTACAGTTGCTACAAATTGGGGGCTTTTCATCGCACTATGTAAAGCATAATGTCAGCTTGTTTTTTGTCTGTATCACTTCTTTTGGCCAATTCCACGCGGCGTCTTGAACCCATGCTATTCGGTGCCAACTTGCGGTAGGCTCAGTGTCGCGTGGTCAAACGTAGAAAGACGCCAGTGTAACATCGTAACTGATAAAACAAAACAAAAAGTATACCTTCTTTCTTCTAGCTTTACATTGCCCACATCCATTTCGTGACTTCACATGACTTCTTCGTAACCCGGTTTTCCTCTCGGTCGTCGTTTCCAATGGTGGCATTGCAATGAAACACGTTCAGTAGTACTAGAAGATAGACAAATGATTTGATTTACTTTGTTGTCACCGGTGAAAATGGCAAGATTGGCTCGTGTGATGTTAATAGAGTGCATGGACGGATTTGCGTTGCCTAAATTCAGCCCCTTCTGAATTGGGAATAGCTACAACCATATCCCTGACAGGGTCCGAGTGCGTAATATTAGAGGCGCAGCTGTCAAGCACGATGAACTCGTTAGCGTTATCCAACAATGCTTGCATATACGAACAAAGAAACAGGCTAGGGTTTTGGCAATAGTCTTATAAGTGGGGTGGTATTCTCAAAGAGGTATAGTTTACGCATTTGGGTATCAAAGGATTGCCCTATCACAGGATGGATAATTTTGTATGGCTTTCGTAAAACTCGCATTCCATTTTATGAAACCGCGTCCCGTGATTCTTCAGAATGCCTCCTTCATAATGGGATGTGAAAATTAAACAGGCAACCGAGTAGATATGGCTAGGTTCTATAAATGCAGCATGGTCCTAAAATTAAGGTTGTGGTGCGCACATCTTAGCTGATCAGAATCGACACGAAATTTCAGCACCCCGGTTTCGATCTTCTTTCGCCATGAAATTTCACCAAACTACAGCTTTGTTCTTGTCTACAGTCTTTTCTCTTTTGACGTCGACTGTATGCCAAAATGACGAATCCGCCGCAGTGTACATATCTTCGCTGAGAACCAGCTCCGGAAATCTCACCTTCGCACTCAGTGTTGCCGACCCAACGGTGTCCCAGGATATGTACTTTCACATCTCTGGGCCATCTAGCTACTCGTATATTGGGATCGGGACAGGCACGGTCATGCAAGACGCACTCATCTTCGTGATCTACCCCAATGCATCGGGAGATGGTTAGTCTCTCATCATTATCATCCAAAAAAAAAAAAAAAAGCCTTCTCTGCTAAAATGTTGAATCTATTCTAGGAATCACTCTGAGTCCCCGAATAGCAACCGGCAACAAAGAACCTGTCCTCGCACCCTCATTAGATGTCGAAGTCCTTCCGGGAAGCAATACGTCCAATGGCCTAATGACTGTCAATGCGCGCTGCAAGAATTGCCTCAGTTGGAGTTCCGGAGCTTTGGATTTGACTGACATGGCTTATCCATGGAATTACGCCTTGGGACCGAATACCGCTCAGTATGTAAGAATCAAGAGCAATTCACTGTCGGCCGATCTTGAGATGCATGTTGAATATGGTATGTCACTGTCTTAGTGCTCTAGACTTTGAGTCTTCGGGCAGCTCACACGGAGGTCAATAGGACTGTTTACTCTGGATATGACTCGCGCTACTGGAGGTGCCGGCGCATTGCCAACCTCTCTAACAAACCCGATCGGCTCCAACGCAACCCGTCCGCGAGTCCTCACGAGCAACTATCCCACCATCATTCACGCAGTCTTGGCCACCTTACCATTAGTCTTGCTCCTACCCACCGGCGTCATTTTTCTCCGCTTCTTCCCCGGCAGTGTGCGATGGCACTGGGTGAGCCAAACCGCCTCTTCGGTGATTAGTGTTCTGGGGATAGCCGTAGGCATATATCTCAGTACTTGGTTCAACAAGTCCAAGTCATTTGGGAGCGGACACCAAATTATCGGATACATTATCTGCGCCGGCATACTGGCGCAATGGTTTCTCGGGTTTTGGCATCATCGCCTGTATAAAAAAATTCAAAGGCCGACCAATTATGGCTTTGTGCATCGCAATTTCGGACATCTTGTCTTCGTATTTGCTATTGTAAATGCCGGTATAGGATTATCCTGGAGTCAAGCTGCCTCACCTGTTATTATAGGATATTCTGTTGCTGCTGGGATTGTTGCTATTGTACATTTTTCGCTCGTGGCGTGGAAACGCTGGGAACGACGGAAGCTTGACGCTTCTGAGCCAAAACCCGAGTAAAGCCTCTCCGGATGCTGATACAATTTGATATTTAATCAATTTGATTTTGTGGATTAGACTTGTGCCTTTTGTAGCTTCGTTGTTTTGGCGAACCGTAACCAAGATTAGCAAGCAATGACCCCCAACACCAGTAACACCATATATGACCTACTCAGCGACTGTTCGGATGTCGCATGGATCCATTTTCTAGGTAGCAGTCTTTGGTAAATTTGATTTCTTTGCTTTTGTCTCGTTATAATGCTGCCAGCCCTAAGGTAGGGTTAGGGTCCATATCAACCTTGGTGTGTGTCGGTTTGTAAGCCGTAAGCCACTGTCAGGGACATTTCTAACGGTCAGTTGGCGAAATATGTTTCATGTTCCAGTCTCAAAGAGCGATCGTACTCTCTTTTGACTCGGACAGAGGCCTTGAGTCCGCTCAACATCTAATCGAGGCAACGGACCTTGATGACAGCATCGCCTTAATATCGACAATTCAGGCTGCAGCTCATGCTCACATTGAGTGCGCCAGCATTAGAGAGATATATTCATCGTGAGTCACCAGCTTAACAAGGAAAGTGGCTGAGCTCATCAGAATCGAGTTTAACTCCCATTGCTAAGGGCCAATTATCAAACCGATCGGAAAGATTAATTTTCTCGTCGGGCCAACATTCAATCATTTTTTCTGATTGAGGCTACAGTTTCCAAGCTTTGAATGATTAAATAAAGTAGAGACTAACCGCATTGGGATTAGACCCCGGAGGGTCTGAAGAAAGAGACTTTGACCCCACTTGTATTTTGTCCGGATTAGGAAATCGACGATATTCATGGGCATCGGCTTGGAAAGGKATAAAGCTGGCGAGAATCCTGGCCTTGGGTATATTTAATCCATTCTTCATTTACAAACAAAATCATCTACTCAAACACTATTCGAGTTTCAAGCTTCATACACTATTACCAACATAGTCGATCAATTCGTTATCCAAACACCAACTCATACAATGCCTTACTCAGTAGCCTTCTTCGGCGCAACAGGTGGCTGCACCAATGCCTGCCTTGCTAGCCTCCTTCTTTTCTCCGAATATCAAGCAATCGCTCTTGCGCGCACACCTCAAAAATTACTAGACTCCCTCAAAAAACAACCCGGTATCACCGACGCCATCCTCGCCCAAAGACTCAGCATCGTCAAGGGCGATGCCACAAATGTCGCAGACGTGAAGAGAACCCTTCTTTTCCAGGCTGATGATAATAAGAACAGCAATGCAGAGCCCAAGCTGGTTGATGCAATCGTTTCCGGGATTGGCGCCTACCCTCAACGGAAGAAGGGAACATGGCTCACTTTTGAGATGGATAACCGTAACATCACGGAACAATCCACCACCGCATTGGTGTCTGCCATGCAGGAAATACGGGCTCAGCAACAGCAGCAACAAGAACACAAACCCGTCGTAACTGTAATCTCAACAACGGGTCTCGCCATACCCGCTGGCTCCAAAGAAGACGTGCCCTTCGGTCTACAGACACTCTATCATTCCCTCCTCGCTGAGCCACATAAGGACAAGAAACGCATGGAAGAAATAATCAGTGAAAATGCAGCTCTTTTCCAGGGTGTAATCATCACGCGCCCAACATTGTTGAATGGTGACGGTATTGTGAAGGTCGATGGTGTTCGGAAGACCGTCAGGGCTGGTACGGAGGATGCCCCTGCAAAGGGATATTTGATTTCGAGGTCGGATGTGGGTGGGTGGATTTGGGAGAATGTTCTGAAGCCTACGGAGCACGGAAAGAAATGGTATGGAAGGAGGGTTTCTTTGGCTTATTGATCGGCTTATTGATTGGCCTCTTTTTCTCTATGCATTCCTGTCTTAGCCTGTGCTGTTGATTTTTTTTTTCTTAATACCCAACTCGGCTAATGTGTGTTATGAGAGTTGATATCGTTGGTATGTTTTATATGTTGGATAAATTAATGTTGTGCAATTTGCTTATGCATTCGAGACGCCAGAGAACATCTTTTGTTTATGAATATACTATACTTCACTAGACTATGCAAGTTTCATAATTTCATTCTTCATCAGATACTCTTATATTATAACTCCGACAACAACTCAGCTAGCGTAATAGGCTTGCGCACAGCATTCGAAAACCCTTCATGAAAAGTGACCCAAACCTTACGGTCATGATCGTTGCCACTCGAGTTGCGTTTATGACCAGATTGTCGCTGTTTAATGCTTGTCGTGGTCGTAGGTGCAGTTTCACTGTTGCGAATAATTCTGCCGAAGAAATCTCGCTTGACTCCTGGCGCATCTGGTCCGACCTTTGGTCGTGAACCATTGACGTTTTCCTTGTCATCACCATTGCTAAGCTGTTTATTCTTGGATGATTTACGACCGGGACCGGATATTCCCAATAGCGTCTCGCCCTGTTTTCGCATAGTTTCCTTGCGATATTCTTGGTCGAGAACTTGGCGAATCGCGTAGCGGACAGGAGCCAAGCTACCAGTATCAAGAACTGTGCCTTTGGTCTTGGAGAAGCCAACGAGGGTGTCGATTGGTCTAGAGAGTCAGCAAGATGATTAAAGAAATCAGTTGGAGATTAATAAACCTACGGCTCCATCCTGTACGCCCACCCTGCGTGAGCACCCTCATTTCCAATGCGAATTTTTTCAAACGTCACATTCAAGCCAGCCATGACTCTCACTGCTGCTCGGACAAGCGCTCTTTCACTCTCCTTCCTGACACTAGCAACACTGGTTTGCTCACTACCTCTCACAATGACCGGTTTCACCTCAGGGGAGAGCATGCGCATGAGATTCGGTACAAGATCCGTAGCGATGCTATCGACAGAGCGGAACAACCTCAAGAGAGGTGCGGAAAAGGTTGACTGAAATCCGACGAGTACCGATGTATTCTGTTTCGTAGCCTCAAAAGCTGCAAAATCCGCTCTTGGACCAGAAAACGGATGCTCCTCTTCTTCATTTTTATCATCATCAAACTTTTTCTTGTTGGATGAACTGCCATTTCCAGCGAACAAGTGATGAAATGCAAGTATCGACTGGCTCATATAAGGATTCAGCTCCCAGTCTTGATTCGAATATATTTTGGATGAAATCATATCGTGAAAGTGAAGCCAATCATAAGCGGCATTTGGCTTTGAAAGAAATGTATCGTCCTGGTAGGTACGAGTAGGATATTCAATAAAGCAGTCCGTGGCACATCTATCATATTCGCCACTCGCATCAATCATCTCACGCAATTTCGAAGAAGCATGCCGCCTCCGAAGTTCTGCAACACCAACGGGCGTCTTGGTTCGTTCTTGATCAAAAGGGTCACTGAATGAATTAGCACCAACGGGTGCGGCTGGAAACCCTGCTCCTTCGATAAAGACGCGATCGGTGATCTCACGAACACCACCTCTTCCTAGACCTCGAGAACCAGATTCCGCATCATTGAGAATATTATCCTCTAACCAGGTCTTTGTCAGTCGAGCCGTGGCCGCTGTTTCCGCCCGGAGCTTGCGTGCTACCCACTCTGCGGAAACTAAAATGCTTCGTATATCACCCTCGCTAACGCCTCGATTCCTTTCAGTCCGGTCCTTCTTAGCACTCATGCCCCATGATGCTTCGCAAAGTCGTCGAACTCCATCCGCATCAAACTGGATATTCTCTTTTGTCAATATCAGTTTCAGTCGTGAAATGGCATTCTCCATCGGTACGTGTCGAACGTGAATCACCTCGGCGACATTTGCAGTACGAAGGGGTCGTAAGCTAGAATGATATGCATCGTTGCAAATTAAAATAATGGGCCGTAATAGGCGAAAATTGTCGCCTTTTCTTTTCCTTCCACTGAACGAGTTCTGGCTAGGACGAGCTGCAGCGTTCTTTTGATCCGTCATGACTAGATCAATGAGGGCTTTGATGAAACCACCCTCACCACCTGAACCCGCTCCACCAACGACACCATCGACCTCATCGACAACAACGCAAACAGGACGGCCTGATCTGTTCACCTTGCTTGAATCAGCCCCAGCACTGATACTTTTCACATTCTCTGTCGCGACTGCGTCTCGGATACGACCCCTGACAACATGGCTGCTACGTTCATCACTGGCGTTAATCTCCAAAACTTCGTAGCCGGCTTGCTGTGCGCAGACATGAGCTAATGTGGTTTTGCCGAGACCTGGGGGTCCAGTCAACATGAGAATTTTTCGATGCGCGAATTCGCCTTCTTCTTCCACATTTCTAGCATGCTTCGACTTGGCAATGCCTGGAAATACAATATGATCCCAGCCTTTGAGCCAACGCAGAACCGATCTATGAGTCCGCTCGTCTCCAATGAGTTCTGCAAATCGCCGTGCACGATACTTTTCAGTCCACATCGGGGTAGGTTTCTTCTTTCCACCCGTTTCATAAATTGGCGTTTCAATAGAGCGCTCGATATGTATTGACGCTTCTTTTTGTTTCGCATTTTTGAGCTCACAAGCAGCATCGTCTAGCAGCCTGTGTATTTCAATTCCATAATAGCTTCGTTGAGCCTTGCCTTCTGCCGTCTTTGAGCGACTCGCAACAAGTCTCTCATATGATGTTGTGTTTGTGGCTTTTCGGGAGAATACTCGATGCGCTCGCCCTGCGCATGTTCTAATCGTAATCAGGCCTTTTCGATCAGAAGGTAGATTGATGGGATTGACTGAGCTTTCTTCGACGCTTCTGAAAGGGTCGTGTAGAGTCTCATCGATAGATGTAGTATCAGGCTGTGATTTCTCGATGCTAGTGGGCTGCGAGATTATCTGGAGTAAAGCCGCATCGTTATTCGTAGATAAACCCCTCAACATATCCAAATTATCTTCATCTTTGTCATCATCTTCGTCAATAAATGGGCCACGTGTTTCCTGGCTGAGTGTGTTCTGTTGCGGTCTCACGGTCTCACATCTGGTTGTGATGGCTTGCGTAGAGTATGTCATGTAGCCACCCCCCTGAAACTCTGCCAATGCATCCTCGTCATCGTCTTCTTCATCTATAAATCCTCCAATAGTCCGTGGAACCCTGTCGTTTTCGCCTAGCGTTCGTATCCCCGAAGTGCTTGTTGGTGTATTATCTACGTCATCTGCAGCGCCATCAGAAGTCTTTGGCCGTTTTGTGTCCTCGGTAGACAATAATGATTCCAACTTTCTCTTTCGGGAATCTGCCGATGGTGGACTGGCAGTGATCGTGGATTGTGTGGACATGAAGGGCGCCATTGCCGCTGGAGGTGTTGACGGGAGGTAATTATCGATAATGATTCCTTGGCTTAAACTGGGCAGGTTCGATGATTTCGTCGGAGTTACTAGCATTGTCAATACAATCAAGACTTAGAGATTGATCAGCGACAGACGCACATGGTTGACTATCGTCATCACTTCGAAACACGTCTGACAATTTCCAAGCGCGACTCTGTATCACAACGCCGTTCCGTCGGTTTTCCTCTGCAATTTCTGAGCGACGTTGCTGCAATGCCTCTATGTCGTCGGAGAATGAGGTGAATTCGATCTCCGATCGTAGTAAAGTATTGGATAATTCGGAATGAAGATACAGTGCTGGGTCAAAATCAGAAGACAGATAGTCACTCGCCATCAATATCAGAAAATGTACAATTAGGTCAGCCCGCTAGACAGTGTGTCGTCGAGTAATGAGGATATCTTTACGGGCGTTGATTGACATTGGCCTGTGATAACGCGGCAGGACGCGTTGGACGCGATGCTTCTATGGCGCTAGTCCAAAAGTGGCCGATATAGTTCCAGTAATCATCTTAGGGTTATCGAATAGCAACCTTACCGCATGAGTAACGTACTATGTAACTACACTTACGACAGACAATTTTTACGTAGGATTGTTGCTTGAGGATGCTGTCAGCGAAGATATCAGTCGGCCTATGGATTAGACACCTAAGCTATTGTCTCTGAGAACGTAGAGAATGGGATACCTTCAGCATAGCACAGTATTCTACGAAAATCCTAGCCTAGATGCCGCTCTGTAAACTCTCATCTTCATGGCAATATCTGTCATGACATTTCTTTTGACCGTCTAGAGAATGAAGGTATACAAATTGATAGTGGTTATGTGGCTAATTAGTTGTGGCGCATTTGCTGTTTCAGGCTAGCGCGTGTGGCTGAGGCCTGTGCTCTTGCCGCGCGAGATTTTGGGGAAGGAAGTGTCGCAGCCATCCCCGTTCTCGTTCGCGACCAACCACCACCACTCACGAATCGCGCAATACCTGCTCGAGTCATTGGACCTGAGCACTCATTGAGATCTTCAATCGTTATCGAGATTCAAGGGCTGCTTTTTCGGACAGCTGATTCTCGTTCGACGCGCAGCGTGCCACTGCGCCTGGCCTGAAGGAGCTTCACTCGTCTAGCGATCGACATAGGTCCTATCATAACACCTTCATCATCATCCACCTTCATCACACGCGCCATCATGGAGGATACACACAACGTTCGGAGTGGCAGCGGCGAGGAGCATCAGCCTCAAGAGGTTGTCCAGCCTGTCGGTGAGACAACTAAGCCTGGTAAAGCTTCTCTTATTCTTCAAAATGAACCCTCATTGACTTCTCTTTTCATAGTCCCAGAACAAGACGCATCCGTTCAAAACACAGAAGCAGCCTCGGATAACCCGCTAGATGCTCCTGCATCCCCGCGCCCCCAGGACAACGACGCGGAACCTGAAGACGAAGAAATGGGCGGTACCGAGACCGAAGCAAAAAAAGAGACCGACAATGACAATGACATTGGCGCAGACGATGGCACAGAAGCTCAGGGTGCTGATGCCAACGCCGATGCTAGCGCCGATGATGTTCAGGAGAAGTCCGCCCTCGAAGCATCAGCGCGCAACCACCTCGTTTCCCAAACACATGCCATCATTCTACCAAGCTACTCGTCTTGGTTTGACATGCATCAAATTCATCCCATCGAAAAGAAGGCGATGCAAGAGTTCTTCAATGGACGAAATCGAAGCAAGACGCCTGCAGTGTACAAGGACTACAGAGATTTCATGATCAATACATATCGATTGAACCCCATAGAATACTTGACTGTGACTGCATGTCGCCGCAATCTTGCTGGAGACGTTTGCGCTATCATGAGAGTTCATTCTTTCCTCGAGCAGTGGGGACTTATCAATTACCAAGTAAGTCCACTATATCATTTGGATAAGGTATAGTACTAACAGAGTCAGGTTGACCCTCAAACACGGCCATCGAACATTGGACCCCCATTCACAGGCCATTTCCGTGTCGTTGCAGATACACCTCGCGGTCTTCATTCATTCCAGCCTGGATCAAATCATCTCGTCACACCTGGAAAACAATTGGCAGCGACTGATCGTGCAGCCTCCGGAACACCTATTAAGACCGATTTGAATTTGGAAATTCGACGTAACATCTACGACGACAAGGGCAAAGAGATAACTCCTGCTGTTGAGGACAAGGAAAAACAGACAAACGGAGACACGCCCGCCGCAAATGGCACATCAGGCGATTCTACAAACAAGGCCTTGGAAGCTGCTATCAGAGAGCCTCGGAAAACCTACAATTGTTGGTCTTGCGGCATTGACTGCACACGCATGCGATTCCATTATGCAAAATCTGCTCCTGTTTCCGCCAGTAATAATGCGCCTGACCGCAAGTACGACATCTGCCCTAACTGCTTCTTGGAAGCCAGATTACCTGCAAGCCACAATGCGGCGGATTTCGTCCGTCTTGAGGAGGCCGATTACACCCGGAATGAAGACAAGGCCGCAGGATGGTCGGATTCAGAGCTCATCTTGCTCCTGGAAGGAATAGAGACTTTTGACGACGACTGGCAGCAGATTGCAGATCACGTGGGCACGAGGACAAGAGAGGAATGTGTCATGAAGTTCCTTCAACTGGAGATTGAAGACAAATACGTTGAGGAGATCGATGGATCGCAAGATGCCACAGTCCGTTCTCTGCAGGGTCGGGACCCGATCAGTCAACTCGATAATCCTGTACTGTCAGTCGTTGCTTTCCTTGCTCAACTCGCTGAGCCATCTGTGGCAGCCGCTGCTGCGGGTCGTTCTGTAGATCAAATCCGAAAGGAGCTCCGAGATCAATTGAACAAGGCTCCTTCGGCTGAGAAGGGCAAGGGTAAAGAGGGCGAAGTCAAGGCAGAGGACTCCATGGAAATTGATAATACTCGTGAAGCCGAGTCGACAGGTGCAACCGAGAAGCGAGAGTCACTAGCCACAATTGCTCTCGCTGCTTCTGCTGCCCGTGCTGGCGCACTTGTTTCTCATGAAGAGCGAGAAATGACACGTCTCGTCTCCGCTGCGGTCAACGTCACACTTCAAAAATTCGAGATCAAGTTGGCTCAGTTCAACGAAATGGAAGAGATCATCGAGGCTGAGCGACGAGAACTTGAACTGACCAGACAACAACTCTTTGCCGACCGACTGGCATTCAAGAAGCGCGTCAAAGATGTGCAAGATGCAATCCAGCAAATCAGTCTACAAGGACCAGGCGAAGATACCACTCGGGCTCTCCACGACGTCGCTGATATCAGCATGGCCAACCGCTACCAATTTCAAGCTCAAGGTGATGTCAGCAACGGCATTCAACCATTGAGCGCACAACCTCCCGCAGACTATAAAACTCTTGAACTGTAATGGCTATGCTGCTTAATGTCATGCTTCAATTTTATTCTTCTGCTTTGTCTTTATTCCTGGTTTCATTTCAATTGCTGTACAAATATGCGGGGGTGATATTGGAGGAGCATCAAAAGAAACCCCAAATTTGGAAGAGACAAAGACACGGCGATGATAATGTTTCTTTCGATGGAGATTAAGGGAAATCTACTGGTGTGAATTTCTTCTACAGGATAGGCGCAACTAGGGGGAGTATTTCTCGTGTTTTCTTCAAATCAAATGTTGTGTATTACAAGTATCTGTTAGATTAATCGATGATTGTGAATCAACCTGTGCTGTAAATTCGTCGCTTGGTATTATATGGCATCTCAAATCTAAATAAAAAAAGGCATAAACGATATTCGTTCACGACTTTAGAATTCAAAGTCGACCCTTATTCAAGACGTCTCCTCTTATTACGATTGGCAGCAATATCCTTTTCGACATCTCGCGTCTTCATCCCATAAGTCTCCCACTCATCCTGATACACGAGATTTTTCCTCCAGTCAACCACCACATTATTCTGCATGATCTCTCTGCGCATGTCTTCTGTGATCTCCGGGGGCTCCTCTTGCTTTTCTTTGCCCTTTTTGACAATAGGCACGAGACTGTCTATTGCCGGAGCATCGAGTAATACTCGTATACGAGCTTCTTCTTTATGGCTGGCTTGTCGGTCGAGGKAGTCATTGTAGTCGTCTAGACGTTGTTCTATTTCGAGTTGCCGATAGTCGGATTCACTGATTCCTTCGTATTGTGAGTCGTCGGTAGGCTCGGTTTTGATTGCGGGTACGTTGTTGTCCTCGTTGGCTTCATTGGCTTCGTCGGCGCTAGAGACTTCTTCTGCTTCTTCTTCTTCTTCTTCTTCTTCTTCTTCTTCTTCTGGATTAGATTGATCGTCCTGGTTTGCTATGTCACTCTCGTCTTCTGATGAGCCAAATTTGTCGAGGTCTTCTTCTTGGCTGTCATCGTCGGCTTTTTCATCATTCTCTGCATCCTCTTCAGAGGAATCATCGGAAGAATCTGAACTTCCTTTGGCTTTTTTTTGACGCTTTATAGATAGCATTCGTTCGACTTTGTCCCACGAAACATAATTTTTGGCTTTTCCCTTGCGCTTTCCTCTTGTGACATCGAGCTTCAGTCGGCGAGGAAGATTGACATAATACTCAAATGTATTGTGCTTCATGCCCATTGTAGTCAGAGCTCTCTGCACATCCTTTTTTCTCACAACAGGTACTTGTCTATGCCTCCGTTCTTTGTCTAATCTGTCCAATGCGGTTTTGTGTGCCTCCTCCATCAAGCGGATGACGAGATCGACAGTGAGGTCATAGAATTCTCCCAATGCGTCTGCTGTGAGTGATGGCATTTCTCCTTTTTGGGCGACGTTTTTCCAGCTGTCTTCTGGTCGAGATTTACCGGGATTCATAAAGACTTTTTGAGATAGTTGGACCCAATTCTTGAGATCGAGTAAACCGGCACTTAGCGAGATGGCTTCTGGGAGGGCCTCTTCGTCATCTGAGGCCAGTAACTCTTCGATCTGATCTGCCTTAGCTCTGTCGAGGATCCAGTATTCAGACAAACCATGCTCTTTTTCTGCGTCGAAGAGGTCTTTCCTCTGCTCTTCGAGGGCAACAGTTTCCGCAAAGTGGTTAAGAACTTCTTCTAGCTCTTCACTAATCTCCACCGCGGCTGGAACTTCCGCTTCAAGAAGAGATGGCTCCGAAAGTCGATGGCGCTGCAACCTCTCTTCCAGGAATTCAATGTAATCAGCCACTTCCAGCCGTGACTTGGATTTAATTTGTTGCGCGATTTCACCAACATTTCCCCTCCCTTTGCGGGCGAGGGCCGTGAAAAAAGTATCATTTTCCTTTCCGGTCCATTGAACTAAGCCGACGGTAGACAGACTGACGTTTTGTTGTTTATTCCATGTTTTCGAATCGGCATCGACGTGCATATCTTTAAGCAGGGTCCTATATGCTTGTACGGCGCTCTTGTCGAATGATAGTTGCGATTTCGTAGAAGCAGGTCTCTGTTTCCCTTTTTTCAGATCAGACTCTGATTGCGAGCCTTCGTCTTCACTCTTGATTTGATCTTCCTCGCTTGCATCCTCTGCAGTCTCCTCGTCGTCTGATTGCGAGGAGGGTTCCTCGGATTCGTGCCATGATTCTGAGGATGAAAGCACAGGGTAATATTCAGGCGGTCCAAAGATCTTTTCTTCATCACTGTCGGCAACGGGTTCACTGTCTGCTGCTGCGCTCATGATTTCTTTGTTTCATGATATATTTGATCGGAGCAAATAAGGACCATCGGATGCTGTTGGTAGCGCTCTTTTGACACGAGCGTTGGTCAACATGCTCATAATTGATCATCTCAAGATATCCATTCACATAGGAGAAAAATGACAAAAATCTAGCCACACTTTGATCATTTGTACGAGTTGGAATGTGACGTTCAATAAAATTGAAGCTCAAAAACATTGGCCTGATAAGATAAGAAAAGTTTGCATTGTTTGTCTTCCTGTGGCGCGTTTATCACCCCAGCGGCCATTTCTCAAGACCGCAACTTGACAATTCTACAACCTGACTCAAAATGTAATGCAACGCATGGCTTTTTTCCTACGACGAAAAAGCAGAAGTCTGTTATGTTCATGGGGTCGCAACACGCCATGGCAGCAGTCTATACCCGCTCGTTCGCCACGAAAGCTGCTGCCAACAACAGTACTTGCCCATGCTTCGACCAAAGCCGAAGACATCAATCCTCCAAAGATACAGCTTCGCGAGTATCAGGAGGAGTCTATTCAATCTGTTCTAGAGAATCTCGAAAAGGGGCATAATCGACTTGGATTATCATTGGCTACTGGCTCAGGAAAGACCGTTCGTCATCTATGTCTCAATCCTTGTGGCTTAGTTAACATGAACAATTCTAGGTAATCTTCACTCAACTTATCGAACGCATACCCCCTCGAAATGGCTACGCAGACCAAACGCTTATCATCGCGCATCGAAAAGAGCTCGTCGAACAAGCAGCACGCCATTGCCGACTTGCATACCCAGACAAAACAGTCGAGATCGAAATGGGCGCGACCAAAGCATCCGGAGCCGCTGATATAACGGTAGCTTCGATACGGAGCTTAGCATCAAAGGGCCGAATTGAGAAGTTTGACCCTAGCTACTTCAAGCTCGTCTTGGTCGATGAAGCGCATCATATTGTTGCGCCTCAGTACCGCCAGGCTCTTGAATACTTTGGCTTGACTGAGCCATCAGATAATGCGCCAGCGCTGGTTGGGGTTTCTGCTACTTTTTTCAGATTTGATGGGCTGAAGCTGGGTTCGGCTATTGATCATATCGTTTATCATAAGGACTATATTGACATGATTGGTGAAAAATGGCTGTCGGATGCTATTTTTACGACCGTCAAAACAAACGTAGATCTATCGCGCGTTGCGAAGGATTCGTCAGGCGACTTTGCGACGAGGGCACTTTCTGAAGCCGTCAATACGGCCACTGTGAATGATGTTACAGTGCGATCTTGGCTCGCGCATGCCAACGACCGTCGATCGACTCTGGTGTTTTGCGTTGATACTGAACATGTCCGCCAACTCACGGAGGCGTTTCGTGACAATGGCATTGATGCGCGTTACATAACTGCGAATACGCCGAGGCAGACGAGAAATGAAGAGCTCGAAGCTTTTAAGCAGGGAGAGTATCCAGTGCTACTCAATTGCGGGCTCTTCACTGAAGGAACGGATATCCCGAACATAGATTGTGTTGTCCTCGCTAGGCCTACACGATCAAAGAGTTTGCTGATTCAGATGATTGGACGAGGATTACGGCTACATCCCCAGAAAGAGAATTGTCACATTATTGATATGGTCTCCACGCTGAATACTGGAATCATGTCTACGCCTACGCTGTTCGGTCTCGATCCTGACGAGGCACTCAATACGAGAAGCGTACAGGAAATCCGAAAGCAAAAAGAGCATAAAGGATTCGATTCATCTCTACCTGATGCGGGCTACGTGCGCCCTCTGGGCGATGACGAGGTCGATGTCACATTTACAACATACGATAGCGTATTTGACCTTCTCAACGACGAGCGTGTCAATCGTCACATTCGCTCCATCAGTCGTTATGCATGGGTGCGCGTGAATACAGACCGGTATATCCTTGCCGATAAATCGGGCTGGATGACCATCGAAAAGAGCGACCAAGATATTGATGGGCCTTGGGTCGTCGACCTTGTGCAAAAATACGAATTGGCAACGCGGACAGTGCACACGAGACCCAGAGTCATTGCTCGCGCACCGGACTTTGAGCAAGCTGTGCACAGCGCTGATACATTCGCAAGCACGAATTTCAAGGATTTCACCATCAATTCGTCGCAGAGTTGGCGCCGAGCACCTGCGTCAGAGAGTCAGCTCAAGGTGCTAAACAGCAAGAATATACTGGACCGGACAATTACGTCCGGAGATCTTACGAAGGGCCAAGCGGCGGATATGCTTACGAAGCTCCGCTTTGGGACTAAGAATCGATTCCAAGATGAGCAGAAAAAGAGGAAGAAGGAAGAGAAAATGCGAAAAGAGTTTGAGAAACAGATGAGTCAAGGTGATGTTAGGGTTGGGCCTCTCAGTCAGCAAGACTTATAGACCACCATGTCTCTTGACTATAACTTCTCATGTATAATACAGTACTGTACATTTAATATACATATTGTGGAGTTTGGCTCCCATGTCGGTGACCAAGCTCATTTTATCACGCCTGCATGAGGGTATTTAACTCGAATGAACTCGCTACTGGTCATTGAATAGAGCTTTCAGCGCCACGGTCCGTTGTCTCTTCTCTATGCTCACTATTCGTCGCTAATGACGCGATATCATGGCCATGTTCATCGTTATTCAAAATGCTCTGAAACTCCTCCTTCCCCATCGTTAATGTATATCTCCGCCCCTTGAAGGTCGGAAAGTCGAACTTCGGCCGTCCCTCGAGATTAATGCCCTGTACAGGCATCAGTTTGTATACTTTCTTCCATATACTGCGCATGAACTTCCGCGTCAAGCGGTGAGGTCTTCCATCAGCGTATGCCTGCTTGAAACTCAGACCTCCTTGCGGTCCTTCATGTATTAAAGATTCAAGTGCCGATTTCTTAGCAGCGGGGAGCACATTGACTCGTCGAATGGGTGGCTTCCATGGCTCGGTGCCGTCTATCAGACCTCGTAGAGTGTTGACTTCGTCTGGATCGGCAGGKGGGAGAGCTGCGAATTTTGATCTGTGGAGTATACGTTTCCTGATGTTCTCGCGACGGCACTCGGGTAGTGGTTTCATCCAGCTGTTCAATCTGGGTATCTTGATGGTATCGCCCGCCCGAAAGCGTTTCCCGTGGGCAGAGCGTACAAAAGAGTCGTTTCTTTGTGATTTGATCAGGGCATGGAGGACTTCCGGAAGCTGCCAGTCATCCCCAGTTGATTCTTTCTTTTTCTGTTCAAGGTACTTTTCGATATCGGCGCTGGAGTTGAAGACTTTGTTTCCACCACGACCATTGGGGACTATTTCAGAGAGGAGGGTGTATTTCTTGGCGCCAACTCGTCCGTATGCGAGCATCAGTATCTTGTCTAGAGGTAATTGATAGCCCTGATTTCCCCGTCGTATCAATGATAGGATGCTTCTAGCTGATTTCTGTAGCTTTTTTTGCTTTTCGAGGCTCATGGCGTTCAGTCGTTCTTGATGCTTAGCAGACGTACGACGAGGTTTCGTGTCTTTCTGCTCGTCAGGAGCGAATGCGGACACTTTCTTACGATATCGTTCGAGGACATATTTGTGCATGTATTTTCTCGCGATTGGGTCTGGGAGGTAGGAACATTCACGGAGCGTGGTTCGGAGGAGATGCCGCCATACTTCGGGCGGAGCTAGCGAGGCCTGCGACATGCACCTCACTGCCTATGATTGAGAGTGTGGTAGGGAAAAAAAAGGTATCATCTAGTAAAGCAATATGCTTGATACAGAATATGACATCAAAAGTGAAGATTGACGGCGCCGGACAGTCTAGGCCCAAATAGGCAAGAGTGCTTTTAGTGTGTCACGCGTCTCGGCCAAACGCGAAAAAGCCCCCCCCGCGACTTTCCTCTGACACGCTTCTTGGTTCCTTCGCTCTTTTCCCCCACACGACTCGCCTTCCCATGCTCTTGCTTGCATATCTTAGTTAAGTGAATGGACTCATTCTAGGTCAATGAGAGTATATACACAGTCTACTTACGAATAGTCGCTTATTGTTACTCACTTCGCCTTCACCAGGGGTGCATTCTTGGCGCCTCTCTTCCCTGCATCCTGTGGGGATTGATCTCGTTTTCTCCCTTCTGTGATTTGCCTGCGGAGACGCGCGCTGCTCTTTTCCGACGTCTTCTACGTACAGATCATATCTTCTGGTTCTTGCCTTGTACGAGCTTGGTTACTGCTATTGTGAATTCGAGAAGCCAGCGAAATCTAACTTTTGCATTTGACTCAGATATGTTGACCAAATTGCGGACTTGATGCACGCGTTCGCCTAGATACCGAATCCATTTATACTTCGCCCGCGATATGGCTACGAGCAGCAACCACCGCCAGCGACCAAGCCTCCCTATGTCATACTCTCAAGGTAGCATAGGGTCGGCCAATGGCTTGCCAATGTCCCAATCTCATATGGGCTCTTTCAACCATTCACAATCAGTCGCATCGACACCCACACCGACGCCGCCCACAAGAGGATCGCAACAGTCCGGCATGTCGTATAGTTTCCCGAATGGGACTTCGCACGCTTCGCACGCTTCGATGTCAAACAGCTTCAACGGGTATGAGCGAACGAATGGATATGGAGCAATGCCTCCGCACCAAGAAGAATATAAACCTCAAATATATCGGGTACGTTCGAAAACAGTCAAGGAAAAAGCAAGACGCAAAGCTGACACTCCTTCTGTTTCAGGCCGTCTATTCAAATGTTTCTGTATATGAGATGGAAGTAAACGGTGTCGCCGTCATGAAACGCCGATCTGACTCGTGGTTAAACGCAACTCAAATTTTGAAAGTGGCCGGTGTCGTTAAGGCTAAAAGAACCAAAACACTGGAGAAAGAAATTGCCGCCGGCGAACATGAAAAGGTTCAAGGCGGTTATGGCAAATACCAGGGCACATGGGTCAGCTACCAACGAGGTGTCGAGCTTTGCCGGGAATATCAGGTTGAAGAAGCACTGCGGCCACTACTCGAATACGATATGGATGATGGTAATTCCCGACGGGCATCACTCGAAACTCCAACAAAGGAACAAGCAATGGCCGCTCAACGGAAACGGTTATACAATGCCGAAAATCGTGGGATAAGCCAGCCGGCTCAAGCAACTTTCTTTCAGAATATGTCCCGCACTGCGGCAAATGCGGTCAATGCTATCAGCAAGGCCCGCTTTGAATCTCCAAACAAAAGAAGGCCAAGCCTGATGCGTAATTCTTCACAACAAATGAGCAGTCAAGAGTCCTTCAATGCTCCTGGCGGTACACAAACGAGCCTGTACAGCGTGCATTCCGACAGTGGTTTCGCAAGTCAAAATGCTCACGGAAGAAACGATCACACACTGGATCAGGAAAACGGTTTAGAGCCCCCACGCAAACGAGTTAGAAGTTCTTCAAATCAAGCACGCTCATTTGGAGCGAATAGCACAATGTCTGTATACGAGCTTACTCCTACGGAACCCAATGATTCGTTCTACCAGCAAGCAGACGATTCCATGGCAGTCGACGACATCAATGGAAGGGATCCTCTTCCTCCACCTGCACATCCGGACCGATTTCAGAAAATGAAACTTATCATGACGCTCTTTCTTGACAAGCGTATGAAGGATTTCTCGAGCCATCCTGCCCTTGTACAGCTATCTGGCGAGGACCTTGAGATACCCTTGGACGAATATCAAAACAGTGCTCTACACTGGGCGGCAATGCTAGCCCGTCTTCCTCTGCTACTTGCCCTTGTTGAAAAGGGTGTGAATATCTATCGATTGAATGCCGCTGGTGAAACCGCGTTGCAAAAGGCGGTTGGTACACGAAACAACCTTGACTACCGAACATTTCCACGGCTACTTGAGATTCTTGGCGCTACTGTGGACATGGTCGATCATAGCGGCAGATCAATCCTACACCACATTGCAATTATGGCTGCAACTGGTGGTGGTGGACAAGTAGCCGCCAAGCATTATCTTGAATCGCTTCTCGAGTTGGTCGTGCGCCATGGCACCAGCGGTCAAGAAAACGACAAACCAGTGACAAATGGTGAAAACGAACAGTCCCAAGGTGAGATCATTGGTCTGGGCAGATTTGTCTCTGAGTTGGTCAATTTGCGGGACGATCAAGGTGACACGGCGTTGAATATAGCTGGTCGCGCACGATCAGTCCTTGTGCCGCAACTACTAGAAGTCGGAGCTGATCCCCAAATCCCTAATCATACCGGCCTCCGCCCTGCAGATTACGGCGTCGGTGTAGACATGGTCAATGAAAGCTCTCAATCGCAGCTAGACGAGGAGAAGAAAGACACTTTCATTGACCAGCTTGCTAAGACAAAGAAAGAAATTCTCGATGGTAAGTTCTCTTGCTATTTGAATGTTTGCAGCGCTAACTTCTCGGTTCGTAGCTACTCTTGCGCAGATCGGATCTCTGGTGGAAGAGACATTGGGTGGCATTGACCGCGATTTGACTTCAGACCTGAGCAAGAAGCAAGCTGAATTTGATCATTGGCATGCAAAGATACGCGAAATCGCACGTGCCCGACAGATTGATCAAAGTGAGCTTGAGAGTCTCAAACGTAAAGCATCTGATCGGTCAAGTGTGGGTCGACGGATAAAAAATCTCGAGGGTGATGCCGAGCATTTGGTGGCTTCTTTGAAAGGCTACTTTGGCGACGATTTTGACGTCTCTGCTACATGTCCTGTGGGCTATGCCGACGCAGATTCAGGTATTGACGTGGCTGAATTTAGCGCACTATTCTCGAACTTTGACCCGAGTGGTGAGATGTCCGCCGACCAGAAGAAGTTCTTGACGGCGTTGCCTTCTGCGGCTACTCTAGAAAGCCGCCTTGATGCATACCAAAGTCTAAACAAAGATATCCATGACGAGATCAAACTATTGAAGTCCAGGAATGTGGTCCTTGGCGAAAATTATCGTCGGGTGGTAATGGCCTGTACAGGATTTACTGCCGAACAAGTTGATGAGGCTGCAGAGGGGTTGACTAGACATATCAAAGACCTGAACGACAATCCGGTGTCCGAAGAAGAGGCGATCGAGATTCTGATGAAAGATCGGGGTCAAGACTGGTAGGCCAAAATCATATCTCACGGCTCAGTACTTGATCCTCCATCGCTTATTACCAATATCATGCGAGGTTACATGCATGCACTCTTTCCATAATTTTGCAGCATTATTCTTGGTATATGACTGAAGGTGTTTGTTTGTTTTGTTTTCTTTCTGTTCGCAGATACCCCGCTACAAGTCTTGAATGACCTGTTCTGGTTTGCATATTTTGTCTGTACTTTACTCGCGGTCGAGATGGTCACGTCACATCTTGTAAGATACATGTTTATCGGCATATACTCAGAAAAAAAGCCCGCGCATTGTGACAGGCTCAATGTACCTTACCACTAATCGACTTTCACGTGCTTACATATACAATCAGAATCGTTGATTTCGCCTAATTTCTGTAACTCTTCCCCTTCAAACAGTGAGTTCCGACAAGACCGACACGCCGTATATTTCACCAGAATGCGCTGTTACTTGTGATAAGTACTAAACTCTAACATTGATGAGGCTTTTTTCGAAATTACCGAAAATGGCAAATCCTGAGACACATTCTGTCCCTTTTTCGGCAGTCGGCCGCGACCCTGCGACAATCGACGTCTCAGAAGCGCAACAACGGGATTCACTCCATATCCCACTTTCTTTAAAGCAACTAAGCAAGAAGCTTTGAGACATAATGCGACCGTGCCACTAGCGCACCCCCACAAGATTGTAAAAGTCTAACAAGAAATGTATGAGCCTTAAGCCTCCAGCCTGGTCGAGGCCGCGCCGCGCATTGAATTTGTACCCTGTCTCATGATCTCTTTTTCCACAATGGTTTTGGGTCGAGGCTACTTTACTCACGATCCAATCGGAAATGCTTATTTTGGGTTTAGGAGGGTTGGTAAGACTGCTGTGGCACTGTTGCGAGCCGCCAAAAGCTTGAGTTCTAGATACCCCTGTAGGGTGTTCGTAAGCTTATTGAGAACACTAGTCAAGGCCTCGGGGACGTCACAGTATCAGAGGGCTTGATAGTCGGCTCCTGGCGCTTAGCGAGGTACTTGCTCAGTATGTGAAAGGTGCAGAAATTGGCTCAAATTATTTAATGTTGCTACGGTATTTGCATTGGTCCCATACAATAGAAGTTTAAGGGGCAGCCTATCAATGCTGTCAATATGGCGAGTACCTAAGTATGTACGGCTACATCTGTAGGTGCCATTCTCATTTATCAATAACAGCTATCCATATATGAGCTTGGCCTACTCTGACATTAGCCTCATGCCTTGGCTCCGACATATCTGCTACAAGATCAAGCCTTCAAAGTCCGGTATCTGTGATGTCTCATTTCTTCGACCCTATACTAGCACTCAAGTTACCTAGCGTTTAGAGAGACTACCCCTTCAGACTATAAGTGAGACTCAATGGATGTGGATATCAGACAAATATTTGTTTAGTCAGGGGAACATGTGGCATCATGTCCTCATGTATCACTCATCTGTATCAAGTTCTACTCGGAAACTCCTCCAAGGCGACGCGTACCTGGTCGAAGGCTTCGACTTCCAAATTAGGATCACTAGCATGGCTACTATCTCGCTCCTGCTGACGCTTTTCCCAACATGAAGTAGCTTCAGAACACCTTCAGATGCAGTCATATAGGGATCTCTCGCCTCCTAGTATGTTTCTAGACTCTGGAGTATGACTTTGTGGGTCTTCAAACGCAAGCATAAACTCCATGGTGCTTCTGCTAAGGTAAGTATATAAGCAGACGTACATCCTTTTTCTCCACAAGTATTAGATTAAGGATCGCAAAAGCAAATCAATTGAAGCAGATTAGCACGCTAAAACCTTGTCAATGCAAATCAACAGAATCTAATTAAGAGAGTCTCGCTACAATCACGTTTTTCGTCTACATCAACGACTATACACTCATTCCAACGTCTATATTCCATATCTCACCAGAATCAAAATGCAGAACTTCAAAGCAATTGCATTGTTCACTCTCTTTCTTCATGGCTTTTCAGTATACGCCAATCCGCTGCTGGACAGCAATCTTGACGTACCTTTGAGACTACGCAGACTAGATCGACCACTCATTCAACGACGCACTTCAATCGACTTCCTATCCCACGAAAATGCCTCAGATATTAAGACAGAAATCATAACAATCCCTGCTGAGAGACTTCTCGCGCGAGCAGATTCCACTTCCGTGCCAACCTTTGACGAAACAGCATTCAATCAAAGCGTCACAACTGCATGCGCCAATGCCGTCAACAGCTATGCAGAGGCAATCAATCCCAGCGGCCTCGTTGCATGCTACAATATTGCTTCCTTCGATAACGCCACGGGCATCTTTCAGACTGATGTACGCCTGTATCAGAAATCGGCTGCCACGGGCTCCTTTGGAGGGTTGATTCCTTCTGATCTTTCCATGTCGTTTTCGATTGCGCAGGCGACGCTTTCGAATCCGATGCTTGTGAGTACGAATGGGTCTATCACCGCTAGTACGGCTGCAAGCGGTCAGTTTGTGATGGGATTTCAGAATATTGGACAGTTGAGTACGAGTTTGACGTTTTCGAAACTCAGCGTGTAAGCTTCCTTGCTCCCTTTCTCAACCCATACAGTAATTGACTTATATATAGTGACGATCTCCGTATCCTCATGATCCCATCAATTTCTCTTGGTGCAGACTCTCAAACTGGGGGTACCGTCAACACATCCCTTTCATCCGACACACTCTCCTATGTAGCCGGTGAACTCGTACAAGCCAACGGCACACCGACAAATATTACCACTCCGCAAGCAGCCAGTCTCGCAAGCCCGATAGTGGCTGCTGCATCAGTATTTGTTCTGCCAGGGACGCATATCAAAATTGCTCCCGTGGGGCTGATTATTACATGTATCTGGACGGGATTGTTGCTTTTGGCTGTCGGTGGAGGCACTATTGGACGCTATCAGTTCAGGGTTCATTACAGGCAGCGAGTTCAGCGTGCATTGGTTAACCAGAGCATTCCTTACTAGATCAATCTTTTCTTGAGTCCTTTTTTTTTGGTTATTGTCCTCGTTTCAGCATTTTTGATACCTCCATTGTATGTTTAGCTTATAGCTTTCTCGTTCCTGGCGAACTTGAGATAATGACCAATAATTTCGATTCATTTTGAGAATCATGATGAAGAATACAGTTCTTTCTCTTTATCGACCTTGCAAAATATCCATATCAATCCAGAATCAGCCAATCATCGTTCTTTTGGTATACAATCTCGCCCTAAGAGACCGCCGCGGAGGACATTCCCACGCTATTCCGTTTTGGGTCTGATAACGATAGAAGGAAAAAAAAGTTGCGCGGGGTATTTTGAGCTCCAAATCTATAACTTTGCTTCTGTGAAGCGGGCAAGCGTCAAAAGCTTATAGATTTTTTGTTTAATATTTCTTCTCTGTGATTTTGATCTTAACAAGACCGGAATTTGCGTCCCAGAAAGAATATCGTGCTACAGGGCGACTCAAACTTCATGTCGCAATCGAAACAGATTTCGCTCTCTTGATACTATCTACCCATCACTGATTCGCAAGCCAAATACAGTGGCATCATCCAAGATGGCTCTAGACGCGCCTGTTTCCTCGACCAAACCCGCTCACTTTGCCACTTTATATGACGACGCTACGACAAAAGGAAACTTTGACCTCATTCGCATTCGTACGACAGACCAACTCCTCCACGATCCGCTCGCACAAACCATCTTGAACATCACAACAAATTCAGAAGAAGCTCTTCATAAAGGCGAGATAAGCTACACCGACATTCTCGTGGATCGAGTACGCAAGCGTGTATCAGAATCAGCTGGGAAGGAACATGAGCTATTGTCGCAAATACTACACATTGGCTTTGCAGCGCTATTCTATTTTCTACAGTCCAATGTCACCGGTCCACCGTTAGAGTTTGACTCGGCGACAGTCGTGTTCGGGGAAACAATCGCAGGTAACAGGGAGACTCTAAACTCAATACGACGGAGGATGTTGAGAGATTTGTCTATGGATGGAGAAGCCGTCTACCCGCTTACGCCGAATATTGAATTATTCTGTATTGCTAAAGCTATACTGGTTGAGGCGGATGTACTGGTGACTGGTGACGCGCCTCTTGTTGCATGGACGGGTCGTATGAGGGTGAATTTCTTGCATCAGAAGATGCTTAGCGAGATTTCGGGTACACTACAGAAGTCCATCTATGACGACCTTGACAGAATCAGTACAACTGTTCTGGCCGAAGGCTCAAATTCAAATGGTAAATTGCAGACTGCATTTTTACTCGAGCGAGCAGCGATACATACACATCACGGATTCGATGCGAAAGCCCGATCTGATCTTGACAAAGCAGCCGTGGCATCTGGGTTCGAATATGCTCTTACTGGAAAGTTGGGAAAGAGGACAAAGTTTCAGGATAGAGATATCACTCAGCTCGTCGTCTTGGCCGTGAGCTCAGAAATGGACCCAGCATCAGACACGGCAGCATCAAAGCAAGTATCAGAGACTTCCGCGCCTAAAGCTCTCGATTTGAATGATGACACTTTGCTCGAGACGATTGCATTTGCAAAGGAAGGAGCGCAACCCGAAAAGTCGACTACTGTCCAGGATGAGTCTTCTCTACCCCCTGCACTTGCGTCAATCGATCCTTCGAACCAGCCGAAACTGAACCCTCTCGACTCTGCCATACTACTCGGTATGGCTTCAGCTATTACAAACAACTCGCCCGAGCATGGATTGACTCGTGAGGAAACACTACCATATGCAGTGCGTGTTATCGAAAGCGGTAGTAGCAACTGGCAAATATATACCCAGGCTCTCCTCGTCCGTAGCCGATGCGAGGCTTTCAAATCACGTACCGTTGAAAGAGGAGTTCTACAAATGCAAGCCTTAGTCGACCAGGTCATCGCTGATACCGCCACCAGCAACGCAGCGGTAGTCACCACCCACACAGTTACCAACGACCAACAAGAACAGCCAACGACATTCTTGCCTCGACCTCAAGAATCAGAGTCTGCGCCAGCCGAGGAACGGTTAGAGTATCTATGGATACTTGATTTCCAGACAAGATGGAATCTTGAAGCGGAGCTTGCGCAGAAATGGGTTAGTCTAGGTGGTCTCAGGACAGCTCTTGACATTTATGAGAGACTGGAAATGTGGGCTGAGGTTGCGCTATGCTATGCAGCAACTGAGAGGGAAGAGAAAGCCAAGGCGATTGTTCGCCGTCAGTTGTACGAACCCACGAATGCGGATGCGGTTGACGATGATAATGAGCGGTATGAGGGACCTGAATTGGCACAGTTGCCAACAGATGCGCCACGTTTATTCTGCATCCTAGGTGATATCGATTCTGAACCGACTATGTATGAACGAGCATGGGAGGTTTCTGGCCAACGATATGCACGAGCGCAACGCTCTCTTGCAAGGTTATATCTCAAAGCCCAGCCACCTGCTTATGAGAAGGCAGAGGAAGCATACAAGAAAAGTTTGAAAATAAACCCTCAAAATCATAGCGCATGGTTTGCGCTTGGCTGTGTGCAATTGAATCGTGAGCAATGGTTTGAAGCTGTTGAGTCATTCACTCGCACCGTGCAGATCGAACAAGATGATGCTGAGGCCTGGAGTAACCTTGCAGCTGCGCTTTTGAACATCCCTTCCAACAAAAACAAACCTTCAGTCGACGCAAATGCAGATACTACATTATCCGAAGAAAATAAGGATATAGAAGACGCCGATGGTGAACGGTATGAAGAAGATCCATACAAACACACACGCGACGCCCTCACGGCTCTTCATCATGCCGCTCGTCTCAAACAGACCGATCACCGCATCTGGGACAACATTATCACAGTTGGCACCTCGCTACCTCCTCAATCGATACCGTACAAAGACATTGTCTTTGCGCAACGAAAAGTCATTGAACTCCGGTCACCAAAGAAAGGCGAAAAAGCCATCGACCTAACTGTCCTAGACATGTTGGTGGAACATCTCATCGACAACTACGATTACGACAACCTTCTCATAAATGTCGACGGCACGGATCAGAAGATTGTTCGTTCCGGTACAGTGGCCGGTCAGATTATGACTCTGGTCGATGACGTTGTAGTCCCCTTGATCACTCACTCCGCTCCGCTCTGGCTTCTTGTCGCGAAGATAGAGCTGTGGCGTCATCGACCTAGCAAAGCATTTGCAGCGCATGAAAAGGCCTGGCGTGCTACGGTCTCTACGTGTACTCAAGGCGCATTTCAGATGGGTGATGAGAAGAGGTGGAATCAGATTGTCAAGGCCACTGAGCGTCTTGTGAGAGATGGATATGCGAAGATAGGCGGTATGACGAAGGAGAGGGCAGATGGAAGTATACCGGAAGGTGAGGAGGGTGGTGAAGAAGAACTAGTTGCGAAAGATTGGAGGTTCAAGAGTAAGAGTGCGGTGAGGGGAATACTGGGCAAGGGCAAGGATTGGGAGGGTACCGAAGGGTATACACAGCTCAAGGAGCTGCTAACAGAAGTCGATGGCTAGACTTGACAATAGTTTAGAAATTTGGTTTACGCTTGTTCAAAGACATGGCTTGTATATATATAGCCTATAAATCGACTGCTATCCTAGCCTTACGCTATGTGCCTGAAATTAACACAGCTCGTCAATGTCGTGCACATAGATACCGAGCATCCCAGTGAATCTTCGTCCCTGATATAGCTTGGGTTCATATGCACAAACTTGGGCCTTCTATAGTCAGCTCGCTTTAATATGCCCAAAGTATCGAGATCGCCGATCCCAAAGAACGCCTTCCATACATCCGAAGCCGAATCCCGAGCCAGGAGAACACACACAAATAGGCAGTAAATAGAAACACGCCACTGATGACATGCCTTCTATAAATAAATAGGGCGATGGGTGCGTTCCAGAAAAGCTTAAAACCCTAATTTGACTTCAGTCACTGCTTAATTTCCTACTCTGGGAATATCTATGAATGACGCAATGATGATGTGTAAGACAGCAGCTGTTCAACCTGAAAAAAATAAAAGGAGTGTCAAGTATCACATGCTTATCTTAGGGTTGTACACCTATTTTGTCAGCTTTGAGGATGACGACGTGGTGAGGTAGACACAATTTTAAATGTGATCAATTTGACTGTCTAAACTAACCGATATTGTGGTATAGTACATCTCGTAACATTCGTTATAGACATTAAGTAATTTGTTTAGGCTCGTCGCTTTTCTCCTCCCTGTCATCAGGTGAATCTCTTGGTTCTTCAATTTCCCCTCGATTTTCGATCTATGATTCACGTGTTTGGGTTGTCGTTTCCTTTATTTGATGATGATTTGAAAACATGATATTCGTGTGGATTTGATCTGATTCAGATCATGGTTAGCTTCCATGTAACACAGGGACAATCCTACTCATTGATTACACCCGAAGCAGAAGAACGATATACGTACTATGACTTAGAAGTATGGCAGCTGGGGCAGCGGTTGTAGCCACAGATTTTACAACGCCAAATAGCCCGAAATGGACCAGAGTTGCAGTCAGAGCAGCGCCAGGTAAGAATGTTACCGTTGGTGCCTTGAATGATAGCGAAGACGTGGGCGCATCCAGTCTGGTTTGCCATGTTGATTGTTTTGAGGTGTGTTTCTCCGAGAGTTGGGTAAGTCTGATAGCAAGTTAGATGCTTAAACAAGACGGGACACCCGAGAAATAGACGACGTCGACATGAATTGACATACCAAGGATGGTTGTTCAGAGGTGGATTGAGGTTGACTGTTCGAGAGTGAATTCAATGTGAACAAGGACAGTTTTATAGGGTTCTATAATCAGAGTCAGAGGTGAAAAAGCAAATGTATCGGAGTCAAAGGTGAAGAAGGCATCCAATGACAAAAAAAATAATTCTTACCGTCTGACCTGTTCATAAACAGAATGATCGTTTCGTGATTCAGATGATTTGAAGGGTTCTGAGTCTCGTTCGATGAGTGGAAAATATTGTGACTTTATAGAGTTCTCTGACTCCCTGTCCATTGATCTCTTCTGATGAGCAGTCAGATGTATATGAATCTTTGATGAAGTCGTTGTGCAGACTGCACTACCCAAAACACAGATCGCGTGCACGACAGTCGGAGACAGATGTGTATTCAACAACGCCTTCCGAAAATAGTAGAAATTAAATTTGAATTAATCAAAGCGGTGGATGATCAATGGCCACAATGGCCTTCTTGCCTTCCTTCTCTTTTCTTTTGCGTCCGTTCCGTGTGATACTAAAACGGGGAATAGAGTACGTATCCGATCCGGGTCTTCTCCGATCTAGGCGTCCGTTTCCAGATGTGTTTTATGACGGGGCTGGTAGACAATAGTGAAGAAGTTCATGAAAATAAAGAGGACGCGGTTGGCGGCATTGCTTCCATACGGGGACGATTTCGGAGGGAGATATGATATGGCGCGTTGAGATGCTTCATCAATCAAATCAGAGAAACTATAGATACGCGAGATGATCCACCTGGTCATCACCCACTGCGGGCAAAATGGTCACAAAAGTGGCTGCATGATGTCTGTTTAAATGCTAAGCTATTATGCGGACAAGGAACCTTGGAAGCAGAACGACATGCGGGAGAAGGGCCCGAAAGACAAAGTGAATCTATATCAGGTCGAACTAAGCGATAGAGGTGTCAAGAGAGGCGCAAAGAGAGTTTGGTAGGTTCATCTAAGTACATGTAGGTGACTTTGTACTCCATACTTGGAATGGACGACATCAGTACATTCCCCCATACCTGGGAAGCCATGAAATCTCCCCTTCCGTGGTCCAAGGAGATCCAGACGCTAAGTACCACTAACTTTTTTTTTGTGGTACCAATGTTATGGTTCTAATGGGTCCCGTACATACTAGGGTGGTCCATGGGCTAGAAAAAGCAACGAAAGAGTGTCTAGTTTTCGGTTTCTGGGTGCTTGACCCTTGAAAAAGTCCCTGCAGTAGAATATTACATTCCCATTCGTCAATTGCTGTGGATTTCGACCCACATATGGAACTGTACTGTCAAATTTCCAAACTTACTCTGTAAGTTCAAAGTATTTTAGTATCGTCACTTTTACCTCTAATTTAGAGCATTAGTCTTGACTTGAGACGTACGTCGTACTACCGATCGGCTTCGTTCGGTCTGGACTGTGATTATCCTGTTCCTAAATTGATTACCTTGATACATCATTTCGTAAGATCTAGTCCAACATGAACTTGAACATGAATCATACACGCAATCTGGCAATCTCAACCCACGACTCTGATACCGATATTGTTGAACAAGGGACAGGATGAATTATTGCCTGCTTTGTCTTGACTAGTCAAACAGAGTTGATCGAACCATGCTTCATGACTCTTTGGTCCGATCCAATTTTGTTCGTCTGTTTAGCACTAGAGAAAAACCAACCAACCTTCCTCGGAGAACCATACTGTCTCCAATACCGCGATCTAGAAGACTTTTGATCATGCCGATCTAGAAGTCTGCTTGGGACAAGCTAAACATGAACTAAACTTGTGACCAACCCAGAGAAAAAACGGTGAGGAAAAGTGGATGATACCATATTGCCCTAAAAAGCCAGTGATGTCTGTAAATACCGTACATTACCGTATGTTCCTCGCTACCATCAAATCACAAACTCCCGGGGATACGGTTCCGAGGCGCTAGTAACCACGCTAGCTGGATTATGTATTTTGTACATGATTGGTACGTTCTCCTGTAATCTTGATACGTGGGTATTCCCTTCTTTTGTTCTCTTCTCTTCTCTTCTGACTCCGAAGCTCAAGGAGATATCTGTCCAGAAATGACTCCAAAGTATTCGGCATTTCTTACCTCAATGTATCACATTGCATCTGATTTCAAGCAAAATCTTCCCGCTGTACTTCGTATAGGGTCATCTTTTACTTGGCATGCAAAAAAGTTGTCGGCCCGAACTTTTAGTACGTAGTCCCTTTCTTCCCCTATCTTGCTTAGTCTCCGTGGGACTCTATGACAATGATTAAGTTGGCAATCAAATCAATGACATAAGTTGCACAAAAGCACTGAACATCCATATGTAGTACTACTGCAAGCTAGTGCTGACTTACAGATGCGATGCCATCTTCACTCCTCGAGGACTTTCCCGCCTTTTCCTCCAGAACGACTACACCGTCCCCTCACTGCCGCGTGTCACAAACCAGAAGGCGCTGATATTTTGTCAACGGAATTTGAGGCGACTTGTTACAAGCCGTTCTATAGCCAGCTGACTATATTGGTGCCAAGACTTTTAAGTACTTATAGCTGACGCCAGTCAGGAGGACGTCCTGAAATCAAGAAATTGTGTCCTGATTGACTCCCCGCTCCCAAGCCAGCCCTAACTCAACCAATACAACTAATATTCCGTACTTTAATTAGGCTCTGCATCTAGCATAGTTCACGGCCCAGTATCCCTGTCGCAAGTCAACCTTACCTTTCTGTTGAAGTAGCTAAAAAGACTAGTCCCAGTTTCGTTCAAGCTTTGATGTTGTGTGTCGTCATGAGACGAGCCAATAATGTTTGAGCGATCTCAGCTCGTCCCAGTTTCAGCTCGTAGCGGGTAGTGTCTAGTCTGCATTAGGATAGCGCTTTCATAAACAGAGTTTCAGGTGGACCCAGGGCTATGTCACGATACGTCGTGGGTGAGCACTGAACTACTTCACAAGGTCCACTATGTGGAATACTTACGTATTTTACTTCTATTTACTTTAATATAGAAATAGAACACCGACTTACTCCGCGCTTGCTTTGCTCAAAGTATCACTTATGTTAATATATGTTGGGGCAGTACCTATATTAGCCTCGATTATTGCATTGTTCGAAGAGTGTTGGGTTAATCTCCTGAGCAGTCAATGTAGAAGCACGCCTTCAAGGTCCTGGGAGTATGTACTATCGATTCACTTGTAGGTAAGGCACTTATTTGGGTTGATTCGTAAATCCTACTCCTATACGACAAATATGCTTCCATCGACAGATTACTGACTCGCCGTGTTGATTTATGTCATGGGAAATTTTTATTTCTTTGTCTGTCAAAAAACAAATACCGGTGGCGTCAACGGCTCGTATACAATTTCAGGGACTACCCTACTCTTCCAGGCAATGGAATTAGCAGTTCGATACGGTTGACCCCATCAGATTATCAGCATCTCATGTGGTCTCAGAGGTAGTCCGAACAGTGTAATAGTAACAAACCGAAAGGGTAGTTTTACCGGGCAGCCTGCATTTACAGTATCGTTGACTGACAGCCAGTCAGTTACATGGGATACGTCGTTGTTTTGCATACAACATCCGGAGATTTGCAACCGAACTACATCGATCAGCAGCGTGTTTACAGGGATCCCGAGTTTTCTGGGTCTGTATATGAGGTGAACATGTGATAGAAAAGGCACCTACTAACCGGGTTTTTTTTTTGAGGTAAGCAGAAAAAGCAACTCGTTCGGAAGTGTACACAGGTACTCAGGTACATCATATCACGGCTATGCCTTGGAGAAATGGCAAGATATGAGCCGAACGTGGCAAAGCGTCTAGTAACTTCTAGCAACCATTTGACCTTCTACTTCTAGACTCCATGGAAGCACTCCACATCACACGCACTTGTCTCGTATGGGTCTAATTATCGCAGAACATCTAGTGACCTAGTAACAGTCAAAAGATCTATCTAGCGAGCAGACGTAGCCAGACTTGAGTCACGATCGCAAGGCTCTTACTCGTTGCTCGAGAACAAATGTATTGATGTACCTAGGTAGGCCAGTACTCTCAGGTTCAGTTACACAACAACGATACATTTGTCCTATACTGGCATGTGTATTTATAACAGTCGGTGTATGCAAAATTCCGTCCGCATGACTTTAATTTCCCTTAAAAAGTAAAACAAACTGAAAGTTTCATTATTCTACATATTCGTTGGGATATTGCATTCCACATGCAAACGTTGAATGTTCACGTGTAAATATACGTTATTTATTATTAGAAAGATGGAAATCACCTTTGCCACCACTAAGATCTAGATCGATTGGAAATAAGTTTATTGCTCTAGAGCAATCAACTATAATAATCAGATATACGTCAGATATGGCTCGTTTATGGTACTGTGTCATGATTAAGCTTGTTCATTGAGCCGTCGGAATTGACCCTTCAAATCCGCGGAGCTAGTAGATCCATTGCATCCCTGTCATAACCATATTCATATTGATTTGTTACCAGCCCATGACGTTCTACCTTTAGTGATGCATCAGATCATCGCAAGCCACAGAGGTTGCACGGGCTCCGTGCAGTTAAGCAATTGAGCCTTGGCTCTGGGCCGGACCCTTACTTTCTTTTTCGGCACTTTTTATTTAGCCTTGTCTGGGATTTGTTCCTTTTTTCCCATGTTTAGTTCTTATCTTTACTGATAGTAGAAAATGCTTTGTAGTTACCTGATCGGCAGAATGATTAAATAAAATAACATAGGGGCCGAAACAGGGGCCAGCCTCCGGCACAATATTAAACACTTCATGAGTATTCGTCAATTAAGCAAGGCATGCATGCTCATACATTATGAAGATAGAGGCAAGAAGCATGCATGTGTGAATTATAATAGAATACTCGAATAGGTAAGTAATTGATATAACCTCTTGACCTAATCTGACACCAGCATACATACGTAGTACCTCCTGTCAGGTTTGATATTGACCGTCATTTGAGTTCATGGTATAACATTGATACGAACACTAAGAACGCGTTTAGTCTGAAAATGGAATGGGTAGCTGCCTTCCGCCTTGCTTCCTCACCTCTGTGCATCGTCAGAATCATCTTTGTAATATTATGAGTACCAAATTGTATCAACTTAGATGTATGTATGCATCCACACCGCGTCATTTGATCTCACATTGTCCCTGACTAACCCGACATTGGAAGCCCACCTCTGTATTCTCGGAATAGGCCAGACTAATCAAGTTCTCAAATCTTGCAGTAATCTCATGCTGAGATATTGGAAATCAATAATGGAGATCTGTGATATCTGCTCGCTTAAAGATCAGCCAGCCAAATTTGCGAGTGGCTCATCCATCAGATGATATCCCTGAATGAGACCACGGATGTACGCGGGTACCTGTCGGTGGATCATGTGAGCCAGCCTTGAATTCAAAGTTCGTATTTCTGTAAATCCCCGAGTAATTCCTAAAGTCTCTCAAACATGACTTACATCTTATGCATGTTGATAGAGCTGATCCATGTGCATCTATCATTAGCGAAGAATGCTCAAGCGTGAGAAGTATCAACTACTTCATCGCCTAAAATTCAAGGGAGTCTGCCTGGAATCCAAATGAGTCAGCATCTTCTATCTGGTTACTACCTTTTTCGTAATATAATCAATGTAGGGTTTAGTCTTCGATCTCGCACTTCTTAGGGCTAAAACTTGTTTAGGGCTAGGGCTAATATTCGTCATTCCGAACGGTGGCCCTTTGGCATATATTTCATTCCGAACTCTGACATGACCCTAATAACCCTAACGCTTAATCATTCCGCAAGCTCGGAATGAAAAGAGCGCCCGGGATAAGAACAACATCAGTCATCACACATCGCGGAGATTTATTCATCAACCCAACAACGCCGTTCTCTTTCGCTTCGAATCTCTCGGCAACGGTTATTCCATCATCACGAAGAAAAAGGAAATATCTACTTTACGATGCTGCGTCGGAATGGAAAACCCACCTCATGTGAGCCGTGCCGCATAGCAAAAGTTCGATGGTGAGATTGAAGAACTCCGGAAGGACAACACATAGAAATCTTATTTGCTAAATCATGTCTGCACGATACAGTGATCATTCTACTCCGATCTGTCGGCGATGTAAATCCAAGGGCATTGCCAATAAGGTATGTCAACCCGCGAGTCCATTGTATTATCCACACTCGGAATACTGACAACATCCTATCAGTGTTACTATCACCCAGCCCCCTTGACTAGGCCGAAAAACCCGAACGATAGAACCAACCCACTATCATCCACTCGGCGGAATAAAACCAAGGTCCATGTCCGACCAAGCAGAGCAGAGGAAACTATCGCTGCACGAACACTAACAGACATACGCAAAAGGGCCAACTCATTTACCGGGTCGAATACTAAAGAATCCAATCATTCAAACTACCTTGGTACCACAAGCTACTTGTCAGTTTTCAAGGAGACTGCATCATGGACTCCTCATGCATCGTGGAACTGCTCCCTTCATGCAGAATTTGAGCATTGGCGCCGCGACCATGCATACACATCTGCAAGGCTCGTCCGTCTACTATGTGCCGTAGGGTTTTATCGAAAGCAAATCAAGTGGTTCTATGCCAGAGGACGATTCACCAAGATCCCAGGACCGCTGGTTCTGGATCCTTTACGCCGGGTGCAGGAATATATCGAAAAGAATGCGTGGATTCAGGAACGGAATTGGGAAAGGATTCATAATCAAATCACAGCTGCAACGTCGCATTCGCTAAGACTAACTAGCGAGACTTCGCCAGACGAATTTTATTCCTTATTCACAGGAGAGAATCTTCGCTGGGAGTTTGTCGGCCTTATATTCGCTCTGGCGGGCAACAGTGTCCGGTGTCGATATGACGAGTCGTATATCGTGGATTTGGGGAACGGTGAAGAGATGGACGCTTACACCTTTTCCAAGGAGATGGTACTTGCAAGTAACGCTTGCATTGAAATATGTAGACAATATGAACACGTCAATGATCTGCTCATCTGGATGTACAAAAGTCATCTCTACTTAGGGTCAGAAGTGCTAGGCGAAACAAGTATGTTCTCACATTCTCATATCTTTTTACAATGGCTGCAGGTAGACTTTAAATATTGACGTGTATAGGCGAGCGACTGTACAGTATGTTCGGAGAAATGGTATCAGGAATCTACGCCATGGGACTGCACCGCGAGCATCATTCTATCAACGTTCCATTCTTTCTCTCAGAAACACGGAAACGACTTCTAGCCGAAATACACAAGTCTGACAAGACGGTTGCTACACTGTACGGCCGGCCGCCTCGGCTACCCTATCATTATTGCGACGTTGCACTTCCATTGGACTTATCGGATGATCAACTATTCTTGGACGAGCAGTCTCTAGAAGTCGTCCTCAATAGCCTTGATAGCGAAGGCTGGAACCTTCAGGGGCAGTTCTACCCGGCGACTGTTATACGAATGCGCCAAATTATGAGCGCATTGGGAGAGAAGATGCTTGAATTGTCATTAGGATCAAGGACCACAAGTTATCACAACGACCTAATGTAAGGCATTTCAAGTCCCAGGATTCCCATGCTGTGCCTGTGAAACTAACACACGCTCAGAAAGACATACAAGTTATGCCAACGGACATGGGACCAGATCCCAGTACGATTCCGCTATAGCGCTGATTGCTGGGAAAAGGGAGACGTTGTTGAAGGCCTAGCCAAAACCATAGTGTATTTGGAGTACCTTTTAAGTGTATTCCAAATACAGAGGATTCGTAGGCAAGAAGATCCAGAAGCCACCAAAGATTTGATTGATACTTCAGTACAGCTGTTGTCGGCAATAGTGGGCATGACGAAACACTATCAGCATGGTGATGTTCAGAGGAACTTTGGATGGATCGTAAGTCTCTGTCTATCTATCTCAGGCTTTCAATGGCACGATATTTTCGCCGTATTCCAAAACCTGGAATGAAACAGCTAATATTTGATATGTCTGTAGTTTGGAGCTTTTGGCAGTGCAGCCGCCGGCGTTCTCGTCACCGAAGTACGCCGTTATACAATCTCCAACCTGCCTCTCCCATCATCAACACCTCGCTCAGAGATCATTCGTACTCTGAGCTATCTCATCTCATGGTTCCAATCCGTCAAAATGCCTCCCGATCTCGCCGGCACTGTGTGCACGGAATTTATAAAAGTGATTAGCCGGCTACTCGATGAAGCACTAGACTACCAACAACCTCCTCCATCTTCCGTGGCTCGACCAATAACTCCAAATCCTCACGGTACGGAAAACATGAATCTAAACACAGCCAATAATACTTCTGCTATGCCCGTAGAATTCCCTGAAGAAGCAGATATCCCGGCATCTCAACAACAGCAACAGATACAAGGACTCATGCTAGACGGCGGTCCAATGGAATCACTATGGTTCGGGATGGGGATGGAATATGGTGTCGGCGATGACGCGTTCCATGGTTTGGGACGTGGTCTCGTGAGCGATGGGATGAATTGGCTGGATGAATTAGGGTTGAACACGGACTTGGATGATGGAGGAATCGGATCTTAATCTTGAGAAGAGCGAACTATACCGCTATTCTTTTGGAACCGTATAGTCACCTCTTTTACATACATATAGAGCTTTAGAATATATCCATCTCCGTTATTGCATAATGTATTGAATGTCTAAGCTAAATCTCAATGTTCACCACTCCGAGCCACATGTCGCAGAGAAGTGCAATGCAAGTACCTAATACATGGCATTGCGCACTGAAATTGAAAAAAACCCCCCTTGATTCATAGAATTCAGACTTACATGCAACAGTAAGGCATAGTTTAGTGGCGCTACGCACTTGGAGTCAAGTCATCTGATCAACTGCATGGATGGTTACATGTAGCTAGATTACTGCGCTGCATGCGTGCGTGCGTGGTTTGGTGGTCTACTATCAAATCGGTAACAAGAAGTTTATCTGTCATACCCACTCAAGTCTTGTGTGCAGAGACAATAGTGCCACGGCCGGACACCGATAGTTTATGTGTAACGCACAAGATATTAGTGTTGGCAGTTTAATATCGTTTCCTGTTACGGTATTTGATCCATTGCCTACCCACTGCCTACCCTACAGTCTCCAACGTGCTTCATGTCTATCTTGTCGTATGAAATGATATTAGTGTAGTGATCCGGACTACAATTCCAAGACAGCAGTATTTCCTTATTGAATCATATTTGCTACATGATATGTAATGATATACATCATGTCTGGAGGATTCTCTTGCACTTCTCCCACCGATTGATCCCAAAGGGTCCGAAAGTAGTGCCTTCGATTTCCGTGATAGGTTGTGTCCAAGTGATACCTCTCCGAATACAACAGAAAGTTGTAAAAGTTGAGATACGGCCTAGACTCCTATCGAATGTTTTCTCTTCCAACGCTCCGTTAAGAACATCATAGTTGTAAAAGCAAGATGTCCTTGCAAGGCCCTTTGTGGCCCTGCATCGCTGGGTTTGATTTCAAGTGCAAAGACTTGATTGTCATTCTGGGCAAGAAAGGGGAAATGCTGTCTGATGTTTGATTTTCATGTAGAAATACACCTGTTTGCTTGAGACTATCATCAAACTCATAGCAAATATGGACTCTGTAAAAGATAAGTAGAAATTTACACACAGAGTCAAATATAATCGTGAAAGCAACCCCTTTCACCTGTTAGTCATGAATATCATCAATTCGTCCATCAGTCCTCCATCCACCTTTCTTTAATCGGTCAATTGGAATAGGGCAGATATGCTAAAGACATGTTAGTGAATTCAATTGGCGCCTCTAGAAGGGGGCGCACCTTTCGCCATAGTGGTGACGCCGAATACTCTCTGATAACAGAGCAGATACGTCGATAACGGTCAGCTTTTTCGAGAGACCCATCTTCTCTGAAGGGATGGGAAACGAGTTTGTGACAACAATGTGGTCTATCGCATCGCTCTGCTCCATTTCCTCTAAGCAGTTGTCACCAAACAATCCATGTGTAGCAATGCAGTAAACTGTTTTTGCACCACCCCTCCTGACGACTGTCTCAGCGGCGGTGATCCATGATCCACTTCGATCAATCATATCATCAATAATAAAGACAGCCTTGTCCTTGACATTTCCGACCAGTGTGATTGTTTTCTCGTCATTATTGGCAGCCAATGCGGGTGGATCATCATCGTCCGATTCGCCGGCATCATATGTTCCACCAAGGGCGTGATCCTCATGTGATGAAGCGACAGACATGAAAGACGCTGTCATATGATCATTGTTTGTACTATCGCCACTTTCTGAGCCTGTTGGAGGAAGGGGAGTGGCCACTTGAGACCCGTCAACAAAATCGTCATCGACAAGATGTCCTTGTACGATACGCCCCGTAATCACTTCACGTGCTCGTTCATCAGTCGTATATTCTGCAGCTTCCAGTTCAGAAGGTCGCCGAGCTGATGGAGGAGTCTCGGGTCGTAGTGTATCTGCAGATCTCGAGAGAAAATAATCATCCACAGCCGAGTCTGGGTTGGCATTTAAGAAATTGATCGCTCTTCCAGCCGAGTGATTTCCCTTCTCGATAGTATCAAAGAAGACCATGCTATCTGTCATGTTCATTTGAATCTTGGGCCTGCGACGATCTGTTGTGACAATGCCGAAATTCAGCTTCAAGGTATCCGCAAGTGATGTCACTCGCTTTGTACCACCTGCATTCTTGCTGACGACGACTGCATCCCTCCAGCTGGGTACATTCATTCGAATCCAACGGGCTATCAATGGCTCTGCGAAGAGGTTGTCAACGGGCTTCGCAAAGAAGCCTTGCATTTGAGACGCCTGAAGAGCAGACTGTTGTTAGAATTGTAGTCTAGAAGAACCTCTATGCACGGGAAACGAACATGTAGGTCCAGAGTAATAACATGGTCAACACCTGCAATGGTGAGTAGATTTGCGATCATTCGAGCTGTGATAGCACCTCGGTGGCTCTTCTTTTTCGACTGTCTCGAGTAGGGAAAGTAGCTTATCAGTGTAAGATAGATAATCCTGTCACTTAGAAGACATGGCTAACGTACGGCATGACGGCTATTTAATAATATAATTAGCCATGTGTCCCAAGATAACAAGAAAATATCCATGTAGGCATACCAGTTATGGTCTTGGCGGAACCGCCTTTGCAAGCAGAGATCATGATCAAGAGCTCCATGAGACTATCATTGATCTTGCTACTTCCACTCTGCACAATATAGACATCCTGGTTTCGAACAGACGCGCCGATGTTGACTAATGTCTCTCCATTGCTGAATTTTCGGAGCTCAGCTGGTGCGGGGACAGCACCCAGACGCTCGCAGATGGATTCTGTCAAGGTCGGGTGGGATGTCCCTGAGAAGATCTGCACGCCTCGCATGATGGGAATTGGTGGTGAGGGTTAATATGACTTAGAATCCTCCGGTGGACCAGCTCATGGAGGAGAGTTATAGTGAATGAAAGGTTTGTTGGGAAAGATTGACATCTTCAATGAAGAAGACACAGAGACTCAGAGATGGAAGAAGGAAGGAAGAAAGAGAAAAAAAGCTAAGATTAATGCGGGATGAAAATGCTAGTGACGTGGTCCGTGCTCCTTCTGCCTGAGGCCGAGCATAGCCAATCGTCTCTCCGCAGTCATTAATTACTCGTCTTTCACCCATGGTCGTCAATTGACTCGCATCGACGCTCCAAACACAGCCAAGATGTCTCAGAAATTCCCTGAAGTCCAAGGAGGCGGCTCTCTCATTGTTGCCTGGCAGATCAGGAACAAACACGTCCTGGTCGTCGGAGGTGGTGAGGTGGGGTTTTTCTAATGACTATGTACTACTCATCCTAGATCCAATGGCTGACCTGTGAGATGCAATGACAGGTAGCATCAGGTCGTATCCTCCATGCTCTCAATGCCGATGCCAAAGTGACCGTCGTCTGTCCCAATTCCGGCCTCAATGAAGAAGTCGCCTATCGCGTCGCCCAGAACCAAGTCTCCCATATCGACCGCAACTTCGAGCCCCACGATCTCGACAATGCTGACATGGTCCTCTGCGCAATTGATGACCCTGAGGCCTCGACTCAAGTATGGAAACTGTGCAAAGAGCGCCGTATACCCGCAAACATAGCTGATGTGCCGCCGGAATGCGACTTTTACTTTGGTAGCATGCATCGCGATGGTCCGCTGCAGATTATGGTTAGTACGAATGGTAATGGGCCGAAATTGGCAAATATAGTCAGGCAGAAGATTGCCAGCACGCTGCCGCAAAACACGGGGGCTGCTATTGAGAATGTAGGTTTGTTGCGCAAAAAGTTGCGGGAGGTTGCTCCGGATACTCAAGAGGGGCCCAAGCGGATGAAATGGTGAGTTGCAATCGATGTAACCTAAGGAGAATATGATGGATCAGCGAAACTGATGGTCCTCCTGTAGGATGTCTAATGTCTGCGTGTCGTGGTCATTGGAAGATCTCGTAGCCATGACTGACAAAGATATGGACTGTCTATTGAAACACTATCAGGCGGGAGAGGTACCCAGTCTTGAGGACATTCGCGGAACATCAAGATGATACGCTTTATCTGTTATTTTGGTACTATGTGCTGGGCTTTTATCAACTTGTCGGCCGTCTGGTCATTGGATTCCGTGCTAGTCAATTGACGGCTATCTTCCCTGTATACGCTTCCTTCGTCGCTCCTCCGTCGATTCGTGGATCATTTGGAGGCTTGCAAATGTTGGAATGAATCCCCTCTCGTGACATAATCATGAAATTTTGGAAATAATGAAGGCATGAAATCATTTAGCTCATGATCGAGGCCGCCGCTATTGACCCGAAAGACATACTGTCCAATCCCTGCCGAACAAGGATCGGTTCAGTCCGAATATCCTCTCGAGGTCAGAGAACTCCAGGCCCGCAACGAACTAGGATACCAGTCCATTGCACGAAGCTTATCCGGTCATTTGCGTTATGAAGCTGAGGTGCAACTGCCCAGCGGACTCGACAGAAGGCTCTGCATGTTAATGGGACGGCCATTATTCTTCCTGTATAATCTTTGCATTGCTTTCCGATCTCAACTGTTGACGATTCTATTGTACACTATAAGTACAAGAAAACTATATAATCGTATAGAACTACAAACAAAGCATAGAATATAAATGTATGTATCAGCATATCCTAAGAATTTCGGAACTTCCGGTCATGAATCTATATAAGCACAGCAATAATACCCCTGGAGCATAAAGAAAGAGAGATAGAAGCAAACAGAAAAGAAAGGTCCAAGAATACAGTAGGGGGAATTAAATGCACCAAATTATTTTTTAATAACTGACAATGTCAATCGCTTCTCAATGACCACGGCTATGCGTCCTTAGAGAATTTGCTGATGAGGACGGCTCGGCACTAGCAGCAGGGTGTGGGAACGTCAATCCAAGTTTGACTTCGCCGACTCGTCGAAGGACAGACTGGAGAGCATGTCGGATCTCCGAAGAAGCGAGGTCCCGAGCTAGGAGATCGATGGCTAAGGGGTAGAATGTGTCGATATATTGGGTGAAATTGTCTTGGGGGAAGTTGACATATCCTTCCATCACGTCAACAACAACAGGGCGCCAGGCCACTATGTTTCGATGTTGGGTTTCCTCGTCGAGACGGACGTAGCTGCGAATGATATCTGCACATAGTCTGTGAATGGTATTAGTAACAAGGACAAAACTTCAGATGGTCTAAAACTTACGGAACAAGAGCAGTCTCGGTCTCGGCTCTGCTGCTTTTTCTCTCTTCACGCTCATCGCTGTACATGCGGAAAAGGATGTTGACATATGTAGCGGCGCTGCCACTTTCCTGCTTGAGAAGGTTGGGTGGTTGTTTCATGAATCCCTGGCGCCACAGTTGCATACGCAAATCCTTGTCCTCATTGAACTTCTTGGCGAATTGGTAGCTCTTCTTCAGCAGACCCATAAGACGCAGAAGTTCCGGGCTGGGGATTTCGTCGTACACGTTGTCATTCGAGAATAATTCATGAACAGTCTCAATCATGAGCAGCTGAAGGACGCAATTAGTGATTATGCGATTGAAGAATCGCCGCCTAGCAACAGTCACGGCTGCAGGTTGCTGAGTAAGTTCTTGAGCTTGTGGGCGATAATCCTCCAGTTCAGCCGCCGCAGCCGTATCATGTAAAGCGCCGTTGGATGTTTCTCCAGCATCTCCATTTTCAGCAATTGGTGTCTGCGCTCCGTTGATGGCATGTTCATCATCGGAAGCGACGACCGAAGTCTCTGATACAGACACAGCACCATTGCTGGTGGCATCACCATTGCTCTTTGGTACTTCAGACGTCGGTGTTCTTGGCGGTAAAGGAGAGGCAGCGGTGAACAGTTCATATGCAGTAGTCTTATCAAAGAGTTCAACGAATGCGCCTACAATCTTGCCCCAATGTTCATCTGAGAATTTGGTCACATTTTGCAAGATCAGCTGCTGTAGACAATTACTTCCAATACGTGCGATTGTGTCGTTCTCCTGGCAAATGCAGAGAGTCAAGAGACCCAAGAAACGGTCAAGCATGCTCTGTAACGCATCAAAATAATGTGTGAAGAGAGTAATCATGTGCCGCAGAGCTTGAATCATGGTTGTCGACAGCCAAACCGAGAGTTCTTCGTGATTGGGCACTTTTGACATCTCTGATTTGGATTGCAGAACAACAAAAATAGGATATAGCAGTTGCCTCCAAAGGACATCCCAAAATTCTTGTGGGAAATCACCACCATATCTAATCAGCGTCTCAAACAGGTAGTTCAATGCCCTGTAATCAATCTGATTAGACTCTTATTTAAATCTTCAACAACATTGCCACCACTTACCTCGAGCGAACCTCTAGGTCGTCTCCAGTCATCAAGACATCTTGGAAAGCGATGAGCACTGGATACCAGAATTGTTCTTCTTGGGTCTGACGGTTGAGTTGATGTTTCAAAATCGAGCCTGTAACGTCTGTAGCTTCTGTGGCGGGKATATGCTTCCTTGAAAGTGGACATTCTGGAGTTTTGAGCATCTTGGTAACAGCTGCTTTGAGGGTTTCGATGGCCTGGAGGGACTTTTTCTGGAATTTGATATTCTTCGAAAATTCAGTCAAGCAGACAATCAGATCCGCGAAAGCTCCTTGGCTGATCACCACTCCAAAGCGGGTGTTGTAGATCTGAGTGACATGTTCGAATGCCATATTCACAATGCCCTCTGTAAGCTTGTTAAAACAAAATATCGCGGTTATTGGCTACGAAACATGATGATGAGACTTACCATATGGCTCCCGAGCTGCGACGGTGAATACGCCGAACATTGTTTTCCAACCGGAGCGAATATTATGACCACGAGCTTGAATCATCTGAATAAGGCATCTCAGTACCATATCCTTCACGGTAACTGTGTTGCTGTTTGCCATGATGTGTTCGAAGGGTTTGAGGAAGTCTTTCTGGAACTTAAAACCGGGCAATTCTTCAATTTCCATGAATCTCATGGAAAGTTGACGCAGCGAGTCAAGTGCGAAGAAAACTACATTGGTGTTGGACTGGCACCCAACTTCGTTAAAGTGCTGCCCAAGAATTTCCCATATCCTGGACCATTCAATTCTGACTCGGGTCATGTTGTAATAACTAATTTCAACCACTTTTTGAAGACTGTAGGTACGAGGAGATTCACTTTGACCGGAGGACTGAATTTCTTGCAAGCTCACTTCGCTAAGTGCTTGGACAAAGTCGACGATCGCTTCTTGGGAAAGATTTGCCGTGTTGCTGAAAATGCGATCAACAGCATGAACCATTTCGGCAGAACGACTTTCCAGAGCTATCTCAGGTCTGAAAGACAATGTGCTGGCCGTAGAACGTTGACGCCGTCTAGTAGACTGTGTAGACCTTCTGGAAGCGTCGGTCGAATTTGACGGCACTATTCGCGTTCTCGACACATCGGGTAACGTTCCTTCATCGACACCGTCGCTCAACAATTGAAATCGATCCAGCTGGCTGACGCAGGTAAGAATCTCGCGCCAAGAGTCTCGGAGATGATTTCCTTCAGTAACAGCAACTTCCAAAAGTATTTTCAATGCCTCCAAGTTCTTGCTACTCATCTCTCGAAGGTTGCCAAGGTTTGTAAACTTAGCCAAGGCTGTCACAAAAGCAACTCGTGGTGTTTCAAGATCGAAAGAGCAAGATATGCGGATTGCTAATTTGAGTCCTTCCATGCAAAGTCTAATTTTTTCAATATCCTGTGTTTCTTGGAGGGGAGCGGATAAACCCGACAAGAAAGAGGTCCAGGTCACATTGAACATGGGTCCAACATGACGCACTGAAGTGGCTGGAATAAAGCGAGACAACTCATCTTTCACGGCAGTTCTGCGCTGAGCTTTGATGAGACTCCTATAGAGCTGTTCGGTCTTGTTGGCCATTTCCTCTGAAGCCTGCGCGTATTTCTCTCCTTGAATATCTCTGCCAACGGTAGCAAACACTTGGCCAGCTCTTGAAGCGAATCCTGCAGGAGTAGCTGTTGGTATGCCTTGATTAGCGGCATGCTCTCTTTCAGAATCTAGCACAATCTCATTTTTCGCAATCTCATCAAATATGGAGTTGAGGTACTCGTCTGGAAGATCTGCGTTATCATTGATGCCCCGGTTGTTCTTGATAAAATCCTCCTTTGTCATGCGAGGACCTTTCAGTTTGCTACTATGCTGATCCGTATTGAGCATAATGACAGAGTATGCCAAAACATATGCCGTATCCGCATTGGCAAAGCTATTTGGATTGCCTGCAAGGTACCGTTCTGCAAACTTGAGCATAAATCGATCGATCTTTTGGGCTTCTCCCGGAAGACGGAAACTCTGCAAGAACTGACGAAGAGCATCAACGAACCGTCGTTTGGCAAAGTCCATACTGTCAACGAAGGCGTGCATGATAGCAACATTCTCTGGGTCGCCTTCTCCAAGGTATTCTCCAATCCCAGCTTTGTCAAGACGATCGTTGCGAAGTAGGAAATTGGCAATATCCTTTGGTGAATCAGATCGAATAAACCCATCCTTGAGCAAGAGCTTGATTCCTCGCTTCGGTTTGAAATTGAATTGTTGGATAGCATGAGATAAAGCTGCTTTTCGCTGTCTGGCTTTTTCTATTTCATTTGGATCATCCTCAACTGCTGGTGTAGAGCGACCGGTTCCAGTACCGCCGCTGTCAATATAGGGAGATGGAAGAGCAGCGGCGAATGATGGTGCATCTATGGACTCTCGATAATTTTCCACGGACTTGCGCGACATATCGTCGTGGGTGCCATTGGTAGAACTGGGCAGTCGCTGGGAAGACCAACTGTCAAGAGATCGCAAAATTTCAACCAGACAATCAAGAGCGTGGTACTTCATTGAAAGCTCCGAAGATCCATTCTGTACACTTGGAGCAACGCTGTTCGTGAGGCTTGCTGTGGTTAAATTAGGAGGAAGAGTGCCGCGTTGATGCCAGTCTGGGGTATTTGAAGACTTGACGCGGGTTTCTTGAAAAGTGTGTTGGCCCATGACGGGTACAGGCATGATCACAAACCGAGATATTTGCTCGATCAGGCTGATTTGATTAGCAAACCAACATTCAGCATAACGTAACGGAAGACACTCACTTCTGGAAGATGTTTTCCAACGCAGTTCTGTCACAGTCATAATTCAAATAAATTTCAACCAACGCCCGAGAATCTCCCGAAAGTCTCTCGAGTATTTCCATAAAGTACTGCTTTTGGAATGCTGGCGAGTTGCGTCTTTCGAGAATGGCAAGATAAATCTCCTTCAGGAAGACCTCCAATTCTTTCTATACCATTGTTAGTTTGATTGTAGCAGTACGGTCTAATCAACTAACCTTAAGCATAACTCTCATATATTTGAGCATAAGCCAAAAAATCTCGCAGCATACTTCAAAGACCTTTGGAACAGAGCTAGATCCATTGCGACTGAGACTCAAGCAAAGGTGAGGCCTGATAGCGTGGAGCAGAGTCATGGAGTCTGCGGAGCTGGCACTATTTCTGATCGTTGCTAATGGCGATGTGAAAACGGCGATGTGGTTGTTGATTAAATGATGGATGAGATGAAGTGAGAGCAGCTTAGATCGCATATTCTGGGACTTGATATCCTGTTGCTGATCGTGTGTAAGTGCCTTGTGACTGAGTTTGCACATGGCCCTAAAAACAAGGAAAGCATCTTTCACGTAGATTTCGTCAACCTCATCCTCGGACCCTTCATCTTCTTTCTCGTCCGTTACATTAGACACAGAGCGAGTTGATCTATGAGTCGGTCTTGCTCGAGTGACCATGGTAGGGGCATTGTCGGTGACCATTGTATCGTCTTTGCTTGACTCAAAACTTTGCAGGGTAAGTTTCTGAGTAGGTTCTTTTTGCGTCGGCTGATCCGAGACGGTTGATTCGGCCTCCAGAGACTCTGACAGTTGACTTCCTTCGCCAGCATCGACTATCGTAGACTCGACAGGATCTTCGTGCTGGTCTTCTGGTTCCCGCAAGCGGACTTCTTTCAAATCCAGTCTCATACGGACTCTGTCAAAGACAGTTCCTAACATTTGCGTCAAGGAGCCTTGGGCAATTTGCTGGTTCTGACTTGACTTGGAATATATAAAAATATTGTAGATTTGACGCACGGCTTTGAGAAGACCGGCACCGTGAACGACAATTTTGTCATTCAACACAGCGGCCAGCAGCGATTTGATTATCTGCTGTTGGATTTCCACCGGTGTAGCTTCATTTTCAAAACAATCGCAAATCGTTTCAATAGCACGTTCTATCAACGGGAGTTCCTTAATAGCGGGATCTGTGCCATCTTGGCTGGGACGACTCGACGGAAAGGCGAAGTACGAGTATGTGATCAGTTTTCCAATACAGTCCAGAGCTGTCACCTGAAGCGGGATGCTGAAGGTCTTGGTAGCTAGTTGCAGAGGAAGGAAGATGACCTCGGGATCCAGGGGCTTCGTATCAGACTGCTTGATATTGACCAGGGCCTTCTGGACTGCATCCTCCAACTCTTTGTTCCTTTTCGCATCTTTCGAAGCCGCAATCGCTTCGAGAGCCGTGACAACGAAAACTGTCGAGCTCACTGGGGTAGATCGATGGGTAGCTTGTGTAGCTTGCGTCGCGGTAGTAGATCTCGAATCGGAGCGGGCTCTTGGTTCTGGAACAGCCTCTGCCGTCGGTACTTGCGGCGTGAAGGGGACCTCAGTTATAGACTGGGGCTCTTCATGCTGGCTGCTATCATCTTGATCAACGGTGTCAATCTCGCCCTCACCTATGTTTTTAGTCTCTGAAGTAGCCGCTTCTTCAGCTGGAGCATCCTCAGGCACAGATTCAATACCCTCAGACTCGTGTGATCCTGTGCCTTCCATTCCTCCAATTTCTTTCCATTCCGGTCCTGACGGCAGCTGGGCCTTGTCCGCTCGTAATGGTTGCGGCGACACTATCTCGTCATTTGGTGCATTGGCGTCTGCCTGGGTGGTCACCTCTGCCACTTCGTGCTCCGTATCGGCCATTGATGCGCAATTCCGCGAATGAATGCGAGCCGTTCACTGATCAACAGGGCGACATGGATTTAGACCATGAGCAATTGGAGTACTTAATAACGGATGTAAGCGTGGTCAGCAGCGATGGTGTTGAGTGTCTAAACAATAATATTTATTTAGCCAACACTAACTTAGCATGGAACACTATGGAGTAAGCACTGCCGCTGTCTTCCAGGGAAAGTGCGCTAGACCCGATCGGACTTTCTGTAGCGTGTCCCCTTCCAAAGCAAGCAAACAAGCAAAGGCAAGAGCGACCGGCGCATTTTACAGGAGGAAAGAACGGCTTCCGTGAATACCCACTCCGGCGGACTCAGCTATCCCCGCCAGCCCAATCATGCGCCGCTTATGTCAGCAAGGACATGGAGCGCCGATTTGATCCGTTCTTCTCACCGAAGCTCAACAGAAAAGTTCCTGGACTGACTTGCTGCCCCCAAAACATCTTCACGACTTCATCGCTTCGATCTCCATCCATCCTCATCGTCGCTGTGCCTGCAGTCTCCTTGCCGACAGTTGTCCGTTGAGGGGTGTGCAATTTCTCCGTCTGCTGTCTCAATTGGTGGTTTTATGCCAGGTATTCGAGCTTGCGTTGCTATCAAAATGCGCACTCCGAACGCCATGTTATCCCGAGGCGCTGCCTTGATGAAGCAGCGCCCTCAGACCGTCTATCGCTTGACAGACGCAGCTAGGTGTGTTGGAATCTATCGCAATATCTTCTTACGTGTTTATGGGTGCTAATGCTATGCTTGAACGTTCAGACCTGCCGTCTCTGCCCTTGCCCGATACTACGCATCTAAATGTACGTGTCCTGCCTGCCTTTCGATCGATGATAAGATGCTAACAAAAGTTTCTCTAGCATTCCCTCCTCACACAATCATCAGCATGCCCGCGTTGTCCCCTACCATGACCGCTGGAAACATTGGATCCTGGCAAAAGAAGGCCGGTGACACATTGGCCCCCGGTGACGTTCTCGTGGAGATTGAGACCGATAAGGCACAGATGGACTTTGAGTTCCAAGAGGAGGGTGTTTTGGCCAAGGTCTTGAAAGATTCTGGTGAGAAGGATGTTGCTGTCGGAAGCGTGAGTACTTCGATGTGATTGTTGGAAGGTCGTCAAATGCTGACAGGGCCAGCCCATCGCCGTTTTGGTTGAAGAAGGTGCCGACGTCTCGGCCTTTGAGTCATTCAGTTTGGAAGATGCTGGTGGTGACAAGMCCCCCGCCGCACCCAAAGCCGAAGAGACCAAGGAGGAAGCCCCCAAGCCTGCTCCTGAGACCCAGGACAAGCCTGAAGCTGTTGAGCCAGAGGTTACCGGCGAGCGACTACAGCCCGCCCTTGATCGCGAACCCCAGATCAGCCCTGCCGCTAAGGTTCTTGCTCTCGAGAAGGGTATCCCTATCAAGGCTCTCAAGGGCACTGGACGTGGTGGACAAATCACCAAGGAAGATGTTGAGAAGTACAAGCCCGCCGCTACCGCCGCCGCCGCCGGTCCTTCTTTCGAAGATATTCCTTTGACCTCCATGCGCAAGACTATTGCCGCTAGATTGCAAAAGTCGACCCAAGAGAACCCTCACTACTTCGTTTCCGCCACATTGTCCGTCAGCAAGCTTCTCAAGCTTCGCCAGGCCCTCAATGCCTCTGCCGACGGCAAGTACAAGCTTTCCGTCAACGACTTCCTCATCAAGGCTTGCTCGATCGCCCTCCGCAAGGTCCCAGCTGTCAACTCCAGCTGGACTGAGGAGAACGGCCAGACCATTATCCGCCAATACAACAACGTCGACATCAGCGTCGCCGTTGCTACTCCCTCCGGTCTTATCACCCCCATCGTCAAGAACGCTCACAACCTTGGCCTTTCCAGCATCTCCAACACCGTCAAGGATCTTGGTAAGCGCGCTCGCGAAAACAAGCTTAAACCCGAAGAATACCAGGGTGGTACTTTCACCATCAGCAACTTGGGCATGAACTCCGCCGTCGAGCGATTCACCGCCGTCATTAACCCCCCTCAAGCCGCCATCCTTGCCGTCGGTACCACTCGCAAGGTTGCTGTTCCCGTTGAGACCGAAGAGGGAACCTCCATTGAGTGGGATGACCAGATCATTGTCACCGGCAGCTTCGACCACCGCGTCGTTGACGGTGCCGTTGGTGGAGAATGGATCAAGGAGTTGAAGAAGGTTGTTGAGAACCCCTTGGAACTCATGCTGTAAACTTCTTTTTTGACTCTGCAAGGATAAAAATGGAAGATTGATCATATCATACTTGTTAGAGGGTGCACATTCATCTCTCAATCTTGTCCCCTTGTTCTTCTTACCTGTACCAAAATTAATTTCCTTTGTTGTCAGCGCCGAATGATATGTGATTAGACTTTTAACTTTTTAACTTTTTAATGCAAAGGCATTTACATGACAATCTTTTGACAGGACAAACAGTACACTTTCCTAATTTGGACGTTAACAACATGCATGTGACTGGCAACATTAATCTGGTCTTTGTATGCTGACTCGATTTTGCCAGTTCCTCAACCCAGACTCACATTTCTTCGGCGACTTCATCTAGCATAGCCATACTCAGCAGAGCCTTTTCAAATCCCATCTCACCAGGAAATGGAGCAACCAAGCCCATCACACTCAGACGCCACTGACGACGAAGAAAACATTATCAAAGTAAAGGCAAGCCTCAACACCCAATTTCTCACCCTCCAATTTACTAATCCCAGGGAGAGTGAAATAGTGGAAACAAACCTCCCCCAAAATAATCCAAGACCTCTACCACTCCCTCCTCCACGAACAACGCTCCACCATCCAGCCCTTCCACCTCTGGCTTCGCCTCCTAGAGCATAATCTCATGCCCAACGCTCGCGATCTGACAGTGCACTACCACACCGTCCTTTCACTTCAGCCGGAATACGATCTGGTACGGATATGGCTAAACGCGAACCCGGACAAGGGGCTGAATCGGAAGATGAGGGTTCAGATCCTCGCTTTTTCTGCTGCTACAGCTTCTGCTGCACCGATATCAGCGTCCGGTAACGAAAAGAAAGAAATCCCCTGGAACCTACTCCTGCGCGACCTACGGCATCAGCACGATATTATGCGCGACAAGAACCTCCTTCTCGGCGACGGCGACTACGACTGCTTCATCGCCTACGAGCAATACGCGCGGCTGTACAGCGTGCAATCCCATGCGGACCCCGAGTGCCCAATCATAAAGGAGTGTTGGCTCAATTTCGGGTCTGAGATGGCGCAGCAATTTGGTTTGCAGCCATTGTGGAAGGATTCCAATGACAAAGGACCAGTGTGGGAGATCAAGACGCATTTTGGGGTGATTTGTCAGTTGTTGAGGGCTTTTGCGTGGAATGTTAACATTCCGTATGTTTATGGGTGATGGATATCGAGAGGTGTGTGTGGGTATCATGATTCGTATTGAAAGATATATGTACAATATGCCAGAAGGGTTGGTTCATGTAGTAGTCATTATCATGTCAAGGGATCATGACATCTGACCCAGTATTTTTATGAAAATCAAAGCGGATAATACACAAAGCGAAGCACAACCTAAATCCAAATCCAAGAAGCCGCTATCGTTTCCATTTATGTATAAATACTCTATGAATATAATTAGCTTCATGCTTTCCGTATGGATGTGGGGATAGACTTACAACTGTGATTTGATTAACCGACAATCCCGGCTCAGCCATCTCAGCATCCTTCAAAAAGTCCAATGGCATCCAAACAAGATGCCCCTTGATCTTATCCAGATTCTCACGCACAATACTAACCGGCAAAAATGGATCATGCAAATGGCCCTGCTTGATCGACTTTCTAGGTGCAAAGTGGTCGTATTCCTCAAAGGTCTTGATATTATTGTCGGGGTCAGCACGGAATAGGAATCGAAATACTTCAGTGTTAGTGGTGGCTTGTGATGTCCATGTTTCCCATAGCTCTTCGCCAAGAGGGTCCGTAACAAATTCGTATTCTGGGCCTTCGCCGTTGCTGTTGGGACAATCGTTGGGTGGCTGGGCATTAGGATTGTTGCTTGAGTCTAATTCTTGCGGAAGGAGAAGCCCTAAATGCTCGCGCCATAGGTGACGGCGAAGGGTTGCTGCGAGACGAGAAGCACGGTATGGCTGGCCGTTCATGGTACTGTCGATAATGTCGGTGTCTTCGAGGACGATGGCGAGCTCACTGTCCCTGTCGCCAAGTTGGGACTTAGACATTGTCAGCGCAAGCCCCCAAAAAAAGAGGTCAGAGAGAACTTACTCGGTCATTGATATTGGCACTACCACAAATAACAATCCGGTCGTCGACAATGCATACTTTGCCATGAACGTACAGCTCCTCTTGGACAAAGTTCTCTTTCTCTTTCTCGGGGTCTTCGTCACCCCAGTATTCCTCACTTACTTTCCGTTGATTGAGCATGGCATTTTGGGCAATACTATCACTACTCTTAATCTCCCGATCTCCATCATATGTCTCTTCGCGTTGCTCCTCGAATCTCCGTACACTGTCTATTTTGCTTTCCTGCTCTTTCTTGCTGATATGATGGTTGTGCTCGTGAATATCGCCTTCTTCGCCAACTTCTGGGTGGACACTTTCGCCCATGATTTGTTCTGCATTTGCACGCTGGACATCTTGATAATGGACGCCGGACTTTTCTTCTTGCTCGACTAGTTCTTTGGTTTTGTTGATACGGTCGTAGGAGCGAAGGTTGAAGAAGAATATGTGCTCTGCACAAAGTAAGTAAGAACTTCCGGGAATGATAAAACCATGCACATACCTGTTGGATCAACGCCTTGTGCTCTAACCTGCTCAAAGATCGAATTCTCACCCCGAAGAATGGACTTGTACTGGTAATCCATAATGGCCCGAGTACCTGCTGCAGCGTTCTCTCGCAAATCTCCTGCAAACCCTGGGATGCATGGAATGACAATCATCACGCGAAACTTACGGCCTTCTTTCCCGGCGCGAACCACAGCCTCGACAATGGCACTCCCTATCGTGTTTTGGACAGGATGTTGCTGGTCTCCAGTCGCAGTCACTAAGATTGTCAGTACCTAGACATTCTCAAAATAATCATATTCACTCACCAAAGAATTGGTTTTCAATATAGACATAATGTTCTGCTTTGCTGATGATCTCCGAATATGCATTCTGTATGCTGTGTTCCGTCAAGATTCCCGAAGACCAATCTCCGCTGCTCCTTACAATCTGAGCATGAACTGTACCCTGCTCAACGTGAGGCTTCGTGCTCAGTGGTGTCAAGGGATGCTGAATATATTCTCCGCAAGGAAACTTTGGGCGCTGAACAGCGATGAGACCCTCATCTTCACCGGTACGGCCCTCGATCAGGAGATAATCCACTTTCTCGTCGCGTTTGTACTTGTCCCTCTTAACGCAATTCCATCGTAGTACAAAATGCTCAGCTATGTCATAAACACACGGACCCATCAGACCCATGGCGACGTCGTGCCAGGGCATACGGCCGTAATCTGTTTTGTTGAGTTCATTGGTCTGCCAGTCTTCGACGCTTTGAAAGTCCATGATACGATTGTTATTGAAATCTTGGCCAGGGAAGATCTCATTCTCTATACCAGCTGGATGGACATCAGCGAGTGGATGTTGGTGGTTGTCCCATCTGCCAAAGCAGAGATCGATGCCGCCAATGAAGGCAAGTTCGTAGTCAACAACCACGAATTTCTCATGGTGAGCCTATGGATAATCAGAAATCCGAGAAAGTGAAGTATCCGAGACTGCCTACCCAATAGAAAGTCATGTCACCTAGGTTCTCAAACATATTGTGATCAGGGTGTCGAAGGACATGGATGTTGCCCGCGCCTTTTGATCCCTCAGGACACAGATTCCTCAATGCATGCTTTGTATGTGCGGAATTACACGTCAGAGCTTGGGAGACCTAGGTCACGTCAGCTCGAATCTTCCATATGCTCATATCCTGAAGATACCTCTTTGTACACAATCACATAAATCTGAACACCAGCCTCGGCGCGTCTTTTAAGAACCTGATCCAATCTCCACTCCTGATTGCGATTCGGGGGTCTTCGCAGAAATAACTCTGGTGACAACCACCAATCGGCGATATAAATGGTCTCCTTTGCGCGGTCAAGAGCAACAGAGACTGCCCACATGTAATCTGAAGCGTCAACATACCACTTGACCTTGTTTCCGTCATGTTCAGGAGCAAAGGATTCAAATCTGTGGGACTCGGCAATGGCAGTGCGTTGACGGTCTACCTCTTGTTCGTGAGCTTCATCGTGGCGATGGTTCGGGTTGAACAGATTTTCGAGCTTTCCAATCTTGTGTTTTAGATGTGACGCTTTGGCTTTGGCGTCGTGCAGTTTTGTGTCTAGGCAGTATTAGAAACACCCATATATACATGTGGCTTCAGCTTTTGAATCGTACGATGCAATTTCTCTCTGAGGGCGTCCATCTTGATTGACCAACTGCAGCAAGAGCTCTTCACTTCAATGGTGACTGCAAAAACAGTCCAGTTCGAAGAAAGCAGACAAAAGACTACTATCGTGAAAACAAGAGAAGTACCCCTCCCCGAACCTGCCCTATGGAGTTACACGCCAAGCTACAACCAATCTCATGACATCATTGGGGTATTTTGGCGGCGCCTTTTTCTTAGCCAACACGATCTTTACCCCATTAAAACCACCGTTTCACGCAACATCATTCGTTCCATTCCGTGCTCGGATTTTGCCGATCGATATCTAGATTGAAAGTTGTCCGATTTGCCTTGCGCTATGTGTCTGCCCACCACGAGGTGTGGTTGACCGTTGACGTGCCTCCTTCAGTCTCCACTTCCCTTCTGTTCCTGCCACCACCAACTGCCACAAGCATTGGCACGATGGATTCGTCTCGGAATATCTACAAAAGAGAAATTGACTTTAGGGCTCTAGCTCTCACATCTCCGGAATTTGCTAAACGGTATTGCTCTATTGCTCTCCATGGGTGTTATCAGTGGCTGACTTGGCGAAGGTTAAAATCCAATGACCAGCTAGACTTCAGCGATCCGGACTCTATAAGGTATCTCTGCTTTTATGTCCACTACCTTGGAATTTGAATAGGCGATGCTAAGTGGAGTAGGCAGCTCACGAAGAGCCTCTTGGAGCGAGATTTTAAGCTTGTTGTTGACCTTCCTAACGACAGACTCTGCCCTCCCGTAAGTTCTTTCCTTCAGTTTATAAGTTATTTGTCAATGATAAGCTGACACAATGATTTAGATACCAAATAGGTTAGAACACCGAATTCCGATGTAGATGGTCATCACTGATCGACCCAGGTTCAACTACATCCTGTGGTTGCAAGATCTTCTCGACACTAGCTCAAGAACGGGTACCGATCAGTATGATCCAAACAGACAGGTTCTCGGTCTCGATATGTGGGTTGGAACTCTCTTGTCATAGTGCAGTACTAATCCCATGTGACAGAGGGACTGGATGCTGTGCTATCTATCCTCTCCTTGGATGTTCATCACGTCCGAGGTGGAGATTCATCGCCACGGGTAAACCACAAATATCTCTTTCGTGCATCCCGTATCACTGACGTTCACACTTATGGATTAGACATCGACAGCAAAAATATATCGTCGTCCCGCAAAAGTGTCTTGGACAACGAACTCGACGATCGAGTCATGATCATGGAGACCAAGCCGAGTGATCCGCTCATTCCGTTCGACAAACTCGACGTTGACAGGTATGCCTCCTCCTCAGACTCAGAACACCTCCATACCACGAGTATATAACCCTTTGATTTGGTTTTTTTGTCACATACGACCATAGGGTGTGGAGAACAGGGCTTCCCGTCCGCTCAGCCGTACTTAAGCCACACGCCGGCTGGTTAGTAGTTGGGTGGACCACCAGCGAATCCCAGCTGTTGTATGTTTATTTTCATTCTTTTTTGCTTCTTCTGCGATACCTTGTGATGTTTTTGGTGTCTGGAGAGGTGTTAACGTCTAGCAGGTTGGACTTTGTTATGTGCAATCCCCCTTTTTATGAGTCCGAAGATGAACTAGTTTCTTCTGCCGATGCCAAATCACGGCCACCTTTTTCGGTATGTATTCTTTGCTCTTTTTCTTAGTTATATGATAATAAGACTTGGGTGTTGATGACATCGAAGGCATGTACCGGCGCGGCAGTTGAGATGATAACACCAGGCGGTGAAGTAGCCTTCATTGAATCCTTGATCAAACAGTCACTCGTTCTGAAAACGCAAGTACTCTGGTATACGAGTATGTTTGGGAAGCTTTCCAGTGTATCGGTCATTTTGCAGAAACTCCTCGATATCGGTATTCATAATTGGGCCGTTACCGAATTTGTGCAGGGTAGGGGGACTCGTCGCTGGGCCGTGGGATGGAGTTTCTCAGACTGGAGACCACGTAGTGTAAGCCTCCTCCCAGGCAGCTGCACATGCAAGTCGATCCAGGAGATGCTAACTGGCGTGTCATCTAGGATGTAAGCCGGGGAATCGCCTCGCTCCCAAAACATTTTCTTCCATTTCCGTCAGAATACGATTTCGAGATCCCGGGGCGACGTTCTGGCTCTCTAGAGCACAACATTGGCAAGATCAACACTGAGCTCTCACCACTCCGTTATTTCCATTATACCTGGTACACCAAACAGTCGTGTATTGGCTATGCAAGGGAAGATGTCTGGTCAAGGAAGGCACGACGGAAATTTGCACGCGAGCAACACGATGGCGACTCAATAAGCCATTATGAAAAAGCACTTGATGTCGAGATGGCTGCACTCGGATTCCGGATTGATCTATCGCTTCAAGCTGATCATAGTGTTGATGTGGTAGTCAGATGGATCAAGGGATCAGACCAGGTACTTTTTGAAAGCTTCTGTGGCATGCTTAAAAGGAAATTCACAGAGGAGGTCGGAGCATAATTTTTTGAATCTTCAAAAAGAATAAAATAGAGAAACAAGAAGAATCAAGAATGAATCTTGAAGTGTTTCGAACGGTCACAGTAGAGTTCCCAAATTGGCGCCATGTCAACATGCAAGCGCCACGGCGAGCGCTGATTGGTCAATTGAATCCGTGACAGCATGAGTGGATCCCTGGCGATGACGTCAACGGGATCAAGCTTGGTTTGGGCCAGCCCAGAGCGGCCACAGGGAAGGAGCCAGCCTTTGTCGGGTGGCAGGTGGCAGGTGCTCTTTACATGTGACCTTCCACCCGACAACATCTCCTCTTATAACCCGTTTTGTCCTCCCCGAAAAACTTCACCTTCATTTTATTGCCAATCAGAAGCTTCTGACTATCCTACCCTGTGGTCAACCACCAACAATACTTCATTTGTTCGTCCACTCTACCCCTCTTACGGTCTCGTTCGTGTTTTGCCTCACGACAACTGAAGTCAAGTGTTGGCTTGAGCCGAGTTTTGTACTATTGTGCTAACTTGTCATTTCAGAAACCTTTTAAACCCGCCATCAAAATGTCTTATGCTGAAGCTGCTGCCAAGGGCCCCTCTCAACCACCTGAAGAGGTAAGTTCTAATCACCCCAAACCTGAGATGCCATCTGCTAACGAAATTTACTAGGCGTGAGTATTCGCAAAACTATGCATCGTCTATTCCTAGAACATCAGCTAACTCAAGCAGTCGTGCCCCCGTCCCCCGCGAGATAGAAAAGACCGAATCCGTCAGCACCGCATCCTTGATTGATGTCGACGCGCCTTCCGTCCAATCCGTTCATTCCGACTTCCTCGATCAAGAAGTCAAGACGACCACACAAGCCGAGCGCATCGAGCGAGAAGCCGAGGAGGCCGCGCTTGCACGCGAAAAGGCTGCCGCCGCCGCCGCCAGCAAGAAATCCAAGAAATCCAAGGCTCAGGGTCTGAGCAAAAATGCGCAGAACCCGGTGTACTTGGGTAATGCATTTATCATCACTACGCTCAGTGCCGTGCTTGGATACGGTGCTTACCGGAAGCATGCTGAGGGGAAACTTTCGTGGGAAGTTGCTGGTGTGTGGGCCGGTGCTGTAGGCTTGTTTGCTGGTGCCGATTACTTTGTTAGCAAGTAAGTTTCTCTATCAGTGGCAGTATCGGTAGAAAAGGTGATGTTGACATGTGTTCGATCAGGTGGCTTATCCAGAACAAATATCCCAAGAAAGATTAGAGTTTGATATACTCCTTCGATTCTTCCATACCCCTGGGGTCCCGAATTCCTCGGAAGGGAAAATTATCACTTTTATACCATGTATTCCGCTCATGTTCTCATCTCTTTCTTCAACGAGTATCGGAGTTGGTTGGATAGCGCGTCTCCTCTCTATTTGCTGAATTCGCATATTATGAGATGCTATTTGTAGATATAAATAGTGGTCGTTACGTTTAATTGACTTATACACTTCAAATAAGCATGTTATCGGGACAGAATCTGAAATAGTATTATTGAGTTGACGATATATTACTAGAAATTGAGGCTTGAGAAAAGCGTCATCGTCATAATAAAGGCGGTGAATGGCGTCACTATTTTGGCGTTCTTGGAGATGTGTCCTTGGCTCTTCTATACACCAGCCTGTTTATGCCACACAAAACTATTATATAGCAAGGATCGCGATGCGAATACGATAACATTGTGATAACAAGCTCCCATATCCGAATCCTTGAGTTTATCCGTGGCGTGGACTGCCGATATCCTTTCTTTATTTGTACACCCGATCCTCCCACTTTGGATGATAAGCCTGAATAAGCTACAGCATGGTGCGCTCTTTAATCTGTACCTGAATTCTTCGTCTCACGCTGCTAATTAAGTGATAGAATTCCCTTTTCAATTCTGCTCTCAAGCAGTCTACAGCCATACGGCATGACCTCGACACATTCGCCGAGTCACCCGCTACAACATCACCAGCGCTACAGGGTACGACTACAGATATATAGATTAGAGCTTTCACAAGACCTGCTAACTCTTTTCCGGGTGGACAGGACAAATATCAGCATCACTAGCCTCCTTTTCGCGAACGATAGACGATTACGCAGCGCTCACCAAGAGCGAACTCATACCGGAAAAGAAAGAAAAGGCTGTTGAGCGCGAGAAATCGTTTCGCGCGTCCTTGTTGGATTATAGACAGCAGTTTGAGCGATTACGGAAGGAGAGGGAGGAGACTGTAAGATCTACTTTACCAGCACGGAAGGTTACAAGAGGCTAAATGTGATGCTACGAAGGTATCCGTCACAAACCGCAGTGAACTATTCGGTCGTCGTCCACACCATGCTGCTACCCCCGAAAACCCTTACGCAGACCACGCCTTACCTCGATCCTCAGCATTCGGCAATGCCTCTTCGTCAAGTAATTCGGCAGGTGGACTGAGTTTCGGCGCCGGGCCAGGGACCTACGACCGCGAAACGCACGCTCTACGCGAACAATCCTTCTTTGCGCAGACAAACACCCAACTCGACGAGTTTCTCGATCGTGGTCGCGCCGTGTTGCAGGATCTGGGACAGCAGCGCGATATTCTCAAGAATACGCAGCGCCGGTTGTACAGTGTTGGCAACACGCTGGGGATCAGTGGTGATACGATTCGGAGGGTGGAGAGGAGAGCGAAGGAGGACAAATGGATATTCTGGGGAGGGGTGGTTGTTTTCTTTTTGTTTTGTTGGTTGGTGATTCATTTTTTGAAGTCGTAGATATCTTTCTTTCAGTGTGTAGTAAAGCATTAGCAGGCGTTTTTCGAATTAATGAGTTGATTGTCTTCATAAATAAACTTGAGTAGACTCAGTAGAGACAAGAAAACTCACCGAGGTGTCACGGCAGAGCGGCTAGCGGAGAGGGKCGGGACGGCGCGACCAACGAGGAAGGCGTCACCGTCGGCCAGAAGTTCTTGCCTGTTTTAGTGTTAGTCGCTCAACCTCAGCTTTTTCTTCCGTCGCACTCCATCGTTAGCTTTTACTTCTCCATCCATCTAGACAATCAATTGTCATCCTATTGCTTGCGTTTGTTTCTTTTTTAATCAATCCAAAAAACACACACACAATCAGCCATCATGTTCGCTGCTCGCCAGTCGTTCGGTGTCTTCCAGAAGCGGGCTTTCTCCGCCTCTGCTCGCCAGGTGCGTTGCGCTGTTTTCTGTTCGGTGTTTTGACCGTAGCTCATCAATTGACTCGTTTTCTTCAATCGGTATAGGCTTCCAAGGTCACCGTCCTCGGTGCTGCCGGTGGTATCGGTCAGCCTTTGTCTTTGTTGATGAAGCTTAACCCCCGTGTTAGCCAGCTTGCTCTCTACGATATCCGCGGTGGCCCTGGTATGTATTTAGTACAACTGTTCCGTTGCGCCGTCGCCGTCTCCGAGTCAATTGACTGATTTCTCAACAGGTGTCGCTGCTGATCTCAGCCACATCAACACTAACAGCACTGTCACCGGTTACGACCCTACTCCTTCCGGATTGAAGGAGGCTCTCTCTGACGCTGAGATTGTCCTCATTCCTGCCGGTGTTCCTCGCAAGCCTGGCATGACCCGTGACGGTATGCCGAATCTATCAGCCTTTGTTCGATCTTTGCGCTAATCTTCTAATCGTTAAGATCTCTTCAACACTAACGCTTCCATCGTCCGTGACCTCGCCAAGGCCGCTGCTGATGCTGCTCCCAACGCCAAGATTCTCGTCATCTCCAACCCTGTACGTTGAGTTGGATACGATCATTGAGACAATCGGCTAATTAATAGGTCAACTCCACTGTCCCCATTGTCGCCGAGGTCTTCAAGTCCAAGGGCGTCTACAACCCCAAGCGCCTCTTCGGTGTTACCACCCTTGATGTCGTCCGTGCCTCCCGCTTCATCTCCCAGGTCAAGACCACCGACCCTGCCAACGAGGAAGTCCCCGTCGTCGGTGGCCACTCCGGTGTGACTATCGTCCCTCTCCTCTCCCAGTCCAACCACGCCGACATCGAAGGCGAGACCCGCGACGCCCTCGTCAACCGCATCCAATTCGGTGGTGACGAAGTCGTCAAGGCCAAGGACGGCGCTGGTTCTGCGACCCTCTCCATGGCTTTCGCCGGTGCCCGCTTCGCCGAGTCCCTCCTCAAGGCCGCCCAGGGTGTCAAGGGTGTCGTTGAGCCCACCTTCGTCGACAGCCCCCTCTACAAGGACCAGGGCATCGAATTCTTCGCTTCCCGCGTCGAGCTCGGCCCTGACGGTGTCAAGGAGATTCTCCCTGTTGGTAAAGTCAATGCTTACGAGGAGAAGCTCCTCGAAGCTTGCCTCGCTGACTTGAAGAAGAACATCAAGAAGGGTGTTGACTTTGTTGCTCAGAACCCTTAAATAACTAAATTTCTTTACTTTTGTTCCTAGAATAAAGAAGAGGTGCAGCTGATCTGTGTGTTGACTACTGCATGCAATGAATTTAATACAGTTCTGGACGTTAGTTAGGTTCTGATATTATGTGTAAAACAATGATTTCTTTTGTCGACTTTTATTTACTATATGATACGTAAAACTCTCGTCCTTGAAACAGTAATTAGCATCTTGCATTGGCCGCCTCATTCATGACTACTACCCCAGTCCTACTCGAAGAGGAGAAGAGAGTAGATTGCGTAAAGAAAATGGAATTGATAATAACTCGGTCAACAATACAAGCTTGAATCGAACTAAATAAAGAAAAGCCGTAAGAGGAAATGACTGATGTATTTAACAGTTCCTTTCGTTGATTCGTTCGTTCATGTCATGTCATTTCACTTCGTAAATCGTGCTCAACCCCGAGAAAAATCGTTTCGGAAAAAATATAATAATGAATGAAAGGGATGAAAATGAAGGTATTGAAGAAAAGGGAGGGAGGGATCAGGTATAACTACGCATGGCATCCATATATCCCGTTCCACCCTTAAGGTCGTGATCGAATGTTTCGGCGACGTCGAGGACGCGCTTGATGTGTGACATTGAGAGAGGGAGTTTCTCGTTGACGGCGAGGGCTTGGGCGGTTCGGACGGAGTTTTTGATCTGCAAGTAACGTTAGTTGTTGTATACGACTAGAGGGGTGAGCAAAGGGTTTACCTGTCGTCCGTTGAGATTGTGACGCGCAAGGATATCGAAATCTTTATCGGTAAACGTCTCCGTCTCAACGCCGTCAATCAATTTGACTTTCTCCAGGAACATTTTCCATACACTCCGTTTCGCTTTGGTGGTCAGGTCGCCGTACCGTAATGCGATGTGGATACGGGATTGGAAGGCGTCGTCAAAGGTCTCGACGCGGTTGGTGGTTAAGAACAGAATACCCTGGAAGTATTCAAGAAGACGGAGGAAAATGCTAACCAGGGCGTTGCGGTGGATGTCTTGGATTGTACGTTTTTCAAGGAAGACGTCTGCTTCGTCGAGCAACAAGACGGCGCCCCAGGAATGTGCAATGTCGAGGATTTTATTTAGCTCTCCCTCCAAGCTGCGTGAATCTGTGCCCAGTTCGCCAGCACTGACCATGTAGAGAGGTCGTTTCAGGAGCTCGGCTATACCCTCTGCTGTCAAGGTCTTGCCTGTTCCGGGAGGACCGTGTAATACTGCCACGAGACCTTTGCCCTTGCCTTGGATGACATCGTCGATATTTTGCGCCGCATTGAAAGTGTGGGATTCCACAAGAGCTTTGACAATTGATTTCTGGTTGTCAGGAAGCACTAGAGAATCAAATGCCCCATCGTTCCATTCAATCTCGTTCACGCCGGAGACACTGAATTCGAGCCATAGCTTCTCGCTAAATGCAAATCCTAGCACAACAGGACTAGCAATCAACAGCTCTTCTTCTGTAAACTCTGGCGATGATTCGCCGTTTTTCTCGTCATTGTCGGCGTCAAGCAACTCCAAGTCTTCCTTTTTACCGATCTCATTGCCATTCTCGTCATACTCGACCTGAACAACATGAGCTTTGCCCTTCTTGTCTCGCATGATTTTATACACTGGGCGCGGGGGTTCGGAATCGTGGCTTAAATCCCCGCAGTGATCTGCACCAGACGATGATCCTCCACAGCCGCATTCATCACTGTCTTCGCCCGACTCCGACTCCAGTACGTCTGGGTCTTTGGGTCTCACTGTACTGATTGGGTAGTTCGGATTAATGCGGCGATGAAGAGCAGGATCAATCATCACACGTCCATTGATGTTGACCTTGATAACGGAGCGCTTCTTCTTGAAGAAGGCCATGCCCTTGTGGAAACGGTAGTTCATGCCACGCAAAGCGACAAAGTGCTTGCCACGTTCAATGAGCTTCGTTTTGAGGGCTTCGGATTCGCGGTGATACTTGAGAGGATAGCAAGCCAGACTAGTGATTTTGCGAGCCCCTTTGAAGGACTCGACGTCTGCAACCATAGAACCCATACCAAATGTTTTGCCATCGTATTCAAGATACTTACCCTCGACCATATACCACGATCCCTTCATGAAAGATGACTCCTTGGTGGCATATTCAATTTTGAAGGCTCGAGGCTCGTCTGTATGTCCATATGTCGTAGTGTAGGCAATAGTATTAGGCTTGAACAATGCCCAGAGTAGATCAAATGTGATCATGTTGGACTCCAGTAGCGGATAAAGCGTCTTCTTGGTTTCGGCATAGTCGGTGTCAAGGTACTTGATCAAGACTTTGAGATGAGCAACTTTGAGAGCAGCCATTTTCCGAGCTTTCTTCTTCTTCTCAGTCTTGACAACCTTTTTGAGCGCCTTCATGTGATCTCGAGTTTCTTCGAGATACAAGAAGAGCATGTTCGGGTCAATGACTGGAGTCTCTGCTACCAAGCTCACTCCCTTGACCCCGTCCATGACCGTGGCCAGAGCTTCCCTCAGGAGCTTGCTCTTGACATCAACCCAAGTGTCCACATACTTATTCTCCCAGTCAAACTTTCGGCGGACATTGAAGATGTATTGATCGAATTCGTCAGCGTCGGGATCGTCAAGGGTTTCTCGCAATTTGAAGTTATGAATCGTGCTGTCCCATACTATGGTTTATTGTAAGCTATACATTCACTGTCCAACTCCATAAAAGTAACTCACATTCATCGACTCGCTTGAATGCAACTTTCGATGCCCTCTTGCTCTTCCCCCTCTTACCCTTTTCCCCTTTGCTTTCCTTAATCTTCAGTCGTCGACGATTCCCTCCCTGCAACAGTCGAAGGTTAGCCAGCTGCCTTCGTAATCTGACTGGATCCGGCTCAGGTACATCTTCTTCATCATCTTCGTCGGAGAGGTATCTCTTAGCCATCTTCTTTGCCTTCCGTTGTTTCTTCGCCATCCTTGCTATCTTTTCTTTCAGGGCTTTTTGGTCCGCCAAAGCATCCTCGTCGCTGCTCGAGGTAGAGTCGGAATCGGAGGACTCTTCGCCACGGCGATGGCGTCTACTCTTCTTCTTCAACTTCTTTGCCTTCTTGGCTTTGTTGCGTCTTCGTCTATGCCTTTCTGGTTCGCTCTCGGTCTCACTATATTCGGAATCTGAATCTTCTGACTCTGACTCTTCCGATTCGGTTGAATCAGATGTCTCTGACTCTGAAGATGAAGTTTCCTCCTCCTCAGATGAGGATTCGACCTTGAAATGCTTCTTTTTCTTGTTCTTCTTGCTAGGAGCTTTCTTCGTTGCTGAATGATGCTTGTGAGATTTGCATTTGGATTTTTTGCTAGCTTTTGCTTCTGAAACCTTGGCAACCTCCTCCTTAGAAGTTGTTGCTGCAGGCTCTAGTGACTTGCCAGTCGTAGACGTTCCGGGAGAGGCAACAGCTACTGTAGAAGAAGTAGTAGTTTCTGAAGGAGTGTTTTCTTCTTGAGGCTCTGCTTGATGCTGCTGAGGCTGCTCTTGCTCCTCCTGATGGTCTGTCACTGGATTCTCAGGCATATTGGACTGATTTAAGCGGTTCTGATTATTATACTCGTCGCGCTGTTGAGAGGACGTTTCCGATGTTGGCGTAAAAAACGGAGATGGCACAGTACTGGAAGTAGATGCAGTTCTATCTGGGGACTGCATTGGACTGACTCACGAAGATGGAAGCACGGTGACGGTGGAAGCCACGCGTAAAGCGACAGACTAATTTTTTGCAACTTAGCTAGGGATAAAAAGGGTAGTTGACAAAATGACAACAACGGTAGAAAGTGACGCAGCAAAAGAAAAAAAGTGAAGGTTTGTCAGAACTGCGCCCCAACCAACTAGTGTCGACTCACATTGGGTCGGTTTGTCAAACAAATTTCCTTTTTGCCCGGGTGGCGCAAGGATTAAAGGCCAAAAAAGCAATGGGCTCGCACAAAGAAACGAGGCAAGCGTCGATCAGGTTGCACGAGTGCGTTGTTCTAGAGTCCAATGTAGATGCAGGCGGTGAGGAGAAGCTGGAGAATGTGAGGCAACGAGCTGCAGCCAGTCAAGATATAGCAAGTTAGCCGACGTGCTGAACGTTGTCGATTGTTAGATGCGATGACACGACGCCCGCGGGGGTTCTTCACTGTAGTTGAAGGATAAAAGAGGGAAGGAAAGATGAGTTCAAAAGCGAGGACGCGGAGGAGATATTATTTTTATGCTGAAGCTTTTGGAAAGCTCTAAAAGAAATGGACTAGGCAACCAAGCACTGTCTGAGTCACCGACAAGGTACCAAGGATGATCAGTAGTGCACACCACTGATGGCGGCGATGGCTAAAGATTACCCTGCGATGAAGACGAGGAGGTCTGCTGCCTGTTGCGATGTGGAAGAAAGAGGGTTTCGTCATGAGCGGCGGGATGATTGGCGGTCGAGGCAGCTGAGCTCTGAGTTGGCGCTGGCGAGCCTTCACGCCTTAACGCTAGTATGCAGACTGCAGTACTTCAGTCAAACAATCCCTTTGTACGGAATATTTAGCCATTATTCCCTGTCTTTTGTCTATCTGCAATGTGCCTGTGCTTATAGACAGCAGGCCCGGACAGCCTAACTGTATTACTTGTTATAACCGTCCAAGCTCCTCGAAGCATCCACAAAGTGATGCGGAACAGGCAGCAAGGCAGAACAGCGACCCCCGTGCCTGAGGCTTTGAGCCACCAATGGCCGCTCGCCGTGCCAGCTAGGCTGACTGGCTAGCCTGCTCCACTTGGGGGGCATCTCCACCCAGAACAAGTGATGCTAGCCTTCTCCGCAGTCTTCTCCAACTACAGTGCACATCTATCTTCACAGCTCTTCAAGGGTACGTATATTAATCTCCGGCTATACCTAGCTTCATTATCAACATGGAACATAATACCAAAACAGACAACCACGGCGGTTGACTACCAGCATCTATCGTAAAAGAACATATCAGCAGTCGCTCGACAATACGCGCTAACTGATATTAGATCTATGCGTTCTCGTCTGCTTCTAGATGCGTCACCGACTTTTGCAATGTTCGCTACTTCATGCGCAACCAGCATCACCTGATAGCTACTTCAGTTTATTCTCCGTTGAAGCGGCACGGCCTGTCAAAGTGAAGCAAGTCGTGGCTGATTAAGGCCAACGGACTAACGTTGGCAGAGAAGGGCTCGGCTGGTTCGGCACCTGGTTCAGCTCAACTCTACTGCGTTTTCTTGCGATGCTAAGGTTCAACCCAACCCACAATCAACGTTGGAGTTTCAGGGAAGCAAAAAGGAAGGCAAGCCAAAAGAAGTACTTGGGAAGGATTGGAAATGTGCAAAAAAGAAAATCGATGCTCTTACTCGGGATCGAACCGAGGACCTTGTCATTACTAGTGACACGCTCTACCACTGAGCCATAAGAGCTGATCGATGGAACGGTCCGCCGCTAATCACATTATATTTTAACACGGTACTCGAGAGGACATACACGAATCTCAGTGGAAAAGAGTGTTGATAAGATAGGCACATGTAAGGGATATGTGGAGTTAGGGCTTCGGCTAGTGCCGTATCATGTCAGCCCGGGCATCCGCCGAAGAAAGGCCCTATAGACTGCCTGCCTATTCCGGACGTCCAATTCTACACTCTTCATCGTGGACCACGGATGATAAAAAAAATCCACCAAGCGGCTCAATATAGTCTGAGAATTTTGAAAGACAGCAAAAAAGAAAGATCCAATGCTCTTACTCGGGATCGAACCGAGGACCTTGTCATTACTAGTGACACGCTCTACCACTGAGCCATAAGAGCTGATTGGTTGAAAGAATGCGCTGAAAGGCGATACATAAAATAGATGATTTTCGATGAAAACACACAGTTTGGACGATTATCTTATATCATAATTGCTGTCATTGTACGACAGACAGACAGTGTGGTCTGCAGAGTGATACGTCGAAGCCCTGATGCAGCCTGACTTTACATGGCTACTCTCTACATACCCTTAGTCTCAGAACCGTCGATAAGAGGAGTCAAAGATAACAGGAATGATCGAGTCATACCGCTCAACACTAGCCCGGTATCCATGCTTTAGATGACCAATATGGTGCATCTGGACCTCCCCTTTGTGTGGACGCAAAAAAAAAAATTAAGTCACGCTTCAGTTGGGTCAGAGTGTACACTGAGTGACAAAAATCTATGCCTCCACTCGGGATTGAACCGAGGACCTCGTCATTACAAGTGACGCGCACTACCACTGTGCTATAAAGGCTGATGACGTCGAAGGTCGTTTTTGCAAATATTAGTAACATAGGTAGCCCCGGTATCCGAGACATTCGTCTTCAGCTGTCTCATCTTTCTCTCGTCACTGTATCTTCTGATTCAATCTCCGACTTGTTCTTGCTGGTGTAAAATTGATGGGTTTCGAGCTGTCATTGCCTATGCGCGTGTGCTGATACAGCATTGAGGTCTTGAAGTCCCTTGTGGATGTAGTAATGTGAGCTACGTATGTATACTAATTCACCTCGCGGAGATATGTACATACTTCGCGCAGGTGTACATTGGATTGAACACCATCGGCATTGACACGGAAAATGCATATTTTCGGCCTATAAATTAATTTCATTCTAGACTAAAATTCTAGACGCTAAAATACACGATCTTTACCCGGTCCTCAATATCCTGGCACGTGAATAGACTATGAAGCAAACACGATGGCGAAGTCGGAGATAAGATAGGCACACTGGAAAGGAGCCACCGGCGGAGAAGTTGACGTTGTCAACCACCCATTGTACTTTCCACCAGACACATAGCATGCTCAGTTTCAACCTTGAAACATCCCGATGCCTGCATTCTCCCAATGTCCACTTTCGCTGTATCATCAAAAGTCAAGTCCCGGCGCACAACCCGAGCCTGCGACTTTTGTCACAAAAGGGGCCGCCGGTGCAAGAAAGACACCGAAGGTTCCCTACAATGCACTACCTGCCTCGACTTTGGAGTAGCATGTACATGGAGTCGAGTCCCAGCAAAGAGAGGTACCAAACCTCGTTCCGGCAACAGAGCAGCATTGTGGACATTGACTAAGACGAAACATGGCTCTATCGCATTGATGGAGAAATTGATCGATAATTTCTTTGAAGCCGTATATCCAGTGTTTGCCCCACCTCTTTCATCTGTGCAATCATCCTCTGATAATGACCAGGGCTATAACGATCCATGAGAAGACGTTTAGAGATCGCTGGAGTAGTGGAAAAATGCCAGAGAGCCGAGGTTCATATGCTAGACTCATGGCTATGTGCGCTGTAAGCGCTCTTCGAATAAAGAATGGGGCAGTCTTGAACGAAAGGAGTGTACCGGATGATCTGAACCCGAGGCTCTATTTCGACGAAACTCTTCAAGCTATTCCCCACAATGTGAACGAGTTTAAAGAATTTGAAAGCCTACAGGCTACTGGACTTGCCTGCTTGACCGCGCTTCACTACAGCGATGGACCTCTTCTGCACCAGATTCTAGGTCTCTATCATGCTGTAGTAGCAGAGCATGGATTTAGTGATGAGAAAAGATGGCCACATGGATTGTCTGAGATTGAGATAGAAGAGCGAAGAAGGCTTTTCTGGCACATGTATCGTCTTGAAGTACACACATCTCTCGTCATTGGCCATGTCGTTCGGTGCCCAGAACTGCAGTCATCCGTCGCCTATCCCACGATACAGGACATTGATTTTACCAAGTCCGAGGACTACAACGTCCATCAGTCAGAATGGTTTAGTGGGTGGAACTTCGTCACAGACCTGTATAGGGGAATTGAGCATGTAGTTGCCCAATTTAAATACCGCCGTGCATCAGCCAATATTGACCGCCGGAGTCTATCTACTGCCTTCATTCTGGATTATGATCCTCAAAAGAAAATTCTAGATCCACTCGCCGCAGCGCGCGATGACTTGCCTGACCGATTTAAGAAAGCTTTGCCAGTCTCATCAGATACTTGCCGGAATCGATGCGGTTATCAGACGGCAAACATTGCATGCACCTATCAAGTGAGTATCTGCGTGAATAGCGCGAAAGGCTTACGATTAACGAATTCTAGCTTCTCAGGATGGTTACGTTCAGTGCATACCACACAACAACCCTGTACGAGGCGTGTCAGACAGTTCTCGAATTAATTGATGAAATATCGAATATACCAATCGAATATCTTCGTGCGATGGGCTTAGCTATGGTGAGTCCTGACGCGTTGGAAACTTCGAATTTAGACACTTGTACTGACCCATGTGTAGTTACAGGAGCTTTCGGGCTTTGGCCACATATTGAGCAGCTTTATTAACGAAGGGTTATCCAGGTCAGACTATTACCACTTGAGGACCGTCATGTAAGTCAATCCCTTTGTCCTACAGTAGGTAGTTTCTGATATAGAGTCCAGGCTCTGTATGTTGGAATTACTCGAAAGTCTTTCATCCTGTATGGCGACTGCCTTGGAGGCTAGTCAGAGACTACGTGCATATGTGGAAAACATTGATCAATTGCTCGACATACCGCAGACCCCAGACAGACAGACTCCCGACGAAGAAGATGGGCAGTCCCAAGATGATGCTAGAGCTTTGGATATTTTAACACAACAACTAATGGTACCGTTGGATATACTCCAGCGAATCCCATGGCCTGCAGCCTGGGAAGAGTCAGTGGGCCTATTTTAGGAGAGTAAGCGAAAGGACTTTTATTATAAGAATTTTTCACTTCTATCCATATTAATACCCTACTCTTTAACTGTCTCGCTCGCATTCTCGCCAACTTTCCAAGACCGCTTTTGTTTTCTAGTCCGCCACAAATAATAATCTCCCGCCGTCATCACTGGGTATTTGTTCGGATTCTCATCACTGACACACGTTGGGACAGGACTCAGGAGAGTCTTCCGATCTATGCCCCAGAAGAAAGGCAGCGAATATCTCTCCCTACCACTCTCGTTGATGACCCTATGAACTGTGCTTACAAAAAAGTCGTTTGTCTGCCGCATAAAGCAGTCGGCGATATTAACCACGAAACAGCCTGGTATAGGCTTGACTTTGATCCAATGACCGGATTTACTGAGGACTTCCAGACCCTCAGCATCCGAGGTGATGACGGTGAAGAACTCGACGTCAGTATGCGCACCGATCCCGTTTTGTTCATCTCGACACGCTTCCTGCCGCGGATAATGAAGGATTCGGAGCCCTGCCTCTGGCTGCTTTACATTCTCGTCATAAAAGTCCTCGGATACATGCAGGGCTAATGCAAATATGCGCGTCAAGCGACGTGCAAACCTGATCATTTCAGTCTGGTAGGCGCTGAGCTTATCCTCAAATGCCGGCATGTCCTTGGGCCAGAGATTGATCTGTGGAGTCGAAGAGTCTGGGTAATCAGGATCTTTAGCGGGATTGTAGTTCCAGTTGAACGCCTCATACAGATCTACTCGCACGTTCAGCTCATCAACAGTCATTAGAACGTCACAGTACGAGGAAATGAAAGCATACCTCTATATTTCCAGCCATTTGGGTTATATCGTTGCATACCATGATATCCACAGTACTCATCAGGAATGAGCTCGGAGCTCACTTCCATTTTCTTCGCTTCTGGGAGTGCGAAAAACTTCCTAGCTTGCTCCATCGCATTCGATGCCAAGTTCATATCTATGCCCTAACACACTGTTAGTCTCCCACATAACCACTAGTTGAGTTGGAATGGTACGTGATTCGTTATGCAGAAGAAACCAATGATATGAGCAGCTTCTCGGATTTCTTCAGCAAGAGCCTGACGGTCAGCTAGATTAGGGCTATGCATGCGTGACACGTCAATGATGGGGATTGTCTCCTGCGTTGTTGCGGCATTGGAGACGAAAGTGAAATCCTTGCCATTTGTTAGACGTATCGTCTTTGGCGTGTTGTCGGTCGAAGTTACGGTGGTGGACATGTTGATACTGGGAGTTAGCTACTAGCTAATCTGCCTGTTCACAGTACTTGGGAAGTATTCCGACACGTTTAAGGTTACAGACTGCGAGATTATATCTGGGGACTTTTATCTCAGCTTTTTAGCTGAAAAGAACATCCTCATTGACTATTTCACCAATTTATCAATTCACCAGTTCATCCGCCCTATAGAGCATACAATGACAGAAAGGCGTTGATAACAGTAAGCTTCTTGATACAAAGATAAGGGCAAAGTGCATACAGCCACTTTGATTGGCTGGAAGCGGGTAAACTGATAAACTGATAAACTGATTGCTTATCTACATTGACGATATCCAACTCTATTTCAGAACTAAGGTTGGTAAGGTGTTCGCAAGATAGGTGATACCTATCGGATATGAGTGGGAAATGGTATAAAGGAGGGACATGTCTAGGGAGCTGGCTGCACAGGACGTACTACCCTCGAACGTCCTTTTGCAGTCAAACGTCCTATTGGCAGTGTGAAATTCTCACTGTATCCGCTGTGACTCACCAGAATGCATGCTCTACAGAAATTCATCAAATTTATTGAAGTCAAGGACGGCAGACAAGACGACAATGAAGGTCAACAAGGCCTGAAAAGCCTCAATGCCGATACTCGGCCTCTGGAACCTGCCCGACGAACTTTTGGCCCTTGGGAGTTTGTGACCTTGTGGGTCATCACAGGCTCTTTTAACATTGGAGGCTGGACAATGGGCTCATCACTGATCGCCTATGGATTGAATGTCTGGCAGGCTATGCTGACAGTCATCATTGGCAATATCATCGTCGGTTTCTTGTGTGTCATGACGGGTGCCCCAGGGGGAAAATGGCACATTGGCTTCCCTATCATCCAGCGAGCTTCCTGGGGAGTCAACGGGTTTGTCTTTGTTGTCATTCAACGGGTGTTCTTGGCCTGCATTTGGTTCTCGACGCAGGTTTTCTGGGGCGGACAATGTGTCAAGATCGTCTTGACTGCTATATGGCCTTCTTTCGCCCGAGTGGACAAACCCCTGGCTAATGGCACAATGACAACCGGGGATCTCACTTCATTCATCATCTTCACCGTATTGTACTACCCATTTATCTGGATCAAGCCGGAGAAATACAAACTTCCTTTCCTTATTTCATGTGTGACGGTTATACCGACTATTATCGTGACCTGGATCTGGTTCATGGCCAAGGCCCAAGGAGCCGGCACACTGGTGACCGATGTCAGCTCTGTGTCTGGCGTAACTCAAGCCACTGGGAGTCATTTGGGATGGATGATGGTACTAGGCATATTCACCAATATCAATTCCATGAGTGTGCATGTCTACGTCCAATCAGACTATACGCGATATGCTCGCAAGCCGAAGGATCAAATACTTGCGCAGCTTGTCATGGTACCCATGGGCACCATAGTCGTCGCCCTGATTGGAATCATATGTACATCCTGCGCAGCTCAAATCTTCCCCGAACAGGAGGGGTCACTTCTCTGGGCACCATACGATCTCTACGCGGCCCTTCAAGCCCATTACGGAAACTCATCTCATTCTCGTGCAGCAGTCGCTTTTGGCGGACTGTCATTCATGATTGCTCAATTCGGCATGGTGGTTGCCAACAACGGCGTTGCAGCTGGTCTCGATTTATCAGGGCTATTTCCACGCTACTTCACAATTAAGCGCGGCATGATACTGATGTCCATACTCTCATTTATCGTGCAGCCATGGACACTGCTTAATGGCGCTACCAAGTTCCTCACCGTTCTCGGCGGTTACGGCGTCTTCATCGGCCCTATGACCGGCGTGATGTTCAGCGACTACTTCCTCGTCCGCAGACAGATTCTCAAACTCAGCGATTTGTACAACTATAACCCTAATGGCAACGGTATCTATTGGTACTACAAGGGATATAACTGGCGCGCACTTCTTGCCTGGATGATGGGTGTCTGGATCACATTACCAGGTTTCGTGCGAATGGTGCAAGATGGTTCGGCAAATCCGTGGGCTGGATGGTCGAATTTATATGATTTGTCGTATTTGTTGGGTTGTTTGTTGAGTTGTGGGACGTATTATGTGGCTCATAGAATCTCGCCGATCCAGGGGCTAGGGGTTCAAGATGATGAGGACTATTTCGGGACTTTTAGGCGGGCGAGTGTGATTGATGGGGTTGATTATGTGACGGGGAGCAGTTTGCTGGAGATAGACGAGAAGGCTAAGTCTGCTGTTTAAGGTTCATGTTTCTGTGAGCCTCTATACCCAGGCATGTGAGATCGAAATATGCTCAGATTTTGCCTCAGACACTATACTGACACCTACACGAACGCAATTATCAAGGTATTAAGTCTTGAAATATCTTGCTAGCCTCTGGAAGCATATTGATTCAGGATCTCCTCATGTTTCCTCGCCGCCTTAATTGAAATATCAAATTTGGAATTCTAGGGATTGTTATAATCGAAGCACCTTAGTAGTACATTTCTTTCCTTGACCATAGATACCTCTTTCGGATACCTCATGGGGCTCGATTCTATGCTGCTCAGTACTTCGCGAAGTGGCAAAACACTATGGAAAAACCCCAGTAATGAGCACTCTACGGACCTCGAGAGTAACATTTCAAGAAACAACGCTCTAAGTTAGGATCTTTCCGGGTACGTCTGAGAAGTCCTTTTTACCTAGGCAAACATCTTCAAGATACGCATATCTAATTGGCATCTCAGTCGTTCTATGAACAAGTTGTCAGAAAGGCTAGACGACTTGGTTGGTCGAACAAATGGCGAATATGAGGTCTCATCAACTCTCTCAAGCAGCTTGTCAAGAGCTTCAATCTCCAACCCTGAAGAATGGAGCTTACTGTATCCAGACTTCGTAGAGGCTGGATTTCCGCGAGATCTACTATCAGAGCAACTTGATTACATTCAAAGATGGCTCATGAACGCGTTTATCGCCGGTAGAATTGATGCGGTTTCGCAGCAAGGAGATGAAGGAGAAGCAAGTACTGTCAAAAGCAATGGTCAGCTTGTTCAACATCGCACTTGTTCTACCTTGGCTGATGACGAGTACGATATCAGAGGCCAGGATTCTAGAGCACCACCCAGCCGTTCTTCTCTTTAGATTCGAGTTCCTATAATTGCAACGCCGACTTAATTCCATAATGCATATCATATTCATATTTATCATAGACATTGGGTATTTCCCAAACGCCATCTACATAAATCTAACACTGACACACCATACCCCGTTCGCCAATCAAAAACATCAAGTCAAAGAAAAAGGAAGAATTGAAAAAGACAATCGTTATAGGAGAAGTCATCAGCCCGCAGTACTCATACCCATATTCCTATGACCTCCCGCTAGCAGAGAATCCCGCGATGCTGCATTGCCATTTGAACTACCGTTCGTCATAGTCACCCGGTCACTACTACTGTCATCACTGTTCTGACGCGGTAGCATCACCGGTTTGACCTTCGTACCGACGAAGCCTCTTCTATCTCGGCCTGTACGGCCGCGGCCAAGCCAGTTGTGTTTCAGGGTTTTGGTCAACGCCTCAACGCGCTCCTGTGCCTGGTCGCCGCTTTGAATACTCGCTAGCACGCTAAAACATTGGAGCATGCGGCCCACGGTATCTGTGATGAGGTGCGATGAGTCCGCGTTCTGATTGTTGCGGAGGGTTTGCAGTTGTCGTTGAGAGGGGGATGTGAAGGATTGGAAAATCAGTTGGTCCGGGTTCGATGAGGTGTTGGATGTTGCGCGACTACGATTTGCGCTTGCCGAGTCGGATGAATAACTGCCTGCGATGTTGAGGAGAGAAGATTGCTGCGAGTTGAAACTGCTGTATGTAGGATCTAGGGATGCAGCGGTGCCGGGTCGACCACCGCTGCTGCTGCTATTGGAAGTAGAACTTAAAGCACCAATGGTGGCGTTGATGGTATCTAGACTCAAGCGTGAAAAGACTGCGTTTAGTCCTTCGTAGCGTTGCAGGATGACGGTATCACGGAATGCGGTTAAAACGATCATGCGAACGTCGAGTTCATCGCCTAGGGAACTTTCTTCAGAGTCGCCATTGGTTGGCAAAGCGCCCCAGAATTCTCTGGCTTCTCGAGCACTCATCACTGATCCACGGCCTTTGAATTCGAGATCCAAGGGAAGAAAGACTGCCTGGATGAAGGGTAGGATGGTCCCGAATGCTAGCAGCCATATTTGCATTAAATGAGGAACGAGCTTCTCATCCGGAATACCACTGATCGAGTGGTTGAGTGTAGAGAACCCTGTATGCAGTAATTCGCGGAGATCTTCTACGATAGTCGGCATGTGCTTTTGCACACAAAGCTGGATATGTATGACCACGAGCTTGTTCAGGTCCTCCACAGCAATGCGCACATCACCACCATCAAATATAACTAACAGTTTAGCTTTGAGGAAATCCCATACATCCTCTGCAGTCATATTGTGTAACCCAAATCCCTGGAGAGTCTCCTTGACGCTGTCGTTGCTGATCACGCTCGTCAAGTTGCCCAATGATGGGTTACCATAAGGTGTAGCTGTGCCGCTGACATTACTGCTAGGACCGAGGGGCCAATCTGAGTCTGCACTGTCTCTGTTGGCATCAAACACCATTGCCTTTTCTTCTCGTCTTTTCTCTCTCAAAGCTCGACCTCCATGAAGTAAATCAAGTCCCGATTTCGGAAAACTCGTTGATGACGGGCCGGGTGAGGATGGCGTAAAGTTGTAGAGAGATTGAGGGGCATTCGGGTCTAGAGGCCTCGAGTTGCTGTTAGCGGACGACAAATGTAGGTTGTGGAGGTCTTCCTTCAGCTTCATTTTTTGTCGTGATAGGAAATGATGTTTGTGATTCTTTTCCTTGTCCTTTTCTTTCTCCTTCTCACCCTTTTCCAGGGGCACCACTGTACTAGCCGACGCATTTGAGAGGCTATACATGGAAGAATTGTTCGAGCTCACTTCGGTCAGATTTGTCGTAGACGCACTAACCATTCGCGACAAACCGCTCGAACTGCCGAAACCCAGTTTGTTGGGCGAGGACTGCGCTTTGTCCTTGCTGCTTCCAATCCAGTCTCTGCTGCTCGATATACCAATATGCTTCGGCTTGGGGAAAAACTTGGTCCTTTTGGTCTTGTCCGCTTTTTGTTTCGGATCTGCCACTTCGGTTCCTGCTTGCTGTCGAGGAAACGCAATATTGGCAGCAGTGGTGGCTGCAGCCGAACGCGAACCCATTAGTCCATTTTGATATGTATTGCTGTAGAAACCGGCTCCGCCCGCACCAGCGCCAGCGGCCGATGTTGACGTCGTTGTATGAGCTACCAGATGAGCTGGCGGTGGCGAATCTCGACTACCCTTTCGACTTTTTAGTCCCTCCTCGATCGGGACGGTCTGTGATCGATGCCGCACGTGGTGTTGTTGAGTAGACTGCATCGCCGCTTGTGCAGCGATCTGCGAAGCCGATAGAGCCGTCATGGTATGATCGGAAAGACTGGCGGTAGGTAGGGAAGGTTCAAAAAAGCCTTGCGAATGCTGTCGAGGTCTGTGTCTTTGTAGTTCTTGTAACGGAGCTCGTGGAGAGGGTTTCCTTGACACCGGGTCGTTTGGTGGTCTCAGTGGTGCGTTTGTGCCAGTCTGTCGTGCGGTTGAAGGGAGAGAGACGTTACTGCTGTTTGCACTTGCATTTATAACGCCGATTGAGGATGTCCGAGGAGGATGGGGGGAGGAGGGAGTGTTGAGTGAGCGGAGAGGGCCCTTCGGTCGGTTGAGCGTGGTAACCCGCGACGAGACGGACGAAGCATCACTATCGGATGAGCCGGGACGGTCGGTATGAGATTGGCGATGAGGACTCTGATGTTGGATTTGATAGCGAGCATTATTGTTATTAGCCCGAGAGTCAGGGCGGCTCACGGGCGATTGATGCATTGTCAAACACCCAGGCAACGATCATGCAGACGGCATGCTCGACGGGCCTCGCTCCTGCAATCATAGACGGTGGAAACGAGTGGAGAGTAAACCATAGGCCATGGCAATCCAAAGGTAGACCTGAGCGTGGGAGAGCGTTTATTAATTGTTGTCAGCTGTCACGGCCGTTGGTCGTTGTATATCTAATCTGGGGCTGAGACAAAGCCGGCGAGTTTACGTTTAATTAGACTCCGCCCAGCCTGAGCTTAGTGAGGGAGTACTTCCCTAGAGCGGGAGCCCCTCATCTCTCTGCTTCTACCATCTCTTCTATTATTCTCGGTTCTGTTCAAAATCTTTTTCTTGACATTCACATTGATATTCCAACTTACGTCGATGATTCAAAATGACATCAAAACCAGCAATCTCCGCCCTCTACTCCTCCCCCCAACCACCGCATACCTCCTACACATTTCGTCATGAAATCGCCGCACCATTCCCTGCCGTCGACAAGGCGCAAGAATCCGTCGCCACGAAGAAGGCATACCTGTCCGAACTACGTGGTCTCGTTATTCTAGTGCAGGCGGAGGTAAATGTCTTTTTGACCGAGAGGATGGAAGAAGATAAACAACGGGCTGGCGCAAGCAAGGATGCGGAGCAGGAAGCGAAGGAGGAAGAGAATTACGGGGAGGAAAATGTTGAAGATGATGCCTAAACAGTCTCTACAACTTCTTATTATCGCCGATATTTCTTATGGCAAATTGACAACGATGCTCATATATTTGTTCGATAAACGACTCAACTCCACTCCACTTGGGTATCATCTGTACAACGGAAGAAATCTACTCGAATGTATGCTGGGAATGTGCGAGAGAAAGAAAGAAATAACGAATGCCGAGACAGATGGCAAAAGATGAAGATGCGACAGACATGCGATATATAATGCACAGGACGAAACGATGAAAGACGAAAGGCGAAAGATCACGGCGCTACTTGGTTTGACGTCATTCGATTCGCGCATCCGAGATGGACGACCGTATTACTATAACCGACATTAGTGCTGGTTCCCATTTTCCACACTTGCAGAGAAACATACTCCGGAAACACACTGATAACGCTCCCGCCCAACCTCTTATAACAAATACCGCATGCGCGATCATCTGTGATTGTCACATGTCGACTGCGCGCTTTATTATCGTTCGAAAGGCCTTCCCCAACCAGTAGTTGAGCTTGCATCTTGACGTTCTGCACTTTTTGCAGATTTGCGACGATTCGCGCCTCATTCACAATTGAGCTGGCAGCACGGATTCGGTTGCGGAAGTAGAACTCGAGCTCTCTTACTGCAATGTCTTCGGGAATTAGGTCGAGTGTTGAGTTTGCCGGTAGCCGAGCTCCGTGTTTGGCGAGGATATCCAATGCGGGACCGTATTGCGGTTTGTAGTCATGTGGAGGAGAAAGGTACAGAGACAATAATGTCAGGTAGATTGTTGGTTTGGTGTTATCAGCATCCGTGGGCGCTAGACGCTGAGATGGAGCCACCTCAGCCGTACTCGTCTCCTCTGTGATGTGGATGTGATTGCAGTACCTATAACGCGTTAGAAAGTAACCTCACAAATCGACATAGACAGAGAACTTACTCTTCTGCCTTTTCATGCTCCTGCAGTTTGAAGACATAAATCTCCAACGCTTGTCGATGCTGGCCCATCTTACTAAACACGATCGCCCTAGCCTCGTAGAAATTCGGATCATCGCGAGGCAAAAGATTTAACATTTTTGCCGGGGAATACTGAGTGCTCGATTTCAGGAATTCCAAGAATTTTGTTTGCCATGAAGAATAAGTTTCCTCGTCTTCCTCGCCAGTTTTTTCGTAGGCTTTCAATCGTTCCAGATAGAGATGTAACAATCTTTGGTGTAAATCAGGACTTAAATCGTTCAGCTCGTCAATGACATGTTCCAAATAACGAATAGCGAGAGCAATATCGATTTTCTCAAGGAATTCTTCGACCTGATGCCGCGGAAGCGTCTCGGCATTCTCCGTATCAGCCAAAAAGATATCCATGCCGAGCTCAGAGTCTTCCTTTAGAGGCCATTCTGCAAACTCCAGGATGAGGTCAATATACTCCGGGGACAGATGCTGCAGATAAGCAACAGTGCGTTTCGGGCCGCGAAGTTGTGCAAGTATAGGATTTTCCTCTTCCTCTTTCTCTACGTCGGCTTCGGCCTGACCGAATTTGAAGAGTAGTTCTAGTGCGCGACGATGCATCTTCTTGCCGTAGTAAAAGTCAATCAACTCGGTATCGCGCCCGTGTTCTTCCAATTTCTCCATGACCACGTCTGGATCACAGAAATTGGCGATACGGAAGAGCGATCCTGCTAGACTAGGTGTGGCATACATATGAGCTCTGAAAAGGGTCGTGTCGACCAATTTGGCATTTTCGCGTAAACGGTCTCCAAATTCAATGTCTTCAGCGTTCTGCGAAAGACCGAGCAACATCCGAACAGACTGTAAGAATTCGTTGTTTGCGCTATCTTGATGCAAGGATTCAGTACGCAGAGTGCCATCTGGATTGATGAACCTCTGAAATCGGCGCCTGACGTCTGCTAGATAGCCTTGCAGCTCACGCACTGCGTTTTTGAGATCCTTTCCTTCTGTTCAACTTCGTTAGCAGGACTCATCCGCTGCAGTGCAGACTTCACATACCTAATTTCTTATCTGGCTCTAGGATTTCACTTGACTTGCCGCGAACGCTACCGTCATCACTCCCTTCTTCTCTAGTACGAAGAAATGAAGTGAGTGAAGGCGCATAGATAGAAGCTTTGGCAGGAGACGCATCTACTATAGAGGGCCCATCTGTACCAGCCTGCACTTCATTCTGGCCCTTTGGCGTGGAGGGCTCTTCTTCATCCGTTCGATCTGAATCCTCTTCAACAGTCGACAGCTCTCCCGCAATGACCTTTGGGTATAGCCTTATAACGACCTCAGGAGGCGCCGAAACCTCCGCAAACAGATCAAGAGCGTCACGATACTTTCTGAGATCGAACAACTTCTGCGCCTTTTGCAATTGAGCCTCTCGCAATCGGCCTGCTTTGTCCTTCAAAAGAGCGTCTTCGAGCATATTTAGGAGACTGATTGCCTCGTCCAGATACCCATTTTCAACTAGACCATCAATCTGGTCATCGTAACTTAGAGCTTCCATCCTCCAAATAACCCGGTCGCTAGCCACCAGAAATCCTTTCCCGGCATGCGCTAAACTAATAGTCGGGTGCGGCATATGAAGCAGACTAGCAGAGGGCAAAGATATCGATTGCAAAAGTGACAAGGTATCCGGATTCCTAACTTCCAACGTTCCTTTAGAAGGTTCCTGTAGCGCCAAAAGATACGGATACGAATATCCGAGAGCTTCAGGAGCGGTGCTCCACGGTATTTGTCGTTTGCCCAATGACTTGCCATCAATATCGATAAAATGAGTATTGATGTCCTTGGCTAGAAGCACTTGGCCTTCACTCAGCCGAGTTGCGAGTGGTTTCGGTACCATTCCTCCCATGCCAATGTAGCTCATACTAGCCACACCAACACCGCCTAGTCGACTTGATTCCTGGCCCGGTCCACCGCCGATACTTCCAGGCCCAACGATATCGTTTAGCTCCTTTGTTTCGATATTGACCAAAACATAGTTTGAGCCCAATCCCGCAATCAGTTTTGTGCTGGATACCCATGTCAATGTTTTGATACCACTGACGAGTGTGATCTCTGTAATCTCAGGAACTAATTCCATATCCTTCCATGTCCAGAGAAGAATTTTCCGTTTCACAGCAACTGCTAGCCGGGACACTATCGACGGCAGATCCGTTTCGATATCATTGATCACATTCGACGTGACAGCGAACGTACTCGCTCCTTTGGTTTTGGCAAGCTGTTCTTGCAATTCGTAGCTCTGCAAATCATGTAAAGAAACATAACTACCCGACAACACAACCAGTATATTCGCCTCTTTGATAAAAGCAAGTTGCTCAGCTTTGTACCTCGTGAATTTTTCTTTTTCGCGTAATAGATCGACCGATTTCACCGTAGACGATTCTTGCTGTTGCTGTTGGGTTTCATCCTTTGCGGCGTTTTCGAGTGCATGCCCATTCCCTTTCCCATTCTCGGCAGCAGATTCAGTCACAGCTTCGTTGACCCTATATACCCTCAGACTCCCATTATTGAGTCCAACAAGCAAGCGGTCACCGTATGCGAGAATGGATTCGATCTTGGACTTGTCGCGTTGTTTGAGTTCAACGAGCGGTCGCGGTTTGAAGGCGGATAACATGGTTGATTATGGAGAGGAGGGAGCCAAGGCGTGACACCTTGACACAGAGCTGAGTATCAATATACTAATCATGGTCTACAAGAGAGTGACCATCGCTTAGAGCTTCGTGGCTTAATTGCAGCGCAACGAAGCGTTGTATTTGTAGTCTTGAGCTAGCGATTGCGGAGATGGAGCGTGACCCCTGCGGACCGCCGTCATGATTGCCCGCTATCAAAATACGTCATGTGACTACGTCCCAACTTGCTGTCGACCCTTTCAGCGAGACATGATTACTGTGTTTGCATACGGTTGTCGGGAATTGGGTGTGTGATATTGTTACTATCATTACTAGGTAGGCTAGATATCAATGCTGTTGCGCATATTGAGGAGTCTTTCGACTATATATGTGTTTAACTTTGCTTCAAGCTGCAACAGCAGAGTCATATTGATAATGCAGAACGTTCAGTACATCCGATGTATGCATCTAGTATGTACAGTCCAAATCTAACGCCACGCCATGCTATTTCGACACCTAGCTCTAGCAAAGAACATGGTCATTGCTGGCCGGCAGATATGTCTTGAATAAAGAGAAGAGCAGATGAGATTGAGTCCTCTGACTGGCTATAAAGCATGCACACGAAGTATCTAGTCACAACCCTGCTCTTAGAGATCAATGGCTTGGTTGACTACCTTCGGCTGGCTCTTGATGTTTGGCCGAAGATCCCTTGCCCCGCCATGTGGATACAGCTGGAATATTCGCTTTGAAACGCTGCTCTTCTGTGCCATATGCTCTGGGCGTCAACTTGATCAGTGTGTGGAGCGGAACCTCCATCCACGGACTCTGTTCTTGAGACATATTATGGAAATAGGAGTAGATGCATCTCAGGACTGCCTGGTGAGTAACGATCATGATGTTCTCGCTACGTTCCAGTTCCATGATGATAGGCTCTAATCGTATGACGACGTCACGATATGACTCTCCGCCTCTATAACGGTAGTTGTATTTATCCTCGTCTCGTGCGGCAAAGTCTTCGGGATATTTCTCAGCGATCTCCTCATAAGTCAACCCATCGCAGACTCCAGAGTCAAGTTCATCCAGCGCCTTCCATTCGAGTTTGTCATAACCCGTCTCCGCGGCAAGATGACGCGCTGTCTGTATTGTACGTTTGAGGGTTGAAGTCCATATGGTGAGTTTGGTGCCCGGCGGAACACCGGACTGTTTCAATAAGCCTGGAAGCGCGCGAGCATAGGCCTCTCCCCGTGTCGAAATATCAGAATCACCGCCAATCTTTCCCGTCAAGTTATACTCGGACTCTCCATGCTATGACCAGGTTAGCTTGTATGTATCATATGAAAGACAGAATGTAATATACCCTGGATAACCAAATAGATCGAGGTTTGATGTGGAGATTCTGGATGTAATAGACCAGCCGACTCGACAGGTAGTCTTTGATCTGGTTTATGATGACTGTAGAACCCACATTTATCAATTTGACGTATGTGTAAGCCTTCTCATTATCGTCTATCGTTTCGTAGACTTTTTCATAATTGCGGATGCGATTCCGAAAATCTTGGGCTGCTATCTCGGGGTCTTGTCCTTTATAATCAGGCGATGTCGTCTTGACCTCCAGTATATTGTTCATTATGATATCCTCGTCATCGCAAGAGGATTCCACAAAGAGGGTCTCGATGCCGGCCTCGGTGCAGGTCTTATGAATCCATGCTCGCCTCTGTTTCGTCGAGTTGGTGGCATCAAAAATTCCCACAACGCCGTTTGACTCCTTGAACCATTTTAGCATATCCGACACAGCAGCCTCAGCAGCAGCCCATCTCATTTTCTCGCCTTCCGAGTTGTGTGGATCAAAGAAGTTCGCTAACGGATGAGGTGACATCTTTCGACGATACGTTCCTACATTGAATATGCGCGCGGAAATACCGACCCAGGCGAGGTATCGCAGAGCTAGTGAATGTAAGTTCTTTGTTCGAAATCACTGTAGAACCACCAACCTTTCCCCGCAATGAGACTCTTGCCCCGGGCGGGTAACCCAACCATGACAACACATATTTTGGTATCGTCGGACTGTCGAGAAAGCGTTAGTCGCGATGCGCATGGAAGCGAAAGTGATTAGAATTGACAGAAATCGCGCAATCAGCGAACGAAGCCGTTGAAAGGGGCGAAATCAGGGCAGTCGTAGTGCAAAGGATAGAACATTATTACAGGAATGTGAAAACGGTGGTTTCTTGAGCTGACAGTACCAGCCATGCGAGTCATGATGTTGATCGTCTCATGCGACAGTCGGTTGTGATAAGCTTGTCCCCATGGATTCGGCTCCAATGAGCCAAGCACAGTATGACGTCGTCAATTGGGAGATAGTCGGGTTTGTCGAATCGCGGTTCGTGTGAGCATCAGATTCTGAGAATGGAATAATTGAACTTCAAAAAATTCGTAGATTGTAGATCATAATGGATATCGGGGCAGGGCCCGAAGTTGCGCGACTCGAGGTTCGGATCTGGTACGGTGTCTCCGGCGAGAAAATATAGGGGAAGATGAGTTCGAAATGCGTTTGAATTGACCCATCACGGGCTCGTTGTCATTTGTTGAAAATTATGGGGCATACGTATACCACCAAAAATTTCTCAATTCAATTGTATCATCTGACACGAATTGGGCGGTGATTCAAGTTCGCAGTAACTCGCACCGAAGCCATGGCCAGACCCATCCTGTCGCGGGTAAACCAGGCGGAGCACAGCCGATGAACAACAAAGGGAGACCACCACGAATTGAAACCGGCTAGAGCAGGAGTAAATTATGATGGCATGACCACCTCGGTGAGCTCCAGACCTGACTCCTCGGCAAGTTGCTGAGTCTGGCAAGTAGCTTCATTGACTTGCTATTTGCTGGCCCTAAGAAAATTTGTTCGGGTAAATGGGCGCATAGATGTCTCTCGATTTACTGCTCCCTTACTGGCTTTCCAGAGCTCCGATTCCTTCTGCCGTGCTGTGACTTCCGTGTGATTTTTGAAATAGACTTTTGCAGGACGATTGAACGTCACGAGGACCAAGCCATAAATGATAATGCGGGGTGTAGCTGGACCCAGACGAAGAGACGAACAGGAGAAGACAAAGGATAGGAAGGCACACATTTTAGAAGCAAAATAAGAGGAAATCAATTAGTACTTACGCTAGCATAGAAAGTCTTGCTTGCCGACTCGGTACGACCAGATTCTCCGGAAGACATGATGAAGTGCTGGAGGCGTGCGGATGGCTGAGATATAACAACGCGCAAGAACCTCAGTACAGATGTTTGAAAAGAAGTGAGATATCAAACGTAGTCGCTGGTGACAGGTATTTATAAAGAGAACGTTTGTTCGTAGTCCGTGTTCGCTCAGCGGGTACGGTGACTGCCGTAAGTATCATGTAAGCCAAGATTGTTTGATGTCGAAGGAGAACGGCAAAGGACTCGGGAAGAGCGGTAAGGTGATGACAATGAATCAGTGATGGATGCGCATTTATCGTATGTTCTTGTTTTTGTACTTCGGAGACATGGAGAGGCGTGCAAGAGAGTTTCTGGGAAGTTCTTGTGAAGCAATGAAGTCGCGGGGCAAACCAAGGCCCACGGAAAGGGAAGGAGCTGCCCTGATAGCTAAGACGGCGGGGAAGCCATTTATCAACGATACTCAGCTACAACCTTTTCACTCTTTACGATTATTTCGATACAATACTTATTGCAATTATAATTGGCAATTGCATCGTCAGCTACTACACAGCGACAAACATTCGTCTCTTGTGAAGAGCTGCATGCTGGACGTCCTGAGAATAGAATTGATGACTTTATTTGTCGGCTTTTTATGAGGCAATGTGGAGATAGAAATCTAATAATGCGCTATGCAGATTACGCCGCAGAGATAGCGGCATCTTCAAGGTCGTCGGTCTGGGAAGCCAGCTTCTGCCTGTCGGAAATCATTTTTGTAGACTCGCCGCGAGCTCTTCSGAGCCGTAACTTTCCTCCCCAAGGTCCGTCCTGTCCGTCGAGGGCTGTTTGTGCTGCAGCGGCTTCTTCGATGGTTGCAAAGTCGACAAAGAGGTAGTAGTGGTCGCCAGGCTCGAAGCGTTTGGAGGGATGAGGAGTGATGAGCTTGGAGATTGCCTCGCTTTGTTACGTCAGTCTTAAACTCTTTCACAGTGGTAGATGATACACACAGGTTGTATCCCTTGAAGAAGGATTGGACATCGGCATCAAGAGCCTGTTTATCCATTATCTTTGGGAGACCTCCGACATATAAGCGACGGCTGTTTTCAATGTCATTCGGCTTGTTGTTCGAGAAGGCGGTATCTTTGCGCTGCCAGCGGTCAACGAGGGTGGAAGGGGAACCGGCGTTGTCGTTGAGACGAGAAGGAGAACTCTGAGGAGAGCGCGCGGTGGTAGAGCGGTCCTGAGCCGACTTTGCGACACCAGGCTTGATTCTGATGGGTCGTCCCTGGAGGTCTTTGCCATCCAACTCCACCATTGCGCGTTCGGCTTGCTCCTTTGAGGCTAGTTCGACGAAACAGTAGGACGGGTTGCGGCCTGTGAAAGGATCGATCGAGATATCAATGCGTTCGCTATGGTTAGAGGTATCATCAGCCGACGCGCACGTTTCATTTCAGTGACAGGCCGCACATTGAGTATTCTCCTCCCTCGAAGATGGTCTCCACGTCCTCCCGCTTGGCCGTGTAAGGCATGTTGCCAACATAGAGCCGTCGACCTTCGGTGATCGATTGGGGCACCGGTTGCCATGACTTGTTGAAGGGGGAACGGGGGGAGTTGTTGCCGGACTGGTTGTTGAATCGGGGGCTGTTGGTGCTGGGGCTGTCGTCGCTTTTTACGCGCCAATTTGACGAGTTGAATGCTCGACCATTAGTGCGGACGCCGTTTGCCTTGGTGGGAGCTGTTTTGTTAGTCTGTAGTGCTGAGAATCGGAATTGGTGTGCATACTCCACGGTTGTTGTTCGTTGGTCTGTTCCGTGTCGGCCATGTTGACTGTAAATGTCAGGCACGGTCATTGAGCGATATAATGACTCAATGAAGAAGAATCTAGGTAGGTGATACGGAAACTCACCTTTCAATGCTCTAGACTCGCAAAATTGGCAATGCCCGCAACGAGGATGATTCTGCTCCTTTCACAGGGCGCTAGAGACGAGATACAAAAAATTTCCCGCTTTAGTGAGATTAAAATGTTGGGCCCCGCAGGTTGATCGGGCTGCAGTGAACCACCAGGCACAGGGCTGTACAGCTTCGAATTTCAGCTACCAAATAAACTTGCCAAGCGGCAAAAAGAATAAATTATTCTCAATTTCATACAATCTTCTTTCTCACTCCTGCAATTTTGTTCCTCTTGCATTCTGGCTTTCAATGTGGCCAATCTGATTTGCAGACGCTCTAACCTGATTAGGCCTAGCCCGACTGCGAGGAAATTTGTCTCGCCGTCTCAATATCTTTCTTCTTCGACCTCCATCCCTCATCGCTGCGACAGCGTTTGACTATGAGTGTCCCAAAACAAATTGCATCGCAACTGTAATGCCTCATCACACACTACTCAACCAGCAGGATGAAAATCTATCTCATCCGCCATGCTGAGACTGTCCATAATGTGGGACATGCTTGGTATCGTCAACCTTTCACTTGCCATTCGCGTATTTCTCTGAAGAAACAGCGATTCATTGACCTCTTCCCCCTTTTCCGGGAGGCATTAATATAGGGCAGGAACAACAGATTCCGCACTTACGAACCACGGCGTTTCGCAGATTCATCGATTAGCGGCGTACTTCCGGTCTGCGGACGTTAGGTTTGAGCATGTTTTTGCGTCGGACTTGAGTCGTGCTATGATTACAGCGGAGGGAATTTGTAGCGAAACTCTTAGGAACGGGATGTCGGTTGGCCAGGTGATGGTTACGCCGTTGCTGAGAGAGCAGCATTTCGGATCTCGAGAGGGTGTGCGTATCTCCGCGTCAACTACAGCGTCGCCCTCGCCGACGATGGTAGAGCCGGAACCCGCCGAAACCGAGGTATCAATGCGTACACGCGCAAACCGATTCTTGGAAGAATACTTGTTCCCTGTCTTGTTAAGTCACGACGAAGAGACTGAAAAGGACATGGCAATCGCGGTTGTGGCACATGGTATAATCCTTCGCGTGTTGTGGAATTGTTTCCTCTACGCATTCCCGCCGGGAAACGTGTCGTTTTCGCCTGAAGTCGCTGCATTGTCGGCGACCAGGGGAGGGACGCTGGTGCCGTTTTGGAGTAATACGGGATATATGGAGTTGATTTTTCGTCGTCGCATAACTCCAAATATAACCGCGGAAGTAGAATCGCTGTTGTCTGAATGGATTGTAATGGTCTTGTCAATCGATAACAAGACTCATCTGCAAGACTTGCGACGCACAAGAGGCGGGATAGGAAGTTTGGAGCATGACTCGAAGCAGCGGAGTATCGAGTCGTTTTTTAAGCGATGATTTTGATACCCTGGATGTTAAGGGATAAGAACTCAATATGATGACACCTGTTTCACACAAACATGTTCCGAGACGAGATTTTCTTTCATGCGGAAAGTGAAATATATGTCCAACTGCTGTCTGATGAGTTCTCATCCCTACGTTCATTGCGATATAACGATATAGATAGAACAACTCTAATTCATCAATCATAGCTATATAACGTAAATCCGAACAATTATATCAACCCCAACTCCCTATACCCATCCTCCTCCCCTCTCGGGCCACCACCACTACCACCACCACCATCATTGACATCCTCCATCTCATACAGCACCTCAGGCTTCAAATGCTTCTGCCTAAACAGATACCTCCTAATCACATACGGAATCTGCCTCAACCCCCATTCCGCATGAAACCTCGTCGGCACCGAAAACACCTGATCCAATTCTTCCAGCGTCTTCCCTTTTGTCTCCGGCATAAACATCAAAATCAACCACCAACCCACAACATTCCATGCCCCATACCACGCGAAACCGCCCGCGGTCGTGAACCGAGATGATAGAGAAGGCCACGTCATAGCTAAAATAAAATTGAAAAACCACGTCGTCGCAGTCGCAAGCGACATTCCATACGACCTTACGTACAACGGATACGCTTCTGCAGAATACGTAAACGGCACGGGCCCTTCGCCGGGGGAATAAACGACACCAAACAGGAATATCCCCAACGCAATACATCCTATTCGAGCTGTGTGATGGGTTTCGGGGATATAGAAGCTGAAACCCGTGAAGAACATGGATATGGCCATCATAGGGAAAGTGGAAAGCAACAAATTGCGGCGCCCGAAGGTGTCGATTGTGTAAACAGCGGGGATGGCAAATAGCCAGTTTACGACGCCCCAGCCGAGGGAGGCGCTGAAGGCGGAGATGGGGGAGAAGTTTGCTTCGAGGAAGATTTGCGAGGAGTAGTAGGCTATTACATTGACGCCGCAGAACTATCCATTGTCAGTTACGCTTGAAAATGAACGAAAGGAAAAGTGAGAGGCACCTGTTGCAGAAACATGACAATTTCAGACGCAAGCAGAGCACGACGATTGCGCGGCACGGTAATCAACTCAAGCACCTTGTTCTGACCGAGTCGCATACTCGTCTCCGCTTCTAGCAGCGTGTAGATGTAATACACGTCCCTGGCAGCCTGCAACTTCGTATACCGCAGTCGACACATGACCTGATACGCCTTGTCGTACCGTCCTTTACTCATATACCACCTCGGCGACTCCGGGCAAACAAATACCAGCAAACACACTAATATCGCGGGTATACACGCCGAGCCCATCATGAGTCTCCAATTGAAGCCGCAGATATGCGGCGGATCGGGTACCTTGAAAAACGCTAGATCAGCGGCGTAGCCAAACATGATTCCAAACGCAGTCCACATCTGCCATTGCATGACCAGCGCGCCTCTGATCGCGGGCGGACTCGTTTCGGCGGCGTAGATGGGCACAGTGGCTGATTTGGGACCGATTCCGAACCCGAGCACGAACCGGGCGACGAACATGTGCCACCAGGTGTTGACGAAGCCCTGCCATATACATGCCAGCGAAGAGATGACGCAGGTAATGAAGATTGTGCCGCGGCGGCCGAACCAGTGGTTGAAGGGGATTGTGAGCCAGCAACCCGCAATAGCGCAGCAGAGATATGGCGCTGAGTTCAAAAGACCGAGCAGCCATGTCGAGCGAGGGTCGTTGCCGTCGATGCCGAATTGGCTTTTGTATAGGACTTGGGCGCCGTTGACCACAGTTTCATCTATCCTCATCAGTATCTCTTATTGCAGCAGCACGACAAGGACAAAAAGAAACAAGACTGACCCATCCCCTGCACAGCAGCGCATATAGAACAAATCCCAATAACGACATACATCAATACCGGCTGCGACCACCTATTCGTAAACTCCTGCCTCAACACCTGCAACTCTTCCTCCGTCAACCCTTCAATCTCCTCGAATTTCTCCGGTGCCTGCGCCAGCACGGCACCAAACTCAAACGCGCGGATATCCTCTTCATCGCCAACTTGGTGCGTAATACTGAACCGCAGACCTTGTTTTTTGAGTTCGTCGTGCGTAAACCCGGCGAGAGGATTGGCGAGTTTGGTGTTTAGGTTGCGCCGCGCGCGTTCGGCGGCAGTCAGGTTTGTGCGTGTGCGGGTAATGGTGTGGAGGGTGTCTTGTTGGGCGACGAAGTCGGTTGTTGTTGCTGCTGTATTTGTAGTATGTGTATGATGATGCCGTTTGTCGGCAGCAGGTAGAGGGAAGTGATCCCATCCAAAGGTTGATGGCATTTTCTTAAATTAGAGTTAACGATTAGATAGCGCCTTATATCACCGCCATGGAGCTATCTGTCGCTGTCTCGCTCAGTATTGAGTCTTGGTGGCGTTCATGTCACTGTGTATCGGTAGATGAAGATGTATTGATTGCCGTATGAGGCAGGTGATGCCTCGGATGGAAGTATGCTGCCTGATATCAAGTGTCTGTCGGAGATTTTGAGATAAATTGTACAACATTCAACAACTATTCACCACTATTGATCAATCAAAGAGACCACTATTGTCGTGATTGATGGTAGCAGGCATCTGTCAGCGAGCAGTGGAGAAAGTAATCCGGAAAGCACGGATAATCAATATGCTCAAGTATCACTGCCAACGGGGAACATGCATGATCATATCAAATTGTGTAGCGCCGTAATGATATTTGCAGCAAGATCAATCAGAAAAGAAACTTCTTCTTTCCAATCCTTCCAGAAGACGACCGACCCATCCGGTTTCATTCCTTGAGTCAGGTTTGATTGCCAAAGCCCAAAACCAACCAACTAGAGCCAAGTCTTCGGGTCGGTAGTACGTGCTAATAAGTAATAAATAGGCTACGTAGGGCCATTCACGCTCACTAATCAGATTTTATAGATTCAGCTAGACTAGAGTCCTAGCCCGGAGTTAAGTCTTCAAAGCCGTGTGGGCGAGGGCAAGCCTGGGCGAAAGAACTTAGCCCCCCTCGTCTCGCTTAGGGGTCATATATTGGCCGGATATGAAACGATTGATTTGTTAGGCACAGAACTAGCTCGTACGTACGCTGTTAGTCAGTGTAAGAGTATAAGTGGCTCGACGTGATTTGTTTGGTATGGGGCTGCTAGTCTGTTAAACTAGTCATACAATGCGGGGTGAGGCCTGGACTGACAGCCGGCCACACAGACAATACGCCGTACGGAATACGGAGGATAAGGATAGCCTTGCGGATTGTGAATTGTCATAATTTCATACATACACGATGCATCCATTGATGCACACAAGTCACCGTGCCCGACTGAGCAAACAGTAAGACACAACCAATACTGGTTTGTCAGGTAACTAACTATTCCGTAGTAGTACGTAGTGACTAAACTAAATCGGGGCCAGAATCAGGATTAGCTAGTTGGCAGAAAGAAAGTAAAAAGTAACGGACTGCTTCAGACCTGACTCGCGGCAATAAGCTTTGTCTATGAATATACACTATACGAGCTTGCGAGGTCGTGTAAATCGTCCTCACTCTGATCGATTTATAGCACATAGTAGGTCTAAGTACAGCTCTTAATACACCGGATGAATCGGTTGATAACCTTGATATGCGTGAGCCAGTGAAAAGAGCCATCATGTGATTCTTCAGGCTTCCAGAAACCCCATAGAATCATATGATATACATAATACGTATTCTGAAAGACAATTGGCTGCATGGTACTCCGGAAAACGAATCAGCGTCGTGCCGTGCCCCGGTAAGGTCTGGGGGCCGAAAGTGATACGCTAGACTGCTTTGAGGATACTCTTTTTAAGTGATTGATTGTACGTAGTCAATGGTAGGTATATTATTGTATGATTTGTTTTTTTTTTTTTATGGTTCTGCCAACTAAGTCATGAATATGTACAGGCTATTATCTGAATGATTTGGAGCGATGCGCTACAGGAATTACGTCGGGTCGTGACGACCTACCCAGGTACAACAGTTGCTGACCACCACCCACGCAAATATTATGTTCTCAATACTTAGTTGATACTAAACTAGTACACTCTTTAGACTTGTATGTACGCAATGATGCTAGGATGCATAAATCAGCTCGACCAACTAAATCAGCGCAATATAATTAAACTACGAATGAGAAGGGTATATAAGTCATGAAGTATAAACATGTGACAGATCGTATTTCCCGATGCAGTCAAACGCGGAATTGGAGATGTATGAGTCAGGATCGAAATAAACGCCGAGGTCAATGCTTTCCGCTAATTGCTTTCTTTCTTCCCTCTCCTTGCGTTTCTTCTTTGGTTTGGTTTGTTGTGCAAAAGCCAATAGGTCAATAGAGTGTTTGGGATTTTGATTCGAGCGGGCGATTGATAAGCGATCTTGGATATGCCTCTGTGGACTCGGGAAGGAGGGCTCCGTGTCGCAGAACATTACGCATTAGTCGATACGTGTCGAACTGATTTGTGCATATCAATAGGGGTGTCGGGTTGGGGTTGTTGTTGTTATTTGTCGAATAGTAGTAGCTTAGGGTTGTACATGATTGCAGTGAGTGACGGCGAGTAATGAACGCGGCGACGGGAATATGACAATGTCATGTCAGTCTCGAATAAAGTGATATATCATGTTAGGTCGTATGACAAGCGATCAACAGCCTTGTGACAGTAGCCGTGAAACACATAAGGCCATCCTCGCGTCAAGCATAGTGGCCCGTCCCAAAATTTCTAACGAGGCTAGACTAACCAAGTCAGCCGGAATACCTGCAGACTCGTATTGCTGCGCCCAATGCCCATCGTTTGCCGTGACTGGTAAGGCCATACGACACGTTTTGAAAGTCCCCCACATTTCGATCGAACATTCGACCGATCTTCCAAGGATCATGCCACAGCTGAAGTCGTCGATGAGAGGTTTATGCATGATTTGCTTTTTGTGGTAATTTCCATATTCTATCCACTTAGACCACAGCTCTTGACTTGGTTTGTATTGTTGTTCTCCGTCATCTCCGTAATTCCGGGCTGGCTTGGTTTGTTTGTTATTCTTCTTTGATCGTTTGGTTATTGGATGGATGGTTGCAGCCTCAGGGTTGTTAGGGTTTGCGCGACCACCTGACTTTTCCATCTATATGGCGAGACGCTCACCCTGACAGACTGCACCACTCTGACTCGACTCTTGCACTACCGTGCATCGAGATCTTCTCACACAATGCGTATTATGTTGTCCGCGCCATAGCCGTTACAGTCCGACTGAGCATCAACTTTCTGCCTTTGATGACGACTGCCCACTCCAACTCCCACAACTTATTCCGACTGATGATTTCCACTAGGAGTCGACGAAAACGGCAGCCAGAATAAATCTCGAATCAACCAGACAATATACAAAATTCCCAAAACGTAAAGATAAGCGATAATCTTATAAGCGGATGACCGCCACGTGACTCTTCGTCGCAATTGGTAACCCGGTGGTCCTTCGATAGGGCCTCGTCGAGACATTTGTGATGGATAGGCTGATGACGAGTAATATGCGTATGCAGGAGTGGCGGGTGAGGTTGATGAGAGGGATGGTTCACTCTGCGACGAACGGCGCTGCCACATGGTGCTGCCAAGTATCAAGCGTTTTATGGTTTGCTGGAACAAAAATCTGTGTCGTCTGAACGAATTTATACGCGACAGGGTGGACGTGCAGGTAGTTGGGAGGAAATTTTCTCGTCAATTCTTCCGTAACTATGCACTCACTCGCCTCTGCAGGCCCACCACACAATTCAACTAACTAGTCGATATTTGAATCGTGCCACTTGTCAGCCTGACAGCAGAGCAAGACCGATTGCCAAAGTAAAAAGTGGCGTGGAAATATGAATTATCGTTGTGCTAATCACGCGTTGTTACGTCTTTAGCACCCACTTCTTAGTGGTCGAATCGAGTGCAGCGCGTATGTATGAATTTTTTTTTTTGGAAAACGGTCCAAAAGAGGCAAAAGAAGACTGCTGCAGGATGAATTTAAGTCTGATGAATGAAATCAAAGGGTGATGATGGAGTGGGTTCGGAAGAGGTCAAATAAGATAGCTGAGATCTGACAGAATCTTTTTTTGACAACACGAGGTCGAAAAGCGGGCTAGACTTTTAACTAGTAATCATACCGCAGCCAACATTCATGCCAATATCAGCGAAAATTGACAGCCGCGGCAGAAACGACAGCTGAAACAGTGAAAATTCTGACAAAAGTTGACCAAACAAAAGAGCAAAAAAAGAAAAGAAAAGAAAAGAAACACGACGTCAATTTGGTTTATTATGGATCTCAACACTGGCAGTCGGCGATAGCGAGACGATGCGGAGCCAGGAAGTTGTCTAGTAAACGGCGTTTGAAAGAGGATTCGGACATCGAGCCTTATGGAGTTGAATTGACATATTTCTTCTTTTGGGAGTATGTGGTATTCCTCTTTCATCCAGACCAGACAATCAGTATGCTCTTTCATGCATCATCACTTCAGTTCGACTATAAAGTGTGATAAAAACCTCCCATTGATCGTACGGCTAGGTTGACGGACGGCCAGGAAGAGTGCGCGATGTGGGCAGGGTCCAGTTGGCAGGACTCCACCACGATGCAAGACGCTTTAGGCGGAAGTCGAGGGTCAAACTGTCAGTTGCGTGTGAAGGAAAGAAGACAAAAATATAGAGTGGATCGTGTGGGTGTTTATGTAGTCCGCCGATACATTCACATGCTCTGATGGCAACGTGGTAAGAACGTATTCTTTCAGGCTGGCCGTCGCCTTTTCCCTGGCAACAGCCAGAAAAGAGGAGAGAGTAAGGAGATGAAGATATGTATGTACTCAGTCTAGTATATCGTGAAGCGCGGCTCTAACGAACACTAACGCTCAGGGTGGAAATGAGGATTACCGAGTTGGGCCAGGTGCTGGACGCACGGCCTACTACGTATGGTAGGTATTATAGGCGAGAAACTATAATACCGAACGAAGTACATGTATCATGTACTTCTCTCAGTAGTTTTATCTTCAAGTATTTCGGCCATTGAGCAGACATGCAAATTCCAGTTGAAATTTTGAGGGTCTCAGCCTGAACGCGAGGTCTAGGCCAGAAGACTGGCGGTACTACGTACACTGGCTTGGACAGTGGACACTATGCGTGCCGATATGGTCGCTGTAGTGTGCATGTAACTTGATGTAATTATGTATGGCAGTATTAAATGTAAGTCTTCATTGGCTGCATGCTTTTTTTAACCTCGACAGGCCGCCGGAGAGTCAGTTCCGTTACGCTAAAATCACTAGTCGATGCTACTATCTGCTGGCTGCCCTACTACATACGTAGTGGTGCTTAGATTATTACCTCATGAATCGACGCGTATATATTAGACAAGGTGAAGTGGGATGACGGAGCATTGACCGGATTTATCAATTTCTACACGACCACATTATCGAACAATAGGCGTGGCTACCGAGGTACATAGCAAAGTATATACTTTCCCGCCCGTAACCTTGATATTGTGAGCACCGACAACTCCAAGACAGTTCGAGGGAACCTTGAAACGCTACTTATTAATTCACAACCTTGGAAGAGCGGCACACTCCAGATGCCTACAGTATGTACGTACTACGTATCTAAATGCGATCGACGATGCTAATGCCGGTAGAATGAGCCGTCGCGCGTAATACAGATACAGCCAAACTTACAACATTGGCTGGTAAATTACAGCATGATCCGTATTGTTACCCTGGATTACGTCGAGTCCATTTTCCTCGTATGTCATGCATTGACGAATTGCACACAATCATAGGCTAACTTAGTTATGGCAGTCATAACAAAAATACTCCAAAGACTAACTGGTCAATGATTTGTCGACAAAATGAAAATGGCATGTGACTACCCTGCGGTCACGTGGGTATGACATCGCCGGCTATGGCCTTGACTGCGTGAACCACAATCCGACAATCGGATTGTCTGCATGGCGCATAAACAACGACATCTCTTCCTCTGATTGATACTATCTCTCTCCTCAATATATTTTATCCTATTTTCGCATTGTATTCTTCCCCGGCATCACAGCAAGTGACCTCGGCAGACGAGTCTCGGCCATTCATCCGAGCTGGGGTGTCCGACCACTGAGGAATTGGCGGGGAAAGCTGTCCCCGTTTTGGTCCGACCGACAACCGGCGGTTAAGAACTTACGCTGAAGTCAGGCGAGCTGTGAGTCAACGTCAGATTATCCGCTGTTGGCTTGACTACCGCTACTCAAAAACAATTGATATCATTGTTTTGTACCTGGGTATACTGGTGTTGAATTAAAAGGCATTGGGCACGACCTGATGGCCATTGATCGCAATCATGTGGAAGGCGTCAGATAAATTGATGGCCACCATCAAGCACTATGCAAGCTTCCCCGCAACTGGTGTTTCGCTCCGACAGATGGTGCAATTCGGCGAGACTCCGTCTCCTGGTTAGTATTGACTGAGAGATTGTCGATGGCGATGGCTGATGGATTATAGGCACCCTGTTTAGAGCTTCGCAATTTCTCTCTGAGGAGCTGCCGATCCGTCTCGCACACCGCGTCGAGGAATTGAACCACCTTCCCGATGGACTGAACGAGATGCCCTCAATCAAGAAAGTGAAGGACTGGTATGCGCAGTCATTTGAGGTGAATATATGGAAAAAGACGCCGATGAAGACAGAGCTGACGTAATTAGGAAATCATCAACGTCCCCAAACCGTCTCTTAGCGAAGAAGTCAAAGCACACCTCATCCGCCCAATGCGAAATCACGGAAAAGAAATAAAACCTCTCAGCGAAACAACCTGGAATCCGAGCATACGAGAAGGACAATATCGATCATCTCCGGATTCCGCTATAGCCCTCAACGGCAAGGAAAACCACGATGCACAGCACCATAAAGGCACAAATGGAAATGGAAAAGGGAAATTAATATTGTCGCGGCGGTATTTTKTCCCCGCTGATGACTATGCGGATTGGCCGCCCGAGATTGATGCCTATAATCAACGATTTGGAAAGACGCTACAACAAATCAAGCGAAGGCACGATGGAGTTGTCACAACTGTGGCGCAGGGTATACTAGAATACAAACGCAAGCGACAACGGTTACAGATTGACTCGAGGATACAAGCATTTCTGGACCGATTCTATATGTCGCGTATCGGAATCCGTATGTTGATCGGACAACATATTGCGTTGACAGAACAGACACATGCCCATCACCCTAATTACGTCGGAATTATATGTACAAAGACAAACATCCGCGAAGTCGCTATGGAAGCGATTGAGAACGCACGGTTCGTGTGCGAAGATCATTATGGACTATTTGAAGCGCCTAAAGTGCAGTTGATCTGCAAGCCAGACCTGAATTTCATGTATGTGCCAGGTCATTTGTCACACATGTTATTCGAAACTCTCAAAAACTCGCTACGAGCCGTCGTCGAGGCTCACGGCGCCGAAAGGGATGATTTCCCCGTGACCAAAGTCATTGTCGCAGAGGGTAGAGAGGATATCACAATCAAGATCTCGGACGAAGGTGGCGGTATCCCCCGATCATCTATCCCGTTGGTATGGACATATATGTATACAACAGTGGACCAAACCCCAAGTCTGGACCCGGATTTTGACAAGAGCGATTTCAAGGCTCCTATGGCTGGATTTGGCTACGGATTACCAATCAGTCGACTATATGCGAGGTATTTTGGCGGAGATTTGAAGCTGATTTCCATGGAGGGGTGAGTTCTTTCCAATCTGTAAAGAAAGAAGAATACTAACATGAGTAGATACGGAACCGACGTCTACCTCCACCTCAACCGCCTATCATCTAGTTCGGAACCACTCCATTGACAATCACCAGTCATGAGGGATGGGCGTGCACGATTCACATCATTCAATCGCCTACACCCATTTTACCCAGAGCCTGAAGTTGATGCGACTCAACTAGACTCTAGGAAGAGAACGAAACCTTCCCACGAAGAATTCGTAGCACGATCATCATCCCAAGGATTGACGCTTATGAATGCACAAGCTTTACGACAGCGATTGAAGACGAGAGAGGTCTCGGAGCGGAAACAAGTTGCGGACGTGGAGTCGACGCTCCACGCAGGGTTTTGGTTGATCCATCAACCACTAGCCTTGATTTTATTCTTGATCCTTCTGCTGCTTGGATGGGAAAAGGAATTGGACGAGTATGATGATATCCCGATTTCTTTTCCTTCTTTATTATTACAAAGTGTACATTAGGGCCTGCAACGGCAGGTATATATGCATGTTATAGGTATGCATAAAATAACCTCTACGTGCGGTATGAACGAATAATCATTTTATTCCTCACTATGTCTTCTTCGTGATCGTGATAAGAGAAAGGTAATGACGTCAAAAATCAACAAACCTGGCAGAACACGTTGATCAAACTAATTAGGTAAATTGATACTGCGGTCTGCCCTAAACCACGGAATGGATATCCGTCTTAGTTTAATATTTATAGCTTACGGACCTTGCTAAATTGTACATGTGCCTTTATAGGGTGGGCAAGTTAGGTCCAGTCGTACCTGAACAAGGCCCTAGGTGCTGTATAGTTGGCGTATCCCTTGCAGGGCTGTCGGTCGTGCCAAACTTCGACCCGAACAAAGGTCTGGACCAACGGGACATTCTTTGTTTCTTGCTTATAACTGCGTAGGAGTTGGCCTTGTTTGTGAGGTGCATGTTATTTTCTATGCCTGCACATTAATAATCTGAGGTTGTTCGGAGGGAGAGTTATGGTTGGGTTACCAAGCTTTCGAATTTGTAAAGAGAGACCACCGCGTTAGTCAAAGATAGAGTCTCAATCATTAAAAGGCATCGTTTTCGTGTCTACGGAATTCTAATTAATGGTTTAGCATGTATGGATGCCTGCCATCTCCTACATTGCCCCCATCCGCGTCCCCAAAACGCCCTTCACCGGTAGCGCATTCCACAAGTCGTTCACGCGAGCAACCGGATTCTTCGTGCTTGTCTCCTATAGTCAATGAATTAGTCGTGTACAAAATTAAAACAGCATCAAAATCAATAGTAAAGTTTGACTATAGGACATAACGTACCGAAGGACTATGCCCGTGTGACGAGATCTACTGCGTGAACATTTGACTTCAAATTTGTCTAAACCGTAAATACAGCCGACCATTCCAGTTCAAAAAACAAGATCCAGCGTGCTATAACCATAAAACTAGGCGCGTAATTGCACATACCACTTCAACATTCTCAACTCACAACCTTGGACGTACCTCTCCGCATCCACCTCCATTCCCAGCGCTCATTGGAAGATCCTGGATACCTCGAGAGACAATCCATTGGACAAGGAGACAAACAAGGCATCTGTCAAGCTGACAAGGCTAGTATGGCTAGCAGTCTTCTCTCCTACACAGTCTCTCTCTCATTCGATCTTCTTTCCGTGCCTTCTGCTTCTATCGAGTCAGCGCGCCGTGTGGTGGACGACATTTTGACACGCAGGTTTTTGTTCAGTAGGGACAAGAGAGATTGATCCCGTCCGCTCGCTGTTGTGTTTTGTTTATCGTTCTGGTCAGTCATTACCTTTGTCGGTCTTGCAAACGCATTTTGAATACTCCTACGTACAGGAGATGGGGCTTTGAATGTTGTCAAGATAGTCGGAAATACGGATCACGCGGTGCGCTTTGCATTGATTCAAAACAAGCATAGGCTACTTGCTTATAGACTGATCAAAGCAAGCTGACGACGGTGGAAAATGGCGGAGGATATGAAACACAAACTCACAAACCTGAGTACGCGGAGTACTCCTCACATCCGGCTCAACTCAGGCCGTCATGAACCCTTCGTTGATATGGAAGATGATGGACGGGAACGGCTCAAACATACACTCTCAGCACGATCTATGCGCCGCTCACCAGTTCCAGCAATTATCAGACATTCGGCAGCGCCAACAACGGCAGCATCAACACTTGTAGAAGGGGCCGGAGGAGGTGCACTGAGCGATGGTGGACTGATCTCACCACCCCTGATATCCCCCACCGAATCCTCAGAACTCCTCTTCCCACCACCCCGCAAAGTGCGACGCTCTCGCAAAAGTCCAGATCGCTCTAAATCGCCTTCTGTGATGTCCTACCGCCGTACCAGCTGGGACGACTCGCACTCGGACCTGAGCCGGGACAGTCGCGGATTCCCATTTGACCCCTTTGCGGATTCAAGAGCACCCTCTCATGCGAGCAGTGATGACGAGAATGTGAATACGCAGACAGTTTCGGAAAAGTATAATATTATGCCGACGGAAGGGCTGTTGCTTTTCCCGGAGGATGTTGAGAAGGATGATTACTTGCATAATCCTGATCCGGCGGACAGGGAGAGGGATTGCGATATATGTAATACGAGGGGACTGGTTAATGTGGGTGGATTGGCGTTGTTGGTGACGGGGATTGTGGCGCTGTTTATTATTTACCCTGTTACGTGCGTTCCCCCTATCATTCCTATCGACTCTTAGTCAGGGAAGGACTGACGTTGGAGTAGGACATTTGTGGACGGCGTCATCCAAGGCGCTCGAGACCCATGCACACTGGACCMGATGTGTATTTCAATGACAAGACCGCTCTTGAAGAACATCAGGACTGGTCTTATTGATCCTACAACGCCAAAGTCGGCCATGACGAAAAAGGCGGCTGATGGTACTGAGTGGCAGCTTGTCGTGAGTCTTTTTATCCCTGTTGCTTGGTTCAAGAGCTAATGGTGATAGTTTTCCGACGAGTTCAATACTCCTGGAAGAACGTTCTACGAAGGCGATGATCCGTTCTTCCAGGGGGTGGATCTGTGGTACGGCGTGACTCAGGATTTAGAGGTATCTACACATGTGTCGTTTATCACAAATTAGTCACTGACATTAGGACCTGTAGTGGTACGACCCGGACGCAATCTCAACATCCGACGGTGTCCTCGAAATCCAGTTCGACAGCTACGACAATCACAACCTCGGTTTCCGATCTGGCATGCTTCAATCCTGGAATCAGATGTGTTTCTCTGGCGGCCGTTTAGAGGCTAGTATCTCCCTCCCTGGTCGAGGCGACACATCCGGTTTCTGGCCCGGTTTCTGGGCAATGGGTAACCTGGGACGAGCAGGGTATGCAGCGACTACAGATGGGATGTGGCCATATAGTTACGATGATGTTTGCGACGTGGGCATCACGGCAAATCAGAGCTCAACGGATGGATTGAGCTTTTTGCCTGGTATGCGTTTACCGGCTTGTACTTGTCCGGGAACGGATCATCCTTCGCCTGGGAGGTCGAGGGGTGCGCCGGAAATCGATGTTATTGAGGCTAGTGTGACCGTGCTCGATGAGATGCAGGATCGGATTGGTGTGGTCTCTCAGAGTCTACAGTTGGCGCCGTATGACATATGGTACTTGCCTGATTACGGTATGCCCCCGGTATTTTTTGTCTTAGGATATATTTCCTCTCTAATGCTAAACAGACTTCACTGCCGTCTACAACCCATCCGTCACAACCATCAACACCTATCGTGGCGGCCCCTTCCAACAAGTCGCCTCCGGTCTCACCAACCTCAACAACAACTGGTATGACGGCAAAGAATACCAAATCTACGCTTTCGAATACGCGCCCGGCTCCAAGGGGAACGTAACCTGGTTCGTCGGCAGCGAAAAAACCTGGACCATCGACGCCCAAGCTGTTCGACCCAACGGCAACATCGGCCAGAGAGTGATCCCCATGGAGCCCATGTACCCAATTCTGAATTTTGGTATATCGCCATCGTTCGCGATGCTGAATTGGACGGGTCTCCAGGAAACGTGGCCTGCTACGATGAGGGTGGACTATATTCGGATTTACCAGGATCCGAACGAGATTAGTATTACGTGTGATCCGGCAGGTTATGAGACGACGGAGTATATTAAACAGCATGCGAACGCATATCATAATTCTAATTTGACTTTGTGGTACGTATTTCTTCCTATCATCTTCGGCGTGACAACGATGTGCTAATGTTTACTGGTATAGGTCGCAAACTGGGTATGACTGGCCCAAGAATTCATTCGTTGATGGATGTTAAAATCCTTTTCTCTCTTTTTTTGTCTCTTTTCCTTTCTTTCTTTTGATATCAAGTTCGTCGATATGAACATATGTGGGGAGTAAATCATTGCCATTATCTTTTATACAGAGCTAGAAATGCATCACTCTATTTCTTTCCTTCGATTTACATGAAATCACGAGGGTAGAACTGCCCACTTTGAATAAATCATCACGGTCATTTAGGACATTGGCTCCATGTGCACCCATAGGGATCAGGCTTTGGAGAATCTTGGACCTGGTCGGTTTCAATGAGGACATTACATGTAGAGTGTTCACTTTCCCATTCAAATTGAAACAGAAATCATTTCTATTATATCGATGTAGTCGTCTCTATAGGTTTGTTGGAATACTCTTGCACCCATCCTTGCTTCGTGTTTTGGGATGACCTTGGTCAACCAACAATAAAACCTGTATTTCGCGAGATTCACTACCGGAGCGCTCGAAAAAAGCCTGCTTCATTCATGAATTTAAAAGTATCTGGGTTAGATAGTGCTGGAATCCTCCTATCTACATTCTGTTGCTGCCGAGGGCTAGACGAACACTAGCCCTGAACCCTGGCTATAAAATCTGAGTCGACGACTCAATATCAGTTCATCATTCCATCATGTCATTCTAGTTGGGCCATCTCAGCGAAATTTTCACTCCTTCAACACTACATGTACACCTCTATACTATGACTGGCACCATCTGGGCCCGAGTGAAGGATGACGGTCAAAGATGTGGAAGAAAGTCTCACAAATTACTTGGTACGACCAAGAATCTTCAAGTGCCCTGGAAGATGAGCCACACCTAGGCAAGAAACTGAACGATGAAATTGTATCCAGCAAGAAGAGAAAGTTGTATCACCTCACAAAGTCGAGACAGGAATTCGGAAAGACGACGAAGTTGAATTGGAAACCCAGCGAGACAACGAGTTTAAACGGATAGATATGGTCAGCGATCAGTCCATTCGTGAGCTTGGAGACCTCTGGACCTTTCTGTTAAACAATCTCATAGCAGCTGAAGATATCAATGAAGAAGCTTCAAGAGTGGGGTATAAAATTTCAGCTCTCTGAGGCTCATGTAGACTGCGAGCAAGGTCTAGTGATCCGGAGGACTGTTTTCCATAACCTAGATCGTAACAATGATCCATACGCGAAAGCCTTCCTTTGCCACGCAGCTTCCAATCCCACTGGGTCTACAAGAGACTTGCGGATCCCTAAAGAGCGATTTCACCCGCCCGAGTGAGTCGCTTGGTTCAAAATCTGTTACCCTTTTCTGCGAGCTCAAAGGGGAATGACGGTGACACGGACGGATTACTGTGGATGCGGATAGTTTGAGTATTTCTTACGAACCTGTTGCAATAGCTCTATATCTCTGTTTTCCACTTTTTGATCTGCTAACAATAAATCTCGTGGATCATGTCAATCTTCTCCTAACATTCGATTTTAAGCCCGAATCTATCTCTCACGTACGCTCCTCTAATACCGGGTTTGACGCCGGAGCCAGCTTGAGTTGAGTAAGACCACCCAAGCTACTCATTGGCAATGCAAGAATTTGCGGGGATTAGTGCTCTAAAATCAGGAGAATTTCGAAGTGATTTAGGGCTGACAGGATGAATTGCTTAGATAAACTACACAGAATTTGCTGATGAAGCGCGGAATTGATTCCGGTGCTGACAATTAGTCTTCGGACTGCACTAGAACTCCTTATTTACTAGTATTCGACACATAAGCTGAGTACGAAAATGACTGAAATAATAAAATGTATGGCTATCCCACCGGCACAGATTACAAAGATGGACCTGGCCATTGGGGGCTGACTGGTGATGTTGTAGTATTAAATATGATAGAGGAATCGTCGTTTACGACCAGAGAAGTACATTCGACCTAAGGCATTAACCATAACTTGCTAAAAAGATGACTGCACCCATCAAATTCTATTATTCCCCGGGTTCCTGCTCCTTCGCAGTACATATTCTCTTGTTCGAAGCCAATGTCCCCTTTGAACCTGCTAGAATCGAAATGGGCAACTTTCCCCAGGAATTCTTAGCTCTAAATCCCAAAGGTCGCGTGCCAGTGATAATCCTGAAAGACGAATATAACAACGACCAAGTTATCACCGAGGCACCTGCGATCTTAACTGCAGTATCTCTGCAAGTTCCCGAGAGGAAATTCTTGGGAAGCAACAACCTCGAAACTGTCCGAGTATATGAGTGGATGTGTTGGATAGCCGGGGTGTTGCATGGACAGGGGTTCGGAGGTTTCTGGAGACCGGAAAGATACATCAATGATCCTACAGACGAGGATGCACTGCGGTTACGGAAAAAAGGACTTGAGACTGTGCTCTCCTCTTACGACACGATTGAGAGCAAGTTGAATGCCTCTTCTGCGATATCCCATTCACCATTTGCAGTAGGAAGCGCTATGACTGTGGTGGATCCGTATTTGGCTGTTTTCTATCGTTGGGGGTTCCGGAACTTGGAGTTGGACATGACTCAGTATCCAAAATATACCGCATTGTGGAAAGAGTTGGAAAAGCTTGATAGTTTTCAGCAGGCTTTGGAACGGCAGACTGGGAGTTGGTAGCTAATATTTTATCCCAGCTCAAAACTACGCTCAAGGACGTGAAAAATCTCTTACCATCAAGTAGTTACTCCTTGGGAAGCATGGGATATTAGGGCTATTCGCACTGATAATACATTGGCTTCTGTGTTGAAGAAAAGAATCACCCGCTGGAGAAAGATAAGAAACTTTGTCGCCATATGTAAGGATAATATTAAATTTGTAAATGGTATAAATTCAGAGTTGGATTCGTGATTGGGTTTCAAAGCTGTCTTGATAGGCCATCAAGTCTTTGGATCGGTGTTACAAGCAATACAACTAAGTTCTAGGCTTGAAATGGTATGCTACTTGCACTCTGTCTCTTGATATCAATCCCATTTCTACAAACAATCACAAACTCGGCGTAAACCCCTCAACCTTCACATCCCACCCCTCCGGGAAATGAGGCCCCTCATCTCCATCCCAACCACCAGCCATCATAGCAGTAGCAAGCAATAACCCGCCCGCATCCGGAAAATACGGCGTTGCAACTCTATTCCCTCCCTCCGGATAACCCGCGTCATCAAAGACATAGTACTCATCCAGAAGATAGGCAACTGCCTGCTCCGCATTCCCCAATCGCAGGCTATTCATGGCTACCATACTGAAATCCCAGCCATAAACGTCCGCAAAATCCCACAGTTCGTTGATGAGGTCGGCTGTGTGCTGCAGAACGGTTAGGTTCAGGGGCGAACCACTCGATGGGGGCGGCAGCAAGCCGTAGATACCGGTCATGGCTGGATGATCTTGTACGGTCGTAGTTCCATTCTGCCACATATTCGGGATCCCTTCGTAGACGGCATAGGCGTCATCGATGATGGGGAGCGGAGCGAGAAAGTCGCGGACAAGAGTCCAATCCTTTGGAACTGGGAGAGATTGTCGTTCCTTCCACTGAATAGCGACATCAAGACCGAATCGCCAATATGCCAGTTCAAAGGTTGGATTTATTGTAACGTTGGGACTCGTGTTTTCGCTAACGGGGTACATTGGTGGTCCCAAATCGTATACCTTTGTCGTAGTGTTCCACCAGGCATATGACGCCATGAAATCCGCCGTGGCGGTGACAACTTCATCCCATTCCTGCAGTGTCTTTTTGTGCGGGAACGCTCTATAAAAGTATTCAGCAAAATGCATGACGTGAGGTTGCTGCCAGATTAGAAGAGCGTTGATTTCGCCGGGGGCGCTGCGGCCCGTAGGATCGGTCATTTTGCCCCATCGTGCGCCTGCGTAGCCCTGTGCTGTGGCGCGATCCATGCTGGACTGAAGGAAGCGTTGATAGGTGCCTGGGGCGTTGCGGGAGAGGAGGTCGTAGTGGCCCCAGCGAGCGAAGTGGAGGGAGTGCCAGAGGAACATTTCGAGCTTTTTACTCAGCTAGGTTGAAAATGAGAAGTTTGGGAGACTTACGTGGAACTTGCCGTACCAGCCGTTGTTTACAAGTCCTACCATAGTGTTAGTGGCATGAATTGAACATGATTATTAAAGTCGAAGACATCGTACCAGATTCTGTCACGCATCATTAGTAATATTCTGAAATTCGCGGCCTCTTCATAAAAGCGAACATACCTTGAGGAGGATTATCCGACGCCTCATTAACAGCAACAAGATACTGCGAAAGCACAATCCGGCGCTGAAGCTCAGTCGCATTTGCATTATCAGTAGCTGAGAGATCAATAAATGCACCCGAAGTCCAGTAATTGTACCACCACGCTTTTGATGCACTCGCAATTGCGTTGTAGGATGGCAGACTCTTTTTAGAAGTGTTGGGATCCGCTGGGAAGGAGACAACGAGATGTAAAGTCTCCGTTTCTGAAGATGTAAGGACGAATTTGTTCGTTCCAGCTAGATGTCCAGTGATAGAACCTTTTTTGGTACTCCATTGTGCATCGAGGCGGACGGTGTTATTGTCGATTGTGTGTTTGAAGGAGGCTGTACTGCTTGTTGATTGCACATTGACAGTATTATTTGTAGTCGCCTTTGTGTCCCAAACGCCAACATACGGCGCATCGAACTTATTAACATCCGGATATGGAAAGTCAAAAACCACGCCCAGGTCTCCTGCCGTCAATAGTCCAGAATTAATCTCAATGCCGAGCACGGGCTCTGATGGATGACACCAGACCTGCACCGAAACATTGGATCCATTGTACTGGAAGGACGAAGTGATTGTACCCTCCCACAGGTCCAAATCCTGGGATTTGTCCAGCAGGCTCGCTTCAGTAACGTTCTCGCCGTCAAAGTAAAGGCCAATGTTAGCCATACTCAATCTCTGAGGATTCTGAATCAGCCAATTCGAGATATTATTTTCCGCTGGATTGGGCATGTCATAATTGACAAGGCGGCCGTGAGTCCACCAATCTAGGCCGGTGAAATCTGCACATCACCAAAATTAGTCAAACCTCCCTTCAAGAAAGGAGGTAGACTTACCATCAGGTGCCGTCTGCCCAGGCGTGACCGGGAGACTAAAGTTATGCCATGCGGTCGTACTCTGAGTCGCGAAATGGGCAAATGTCTGTAATCCGGTGACATCGGCGCCGAAAGCGAAGTTGCCGTTTCCGACTTGTAGGGGTGTTGTTGCGGAGCTGGCGTTGCGGTGAGGGTTGAACGATTGAACGATGTTGCGGCGTTGGGAGGGTGGTATAACGTCTTTTGCTAGTACTGGCGTTGTGGCATATAGAAGAGTTAAAAATTGAAACTTTGAGAAGTACATTTTGATCCGAGACAAGCGATCAGCTTGCTTAATCCCATTAATAACGTGCACATCCTAAGTTCTGATCTTAAGCTACATGTACTTCGCAATTGCCGCTATATCAACTATACTTCCAAAAAGAAAAGAATCCTTAGACTCGGCAATTCGGGGTAATACCATTGTTTAAGGTTAACCGGCCTCGATTTAATGAATGATGACAAAACGTGAGAATCCTCCTGAGGCGTATTGTGGATATATTACTCGTGGACTTTATACAACTTCATTTCTCCGCCCCCGCGTAGTCTACAAAATTACCCATACAGGAAATAATTTCTCGACATGCGGGGTAGAGAATGTCGATCTTTAGGTAGGAGCTCTGATATTAAGGCGGAATAGCCTAATGTCTTCTCTGCGGCTTGGAGTCTTGGAAGGGACTCATCTTCACACAGATTAGATCGCCATACGGACCATAAAATGCATTGCTATAAGCCAGAGTCATTATCAAACCTGTCATACAGAATGTGCAATTGCAAAGTTATGAAGTGTAGAAATGAAGACGATGCATACAGCAAAGTAGATACAGCGACGAGATGGAATTAGGGCTCCATGGATCACGCGACCAGCCAATCAGATTCAGATTCTCTTCATCCTTGGCCCTCGCATCGCTCTTCTCTATCATCAAACAGTCATCTAGATGATCATTCAAATCAATCAGTCATAGTCACATTATCAACTATATCTCGAAAAAGAAGAATTAAGCGCTCATTAATCTCATTGAGATCAGCCTCCCTCGAAACATACATACAGATTCAAGCTCCTCAGATTCAGCCTTCTCCCGAGCGGAGAAAGCTTATCCCAACAATTTTAAACAACTCGCAGCTCAAAATGAACCAGATAACAATATCCTCCGACTCCGACTCCGACGCCAGCGTGTTCGCCACCTCAACAACCACCAACCGCCATCCCCATCCCCAATCCTCCCATCATCATCACCATCATTACACTCAACACCCCACACTCCCCATCAACACCGCTAACAACAACAACAATAACCCGACCTCCGATAAACCCGACAAAAGAAAAACCACAACCCACCACACCCACGAAACAATGCACCTATCACACACAATCCTCTCCTCGAAAGAATTGCTACTTCTCCACAGCCTAGCCGCAAATGAGTCTGTGCCGCGCACGCGACGACGGCTCTGGGCGCAGGTCATTGAGGCTGATGATCCCGTCAAGGCTGAGAAATTACTCTATGATGGGGCGCCTTCTTTAGGTCCTTCAGGTCTTTCAGGAGCCGGAGGAGGAGGAGGAGGAGGAGGAGAAGGAGGTACGACGGTTGTAGGAGGGTTGAGGGTTGCGGCGGGGAATGTTGTTGATGTTGTGGAGATGGGGGATGGGGATGGATGGGAAAGACTTCGGGTCAAGAAATCTGCTAGTAGATCGCCGATTGTGAATAAGACTTCGTCTTCGCCGGGAGGGAGTTCGAAGAAGGGATTGCAGTCTAGGAGAGTTGTTTCTGGGGAGAGATCGGGATCACCGTTGGCGTCGCCTGTTGTGAGGAGGGGAGGGAGACGAATAGAAGATGATGGAGATGTTGATATGGATATTTCTTAGTCAAATACGTGGGAAAAAATGGTTGAAGGATATACTAATAGATACTGTCTCGAATTTAATAGATAACACAACTAAGAAAGTCATCGATCATGCCGCAAACAAACTAAACCAAGATACAAAAGTAATATACCATTTCCGTCATAAGTGTATTTGAATGGTGGTATGTGAAAGAATAACAATATGAAATCAAGAGGGATAGATGTGATGGACAAAAAACTCTTTGTAATCATAATCAAAACAGAAAGATGCAGCTGGGCATTTTAGGTAGGACATCATTTAGACATCAAAGGTAGCGACATTAAGTAGCCTCCGACTTGGCTGAGCTGGAGTTACCATTGGCAAAGTTGCCATTGGTAGATCCACCAGCACCATTACCTCGAGGGCTACCCTTCAATCCAGCACCAGCACGCTTGTCGTCATCACCGTCGTCATCGTAGTCTTCATCAACATCCATCTTACGAGCAGCAGGTTCATGCAATGGTGCCGGTTCCTTCCGACCAGCTTCTTCCTTGACAGAAGGAGCTTGATTATCAGGTCCAGCGGATGGCGGGTTAGACGCTGGCTGAGGTCCTTCAGACATAGGTGGGATAGTAGAAGGTCCAGCAGGTTGCTGCATATGTTGGATGGATGGAAGCGTAGGAGGGTGATGCGCAGCTTCGGAAGGATGGTAGTTCTCGTTGGCGCGACGCTGCTCCTCGCGACGTGCCTCGGATGAGCTACGGCGGTGTAACTCAAGTGGAGGGGTGGCTCGGCGGCCAATCTCGTCCTGACGAAGACGACTCTCTTCGTTTGCAATCTTCTTGTTTGGTCCCTCGACACTGTCCCAGTCGCGGCCACGCTTCATGGCAGATGTAGGACGGTCATCAACACGATCACGGGCTGCAGCATCGGCGGCTGTCATGGCAGAGGCTGGAGGAGGCGCACCTCCGGCAATGCCTGCGCCGCCTTGGATACTAGGACCGTGATGGAATTGTTGGTGAGGGTAAGTGGGACCTGGAGAAGAAGGACGATCCGAGATCTCGCGAAGTGGTCGAATCTCAGTAGGAGGACTGAAAGGACGAGCAGGATAGCCTGGAGGAGGAGCTGCTCCAGGAGCCGGAGCACCATTGGGACCGAGAGGACCACCGCGGAAACCAGCGCCATTAGGAGGACGATCGTGAGGACCAGGAGCGGGGGCTGCAAGCTGCGGCAAAGTGTGTGACTGAGGGTATGCATTAGGTGCTGGCGATCGAGGTGCCGGCCCACGGGGCTCGGGGAATGCAGATCGTAGATCCTGACGAGGGCTCGGGTGCTGTCCAGGAGCTGGACCGCGAAGACCTTCACGCGGCTCGTAGCCTGCTGAAGGCTGAGGAGGATGTTGAGGCGCGTTTTGAATGTCATTGATACCGCGATTCCAGTCAGCAATTTGACGAGGAGGGGCTGGGGCCTGTGGTGGGGGACCACCGGTTGGAGCAGGAGCTCCCCATTGAGGAGCGGGTGGTGCACCAACACCTGGTCCCTGGTAAGCCTGAGGATGGATGTCCTGTGGAACTGGCGCTGGAGCGCTGCCCTGCGTCTGTCCTTGTGCCTGTCCCTGAAGCAGCTGCAAGCGAGCTTTGATATGAACATTTGTAGGATCCAAATCTGCTGCGCGACCGTATGCATCCAATGCGTCGGCGGTTTGATTGTTGCACGACTCGTACAATGTACCAAGGTCATACCAAACTTCCGAAATGTACGGATTGAGTCGAATGGCACGGGAATAGGCGTCAAGAGCGTCGCGGTATTGGTTGATCTGGTAGTAGAGAACACCAATTGAGCACCAAAAGGTAGGGTTACGTCCATCGCGGTAAACGGCTTGTTGGTAGGCCTCGTACGCCTTGGGGTATTTCTGTTGTGACATGTAGCAACGACCGAGAAGGTACCAGCTTTGAGCATCATTGTTATCTATAGACGTAAGCATAATCGTAAGACATAAGGAAAATTTTTGGTGACTCACCAGCGCTGACCGACTTCTCCAGATACTCAATAGCTTTTTCCTGGCTTGCGTAACTTGTGCTCTGCTGGTGATACAACCATCCGAGCTGCTGTAGAACCTTGGCATGGTTCGGATCTTTGTCAAGCACTCGACGATAGGCCGCTTGAGCAGCATCGAACTATTGTGTAATGTTAGCACAACCATACTGATCTGCACAGCGTCAGACGGAATCAAAATACTTACGTCTTTCTGTTGCTCATGAACATGACCAATTTGAAAGTAGATGTCTTCTTCGGTCAATGGACGGGGAGGGTCATTGACGATGTACTTGAAGCATTCCAAGCTCTGATTGAACTTTTGCTGTTGCTTGTATATTATTCCGAGACGGAAGTAGATTTCATTCGCCTTTTCAAAGTCGGGGGCCATGCGCATGACCTGAGAGAAAGCCTCTTCCGCGTGGTCGAGAGATCCATAACGATCATACAAGATACCAATACCGTACCACAATTTGGGTTCCTTCAACGGTAAAAAGTTAGCTTAATAAGACGCGCCTGAAGATACGACAAACCTTGGGATCTCTCAGGTGATAGAGCGCCTGCTGGTACGAAGTATAGGCTTCCTGCAGGTTGTCCATCATAAGATGACAGTGACCTAGCACGAAAGTTAGCAATGGTTACACGAATTGATGGAACGTGTGTGCATACCTAAGCTGCCCCATGTCTCCCCACTCTGAGGATCTAATTTAAGCACTTGCTGAAGATATTCGATGGCCTTCGGGAATTGCTCTCGAGTCCGCATGATTTGCGAAATGGCTGTCATCGCGGGAATAGACCATTGGTTGTGTCGGAGCGCCTGCTCGTACGCAGCCATACCGCCGTCGAGATCGCCCATCAATTCAGTCAAGCTTCCTATTTAACATTAGAGTTTGCTATTACGTTACTGTCGCGGTACATACCAATTTGGAGCCAGACTTGCTCGTTCAAAGCAGCAATCTTCTGCGCGGTGGTCAAAGGCGGGCCTTTCTGACCAGCGGATTGCACAGGGATGTGGCCATTCAATTGTGGATGAGCCGCGAGAGGCCCATGATGAGGAGGCACGCCTCCAGGCGGCGATGGTTGAGGATGGGCCATGGTAGTCCGTCACCGTGTCGCACGCAAACTTAGCTCCGATCAATCCGCGATAATTGTAGAGTTGGTTAATAGACAATAACGCGCAGGATGCGACCGAGTTGAGACAAGTAATTGGGTGTGTGTGGTGTTGTGTGTAGAGCTATCCGAGAACGTGTCGGAAAGGGAGCGTTGTCGTGGCTGGGCAACCGCGGCGGGTAGCGTCAGCCGTCGTCAGCCTTAGCAAGCGTAGCTCTGGAGAGCGGTAGTATGGGGGAAGGAAGGAAAGTGGAAGAAGGAAAGGAAAGAGAGTAAGGGGAGGGAGGTAATGTGGTAACCGGATGATGGAACCAGAAGGGGATGGAAAACAGATGAACAGCGTTCCAACTGGTAAGGAGAGAGAGATGAGAAGAGGAGGAAGAGCGAAGGAGCGAGAAAGAGAGAATGGGCTTTTTTCTCGAGGGGCGGGCGGGAAAGAGGGTGATTTTTGCCAAGATGCGCTAGTGGTTGTGTAGCTCTTGAAGCTCAGCCAGAGAGGGCAGTCACGGCCAGCAAGACAGGACGGAAGGAGGGAGCTGTTGTTTAGCTAAGCAGGGTGTTGGCGACGGGCAGGTCACTACGGGGGTATGGAACAAGGTTTGGCTGTTTTAGTGGTTGTGCTGCTAGCCTAGTATATACAGGTGGAGTGCCGTGCTAGTCCTGGCTGGGGCTAGTATGACTCTAGCGTGTCACAGCGGCAAAGCGGCCACCGGGGCTAGTCTGGGCCCGCGTAGTCCCGATGCGGAAAGTCGAGCACTTATGTCAGCAAGCACATGAGATGGCTCTAGTCCAGGGGAGGAGGGAGTGGGCCCCGATCACAATTGATCTGTGTAACGCGGTGACTGGCTGGCTGGTACGGAGAAGTGGAACATGCCAGCCTGAATGCGACGTCAGTGCACATCCCAGCATTAGCACATTAGCCGCCTTCTTCGCCCCATCTCTACGGAGTCCTCTCTACAACTTACTATGTACATCGTAGTACATGGTACGGCGTAGGAGTACTGCCTTGCACTGATAGACTCCAATGCTGTTTCATCGCAGTTCGATTAAATGGAATGATTCGAGTACGTTACCAACTTATTGAACAAAATAGCGATGACCTCAAACGAGTCACGTTGGCCGACCACCCAAACTCAATGGGATGCGGAGATGGCGAGGCGATGATCCCATCGCAACCGAGGACGGACATACTATGTAGTCGCACGCATGAAAATTCCAAAGCACGCCCGTTGACAATAGTACATAGAAACAAGGGTCAGAACGGGCGACCATTGGGCGAATCAACCGAGCCAGGCTACGTACTTGGACTAAAGTGTGTACTACTATGCGCGACACCGACGCCCTTTGTTCAGTTTGTTGTACTGACACCACGTTCGCGTCCACAGCCTACGTACCGCAAAGAGGGCAGACATGGTGCCATTTCTTTCACGAGTGCCAAGCCCCAAACCCGAGACCAGACCAAAAACAACCAAAAAAGGTCCTGTTTTAAAAAAGCCCCATCGGCTGAGGCCCTTGTTTCGCTGGTCATCAGCCAGCAGGAATCCACCGTGGCGCCCATCCAAGTTAAGTGGGCCTGTTAGTCAGCTTAGAAACCTTAGAACAGGAAAGAAATTGATAAAGAGTGGAGAGGGATCCACTGTCTGGTCCCGTCGGCGCATGTGGCCCGTGGGCAGCAGAAACAGTCAGTCTGACTCGGAGGCAGGGTGATTCGGAAGCCAGTGGTCAGTGGTCAGTGGTCACAAATCATATTACATAGTACATGTGCTAAGGTCCAAGGTACATGACGGAGATGGAGAATTAAGGACTAGCTTGCATTAGCCTGTCTCGATACCACTGCCGAGGGATTATTACTGCGTAGTAAGAGCACAAAACGGAGGCAATGCTTGTTCCTCGTAGACTTAGTACCCACCCACACTCGTGACTACGGAGTGGTAACGTAATTAATTATTTTTCTTATGAGCGAGGCTTGACTGGAGAACCGCTCGCACTAAGACTAGTGCCGGTCTGGCTCTGGGGACATACGCCGAATGTGGGCTAGTCGGGTATCCACTTCCGGTTTTACAGGCATTAATTATGCCCAAGCCCCAACAGCCACCATCCTTGTCCGGCTGTTTGACTTGACTTGACGAGATTGCTGCTGATGTGACGGATCGAGTGTGCGATCCATGGCAGTCGACGAGGCATCATCTATATTACATTAGTACATAGTACTTCCTTCAAGCCTTGCTCGATACATACGTACTGTCCCGACATTCTGCTAAGGATGTTTCGACCGAGGTCAGTCCAGGAAACCGCCGAAATTACCATCTTAGTCGCATCATGATACTATCATGCCAAAGGTACAGTAAAACCTCATGCTGCCAGTGCCGACCATCGGACAGTGACCACCCCACGAGGAAAAAGAAATGAGGTCAAGTCAGCTATGCAGGCTTGTGCGTGCATATACTACGTCCAATGCACTCTAGTCCGGAAGCGGGCTAGTGCATACAACAATTGATGGCAGGCTGCAGAACCGATGCACTATCACAGCCATCCGGACAGGTACATACGCAGTAAGAGCTGCATGATTATGTAATTGGTTGCACTTCCGACACGGAGATACATATGTACACGCAGATACGTACGTTTTCCCGAGAGCCAGACTGGGCTGTCACCTGCCACAGCGTGCATCAGCCACACCTTATCCATTAGGGGTGAGCCACGCAGCCACCTAGCCACATCGCCCATTCCGGGCAATTGCCTTCTGATTTTCTCGTCCCAATCTCCCGTGGAATTTATTCGCGATGAGGAAAAAAGAAACGAAAGTGAGGGAATATTTGGCGCTGTCTATCGTATAAATCAAGATCGTACAGACAGTCCTCAAATTAAGTTTTTTTTCTTTCTTTCTTTCTTTTTTTCTACGACACCTTACCACCACTAAATAGTCTGCGATAGCTCACTGTAGTCAACTCCATAGCACTGAGTCCTTACCACGAAGAATCCTCCGAATGCGATCGTCGGGGACTGCTCTTACTCCCTCCTACGACCGTTCCAGATATCGACATCCCAGACTCTTCAGAATAGAATTGACACGAACATATCTTCCTTACATTACACATTCCATCCTATCATGGTCGATGACATACATAGTCTTTCGTAGTTGGCATGACTTCAAAGTAAGGAAGACAAGGCATGTGGCAGATCAGATCCTGTGACCCACTCTGATGGAAAAACTTACTTTCTTCCGGCGCCCCCCGGCTAGCCAGCCGTTGCTCCTTACGTCGCTGTTTTTTTCTCCAGGAGTAGCGAGTATGCGTTCACTACGTTGAAGCTTGTAGGAGACTTTCAATTATACAGAAGCCTTTACCGTGCCTATGTACTTTGAAGGAAGTGTTTGAAATTATGATGGCGATGCTCTGACATCACTGCGCGACTCGGCCAATGATGGCGGCGATGTTTGGTGATCCTCGGGTAAGCTCATGTATGGGCTGTGATTGGTCAATGGGCTAGTTTTTTGTTCGCAGTGATCGATTATCGACGAGGATAAAGAGATCCCTGCTCCTGCTTGAGTCACGTCGCATGCGGACAGAGGATAATTGTATTAGACTCGCCACCCCCGCCCTGCTTCTCTTTTACGTGTTGATGTCGGAAATACTCCGTGCCCTTTGTCATATGGTCTGCTCGTGTTGACCTACCTCATTGAAAATATGCCCAAGCCCAGCTAAGTGTCTAGATGCGGATTCTCGCTGCTAGTCGTCATGTTCAACCTTGGAATGGCGGTTATCATTGACAGTTTTTGATATTGATACCTCAATTTAATGTTTCCTAGACACTCCTACCACTTCACGCTCTGAGTCTTGCCTTCTCGACTCATGAAGACTCGCTCACCATGTCGTTATTGAACGGATAGTGATTGAACGGATAGTGAAACGGCGTTTCTGCTCGAAGTTATAATGAATGTTCAGGGTTGACTGTATAATGCAATTCAGTCATCGACATAATCCCATGTGGTAAGCTGTAGTCCTTGAAACTATCGACTTCAACCGGGCGATATGATCATCAAGTCGGAAAAGGCGTCCGTCCAAGCATCGGCACGTCAGAGGCTAGATTGCTGTGCGTGAAAAACCATGACAGAGGAGTGATATGCGAGTTCTTCAATCCAGGCTGCGCCTCTGGTGAAGGGATGTCTGTCGAAGGTAGCTTGTCAAATGATCTGGTCGTGGTATCTAGCAAGAATTTGGTCGATTGTGGCCATGATCATTGTACAGTAGCTGCGACTTGTTCCTGACGGCAGATCAACGACGAGGAGGGTCTGTTCGATTTGGTTGTATTTGTGTACACCAAATATGTCAGATAACTAGTATTCAAACGATCCAGCTATCTTACGAACCTAGAAAACAAACTTGGAACAACCTGTGTCGTTTTTTTTTTAATGAACTCAGCCAGCGTTCATGGTTTCACATTCCTTATTTCCTAAAACATTGAAACGAGCATCCTACAAGAAGTAGAATGCATTCGTAGTGACAACGAACCATGAAGAGATAGACAACTTCTCATCTTCCGATGTTTGAGATTAGTCAATATTGTATAACGCTGGCAACAAATCGAGTTCCTCCTTCAGCAACGTTCCAATATACAGCGGTTTCCCTTTACATTCAGGGTTTTGCTATATGAATGATCAAAGATGAATGACCCGCTTTGACCATTAATCAATACGCTCGCTTCGCTCGCAATCCGTACAAATCTACCAGACTTTCTGTAACGGGAAAGATGAAGCTATTGCCGCACTCCGCCTCTTCATTTGAATGTTCAGCCCTAGTACTCAATTGGCTGCTTTTGAACGCCAGAAAAGAACTTGTACGAGGTTTATTGTTAGTTTTGGGTAAGCGCTGTAGGGGGAGAACAGTGAAGGTATTGGTGCATAGACTTGGTCTTGATGTTGTATTGAGAGGAGAAGAGAATATCCCATCTGATCTTCAGCTGCGGCTGAAACTTAAACCATGTGGAGGCTGAGATCTATATTTTACTCTCAGTCTTTTCTTTTAATTATTTTGGCGGTTGTGAATTGAGGCTTTTTGTTTCAGCGCCTCGTGTCGGACTGGGGCCGATGGGAGTTGGATATTGGTAGCTTAAACACACCCTATGCCCTAAAGATATCTAATATGTGAAGAATGACTAATTGTCGTTCTCATAGTTCTTTAAAAATTAATCTGCTTAGAGAACTATTATATCTGGTTGCCAATTAGACTGTATAGATTAAATTTGATTATAAAAAATTGTTTGATGATATTATCTGGTTAGAATGTGATTTTACATACAGAGGAGGGAACAGAGTCACGAAAAAAGCTATAAAAGGACCTAGATTTCTGCCTCTCATCAGACATTTTTGTTCATCATCCAAGAACAACATCCGTCAAAGGATTCCACACTATACATGTGAGTAAACTCCTGCCACAAATATCTTCATCTCTGACACTATCTGACAATCTTAGCCGTCATCGACTAGTCAATTCGGCCACAAGACTACAGAATGAAAACCTCCATCATCGCCACCTTCGTCGGCCTTTTAGCCTCCAACGCCCTGGCCGCCAACTGCGAGGGATCGCACTACGCTGCCTGGGGCGGTACCACCTGGGACGCCATCAACGCCGCCATTGCGCAGACTTGCAATTCCCAACCTTACAATTCTGGCATTAAATACGTCGAAGACATCCAGGGCTACGACGTTGCAGCCGCCGAAGCCGACGTCGGCACCGGAGGATCGCCAAATTGCTGGGCTGCTATGTACCAGATCCGAGACCAGTGTTTGGATACTGGGAATGGAAAATATGCTACGCAGGGCTGGTGGCAGTACGGAGACGAGTACTACTTCTTGTGGGCTTGGAGTGAGGCTGATTGCCGCGGCCAGGCTTCTCTTTCTGGATACAGCAACTCTGGCTGCTAGAGGATCTCTGTATGTTCATTAGGAAGATGTACTTGGTATTGAAGGGTATCCACTAGACCGAAACAAAGTAATCATACATTATTTGACATTTATATACTTACTACTTTGTGTTCTGTTGAAAGGGATTCGACAGTTACTATTATCAGGTCATCAAAAGCATCCAATAGACGCCGGAATATATCTTTTTTCTTGGCCGTTGAACCAGTACCGGAAGCTCTAAGCGGTCGACAGAATTTCAAAGCAGTGTTTGATCCCATTGCCTTCGTGCTGAGACTCCAAAGACAAAACAGGCAAAAGACCATCATGGACAGCTCTAGTAAGCGCTTCAAAGGTTCGGGCAACTTCCGCCAAAGACAACAAAGTGGACTAGATTCAGTCCATCGTTCGACTGAAAGTCCAAACGCGCTCTCATATCTATCAAAAGGCAGGTGATGTCGTCACGTCGGCCTTGTGCTGCTACCATTGATTCTCTTACACGTCCGCGGGATCCTGGAAAAAACAATTTGCTCCTTGATCGATAAGAAATTGCAGCTATCTCGACAGGACCAAACATGGCAGCAAACTAAACAGCATGGATATGTCATCCATGAATCCCAATCGAGCAAACGAGGAGAAACACACTTGTAACAAAGATGTACCAAAGTCCACAACATCACTTGGCGTGATCAAACGTTTTTATGCAACCGTCTTCCTAATTTCTGCAAGTTTACCAACCTGGATCACGCTCCATATAGCGCCACTATAAGGAATAACGCGCGGTAATAAGATTGAAATCGAGGCATTGCTTCCCCTCAGACTAAGTCTTGCCGCTCTCAAGCTGATTGGGTGCTCCTAGAAAATGCCCAAGAGGGCGCAAAATAGGATTTTTGTAGGTAGGTTTCTCTGCTCTGGTGGCATAAGCGGTAGTTGCAGGCTCGCCTGTTTTGCAAGATGAAGGATCCTGATAATCCTTTGGCCCATCTAGGGGCTGGGAGTTGGCTGTCAATACGACACTGGCAGGGGCAGAGACGTTCACATTAAAGTGCCCAGGTAATGTATGATGTAGTAAAACAAGACATACGACATATTACAAAAGCTGTTAAATTTATCTTATCCTGAACTTACCAGCATTGAAGGCAATCTCGAGCGAAATTAACCATCCGCCCTGATGCACTGAGAGGACAAGAGCCTCATGGAAGGTAGATGATTGACGAAAATCCGGTGCCTATGAGATTCTCGCTCTGATCTTCGTTTGTTGTCCAAGGCTCTCTCATCTTCTCCGGTCAATTGTCTGATACTTGGCACCGCTCGATTCAAGCATTGCCACAGCTTCAACGCGAGGCGCCAGTACCGTCGCTCTCGGTGCCTCTGTAGACGCAAACGCATGTGTCATTGTCTTCGTCGTTGTAGTTTTCGTTTTCGTAATAGTGATTACAGTTCCCAGAGTTGTTGTGGATGCTGCTGCATATACAGTTTTGGTCCCTGATGCTGCTGCCGGTATGTCTGTTGTCAACGCTGTTGCTGTTGTTCTCGCAGCTGCGGCTATCCTCGGACTCTTAGTCAATTCTACAGCGGCAATTCTCTTCAATAACTAGCCTAGAAAGTCTAGTTGAGGAAAATCGAGAAAATCTATTTGAATACCTTGTATGGCAAGAGTAATCCGATCATATTCCAGAGCAAAACGAGAGGCTGACTAGCTAGATGATAAGAAGTAAGAGTAAGTTTGTACGGATAACTAGTCGTGTCCTGATACTAGGCAGATACCATACGTAGAACTCCATCATAGACTGCGTCCTGACATTTTACACTGGTACTTGATAGGAAACAAAAAGGTAGGAAGAATAGATGATGGAATTAAGAATTCTTTCGGAAATTCACGTGTATTTGGGCTTTAAACTTACCTAGGTATCAGGCATATCACCTCCTTTCCCAAGTAGGAAAGTAGGGCTAGCGGCCTCTTCGAGTTTTGACAAACAGACACCTCAGGCTGCCAAGTACTTCAGGTACTTGAGACAACTCTCCATCCAAAAACCCCAGCCAACATCTAGGCATAACCTTGGGAGAAGTTTCCAACATATTACTATTCAGTCCTATGCCAAATTTCATGATAGATACGCATTCTCTGACCCTTTCACGGATCGAGATCCGAGATGTTTATTAATGTCAAACAAACGACCACATATGCCAATAGACTAAAATTCTGGGCACAGTCGTAATCAATGCCCGACTAGGCAGTATACGAGTCATCCTTGGCGTTGCCTATCCTGATTGATCAAGCGGCTATTAGGTTGAGTCATATGCACTGCACAGCGAGCAGTCACGACAGTTCAGTGCCGTGAAATTGGCATTTCCGAAAAGATTGACAGGTCACTGCGAAGCCGAGCCTTGGAAGAGAATCAAAAAAATTTTCCTTCATATACCCAAGATTTTTGCCGAGTCAGAATCTTCTTATCTCAACTTCCAAGAGTTGTTACCAAGCAGTCGCTGTGTCTGGCCATAAATTAGCTAATTAGTACCACCATGCGGTGAGGATAGGACAGGGAGCAGCCCGATAGTGTCACTTGGCGAGAACCGAGAAAGAGGATAACTTTCGAGACAAGTCAAGCTTGGCTCGTTGTTTTTCCTTACCGGGACCGATTTTTCAAGCTTGGAAGTTGGTATCATCTGACGATAGAAAGGTCCTTCAATCTAGACAGCTCCCTAGGCAGAAGCGCATACCCACATGATCGACGTTTGTGCAATGTACGGACCATGAGGAATTCACAATTCGTTACCAAAATGCCAGACACGCATATCCCAGGTTTCTAGTCAACGATCTGCGATCCAATCGCAGGATTCTCTTACCTGAGAGATTGTTAGGCATCGGAGTAGACAAAATTTTTTATCTTCTTTTCCTCATCCTTGAGTAAATTGACTCTTGGATACTCCAAGTTCAAGTGGTACGCCGAGACATTGGCACGGCTGGGCAGGTCCAATTCTATCAGACACGATCCTGGCAGTAACAGAGTCCAATGCGTCATGACTTGCGGGCGAATGCTATTTTGGATGCTGCTTGATTGGCGAGAGGTTTCTGCTCATTCAATATATAAATTGCAAAATGTTATTCCGGGATGTGTAGAATGATGATGATTATCTCCCCGGTCGGTCGCACTGGATATTCCACTTCCAGCGTAAAGTACGATACGAACCGATACGCGATGGCGGTTGCTGCGGGAGACGCCAAGCATCATGCTGGAAGCGGATCGTCGAATTATAGCCAATCAGACGGTAACATGGCGGGAATAAATAACCGCTAGGAACATTCGGCGCCAAGAACCAGCCTGGCGGATATGATTCTATACTGTCCCCATTTTCTTACTCCGCGCAGACTCTATGCCGATCTCTGTGTATGTGGTATCATCTGATGGCAGTGGGCAACACACAAGCCTATGATTATCATAACGCTGATAGTCACTTGTCTCTCTTGATAATGTGTGATAATACGATACTACGACTCAATCACGAATGCCAAGCCAAGCTGGCCATGCCAAGACGCTCGGCATCTTCCTCCAAGTCGCTTGGCTGCTTGGCGCTTCTCTCGTCGTTCTCTGGGCTCTTCACCTGCACCTGCCCAGCAATCATCATGCCTTTGGCGTCGTGTCTCTCGTCCTCGCGAGACCGCCGAGAACTCGAAATGTCCAACTCCGCCGCCCATGCTCTCTTGGCGACAAGACTTTGTGTTGACTAGCATTTCCGCTCTTTTCTTGTCCTTCGTGTCTGTTGACCTCCGCCCACTCTTACGGCCTGCGAGGTGGAACGTTATTATGTCTGTGCCGTGCCACTGCCTTCCAAGCTTCGACGAGTATAACTAGAAGGCTATCTGCCTGTGTTATTTGCACCTTTGTCTCCTTGACTCTTGTTGTCTTGTCCTACATTGTATGTACCTAGGTAGCACCTACGTACATCCACATCCGCGGAGAGACACAACCCTACATTCCGCACGCTGGTCGACAATGTACTGAGACCGCCTGGGAACACCCGACAACCAACAACATCGATTGATTGGTCTCTTTGAGTGGAAAGATGCGCTCATCTTCTATGCCTACGTCTATGTTCATGTCACAGGAACGTGACGCTTCGGGCCTAACTCCAACCTCGATCACTATCGCAGACGACACCACAACGCCTACTCCAGAAGACTATTACAATTACGCCCACGTCGCAAAACAGCCGCATTGTTTCCCGCATTACTCCACCGATCCAGTGAACGCAACTTATTACTATCCTTCCTCCCCGGAAACACTTATATCCATGTCCGGCTCGTCGACGGGCTCATACGCATACTCCATACCGATCCAATCGCCGCATCGCAACGGCAACTGGGACTCGGCGGTCGCAATGTCGTCATCTCCAGTGCCGCCGCCAGCAGCTGTGCTAGACGCACATGCGGAAGCGTCTCGCGCAGAGGCTGGATTTATCACTGATAATTACAAGACGGGAATCAACTCGGGGCTATCTTGGTCTGCGGAGGGTTCGTTGTCTGATGGGGGGCATGGACATGGACGAAACTCATCGCGCGGTGGTGTTCACGATGTACCGAATACAGTGGCGGTTTATACCACGCCAGAAGATAAAGAGGGCGAACGGAACCGGGAGCCCAATGCCGTTTTAGTTCTGGTGAGTCGCATTACTCGATAATACATATACGTATACTGAAGTCAATAGCTCCTCTTCTCCGCGCCAATCCCGCTCTTCTCAATCTGCACCTCCATCTACACCTTCCTCGCCGTGTTCCTCGTCATATTAACCACCCCTCTCCGCCTCTGTCCACCAACCGCATTTTTCCGGTCCACCACATTCTCAAAACAGTTATGCCAACTCCTCGCTCCAGCACTGTGCAGACACGACCGACTCGCTCAATCCAGTMCCAGCCACTACAACACCCATCAACCAAACTCACCATCAAACTCGACAGACGCCTTTTCGGCACCAGGACTCATACTCGTCCTGACTCTAGCTCCATTCCTATGCTTTGGACTGTTGCTCGCAGTCTGGATTGCGGCGTTTTTCTGGATATTTGCCATGATCCTCGGAAATCCAGATGGCACGGAGCGGAAAGATGATGGTCGAGCAGCTGTTTTGGGCGTGAATAGGTGGTGGCAGACGTGGTTAAGGAAGGGGAGGAAATACTCATAACCTTCCACCAAGCGTTTATTATTATTGATGATTATTCATAAAGCTAGCATTTCGGGCGTTTTTATGGTGCTGTTTTTTGCATTGGCAGGCAATTCGTTTTATTAAATACCTTGTCTATTTACGGATGGGAATGGTCGGGATTGCACATACATGTTATATACATAGCTTTTTACGTGGGAGGTCATGCAAGGTATTACCTACATTAGAGCTTACCGCCAGGCGTTGATTACGCCTGACGTTCAAGCATAACAATCAAGGAACGCTCGTTGATGATACTGCCGGCGAACTTTCGCGAATATATAGAAGTCTTTTGAGCGGTACACTTGCGCATGCTGAACAATTTCAGTCCTATGTCTATCCTGCTGTCGTATCAACACCGCCTCTTTCAAGCACTCCAGTCGTTTAGGGTGAAATCGCTTTTTTAGGCGAGATGGGCTTATCCTTCTATATCGAATGGATATCTTCAAGAGGCTAGCGTGTAATATAGCATGATGAGTCCTAGCTCCATTGATGTCTAACCGTGTCTAACGTCGTTGCTTCAGCCCAGCCATAGTTCACAAGCTATTCCGCAGGACCTCAAATTTACTACTTGATCCCCGTTTTCTCCCCCGTAGTAACAATCAACCAGGCTTATCTGAGCCTCATAATAGTAACCTGGTTAGATCCAATAATACTTACTATGTAATGGCAAAGCAACGACACGGAACAGATGCTTTCTGATTGATGGGCAGCGGTGGGTTCGAGGTTTCCGGGGTAGCTATCTCTTGTAAATATCTCTTATGAGTCATATCCGGATGTCGGATAATTAGAGGTTTCACACTGACAAGCGCTATCCAACGAGAGCATTCGAGTGGATATATGCACTGTAATCACCACACCATTCCCGGGATAGTCCAGTAAAATAACCCTATCAGACCTGTACTTAGCCAAGTGCTAGGGAAGTAAGCCTCGCAACCACAATGGATGCCTACAGCTTGGTTGTCCCCTTTTTTTTCTGAGAAGTGGATTTACACAATTCCACTTCCACTGATTCCTTGTACTTACATTTAAGCACGCGGTCGACAACAAGAAAGAACACTATCACTTGATCACCAAACATCACCAAGCTTCACCGACATGGCTATCATCATTTCACCTGCCGAAGAAACCGACATCAAATCCATTATCCGCCTCAATGAAGCGGCGTTCCCATCATTGTATCACTCCATTCTCTTCGATGGCCCACTTGCAGAGTCCACGGTTGAAGCTCTAGCTGAACAACAAATCCAATCACTATTCAAAGAAGAGGGAAAAAGCGAGGATCAAGAAACGGCCCAAAGAATCTTTAAATTCAAAGCTGTTAAGGACTCAACTGGTGAAATCGTCGGCGAAGCTCACTGGATGATATATTATGAAGATAAAGTCCTTACAAAGACCGTTAAGGAAGAAGTTAAGGACCGAATTTCACCAGTCATGCCTCAAATGCAGGTGCAGACTATGTCCGAGTTCGCCAGAATAGTTGCAACGACAAAACGTGAAGTCCTTGCTGTCCCTTCTGAAACGGGGGAGACGGGAGATTCTCATACAGCGGTCAAATTACGTAAAATGGTATATTTGCATAATTTAGCTGTCCACCCCAATCACCAAAGGATGGGAATTGGACGCAAGTTGCTTCAGTGGGGTCTCGATGAGGCTGATAGATTAGGATTGATCATTTATCTGGAGGCTTCAAGGGAGGGTATCAGATTGTATGAGCAGGCTGGTTTTCAGAAGGTGAAAGACGTGAATATGGATTTAATACCATTTGGTGCCAAAGAAAATCTACCCATCAGAGTCAGTTTCAGTTGTTTGATTACACATGGCTCTCGGACGCTGACAATGGTCTACAGTTAATGTTAAGACATCCCAAGTCTTGAAGATATCTCTTCGCCATTCGGACAGAATTTTCTTTTGAGGCTTATTATAGACTAGAATCTGCGGCACACGATCCTAGCTTTTTTGCTCAGATGCTCGGTTTGCCCTGATAGATATGACCAGATCGCAGTGGTTCAGTCGGAGATTTAGCCCAATATATCTGGATGTCAATACCGAACTAAGCTTGAAATTTTATTTCGAATTGTAAGGCATACAAAACATATAGAAGTCGGTTATGAGTCATCGTTGCGGGGAAGTGCCGGATGAATACTGAAATAGGTCTACGTAGTACATGCGCCTTAATAAAATACAAATATGTCGCTGTACCCGCTCCTACATGTAGTATCCCATCCCGTCTCGAAATCTTCTCGCTGCGTTTGCACTGTGACTATCAATCGATTTGAATCTATTATTACATTCACTAACTCTTTAGACTGAAAGAGGAGAATCATGTCTCCACGAATCAACATAACAAATGAAATCGAGCGTCTCTCCGAAGTGTTGACTTTGGGATTTCAGCACATTGCATTTACGGCATATGTGCTACGCAGTGCCGACTCGACGTGGCCAGTGTCTGAGACTCCTGTAGATATTCTTGGCCCGAGGATGGTTGAGTGGACAAGGTATAAACAAAGTCTAGGCGCAGAATTGGTTGAATCCGGAAATTTTGCAGCGGCGGCGATATGGTCCGTTTTCCGAGGCCCATTATGATGTCTTGAATCTTTGAAAGAAAAAAAAATAAAAAGAGAGGAAAAGACGATATGAGAAAGACAGAAACTGATATCATTGAGACAGGTTCCCTCCTGGTGTTGAATTACCGGCCAGTCCAGATGACGATCCACGGATAGTAGAATACAGAGACATCTCGAAGCATTACAAAAAGCAGTTCTTGAAGGACAGAAAGTATTGGTACCTCAATATAATTGCGAGACATCCTGAAAGAAATGATCCAGGTAACATCTGAAATGCTCGCTGAAGCAGTGCAACTTGTGATTAGCAAGTAGTCCTAAACTGACCTTGCCCAGGCGTTGTACGTGCTCTCTTCGAACCTTACATTGCGCGAGCCCGCGAGCAAGGAGTGCCTCTCTACCTTGAGGCTGTTAGCGAGCATTCCAGACAAGTCTATGAGCATATAGGCTTCCACACTCTGGCCACGTTTCGAGTAGCGGTTGGTAGAGCTTCAGCTGACGGCGAGTTCAAGGAGGGAGGAGAGGGTATCGTGATGTATGCCATGATGATGGAATGAATATGTAGCTCCCGGTCTATTAAATGTCGTGAATCAAAGTAGTCATGCTGTGTTCCCAAAAATAGCAGGTATCAATTATTGCGGGTCAAAGCTGGTGTCAAGCTTTCAGCCTATCTCCCAACACTAGCTTCGGTAGTAAGGACTAAGATAAGCGAGTTATAATAAGTGCCAATATCATCTTTTCCTGAGTCGTAATCAGTATCGATCGATGCATCAAACCAAAAAATTGGTCTGCATTTAGGCGCGATAATAGTTCTGAAGCTGAACAAAGCTAAAATTGTAAGAATATCTCAGATGCTGTTTGATTCTGATCACGTCTTTGTAGAGTATMCGCGAGCCGTACAGCGCTGGCTCTCCAAGAGTCCAGATACAATACTGACTGATCATTTCCCGATCAAAGAAATAGGAAAGTAGCGGCCAAAACGTTATACGGCAGTTCAAGCAAGTTCAGGGATCAGAGTCCTCGCCTCCGGATATGGAAATAGAGACCTAGACTCTTGTATTCATATCACTAAAATAGGGTATTAACACCAAACCATCCAAAGCAAACACAACACAAGACAACAGAAACACAATTTTTTCCACTCCATCCACCCACCCACTTTTTGTGTGTTCATCTCATCGTTCAATTTTATTTATTCCTCTTACTTTCTGCCATACTATTTACTCGGCCGGATGATCAACGCCGTCCTCCGCGACCCCTAGACCTAGCCCCGAAGCCTCCCCTTCCACCGCGTCCAGCTCCACCGCGTCCAGCTCCACTACCACTCATCCTCCTCTTCTCAATCCGTCCTTTCGTCTTGTTTGCCGCGGTTGATGCGCCATGCGTTTTGGGCATGCCCAGGCCTCTTCTCCCTGCTGCAAGACCACTGCCACCAGTTTTTGATTTTGTGTTATTGTCACCTTCATCGTCGTCGTCAATCTCCATGCCATCGTTATTATTGTCCTTCTTTCCAAACTTGAGACGCCCTTTTTGTCCCCGCCGCACTGCGCTGGGACCGCTGACCGCGTCGAGGTAGGCATTTATACCGCTTGAGCCGGTGTCTTCTGCGCCTGCACCAGTCATTTCGTAGTCGTTGCCGTCGTGCTTGTCGGCGCCGTCACGGAGGATCAGTTTACCGTCCACGTCAACCTTTGCGTGACGTTTGCGGTTTTTGCCGACGCCGTTGTCCAAAAAGCGTAGAGATGGTTTTGTGGTTGATATAGATGCCAGTGCGTCAGGGGCAAGGAGATCGAGAGGGTTAGAGTCGGGGGAGAGTTCGCGGATGTATTGTTCTCCTCCGCGAGGACCGTTGCGCTTTCCGCCTCGCTTTTGTTGGCGTTCAACTTCGCTGTCCGAGTCGTCGTCGTCGGATGAGATGTCGGAGCCATAAACAGCGCGATCAAACTCATTCGAGAAGCCGCCACCTCCTGCTTTGGTCTCGTCATCCTCATCGTCATTCTCGGCGCCTTCCTTCTTCTTTCTCTTCTTGCGTTCGCGCTCCTTGCGGATGTTTACGACGAGTTTACGATCAGCTTCGCCGACCAGACTCTCGATAAGAGGCGCGCCGAATCTGCGGACCAGTCGGTCGAGGATACCCTTGACTTTGGTGCGGAGTCGGCCCTTGTGCTCTTTACTCCAGACCATGAGATTCGGCACAAGCGAGTTGAGGCGAGGGCGCAGCATGTCCTCTGGCAAACACACAACTGCGACTTTGGCGAAGCCCAGGACTGAGCGGACGATTTCGCGGTTGTTGCTTGTTAGGAACAATTCGACGGTTTCGACGAGGTTGGAGAGTGTCTCGGAAGTCAGTTCGGTACGGTATTCGAAAAACAAACGAGACAGGGCTGTGACGGAAGCGGCGACCATGTGTGGAGCTGTACCGGCCAGACCGGCAGAGACCATTGTGAAGAATTCTTCGAGGTTGGCGGCTGCGTCTGGTGTGTCGTTGGGCATGTGCGGAACGAGGGAGTTGCGGATTACTGTCCCCACAGGGTTGCGCTCAGAGTCTGTGATGCGTTTTGCGAGGTGGATCAACAGGTCAAAGGCTGCTGTGCGGGCTTTGTCGTTCGATTCTTTGCATCCAAGGATAACCTCGGGTAGGATTGATGGAATGAAGTGCAGGTCTGACGTGGGGAGATATGTGACGAGTTCGTGGATTGCGAGCAGTCTATCGCGACGGGCAGGAGAGGGGGTTTTGTCGGCTGTCGACAATAATAGAGCTTGTAGTTCTTCGCTGCGCTCAATCAATGCACTCTGTCCGGTTTCTGTGCTTGCGAGACGAGGAATGAGTTTGTATGCCTTTTTGATGAGCTGAGGATCAGATGCGTCTCTATTCAGCACAACCGCCGCAATGCGGAAGAGGTTTGCGAAACTCGTTCGGGGTAGGTAAATAGACATGGCAATGAGTAGATCGATAAGCGTGTGAGATGTCGGCGGCATTTTGTTGTCTGTGCCTTTTTGGAGATTGCCCTGTTTGGCAGCCTGTTCTTCTGACGGGAGTTCGGATTCGAGCAAGCCCGTAACTCGAGTGAAGGTTTCTTCGAGTTCCTGTATCATATTAGCACAATGGCCTCAGAATTTAGATTTTCGAAATACCTTTTCAGGGGTAATGCTCAAATACGCATTGACACACTGCAGAATAAATCCCCGATAATGAGGCAGCGTCTGACTGTACACATTAAATAGCACAGCCAACAGATTGCTCGCAAATCCAGACAGATGAGCAAGGTTCTTCTTCGCAGCTGCCTTTGAAATTCGCCGTTGAAGAACGAGATTCTCACCCTCGGCACCTGTATCCACCTCGACGATAGCTTGGTTGGATTCAACAAGATTTTGCAGCGCGCGGCAGACGTCGACTCGCAACTCGGTCTGTTTGTAAAGCACGTTCGACAGCAATTCGGCGAAATCCTGATCAAATGCCGTTTCGAGATCAAGAGGCAACTCGCAGTATCCCGGTAAGATGGACCATATCTGCTGAATGATCGTCTCGAAGATCTTGACTTCTACAGTCTTTTCCGCCTGCCCAAACTCTAGAACACGTTGATACAAAGCTTCACTCAAGGGAACCATCTCCGATCGGAAATGTGCTAGTTCGGTATTGGAAGCATTGTCGCGGAGAATGGGCAATAGCCAAACACGACCTGGCTGACCGGCTTTCTGCTCGATGATGTTTAGAGGCAAAATGCGCAGAATTTCAGCCGGGCCCATGGCATACACGGCGCGACCGAGGACTTCATCAGCCTCTTTCTTGCCTTGGAAAGAGTCGTTGCTGCGCAACTCGCCGACTGTGCGGACAATATTGACAAGATACGGGGAAGATCGCCATTTGAACGCCTCAAACATCGCAGCGCAGACATTGAACACCTCAACCCAGGCGGCCTGGTACTTGACCGACAAAAGGTCCGAAGCAAACTTTGCCAACTTCTCCAAAGTCTTCTCATCGTATACAGACGGCTCAAGAATCACATTATCCGGCACGCAATTGGCGAGGAAAGAAATGAGACATTCCGACGCAGAAATGCGAATATTCTTTGACGGCGACGACAAGAACGAAGCGATCAATTCAAACAGACCGGGCAACTTCTCAAAAGTGTCTTCGGGGTTGATTTGAGCAGAGACGTCGTATCCACGCGACAAGACGGCGATCCAGGGTGGGAGGAGTTGAGAGTCGTTTTGCGCCGGTCTCAGTTCTTGGATAGCCTCCAGTAAGCGGGGCAGTTTCGAGGAAGAAAATTCATCAGCCATGCCTGCGAAAATCACTTCGAAGACCTCAAATGCGCCCATTGTTATGTATTCATTGCTTGACCTCGACACATTCATGAGCAATTCGCACAGCGGTTCGATCTTCTTGCTCGGCCATCCTCCCGATGCAGCCGCAACGGTCTTGACTAGATGCAAAGCATGGATAATCGCCGGCTCGTGATGACTACTATCCTTTTCTTTTTGTTTATTCTTTTTTATTTTCCCTGCCGCAGCCACACTTTCAGTCAAAGTCTGCAGCGCCGTTTCAGCGCACATATCTGCCGCCGGGTGGTCGAGCGACGGGCTCGGAGGCGGGTTCTTGAGCACCTTGACCAAAGCATCTTGTGCTCGCTTGCGGACTTTGGGACGATGATCAACGGCCAAATTCAACAGACCAGCTGTCGCGCGGCGCGGGCCGATTTGTGTATGCGGCAAGGCCCAGGAATTGGCGTCTTGAGCGACGAGAAGGGTCTCTAAGATGCCGATTGAGGGGCGGAGGAGGGGAGCTTCGACGTCGGCGAGTGTCAATGCGGGCACGAGACTCGACAGAATCTGAGCGAATTTTGAGCGTAGTAAAGGGGCGGGGACTTCTTCGGCGGTGATATCCAGTAAGTAAACCACGGAGGTGGCTAGATCTTTGTTGACGACGCCATGGGTGGTGTTGAGGGCCTGGCTGAGGAGAGCGAGGAGAGCTGCAAAGTATGCTGTTGCGGAGAAATCGGCTTTTTGGTCGCGGAGTGTATCTTCAACGGCGTTCAGAACGACTGCTGTCTTTTCCTTTCGTTAGTTGAATTAATCAATGTAGCTGTAGAACAGAGTCTCACATGGTGCTGGTTCTGAAGCTTGGGCGACTTGATTTTCTCGAACTTCTCAGCGAGCGTCGCCATGATTGCAAATATTCAAAAGCTCGACAAGAAAATGCCACAAGGGCAGACAGAGCAGTAAAACTCTTGTCAGTGATTGTCTACTGCACAAGTAATCACAAGTAATAGTGAGTATTGAAGGTTAGGCGGAGTCTCTCAGTAATTTTTATTTTTTAATGCGGAGCCGATAATAATTTTCACCGCTATCGATACACAAGTCTTGGCACTGATACCCATGATCACTATCACCACTTTGAATATACTCGACTCGACTGAAATAATGTCTTTGATATCTCATTATGATCGTATGTGCATTTAACACAGTGTACAGGACCTGCTGGTGGATCAAGAAACACGACATCTTATCAGCACATGAATGCTATATAAAGCCACTGAACAGCATATCCATATAGCCCATAGCAATGCGACAATCTATCTGCGGCCTCTCTTCGGAGGCAGCGACTAGGTCTCCGGAGACCTTTGTAATAATATCCCTCACATCATTTTCTATTATTGTATCAGACGACCCTCAAAAAAGCACCTCTCCACTATGCTCCGGCTCAAAGCCATGCGTTTGCAGCTTCCCTACGCTCTTTTTATCTTTTCTTTTGCGCTCTTCTTCTTCTTTGGCTTTAAGTTCTCGGACCTCTTTCATGGAGACTTGGATTAGGGTTTCGGGGAGGTCGTCTTCTTTGTCGAGGTCCTTCAATCTGTTAGCATGTTACAGCGACAGAAAAAAAAGTGCGTTAGACGTACAATTTCGCCGAGTAGTAACACGTTCTCGCCGCGGACCAGGTACAGACCGACGTGTTCTTCGGCGTATAGGTTTCCGGAATATATCCTCTCTACGGTGTCTTGTAGGACCAGGTTTGCTGTTCAAAAAGATTGTCAGAGACGACGCACGCAAGAATGTCGCCGGAGAGTTGGAGCATACCGAATTGATCCCAACTTCGTAGAACACCAATCAATTTCCGACCATCACGGAGGACGAGGACGAGTTTTTCTACCACAGACACCCCAATTAGCGCAAATTCATATCACGTGTCGAAAGAATAGTCGTACTATCAGTCAAATCAAGCAATTGTGCGGCCGTCGTGAACATCTGCGGGGGTAATTGCGGAGGTCCTTGAGGCGCTGGCGGTGGACCAGACTGTTGGTTCTGACCCTGCTGTCGCGGGCTGCCCGCGCTTTCTCGTATGGGTAATCTTTCCATTTTGTATGTGAATGTCTGCTGTAAGTGTAGTAGTGGTGTGGTTTCGTATTGTATCGCAAGGAGGGGAACGGCGGCGGAAAGGTTGCGGTGATCGCAGGGAGAGGAAATGTCACGGCACGACTTCAGAGATAGGTCTGGCCTTTCGCATACTGGGAGGGAGGGACTGAAAAAGAGAAAGGAGTGAATTGTCTTATTCGCAATTCAAACGATGGACTGTAAGGTAATTGCTATTCCTTCTTGAATGTTGGAGCTCTGACCGGGCCAGTCCCGCAAATGGAAAAGCGGCTGTGTTTGTCTTGTTTGTCTCGTCATCATCCATGACTCTCACCAAAGACTCAGCATCCTTGACATTGAATACAAACTATAAATACTTCATTCTGTACATATTATAATTATAATAACAATTAAAAGTTCCCAGGGTATCACAAAATACGCAAAGTCAACAAAAAGGGAAAATGAGAAGTCCTTCTGATAGTGAAAGACATGATGAAGACACACGCAACAAGAGAATTCGTTGACTTTTGCTCGATCATGGGAACATTGAGTCCATCTTGTGTCAGCAGAGTAAATATTTGCTGAAGCAAGAACATTGACAGACAAACATGTATACATGTATACACACATCATACAACACTAATCCCCCGCCTCTGCTCTCTCAACCTCTTCTCCCTCCGCGGACTATACGTCGAACAATATGGCTCGTCTGCGGAACCAATGCTCGCCCTAACCGGATCCTGCGATGGATGATACGCAGGACTGTCCGGCGAGGGACATAGTTGAATCGCTTTTAGTTGATCCTCGGTTATGATTTTGGAGTTGTACATGTATTTCATCAACTCGAAGTTGGGGCGACTAGCCGCCAGAGTATGGCCCTTTTCGAAGTGTTCGTGCGCGACGTGAGTCAGCATTGTGTCCCATATCTGGTGGGTGTGCGCGTTCGAGTTGGAGGTTGTGGGCTGTTTGAATTCGAGAGGGCACCATTGGCAGATTGCTGTTGGTGGGAGTCGGGTTCCCCGGAAATGGGCAAGGATGTGAGTTTTCCACGAGTCGATGTTATGCGACTGGTGGTCACAGGGCAGGATGTAGAATAGACAATGATATACTATTTGCTCCTCCGCGGATGGTAATGCTGACTGTGCAGGTGGTGAGGCGACGAGATTACCGGTGCTGTCCGTTTCGAGGATATTGATGACATTAACCCTAGGCTTCATCTCCTTCGACAGCGCCTGAGATGCGGTTGATGAGTTGTCCGATATGGAGGATTGGGATCCTCCGGACAGGCTCGGGACCGGTATGGCTGATGTCATGCTGTTTGATGACGAGACTGTTATGCTGGAATTGCTGTCGTGTACAATCACTGGGATGAAAGTACGTTTCTGGGTGTGGCGACTCATTCGTGATTGCCGAAGATGAAAGAATTTGATTTAGCGTTGATGCTGATCGTTGCGCAGCCTAACAATCATCAATCTATGAATATAGAGTTGACCAGGCCATGAGATAGAAATAACATACAGGCCTGCCGTCAATCAAATGGCACCACAAGGCATATTCACAGGAACCAATATATACGTATCAGGTTGCAAGTCTCCGAAATGAAGAATCTTCGATTTCCGAGTATCGTTCACTGTTCACCGAGGGTGCATATACCGTGAAACAAAGAACAGTACTGAATGCACTGCACCCTTTCAGGCCAGTGACCGAAGGTTACTCATGACCGCTGACAACGTAACGACAATTGTGGGAGACACCGGGATGAATAATATGTGTTCGGGGTGCGTTTGGAATCTTAGAATTTTTCGGATGGAGGGGTGATGCGATAGTAGAAAGACCGAGGAAGTGGAGAAACAATCCCGGGTTATTGTCAACTGATGGACAACAGCAATCCGGCTGAGACGCGAATTTTTGTTGGATATTCCCACTTAGACGAGAAATGGGATGTTTTAGAGAAGATCTGAAGAAAGAATAAAAACAGACTTGCGATGTTATCGACTTACTGGGCAACTAGTCAACTAAACTACTGAGTACTACCGTATCTCCGCCTCGGGCAGCCATGAATATTTTCATTTTCATTGAACACGCCAAATGCTGTCGGAGTAGCAACCGGCACGAGAGATTATCTCTACGTGGGCCACGTTGATCACGACTGCAAACACTACACCTACACCTATCTACGATATGTAAGCTGTATGTATGTATGTCTTTGATTGCATGACAACTCCGAACAAATGTCAAATCGTGCAGGCATTTCTGTCTCTTCCAATGCCAGCCAGACACAGACCAAATAGCGGGGTCATTGCAGCCCAGAATGCCTGAGAATGGAGTGCGAGAAAAACAAGAAACGCCAATTGAATTCGAGGTTATGCACGCTTGATACTTGTTCTGGTATAAGTACTTTGCTAAGGTGCTAATGAGATGGGGTTTGGTGGATGGGAATCAAACGGCTTCTCCCGCTGCATGCTGCACGAAATCATGACAGTTTTTTTCGTGTAGGAGGTTGATACGTGGTTGTGTGTTGGTTGGATGGAGGTGGCATCATGTCTGATGAGTTGGTTTGTTGTTTGAGATTGGAAAACAATGAAAAGAAATTAGGACGCACTAACGTAACCCTAAACCCTAAGTCGGACAATAAGTTGGCAATCATAGGATTCAACATTTGTTCGTTTTCTTCGCTGTTAGACAAATCAAAGCATCGCATTATCTCTGTCGGAGCTACATTTACAAGTCAAGCATTGTATTCTATTGTGTAGTCCTACGGTTCCATACAGTATGATGTTTGAAAGAAAGGCACCCAATGTTAACCAGGACCGGCAAAGACTACATAGGAATCTACGTTTCCGAATGTCATTAAATGATTCAACGTACCAATGTTATTTCATTGACAGATATCATTTACAAAAATAGTGGAAAACTCAAGGAGCGACATGATGGGTATCACGAATGACGCAAACAAAATCATTCCAATTCATCCGAATTGTCTCTCTTATGATCAATCCTCTGCACAAACTCCGTCTTCGTCATGATAATCCCCGACGGCAAATTTAGCCTCTCCTCACTCGAATTCGTCGGCTCATTCGGATGGATCATTGTCGTCGTCTTGCCATAAAAGTGAGGATCATCTGCACGCGTAGAGGGCAAACCCGCGTCTTGTCCTGCGTACCTCCTTTTTGCACTAGACAACATATTTCCATCGCCCATGTCGATTCCAGTGCCATTTGTTGGGTTGTCATCATGGTGGTGATAATTGCCGTTTTTATTGCGAATGAAATCCACGAGCTGGCCCAAGACTGCGAACTCAAGTTTGAGTTTTACGCTATATACGGCACCCTTGAGACAGATCTGGATTGCGTATTCGTTGGCATATTCGAGAACCAGTAAAGTCAAATCCATCAATATGATGAGAACATTGACGGCAATGAGTTGGTACTGAATCCATCGCTGTGCCTGATTTCGGTGTGTGGTGTGGAGCAGTTTGTAGGTTTCGTACAGATATAGACCGGAGATGATGGCTTCTTGGATGCTGAAACCGGTTAATTGAATCTTTTCCATGATATTGTATGCTGTAATGAACTTTGGAGAGGCGTCCGGGTCGTTGGAACCGTAGGTCAAGACGGTGGTGGGGAGGTGTAAGACGAGCGCATTGAAGCAAATCATGTATAGCACTTGTTTGAGTCGTTTCGGGTCTCGGAGGACGAGATGTAAGCGAGAATAGAGAACCATCGCCTGGCCCGTCACCATCATCCACCATCCAATCGTCAAGACAGTACAGGTTATCCACGGACTGACATGTGTAAAGAATTTGATAAAGAAGCCGACCGAGTATGGTATCAACCCGAGTAAAGCGGATAATAGCAAAGACCAGAAATACAACCCTCGGAATCGTCGGAATGACACCAAGATCATAACCACGAGTTCAAGTGCGTTGTAGATGGAGACGAGGAGGAAGAACATGAGAAATATGGCGAGCCAGGTGTTTTTGGTATTGAAGAAACCGGAGATGCCGTCGAGGGCCCCGTTGTCGTCGGCATCACCATCGCCTGCCATTTTGATTATCCGATGGATTAATTTGATTTTTTTTTATCAAGGTAGTCGATCAGTACATATGTCGAGTCATATCGGAGGTAATGTCGAGCCTACACCCAAGGTATATGGAGATAAAATGCAACTACTTGATACGCTGGTCTTGATGTCCAACGATGGACACATATATCAGACCATGTGCATCAAATTGTCAGATGAGAACAGAAGCCAAGTTTAGAGCCAGAAAAAAAAAAACACAAAAGGTGTGGCGAGGGCCCAGAAGCTTTTTATTCTATCGGCAACTAGAACCACACGACCAACGGGTGGAACTTTCATATGATTCCTGTGGGTATGGGGAAACCTAAAAGGATCTGAGCATAGCTACTTAACCCTTTTGAGGTGTTGTTTCGAAGGCCCAATGGACCAATTCTGGGCTTTGCTGTAAGCCATAATTGAAGCAAGCAAGCCAAGTCAAACTGTAAAGTTGATTTAGGAGCCTCTCAGCCCCGAGTTTAATGTTGGCGGGTTACACTTCCTGGCTCCCGACCAGGATACTGCTTGAACTAACGGAGAAGGAAAGTTTTTTGTGTTGGTTTAGCTGATCCGGACCTGACTGTGTATGGGTGGTGGTTGGCTGAGGCGATAATGCCAGACAGGACGATCTTGATTGTCGAGTCAGGGGAAATACATTTTTGGTAATTTTGCGATATGCAGGTACGGCCCGATACGGTATCATACCGAGTACCTTTTGACGTTGTCACTGTTACTTACTCCATACAAATCTTTAGATAGTTGATGTAGTGATTGATTGATCGTGTATAAAATACCAATACACTGGAAAAATCAGGTGCGAAGAAAGGTGGTCAGAGTCCATGACGCTCACATGCAGAAGCCACAGCCCAAGTATCAGCCAAGTATTCTGAATCGCCGATTCTTACTTGTAATTAATTAGAGTTGTTCCAGACTCTCCAATCTCCATACTCAGTTAGTCCGTTAGTTGCTCCTCGTATCGGCGGCTGACCGACCTCATGCCATATGCATCGCTGACTGCATAGCTGCCACCATCTGTGAACGATGAATTGTCGGCTAATATACGATGTGTCGTACAGCTTCTGAAGTATACGGCTAGTACGGCATTCTCAAACACTTCGAGAAACACGGAGGAAAAAGTGTAGTAACGCAAGACACAGGAACAATGCCTTTGTTGGCGGCGCTTTGACAATCCTCTAGCCCTAAGCAGCTTCTAGCAGGCCCTAATCCCCATACCAACAACTTTGATCCCCACAACTACGAGTCAACCCATCGCGCTACACCATTCCCCATCTTTTAGTATTTACAGTGTTACACTCGCGCCATGTTTGAGAACAAAAGATCAGCGGTTACAGGTGAAAATTGGGAGTTTTATCCGACTGCTTCCTGCTTTGATCTCCGATTTTTCGGACTGCCCGAATCGCCTTGCGGGCCGATGCTACTGACTCGTTTCTTGAGCGATGTTATTCGATGGCTTACTCTGACAGAGTTATGTGCATTGGACATGAAGCTTTCGAAGGATTTGACAAAGTCAGCTTCAACCTGGCCCCATCCGAAGGACGAGAGGTCTGATCATAGGCTTAGCGTTGTATATGAAGTCCTAGCCCTAATTCGGTTTTTCATAGACATGTGCTTACTTGCCTGTCTAGAACAACGACAATGGAGTATTTTCTACCCCCAAATTATTGTCTCTTGTCGCCGACATTGTACAACAGCGGACTCTACGAAATTAGGTATGCACGAAGCATTTACACATCATATCACGGCTAGTCCGGATAGTTCTAGTCCGTATTCATTAAAGAACAAGCTCCTCTGACAATAAAGCCTTTGAAAGAGATATCTACGAACTCAGCAACAGAGAAAGAAAAGAGTGATGAAAGCCACCTCCGCATTATTTCTTTTTCTATGCACGGAATCTACATTCATTTCAAGTAACAGGTTATGTGATTCGTATTAGTCTCACAGACCAGGGTACCTGGTAAAATGGTAATGATTGGCAGGGAGCCAACTTAGTGACTAACGCGACATCTGATAACCATGGCTTCTGCGGGGTCAACTTGCTTCGATTTTTCTATCCTACTAACCAAAGACCTGCCGTTGAGGCCACGCTAGAACCACCACATCCGTGGCGAAGAATAACCAAATTTTATTTCCCTTGAGCTGATTTGAGTGAAAGAGAGCGTTTCGTGCCGTTGAATACAAGAATGGACAGCTCAGAAATAGACGCGACCGGCTCAGAACTCAAAAGTTCAATTACAGCAGCGATGATCTGACTTTGTCGTTTGCTCGTCTTATTGCTTCGTCCCTTTGCTCCTTCGCCCACTCCCTGCCATTCCGATACCAGGTTGCGCCTTCCTGAAATGTATCGGCATTTGCAGTCATGGACCATCAATTGATTTGTGTCAAAGAGTACTCTATCCGATCTGATGTAGCCGATTTCGAAGGGTGAGTGGTGAACATTTGAAGCTGCCCATAATGATAAATAGACGTGAGGGTGCTAGCATTATTGTTAAATTCAGGTTCATCTTTACCATACTCCTGAAGCGAATGCAGTCCCCTTGCTCCTAATGCACCGTCATAGCATGCCTGTCTTTTGGCTACTGATGCTGACCCGTCAGGTCCTTTTACTGCCAGGAAAAAATTTGGTGCAATAGGAAGATCATGCTGCGTAGATGGTACAATTTGATGGTTAAGTTCAACTTGTATTTGGATATCAAGTTGCTCAGGACGTGCCCCATCATATCGGTCGGGATTCCCAGCGACTAAAGTGCCATCTGTGAGATGATCGAGGTTCCTGAAAGGAATGCCACCATTTGTACATTTATTATCTGGAACGCCGCCTTCAATGAAGGGAATGATCACAGTCTCTGTAACCTGTCTTTCTTTAGAAACATCTGCATCGGCTTGAAGAAAATTTTCGAAGTCTTCCTCCGCGAATCTGGAAGATGAAAGCGAGGGCCTCCGTTGAGCCAGTCTTGCAGGTATGTCATCCCAATTGCCGGGCTTTGAAGGGCTGCATCCGTCGGGAAATCGATAACGGTGTGGAAAGACACCATGGTTAGTAAGATGTTGCTGAAAGTGACAATCGTAAGGACCGCTGCTCTTGGTAGTTGATGGTTTGGTACATCGTGAGGTACCGGACCCTCGTGAAGAAGCGCTTGAGCTACGCGAAGCCCTAACACCACGTTTCTGAGATTTTTGGATGCGGTACGGTCGGGGGTTTATTGTAGGCTGTGGATACTGCAATGATCAGCCAAATTAGTTATTTGCTATGTAGTCCGAGGCACCTTACTCCCCGCAAGTCTGACAAATTAGGTCCGCCTTGACGCGCAAATCTCTGGATTGTTTTTGCTTCGTAGCAAGTGGCAGATCTTGGAAACTGACTTTCTGAGGCAACTTTCGCTGTAGCTTGTATATTCCTTCGATTAAGCTCCCGTAGAGCATTAGATGTCAACCAGACCTGCGACAGGCTGTCCCAAAACGCCGGAGGGAGCAGGGAGTCGCTGGGATGCTCAATCTTCCGCTTCTTGTAAGCTTGCTTGGATGAGATGACTGTGAAGTCTTGCTTGTATTGCTCTGTATGCATTGGGTAGTGTTGTTGACAACAAGTGGTAGGAGGCTGATTCCATCTGGATGATATTTTGTGAGCGGGCACATTTATGCCTGTCGATTTTGGAAAGTCATACGGAAGGTGAAGGTGAAGGGTCTGGCAGCTATGGACAAAGAGTAGATGATACTGCTGGTTTGTCAATGTATGAAAGAACTGAAAAGAAAAGATAAGATCTAGTATTATGAAAATGTGTTGAAGTTCATTCTCCAATCATCAAAGTATATTGATCATTGCATATACCTACGCAATAAACAAGGAAAAGCAATATAAAAATAATCACAACGGAAACACTGCTTTGAACCGTAGCATCACTTGGAGCTTAGAGTTCTTTTGATAGAGATGTTCTTTGTAATACTTAGCAGTGATAGAATAGTGGAAACGCGCCATAACAATCTACACCAACGCTGCAAGAGTAGAATTCATGTGACAGCGAGTTTTGAACAAAAAAATTTGAAATGGTCTTGTTTAGTTTACTGATAACCGACGAGATGTAAGTTAAAGAGTAAGTAGAAGAAGGGAGATGCAAAGCAGAGACTCAAACAATCGGAAAACCCGAGAAATTTAGCTCGATAGCCGGCAGCAACATCAGAACTTGAATGGCGCAACTGACTTGAGTAGGCAGTTGAGTCTCAAGCTTCTAATTTTCTTTGTCTAAATATCTACACTCTCGGGTTTTCCGAGTTTCACATAATTAAATGTTTCCGAATCCAGAACAGAGGTTACTCCTCTGCAATATCTAAAACCCACCTTGATTGATCACAATCTACATCACCAATAATGACTCTTAAATACGATCCCGAGTTTGCTGAAATATTGCAGAGCTTCAGCGAGAGAGTTCCTGAGGTGCCTTCTGCTGATACCACAGGTTTCGAAGCCAAACGGAGGTTCTATGCAGACCTCGTATTTGAACTTGAAAGTCGAAGACACATGCCACCAGACGTCGAGATTTCTCGGTTCGAAGCTGTAGCAGTAGATGGCTTCAGAGTCCCGGTGTATCGATTCTTTCAACCAGCGAAACATAATGCTGGAAGGAACGATAGTACCACTGCTCTCGCTTCCGCAATTTTATACTGTCACGGAGGCGGCATGGTACTGGGAAGCGCTCTGTCCGAACAAAAGTCGCTTGCGACCAAGGCATTCAGTACTGGAGTCCAGATCTTTTCCGTAGATTATCGACTCGCGCCAGAACACCCACATCCTACTTTAGTAGAAGATTGCTATGCGGCACTCTGCTGGCTGCAAGCAAATGCCCGCGAGCAGTTTGGAATTGACCCTGCTCGCATTGCGGTCATGGGTGACAGTGCTGGTGGCGGCATCGCAGCAGGGGTGGCCTTGCTCGCTCGAGACCGCAAGCTATGTCCGCCGCTGGCAAAGCAGATTCTTATATATCCCATGCTCGATGATCGAAACACAATTCCTAACCCGATTTTGGATCCCTTTGCTTTCTACAAGACGGCCGACAATAAGATCAATTGGACAGCTCTACTAGGCGCTCAAACTGGCACAGAGGGGGTATCTCCATATGCGGCGCCAGCCAGAGTGGAGTCGGTTGAAGGCCTGCCACCTACATATATAGATCTTGGTGACTTGGACATATTTCGCGACGAAGATGTGAAATACGCATCGAAGCTGATTCTCGCGAATATTCAAACTGAGCTCCACCTCTACCCTGGAGTACCACATGGATTTGAAAATGTCGCGCCAGAAATTACGATCACGAAACAGGCAGTTGAAAATAGAAAGAGGGCAATGCAGTCATTTTAAAAACAGTCAACGTGTAGTTTTGGATTGTACCGAATAGGAATTTGAAAGTAATTAGGTTTGATGTCGCTGCATGACATGTTCTCGCATCAATGCCATACAACGAACAGAAGTAACAACCTTTATGTCCTGACCAGATCATAAAACTGTCAACCAAAAGCAAAATTGAATACGGGCCTCGACCTCTCCTAGCATCCGTCGACTAGATTAGGATCCCCTCAGCGTCCATTATGTCTGCGTGGAGCTTACTTCCAGGTCAATTCTTTACAGAGTAGACTGTCAGAGTTATATAACAATCTAGAAGCAATATAATGCAACCAAATAATCAACAAAAGAGAACGTGAAGCTATTCCTACATAGTATGACTCATGCCACAAAGGGGGTCCGAACTTATCGGCCTGCGCCCAAAACTGGCGGATCTACTTGGAGATCGCTACCGGGTAATCGTATGAATCATGGATATATATATTTTGATTTCGCTGTGAAGCTGGGATAATAACATATGAAGGCCTATACCCTTGCAACCCCAATCTGTGCCTGCTTATAAGCAGGGTTGAGAGATGCCTCACTTCCATGTTGGCTCGATGTTTCCGCATTGCCAGGATAGTTTATGGGATCGTGATCGTGCTCGTCCGCAGCATCAATTGAATTCAAGATAATCGTGTCCGCTCCAGGTTGCCTCTTCTTGCTTGAGAACTTGGACGCCGAGCCTTTCGAGGCCGCGTTGGGATATTTTTTTTGCCAGCTGTTTGAGCCATACCGGCTGTGACCACCCTTTCGAACCTTGGATAATATGGGACCGAGCATGGGCAGGGAGACGCAGAGAATGCCGAGACTGATTTCTGTGGTTGATAGGAAGTCCACCCAGACCATTGTTCCGGTGAGGTTTACAAGCTCCAGATGTGTAAGAGCGGCAATACGACCGGCGGCGACGGCAGATACCCTGTGATTGTCCATTAGAATTGTTTGAAGTTTGTAATAGAGTGGTGGCGCCTTACGCCAAACTAATGGTAAAAAGACCCGTTAAAGATAATTTCATCTTCTGTCGTGCCTTCAATCCCCAGATGGTCGGGAGGGGGAGTAAACAGATCATGATGTCGCTGATGATGTTGAAGACACCAATTGAGATGAAGGCTGTAACTTGGTTCCCACAATGGCCAGTGGCGAGAGTGGGATCGTAATTTGCTCGGAATGGACGGCATATGAGAAATAGCAGTAAAATGTTGGCAGTAGTCCAAGTGAGGACAAACCCGGCTACCACCATGGTGGCTATGCGCACGTACTTGTTGACGAAGATTCGAAGATAGAAACATAGAACGCTCATCTTGATAGCGCTGATGCAGAAACTGTAGATCAGAGCGTACGACACCATCAATTTCAGGATCACGACCAGGTTCGGCAGGGTCTCGTTGATGGGATAGCCCACGCCCATTGGCAAATCTGCGACATCATGCCAGTTAGTCTGATGATGATAGAATGTCACAAATCAGAACATACAAAGTCCCTGGATAACAAGCATGCCAATGGCCTCGGGCGTAGCCACGAGGATGAGGAAGTCATCCCAACCGAGTCCGGCGTTGGTAATCACGCGTGACAGAATCCGCAGCCCAACAACAACAAGCGTGATGAAGACCAGCACACAATTGATGATAAAGTGTATCTTCACAATGGGCTTGACGGGAAAAGTGACATCTTGCAAAGCCATGATACTGTGTATTCTCTCACATTGCCAACGTACCCCGTAGTAAATATGAATAATTCATGTGCCAATCACGAGATCAGCTTGGTATTTATATTCAGTACCATCAAGCCTTTAGGGCTTCGGGGATTCGGATCCACGACGGTCGGACGCGGCCCAGCCATGAAATTACTATATTAGACAGGCGCTATTCCTCATTCATTCAGGCGAGAAATTTGTGCTGGGATAGTTTTGCAAAAAGCAAAATATACATACTATGTAGTATGGAGTGCACCTAGATCTAGTAAAATCAAATGAAGATCTGTGTTCTTAGTGGGCATATGGGTCTAAAAGCCTGTAACCACCAATGATCAGTTGGTCAGACGCCTCCACAGTCACGGTAAAGATTTCCGGCACTTGTCAGTCTTGCTCCGCGACTTTTGAAGAGACTTTGTCTCGACGCTGGGGAGAACAGGCCTCCCAGTATGTGACTAGGTTCGGGTCGCTACAGTGAAGAAACTTTATAACTGGTGCTCAAAAATGGGACATTCATGACATAAAACGTGTATAGAGTACCTACGCAGTTGCTAATTCCCGTCTTTCTGGTTTATCCCTGCTCTCCAGCCATGCTTGACAGACCGCCGGGAATAACAAGTGTAACAATAATAGTACGTAACGACAAACGGCGCCATGTAGATCATGGCTGGTGGTGGTGACTGCGCCGCATGAACTCCAGTAATAAGTACTCCGTAATATCACCAGTTTGGCCTCAACCCGGAGGGACACACCTAATCACCGGTTGTGACCCCTGTACTATAACTAGGTACGGAGTGAAAGTGTATTAATATCGGAGGCCTGTTAAGTTAGCTCTGTCTGGTAGTTGACGGAATCATACACTGCTTAACAGATCAGTGTTTTACATCTAATACGATTGTCAAATATACGATTTGAGACCCATTGTGATTGAGTCGATAACATTATAGATAGTATATTGTGGCCGGAACTAGAATTCCATGCGAACGTGCGCTTGGATGACACGCCCTACGGTAGTCATTAGTTGAACGATGTGGATATGCTCCGTAGTCATGGAAATAGTGTTTTATCATCACGCTTTTCTTGAATAGTATAGTACTATCATTTTCTGCTTAGTTCATGCAACTTGGTGTCGTAGTTTTGGATCCTGCTGCAAGCGAGTCCCCCATCTGTCCAGTTTCCCAGCGTCTAACTGGCCTGCTTGATTAGATCGTTCTTAACGGAATAGTAAACGTTTGTTCCGCACTAGATTAGAAACTAAGCTCATCATTCAGTATACCTGCAGTCCCTAGAATTCGTTTGCACCCCTGAGTCACTGATAGAAATTGTTGGTTAGCAAAGGCTTGAGGTCCAAGTTTGCTAGCATGGACTGACCGCTTGAGTGAGCCCTAGTTCGAAGTGTCTTGTAACTCTAAAATACTTGGTCTGATCCACTCCTAGCTTGGTGATATTGTCGAGAATCTACTATTATATCCAGCCGCAAGTTCATCACAGGAAATATAGCTAATATGTACTCGAGCATACTAATGCATCTGCACACTGCGAGAGAGACTTGCGAGTGAAAGCCTCGGGACGATGGCATTTTCTATAATACAGCTGATATAATGACACTAAACTGTGCCGTTGCATCCCGGCGCTCTAGCCAGGGTCTCCCGCGCGCCACCAACAAGGATGGCGGGAGATACTCCTCCGTGGCTCCATTACAGAACGCCGCTAGCAGAGACGTTGGGAATTCATCCAATGGAATGGCTCGTTCTTACGGCGTCGGCAACGTCACGGCAATGCCAGACATGGGACACAGATTCTAAGCGAGACACTGATTTGACTTTACTCAATCAGGGGCTTCCCTTTTCCATCGCTTGAACGCGCGGCTGCAAAGGACCCATATGTGTCATAAGTGCCACAGCTGAGGGACATGGCTAATTAAACCTAAAGCGTGACTAGTTGCTATATCATAGCCACTATAGTTTATTGACCCCGCCATGTTTGCTGTCGCTCCTCGTGCATCTATCCTCGGCAACAAGGTTTCTAGTAGTGGAATCTAAACCATAAGAGTATCTTGTCGCCAAACTGAGAACGGGGGTGCACAGTCTATAAAGACATCAAAGCTTCTTTCAAAGACCACATCTACGTAGCAGTTTATAGCAAGTACACTCAGCGTATAGTTATCTTTAGCAATTGACATACAATATGGGTTCCGTTGATGAGTTCGACTATATCATTGTCGGCGGAGGCACTGCTGGCTTGACTGTAGCAGATCGCCTAACTGAGGATGAGAACGTGAAAGTACTGGTCGTTGAGGCTGGAGAAGATCGCAGCAAGGATCCTCTTGTGCTCACACCGGGTCTGGTAGCAGGCATGTACGGCAACCCGGACTACGACTGGAATTTCAATTCAGTGCCACAGGTCAGTGACTTTAGACAACTTGAGGTTAATAAACTTGAGTTTGCTGATCGGCATTTCAGCCCGGACTCAATAACCGCAAGATCAATCAACCCCGTGGAAAGCAGTTGGGCGGGTCCTCTGCTTTGAATTTCTTGATGCTCGTGTACCCTAACCGTGGTAGTATTGACTCTTGGAAAGCATTGGGTAACGAGGGCTGGGGCTACGATGATCTTGCGCCGTACTTCCGCAAGTTCGCAACAGTCCACGCCCCTCCTCAGGCCGCAAAGGATGTCGTCGGCCTGACTTATCACAATGAGTCGCTGATAGGCGATGGACCCGTCCAAGTGTCATTCAGTGAGGGATATGGCCCGACTAATTCGGCATGGATGGAGACATTTGCCAAATTTGGACTTGAGATGACAGCCGATATGAGAAGCGGCGATGCTCTGGGAGCTTTCCAACAACCCGGAAGCATTGACCCTGCCACCAAGACGCGCAGCTATGCCGCAACAGCACATTATACTCCTGCGATTGCAAGCCGGCCAAATCTCACAATTCTGACTGGTACCGTTGTCAAGAAGATTATCTTTGACACTACTGGTCCGGAGCCGGTAGCCACTGGTATCTTGGCCCAGTCTAAAGATGGATCAGAGAAGACTTTGAACGCCCGAGAGGTTATTCTCTCTGCAGGCTCTCTTATGTCGCCTCAAATTCTAGAGTTGTCCGGTGTTGGTTCAAAATCTCTGTTGGAGAAACACAACATACCCGTGGTGATCGATAACCCATCCGTGGGTGAGAACCTCCAAGATCATGCTATCACCTGCCAGTCGTACGAAGTCAACCCCGACATCGCGTCAAGTGATATGCTCCGGGACCCAGCTGTCCTAAACGCGCTCCTTGGGATGTATCAAGCAAGCCGAGATGGTCCTATGGGTCAATCAAATATAAGTGTGGCCTACGCACCTCTCACGGATGCTTCAGGAATCTCGTCAGCTGAAACGAAGAAATCTCTTTTCGCCGCACACGATCAGCATACGCAGACTCTTGACGGCCAGATAATTCGCTCCCTTCTGGAGAAGGCAGGCGGGCCTACGGCACAGTACCTCCTCTTCCCAGGTCAGGCCAACACGTACTTGGCGGAACCTACAAGCATGATGGACTATCTTGCACCATCACAGCCGGGCAACTTTATCACCATAATGTCACTTTTGAACCATCCATTTTCGCGTGGTAGTGTGCACATCAACAGTGCCGACGTCCATCAGCTGCCAACATGGGATCCCAATTTCAATTCAAACCCGTTGGATCTCGAGATTTCAGCGCTTCATGCCATGTTTGTCGAGAAGTTTACTCAAACAGCGCCTTTCTCCAACCTGCTGAAGCCAGACGGCGCACGCATCCCCAAGGGCAAAGCCGACAGTGTTGAGGCCGCAAAGGAGGTTATTCGTGAAACTCAAGTCAGTGATTTCCACCCTTCCGGAAGCTGTTCCATGAGACCCAAGGACAAGGGAGGTGTAGTCGATACCAGATTGAGGGTGCATGGTGCCAAGGGATTAAGAGTTGTTGATGCCAGTATTTTCCCGTTTGTGCCGCTGGGTAATATTCAGAGTGTCGTGTATGCTGTTGCTGAGAAGGCGGCTGATTTGATCAAAGAGGATCGACTTAACGCAGCATAATGGCTATGATATCAAGCAATACACGACTTAATAACTGACTAATGTGGGTTGTCCTTATTTTAAACACTCTGAAGATACGAATTTTTCAAATATCAAAGAATTTGACAATCAGAAAGAACAGCAACATAATTCAGGGAGATCGGAATAATACCATTTTTAACATCTCTTAGCCCTGAAAAGGTTACAAAAGTACTAGCTGAACTTATATCTTATGGATGCTAACACAAAAATTCAAGTTTCACAGGGCATGCATTTGTGTCTCTCAGAAAGGCCAGGTTGTAAGGCATTCATCCCGACACATTTCACATAGTTTTCCCCTCAGTTTTGAGGAGAAATGAAAGATAAAAGGAAAAGAGAGAAGAGAGCGAGAGAGAGAGAGAGAGAGAGATGGGTAAGATACACCTTGTAGACTTCTTTTCTACATACATTTTTTTAGCATTGAAGGGAGCACGACTTTTCCACAATATTTGGGTTACTTCCACCATCCAGTACATTTATAAAGGCTTCTGTTTTTCCAATGAGACTTGGAAGTCCTGGAAAATATTGTACAGGTATTCAATGTCGGTAAATATAATCAGCAACAGTACGTCGTTGTCCTAGAAGGACTATGGCGTCCTAAACAGGGATAGTTTGGGCGGTTCGATGTATCTTGAATGTTTGTGACTGGCCTTTGCACATCTCATAGCTTCCAACTCCAATAGAATCTGCCACTCTGGTCTATTCCTCGTTTTCATCTATGATTATGAGAGGTTATTCTAAGATAAATGTCGTCCAGCCTAACTTCTCGTCTTTTCTCTTGCGGAGTTTTGGTTTTGTCGTAACACGTCTTTCATGTTCTACGCCTACATTGTGCAAGCGATCAAACTCCACTTCTGCCCAATCATCTCCAATAATGTCTGTCAATAAGTACAAATATGATTGGATTGATGGCGCAGAATCACTTGAAAAGTATAGGCCTGGCGGCTACCATCCCGTGATGGTTGGCGATTTGCTTCACGAACGATATCGCATTGTGGACAAGTTAGGTTTTGGTGGCTATTCAACCATCTGGTTAGGCCTAGACACTCATCTGAGGCGATATGTTGCTATCAAAATATGTATAGCAGATGCAAACCCCTCCGAAATCTCCGTGCTCAAAGCACTATCGTCTTCGTGTTCGTCTTCGCATCCAGGGCATAGACTTATTCCATTGCCCTTGGATGAATTCACAGTCGATGGTCCCAATGGGACACATACATGCTATACAATGTCTCCCGCAAGATGCAATCTCCGCGAAGTATCTTTTAGCCACCTTTTCCCTCTTGAAGCTGCGCGAGCTTTGTCGGGTGGTCTCGCGATGGCTGTTGCATCTGCGCATTCTCGAGGCTTTGTTCACGGGGATATCCACCTTCGCAACGTGCTGGTAAAACTTCCTTCCAGCTTTTATAAATTATCGATCGAGGAACTATATAAAGAGTACGGGCAACCCGAGACAGTCGCCATTACCGAACGCAGCAAACAGCCGCTTCCTGCCAACATTCCGACCACCACTGGTTATGCGACCTCCAGAAGCTAGATTCGCACCATTGTCTCCTCTCTCCTATTCAGCAGACATCTGGAGCCTAGCTTTTGCGATATGGGAGATAATCGGTATGAAAGCTATATTTAGTAGCGAGTTCGCGACTGCGGATGACGTATTTGCGCAGCAGATTGATGTTCTCGGGGCATCATCTTTGCCGCCGGAATGGTGGGATGCATGGGAACAACGAAGTAACTTTTTCTCCTCATCGTCGGATCAGAAGATAAAAATTCCAAGGGAGGATCGGTATGTCTGGCCACCGCTTGATGAGGCCTTTGAGGAAGGAGTGCAAAAATATCGACGGCAAAGTCAAAAGGTGAAAGAGTTTGATGAAGAGGAAATGACAGCCATTCTTGAGCTTATGCGCCGAATGTTCGGGTTTCGACCGGAAGATAGACTTACTGCAGATGAAGTCTTGCAATCAAATTGGATGGTCAAATGGGCGCTGCCTGAGTTTTTTAAGACTTTAGAGATGATGTGAAGCTAATATATCCCGGCAGTGTGTTCCTTGCGTGATGTTTAAATGTATATATACGGAATTGCAATTAAAAATCCATCCTATAAGTATATAGACAGCTCTCCTTCTATGAGTTAGGGTGATAGGCCTTATACACCTGCAACGCCCCTTCTATGCTCTGCACAAGCCCAAAGAACACGGTCAAAGATATAGCAATCCAAAGAGTATACCATTGTACCCCATCGCGCCTATCATTCCACCACTGCGTTAATGTTGATGGACGTGCCTGATCAAAAGCTTCTTTCAATTCGACAAGTCGGTTGTGCCAGTATTTATATCCATCAATGTGCCTATGAGCCGGGCCACATTTTAGAACATTGAAATCCGGCTCTTCAATGTTGTCTTGTACATGTTTCCCATACCATCTTGCAGTTGTGGAGTTGCCTTGCGGGAAAAGGAGAGCAAGAGTTCGTAGGGTATCGTCTACCAAGCCATCAGGGAACAGGGAAGATCTAGCGATAATGCTATTTAGCATACAAGGAAGCACCTTGTAGATTTGTATGGATAAGAGAGGACTACATACTGTTTCTGCCCAGTCAAGAACGAGGCGTGATGAAATATTGTAATAGATTTTTCCACACCCGTATCCCTAAGGAGAAGATGATCCGACAGGTTCGATGTCAATTCGACCCTGAACCCCCCAATTCGAACGATATTGCAAACATTGAAAACGGGTTCCAGCTTTATACCGCTGTGCTCCCGTCTCATTTCCGCGCGGAACACCTTATTTTCAATGAAAGTCTTCGAGGTTCCGGTATCCCAAAGCAGTCTCTCACGACCGGAATATGCATTTCTGAAAACACCGACATCTACCATATAAATGAGACGGAGAGTGAGATCTATGCTGCCATTTAATGACTCCTCGGAGTCAGTTTCGCCTAATTGAGTGCGACGCGCAACAAGTCTTGCCTTGACTTCGTGGTGAGGGTAGCCATTCAGGATATCCAGAGCGATGTTGATAAGGTGTTGATGCGTTTTTACTGGCAGGTAGCCGCTATATGACTGGACAGCAAATCGGCACTGATCAGTATAATATCGGAAGTAAGGCTGTAGCTGAAATCTGCTGTTGTTCCAGAGATAGTTTGCAATAGCCTCCTGAGTACTTTGAGGGACCGGGTCTTCGAGGAAAGAATTGTCGAGGGACATGATGTACAAAGAACGAAGTGTATTATCTACTGCTCAAGTCGAGAAATATCATATATATTCTTTTCATACGAATCAGAGTCGGGTAAAATTTCAGCCACATGGATGCATGCAGGTATGGCCCTCGTATTACTAGACCGCGTACTCCGATTCCCCTAATGCCATCGCCAGCTTTCGAACGGGCATATGATCAAGTTATGGCTGAAACAGCCACACAAGTTAGGGGTACTCCCACTGAAAGCGTGATATCTTTGGTCAAGTGGTCATCGGATCTTTTTTCCCGGTTTAATTTACTGGAAGCATTGAACCTTCATAGCCACTGCTGGCTATAAGGCTGGAAGCTGCCCAGGCACACTCACATGTGCAGATTATTTGCTAATCAACACAAGGCTGATCTAGCTGCACATCTTTCTTTGACATGGTTTCCGCCATTCTCATTTTCTTATCCACTCCATGCGCCATGTGGTCGATTTTATTCAAACAACAAGCATCATTATTTCAACTTTCTATTCATCGAGGATCATTCCCACAATCCTTATGTAGGAGTCATGACTCCTCCACGAGGTAAATTGTTTTATTTATCTGGATTGTACAAGAAACCCAAGAGCCTGTGGCTCGATCCAGAATCCTCTGTCGACAAACATTGCGGGATGAAAAATGGTAAGAATTGCTGGATAGCCAAGGGTCCAGCTCAAGAGGCCTTTCAACAGATCTCGAGCGAAATCAAAGAGGTGCTTGAGAAGGACTGCGGTCCTGTCCCAGGTTCTCATTGGGTTCTTTTTGATATTTTCATGATTGGAGACGCACCTGCAACTGCAATACCTCACATCATGTTCTCATGTCCGAAACCTGGGCCACGGAAAGAAGCTCGCACTGCTGTTCGTAACTCAGATGTTTTGAGTCACTGTACTCCAGGGATAGCACTGGGTCACTGGGACTATCCTCCTCATATAAAAAGTCCACAACCCCTAGCATCTTCTTTGACGCCCGTCGAGTCCCACGAAACCAAAGACGTGAATCAATGTTATCTGACACCGATTTTCGATAAACACCAGCCACGGAAAGTTCCGGCGATTCGATTAGGCCTGCATTCTTCCTTTGATGAAGCCAAACCTTTCGCCAAGGCAACAGTTGGAAGTATTGTCGAGGTTGATGAGAAACGCTTCTACTTGGTACCTGCACATGTTTTCTCGAAAAGAATTCCCCCGCAAGATGTGACCGCGGATGGCAAGATGCAAGAGAGTGATAGTGAATGCGAATTTGGTGGCTTTGATGATGGAGATGAAGATTTTGCCGACGACGGTGAAGTCACGTTCATGAGTCAGTACAGTATCACACCTGAGGTTAGCGACCTTGAAGTCAGGTCAGATCCGGGTGGCAGTCAGTCCTCTTCTGATGAAGTGCGCGAAGATACTCAACTTAATCAGCATCAAGAAGAGATCAATCATGACGCTAGGTCTAGTCCTTTGCTAGGCAGGTTGCCTCCTAAGCCAGTCAAACCTGAGCGAGTGGACGTTTCCGGAAAAGATCATACTATTCGTCTTGAGATCAAGTCACCATTCTTCACATCAACGGAGCTCGATTTCGCATTAATCGAGGTCAGCAAAATCGACTACCTTACCGCATCCCTCCCATTTCTGAGGAATGATACTATCGCAAGTGTCAATATGCTTGCGGATGTCATCGTTACAACAATGACAGGTTCAGGCAAGACCTTGACTGGGAAGCTCTCTGGCAGACCATCATTTATTCGCCTCCCCAACGCTAGTAAATACCAAAAAATTCTCACAGTCGACTTTGAAGGCTGTCTTCAAATCGGTGATTGTGGCTCAATCGTTCGAAATGCCTCGGACGGCAAAATCTATGGGCACATAATTGCAGGAAGCGTCGAGTCAAGAATTGCATATATCATTCCCGCAGTGGACGTCCTTCATACGATAGAACAAAGATTTAATCTAAAATCCGGCAGCGATGTGCCTTCTTCTGCATCTTTACCAGCTTCCATCCAGGACGTGAATCGCAGATACACTGTTGGTTGGATCTGCTCTTCGTCTACGGAGTTCCGAGATGCGTGGATAATGCTCGATGAACGACATCTTACTCTTCCTCGGTTTGCTGGAAGCTCCGTCTCATATATTCTGGGAAAGATAGGCCAACACAATGTTGTAATTGCATGCCCTTCGGAAAGATCTAACGCCGCGGCTTGGGTCGCTTCTCAGATCCTCCTCGATTTCCCCCATATTCGTTTCTGTCTCGCGGTTAGTGTAAGCAGCGGCATTTCTACCCTACCTCTCGGAAATATTCAACTCGGGGACATTGTGGTAGGCATGCCTGGTGGCTCTCGCCCTGGAGTCGTACAGTATAAAACTTTCAATGATCAAGATGTCATCAGAGTAAAGGGAAAGGTCAATTTAGCTGCACCACCAAAACCTCTTCGAGCAGCAGTCACACGCCTGAAGAACGCGCATAAGATGGGCAAAGACCACTTCTTGACCTCCCGCTCGCGACCAGTCCCAAATAATCTCCAGTCTTTGCCTTCATCTTCTGAACCAATCTCAGAACATTTCAACGCGAGAGTATATAACCAAACCGCGCAACCCCTTGAAGCAAATTTCCGTCATCAGTGTTTGACAGAGCACTGCAAGCATGTACCAAAAGTGCATCATGGGCTTATTGCGTTGATAACTGAGCTCTTAAATGAGGAGGACTTACGGCGACTCGTCCACAACGATTCAGACGAGTTCCTATGCCTCGAGAAGGAAGTCGAGAGATTTCCAAATAGGTTTCCGTGCCTCTTTGTCCGGGGCATTTGTGACCTTGTTGACTCTCCCTTGCCCACGAAAGAAAAAGCAGAAGCACGAGTATATGCAGCTACTACAGCAGCAACTTATGCTAGGGATCTTCTACTGACACTCCCTGAACACAAAGTCCTTAAAATGCCCTTGGCGAGCAAGGTGATCAATGACTGTAAGTATTTCCTTCTTGCTCTTTGTTTTCGATAATGAAGACACAAAAATGGACTTCAAAGTAATGGATATCTTTCAAAAATTGTAGGGCAACGTGGTGTTTGGCCAATGATTCAACAAGCACAAGTTCGCTCACAACCTCTCCCACGACTTCGCGCGCCAATTCATGCCTTTGTCGAGATGACCCAACCTGTTCTTCGGAGAATATCGCCTCCTCTAACAGATTCTTCTGATCATCAGATCATCCAACCTGTTATTCACGAACTGTCGCCTCCCGAGACGATTCTCACTGATTTCGAGACCGACCTGAACGTTCATAGCATTATTCTAGAAGATTCCGACAGCCACCTATCTGATGCGCTGGATCCTGCGCCGCTGGATACTGTAGCATCAAGAAATTGGGACGGGGACGCAAATGATGGCAAGCCCGTCCCAAATTTGAGAAGGCGTCTGAGGCGTTTAAGAAATAATGTGAGGAGAGGGCGCAAGGTTATCAAAGACAGAGTAATGACTCTGTCCGTAAGGCTGGAAAGAACCCTAACTAACCGTGACGGAAATTAAAGAGATTGATGGAATACTTATTCTATATGTTACGATGTAGCTTAGTGCTGATATTATATTAGAACTTCGGGATCATCAAAGTCATTTCAAAGAAATGAAATATATCTTGTCGTAAATCATCACTCATAAACTGTCATCAACTAAGAAGCCTTCATCCTGGCCCTCAAAATCTCCGCCGCCATCGCAGCCGCCCTTGCTTCTGCTTCAAGTTTATTAACCCCATCCTCTACACGCACAATCTCTTCCTCTGCCACCCGTATGGTACATGTATGCACCATTTCACTCTCCACACTTGGTGCCGTCGCATCCTCCAGCGTGACTACACGCTTCTCAGCACTGGAAAGGATCTCTACCTTCTCCGATCCAGCAGCCTCACGCACCTGATTAAACGGATGCAAACAATCCACTTTCTCCCTAATGATACGTCTCAGACACGGGAGTACACCAATCCTCTCCAAAAACTGGCGAGCGGTATCCAATGAACCCTTCGAATCAACAAAAATAGCGGCCAGGATACTCTCAATAATATCCGAGAAGAATTTGCTAGCATTGATCCGGAACAGGGCGGCCCAAGGGTATGTCTTTGATCGAGCCAAAGCGTCATGTACGGCCGAACCCCAGGCTTCGTAGCGTTTTTTTGTTTCTTGTTGCGCGTTCACAATCTCCCAGGATGCGTCGTGGCGCATTAGTTGCCAGAGATATAGTTTGTGGTCTGTTGTGACGGTAGAAATGTGTGCTTTGCCGGGCGAGGCGGCTTCGGTGCGCTGTTCAGTAATGTAGAGGCGCTGACACAGGAACCCTAAGAAATGGGCGTTTACCACGGCCGTGCGCATTAGGTGCATTTCTTGATGCGAGAGTTTCTCGGGATGATTAAAGAATTCTTGCACGACGAAGTGATCGAGCAAAGAGTCGCCTAGGAATTCTAGGCGTTGGTATGTTAGTGCGCCGTCGTTGGAACATGGGTGCGTCAATGCTTCGAATAAGATGCTGGGTTTGTTGAATTTGTAGCCTAGCATTTCCTGCATTTGCGGCAATTTAGGGTGCAAGGCAGCCTGGTTCGAGTCAGGGGCTACTTCATACAATATGCGCACGTCGTCGCTAATAGAGCTCCATGCTCGTCCCGGCAAGACGATTTGGGCGCATGCTTCTAGTTTCTCATATCCTCCGTCTAGAAAAGCTGCGCCTAGCAAAGATTCGACAACGTCGGCCAATGTCTTGGTAGAAAGCTCACGCTTCTCATCGGGAACTGTCTCGAATTGCGAGACGTAACTAGGTTGCCATTTACGTCCGGTGAATGACTTGGTCAGTATAAATCGATCCAATCCAAGTTCTAGTGCTGTTCTACATAGCCGGCCATTTGATACAATCTTATCCTTTGCAGAGGATAGAAGCCCTTCATGCCAAAGTGGTTTATTGACAACCAAGTGAATGGACGTTATCAACTTCAGCAAACTATCACCCAAAAACTCGTACCGCTGATAATCGTCTTTTTCATGTGCACTCGATGCGCTGATAGCAGTAAGCACGTGAGCTAGATTTGAAAATTTGACTTCCTTGAGCACCGTTCTTGCAAGCCTTTCGGCTATATAGAGCACCTCTATTTTGTGCGTGATTGAAGGGATGAACAGTGCGAATTTGGCGAATTTAGCTGGCATGCGATCGATATGGCAGATGCGGACGGGTTCGAGTTGCTGAGCCGTATGGGCTAATGGGAGTCGTTCAGATTGGGGGATCTGGTGCAAAAAGTCTGTTCGTTTTGGCAGGGTTGTCCCCTGGAAATGTGGTTCGAGTTTGATGGGCTCAATAGTATCAGCTGGGGTATCTGGATCCTGCAGATCGACATCGGTTGATGTTGTTTCGACAATGCTTTTAATAATAAACGGACGTGGGTATCGTTCAGTAGTCCGCGCCAATCCTAGCTCCTGTATCTGCTCTATCGTCAATTGGTTAACTGAAACAGTCAAAGGGCCAATCTTTCCTTTGACAGAGGCAAGGAATTCCTCAACAGGTGATTTGACAGCCTGCGTGGGCCAAAACAATGTAAGGAAATCAACCTCAGACGAATTCATCCTGTTCTGATAAACAGTCAAGAACAGTTCTTGCGTGAACCGCGCCGCTTGTTTTGTATCAAAATCCAACTTCATATCTCTCTGGCTACTGATCCTTGCCTTTAATGTAACATTCTGATTCCAGAAAAGCTCAAACTCCCATCCACACGGAATCCGACTCGGCAATAGTAACGTCATATCAGGTACACTCAGCGAATTCGGTTGCTCAAATTGCACCTTCGTCGGAATGAGAGGAAGATCGTCTCTCCACAGCTGAGCTATATCATGCCAAGGGTTCCAGCACTCAGATACTTGGATGAGTTTTGCCTGCTTTTCCTGCGGAGGAATACTAGAATCTGCATATTTTCTACGGTGAAGAGGCATGAGGTTATCGTCCACCATTCCTGCTTCGTAGAGTGCTACGTATGCCTGGAAGGCGGCGTCCCGTTTGGCTGCTTTTTCGGTCTTCCATGTGGACTTTGAACAGGCAACACGCAAGGATGGATCTAAGTAACTTGGAAGAACAACCTTGGCTGTGATTTGTACGGTTCCGAGGGCCAGTTCTTGTCGGCTGATGATGTATTCTGCTTTATCGGTAGTATAAGCGGATGAGCCCGTGGCGCAAAAGTGAGCCAGGAATGAATGCGCATTCTGGTGGTTCAAAAAAGCCCTATGTCAATAATGTTAGTATCAGTATCATCTTGAATTATAAAAAAAGCTAGACGTACTCTGTCGAGGGAATTTTGAAGATTTCCGCGCTTTCCTCTACAATGTCTTCAAGAGCCTTGATCTCTTCAAGCTCACGCATATTATCTGCGTAAATTTCTTTGAGCTGCTTTTCCATAGATGCCCACTTCGCAAGGCCATCATCGTCATTTTGATCAATAAACAAAACAAATCTAGACTGCCTATCACGAGCTCTGCCTCTCCGCTGGATGAAGGAACGCAGATCCTTCGGAGGATCAAAGCAAATAACCATGTTGCAAGCAGGCACGTCGATTCCTTCCTCGAGGACATTGGTTGCTATCAGCACATTCGTTTTTCCAACTCGGAGCTCGGTCAAAACATCCTTTTGGTCTGATAAAGTGGAGAGCTCTGTGATGGCCGATTTTCGGTTGGCATAGTTTGAGTTTCCGAGGAAATATTTCGTCACGATGTCTTTAGTGAGCGGATGTACGCTCAATATATGTGCCAACATAATGACCGTGGCACGTTGTTCGGCAAAAACAATGACCCTGTACCCAGTATTGTACGTATCTGCAATTGTAGTTATAAGTAATTCCACTTTCTGACTTGTATTGTCAGGAAGACTTCCCCATGTCCTGGTTTCGGCAATAGCCGGCATCATCGAGAGATATTGCATCATATAAGTCTTTTCGGCGTCTTCCCACTGACGGAATATATTGTTGTCGGATCTCTTTACAGACGCTTCAATGAACTTCTCGGCGCATGTCTTTACAAAAACATCTGCGGCCCAGGCGCCGAGCTCCTCGTGGATAACGCGCGCACGTTGCGCGAGAGACAGAATCTCTTTCCTTGTAAAGGTCTTACCGCTATCCAAGATCTTGAGCAGCATGCCTCGGCTCTTCTCATCGTCTTTCTTCGCACGCAGAGATTTGACATAAGGATCGTTCTCGATGTCAGCCAGAGTCATCTGCAGTATGATATCAAGGCTTTTCAAAGTCTGGGTAGTCTCTTCCAAGTGTCTCGAGTATGTGACGACGAACAGCTCTGGTCTATGCGTATACTTCAAGAGTTCCTCGCGTTGAACGACTGGTGTTTTACAGATGGCATGCAAATTGTCTTCCAATATTCTAGAAAAGCGTTAGCGTGTAATCCGTCCCAAATTTATGTACATTGTGTCGAAACTTACTTGACTGCCTCCTTAGTAGCTTTCGTAGCGGGTGTTGCCGTCAAGCCCAGGATGGCCGGTAGTTCATCTACCCCCGAACTTCGAGCGTGATGGAAGAGACGCATGATGCCATTGAAGGGGCTGTCCTTGACACATCTGTGTGCTAATACTCTGTCAGCTCAGGCCTGTAGAAATGACGTATCTTCGATGCACACTCACCCTCATCAAAAACCAACAAAGACAAGCCCGTAAGCTTCACAAAGCCATGGCACATTGCATCCAGCAGTACCTGTGGTGTCGAGATAACGATACGGATATTCAAAAGGATTTTATCCCAGATGTTTTGTGTACTCCAGTGGTCCACATTGTCGCTTCCGAGTAACAGTCTGCTTTGGTAAAGAGGTAGTTGTTTTGAAATGACTGCGTATTGTTGTTCGGCCAAGGCGACTGTTGGTGTTAAGAACCATATCAACTGGCCACAGAAGGTTAGATTTTGAGTCAACAAATCTGAGTGAGAGTGAAATAACGTACCTTTTCCGGTGGACATCTCGATAGTTCCTCTTGTATACGTAGGACAGCACTATGCCAAATATAAGTCAGACTCATATAGTCTTGAGATGTACCTCAATCCAGCCTCACATTTGCGTCTTTCCACTACCAGTATCCATCTTCGTTTTGTTAGTGATCTGTCATGTAGGTAAAAACCGAGGATGACCTCACAGCAATGATCGTATTTTGACGCAAACTCTCAACAAGCATCTCTTGTTGATACGCCCTGGGCTTGATTGTAGTAACAGTCGCAGGCTCGCCTAACGTAGGCGGTGCCTTAATGGCTTCTCTGGGGCTTTCTATGGCCATGTTGGTACAAAAGAGGGCATGGAGATCGACTTCTTGTTCACGCAACGCAACAAGACCTTGCTCAAGGACCTGAACAGATGGAAAAATGCCAAAAAACAAAGATCTGAGATATCATCTTGAGATGAGAAGAACAGATGATCATGTCTAACTGAATGGAATAAAGAACAGCTAAGTAGCCCATGATCAGACCAGCCTTGTCAGTCTACGCCTTGTCAACGAATAAACATGCGAAAAACAGATGTCCGAATTGAGCGACGTGGGGCAGCCAGTTTAGCCCCTCTCAAGATTTAGTCGACTCGAGGCTGATAATATCAGCAGGTAATATAACAAATATGTTCAAGATGATAAGAATGAATAACGGGCGCTTCGAAAGCTTAGTATGGCAGGTGTTGAGTTTATTGACTTTATCTGCGGGAGACTCCTGAACCTTTTTAACGTGGGTGCAGATTGTTACCACTACGGAGGCTGCCATAATTCAACACAGCCTTGACGACTGAATAGGTCGGGAACATCTCTATTTGCAAGGCTATGAGCATAGATTGGATCAAATCCACCCGCACACACTAGACTTCTTCGCATCGATGGTTCGAGTCTAATCTGTTCATCTAGACTAGTCGTTCATTACCAAGAATTGAGGTTGAGGGCGACCCAACTATAATACAATGGCAAGTAGGGGCATGAATTTCTAGCGTTAAAAGACACAGCGCATTTATAGGTTGGTCAAGTAGTCTTCAATCTCCTCCTTGGTGAGCTTTCTAAATCTGGGGCCTCGAGCGCCTTCCAATCCTTGGTAACCGAGTAAATGATCTGCGGGGGGACCGACGATACCTAATATACTCAATTAGTGAATGTCGAAGACAAGCCTGAAAAAGACATACCAATCTCCACGGTATCACCATTCATCTCTCCCTCAATTGTCTCTTTCAAAGTAAGAAGAGCAATGTGAATAGCATCTTCCAACTCTAATCCCTCTGTGTAGCGCTTTTCGAGGAACGTCTTGGCACTCGTTGCACTCTTGCCGATAGCTGTAGCTTTCCAAGGGAAATAACTTCCACTGGGGTCGACCTGGTATAAACTGGGACCACCTTTCAAGATCCCGCCAGTCTTTCCAGTGGCCTTCTTTTCTCCTTCTTCCGTTTGTTCGGCTACCTCGGGCTCGACACCCTCATCCCATCCGGCAATGAGCAGACTGACACCGTATGGGCGAACACCACCGGACTGTGTGGCTTCTTGGACGATACGGGCAACGTCTTGTACTAATATACGGGTCGGAGGGTACTCGTTATAGATACGTTTGTAGCCGGTGTGCGAGACCTTGCGGGCCTTGTCGACGAGAACTCGGTAGTCGGGGCCCATGCCGGCATATACCATTCCAATATCGGGGGTGACCAAGGAGATTTTGGAGAGCGATGGGGCTTCGATCAGGGCGGATGACGATTTCTTTTCTGTGGCTAGGACGACGCCATTTGTAGCTGGGTTGGTTAGCCGGAGGTTCTGATAGATCGATCGCAACTGATCATACCTTTGATGCCAAGCGCAGTGACGCCTTGGTTGACAGCATTCAAAGCATATTCTGTACAGATTAGACCTGGTAGACAAAAGATAGAGCGAAGGTAAATACCAATCTGAACCAGCTTTCCACTGCGATGACTGTTAGCATGCTTTCATTATCGAAACCAAGCTAGTTGCTTGCTTACCTGGGAGAGAAAGTGGTGAGGGAGAAGGAATATCGGTCCGCCATGGATGGATAATATTGTCTGAAGCTTCGGTGAGATAATAAGGGGTCGAATATACGGATTAGATGCGCAGAGAGGATGAAGTGATGTAAATGGAAGCTTCAAGATATCGATGTGCTGAGACGGAGCTGCCTTAGAGATGTTGACGCGGTAAGACTAAGCACCAAGGCGGTCAGTCACGCTACTACGTATAGGGCTTAGCGTGTTGGAGCTCCAGCACAAAAGCCAACTTCAACTTTTATCTTCTTTTGCTTTCTATCTTTGAACGAACTGTTCAATCTGGTACACAACATACTTTACGAAAGTCTGCTGAAGCAAACTTTGCATCCACTATATACTATCTTTTATGTGAGATAAGGTGGTAACAGCAATAGATGAGATTACAAATACATCCACTCCGGACGTGCTCGGTATAGTTTCAACTTGGCGTCCAACCGACAACATGTTTGCTTCGTCCTCTGGGAGGTCACCAGCTTGGACATGGCCAGAAGATCTCCCAAGCTCGACGCCGGGCACTTTTCCTGAGCCGCAGCAGAAAGAGCCTGAAGCTACCACAAGCACAGAGAGTACTGAAAGTACAAGCACCTCAAACCATAGGCCCCAACGTCACTACCCCCCGCGGACGTGTCGGATATGCTTAGAGACCGTCTATCCAACATCGGAAACTGAATCACAATACTTACCTAGCATGCTTCAATCGAAACCGCGCATTATTTACGTATCATCCGATCCAGAACTTGGCCGTCTTTTACGACCTTGCAAATGCAAAGGGTCTTCGGCTTATGTGCACGAAGGCTGCTTACAATCTTGGCGCCACGCCGATCCATCCTATGGAGAACGCAACTACTGGCAATGCCCGACCTGCGGATTCAAGTATCGTTTCCAGAGAGTAATCTGGGCTCGCTGGATTACAAGCACTGTAGCGCAACTTATTCTCACCTTTTCAGTTTTGCTGTTTACTATCTTTGTACTCGGTTTTTTTGCTGACCCTATTATCAATCTCTACCTGGATCCCGTCGAGACCATTATTGGCTCTGAATTTTGGGAAGAAACTCACGTGCTGGATGTGCCAGATTTAGGTGAAGAATCAACTTGGTTGGAGCATTTTCTCAAGGGGTTTGCCTCTCTTGGAGTGTTGTCTGTTATCAAAGCGTTTTTAGCATTGTCTCCTTGGCGTTGGTATTTACGGGGGTCTGGTTTGATCAGTGGAGGACGGAATACAGGCCGTCAGCGTGTTGCCTCTATCAACTGGCTGGTGATATTGTTCGGGGTGGTCACATTTCTAGTGGTGAGTTTCTCGGTCTCTGTCCAACCTGCAATCACTAATCGGCTGTCTTTAGGCTGTCTATAAAGGTGTCCGTCAATTAGTTCGCAAAGCTTTACAGAGGGCTGGTGAGCGAGTCCTTGATGTACAAGGCGACGAGGATGGTGACGATGTTGATGAAATGCCTCCTGACCACATAAAAAAGGAGGATTAACCACAACATGATTCGACTGATTTGCCTCGAATCCCGCACTACTTAAGTTGTCACGATCCTTTTATGACGTGCTGATTAGTCAATGTGCGAAGATCTACTGTCCCTTCATCATCTCTTGGCCTGTCCGAACAAGTCTGCACGTTATGTGTTAGACTCAACAACTTCGGATGTTGGCCTCGAGGAAGGACTGGCCGCGTGCTGATTCACTAGACAATGTGTGACTGTGACTTGTTCATGGTCTACAAAGGCTTCTGTCTGATTGGGGCGCGGTAAATATCTGTACATCTATCTGTATATAGCTTTCAATCGAATCGCACTCGACTCTATCCATTCTCATTCGTGGCTAACGACTAATTTACTCAACAGAAATTTTATGCTCTATCCACGTGCACATCTCTAGTTACACAAAATACGCCCTGAGTGCCTGATCGAAGGCATTCACAGAGTCTGGAACAGTGCACGGACAAGAGATTTGTTTGTATGCCATTCCTCACCAATCAGCGTCCGATCTGTGCACTCACGTGAAAGAATCATCCCAAACAAGTAATGCGCCTCTATATCTTTCACATTTCGGACCCTCTGATTGGTGCGGTGTGGGCCAGGCGGTGTTCTCAGCGTAAACCCTTTTAGGAAGTCCTTCCTGTCTATAAAGAGCCAGACAAGCCCTAAATCAGAGGCAGAGGTTTCTGTTACTATAAAGATGCACCAGGGCAACAAGCGAGCGATTCCTGGCACACTTCATTCTTACAACACCACATCTTGCCTGTACTCGCTCATGACTCCGCCATTCTGCAACATGTCCAGCTTCATCGACTCATGGGCGTTACTCCCATCAAGTAGAGATGGGAGTAACCTGTCCACCCTAGTCTCTTCCTCTTATTCTCTGTCGACTCTTTCCATTTTCTTTCTTCCTCTTCTCATCCCTGCAGAACTTGGATCGACTTTTTGTTGATCTCTTCTCTGAGTTGAGACGAGATTTTGGAGACAAAAATCAATTCAGAAAACGTTAATAGTTGGACAGTCTTGAGGACTCGACTTAGCTGATATTGGGGGTCTTTGTTATCTTGGTCGGCTGGTCATAAACGTGACTTCCCTGTTGGGATGATTTTGTCTCTCAAGCACACTCTGCAGGAAACCGATTTGATGAACACCATCTTCAAAACGACGCCTGAACAAGATGGAGCAGTGTCAGTATGGTAAGTTCACAATATTCAGCAGGAAATTTTGACATGGTCGTGACAGACGTCAGACGTGGATGGCTCCTACCGTGACTTGACTCGATAGCGACCTGAAGCTTCAAGCTAACATCTGTAGAAATGGAACAACTTCAACTTGATATCAGCAATGACCATCTCGATTGCTCAGGCTCAGGCTCAGAGAGTGATAGCACAGTCGGACCATCTCCACGACGTTCGTCCACTCGAAGCAACCCATTCGACATCGAATTGCCTGACGACTTTGCTCCTCGCTCACTAGAATGGTTTCTCAGTCCTCGCCCTGACCCCAAAAAACCAATTAGCATGTTCTGGTCTGACCCTGCTGGTTACTACGCTCCTCCTACTTCATCACCAGTTACAGAGATAAACGATGAACAGTCAGAGCCAGGAAACGTAAAATTGGGCACAATGGGCAGTCTGGAGCAGTGGTTTGTCCCTCGTCGCAGAGCTAAGACTGATAGGCCAAATTGGACTATCGGGGCACCGCTGCCTGATTTGGCCTTTCGACGAGTTTCCCTCAATGCTAGTGATGTTTCTCAATTTCAACTCGCTCGCCCGCCAACCCCCCCTCGCAAGCGCTCTCGATACCCAGACACGATGAGCAACAAGCCATTGCCCCCGCTTCCTCCTCGACGCTTTGTGTCAGAAGGTAATGCGCCATTGCTTTCTGCTCATCCTCGATCTCGAAGCATCCCAGAGTTTGCTCTGAGTCGCTGGAGTGAGAGTTCTGAGTCTGACAACGCCCCTGAGGAAAAGGCTCAGTCAGTCGCTGATTCTCATCTGGAAGCCCCTCAAGAGTCAGAAGTCAGAGCTCCAGAAGCTATGAACGGTGAATCTGTTGTTGAAAATACTCTTTCCACTGGTCCTCATCTCCTTGTCCGTCTGAACCAGTATCAGGAGAACCAGATGGCAGCTGTCACTCAGATGGAAAACACTTTGTCCAATCCTCACATCCCAGACGCTCTTCGTGAAAAGTTCATGGGTTGGTCTCAGCAGCTAATTGACCTCGACTGCCCTTTTCGCGTCAAAGTTCAGCCTGGTGTCCTTGAAGAAGTCAAGGTGACTGAAAAGGATGCTCATCGTGTTGTTGACTGGGCCATCGAAGTTGGGACCGAGACCAACTCCATCCATGATCAGATCAACACCTATATGAATGCAGCTGACTTGGTCATTTGTGATTTGAGAGAGATGTCTGCTGGAGTCAATATGCACAACGGTTCTCTTTTGCCTGTCGAGGAGTTGTACCACAAAATGACCGACATCGTGCGCAAGTAGGTTCCTCACTCATGCTTTATTCAAGTATGTACTAATATTAGGGTAGGAGGTGTCGCGCCCCACGACTTCACGAAGTCTTGCTGCTTCGAAGCTTTCTGAATCTCTACGAGCACCTCCTCTACACTCCCTTCCAGAAAGTCAAGGACCGCGTCAAGGTCGTCCACGACACTTACCCACACAACCCTGTGTCCATTGCACTCAACATCGACACTCCTCTCTCCCTGCTCAAGCGTGTCCTCGACGCAGCCTACATTGCACATGGCGAGTACACGGCTCTTACTCATCGTATGCGTCAGGAGTTCTTCGTACCTATCGAGGAGCGTATTCCGGGCGTCAGCTCGCGTACTGATGGGTACTTGAACAATGTTGTTGGTCCTGCCAATGTTATTTGATCAGTTACGACAAAGTTTTCAAAAAGGTATATTTATGTACCAGCGTAGGGGAAGGTCTGCAGTACTTCATTCAGAAATAACAGGTAGTACCGAGTAATAATGCCAATTAATCTCAATCTTCAAAATACAGATTCATAGTCATATCATTATTTTATTCATGTTAAACTTAATACAATACCTCACAATCTAATTACTATATGCGCCCCCTTTTTATCTTCCTTTCTATCACCGTCAAGGGAAATCTAGACATGCAACTCCGCAATTTCCTTAACAAGACTCTTCTGATAAGGCGCCAACGCAGCCTTAACTTCTGTATCCACAAACTTGTCAACCTGCTGCGGCGCACGACCGATAAATGTGCTCGGATCGAGCAAGGAATCAAGTTCAGCGATGATAGGCTCGAAAAAGGGTGTACGACGGATGCGCTCGATGAGGTCGTTGGATTTGCCTTGTTTTTTCACGTTGTCTGAGGCTTGGTGGGAGAGGACTCCTATATTTCCAGTAAAAGGGGAGGTTAATTAAAAGGTTGGGATAGGGGAGGGAAAGGGCAACGTACGGATTTCTTCGTGGGCGTCTTGGCGGGAAAGGCCTTTGGCGACGCAGGCCATGATAATCTGCAAAGAGTCATTCAGTATATGGTTTGAAATTTGAAGTACAAAAAAAGAGGGAGTGCGTACATTTTCGGTGGCCATGAAGGGGAGCTCTTCCTGGACGCGACGGCGGATGACTTCGGGGTAGACGACGAAGCCGGATGTGACGTTGTCTATACACGATTATTAATGACGGAATTGAGATGCGAGAAGAATTGGACGTACTAAGCAGAATCAAGCAGGCGTCTGCGCACAGGTAGAGTTCCGGAAGACTGATACGACGGATGGCGCTGTCGTCCTGCGGGTTATTAGTCTCTATTCGAAACCTTGAAAGAATGAAACGTACGAGAGAGCGCTCAAACCACTGCGCAGAGTAAGTATCTAAAGCATCCTTGGGCAGATTCTGGAGGTGTCGACCAAGCGAGCACAGACGCTCAGATCGCATGGGGTTTCTCTTGTATGCCTGCTCCAGTCAGTACGGCCTATATAGGGAATTTTTTCTTCCGAGGGAGACAGAAACAGACCATCGCACTACTTCCAATCTGGTCCTTCTCAAACGGCTCCTCAACTTCCTTGAGCATGGCAAGATGGCGAATATCGCCTCCGATTCTCTCGCAGGTAGATCCAAACGAGCCTAGAGCGTTGGCGACATCGACGTCGATTTTGCGGGAGTATGTCTGGCCAGAAATGATGAATGCGGAGTCGAAGCCGGCTTTTTCGGTGACGAGTTCGTCGAGTTTTTCGACTTTAGCGTGGTCTCCGTTGAAGATTTCTTTCGAGGATTTAGCTGGTGTAATGTTTTATCCGTTGGGTGAGGACTCACGCAGAAAAGATGCTTGAGTACCGGTAGTACCCTTGACACCACGGAAACGGAGATCCTTCCTGGCTCGCTCTAAATTACGCAGATCCATCAAGAGATCCTGAAGCCAGAGAGCAGCTCGTTTACCAACAGTAACCAACTGAGCGGGCTGACCATGCGTAAATCCCAAACAAGGCAGATCCTTATACTCCTTCGCAAACGCAGCAAGCTTATCAATAACGGTCGCCAATTTGGGAATCAAAATATCCAATCCGTCCCTCAAGAAGATCAGATCCGCGTTGTCGGTCACGAAGCAGCTGGTTGCGCCGACGTGAATCATTCCGCTGGCTGCAGGGGCAACGTCGCCAAAGGCCTTGACGTGGGCCATGACATCGTGGCGTCGGCGCTTCTCTTCTTCGGCGGCAACGGCGAACTCGTCGTCTTGGATGATGAGGTGGGCTTTCATTTGGGTGATTGCTTCGTCGCTGATGGGGAGGCCAAGCTCTGTTTTGCGTTAGTATCTCACTCGCATTACGAATTGGTTCGAGTGAGGACAAATACCCTTCTCAGCTTCAGCGAGCCATGTCCACAATGATCGCCAAGTTGAGAATCGGTTGCGAGGAGAAAAGAGATATTTCATCTCATTGCCTGATCTGCTTTTAGTCTTCCGGGTTCGGGTTCGTCAATTGATGGAACGAGTACATACTCGAGTAACGCGAGTTGAGGGGCGTTTGGTACACATCGTTAGACGCCATTGTGAATCAATGTGCGTGAAATAAATCTATACAGTGATACAAAGTAGAACTGGAGTGTAGTGAATAGAGAGAAAATATTTGAGCGAACTCGGAATTGGCGGGGTGTGGGGACGGTCGAGGCCCGCTTATCGGCTTATCGAAGCTACGATGGGGGCGCATCATGTGTAGAGCAGATTTTTACCATAGACACTTAGCAAGTAGAAGAAATCTATTCTATTGATTAAACATTACTAGCACAACGCAGCAAGCTGCGCTGAGAATGCCGCCTTGTCGTATTTCACATATTTCCCTCGTCCCTTGTCAATCTCATGGTACCGGTCATGGAAACGTCCATACAGCGGCTCCAATACTCCCTGCACCTCGCGCCCAAGCGCTCCGCGTACTTCACGCTCCATATGAAGCTGTCGGTGTTGGGTAACCAAGCTGTCAAAAGTGGCATTGAATGACTTGAACTTCTCCTTGATTGCGTCTTTGTCTTTGGAAGACAGAGACTTGACGACTTGCGCAGAGTCTGTCTGTTGGGTAGATGACGGCCGAGGCCCTCCTCGAGAAGTATACTGCACATCGAGGAGATATTGGTTCGTCTCGCGCCAGGCTTCGAGATACGCCGATGTACCGCGTTTGCGGAAAGCGTCAATCCGGGCAATGCTGTCAGGACTTGCGAGATATCTCGAAAGGTCTGAACTAGAGCGTATAGATCGGTCGACAACACAAAAGGTATTCGAAATAAACACTCCCAAAACTGCTTTTGAACGGTAAGTCGCCCGGCCACGAGCTTCCAAGGAGTTCATAAGTGCCTCAACCATGTCAAGAATAAAGTGTGAAAATAATGTCTGGCTGTCTGGGCTGACATCCAATGGAGTCGTGCTGGCAGATTGAGACTTATTTCGCCAATTCCCGTCGCCCAAGGACGTAAGAATAGAAGCCAAAGGTCCAGAATAGCCCGTCAATGTTGTCAAAGAACTCATCACCTCATTCACCAACGGAACGGTCCCGCCATCCGGTGGTAGAACTGTATATGCGGCTGCCTTCTTTCTAGTTTCTTCCAGAAGCTCTGATAATGACGATTTTGCTGTTTCGCGGATCGGCCGTAGAGCTTCGATGAACAAACTCTTGAGTTCGCCGGTTTTGGCGTCAATTCTATATGACATTGCAGTCACAATCTCGATAATCTCAAACGCAAGGAAGCAGTCCGTCATCAGATTGGCCTTGATATACTGATTGAGCTCTCGCAGTGTTTTTGAGAATTCGGCCAAGGCTGACCGACACGTAGCCTGTAATGCTCGTCCTTGGTTTTCACCTGTATATATCTGCACGATGGCGTCGTGCTCGACTACAATAAAACCCTCTAGTGCACTTGAATAAACTCCAATTCCATTTGTGCCTTGCTTATACGGTCCATCCCCAGCGCGGCGTTTCGCTGTGCTGATCGACGCCATTGCAAGATTCTGCAAGCTGGATGTGATGTATGGCCCGCGTGTTTCGGCGTAGATAGCTACAGCGGGATCTTCTGGACCGCGTTGTGGTAATTGAGCAGCGGCGGAGGTAATGGCATTCGCAATTGGCGCGAGTTCGGCAATGGTTTCTTCGGGTATCGAAGGAAAGGGTAGCTCTATAAATCATGATCAGTAAAAATATGTCGAGGCTCGTTTTTCGAATATTAAAGCTCACGCTTCGTAAGATAGTGTAATGGCTCGATTGTTTCGATGTTTTGCTTGAGCATTGACCGAAATAGATCCTGTAATTTCTGGCTGCCAAAGCTGAGCAGTGATGTAAATTCTGTAATAGCTTGCTGATTTGACTTTAGATTGGTGGAGTTTAGATTCTGTAGAGCGTAATCGATTCGTTTTAAGGCAGCAAGGTACTGTGATAAACCTGCACTTTGGGGACTGCGGGGGAAGTCAGCTCAATCCAAGCATTTCTTGTTATCAGTCCTACCCAGCCCGTATTATTCCCTCCTCTTTGCCTTTTGCATCTAGTGGCTTGCGGAGCTTGTCGATTGCTTCGATCACGCGGTCGATGTTGCTGTTGGTGATTTGCAGCGTCTGTGTATTGCTGTAAATCGGACCGATTGCATCTTTGACCACTTTTCCGCTGGTTTCTAGCCGATCGAGAGACCCTTGAATCTTTTTCGTTAATATCTTGAGTTTGTCGAGATTGGCGTAGAGCACCTCGACCTCAGCGCTCTCCTCGGCATACGTGGTGTTCTTGGTGCCCACCATGATGCCTAACGGCGCCAGTCATGAATGACCTTATAAATTGCGTAAATGAATAAGTGAGTAAATAACAGAATGCCAATATCAGCGGAAACGCTGAGTAACAATAAATGAGCGATATCAATGTGAATATAGGCCAAGGAGAGAGCCGGGGAGTCCGTGTACATAGAGACGGCGCTAGGCTGACTCGGGCCTAGAGCACCTTCCCAACGATCGATCCAACGGCTACTCGATGATAACGTCATGGATCGCCAGGGACAAGAAAAAGACGCCGCAGCCACTGGGCTTGCTGTTCTTGTCCTCTTTCTTTCTGTATCGCTATACTGCCACTGCCACCATGCAATAAATGACCCTGTCCTCCAATCTGCCATCAATCGTCCCTGTGCGTTACACAATGCACAGCGCAGCGGCCTTGCGCTTGCGTTGGGGTGTCCCACCCGCGTTCCTCGCTGCTTGGGGTAGCTGGAATTATACCAGTCGCGACAGCTTGCGTGCTGACGGCTCTTCACGGGCTTGGAATCAGAAACTGACTTATTCTACGCAGCAAGCTCAACGCAAGAATGAAACCGAAATCACAAATACGACCTCAGTCAATGCCCAGGAGGCTCAGACGGCATGGGCATTGTTCACGAAAAAGTTCGCCGTCGCCAGAGATTCCTTTGCGTCAGTGGAGCTAGGAAACATTGGCGACAACATCAAGAATTTCATACTCCCAGACTGGGCACGATTCCTTCCCGCTACCATTCAGAAGCTACAGCGGGAATTGTCCATGGCCCCTGGTTCGCTCGCTGACGACATATGGAAGGAAGCCCACGACCCGGACATCAACCCGGAAATTGCTATCGAAGCGAAAGTGCGAGTCGGGGATACTCTTTGCCCGGAAGAAGTTCGGTTCCGCGAGAAGCGACAAAAACACGTCGTCAAGGCATTGGCAAAATACCTAGACCTGAATGAAGAAGATATTCACCCTGACGATGTACCAGTCATAGCCATGTGCGGCTCGGGTGGAGGACTGCGAGCTCTTGTTGCCGGATCAGGATCTTATCTAGCTTCACAGGAAGCTGGACTTTGGGATTGCGTCACATACACTGCCGGTGTCAGTGGGAGCTGCTGGCTACAAACTCTCTACAACTCATCGCTAGGGAACTGTGACTTTGACAGACTGGTAGGACACTTGAAGAGTCGATTAGGAGTGCATATCGCTTTTCCGCCAAAAGCACTCAATTTGTTGACTACAGCTCCGACAAACAAATACCTCCTCAGTGGGTTGGTTGAAAAGCTAAAAGGTGATCCCGATGCAAATTTTGGTCTTGTCGATATCTATGGGCTGTTGCTCGCAGCACGACTACTTGTGCCCCGCGGCGAACTCGATGTCTCGGATAGAACTCTGAAGCTTTCCAATCAAAGAGACTTCGTCCAAGATGGAAACAATCCTCTTCCTATCTACACTGCAGTTCGTCATGAAATTCCTGTACCAGACGACACGAAAGGACGCCGAGCCGTGGAAAAAGTAAAAGAAGAGGCTTTGAAAGAGGCATGGTTTCAATGGTTCGAGTTTACTCCATATGAGTTCTTCTGCGAGGAGTTTGGCGCAGGCATTCCCATGTGGGCTGTTGGCCGACACTTTTACGAAGGAAAAGATCAACCTCCCAACATAAATCCAGTTCCCGAACTTCGAATTCCCGCCTTGATGGGTATATGGGGTAGTGCCTTTTGCGCGACGCTTGCGCATTATTACAAGGAAGTCAGGCCGGTTGTCAAGGGTCTTGCTGGTTTCGGAGGTATCGACTCGTTGATCGAAGGAAAAAGTGATGAGTTGATCAAAGTTCATCCATTTGATCCTGCATCAATACCCAACTATATCCTGGGAATGAAAGGAAAACTTCCATCAACTTGTCCAGAATCTGCGTTAAGCGACCCCCATTTACAGTTAATGGATGCTGGAATGAGCAACAATCTCCCAATCTACCCGCTGCTTCGTCCGGGACGAGACGTCGATATCATCGTTGCATTCGATGCGTCTGCAGATATTAAACAAGAGAACTGGCTGGCTGTTGTTGATGGCTATGCACGACAACGGGGTGTCCAAGGGTGGCCTGTCGGAGCCGGTTGGCCACCAGCGGATCTTCAACCAGAGGAAACTGCAAATATGATCAGCGAAGTGAACCAGCTGAGTGAATCAAAATCAGACGAGAAACTCCACGAGGCACAAGAACACGATCCAAACAGAAATAATAGAGACAGCCCTCTTTCAGACACACTCATGAAGTCTGATGCCCGCTACGATAGTACATCAAAAAAGTCCGGAAGTTCTCCTAGCGACTTGACGTACTGCAACGTCTGGCTCGGCACAAAACAAGAGATGACATCCAAAAAGGAGCCTCCATCATCAAAGCGATTATTCCACCCCAGTCACGGTGACGAGAACAACTCAGACTTCCACCTAATGCAACCCGACGCCGGAATTGCAGTCGTCTACTTCCCACTCCTGCCCAACCCGTCCGCTCCAGACTACAAAACCCAAAGCATAGACCGCTCACAAATCGCACGACCACGCAAATCAACAACCGCCAACGACGATGTCGTCGTAACGACAAAGCCAAAGCCTAAACCAAACTCTATCAACCCGGATGTCGACGATTTCTTATCTACATGGAACTTCGTCTACACCCCGGAACAAATCGATTCCGTCGTTGGACTCGCAAAGGCCAATTTCGCCGAGGGCGAAGCACAAGTTAAACGCGTTGTGCGCGGTGTATACGAGCGACGGAAACGGGATCGTTTGCAGCGGGAGAAGCTTGCGAAGGAGGCAGAGGTGGATAGACGGGTTGATGAGTTGAAGAGGCGGCATGAAGGGTTTACGCCGATCTATTAACCTTGGCAGAAAAGAGTTGAATGTTTTATATACCCCCTACGATATTTGGATGTGTGTTGTCTGTATTTCGTGACATCCTATTTGCATTGGCAGATTGCTTACTTTCTTTGATTTCTTTGATCTCTCTTTGGATATATATAGACGCATTTCGATGGGGATGTACAGTGTCATAGTAGATTGTTGTTAGACTAATAAACCAGACAGTGTTTCAAGGCATGTTATATAGATGTATTCATTTATCTCATCTAGATAATTTCAACATATTAACTATTAAAAATCACAGATCCTTCGCCGTGCTCGTGTTCGTGCCGCCATTTCCCTCCCGATCCATACACGATTTGACGCCTTCCATATCACTCTCATTTCCATTTCCATTCTCGTCCTTCGCTTGCTCTTGCTCGTTTCGTCTATGTTGTGAAGGGGGCGACGACAAATCCTCGGCACTGCTATTCGCCAAACTCACCTCTGCACTGGCAGCAGTCTGTTTCCGCAGTCCCAATTCTCGACGGACGCGTTTCACGGCTGACGTTACGGCTGCGGCTGTTGAGGCTGATGCTTGTGCTATGAATGGGTGTGTTGTGCCGTTCAAAGCTTCCTCTTCCTCTTCCTCTACCTCGGCCTCAGTAGAAGAGGGCGGATGCTCACTCCCAGGGTGCCGACGCACAGGCGAAGCGGTCGGATTAACAACAGTCTTATGCCCCTCAAACCCCATGCCCGGCTCATCCTCCCTCACCACATTCTCACCATGCCAATCCGCCGCATGCGATTCCTGCACTGGCTCGCCCGGCTTCGGCAACGTCACAACTCTCTCTTCTGGCAACTTCGCAATCTCCGCGGGCTCCTGTTTACCTTCTGCGGCGAGTTGCTCCTTTGATGCGTAGCGCCAGACGACTTTCACTTTCTCTAGAGCTTTAGTGCCTTTGCTGCTGCTACCCTTAATGCCGTCGAGGGCTTCCCAGTCACATTCGAAGATGCCGGAGTCGTGTTTGTCGCCCCCTTCGAAGTATGCGTTGAACCAGACGTGTGCGATTGACGTGACGACTGCCCAGCCGGTATAGGCGGCTTTGATGCGGCGCTCAAAGTCTATGTTGACGTCGGATGTCGGCAGGATGACGGGTTTGTCGGGGCGCAGGATTGCGGCTGAGATTTTCTTGTTGTTTTCGCCGATGTTCTTGGATGTGGACGTTGATGATGTGAAAGTCATGGACGGTTGTTGAATGATGGTTGCGGAGTTTGCGGATGAGGATGGTGACGGTGACGGTGATGAGTTGGCGGCTCTTTCTTTCTTCTCCAATCGCTCTTTGGCAATCAGATCGTCATGCGGCAAGGGTAAAGCAGTTTTACCGTCATCAATGACGATGCGCTCTTTCCGTCTGAAAAGATGGAAACATTTAATCTTCCTGCCCTCATCAACATACCCTTCTAAGGCAATCTTGACGCCATCCCTCAGGCCCCATACATGCACTTCCAGAATTTCGACCGGCCGCTCAACATAGACCTTGCCCATATCATTTGCCCACCTATTGACATATCCCACCCATCGAACCTGACTGGGTATACTAACCCCATCACCAAACCCAACCCTCATCCTCCTCTCCGTAAACCGTTGCATCGCATCCTCCATCTTCCATCCCTCCTGACTGATCAGATAACTACACGCCACCGAACCACTTCTTCCCTTTCCAGCTTTGCAATGAACAACCGCCACCCTCTTCTTTTTCTTATTACCCCCTGCCTCGTTGGGGGTCTCTTCATTCAACCAATTGCGCATACTCGCCATTATAGCAGGTATCAACGCAAACGGGGGCGGATGATGATCCGGCCATGGAAAATGATGAATTCGTCCATAGACCTCTGAATCGGGGTATCCCGTCCCTTCTGCTCGAAACTCCCAGATCGCCCAGTCGGTGTCGTGTTTGCTATCTAGGAAACGAACCAGAGCGTCGGTGGGGTTGCGGTAGGCGCGTTTGGGGTATTTGGATGAGGGGCCGGATGTTGCGATTACTGTTGAAGTTAGCAAGACGAAGTTAAGATATTGTAGAAGGGAGGGGGTTGGCGTACGGAAATCAGTCACATAGCACAGATCCAAGCCCGCTTCGGGGTGCTGTAGGCGCGGTCCAGCAACGATTTGGCGGAGCAAGGATGCCTATATAACATCGCAAATATGTTAGACTCGTCAATTCTTTGTTGTGAATTGTATCAATTGGTGAACTATACCATGATGCTCGGATCACTCCCTGAGCGAAATGTGGTCGTCGGAGAATAAAAGTGTCACTTGCATAACACAGTCATGTCACTGCGTACAACACGTCTCAGACAATCAAAACTGAGGTTTCTATGTTTTAATGCAGTAAAAAATGATTGCAAGATAGAAAATTGCGTCAACTGCCGTTCATCTTTGTGGTCGATGTGCTCGAACTCTGTCGTAGAGATGGAAAGGATGTTGTAGACACTAGATGATGTCATTGGGAAAGCTAAGCCTCTGCGTCACATGCAAACACCACAAAACATACACCTACGTGTTTGGTTTAACAGAGAAGATGTGCGTTGTTATTCTTATATATTTACATGTTCTAGCTTATCGCGAATCTGTTCTTCAACCGTCTCGCTCAATTCCCAACCATGCGCTTTGAGATCAGCTAGATACTTCTCCGCCGAATCTCTATTTCCAGATTCCAAGCAGATGAGAATCAAAGTTTCCAGCGTTCTTTGATCAGGAGGAACGTTCAGACCCGCCATCTCCTTGGCGAAGAACGTGCATATATCTGGTCTGCGGGTTTGATGGCATATAGAGAACAGATGGTTGAACGTGTCGGTGTTGGCGCCGCTGGTGCAGACATCGAAGAGGTCCTTGTAGATAGACACTGCAACGTCAATTGCTCTGGATGCTGAAAAGGAGTCTCCTTTGAACAGAGTCCCGATGTGCTCTAGGACTATATTTGCTAAGTTTATTGGTATTCCGAATTCTTCGTTCCCCAATTGACGGATTTCTTTCCATACGGTCGTTGGATCGCTAGAAGTAATCTCCATAGACTTTAGTATCGGCTGTGCCGACTCGGACTCGATGAGTATGTTGTTCTTATGCATCTGACAAACAATCCCTAACGCAGACTTTATATCTGCATTGCCGGCGTACACTTGCACCAGCTTCCCATACTCATACGTAGTCAAATGCGCCTGTAACGTCGACAAATGCCGAAAAATAGCCTCCGCAAGAATGGCATCGCCGTGTTGTGCCGCAAATCCAAGCAAATCCCGACAATCCGCAACACTCAACTCTTGGTATCCCAAATCCACCGAATTCTTCCACACATATTCCACTGTCTCGAAATGCGACTTCCTTATCGCAGCTCTTAGCAAATACAGCCACATCGCTGACGATATAGACTTGGCCTTATTTGGTCTCGATCGTATTAGCCGTAGCGCTTCGGAGAATTCATTGGCGTCGCATAGTTTGTAGACCAAGAGACTATGTAGCCATTGCTCCAGGAGTATGCCTTTTCGTTCCATCTGGTCAAGTCGGTCTAGAGCGAGCTCTAATTGGTTTTCGCGTAATAGACCGGCTATTACGTGGTGCCACCCGGCAGGACTGAGGGAGAGCCATCGGGCGCGGAGGGCTTCGATTACTTCTTGTCGAAGGAGGTAGTCAGGATGGACTGCGAGGACCTTTTATAAAACGTTAAGGATGCTCTTCCGACTCTTACACGAAAAAGGCAGGACATACCTCTAAAGCAGCATGAAGCGTGGCGGAGTCAGCAGTAATTCCCTGCTCCGCCATTTCCTGGAGTAAACTCTGAACATTTTTAGCGGACCCATGTTGTCGGTCAGTATTTGTGAGCAAATATGCTTTGTAATGTCGTGTTGTAGGAGTAACGCGATGTCTTTGGAGCAATTCTTTGAGGATAGCGACGGTTCTGGATACATCAATTCGTCCCCGAGATGTCGACTGTTCGAGTTGTGCTTCTAAGTCGCCGATTGACTGCGACTGTAAGTCCGTGAATTTGCGCGAAGGTAATTGATTTGGGTGTGAGGAATCGTTTTGTGCTGAATAGCTATTTTCGTGTTTCTGTCGTTCACCCAGCGGAACTCTCGTCGATGCGGTAGTTGATGGGGAAGTTAGACATCTCCGGGAAGTTTCTCTGGCTGCTTTGAAGGGTCGGATCGAACGGTGCAATTGAAGAGGTCGATATGACGGACAGAGACAATACCAGAGCCCGTCAACTACAGGAGGCGAGAGGCGCATGTTCTGGCGGATTGTCGAATGATAGATTGTCGCCGCCGGAGCTTTTGAAGCTCAGAAAATGCGACTATAGGTCACGTGATGTAATCAAATATCAGTCTTTTGTCTTTCATTAGAGCTCAGTTATAGAAGTGTTTTAATTGTTTAACAATTCATTTTATTCTTTTTTTTATCTTTTTCCTCTTCCAAGAATACAGATCCTAAAGACCTCCTTAATCCAGCCTCACCAACTGTAGCCAAAGGACGCCGACGCCATGCATGAGAAATTTCGGTCACAATAGTCTGGCAAGGACACCGGAAATCTTCTTTCGAGAAAAAAAGATGGGGTATCTCCGTTGTAGTGTTGCTGTCATATAACTTCCAACATCACTTTCTTTCAACCACCGCGACCACGACCACGGCCTCGCCCACCTCGCCCGCCACGACCTCTATCTTTACCATCGCCTCGTCCACCACGACCGCCACGACCGGAAGGTTGGTTCTGTTGCTGTTCTTTGACGATATCGAGGATTTCCTCGGGAACTCGGAGGTACTTTATCTATATCACGGACTTGGATTAGCTCGGAATCTCCTCACCGGCGCAATCATGATACATACATTGTTACCTCTCACGTAGACCTCTGGTAGTCTGAAAAAGCGATCGCCTTCCGGGGTGGTTTGGACAACTTCTTTTAGTGTTAGGTTCATCCAGTTGTCGCAATTGACGAGATGGCCGTTGAGTGTTTCGCCATTTTTGAGTTCGACCAGCATTGGGTGGCCTTGTGCGGCCGTCAGAAGACCGAGAGGCAACTATAGGCTCATTATTATCTATCCCTGCATCGTAGAACATTCATTGCGACCAGGTTGCTCCGGCGCAAAGTACACGTACCATTTCAGAACCGCACAACTAGGACAGGATGTTTAGATGACGTGAGAATCTCGCACTGTCAAAGGCGACAACAGCCCTGATAGAATTAAAGTTGGTCGTGAGGTCCCACTGGTCGAGAAACACCTCTGATGTGGCGTGCGAACAGTGTTGAGGCAGTATCGTGGTTTTAGCTTTGACGACGTCAAGCTCAACGATAATTGAGGCAGCTGCCCGCAATCGCTGTCGGATAAACACTTGATCCGCCTCCCGGCAGTTAGGCTCAAGGCTGGCTTATCCGATAATGTTCAACCCTAACTCTGCTTGGTCCTCCAACTCGATGTTATATCATTTTACCATTGATCTCATTTTTAATAGCACTCCACAGAGTAGACCTCATCTAGTAATGTTGACACTCAGTTCTATCTGAGTCATTCCTATGCTACTGTCCTTCCAAGACCCGCACTTCTGCATCTTTGGTATCCCCCATCGGATAAATAGGAAGTAGCTTATGCTCACGCCCACAAGCTATGACAATCTCGGTTCAAAGAATGCATTCAAGTCTTCTAGCGGGTTGCGCGCAAAAGCTACCACATCAGCAGCTAGTCTAGCCTCTAGCTTGCTAGTTCGTTACAAGCTCACAGAGTTCAGGAGCGACGTCCGTGGCAGCCGCAATCAATTCTCAAGTGGAGTATCCAGCATCAGCTAGAGCAGTAAAGACATCGGCATCACGCTCAAATCGGCAAAGGCCAAATTCAGAGTCAGTACCTATGACGAGCTTAATGTTTGCTCTGCGCGTAGATACGCAGTTGTCTATAACAGTTGTCCGTACGTCCCCGGGGGCAGAAATTATGTTCTTTGACACAGGCAGTGTTTACCGCAGGAAATAGTCTCTAAGTGGGCAGAAAAAATATGAATTTGAGTATTTGTACTGTTGGACACACTACAACATCGTTATTAATTAGTTTCTGGGCAATCATGAGATCAAAAACCGCTCGCCCTCTGCATTAACCCATGCACAATGCTCTATTGAGTCAAATTTGGCATTTGCAACACGTTCAATTCCTTCAGTGCCAATGACATGCGCAGGTGACGCGAAGATTAGATTTCCTAGCCTCATCCGCAATGGCATTCATCTCTTCCTGCGTAAAACAAGCTTGTGGCAGGTGGGACCCAGAAGTCATCAACCCTCCTGTAGACATCACCTTGATCAAGTCAGAACCTTCGACAGCCATTTTCCTGACCTCTGCACGCACTCCTTCAACACCGCCGCTACAGACACCACCCAAGGCATGTGTATAGCCTTTGGGAACAGTCAATGGTGCATTTGCGCATTGTAGTCGGGGGTCGATCACTTCTCCTTTCTCGACTGCATCGTGTAATTGAATTGCTGCCATTCATTCTCTTTGAGCCAATATCGTATGCTGTCGTGACTCGGGCATCTAGAAGTCGAAATGCGTTTGTCTTGATGAGAGAAAGCAATTCGGTGTCGTTGAGCATGATCTCAGTCGAGGTATCTATAGCGGACGGATCCATTTGTAGATGTGCTAGCAACCAGTCAGCATACAAGTTGGTTTTGTGATTTTCCTTGACTTGTATGACTGTCGAAAAGCCCTGGCATCATGGTCACGTCGCGCAAATATTGGACAATCGCAGCTGAGGGAATTTGTGGCTGACAAGTAGGCCACGGCCCAGCTACCTCTATCTTGCCATTTCTGATGACGATGACTCCATCTTCTATCAACTCCGCTGAATTGTGCGTGAGTAATCGCGCTGCTCGGATTGCCCTTACCATATTTGAGAGCATACGTGGTTATTCAAAATAAGTAAGAGGATTGCCGTGACCAGGTGATATTACATACGTACAAACGGTGTCAAAATCTAGGGCCTACCTAAGTCTTCTGCACGTGCCAAATCCACATCAGCTTGAAGAACCTGATTCGGTGGATTTGAATGTATTTATATTGGCCAAGTAGAGATCCCGATATCCCCGCTTTGTGTAGATAGTGTTAGGTACAGGGTATGGCACAATCAGATTCAAAAATTCAAATCCGAATCTATATTCGAATATGAAATCCATTTGCATCCATGCAACATACAGCAAAATTGCTAACAGCGAGATACCTCCGGAAGGCATGTCGCCCATTGGATCTGCAATAGATCACGTTGTAGTCAAGATAAGAAGCTGCCCGCACTCAAGGAGGAATAGTTGATCCGCTTCCGCTGACCAATGGCTGACTTATCCGAGACGTGCGTATCTGTATTATGTTACATACATATTCTATGGCAAATACAGCTACTTACAGTACGCACCTCGTATTCCGTATCCATTAATATGAATCGGGTTAGAGAGCAACAATTACCCTAATGTCCCAGGCTGACTCGACTCAATCCTGGCCTTTTCGCAATTCTTTCATCCTCAATCAATCCAATCCTGACTGTATTCTTATGTAACATCTTGATGACTGGGCGAGTGGATCTACACTCAGTCATGCTGCAATTTCCGTGCAACATTCGTATAAAATAATTACATAAAAGCCGAACGATATGCGTGGTGGTGTAGCCCAGGCATCAATATTCTTGCTATCAACCCTCGCGCCCGCCCTCTCTTACTCTTTGCCAACCCTCCAAACGAGCACAAATGCAGTCACACAGGATGATCCAGTGCTGCTGTGGCGAGGTATGTCAGCAGTTTTAGGTTACGGATTCGAGGATATTAGCTAATCGCTTGCCCTAGACTCGGATGGGGTCTATGTCCAATTCGAGGCATCATGTGCTAGCTGCTCGTTAGACGACGGAGACTCTTGGGTCAGTGATGCGAAGATTCGAATGCTGTCCTCACATCTCAGACACTGACTCGTCTAGCCAATCAATCTGTTCATCGGAAGTACTAATGGTCTTTGCGACAACGCTACCGTATCCGTCAATGGACAGGAGCTCTCCCATCGCTGGGAAGGCCAATTTGCCACAGGCTCAGGCGTGATCCCATCCAGCCCTTACAATGGCAGCACCGAACTTCGCGCAACATGGCACAGTACATGTATTACCGCACCCCTAGGTGCTCATCACGGGCAGAACGCACACGTGTTTACCTTTATATTTGACACGGATCGCAGCCACGACCTCGAAGACGATATCGGCTTTACTATCTCCTTTGGTAATGATACTTGCAAAGATGACGGAATCAAAGTGCTTCGGCTGTCTAATTTTCCCGTGAAGTTCGGCGATGCAGCGAGATGGGGAGAATGGAACGATGCAAACGATGCCACCGATTCGACAACAGGGTCTAGGTTGGACCCCGGATCCGTTTCGCTTGAAGTGCAGCTTGAAGCAGAAATTCAGAGACTACAAGTTCTTCAGTATGAGCTCCAACAGCTGCACAACTCGGTGGCTTTACAAGAGAAAAAAATATTTCACATGCTTAAGCAAGACTGCAAACCCTTGTTTGCGAAATGGGAGCAATGTGATGATTTCTTCTGCTATTTGAAGTCATCCTGGCAGAAGGTACCTGAGTTCTATTGGTCTATGAGGTATCGCTTCGGTCTATTAGCTCCTGGACGAGTCATTCCCATTTGTCGTCTTGCTCCAGAGAAACCTTCGGACGATAAAACCGACGCGAACAGACCATCAGCTTTGCCATCACATTCAATCCCAACTCCTTCGAAGCATGCCGTCCCTACTTTTGAGACCTCATCATCATCATCCTCAACGTCCTCCATACCTACTACCACGACCGAACCACTGATGCCTGTCACAACACCTCCACCCTCTAAACCAGACTCTCATCTCGATACCCATCCAAATCATTCGGACATAACCGAGGTCGTCCTCCCACTACCAATACAATCTCCAACCAAACACTTCATCAAATCATGCGCCATCATCCTACTCATCGCCTTAATAATCAGCCTTTTCTTCCGCGTCGTACGCCACTCAACAGCCTTCCGCCGTCGCCGACGAGACATTGCCTCCAGACGCGAAGAACTACGAGCCCAGCGCGCATACAGAAATGCCGCACGACGACTCCGCTGGCGCCAGTGGTGGGAAGGTCGATCCTATTTCCAAGCCGCGAGCGTGATATCCAGTCACTCACTCCCTGAATTCCAACACGCCCGTGGCGCCGCCAATTTAGGCGACGAGAATAACCGCGACATCAGCAATCACGACTCTGCCTCTCAATCTTCCGATACATACGACGAAGAACCACAACAACGTATGATGCAAGCGGAAATTCTCGGGCTGCGCCGCGTGCTCGAATATGTAGGTCAATTAGTCGGCACGGACGAAACAACCACCACGTCGACATCATCCTCATCAGCGCGACGCCGAGCTCGATCACGATCGCGTTCCGTCCCGCCCCCCTACGAACAGATTATGCGTTACAACCGCAACGCCAGTGTTGGCGGTGGCGGCAACAACCCTTCAAGGAATCATAATACGTTAGAGATTCGCAGATCGGCGACTCCAGGAGGAGTCATATCTGGAGGACCGAGTTCGCCACGGGCGAGTACAATGTTTAGCCTCGAGACGGGCTCGTTGGTTACGTTGGAGACGCTTGATACGCTGGAATCGGAAACGGCGCCGCCTTCGTATCACCCGTGATGTCAGACTACGTGCGCATGTTTAACTCCCTTTTCTTGTGATTAATGGTAATGACTTTCAGGAGGTGTGTGTGCAAGGATGTAGAATCAGGAGTTCAAGGGCTCAATATTGGAGGCAATGTCGATATTACGATACAAACACGAATTACTTTCTCATAAACCAATGCATTCATGTGAATCTATCATCAGCGTAGTGAATTACATTCCTCACGAGTACAAGACGACTGTTACTAGATTTTAGGCCTCTTTGCCGCTTGGCCCGCCTCAATCAACTCAACATCATCATCCTCCTCATCCTCATCCTCATCTTCAATAGCATACTTCCGCTTCGCCCGCAACGCATGCATAGTAGTAATCCCTCCTGCTGTAATGACAGCATCAGCATCCGAGTCCACATCCGGCGCAAACGTTGCTCTACCTTTCTCTCGAGCATCAAACACAGTCAACAACTGATCATACCCTTCTTCCACATTCGTGACGGTTTCATCTAACTTCTGGATTCGGTCTTGGAGTTCGAGTTGGATCAAAATGTCGCGCGAGCGTTTGTAGAGGCGCTGTTTGACGAGCATGCGCCACCAGTAGTAGCGTCTATCATCCTCGTCTGCGGCATTGTGTTTTTTGATGAGTAAGCGCACCATGTTTGTGCCTCCACGTTTGCGGGATGGGATCCTAGACAGGAGATACATTTCGAGGATATGTGCGAATTGGGTAGGCGCGATCTTGTATTTTGTGCGAATCTCGGCGAGTTTTTGTGTTGGGATCAGGGAGGATGTGGGCATGTTGCGTGGTCGGCGTTTGCCAGACACCTTGAGATCTGCGTAAGGGTTTGGGTTGATGTTGATGTCCTCGTCGAGGAAGGCGTGGTAGAGATTGTGGTAATCCGCAGAGTCGCGGAGGACGTCGAAAGATTCGTTGGGGTCCTCGACAGTCAGTTCTACGACGGTCTTGTCGGCTATGCAAGCTTTGTGGATGACATTGTATAGTTGGGAGCCGTGGCCGGAGCCTTGGTGTGGTGGTAGGATGAGGAATTGTGCGATGCGGGAACGGGATGGAAGTTGTGAAAATCGTAGTTCTTCGGGGTATGGGAAGGTGTCGTTTTTGACGACTTTATCGCCATGTTGTTCTGGAAAGAACCACCACCGGTATACAGTTGAATATCCGACAAATGAGTACTGTGACTCTGTTGGCGTGGTAGGTGTGGTTTTCTCGTAGCTGATTGAGTTATTGCGTTAGTTTAATGTCATTCGTACAGAAAAGCTGCGCTGGCTCACACAAAATAAACGGTCCATCTCTCCAAGGTCCATTCAGGGTCGTCAAGAATTAACGGAGTTCCTCCTTCAATGAAGAATGGGATAAAGACCTGCGCTCGTCCCAGAAGGTTGCGCACAGCATCATCCGCAAGCGATCCGGCCCAGATCTCATAATTTCTGTTTTTCGATTTGTACGAATGAACGAGTTTGCCTGGCGGTGTGAAGTCTTTTGCTTTAGGGTCATTCTGAACAGAATTCTCGTAATCGGACAATTTCGTAAAGGCGGCTAGAAAAGTGTCAGCTTGGGCTAGCTCAGAGAACCTTGAGCACATACATTCCGACACCCATTCTCTCAAAGTCTTGTTCAAATCCACCGCAGCGGCATCTCCCACAGCCTTGAATTTCTCATCAAACGAAATGTGAACATGAGTGCGTAAATCATGTGTCGCAAAGCGCAATCTGATGATGAGACCTTTGTAGCCGAATATCTGTTCTTCATCGCCGAAGATTGGGTATGTGAATTGGGGGTGAAAAATCTCTGCCGTGGTTGGCTTTTGTTCTCCTGGTTTGACTAAGGTGAGTTGGATTGCATCGTTAGCATCGCAGGTCCCTATCAAGATAGTGTTAGTCCGAGATGTTTGATGTGGTTCTATGGGCGCGGCAGTGTAGGGCAGCAGGTAAACATACAGTCGCCTGAATCGGCCATTATGATTCTTGTAGTTATCTCAGAGCTTTTGTATGTTTCAAACTCTGATGAGACAGTCGCAGAACTATCAGTTGATAGCTGTATGGATGGAGCTTTGGCGCGTCGCGTCGTCGAAAGAAGGTGATTAAAGCCGGATTCGGTTAGTCTACTAAAGCTTGAGAGCGCGCTAAACCCAAAGTGGACCAAATAGGATGTTTGACATGTTTGCATTCTGTATCTATCTGTTTTGATTTCTTCTTACTCCTTGACACACGTTTATACTGTTTTCTGATTGACAATGATATCTTCTACTCCCGGCGGCCACCATCAAACCTTTTAATCATTCTACTTCCCAGGTGCTCTCCGAGGCTTGATGGGCTGAATTAGTMCCCCGCCGTACCACTTCCATGACCTGGCTTGATTATATTTCCAGTCCAATGGTCCTGAATCCATACGAAGATGTCTATTGATGAGTGCATGTATGTGGCAATGATTCAAGCAAGAAGGTGGACAGGATCAACCTGATGTCCATCTTACTCCATATGGCCGTCCACTGTCTGAACCTCTTAAATTCCCTATTCCAACCTTAACTATTTTATCCTTCGACCGTGAATGACTGTCGTAAATGGCGTCCTCCATAGAGTAGCCTCTCTTTGTAATCTCAATAAATATACTTCTGTCTACTAGCTTATGAACTTAATGTCCCTTATATATTTCCATTGCAAAAAACCTTTCCCATCTCGGATAGGATTGTGTCAGTCAGAAGTGAGCGCCTCAAGATGACATAACCATTCCTTCGAAGCGAAAGTTAGTACCGTCAAACGGGAATTTTCCTTTCCTACTTTTAATACATCTCATCGATAACAGCAAACTGAATATGACACCCGGCTTACCAAAGAAGGGACGATATGTCTTCCGTCTCGGGGAGCCATCACGGTGCTGTATAGCATGTGGGAGGCACTTCCATGCCCTAGTGGAACCCACGAGAGCATTAGACGAACGTGAAGACTGGAAGAATCTTAAAAAGAACCACCCAATGGCTAGTTCATATATGCTCAAAGCAGATGATATTGAAAGCATGTATTTCCGCAAGAGGCCCTGGATCTGGACAACTTTTTACCGAGCAAGTAAGAAAATTGGTTTGATTGGCGAAGGAAATGATACATGCTGACCACTAAATGAACAGTCGTTCATAGACCACATATAGATTATGCCGATTTTTCGGGGATTTCTCAGACGATGGCGCGGGATTATACGCCATACTGGGGTGATCCACCTCATCTTCCCCGAGATCCTCAAAAGGCTCGCATAGGATATTACAGATCCGCTCCTGAGGATTCTTCATGTACTCCCCTCTGGACAGCTGATGTATTGCACCCTGAAAATAACCAGAAAGCCCCGCTTGAACAGATCGGCTATTACGTTCATGCTCACTGCTGGATACTTGTGGGTCGAATCATTGGATTGGAATCAATCAAGGCCGACCTGAAATTATTCTTGATCGCAGTCGAACAATTTTGGGCTAAAAATACCGAGCTCTGGGGTAGGGTTCTCCGCAAAAAGGTTGGGTTTGAGCCCGATTCAGATCGAAGCCCAGATCGAGATCCAGACGATTACCCAAGTGAAACAGAAAGCGAAGCGCTAAGTGAACCTGATCCTGAATTTATGGATAGACACAAGTTACCAATTTGGGAAAACCCAGCAATTGTCCCTAGAATTCAAGAGATCATTGAGCGGTCTACATTAAGCCACTCGGAGAGTCGTCTCCAACGCACACCGTCATCACTTGTCTCTCATGTTCCTCTTGATATTGCTATACAGATTGTCGAATGTTCAAAACTAGCTGGCATTAAAGATACACGGAATATGCTGGCTGCATTTGGGTGGAGGCTGCCCGACAGTTACTGGAGAAGCCGTTGCAAGATGGATCTGATTTTTGAATATGCTGATCTCCAGAAGACTGATTGGCCTGTCGATTGGCAATATATTGGTCTTGCAACCGAAGAACTAATGGAGAATCCTGAATGGGAACGCAACACTGGACTTGGTACTCGTCGTTGGATCTTCGGACAACTGAAACAAATCAAAACAATTTTTCTTGATCTTGTTGAACAGGAAAGGCTGAATCCTGGATGTGTGATTGGACCAGCTCTCAGGAAGTACCCTTTAAGGAAAAGGCTTCTCTGACCGGGTGGCCTGCCATCCTTGATAGTGATTGACAGGACTGGAAAGTCAAGTATGGGAAGGGTTATAATGACCTCCATTATGTGAGCCGGCGGGCTCTCAGGGCTGGTCGCAAATTTTATTTCAGTTCCAATGCCATACTCGATCATTAATCCTTATTCCTTGAGTTCTGACTCACAATAAATTGTCATGCATTGGTAGCATGCACTAAGACTTGAAACCTACAAAATTGCTGGAATTATCAGCAATATATGTCCAGGAATAACATCCGGCCAACATGTCGTCTAAAATTAGAATTGAACGTACATGTATGTAATGCCCGAATACACCTGGGCACCGTGAAAGTTTTCTTTATCCACTGAAGAACATTGGACAAAAAAGACGTTGAAAGTAAATTTTCTCCCAGGTCAGTGGGCAAACTCCTCATCTTCATCGATCTGATATTTGGAAAATTTACTAGCAGGAACCTCTTTCTGGAACATGATATCCATCTCACCAAAGGTGCGATCCTCGGTTTCCGGCAAGCGAAATTATGCCCAAGTCGCATTCAAGAATGCAGAGCCTCCCCAGAAGAATGCCTATAATTATATTCGTTAGATCTATAATATGACACGACTTCAACCCACAAATATACTTACAGTCTTTCCACGAGCATTCCAGGCAGTGGGTTACACGAAATATGGCTCCAATACAGCAGCCAAAATGTTTCCGAAATATGAAGTATTCGCCGACAATCCGGTCTGCCCGTAGATAAAAGTTCCGCTGGGGTTATTACATGTAGTACTTTCTGGAGTCATCCCGCATGAATCAGTCCTTGTCTTCCTGGGTACAATTCTGCCTTTGTGCTTGCTATTGGAAGAATCGTACCGCCAGCGGTGGATACGCTAGATATTGAAATTGCTGCTCATTATAGACATGATCTCGTAACAAACAATAAAATCAAAACATGCAAAGTAGCCTTTCCATATGCTTAATCACAGTCTGAGTACCAAAATTTAGAAGCCAAATCGAGCCATGTGCTCATGTTGTTAAAATTTCCATATCGACAAATCCCATTTACTTTCAATGTTGGATGGACTGCCACTTTGAATGATCGATTGGTGGGGTCATTCGTTCGGATACAAAAGTAGAGATCGAATGGATATAGTCGGGCCGAAAAGTCGATATTGTCAATGTCATGTAATGTCATGTAATCGTATATATATAAAAAATCCGTAAGTTGTTCATGCCTTCGTCACCAGCCAGACGGCCACGCTCAGTGTCATGCTGACACCCGTGTACAACGCAACTTCTGACCATGTAATCTCGGAATCGTCTCCGATACTGTCGATTAACTTGCTAGATGAATTGAACATCTCGCTTTTATCGGGAAATTGCCTACAAAACAATGAGTTTATACATCAAATCATCAGGAGGGTTGTCTTGGAAATACCCAGCAATTCAAAGCGATTTGATGTTCATTTCAGTAAATGTCATATGCTTGGAAACAGAATTTCCAGCGGGGTGGCCAGCTGACTTATATAGTCAGCACCTCAGTCCATTAAGATCGAAATAAAGACTCTTTGTCTGCAACCCACAATAGTAACCTGCAAATGCCGCTACATACGTATGATGATCGAACAGTGGGCAGCCCCCAATTTTCTACATCTCCATAAATGGAATCGTGTCCACTCTAAACTAGAAATAGTTTTTGGCCCCTTGCTTTGTTATCTGCGTATGACTGGACGGTACCTCGGTAGAAAGGATGCGACCCTAACCTTCAAATCCGTAATCAATGCAACCTGACCTTTTTCTAAAGGTACTACACTATAGATTAGGAATTTCAAGCTATTATGCGACCAGTAAAGCAATTCTTCACGACTCTCAAGCCTCTTAATATCCGCAGACAAGTCACGTGACGTAATATGCCCTAACATATTTTTATCTCTCAGTCTCGCGACTTGTGGCTTCTCATTACCGACGATTGAATAAAAAATTCTTTCTTAGAAGTTTAATCTAACTGATTCTTATGTGTTAGTAATGCGGGGATCGTACACGGTCTTCACAGTTGACCTGCGGTCAATTTTTACTATTGCCCAACGCAACTGGACAGGTAATCGGAGAATGAGGTTTTGGGATCGAGTAATTCGACTACTCGGTATCCATATGATGTTAGAGGCTACCTGATGATGTAGGGGTAGTTGATGTTCTGCTTAAGTTAACAGTACGCTTTGAGCGATATGACGTTTTCGGTATAATGTGCTACCTTACTGTAAGCGGAAGCTTAAATATTTCGAATGGCTGCAAAGATTCAATGCAAGATTTTGGAATCCAGCTATCCATGGTATAAATAAGCCGTGTATCGTGGAGGATCTGTACTCAAGATTGTATGTAACCTTCTTGATTTATGACTTCTTAACCCGGATGATATCACATGGATGACTTAAAGCTTTGATCTCTTTGTTCGCCTAGGGCTGTAGATGGTCTATTTAAGGCATTTTTGGATTCGTAAGCTTACATATATGATGGTATTGGGCTTATGGGAGTAGGGCTACATTTACGCGAATACGAGTGCTCTTATATTGTTATATTTTGCAAACCCCTGGTTCGGATACCAACTCCCATAACGAGAACCTAGAGATGATCTCCATATGTACATTAGGGATATCTGACATCATCTAGTAGATTTATTTATCAAATATTTCGGGGTCCTTCAATTTTGAGTGTACCAAGTAGTATCAGCACCGTTCCACCAAGTAACGATTGCGGCGGAGTCATTTTCCTGGCTTATTCCAATTCGCAGGCCGTAGCATGAATACATGTATCAATAAGAACGGAATGCTTCTTTGTGGTGATCAAAAAGTTGCGCACTTCCACCACTAACATGACTCTTCTCTTTGTACAATGCACAATCATAGGAGACTAGTTATTTAGACACCCTCTAGCAAGTTCTTTTCGCATTTTTGGAAGCCGGTTAACACAGAGCGCAACACAGAAATGAGCATTCGGTTCTATGATTGGGTTGCGCAGGTACAGGTAGTAGCTGTTGTCTGACTCGGGTACATAAAGGCCTTTTTACCTCGTGTATGAACCTTTCTTTGTGTATTCAATATTCTTTGTGTATTTGATATATTGACTACACAAAGAAAACTGTATGCAAGCTGCAGTATCAATGTAGATCCCCTCTCTCCTCACTGTTTTTCTCGATTTGCAGGGTTTCTCAATTTACAAGATCTAAGTGGGAGCTTCAATGCCTCAGGATATAGATAAGCTCTCTCCCACCTCAGCAATTCTTGCCATGACGGTCAGAATTTATCTCTCAGTTTATTATCGAGCGACATTTGTTCCTTAGCCAGGAAGCAATGGGATTTTTCACCTTGATAGGTCAGATGGAAATACCGTCTTGGCCTATTCTCTTCCTGGATGCATCTGGTCTCTATACATTACACCTAGCAGTTACTGCTATATACAATATCTGGTTCCATCCTCTCGCGAAATTTCCTGGTCCCAAAATCGCTGCCATCGGCCCTTGGTACGAGTTTTACTACGATGTGATCAAGGACGGACGATACCTTTGGGAAATTGAAAAGATGCACGACAGATATGGTAAGTACTTGTTCTAGGTTGCACATAATGAACAACAATTTGTCTCATGGTAGAAAGGACCCATTGTCCGCGTCAACGCGCACGAGCTCCACATCAAAGATGTAACATACTACTCAGAGGTATACAGTGGCAGTACCCGCAAGGTCAATAAGGATGCCAGCTCAACTGACGGATTTGGTATACCAACCTCCGCCGCAACTACCATCGACCATGACCATCACCGAGCACGCCGTAGTTATATAAACAAGTACTTCGCCAAGCGTAACATGACAGCGCTTGAGCCCATTGTGCAGGAACGTCTCGATAGATTGTGCTCACGTATTGACGAAAAGCTCAGATCCGGCGAGACGCTCAATCTAGACGGCTGCTTCTCTGCATTGACAGCCGATGTCATCACCGTTCTCTTCTACGGTAACAACTTTGATTACTTGGGCTCTCCAGATTTCCGATTTGTCATCCGTGATGCCTTCCTGGGTGTGTCTAAGATGTACAACCTTGCCCGCTTCATCCCTCTTGCCGTTAAGGCCCTCAAATCAATGCCCCTGTCAGTAATCCGCTTGATCGCGCCAACGGTAGCTGAGCTTGAGCGGGTGCGTGAGAGTATTGCGGAGAACGGATACAGGAAATTCCATGCCGGTAAATGGGATGCCGAGGAAAAGAAATCGGTTATTGTCTCAGCCCTGAATGATGAGAGTATACCGCCTGCCGAACGCACTGTTGACCGTTTGGTTGACGAGGGGACTGTCATCCTCTTTGCCGGTACCGATACTTCGGCTCGCTCGCTCGCGATTACGATGTACTATCTGCTCAGCAGTCCAGACTGTTTAGCCCGAATGCGCCATGAACTGGAGACTTCTCTGCCCTTGAACAAGGACCATGTCTATTCCCTCGCACAGCTTGAGAAATTGCCGTACTTGGTAAGCCTTGTTCTGGATTTTGTAGCTATACTTACTAATACCGAGTATCAGACTGCAGTCCTTCAAGAAGGCTTCCGTCTTTCCTTTGGGCCTGTCAGCCGTATGCCCCGAATCGCGACTCAGGACTCACTCGAGTATAAGGAATGGAGTATCCCACCAGGAGTATGCTTTCACTTCATATCTGACTCTTCCGTTGCTAATATACAGGCGAAACACAGACTGCAGTCAGCATGTCCACCATGTTCATGCACCTTGACGAAAACATCTACCCCAATCCCACCAAATTCGATCCCGAGCGATGGATTCGCGCAACCGAGCAGGGAGTCAATCTGAATAAATACCTCACAACCTTCTCAAAAGGAAGCAGAAACTGCCTTGGTATGAAGTAAGTTCTACTTTCTCGAAACCAATCCCATGTAGACAAGAAAGTGATACATGAATGTACTAATGTTATACGTCAACAGCATGGCCTATGCTGAGTTCTACATGACCCTAGCCCGGATTGTACTAACGTACGACATGGAGCTATACAACACCACGGACAAGGATATTGAGATTCATCATGCCTGTATGGTAGGTTATCCGAAAAAGTCCAAAGATCCTGACTTTGGTCAGGTTATTGTCAAGGTTATTGGAAGGAGGGCCCTGCCAGATACGATCTAATAGTTGGTCACTGGATTGTCTATCTCTATACTCTAGGTGCTGTTTAGACTGTGGACTTATATTCTGGCTGCAGATAGTATCTAGGTAGGAGGGTGATGACTCTAGGAAGGGATAATTTCGCCGACAAAGGGTGTAGCGAGTGCTTTTACCCAATGACTGATGATAGATCACATAGCATGTTTGTAAAGAAGTTGACTTTGTTAATTTCGTCGCTGGAATGAGCTAATTCGTATTGCGTTCTTCGAGAAGCATGGCACTGTTTTTTCACTTGTACAGGTAGATCGCATACCATAGACGGTACATGAGTGTACGACACTTTACAACCGTAAGAAATTTCCCAGGGGGTATCAGATGCTTCCGCTATGACATGCCATTCAGTATTACTCGGATCGCACCATATAAACATAATATGATTACTGGTCAGCTTGGTCTGGGCGTAGTTGGCTAATGAACTTCGGGAGTGCTGTGAGGCTCTAATCACATTTTAACGAGTAGATGATCGAGACTTGGGAGATATAATCCGAAGTTTCCGATTCAATTCTCGCAACGGGTAATTGCGCTCGCTAATTGTCGAGATAATCTTGAAAAGATCAGGAAGAAAGTAGAAGAGAAAGACTGTGGGTCGTATACTTTCTACAAAAGGGCAGATCGGGATCATGGTATACCCACTTTTGCGTATGTTCAATCATAAATCTGTGTGTTCATATTGCGCTCTAAAGGCGTCAAGCCATACATCAACACTTCAACATCAACAGACCAACATACAAAAGAAACAAATTGAAGACGCCGCTAACACCATACAAAATGAATCATTAACATCATCATTAATGACCACCGGTAGTAGGAAGACCCAAAAAGACCTTGAACGAGTCGTAGCTGGATGGTCGTTAGTGTGCATCATTCACCCAAGGGATTCAGGAACTTACATCAACCACTGGAAACCAGTCAAGGTACCCAACATGGCAATACGGACTGGCAGACCGTTCCACAGTCCACTGAAACCGATCTTGCTGTAGATACGGGATACAGCAGTCATCGCGCCCTCGCCAGCTACAACCCAACCATTAGTAAGTTGATCCTAGCTTCTTCAAGAGAGACGACAGAAAACATACCCTTTCGTTCAGCATTCAATTTACTAACCATCACATCCGCCGGATGACTAACAATCGCACACAGAATACCGGCAATATAACCACCCGCAAAACTGACACCCGTCTGCGTCAAGCGACTATAACTCTCCTTAGGACCACCCAACCCCCTATAGATCATATTGACCACTTCCTCAAATGTCGCGAACTTGGTCATGGTATAAGGAATCTGTCGTGCCCAGAGAGGATACAACCCTTTATACAGCCCTCCAAACCCATCTTGAGCTACAGCTTTACTCCATCCTTCGCGTAAAGTTGAAGCATAGGGTGGTAGGGTAGTTTGCATACGAACTTTGATAGCTTCAAGCGGGCAGAGAGCCATATCCGCAAAGAATTCTGCACTGGCGCTGGCACCGAGGTAGACGAGTGTGCGGTTCGTGTTGGGGAAAAGTTGTTCGCCGTACCAGTACTTGAATACTTCGTAGAGACCGTATTTACCGGCTCCCTGCAAGGAGTAACCGACAAAGGTGGGCGACCATCCAAAAAAGACGCCACGGACACCTTCCTTTGCGAAGATGGAGCGCCAGGCGGAGAGGTTGGATTTATAGATGTTGGGGTCGACTTGACGGCGGCATTTGACAAGGTCGAGGGGTGTGACGGCTGTGTGTGTTGGGCCTTTCTCTGCTGTTAGTTCGATTCATTAAGAAGTTCCTGGTGTATACGAACCGCAAGCTAGAATCGTTAGCCATGAAATACATCTGTCAGGAGCTGCGGTAACATACCGATAATACCGCCCAAAGCACAGCTGGTAAAATACTTTGTAGAATAAGGCTCAATCTTGCCAAAGGGCAAGCTCTTTTCTTTAGTCGCCATTTTGATCAACGTATGTGAAGTACGTCGGGTCTAACCTAAACAATTAGCCGCTCCTCGAACTGAACAGCAAAAAAAGTAACAAAAAGAATGTATATGAACAAGGACGGTGAGAGAGATATTGGGGAAGCCGTACTTATAAGCCGAGTCTAGCGTAACCAAACCTCAGGAACAGCCTACGTCAGTACCCTTGTCTATAGATAAGGTGGACCGACCATACGTACCACTACTATGAAAGTCTCGGAACAATACCAAAAGCTTAGACAGAGACAAATCGGCACGCTCAGACCGATTGAGACGACGAAGAAGCGAGCCGATGCATCCGAAGGGAAAGAAGGAATTGTTGGTGATGTTCTCGATCTGCCCAAACAGGGCCTATGACGCAAGCGGATGCCGCTAGGGCACTGATAAGAAAAGCACGTGATATCATCGCATTCATACACTTCACAACTTAAAGAGAAGATTATATGTTTATAATATATTATATATAAGTAAAAGAAGATTGCTCCTGCTGCTGCAAGTCGACAGCCCCCGCCATCTTCGACGCCAACTTGATCCCCATCGCGTCCAGCCGATACAGCGCCTCGCGCGCCTGCAATCTTTGCTTCGGCGTGGAAAAGTGCGACGTCAGTACGTGCCAGAACGGCCAGAGCAATTCATATCCTTCAATTGCCTTGACTCTTGTATTCGAATTCTCGTTATGGGTTTGCGGGAACGGGACGCCGCTGGAGTCGACGTCCCCGAGACTATAGGGCATGCTGCGGCAGATGTCGACGATCATGTTTTGCACGATTTCGTAGGGTGTGCTTTGCGATAGAATCGACGAAGATGGCGATGCTGATGCTGATGTTTGAGAACTATAAATTGGCGTGTTTGCCGGGTTGGTCATGTCGATGATGTCGGCCGTATGCCACATCGAAAGACCGCCCTCGTTCACTGCCTCCATCCGTGTGTGTATTTTTTCTATAATTGTCTGTAGGATAATTCGCGAACAACGATAGAAATTCCACAGCGTAGCAGCCGAAACACTGACGCAGGTAATCAGTGCTTCGCCCGTGGTCGAGTATACAACCCGCGGCAGCCACTGATCGGGAACACATCGACACCAGAGACTCAATTCCTCGTCTAGAGACTGTGCGCGCGATAAATCATTTACTAGATCCTCGAGGCTGAGATCTGCAATGTTGTATCTTGGATTCCCGTCGCTCAGTAACGCGGGGACATCGAGGACGAATTGGCTCAGTTTCGTGACGATGCCCATTAGGCTCTGTAACGGGTCGGAATGGTCGAAAAGATCAATCAAGAAATGTAGATCGAGTTTTGGCTGTGCGCCAAGGCCAAGGATTTGAATTTGCTATACCTGTCAGCCATTTGCTTTCACTGTATCTGATGATTTAGACTCACCAACTGCGTATACGCAAAATTGAACAAACACCGGCTATACTTCCCATCCAACCTCCTATACGTATGCAACCTAGCCACCAACTCTAGGCCTGCCGTATGCGAGCTTTCCAACTGCGCCCTTTCGCCATTAATATCCTCAAATATGACCAGCAACAATATCGTCGCCAGCGTGCTATCCTGCACTTTCTCTACGGGCATTGAGAGCGCTTCTTTCAGTCCGTGAAGCGCTAGGCCGTAGCGTTGTCTGCCTTTAAGAGCGAGATGGCGATCGTGCGACTCGTTGGCGTATGAGGTCAACGCAGCCGCTTCAACGGCCCAGCGGAGACAGGAAGATGGACTTCCCGCTACCTCATTTTCACGACAGAGCACGTATAGTAACGGAATCGACTCTAAAGCGCCCGGCAGCGAGTCCGGCGTTCGTTGCGTCGTATACTGATCGAAGAAGTAGCACAGCGCGCGATCATCCATGCTCGCATCCGCGAGCCAGCGCGGTTTGGGTATTAAGGCCAATCCATCCTCCTCATTATCGTTATCGCCGGAAGCCTCACTCCCTACGTTCATTTGGTATTGATGTTGTTGTTGAGCGTCTATCAACGACGACCGCCATTTCCGCGACGCAAACGATTTATCCTGAAGAACAACTGGGGGCCGATAGCCGGGACATGTCTTGCCATATATCTCGCAATTGCGGCATCCAGGCCGCGCTTCGTCGCACTATCCCCATCGATCGATCAGTTAGCCTCAAGTTCGTAGGAAATGAGGGCGGGGGGGAAGGCGCAAACCTTGATTTTCCGTCGACGACACAGGTAACAGCCAGTACTGGGCTTCCCACTATATACCATCGTAATATTCACATAGGCTCGTTCAAATGCTATAAATTATATATTATAAAAGGTCGGAATGGAGTCACCGAGTCGTGCGGGGACGGGGATGCATGATCGGTCTTCTTCGTTGATAGCTTTGCGCGCGACGCTGCGATAATCGTATTGGATAGATAAAGTTGTGTGTGAGATCAAGTCGAGCGTAGTAAGCGTTAGGTCAATAGGGGCGCGACTGCACTGGGAATTAGACTGCAATGTTGTGTAAAAAGTGTTGTAGTCGATGAAAGATAGTTGTCTGCCTAGAACAATGGCTTGAGAGTCTTGTATGTACCCAGGCTAGTTCCGCCGCCCCCATTTTATCATCACTCTTATCGGAGATAACTCCCCCACGTTGATCTACGTTGGATATGTACTAAGTAGACTTACAGTAGATGTGAAATTAAATGCATGGAATGATTCAGGTATTTGTAAATCAATACATGATACCGCCATATACCCGGCCAAAGGCACTAGAAATATTCAGACTACTGAACTTTGCACTAGTCGAGACCAGATCAGTCGTTTCAATAACATAAAGAAAGCATGAACGCTAATGTGATGATGAATGTATGTAATCAAGAAAGTCCATGTCGTGGGTGGGTATTCAGACAGAAACAAAAAGAGCGTCACTTCAAATGAAAGACCTCCAATGCAGAGTGCTATGTTGTATGAAGGGTGGTGTCGTAAGTCGTTTAATGATGGGGGGCGTCGGTCATGGCTTGGTCGCCCAACTCGCCTAGAGATATTGATGGAGGTGGTTCTGATGCTGTGACGGGCTGGTGCGGATAGTGGTGCATTTCTTCGTCTTCGGTTGGTCGTAGGCCGGGAGTGCTTGATGCACTTTCGATCACTGTACTATCTGCAAATAATTCTTCAGGAGGTGGTGCAAATGACCAGACCTGTACTCATTAGCACGGCGCAATTTCAAAGCAAAGGCAACGTACCTCCATCACGGTGCGGCCGGACCGGCTGGCCATTATCACCGCTTTTTCTTCTTCAAATGCAACTCTCCAGACAGCCTCGGCTGGCGTGGATAGTTCTCGCAGTAACTGACCGGTCTTCAAATCCCAAACCTTTACTCGCCCATCGCTTCCACCGCTAACAATGCGAGTGCTATCAAATTGCAGGCTGGTTACGCTGTTGTCATGAGCTGCCAGCCGGTGGATTGGTGCCATGCGCGTTAACGACCAAACTCGTACGGATCCATCAGATCCACCAGTAACCAAAGTATCGCCTCTCATCTGTAATTGTCCAACTAATGAAGTATGCCCTTGGAGGATTGCATGACACTGTCCGGTGTTTGGGTCCCAGATACGCACACTCGTATCCAAACTACCCGTTGCAATTCGCCGGCCGTCAAACGCGATAGCATAAATCTGGCTGAAGTGACCGGACAGCGTCCTCAAACATCGACCTTCTGAAATACTCCAAATACGTGCCGTTGTGTCATAGCTACCGGAAACCACCAAATCGCCGTGGATGCCTAGACACCTGACACTAGCTTGATGGCCCACCAATACACCTCGACAATTACCAGTGACCAAATCCCATATCCTTAGAGTTGTATCCCTCGACCCTGAAATGGCTGTATTCTTATCCGACATTTTCAAACATCGTACCGTCGAGGTGTGACCGCGTAATAAATGCGTGCATGCTCTTGAAATTGGTTAGTAAAAGCAAGTGGATGATGACCGACATGCTCACCCTGTTGCCATGTTCCAGACTCGCACTTCTCGATCGCAACCACCGCTGACGAGTAGATCGTCCCAGGGGACCATAGCCCATACGCCCATAACGTGTCCTTCCAACGTTTTTTGATTTCCGCCGTTTGTGTCATAGACGTGAATCTTTGCGTTATCCAGTGCGACTACAATATATTTGTGCGTCAAGTGTAGACTCGTCACAACGCCTTGATCCGGAGTGACATGTTTCTGTGTGCAGTGGCCGCCTTTGTTCCATGCCGACTCGACCATATATTTCTTTTTGAAATGCGTGCGATATGACGCCGGCTGCACGCGACGCTTCCGATTCGACGTGGAAAACGGCGGCGGCCACGATGACTCCAGGGGAAGGTCTGTAGACATGCTGCTTACGCTATCAGCAGCCGATGAGGTCGATTTTCTTCTCCTCCAAGGTTGGAAGGGCTGTTGCTGATAATCGCTGATCGAACTCAGGAAGGACAATCGTCGGCCGCTATGGAATGGGTCGACAAAGTCACGATCATCGTCTGACGGCCTTCTATAAACGTATGCATGTTTATCGCATAGGTGCTTCCAAGTTATATCGTCGTTAATAAGTTCGTGCCACCGCTTCGATACCTGTGATGCTCGAGCGAGAGTTTTGGGATCGTCGACAAACGAGAGAACCTATCATCCACCATGAGTATGCAACAAGATGCAAACTTCTCAGCCTGCTCAGAACTCACCCTTAAACATATTTCATTCGGAAAAGACAAAAACGGATCCTTCCTCAACCGCGGACTAATGAAACTCGAAATAAAACTGAGCTGCTGATTATCGCACAGATTCAAAATATCCACCAAGAACTTTTGTTTCTGGGCACTGCCCATCGAGCTGAAATGTATCTGAGCCTTGAGCAACAAACTGTCATCCTCATCTTCGTCGTCCACCTCGTGGCCGCCACCGCCGCCCAGACTAGACTGCCAATTTGAGACTGTATGATGCGGAGTCGGACTCGGTGCTGGCGTTGGCGGCGATGCTGGTGCGGATGGGAGCAGGTTACTAGGAAGAGGCGATGCAGATTTATTCGGGGTAGGTAGAGGTTTTGGATGGTGGTTGTTGTTGTGACTGGTAGTATTATTGTCGGACGAGATGTCCTTGCCTCCTGCGGGCATGCGAGACGGCATATCGGTCAGTGATTGAGGTACGCTGCGAGGAATATTATTCTCGTGGTCGCCGGCCGCAGCATCTCGTAGCGATGCTCGACGCTGGCCTAACGAGGGCGGCGGTGTATACCGCGCAGCCATGAGTTGGGGAACGGGGACGTTGAGGGGGTGGATTATAACGAGAGGCGGTAGACTATGAGGCGTTGCCAGAACACAAAATCTGCATCAAAACGAAATCTTGCTGTAGGTGCGTGTTATACGGCAAGGAGCTGGACAGGAGCTCATGGGCGCAACGGTGTGGTATCTGGTCGCTCGTTGGATGACTGCACGATGGACCGAAACGGTGAGGCAAGCCAAGTGTGGAGTCTTTGAGGAGCGTAGGAATAATTTCCGGATATGCAAATGCCAATGGCCAAAGTTGCAGCAGACAAAGCGGGTCGCCGACGGTCCAAGAAAACAAAGAGTACTCAGAATAGCAGTTTCTGCAAGATGTCCATCGTCGTCGTCGTCGTCGTGAAAATACAGTATGGAGAAAAGAGGAGTGAAAGAAAGAGCGGGCGGAGAAGCGACGGATGCGATTATTGCGCCGTTACTAATCAGCCTGCCACCTATCACCTTCGTATTCTGCCCTTTTCACTGAAGAAAGACTCGGACGATGTCAGTGGCTGCTCGACGCTATCCTAAACACTGGTCTGATTAGCTCATCCTGCTCATATCATAACTCAAGTCGGCGGCAATTATACCCATGACATGCCAACCAGTCGATGGTAGCGACAGATCATGGATCATACCGATGTAAGTGATATGAGTGAAATGAAAGGAATCAAGTCACAGCTGCGTAGTGTGTGTTTGTATCGTGCGACAGTTCTTCATGCGCCTGGATTATCCGGAGCAAATGATGTCCCCTGCTGCATTTTGAGGACACGCCTGGGTAGGATGTACGTAGTCGATTCTGACACAACGTGACTGCAGCCATGCGCAAGGGACGCAAGACGAATCATAGAAAAGAACTTTCTATTCTATATAAGTATATGCTACATAATAGATACCTAGCTACTAGATGTCGATCCGGATCCCGGTATTTTCCACAGTTGGTTGTTATGTATTTATATCATAATGCCTGGTCATCTTTGATCCATGGCCACGTCTAAAGTATCCATCAAATGAATAAAGTGTTTAAGCAGATATAATAGTACAACCATCAATCTATAACAAGCCAAAAATAGTCAAGAAGAGTAAATATAAAAAAACAAGCCAATTATCCAATATCGAAATTACTCCAAAAATGTCGTGCATACCCGGCTAAATTAATGCGCATGTCCGATCTGCAAAAATAAAGGCAGAATCATGCCCACAACTGAAACCGCCAGGTCCTGGATCGATCCCTTTGGTTTCGGTGGTTCGCGCGAGTCTGCGTAGCCATTGGAATGAGAATGGGACGGAGCTGACGAAGGCGCAATGTCTTGTATTGTGTGCATCGCGACGTATCTATTAGCACCATGTTAGTGATAGATTAATGAGAAAAGTTCGAGAAACCCACAAAAATGTCCCCGCAGAAAACAGCAACAGAACGCCAGTCCGCCACCGATTCGAAGCCTCGTCGCCCCCAAACCCAGAGCCAAGAGTATGCACAATAAGAAAAGTCAACAAAGCCCCCACCGGCGCAGCTAGACTGAAGACCAGCAAATGACGACCCGCAACTCGACTGGAAAGGCCTTGCTTCAGAAGCACAGAGGTCAAGCCAAACGCAGCTGGCGCTTTGTGTACAAGAAGAGCGAGAAAGATGATGAAACTCAAGCTGGAGTCGGATCCCGATGCGCCCAGGGCGATGCCGTCCGCTGCGGCATGGATAACCAAGCCAGTGGTCATTGCGAAGGTGTGCGGGTTATGAGCGGCGTGGTTGTTGCTATCCTGGTCGAGTAATCCGCCATCTCGGTTGGGTGAGGAGCTTCTTCGTAGACCGGATCCTCCGAGATTGTCTAATGATATATGGTACGGTAATCGCCTGGGTTTCGGCGGCGTAGCAAAGGAAGGTAGTTTGTCGATGAGATACATAAGAATGAATCCACTGATGAGGGATATTCCAACCCAAGCATGAAGCGCGCGATTTTCATCTTCGTGGTTGTGGTCGTGGGAATCGCCAACGTTACTACCTCCATCGAGATTCAAAGCATGCACCTCTCCCGGCACTGTTGGCGTTTTCGGCGGCGCTGCATCTCCAAAGGCAGATGTATCGTCGGCGACAACGGGACCAGGTAGAGCGTCGATTTCCGGAATCCCTCTCGGTGGTAGGATATTAACCGGTGAACTCTTGTGCTGCCATCGTATGTCCAGTCCGCGAGTCTGAAGGGTCGACGACGAGCGATAGTTTTGCGAGCTGTAGAGTGTTTCCACACCTTCGGGAATAATAATCACAAGCGCCGTGCCGACTAATATGCCCATGCCCAAGGATGAGATGAATCGTGACTGTGAGGAGGAGAGGGTGAAAGTAAGCGGCAATGCACCGACGAGGAAGGAACTGTGCAAGTAAATAGTGTCAGCACATCATATCAAAGTAGATATAGACTTGGAATAGACAAGGTCTCACGTTATAGCCATCACAATGCTCAAAATGAGCAGTGTGAAGAGGCCCTCCATGACTGGTGTGTCCTTCGCAGTGCGCTCGCTGTCTTGATCAAATTAACAATGGCACATTCTGTCGCTACAGAAACCAATTGAAATTATTGTAATAAGTGCCGAGTAGGGTGTATATGAGAAAGAGTAATAAGTCAATATATGAATAGATTGAAGAGATCTTAATGTTTGTTTTCGTGGAAAGTTGGGCCAGATTGCGGACCCTCAAAGTCAGCCTCTGATGCGCCGGCCGCCACCCAATCAGCGGTGCGGATCGCTGCTTTGTGTATTATATAGTAGATCTAGTCTGAGTCAACATGCTACTTATCCATGACCGCTTACCAGCGCACCGAAATATGGCTAAGATCAAGATACTTGGCTGGCCATTCTACGGCGACGTGATTGTTCTGTATAATGTAACTCTTGCCGACTTAGATTTTTTTGGCTGGGATACAGTATATCAACCCCTCAAGCGGAATCAAGGTCAAGATACCAAAGACAAAATGTATCAACATTTATTGCTGCTTAGGGCAGTACATTTCGATAGCCAGGAGCGATATGTTGTTGTTGCTGCAGTAGAAGATGATTCTGATCCATTAGCATCTAAGGTTGAAATTGATAAGGCTCTGCGTCAGACATGTATGGAAAGGCAAAAGATGAAGATTAGATGGCCAAGTAATGGGGGTCTGGATTACTAAGTTCGATAACTCTATATCCAGGCCTCCATGGCAGGTCTAGGTATACTAGGTAAAACAGCACACTTACTCTTCACAAGAAGCACAAATAAGAAATGTGAGATCTTAAACCAGCTAGGTGGCCAGTTTCTAGCAAATCTGGAAGACTGTCATAGAGTCGGGTGCTTGAACGCTTAGAATAAAGAAACAGGAGAGGTTAGTCCGCTTGTGATTACACGGTATGCTGAAGAGTTATTATCTTAGTGTTTCTTTAGTGCTAGGTATAGCTCTGGATTCTGAGAATTGTGAGACTATATTCAGTCCACTCACCGCCTTGGAGCTTAGATCTCCAGTGACGGCAGAATCGGTTCATGGATCGGCCAACCTTGAACTCGCGACATCCTCGACTCTGCAAGTTTCAACAGTGGGCACCGTCTTCATCAATTGAGTCTTTCATTTCCCGACAGTCCACACTACTTGGGTTGCTTAACGCTCGCTTGAAAATCTCGGGACTTCGCACTAGCTCTCTGTCTAGAATCGATCGTACTTCTCTGAGTGAATTCGTGTTCGCGTTCTTTGACAGAAAGGATTCTTTCAACCCGACTTGGCCAATTTCTATCCATAAAAGCCTTTACCGAATCTGTTGAAATACGTTTGACATCTGACCTCGCTACCATTATCAAATACGCCCTTCACCCTTTTGGCCATCCCATAAAGAGAAACACAATCATCAAGATGGACACATCAGCCCCCTCAACCACAACCAACAACCACAATACCCCCAACCCGCCCAGCATCGAACTCGCCTACAAGAAAAAATGCATCCAACTCAAAAAACGACTCAACGAAATTGAAGCCGAAAACGACCTGGTCCGCGCGCGCAACAAACGCGCAAAACTCTACGTCGCAAAGATGCGTCTGGAAACCTGTATCATGCTTGAGCGGTTGGCGACTGTGACGGGGATGTTGGATGAAGCTGCTTCTACGTCAGCAGCTGCTGGACAGCAAGGTGCTGCTGCTGGGGGACAGATAAGTGCGGAGTTGAGGGCAAAAGCAGCGGCGATTGTGACTAGTGCACATGCGCAGAGTACCCAGGGAGTGATGGATGATGAGACGGAGGGTAGTTCGGAGGAGCAGCCTCCTACTGTACGTTCCCTTGATTTTTGTCTCCAAGCTTCCAGATGAATGCTAATATGAGCTCAAGCCCCAAGAACGACCCCTCCGCGTAAAACGCAGCCGCAAATCAAACATCGCCTTCGAAGAGCTCGAAGCCGAGGCCGCAATGCAATACGAAGCCAATAGCCCCGAACCTAGGGGCGGCAACGACTCGGGCTACAACCACAATATCGATGTTGACAGAGACAGCAGAAATATTGGTACTGGCGACGAGCAGGATGTGAATGACCGGGACCTCTCGCAGGGAGCGGATAGGGAGAGGTCGTTACTTACTGCTGGGGGTGCTGTTGATGGAGATGAGAGACGATCTTCTGGGTTTAGGGCTGTGAATGCGAGATTTGATAGTCAGGGTGCGGTGCCGATGGATGTTGATGAGAAGCCTGCTAGGGGGGAAAGCTAGATCGATCTATGTGGTCTTCATTTTTTCATTTTGTGATATCAGTGTCTGTTATGCTTTCTAGAGCGGTGTTGGGATGGTGTACTATATTATTCTACTTTTATGCTAGGGTGTTGGTTGTACGAATGACTATATTTGTTTAATGTTGGGTGTATGGTCGAAATATAGATATTAAATATAGACTTATACCTCGATAGAACCAGACTGGATACACCCATGACCTTCATGTTATCATACTAGATAGGCGTAGAAATGGACCATACCCTATACAATATCAAATAATAATATGCACAAGCCCAGGAAAGTATTTGACCAGCAAGATGAATATACTATATTCATGTACTTTACTTCATAGTTTATACATTACTCCACACCAGCATACAAATCAACTATAATGTTGATAGCGGCAACCAGGATTTCGGCAGCGATCAGGACAATAACTTAATGAAAATGTTAGATCATCTTTCACAAAAAGAAGAAAAAAGAAAGGACGTACCAATCCACTCCAAATATTCACCATGCCGATGACTCAACTGATCCTTCAATACTGCCAACAAATCCGCAATAACATCCAACCGCTCGGTGAGCAGTCCCACCCTCTGATCCATTTCGAGGTATGTACGCACAGCTTGGTACACAGGCTCTAGCTGCGGTTCTGCCCACATCAGCTCCGGACTATCCAGCACAGAGCCCTGTAAATGAATGTTGATTCGTAGGATAAATAGCTCGCCAATCTGCATGTTGATTTGTTTCCGCGTCATGTTGACACTCCCCGTTTTGGCGATCTGGGCGGGAAACGGGGCTGTAGCTGCAATAGTCTCGGAGACAAGGTCTTCGAATAGAGATGTCTTTACAGATTGTGACAAAGCGTGGGATATAGCGAGTTTGATCATATGATTGCGCGGGTCTCGCAGGGAGATGAAGTCGTTGTAAATTCGTGCTTGGTAATCGCGCGCATAGTAGAAATTGAAGTTTTCAACTTGTCGATCTTCTGTGCTGAGAATGGCAGTTGCAAATTTGGCGACATCCGCTAGAAATCTGGTTTCTTCGGTAGGCGTCATGCCCCATATTACCACGGTGCCGTAGTCGAAAAGGAATACCTCTGGTGTATGTACGGTAGTGTCGAGGTCTAAGCCTTCTTCGTCTTGTGTTACTGATTTGTTGATGTCGCTGGTTGACTGTGGACGAGTCGTTTCGTCGTCGCGGAAATCAATCAAATCTTCTCGTATATTTTTGCCATGATCTTCCACCTCCACTGCGCTGTCTGAGTATCTACGTTCGCCTGGTAGTCGTTGCTGTTGAGATTGACTGGGTCCTTCTGTGTGCTGTCCATTTCGAGTCTGAGCTTGTTGTTCTGCTTGTTTCTTTTCATATTGATAGTCGAACGGCGAATAGACACATTCATCAAACAGCTTCGGATTGGCGCCGCGAGTCTTGTCCCTGGATTTGAGGAACCGCATGACGCCCTCTAAACGATATGAATTCGCTGTACAATATGCCGTTACTCGAGGTAAACGATCGCGATCTGCTTTACCCAACCTCGCAGCTGCCCTTCGCGCCGTAGGTTCTTTAATCCGACTAATTTGCGTATATACGTCTCTCGGGAATCCATCATCGATGACTTCCTCGTCATTACCAGTAACCGGGTCCGGTAAAAGCTTCAATTTCTGTGTGTTCTTCGACGTTCTCTGAGGACCAATCTTCGGCGCATGTATCGTCCCAGCAGCCGCCGTGACAGGCGAACCTGCACTATTACGTCTTCGCAGTTTACTGTTCAGTGCCGACAGCATGGGCTGTCCAACAGGATTCAAAGACGTATGACGAACAGGCGGCGAGCTAGCCTGTAGCGGCTGTATGATGGAATCGGATTGAGATGTGCCATTGTAAGTACTGATGGTAGTGAGGGGATTGAAAGTCACAGTCCGACGATCTGAGCGTGGTGACGTAGTCGCAGGGTTGGCAGCAGGGCGCTGGTACTGCGGTAATAATGGAGAGGTCTCGGTGGTTGCCATTGCTGCGGGATCAGATCGTCGAGGTGATCGGAGGGGGATATATGACCGGTCCCAAGTCCATTGAGCTGTTTGGGTATGTGAAAGGAAGAACGTGAAGATATTTGGCCTGTCGTAAAGTCTAACAATGGTTGGAGCTTGGATCCACCGGGATAGTTGAGAGCCTGAAAGTCTGGGCCGCCATTTAACGCTAGCCATTATAAGTCTAGTTTGACTCCACCATTACTCAAAGACAGTCCTGCATCCAGCACGTGCTCGATATAACCCTACTCAGATTTCAGGGTTATATTAGGGCTAGCGATATCGAAGAGAGTGGTGACTACATTGAGTATTTTCTCCAGATTGAGGTGAGTAGCACATCAACCTTGCGAAATAATTTTGCAAGTAGTGTGTATACACCCACGGTGATGAGAACTAAGCTCGCCCTGACCCGGATCATTTCCTATCAAGAGACCGAGGTGCAATGACTTGAAAATATCATCGATGAACGCATGTTCCATTTTGGCTATGGTAGTGAATTAAGAACAATAGAAATGCTATAAACAATGGTGAACGCTTGCAAATAATGTCAAAATGCTAACATCGATAAATACCGAAACACTGCTCAAGGACTCCACAAGCTGCAACAAGTCTTACCCCACTGTGCGCTTCCTCATTTCAACAAAATGTGTATGCAAACTGTGTATATCTTTCGGCATCAGATAGTCGATCAAATGGTGTCATGAGGTGTTGGAGGGCGACCTGCGGATGGCTTATCGCCGCACGAAACCTTTCGAACCACCCCCAACGCGCTTCAATCCTCCTGCAGCGTTACCATTACGACCTCGTTGCCCAGCCTGCCAGGCGGCCTTTACACGTCGTCCAACTGCCGAGCTCTTGGGAGGGAGCATCTCTTTCTTAGTTTCCAGAACACGAATAGTGACGTCTCCGCGACGGATATCTTTCGCAGGCTCATCTTCTTTGAAAAACTTGTGTTGCTTTGTATTGATTTTCGGCTGCTCTTCGGGAGGTGGTGATGGTAGTCTGTGAACAGGCTCTGCATTCAATATCTCATCCGGAAGCAGAGCGGGAAGCACTCGACGACCAGACTCTCTAACGACGGATCCCTGAAGAGTGGCAGTGCTTTCAGAGACAATATCATCATCTGATATAAGCTTAGAATCAAATGATGATTGTTTTTGAAGTTTCTCTGCTTTCGCTTTGGCCGCAGCTGATACCTTGGCTTGAGCTTTCTGTTTTTCGTCCTGCAGTCGTCGCTTTTCTTTCTGCAGTATTTCGTCCCTATATGTTCTTAGTAACCTGGTCCCTTCAATATTTATAACAAAACTTACCGTCTTTTGGCTTCTTTTTGTTTCTGTGCTTTGACTTTCAACGCCAACAATTGAGCCGAATTGTCGACAACCTCGGGTGCATCATCATCGTCACTCTCAGAGTCCTCCTCATCTTGTGCTTGCGCCGGCTGGACAGCCTCAATATCAATCTCTTTCGCCGTCCGAATTGGTAGTGCGGGCTCCTCGCTTCCGAATCGAATATGATTGCTTGGTTCCTTCGCCGATCTGTCTAGGGAGGTAGACACTGATTCTGATGTAGAATTATCTCCATTTCTAATCTTCCTTTGCTGCGTCGCCGGAATTTGAATAATCACATTATCCGCTGGGACTTCTTGCTGAGACGACAAGACCTCAATCACGGTATCTTCTTGTTCAGGCGATAACCTTCTCCGCTTATTAGAGTGGCCGTTTGTCTTGCTTTCCATGGTTTTCCGCTTTGTATTAGTCGCGGACTCTGAGCCATTCGTACGCGGAGACGCGACATTTCCCTGTCGCGTTGCTGTCACCATTTTTGTAGATGTGGATGCTGAATCGTCTGCGCTGGTATCAGTCGAATCGGAGTGAGAAGCTTGGGCGGTGACAGAGCTGTCGTCGCTGGCCGGGAGATTACTTCTGGAGAAAATGCCCTTTGCCCTTGTGAGGACTTGTGAGAACATGAGTAAACAAGTAGGGCCCAATGCTGGTTCGATTTGCGTATGTGAGTGAATGTAAAGCTTGAATTGATGATTTATTTTTCTGGTTTGGACGGTCAAAAGAAATCTTCCAGTCAGCGGGGACCGGGATCCACTCTGTCGATGCTTATCCGGGTTTATGTTCTTCCGTTCCGCCTGGCTGATATTACAGCGAATTATGACTACGATCCTATAATAAATGTATTGATCAGTATTTCCTATCATTATTGAGAAATATACAGTTGACATTTCAATCTCGTGTCAAGAGGGTAACGTTACTGTAATGCAATGTATCCAACCATGATCGCAGAGCATCTGATTAGCTATCTATTTAGATCTTGGTACGACGATACGCTACAGATACGAATCAGTTCTCATTCAAATACTTATCCCGAAGGAGAAATCAATCTTATGATTAGGATGTCTGTACTTTTCGCAGCTTCCAATACATACAGGTCAGATGCAATTAGATGCGCAGTTGGACTCATGGCGACAGACACGCACATTCATTAATGCATGAATCATGATCAATCGCCCAACAGACAGATATGAATACAGTATAGCGAGCTCGAATCACAAAACTCCACCCCATCCTAAGTTTCCGACCCAAAAATGCCGTATACATATCATAATAGATATAAAGTGATATAAGCCCAATGAATATCCCAAAACGCCACCTCATGCAATATCACAGACCAACTCAAAATCAACAGTCACTCACCCCTAAGTCGTGACTATCAGCCTCCTCTCGCCAAACTCCTCCTCCGCACCCAAATAATCATCCTCGCCAATATCACTAATTTCATCCCAGCACTGCTGAAACTCGCCTTTATTATCGCCACTAACCGTCCACATACTCTCCCTCAGCCTCTTATTTCGTTCCCTATCTTCCTCAATCCGCTGCTCAATCTGTCTTTTATCGACTCGAATAGTGGATCCATTAGTCTTCGAGCCACGGCTAGGTGTTCGTCCCGAGTCCTCCGGTGCCTCGGAATCAAGCACGTTGGAAGGGTTCGTTTCTCGCTCTTTTAGGGCTGCGTCGATCTCTGTAACGGTTTCGTTGGATAGGAAGTCTTTGTCTTGTAGGCCTTGAAGAACGCGGCGAACGTGTTTTACGTTTGCAGCGCCGGAGCCGTCTGCAGGTGCCACTGAATCGACGATTGTAAGCATGTCGCGCTGGATCATGCGGACGTAGTTGAGGTGGTTTTCCTTGCTGGCTAGTTCACAGAAATGTTCGATGAAGTACATTATATTTGCGCGGTTGTTCATATTATTCTATTGCATATTTTATTAGACCATGAATAGATTGCCCAAGGCGGATAGACTCACTCGTTCAAGTTGTTCGAGGATACAAGAATGGAGATCCTCATCCATATCTCGGTATTTGAGCGCATATTGAGCCGCTCTTTGTGACGAGGCAACTGCAGCACTGAGATGCTGGAGTTGCATAGTAAACCGCATGCGAACTTCAAATGGATCCGCCATGTCTGCGTATTGGGGCAATGTTTCTGCTACCGGTTGATAAGAGACGTAGTCGAAATTAAAGATTGTGACGATAGCTTGCTGATTGGACACATGCAAAGCGGCGAGTATAATTTGTCTGGCAGAATAGAATTAATTTTAGACACCGCCCGGCGAGACAGCGGGGAGAGACGAGGACATCGGGCCGGTTTATCTGCTTCTTAATCCACGCATGACTGCCCTTTCGAGCAATTTCAATATATTTTCCAGATTATTTGCTTGAAGAAATAAGTAACCGAGAATATGTCGTCAGGAACAGCTATTAAGCCAGGGGAGAAGACCCTAACGATGCTAGGATGTGGTGCGCAAACCGACACCGGCTAAAATATAGTACACCTCAACAAAGATAAATGCTAATTCTACGAGCAGGAAACTTGTGTCTCGCAGTCCTCACAGGAATTCTCAGCTCCATATCAGAGCCCTCAACATCAGAAGAGAAACTCTCCTTCCAAACACCCACTAAATTCATCGCTTGTATCAGATCAGAGCGCTCCGCAGCACGTATCCGCAGTGCTGTGGAACCCTACCCCAAATTCCCAGTCAAGGTCTTGCAAAATGATAACGTAGCGGGTGTCAAGGAGGCTGATGTTGTCATCCTAGGCTGCAAGCCTTACATGCTCAAGGACGTGCTTGACGTCCCGGGTATGCGTGACGCGTTAAAGGGGAAATTATTGATCAGTGTCCTGGCTGGTGTCTCCTCTCAGCAGATTGAGGATACTTTGTATCTGGAAGGCTCCGAACCTGCCTCAGAAAGATGTACCGTCGTACGTGCCATGCCCAATACTGCGGCCATGGTCCGCGAAGCAATGACGACAATCAGTATCCCAAGCCCCGCTCTTCCCAAGGAATGGGACGATTTGATTTCCTGGATATTCACCCGCATCGGCAAGATTGTGCGTCTCCCGCCTTCTCAGATGGATGTATGTACTGCATTGGCAGGTTCTGGGCCGGCGTTTGTGGCGCTGATAATTGAGGGTTTGGCTGATGGTGCTGTTGCGATGGGTCTGCCGCGCGCGGAAGCGCAGCTTATGGCGTGCCAGGTGCTCAAGGGGACGGTTGGTATGATTGAAGGTGGAGAGCATCCGTCTATTGTGAAGGAGAAGATTTCGTCGCCCGGTGGATGTACGATTGGTGGGTTGCTTGTGTTGGAGGATGCTGGTGTGAGAGGCACTGTGGCGAGGGCTGTGAGGGAGGCTACTTGTGTTGCTAGCGAGCTTGGTCAGGGGACCAAACTTGTCAATGGAACTAGACGATGATTTTGAAAGTGCATATATAAGATGGCTACAAAAGCAATGAATAGATTATTTGCATGTGCAATGTACTTACGCGTCTTTTCTTCTATCGCCATATGGTATCTAGATCCCAAAAATAACAAATCGCTAATATAAACAGAAAGACATTTCATAAAATCTCATAACGATTGCATTGAATTTCGACCTTCCATGAGGCCGATATCCTCGGTATTCCCTTGTGATACTTCGTCAACAAGAAGTCCCATTGCTTCCGGCCTATTGGTATCTCGTGGACCCTCTTCAAAATCTTTTTCGCGTCGGTTTTCTATACCGTTGAGAATGAACCAGACATCTTTCTTGGTAAGAAGGCCTCTCAGATTGCCCTTGTGGACAAAGAGAACATATCTCAAGCCGAGGCGTTGGAACATGCCTAATACGATCGAGAAGTTGGTGTGACTGTTGAGTGTTATAGGGGTCTGATCCATCCAGGGCCGTAGGTCGAGAGTATCGCCAGGATCAGCAAAAGGTTGGTGGACGAAGTATGTTTGTGTCTCTGGGCCCAAATTGCGGGTCGAAGACGATAGAGAGGATTCCAATGCATATGACAATTCGTTTCGAGTGATGAAGCCAAGCAAAATCGGATTGGATGTATCCAAAACGACTGGAAAGCCACGGTAGCGTGTCTGAGCGAGAAGACTTCTCAATGATTCAATAGTGTGGCCAACTGCAGGGATAACTGTGAGGTCATCGACATTCGTCATCATTCTCGATACGGGGACATCTGGTGGAGGCCGGTCATCTTTATGATCCAGGAAGGGATACTCATTGAAGTGAATCCATGATTCATATATGCCGCGTTTGCCAAATATATCCCCACACCACTTGGAGAGCATGACTGCAATCATGATTGGAATCACGTAGGTCAAGGCTCCGGTCAGCTCAAACATGATCACAACGATTGAGACTGTCATTCTGGTAGCCCCTCCAAGGGCTGATGCAGCGCCTATGATCGCATATGTTGCCGGGGTTATGCAGGGTACATCTGGCTGACAACTTTCGAAGAGAACGAAAGTTGGAAATGCAGCTTGCCACATCTCAACAGCGATTCCAAGCGCACGACCAAATAATGCACCAATTGCCAGAGAAGGGAGAATTATGCCTGCCGGTATCTCCAAGCCGAAGCTTACAGATGCCAAGCAAAAGCCACCTATAGCTGCCAAAAGCAGTAGTGCAATAACACCGAATGATGCCGCACCGGTCTTGCACAAATCAAGCTGATCATCTGTCGTCGTTGCACACTCGGCAAAGAGCTGATACACCAGCTCTGATGATTGCGCTCTCATGAATTTGTTTGGAAAATTCACCAGAGAACTGATGACTGCGACCAAAGCTACTTCGAGGAGCGGAAAAGCCCAGCCTCTAGACTTGCGCCATCTAGCTATCTTCATATTAAGCTTGATAAACAGTCCTCCATACAAGCCACCGACAATGCCGAGTATCATAAAAGGTATTATTTCGAACCGATGCCATCCTCTGGTATAGGTCACTTGGTAAAGCACAATCTTGCCAGTGTGGAAAGGATTTAGCGCCTGCAGTGTGACGGCAGCAACGGACGCACACACGAAGCTTTGCCACATTGTTTTATCCGGAAAATAGTAAGAGAGTTGCTGCATCATTCTATTAGCAACAAGCCAGGAATAAATGCAGACAAGAACGCATACCTCCAAACTGAAAAGTACACCACCGATTGGTGCGCCGAAAGCAACAGAAATACCTGCAGCAGCAGCAGCGGATAGAACCTCTCGTTTTCGAGCTGTACGAGTTAGTTTGTGACTTGGGGTAGTCCTCATTTTGGTCGCTTACCTTCATTATTATTCAGAGTATCGAATGCCTTCATGAGAATGTTCGCACAACAACATGCGACATGCACGAGAGGACCTTCTTTGCCTACCCACATGCCGGAAGCAACCACAAGGCACTGTGAAATCAGTACACAACTTCAATGACAAGATGTCTGGTTCGACTTACCAACCCTAAAGATTTGATGGCCAAAGTCCATCCACCCATGAAACGCTTCATGACGAAGCCGCCCAAGACTGTTTTGATCTCAGGAATACCACTGTGTTTGGCGTATGGGGCGTAACTTCGTACTAATATACAAGCACATGTTGCAAAAAGGACCTGGCACGACAGCGTCAGCTTGAAGTTGGCATCGGGGCAAATGTCTTGACATACAGCAAACATTAGAAAGAGTATATACTCCACTACATAACCTCCGCCAGCAGAGGTTACCTTAAAGGCCTTTCTCCATGGTATCCATCCCGAACACTCCGCAAAATCTATGAAGATTAGTCAAAGTGCTTTGACAGACCTATTCTCCTTGGAGATTACCTTCATGACCCCAGCAACAGAATCCACGATTGAGATAAAATTGGCTGAAGCCTTCTTCCCCTTTGCAGTAGCCGGTTTTGATATCACTTAACCAATCGCTCGCAATATCTATACCGGCCGCAAGTAGACCAACTGCGATGCCTGTGGCGACTAAGACCACCCAGACATGACTCCCATCCAATAATTGACGCAAATGACCTAAAACGCCTTGTCCCGTCGAGAATAGAAGTCGTTTCCTTTGGCGCTCCTTGGTATACTCAAAAACCCAATCAATCGCAGTCATATCATCGTATGCTAACCTCCGGCCTGGTCCTTCAACGTACCAATCGAGAGGTCCATCTTCTTTGAAAGCGCCAACACCACCATTGGTGGCCGCCGCGGTTGGGTCGTCTGCAAAGTTCGACCAGTCGTTCAAATTTGCATCTTGATTTAACGAAGCCGCAGGGATATGAGATGTACTGCTGCCAGAGCCGGAGAATACGTTTGATAGGCTGAAGCGTGCAGGTTGTTTTTGTTTGCGCTTGAAGGATATTCTGGTTTCATATTTTATTAGCATCAAGGATAGTGGTACACTGCATGTAAAAAGTACATACGGCTCTGGATCGTTTTGCGCAAAAGGATCCTCCGCAAAAATGGCTTCATCCTGTTCATAGTTTGAGACCGGATCGTCGTCTTCGGACTCATTTGCATATGCGTGCCGCGCAGAAGAGCTTAATCCCACATCACCGGAGATGGGAGTTGCCAACGACATGACTCGAACTAAACTGACCACATCGGCGTAGAGCGCAGACCAGTCTGCTGATGAAGTAAAGGGCTAATGTGGCATAGAACACGAATCGGCGATGTGTTGATGTTGACCTCGACTGTCTGTAGTCGACGGTGATTGGCGCGAGCTGCCACTTCCCTAAGCTCCTCCGACAAAGGCGGTGAGGAATAACCAAAGCGGTGGTCCCACAATTGAAACGGCAGAAAAAGATCTCCAAAAAAAAGTTTGGTGATTCCGGAGGAAGAAATTACTCAACTTCTCAGCCTTCATTTACTGGAGGGCTTTGATGTTTGTTGAGATAGGCCGTGACGATGGAGGAGCGACCTGTCTATAAATTAGAGCTCTCAGAAGCCGCGACTCTCCGTCGGTTTCCACACGAACTAGCAGAACAACTACGAAATGCATCTGGATCGCAGTTCTTGGATGCGCTTGCCCTGGCGGCACTCGAGCCGGGCAATATCGAATACATTTTTGCAACATATGAGGCTCTGATTGTCGACTTGGCCTCCAGATGGTTGGATTTAGATCCTCAGCTTCACTATTTGAACATACTTTCAGCATTTTCTCGAATACTGCCGTTCGCGCCGCATCTTCGATCTTTTGCCCGCAGATATGCACAAATGCACTTGGAATCCTTCAGCAGCTCTATACTCAGCTTTGACACTACGACGATACGAAGCGCTTTATTATGTATATTCCGTCTTTCATCCTTCGACGTGGAATCCTTCTCCACCGTTATCTCACCGATTCAACTCCAATCCCTCTTTAAACACCCAGACAACTCCGTGCGCTATTTGGCGGTTCGATGTTTCTGTTATTATATGCGATCTGGAGATGCAGCAACACAAAGGATGGTCACAACGCATATCGGTGCGGGAGCTATTGACGGTCCATGGGAAAATACTACGGTTGATTATAGGCTCCTTGGTTTATGGGAGGAGCGCCGGTGGCAGTTTTTCAAAACCGAACTGCGCACGAAGCGAACTAAATCTACGGCGGATGTAGCACCGAAATTAGTGGAGGTTTACATGGACAGTCTCAGCCACCGCGCAGCTGATATTGGCGGAGTTTTAGTCCCCAAAGTGCGATGGGATATACCTGTCCCGGAAAGCAGTTTGGTAAAGACAGAGACAGTCACGGACAATCTCACGAGGATAGCAACCGCCTTGCTTGAACAAAAACCACTCCTTCTTGTCGGACTGCCCAATTCAGGAAAGACCTCTTTGGTCAATGACATAGCCAGAGTAATGGGGCAGGGACCGTCCATGGTAACACTTCACTTGAACGAACAAACTGACGCTAAAAGCTTGCTCGGCATGTACGCGACATCATCTTTGACTGGTACATTTTCGTGGCAACCTGGTGTGCTTACTAAAGCAGCTAAGGAAGGTCGTTGGATCTTGATAGAAGATCTGGATCGCGCACCATCAGAGGTTATTGGCCTGATGTTACCGGTCATTGAAAAGGGGGAGTTGATTATACCCAGTCGCAAAGAAAGGATCAAATGCGCCGATGGATTCAGAATCATTGCTACTATGAAATCTTCACTCAATAGCAAAGGTGAAGAGGTTGCTCCAAGCCACGGTCTTCTTGGAGCTAGGTTGTGGAATAAGATACAAATAAATTCCTTGCCTTTAAGTGAAGTCCGCCAAGTTCTTCTTGAAAAATATCCATTGCTTGCAACTCGGGTTCCCACCTTAATCGACATTTACGACAGGCTGTGCTCTGCATTCCACAGCAGCTTTGCCGCTAGATCTGCCCAAGGAAGGACACCTGGATTACGAGACTTGATCAAATTATGCAACCGCCTGCACAAACGACTTCTACGCCTTGGGGTAACGAGGGGAAATGAGGCCACACCTGAGAGTTTTCAGGATGAGATATTCCTTGATACAGTGGATGCCTTCATTCGTTACTTGCCTGATCGAGACTTCGGCCACAGGCTCAGCTCAATCATTGCCGAAGCTCTACAGCTGTCTCCTCAGAGAGCCAATTACTGCTTACAAGAGCGAACTCCTCCCTATGCCGATCACGAAGACAGATTCTCCGTTGGCAGAGAAATCTGCACGAAAATGAAAGTCACGAAGACAACAAGAGCTCGGTTCAACAAGTTATCATCTCGTTTCGCCCCGACAAGAGCCGCACTGAGAACAATGGAGCAAATTGCAGCTGCTGTCCAGGTATCAGAACCGGTGCTACTTGTTGGTGAAACAGGTATCGGTAAAACAGCAGTCATCCAGCAGCTAGCAAATTTGACCTGTCAAAAGTTGACAGTGGTCAATCTTTCTCAGCAAAGTGAAAGTACAGACCTTTTGGGTGGCTTCCGGCCCGTTAACTTGCGTTCAATGGCTGTTCCCATATTAGACGAATTCAATCAGCTATTCGAACAAACCTTCTCAGCCAAGAAGAACCAGAGATTTTTGTCTTCTGTTACCAAGAGCTTAACAGCTGGAAACTGGCCTCGTCTGGTTAACCTCTGGCATGAAGCCGTTCGCATGGCTGACAGTGTCTTTTGTGTTCCCAAAGAGTCCGAACAGAATGCCGAAGAACAGCCGGCGAAGAAACGAAAGCTAGATTCCCCGAAGTATGCTGCGCTGAGGGATAAGTGGGAAACTTTCAAAGTTCAACTAAGTGATTTCGAAGCTCAGGCAAGCAGGGGTGACTCGAAATTCGCATTTGCCTTTGTTCAAGGAAAGATTGTTCGGGCCCTCCGCAACGGAGAATGGGTCTTGCTAGATGAGATCAACCTAGCAACTCCAGATATTTTGGAAAATATTGCGAGCTTATTACACCACGGTGATGAAGGATTGCCTTCTGTTTTGTTATCCGAAGCTGGAGATGTGGAACGTGTATATGGTCATTCCGGCTTCAGGATATTCGGCGCTATGAACCCTGCCACAGATGCCGGCAAGAGAGATTTGGCCCCAGGCTTGCGATCAAGATTTACCGAGATTTATGTTCACTCTCCCGATGTCGATTTTGATGATCTGCTTGGATTGATACAGACCTACCTGGGTAATCTAGCTCAAAGTGATCTCCGTCTTGCTTCTGACATCTCCAGTCTTTATCTTGCCACAAAAAAATTGACTCTTGAGAACAAGTTGACTGATGGTGCGGGTCAAAAGCCGCATTTCAGTATTCGTACGCTGGTGCGTACATTGGTCTACATAACAGACCATGTGCATAGTTATGGTCTTCGGCGAGCCGCTTATGAAGGTTTCTGCATGAGCTTTTTGACCCTTCTTAGCCAGGAATCAGAGAAACTAGTCGTCCCTTTGATTGAAAAGCATGTTTTCGGCTCTACTAAGCACGCAAAATCATTGCTTGGCCAGATTCCTAGAGCCCCGGAAGATGGCAGCGAGTATGTGCAGTTCAAGCATTATTGGATGAAGAAAGGTCCTTTTATCGCGGAGAAACAACCGCACTATATCATCACTCCCTTCATTGAGAAGAACTTGAAGAACTTGCTGCGTGCAAGTTCCACTCGTCGATTTCCTATTCTTCTTCAAGGCCCTACTTCGTCTGGTAAAACGAGTATGGTCGAATATCTCGCAAAAGTTTCTGGCAACAAATTTGTTCGTATCAACAATCACGAGCATACTGACTTGCAAGAGTATCTTGGTTCCTATGTTTCGACAGACGATGGGTCTTTGAAGTATCAAGAAGGTGTTCTCGTGGAAGCGCTCCGGAACGGTTACTGGATTGTGCTTGACGAACTCAACTTGGCGCCCTCAGATGTTTTAGAAGCCCTCAATCGACTTCTTGACGATAATCGAGAACTCTTTCTACCAGAGACACAAGAAGTGATTCAACCTCACCCAAATTTCATGCTTTTCGCTACTCAAAACCCTGCTGGTCTGTATGGCGGACGTAAAGTTCTTTCCAGGGCGTTCAGGAACCGTTTCCTTGAATTACATTTCGATGATATTCCAGAGGACGAATTGGAGTACATTCTCAGGGAAAGAACGCAGATAGCCCCGTCTTTCTGTTCTAGGATTGTATCTGTGTACAAGAAACTCTCAGTTTTGAGACAGTCTACTCGCCTATTTGAACAGAAGAACAGTTTTGCAACGCTTCGTGATCTTTTCAGATGGGCGCTTCGTCAAGCAGATGACCGTGAGACACTCGCTATCAATGGTTTCATGCTCCTTGCCGAGAGGGTACGAAATTCTTCTGAACGTGCGGCTGTCAAGAAAGTTATAGAAGATGTGATGAAAGTGAAGATTGATGAAGATGCCATTTACGGTTTGGCTGAACTCGAAAGGAGGGCGGAAGGCAAAAGTTCTCTATCCCAAAACATTGTGTGGACAAAAGCCATGAGGAGGGTCTTTGTACTTGTCTCTGAAGCTCTTCGAAACAACGAGCCCGTCCTCTTGGTCGGAGAAACAGGTTGTGGTAAAACTCAGATCTGTCAAGCTGTAGCTGAGATTTATGGCAAGGAAATGTTCATTGTAAATGCTCATGTCAATCTCGAGACTGGAGACATTGTTGGTGCACAAAGGCCATTGAGAAATCGATCTGCTATAGAACGGCAATTACATGATGATCTTGCAAGTGTTCTATCGAATTCGCCGCATACTGAACCAGAAACGTCAACCACAAGCTTGGAAGACCTCAAAACTGCCTTTGCCCAGCTTTCTCCAGAAATACTTGAGGAGGTGCCCTCCGAGCTACTCAGTCGCATCAAGACAAACACCACACGATCCCAGGCACTTTTCGAGTGGTCCGATGGTAGCCTCATCACAGCCATGAAGACTGGTCAATACTTTCTCTTGGATGAGGTGTCTCTTGCTGATGACTCTGTTCTCGAAAGACTCAACAGTGTCCTTGAGCCTCACAGATCACTTTTGCTCGCCGAAAAAGGCCCGGTTGATTCTCTGGTAGTGGCGCAAGACGGCTACCAATTTCTGTCAACCATGAATCCAGGAGGAGATTACGGTAAGAGAGAACTATCTGCAGCTCTTAGGAATCGTATGACGGAGATATGGGTCCCTCAACTGTCGGAAGAAGAAGATATTCTGCCAATCTTGAAGAATAAGCTGCGGTCCATGGATGAACAGAAAACTAAGGCCATGCTTCAATTCGCGAAATGGTTCAAGCAAGTTTTCCAAGGGTCGTCGACTTCTTCCGTGTCAATCCGTGACCTACTTGGCTGGGTAGAGTTCATCAATAAATGCCCGCCATCAAATCCAGATTTTGCAATCGTTCAAGGTGCATCCATGGTCTACATTGACACGTTGGGTGCCAATCCGTCTGCAATGTTATCCACCTCAACGGATAGCATAGCCCAAAGCCGACAAATGTGTCTTGAGAAAATGGCTTCGTTGCTGGAAATCGACGCCGTTCGAATATACAATGAGAAAGCAACAGTCTCGACGCAAGATGGTAGCCTTTGCGTCGGCCCTTTCAGACTGCCAGTTTCTTCGAATTCGTCTCCAGATCCAGACTTTGTCATGGATGCCCCAACGACAGTTGCCAATACTGTGAGAATCGCCCGCGGTCTACAGACATCGAAACCTATCCTACTCGAAGGTAGTCCTGGAGTTGGAAAGACCACCTTGGTTGCATCGCTCGCTCGTGCTCTTGGCAAACCTCTCACTCGAATAAATTTGTCAGACCAGACTGATCTCACTGACCTCTTTGGCTCGGATGTGCCTGTAGAGGGAGGCGATGTCGGTCAGTTCGCTTGGCGAGACGCACCATTTCTGCAAGCAATGCAGAAGGGAGACTGGGTTCTTCTCGATGAGATGAATCTCGCGTCTCAATCCGTGCTGGAAGGTCTCAACTCATGTCTTGACCATCGTCAGCAGGTCTATGTGGCTGAACTCGACCAGACATTCAAGAGACACCCGGATTTCGTTCTGTTCGCTGCGCAAAATCCTCATCACCAAGGTGGTGGCAGAAAGGGTCTTCCTGCATCATTCGTCAATCGATTTACTGTCGTGTATGCGGATTCTTTCAGCGATACTGATTTGAACAGTATTTGCACGAAACTGTTTCCGCGAATTCCTGCCGATCAAATATTCAACATGGTTGAGTTCATGTCAAAGCTGAACTGGGCTATTGACCATGATCGAGAATTTGCCAATATTGGTGGTCCTTGGGAGTTAAACCTTCGAGATATCATTCGATGGTTCCAGCTTGCTGGTCGCGAGGACGCACATATACCTAGTGGATATTTCCTCGAGAATATCATCAGTCACAGGTTTCGCACTGAAAAGGATCGGTCTCTCATATCTTCGGTCTTTGAGCAGTCCTTCAAAATACCTGTACCTGAGAAGTCGTTTTATCATAATCTGACTGCCGAGAAATTTCAAGTTGGACTTGCGACAATGCCTCGACGACAACTGGAGCAGAATATCACGGATCTGGACATCAAGATACTACCTGCCCACCTTCCAATTCTCGAGTCTCTGATTTTCTGTATAGAGAGAGCTTGGCCAAGTATTCTCGTGGGACCTTCAGGTTGTGGAAAAACAACAACGATTCGCACACTCGCATCTATACAGGGAGCCGAGCTTGTGGAGTTAGCTTTGAGTGCTGACACAGACACCATGGACTTGATTGGAGGTTTCGAGCAGATTGACTATCGCCGACAAACACAGTCATTAGCCAAGGATGTGGTGAAATTCATACACCGTCAAATTATGCATTCTGTCACTTCCGAGTCTGCTACAAATTCGAATACATATCTGTTGGAAACCTATCATATCTGCAGCAATCCTGAGATCAACACAGAAACACTCGCGCATGTCATCAATGCCTTACAGCCGCATTTTGATACGCAGGCTTTCAAATGGCTCGCGGAACGATGCACCGCGTTGGTCCAGACTTACAAGGACGCACAGAAAGTGGGTTTTGAGTGGACAGAGGGAGCTTTAACTGAGGCCATCCAGCTCGGTCATTGGGTCGTGTTAGACAATGCAAATCTTTGTAACGCATCGGTCCTTGATCGATTGAACTCATTGATGGAACCGAACGGTTACTTGGTGTTGAACGAACAACGCACGGAAGACGGCTCTGCTCGGACAATTGTTCCACATCCCAATTTCAGATTGTTCCTTACCATGGACCCAAGAAATGGAGAGTTGTCTCGAGCTATGCGTAATCGATCTGTCGAAGTCTGTTTCTTGTCAGAGTCTCCAGTAGCTGCATCTTCCAAACATACACCATCATTTACTCTTGAGTCGGCTTTGTACCGCCTACGCTATGTTTGGCACTCCGATGCCGAGTCGAAATCAGTTGTGGCAAATCAATCATTAGGCATTCGTCTAGACCACCTGGAGATGTCGGATCTTTCCTGTTTCTATAATTCACTTCGACAACTAGCGGCATCCTTCCCTGTTACAGAGCAGCTCAATGCTGCCATGGAAGTCCTTGATCGTTATGCCAAGCTGGTTGAAGATAATTCTCAATGGAAGCTACTCTCATCTTTGAGATCTGGGACTGGTGGACAGGGAGCTAAGCTTGTGCACCCTCTTATCGACGAGCCACGACTGACCCGGCATCCGAACCTTGCTGATAGATCAGCAATCATCTCTCGGCTGCAAGATATCAAATTAAGCTTGCATCAATTGCAACAACGTTTGGCTCATTCGCACCAGAATTCCCAGCATCTCAAACCATCTCAGATGACAAGATTGGAACGCTCATTTGCTTCAAATAGGATATCAAGTTTGATGAAGGATGACACCCAGGCAGTGAGTTCCTTTTTGACGGACTTTGTTCAAACTTCATACGATTTCATTCAAGGTCTTGAAAGCGACTCTGAGTTTGTCAGTGGTGCCGTGTCTGCGTTGAAAGGGTTTACCAGATTCTGCTGGGATATCTATACTGTCACCCAGGTCAGAGAGCTCAATGAAGGTGTCTTTCAAATCTACTTGCAAATCGGCCAACAAATTTTGTCATCTGCTGCTGAAACTCAATCCGCGCTCTCCCCGTTGTTTTCATCTCTGGCCCAGCTTCTTGGTCGTTTCAGGTCAACTTGGGCGTTGACAACAGGATTGAGCATGCGGAGGATTTGGGATGCTTGGAGACCCGTCACTTGCACTGACATTGAGCAGCTGCACTCGCTCCTTGATCTGGAAAGTGTGGTTTCTGAGTTCAACAAGATCGCGCTTCAAACGAGGTTGAAAGTTTCGCAACTCGGTTTAGTCCGGAAGTCGTTGATCGAAGCACAGAATGCAATGCTTCTTAACAATGCGGATGGCAAGCTTCTTGTGCCAAGTCTAAAGCAACAAGTCACTGAATTGGTCTCTGCAACTCAATTATACTCATCATCCCAACCTCCACACTTCTTGCAGGTCTTTGAGAGTATATGTGAGTACCACGATCTGCCAATGCTGTGGAACGAGAGTCAAATTCAGCAACATGGCTATCTGAACGAAACATTACCGCTCCTTGCCGGAAGGCCGGCCTACTCTACAATACCGTTCAATGAGAAGTCCCCCGTCTCCTCTATTCTGCACAACTTAGCTCTTTACAATGGCTCTGAGGGGTCCGCAGGCGCAGTATCACCCTGGTCTTCGCTATTTTCTATTAATGTGTTGCAACATGTGCAGCGTACTAGTGAAGTTCTCCTAGGCCGACTCGACTTCTTTCAGAGCGAGCTTCATGCTTTGGTTGAAGCGGTAACGTACAGTTCTCGCGAGATAGCACTTTCTCAGAGCTTGCTACTGGTAAGGGTGTTTGCGCGTGTGATATTGGAAATTCTGTCTCTTCACCAAGATTTCTTGAACACGGTTATTCTTGAAGATGTTGTCGTTGCGTTACGTAAGGTTGAGAAAACTGGCACTTTCCATCGGCCGGTGCCACAACTTGAGCCTGCAATCGACCTGCCGCCAAACCATTTCTTCAGGCAGTTCGTCGACGATCTTTCAAAATGCGTTCAGACGCTTGCAAGCATTCAAGATATGTCATCTGTGAGCATTCTGTACGAATTGGGCTACGTATGCGTCCAACTTTCCGTTATCTGTCTCCGTCTCTTTGTCCCAGATAAACCATACGACCCTTCGCTAGGTCTAGTGGTCGAAAGACAACGCCACGCTGAGCAGGTGTTGCAATTGACCACCGAAGATGAAGCTCTGGCTACTTTCGAGCAGGAATTTTCCGGTCGAACTTCCAATCTCCGCCGCCGATTGATCAAGGAAGAGCTACAGAAATTGGGATCAATGCCGCCTGCCTCTCCTGTTAGTCGCCCGGCCAAATCGCGACACATGGAATTGTATGGCGAGTTAATGAATTTGCACAACTCCGTGCTAAGCAGAAACCCCGAAACGTTTGGCGCTGCCGAATTCAAACAGTATGGAAAGCTTTTGAAGGACAACATTCGTCTCATTTGCGCTCGTCTTCGGGAGAATTTCAGAGTCTACGACGATATCACCGTTCTAGTCACTCGTTTCCTTGCAATGCTTGACTTGGGAGCGTCGCTATGTTTGGGTGCAACGAGCAAAAGTCAGTCTAAAATATCCAAGATCATTACTCAGACCACTCCATTCATTGGCGGTAAGACACATGCTACAACAATCTTCACAGCTGGCTCGTCGAAGAATCAAATCAAAGTGCAGATGCATCAACTTTCATCACTTGTTCTCCATCACGGCGCCAACTCATCTAGCCTAGCTTCGGAGGCTGGCATGTCGCTTCTGAAGGATATTTTACAATCTCTTCATTATGTCTGGAAAACCCAACTCATGGAAGACCAGAAGGAAGCCGCAGAAAAATCTTCCACGTATCGCTACAAGGGATCATATGAGGATAGTGAGGAAGTTGACGAGATGGAACTCCGCGAGCTGTTTCCTGTCTATGACGGCAACGAGCAGGAAGATTCAGATAAGAGTCGAATGGACATCCAATCGATTTCTCTCAAGTTGACCGAACTGCATGCGGCCATCTTTGCACCTGGAGATATTGAAGCAAATTTGAGACAATTCATTGTTGAGTCCACGCGTCTGCTTGGAACATTGAGCAGCGGAGAAGAGTCGTGTTCAGCGCCAAAGTCTTACCTTCCTGGTATCCTGTTGGTACTCAAAGACGAATTGAAATCCTACGAGAATGTTTCCCCGAGACATTATAACTTTTACCTGGATGCGAACATTGCAGAGGCCAAACGCCTTGTCACACTTGTGCTTTCTGTGCGATCTCGATTTGTCCAGTTGCAAGCAGCATGGCCTGATCATGCAGCCATTCATGATGTCTTGGTCTGTTGTCAAGAGATTTTGCAGTTCAAACACTTGGAGCCTGTTGCCAAATATATCACCAAGTTGGAGAAACTACATGGTCTTGTTCATGAGTGGCAATTGGTGGCTAGCAAAGAATACACTGCTGCCTCGTTATATGACGAAATCACGGCTTTGACCATTAGCTGGCGACGCCTTGAGCTGTCAACTTGGGCCAAATTGCTCGATTTGGAATTTGAGAAGTGCGAGCAAGCCGTCAGCACCTGGTGGTTTGTGGCGTATGAGGCATTCATCGCACTGCCGTTGCAAAAGACCGAAAATGGTGAAGATCTCAAGGACTATACGACTGAAGCCCTTCACACCCTCGAATCTTTCCTCAAATCTACCACGATTGGTCAGTTTAGTGCACGTCTCAGATTGATTGAGCAGTTTAGATCATTGTTACTGCTGTTCACGAAACAAAATCCAGTCTTAGGGTGTATTGTCTCGGCTCTGGAGAACTTCTTGTATCATTACAGACCGTACGAACCCGTCGTCAACAAGACGTTGGAAGAGAAGCGGAAAGCCCTTGACAAGGACGTCAAAGAGCAGATTCAGCTTGCCAGTTGGAAAGATACAAACATCACGGCTTTGCGTGAGAGTGCTCGGCGCTCGCACTACAAGCTGTTCAAATATGTTCGAAAGTACAGGGAATTCCTGGCTCAACCCACCGACCCGATACTTCAACAAGGTATGCCAGAATTGCAAGGGCAAGTAGTGGATACCCAACCAGCCAACCCACTTTCAATCGCTCTCTGGGATCCGTCTGATGCTCTTGCGGTCTGTGAACAGTCCGATCTTCTATGGGCTACCCGAGCTCCTCGATTCAAGGATCCGTCAACTACTGCTGCGAACATGTTGCGAGTCTACACATCCTCATTATCTGATTTGGACATTCCCTCGCAATTGAGCAGCTTCGTCACAGATGTACTTGAGACAGTCAAGTCTTTCAAGTCCGAGACTCCAGGCACTTTGACTGAAGCAAATAAGGAGGATGTGCAGCACCTCAAGACTCAGAAACGTCGCTTTTATGCCGAAACACTTCGTCAACTACACTTCATGGGCATAAGACGGAACGTGAGCACCGTGTTCATTGAGGAGCAAGCCACAGTTAACCAAGTCCTTGCTACTACACCTAACATCATACTTGAGAATGGGCCTGCTGCTTCAATTACTCAAAGTGCAGACTCCTACTTCCACAGATTCCTTGATGTTCTCCCCAATGTTAGGAAGTACTCGCGCGAATACAATGAGGACCTGAATCCGACTGAAGTGACAAGAAGTATCGGATCTGCCGAGGGCTTTTTGGTGTTGATCAGAAAGCAAAGAGAAAGCCTCGCGCCGACGATCAAGCACCTAGTAGATCTCAAACATACGTCCACTGGTATAAAGATACTCTGGACTCATGAACCTTCGCATCTTAGACAAGACAATCAGTCAGGCCTCACCGAACGAGAAACAGCTTTCAAACGTGTCTCTTGGCTAATTCCTCTCCTTGGGGTTGGAAAGGAGATTGTGGAAATTCATTCCTTGTACTCGGGTTCAGCCAGCGTTGCGGGCACTTTCGGACTTTGGAAAGATGCACTTGCTTGCCTCAAAAATGAAATCGAGCAACTGCCACGTCTCCCTGAAGGTCTCACATCCCAAGTCACGATTGATACAGGGCGTGAGGTCATGCAGAGCTTTACGCGACTTAGCTCTGAGTTCACCGCACTAATCGAAGACCGCCCAGATCTGTCATTTATCCTTGAGCAAGTGATATCTTGGCTAGAGATTCCTGTTCCTGTTGATGCACCATCCACAGTCTGTGATTTGATGATCGACAGCTTGAATGATCATTATCTCTCTGCAGTTGACAAAATTTTGGTTGCATTGCAAGGAGTCAAGGGCTCTCTGGCCTCCCTGCCATCTGACATGGAGGACAAAGACTGGCTTTCTCGCACGGATTCTTCGCTTTCAAGAGCTCTTAGGGATCTACACATTGAGGAAATCACGACGTCTCTAAACTCTGTTCTTAAGAAGCTTCAGTCTCTGCAGAACGCTGGATCGAGCCTGCCTATCGCAAGTGCCATTATCGCAAGCTTGTTGCCGATAACAGAGCAATTTTACAATATTTGCGAAGACATGAATAGCCGTTATCTCGAAGTTCATCGGGAAGTGTGTAAGATGTCCTATGTTCTCTCAAAGTCATTTACACAAATTGCATCAGAAGGCTTCTGCAGTCCTCGTGAAGCCTCCAATACTGAGGAAAGCGGATCGGGCAAGGTTGAGTCTGGAACGGGTCTAGGTGAAGGCGAAGGAGCCGAGGATATTAGCAAAGATATTCAGGACGATGAAGATCTATCCGAGCTCGCGCAAGAAAAGAACCAGGAAAAGTCAAAGGATGATGTTGAAAACTCCGAAGACGCCGTGAACATGGATCAGGAAGACCTCGAAGGCGAGTTTGATGAGGAACAGAAGGAAGAAGAAGGTGAAGACAAGGAAGACGGGTCAAACGAAGAAGAAGAGGACGATGAAATAGATGAAGAGGTCGGCAGCGTCAACGATCTTGACCCGAATGCCGTTGATGAAAAGCTATGGGACGGTGCGCATGATGAACAACAGAAGGAGACGGAGAACGAAGAGGGCAAAGGACAGACCGAAAGTGATGAACAAGCTGCAGCCAACGACAAGAAGGAGCAAGATCTGAAGGACCAAGAAGAAAAGGGCGAGGATGAGCCAATGGATGGAGAAGAAGGGGACGAAGGAGAAGAGGCTCCCGAAGATGAGGAAGAGACGGGTGGTAGAGAAGAGCTCGATGTCACTGATCCGCACGCCAAGGAAGAGCAGACTCTTGACCTTCCAGAGGAGATGCAGCTTGATGGGGATGGGCAAGAGGAGGATGATCAGGACATGAGTGATGATGGAATGGATGAGTTATCGGACTTTGAGCCTGCTACTGAAGATAAGGTGGAGGATATGGCTGAAGATGATGCTGAGCGCAGCGCAACTCCGGACCCAGGTGATATTGATAACATGGAAGAGGATGATCAGAATGAGGCTGAGTCGGGAGAGCAAGAAGACCAGCAAGAAGCCAATATTCCTGGCGAGGAAGAAATTGCCGAGGAAGAAGCGGAGCAGAAAGACAACAAAAATTTGGAGAAGGATGAAAACACTGCAACTGGTGAGAACCCTGAACAAAGTGATGAGATTACCGGTGGTATTGGTCTGGATACAGACACCAAGGAAGAAAAGGGTTCGTCAGGCAATGCTCAACAAGAAGGCGGCGCTGAAGAAGCTGGCTCAGAGGAACAACCAAACGGTGCTACAGAGGAGGATGCAGACCGGAAAAAGGCCGACAGCAGCGCTGGAGGAACGGGAGAAGACTCTCAGGATGATCCACAATCGGAAGCGTTCAAGAAATTGGGCAATGTTCTCGAAGAATGGCACCGTAGGCAGCGCGAGATAATGAACTCATCAAAGGACAAGGAGGAACAAACCCTGCCGCCGGATACTGATATGGCTGATGCAGAGTTTGAACATTTGGCAGATGAAGACGATGCTGCAGATACTCAGGCACTGGGCCAGGCTAGCGAGGAACAAGCAGAGGCATTGGACCAACAAAAAGGTGTCGAGACTGAGAAGCCTACCGCTACAGATGATGTCCCGCCTGAGGTTATGGACGGCGAAAAGAATAATCAGTCTGACGAGAACTTGCTAGACGACACAGCAATGGATCTTGATATAGCCGAAGCCAGTGCCACAGAAGGTGCTCAAACCGCCAAGCGCACTTTGGTCGGCGAGACGAACAAAGAACAAGATGGTGAGCAGCCAACAGAAGAAGAACTAGATGAGGTCGACACACATCTAGCAGCAATCCACCTTTCCTCGGCCAATGCGCCCAAGACATCCATCGATGAGGCACGAAAACTGTGGGCCCACTACGAAGCTGTCACGAACGATCTGTCTCTCTCTCTTACAGAACAACTCCGCCTCATCCTCGCTCCTACACTCGCCACAAAACTTCGTGGTGACTTCCGAACCGGCAAACGACTCAATATCAAGAAAATCATCCCGTACATCGCCTCCCAGTACAAGCGCGACAAGATCTGGATGCGTCGCTCAATCCCTAGCAAACGCAACTATCAAATCATGCTTGCCGTCGACGATAGCAAATCCATGCTCGAAAGCGGAAGTGGTCAGCTTGCATTTGAGACGCTGGCCCTCGTGGCTCGAAGTTTGAGTATGCTGGAAGCAGGAGATTTGTGCATCGTCGGTTTCGGAGACGAAGAACATGTCCGCGTGGCGCACGAGTTTGGCAAGCCCTTCTCGTCAGAGGCAGGTACTCAGGTCTTCCAGCAATTTAGCTACCAACAAACCGGCACAAACGTACGTAAACTTGTCGCCGACTCAATCGCCCTCTTCCGTGAAGCGCGCGCAAGGAGATCTAGTAGCGGTGGTAACTCCGCAGACCTCTGGCAACTCGAACTCATCATTTCAGACGGTATCTGCGAAGACCACGAGACGATCCGACGACTCGTACGCCAAGCGCAAGAAGAGCGGATTATGATCGTATTCATTATCGTCGACGCGACTTCAGGAAGCTCAATTCTAGATCTGACGCAAGCAAGCTTTGAGCCCGATGATTCTGCCATGGGCACGGGGGAGATGAAGCTCAAGATGAAGAAGTATTTGGAAGGATTCCCGTTTGCTTATTATCTGGTTGTCAGAGATGTGCGAGAGTTGCCGGCTGTTTTGGCGATGGCGTTGAAGCAGTGGTTTGCAGAGGTTGTTGATACATCTTCGTGATTTCTACCTAGGTACGGTACAAAAGTGCATTTATGGAGTTAGATAGGTTGCATGTTTAGGTGTTCTTGTTATTTACTTTATGTCATGCCCACATTGGTGCAGATGAGAAATGTATATAATTTCTTAGAATCGACTTTACCATATAACATTTGATGTGTACCAAGTCCAATTGATTACATGTAATGACTTTCTGCGTTCAAATATCAAACCGTAGTCTCCTGATATCGTACCAGTTGACTAGGGGTCACTGTGTTAAATTTGATTAGGGAGCAGCGGATCATTACATATAGTCATGCAGTCTTGGAACTTCATATACCTCTCTCATCTCAAGCTCTTTACGTACAGACGTCTTTTTTTAGCTCTTCTAGTCACTATTCAATCAATCTCATGCTACTATGTCCGAATGCGAACCATCAGATAATAAATTGATCGAGTATTGTCCATCGCGCAATGAGAGTCAACCTCTTGAAATGGGAAATATGGCAACTGAGTGGTCAGAATCTCCGATACGCGACTAGTCAAGTTCGGTCGAGGCGTCTCATATCATGAGGCAGTCAGTCAATAGAGGGCACTGGAGCTTGTAGATGCTCGGGTTGTGAGTGTCCCCCGAGTACAACGATTTTTCAGTGACGACGATGGGTGGAGACTTTAGTAATGGGATTTATCAAGATGAAGTCCACTAAACACTCACCAGATCCCAAATCAAGTGTGGCTGCTATTTTTCAGCATTTCAGCATTATCACAAACAATACTCCAGGTAGTCTTGGTGGAGCTGCATTGTATGACCTAGCTTTTTAGCATCATGAGAAGCCGTACCTATATCCTAATCGTCTAATTCGAAATCAAATTATACGACAAGATCAAAGCTAGAATAAGGCAGTTTCCTAAGCTCCTGAGTTGATGTGTTATTTTATGTATCACACGTTAGGGCTACCAGGTAGGTATGTTTATGAATTTTTCAGTCACGCCCTTTCAATTCAACGAATCGAACATGTTCTATTTCGAGAAAAAAGTACGTGAACGCCGGCCATGGAATATAAAAGTTTCATGTTTCGTAACTGCACCTTTTCGCCCTACAATGTAGATATTATTTTTTATCTGGACTTCGGATTGCTCTCCGTCCCTTTGCGCGTCGTAAAAGCGCCAAGTGAGGACTTTTGACGCTCATAATTGTACTGGGAGACATGATGGGGAGTGATTTAATAATAGTTGGCTTACTGCGAATCGAAATGAAACATATAACAACGAGTGTAATTGTGTGTGTAACTAATTACAAATATAGATAAAGTATTACATCACCATCCATACCTCGATCCAGCCTCCTTCTTATTCCTCCTCCCAGCTGCAAAACTATCCTCAAGCGCATCTTTCTGCGAACTCGCGGCCTGCACAAGCTGCCTCAAGGAATGCTTACCCGGTGCAATTGCTCTGACCGGATTATGTTGTTGAGCGGCAAGTTCTTCTTCCGTCGTCTTGGAAAGCATTTCCTGGTTCGATGCGTACTCTGCATCGGTGTTGAAGGTGAGTATTCGAGAGTTGGCTTGTGCTGCTGTACCGGGGTTTCGGCCTAGGAGTTGTCGCCGCTGGGCGCGGGAGAGGTTTAGGTCGTTGGCGATGGCGTCGAGGGTGGATTGTTGATGGGTTGAGGGGGTCGGGTAGGAGTTGGATGGTTGGGTGTGTTGTTCGAGTGTGGATATGTCTTGTTCTGCAGTTGTAGGGAGGTCGGAGAATTCGGGGCTGTAATCATATGCGTTTGTTGTTGTGATCGGTGTAGTCTTTTCTTCGCTTGAGAATGAGAAGAGGCTGACTTTAGGTTTTGCTGGAGCTGCGGCTGCAGGAATACTGGCAGCCGATTTGGAAATATCTTTCTCGGAAGAAAGATTATCTGAGCTGTTGGTCTTCTGTACAGCACTAGGAGTAGCAGCAGCAGCCCGTGCAGCCACAAACGCAGCTGACTTCTTCTTCGGCGCATTGCGTGCCACAGACAGAGGCTTAAACACCATCGCATTCCCCTTTTTCTTATAATCTTCCTCTTTCAATAGACTTCCTTCTTTCGCCTCATTACGCAAACTCCCCGCTTTCGGTATCGTATCATCCTCCGAGCCTGCTGTCGAAGCCTGGGTAAATGTCTGTTCCTGCCGCCACTCAGCGTCCGCTTGTCGATCAAATCCCGGCCCAGCACCAGTCTTCAAGTTAAATACTTTTGTATTTTTGCTCCCGCTCCCGCTAGATGTAGTTGGTAAGTTTGCGCGTTTCGGCGCTGGAAGGATGGAATTAAAGCCGGAAAATATTCCGCCGCCTGTTGTCCTGGGTTTTTTCCTTGCTGGTCCATCTTGATCATCTTCGGGGCCCTCAGCACTAGTTTCTGGTTTGATTGAGGGAAGCGCAACTCGAATTTTGCGTGGGTTTCCGCGGTCTACGATTGATGAGAATTTCTGGTCGGGCTGGGATGATTTTGTGTCTGGAGCTATTGTTTGAGGTTCGCTGACTGCTGGAGCGATGGGTTGTTTCTCGTCGTCAGAGCCCTCGGAGTCTGAGTATTGCACCAAGCCCATTTTGTCTGCGTTTATTGTAATTATGATCGTTGAGTGAATGTTCTTTGAGGTCGAATTAGTGAACGACTGAATAGATGCGCCACGGAGATCCACGTGCACGGACCATGCGGAGCGGACATTTTAGCTGGTTCCTTGCAACGTCGAGCTTTCCTCTTTTATTTACCTGCCAGCCACGATAACACGAGAACATCTTCTCTCGTTCATGTCCCTCGAGCATCATACCCACACAATCAATCTTTTTGAAATTACGAGAACCTGTCAGCATGAGGACGAGAACAAGATTCGCGTGATGTCATCAGTCGCATACCCCGCAAGCCCGTCGAGAACTCGTTCAAGACAACATGGATGGAACAGCTCAATCTAACAGCGAGCATGTATCCGACGGATGCAATCCTCTACGGGAGGAAGAGGCCAGAGATACAAAAATCGGAATAAACGACTCAGAATACAAATCTTCCCGATCCTCCAAATTCCGGTTCAAATCCTCAAAATCCCGTGCAAGAAACCACTCAAGCAGCCATGACAGCAGCGATGCAACTCACCACGAAGAGTACCGATCGAACCGTCATCGTCATCGGCACCACCATCGTCACCATCACAGCYCCCGCCACTCCCCAAAACGCCAAAAAACTGAGGGTGAGCCCACTCTCCGATCCCCCAGTGGTCGTCGCTCTTTATCCCCAGACACCGCATTCCGTGAATCACTGTTCGATGCTCTAGGCGATGATGAAGGCGCTATGTACTGGGAATCCGTGTACGGCCAACCAATTCATACCTACGCCATACCATCAGTCCCCAAAGGTCCGGACGGGAAATTGGAGCGCATGACGGACGAAGAATATGCCGAGTATGTACGAGCACGAATGTGGGAACGCTCGCATGAGGGAATATTGCATGAGAGAGAACGGCAACGACAGGAAAAAGCAAAGAATAAGAAACGCGCCGAAACCGAGCATAGAGAACGTGCTCGATTCGATGAAGCACTTGAAGAAAGTCTCAGACGGGGCGAGAAGCGGAGGCGCACTAAACAATGGAAAGAGGTGTGGGCGAAGTACTCGGAAAGCTGGGATGAGCTGGACAATTTAGCGAAAACACCGCCTTCTGAGACGGAAAAGAAATTCTTTATACGGAATCATATCCATTGGCCCGTTGAGAGCGGTAAGCGACGAGATATATCCCGCGACGAAGTCAGGGAGTTCATGCAGCACTCCCCCGCCGAGGACTTATTGAACACACTCAAAGCGGAGCGTATTCGCTGGCATCCGGATAAGATGGTTCAACGTTATGGCGGGTTGGGCCTGGGTGAAGAGAAGACGCTAGTGCAAAGCGTCACGGAGGTATTTCAGATTCTGGATGATTTGTGGATTGAGCAGAAGGGACGCCAGTCTTCATAGAAGGGCTCTAGACATGAGATGATGAAAAGGATTATATGATATGCGGGATGATAGGTTTAGACCAGGAGTTCGGTTTGTTTACTATGTTTTAGATGTTATAGTGATACCCCATAGATTTTAGCGATGACGATATTGCATCGCATGCAAGTATGCCCCCGACATTTCTTCTCGTATCGAACTAAGATTGGAATGGAATGTATTGAATGCATCGGACTCCATTCGTGACAGAAATCTCGTCATTGACAGTAAATTAATGAAAACGCTGAATAGCAGTATCAAAATACAACCCGACCTAACAGGACAAGACATGCATGCAGCTAGGGCGCTGAACAGACGACAACGAAACAAGATATAAAGCTAGACTGATATGATTTGTAGCACCATTTCATATGATGACTTTTTTCTTCGTTTTTTCATCCTTTAGGTTTTGCTTAAAAGCGAGATTGTCTCTGGCTAGACCGATAAATCGTATAGCCCACATAGGCTCCACCGACAGCGCCCAAGAACAAGAAAATCTTGAAAAAGAACCACAACCAGCCACCGGAAGAAGTAGCCTTCTTCCTGCCTCTACCACCGCGTCCACGGCTGGGAGATGCGCCGCCCCTGTTCCGGCTCGCAGAGGTGCTTGAGTCGTACAGGTTGTGCGTAGTCACGGAGATAATGTCGTGTTTGTCAGTGACTTCACCGGTCTCGCCGGAAAAGCCGAGGTATGTCACTGCGGGGATTGCGATGTTGGTATCTGATGCGCTGAGAGAGAAGCATTCGGTCCATGCGCCGTCAGATTTGTATTGGAGGTCGAGTGTGAGAGATCGGTCTTGGAAGTAGGTTAGGCGCGCTTTTGTGGGGACTGCGGCGTCTCGGAGACCGCGGGCCTGTCTGATGTCAGTTTCGATTATATCTTAGGGAGGTATGTGGAGAATCATACAGAGCACCCAGCCAACTCGTTAGCTTTTCCGTCATGGTCCTGGTCATACGTCGTCTGCCCATCACCCATCATGGCCATGACGTACGGGAACGAGGTACCGGGGCGATTGTTCTTGTAGGTATCGAAGAAGATACCTAGACCTTCGAATTTGTCTGCTGATCCAAATACGGGACCGGGTGTGGCACGGTTCTTGGTGAGCCAGAGCGCAAATCCATCGCCGTGGAAGTGGCCTGATCCGCTGATCTTGAATTCGAATTCGATCTACCGCCTATGTTAAATGCTTGTGGTCACGCGAGGAGGGATGAAGACAACGTACCTCCCAATTGGTGGCGGTTAGAGGGACGCGGGAGAATATCCAGCCTTGCTGAGACTGTCGTTCGGATGTGAGGCGGACGTATCTACTAGCATTAGCCACGCTTCAGCTTTATTGATTGACAGGCGAGCATACTGATCTGTACGAATAACAGTATCGCCGCCAAAATCCCACCATCGACTATGCATGTCGGAATCTAGATAGGGCTGCAGCCGGCGCAGTTAGTTATTTGTTTCTCGTAGTGTCATACTGTACAAGCGCATTATGTAGGAAGATCATACCGGAGCCAAACTATGAGTTCGTAACTATGCATTGCACTAGAGTAAGCATGTCTCGCGACGGATATACTTGTGTAGAGCTACTCACTGGAAGCATCTTCACATCAGTATTGTCTTGCCAATACTTGGTGTCTGCCGCCGTTACCGAGGCCAAAGCCAGGGCGGAGGCAGCCCACTGAGCGAACCACATATTGGAGATTGATCGAGCTGTCTGAGAGTCGGGTTGAACGAAGGGATACCTCTAAAGAAATTTGATTGATAGCGGAGTGATTGCAGGTGAGAGAGTATGAGCGAATGATAACTCTCAGCAATTGCTTTGGTAGTAGTCCCAAGAGAAAAAAGAAAAGGTAACGTCAAGGGCTCGCTAGAATGTTACACTGTAGGTCGAGGTGGAATGATCGTGAATGTTTACACAACAATGTCGCCGGGACATTCAATGGGTCCAAGACATCACCTTGGCTGGGCCAATGTGTCGTGAATGTAGAAGGTAAGAGGTAGAAGGTAGGTGAGCAGTCGTGGTAAAAGAGGGACACAGAATGTAGTTGTTACAGAAAGGTATGAAGCTGTTGTATGTAGTAAAGGTGTCCACTTGCAGAAGTGTGGCGCGTGCATCGAACTATTCGGGCTTTGGGGCCAATCAGCCACAGTTGAGCCGGTGACCTCACTACTTGTCAATGCACTAGGCCATTATGAGCTAGCGTGAACATACTCTATCGCATCTTAGCCGCAGCTTCTCAACTATCAAACATTTAACTAAATCAGACATTCATTTCATTCAAACAACACGCAATCATTCAATATCTCTATCCAATCCACACACGACGACAAAAAATGTCTTTCTTCGGTTCCTCCTCCTCATCCACCTCCCCGGCCTCCGAGCCCTCCTCCACTGAACTCAAAAATGCTCTTATCCAACAAGTCCAAGCCGAAGCAGCCACAGCCAACACCCGCATTCTCATCACTGTACGTATCCTTTCTTTAAGTTCTCTATAAGAGAACGCCAACTAAATAACCCTGGGGGAACAGAAAGTAAACGAAAACTGCTTCGACCGCTGCGTCTCCACTCCAGGCTCAACACTCTCAGCTGGCGAATCGACCTGTCTGACCACCTGCATGGAGAAGTACACCAATTTCTGGAATGCGACAGGCCGTGCATACGTTTCCAGAGTGGCCACAGAGTCGAAGAGGATGGGTGCTGGTGCGGATGTTTTGGGGGCTTTGGGGGCGTCGGAGTAGATCAGCCACTCTTCAACGAAAAAAAGTCAACGAAAAAATATTACGGACAGGATTGTTTGATAGAATATTGGTTGTGCTCAGGGGAAGGTTTTGGCATGGCATATGTATGATATTGGTTGTATAATATTAGATGGAACTTTCAACTTCTCATCAATGGAAGGACTTCAATTGTGATGACCAATCTTGGTCATTTGGGTATGAGGAATGCACATGCTTTAAGATCAGTCAAGTTGTCTCAGATTTTCAGTTAAGGTATAACAAGGTAGTGAATTACACTGCTCATGAATTTTACTGGCCTGTATCAACACATTCACGAAAGGTCCAAAATCATCATGCATTCATTCCTACCGTCTCTTCGGTCTACTACTTAGACTAGTTATATGCCACACACATCCAGATGTCACAGACTCCATAAAATTTTATCACATCAGTCCCAGAATCATCAATAGAAATCGATCATTTCACCAGCCAAAAGTCGAAACACAAAAAGACCAAACAAGAGTACAAAAAATCAAAACGAATCCGACCTAAACCCAAGTCCGTTGTAGATATGTTTAATAATATAATATGAGGTTGGTTATATCTAGATGTGAGCTTTCCGTGGACGGAAAAAGATATAGCAAATGTGGTGAGGTTGCAATAATCAGAATTCGGTGAAAAGGTTGTGATATCTGTGGCATGGTTAGCTAGACGTTGCTTTGCATACGAGGCGAAGAGAGTACGTACGGGTCTTCTCCAGTGCTGCCGTATGCTTCACTCTCTTCAGGATACTTGTCGAATTGACTAGCATCTCCCTGTCCAGCCCTCACGGGCGGAACATACGGAGCATCGATATCCTTTCTCAACAGCCTCTCCCAAGTTACTTCGGCGAACCAGGGATGGTTCTTGACATCTTCGGGGCCGCCGTGAAGGTTACCCAGTCTCTTTGTCAAATCTGGAGTGATGAGCTGCGACAAAAGATCGACGGCATCTGGATGCATGTAGGGAGGGTATTTAATTTTGCCTCGGAGAATGTTCTCGTATATCTTGACGGGGGATCCGCTGTCCCAGAACGGCGTGAAGCCGCAAAGCATCTCGAATATGAGAATGCCCAATGACCACCTAGCATTGTCAGCCATATTGGTTCGCCTTCGTATTGGGAGTCCTACCAGTCCACTGATTTATTATATCCCTTGGAGGATACAACCTCCGGTGCAAGATAGTCTGGCGTTCCACACAACGTCCATGTGATATCCGGGACTTCCTTGGCGAAGCCAAAGTCGGTAATCTTTAGATGCCCGTGCCGGTCCAGCAGCAAATTCTCGGGCTTGAGATCTCGGTAGATGATATGTTGCGCATGCAAATATTCTAACGCCAACGTCACTTCCGCAGCATAAAACTTGGCCACAGGATTGGGGAACCTCTGCAATTCATCAGCACATCTCCAACTACCTTCCAGCTTTCTAAGCGTACCTGCGATTTTCGTAGCAAACTGAAAAGCTCTCCACCCTCCACAAAGTCCATAACCATATATAGATTCTTCGAATCCTGAAAAGTGCCCCACAGCGTAATGAGAAACGGGTGCTTCACCCGTTGAAGCATCCTCCGCTCATCATTCGTGTGTTCCACTTGCTTCATCTTGACCACCTGGGCCTTTTTCAACACTTTGATCGCATAGAAGCGATGATTGTGTCTCGACTGCACCAAATGCACCCGGCCAAAACTTCCGGTTCCTAATGTTCGCTGCAGCGAGAAATCTTCTAGCGAATATTTGCCTTTGGTCTGTCGGGCTGATTGCGACTTGGGCAATTGGCCCTGTGATACACTGTTATTGTTGTTGTTCTCGGCTTGGCCTTGCGCCTGTGATTCGTTTCCATGTTGATGGTGCGTAGGGTTGATAATGCTTTTTATGCTGCCGATATTCGGCAGGTGATGGTGATTATGTGACGACGAATTATTCGCGCCTTGCGCATTTTGCTGGTTTGTTGACGATGTCAATGTCATCTGATTGTCKTTCGAGCCGGTTTTGATGTTGTTCGTCTCGGTGCCGGTCGAGCCAGCGCTGTTGTAGCTGTTATTGCTGTCGTTCGATTCCTTCGATTCCTTCGAATGCTGCTCCGACGTCTCGTCGCCGGGTTTGTCGGATGCTGATGTCTCTGTGGCTGATGAAGTGGACAACTCCTTCGAACCTGTCGAATGCGTCTTTTTCTTCTTGAGCAGGGACCCGAACGTCGGCATGAGATGCTTATGGCGGGKATTTTTCCAGACTACGATGAGTCTGAAAAAAAAAAAGGAAACAGAAATTATAGAAGAAAAGAAAATCAATTGGTGAATGACAGAGGACGGATACCCCTCAGACCAAGGTTGTGCAGAGCAGGTGGAGAAGAGGACGAGGCTACGTAATGTACTCTGTCGCCGACGGAAGAGGATCGCCCGGGACGACTGGTGCTATATAATTGGTGATTGCGAAGCTGACTGCACATGTGTTCTTTGATATAGATATCGAGGTAGATATGAATATAGAATAGTCTGGCCAGCAACGACTATACGTAGTAAGGTGAGTAGTGAGTGAGCTTGGTGGGATCTCGGGATCTACTTGTGGCGTCGCCGGATTGGCGTCGGTTCACACTTTGCAGTATGTAGCGTGCGTATGAATAGGCTGAAGAGCAGACTGCTCAACAAGAAGATGGAAGGACAGCAGACAAAGACAATTGGACAGGATCGGAGTGCAGTGCTATTGGCACCTATAGGTTGACGATGTATAGGCAGTGTGGTAATAGTAGTAAAGAGAAGATTGACGTACGGATCGATGAAGTCAGCAGGGCGGGGTCAGTCCGGAGTCCGTTTTACATCCTTCTTTATGATTCACTACTTTTGTCTTTTTGCTAATGTCTCATTTACACACACACATGCTCAATATTGAATGTCCTAGGACCAGATTTCTCATTTCCATTCCTCGTTAGCACGATACCGAGCAATGCCGAGAGCTGGTCATGGATGATGCTGACTCTAGTGTTGCCGTTTCCGGCTTGGTCACGGTCATCTTTGGATCTAGGTACTACATACATCGTCTGATCTCGACTGGAGTCCCGATGTGTCAATGATCGGATGACTGATCGACCTTGAGCTTATGTAGACCTTTTGTCTCTCTAATGAACGTAAAAAATCCCTTGTAATCAAATAGCGTAGGATACACTCATAATACAAAACGCCAGTCAGACCTAACAAACAGCCGCTTCTCTGCAGAACAACAAAGAAAGAGAGAATCAGCAGCAGCTACCACACACGGTACTGCTCCATGTTCTTCTTGATCTCACCCACAATCTCCGCTGCCTCCGCCTCACTGCGAGCCTCAAAGTCATATCGCTTCTGCTCATGCGCATCCGCTCCGCGGAGGACTACAACCTGGAAGCTCTTCGGGTGTCTCCTGCTAACTTTGGTGCCGACGATCTCGTTGAAATTGATCGATCGCGTCTTTCCTGTAGTATCAAACACCCCCTTTGCAGTTTCTCCCGGCATCACGTGTAAATAGTCATTGTCAAGAACCAGAACTCTTTGATTCGAAGCTGTAAAGGACATGGACTGCTTGCGATATACATAGTATCGCCGATAATATCCACCAACCAAATCTTGCTTCTGTGGCTGCGCAAGCGGATGTAACATTTGATGTTTTTTACCCTTCTTGAAAGGTACAGAAGTCGTACCGCCGATCTGAAGAGGCGCGTTAGGTGAGGCGCTGCCAGGCGAACCTGCGAAAGAGGCACCAGCCCCAAACCGGCGACGGACCACATCCAATTCAGACACGTTGCCGAGGACTTCGACAGTACGGTCCTGAAGCGCTTCAGTGTTGGTGCCTGATATCTTGAGTAGATAGTTGCCCTTATCTAGACCCCACCGCTTGCACACCGAATCGAGGATCTCGGCAATGTAGCTGTCGGTAGCTGTGTTCACGGTCGTGGTTTGTGTTGAGCCTTCAATGTTGACGAACCGGACCTTCAGTGTCTTCTGAACACCAAGACGAGGCGTGGCATGAGACGTGGGTGCGGGCATATCCGCCGGTTTCGATGTACTGCCATTCAATGCAGAGGTAAACGGTAGTCCAAGAATAGGATTCAGCCTTACCGCGGAAGGTATGGCTTTAGTTTGTGGCGTGTTAGTACTGGAGGTCTGTGGTGTCGCTTCACTGGTCTCGACGACAGGCTCTGGGTTGAACTGGGGATACAAACGAGAATATTCTTCAAACTCGGCATCCGTAGCTTCAACCAAAGCAAACTCGTCGTATTGTTTCCCTCTTGAACGGCCACGCATTCCAGCTGCCCGGTTATTGTTGGAAGTAAAATCAGCCAAGGGTAAGTGACGGCCCAGAGCTGGAAAATCAAAATCAACTTCGCCGTCTTCAACCATCCGCAGTGTCCATCGATTTACGTTCATTTTGCCGGGGTCAATTGCCGGCTTCAAGCCTTCTTTCATATACCTCCAAAGCGCTAGGCCAATGGCCTCTGTGACTGTGACCGGACCGGTACGACCTTGGTCACGAAAGTCTCGGAATATGGGCATGTTGTATGGCGTTTCAGGATCCTCAGAGAAAGGTGCATAGATCTTGATATTCAAAGCTCTATTGGAATCTGCAGCCCATAAAGGTCCAAACCTCTCGACCGGGTTGGTTGGTATAGCCTTTTTGGCATTGAGTTTTTCTGACAACAGGCTGACACACTGCACAGAACTGATGGGTCGTGGAGGAGGTAGTTCTTGCAATCCAGGGGTGGTCACCTTGGCCTTCCTAGGCGACGCGCCTTGTGAGTTTGCATTTGGTAGTTTGTGCATCATCGCGGGCGAAGAATCTAGAGTATCATTCAAGGGAACGCCAGCAAGAAGAGACGCCGAACCTGCGGTGACACCAAAATCCGACGATAGGTCTGAATCTACAGAGCCTGCCGCCGAGTCCTCATCTGGATCACCCAATTCCCCTGAAGGCGCTTCGCTATTTGCCTGGCCGTCATCTGCCGGCTCTTCTATAACTTGATGCTTAGATGAAAATTGAATCTGTCGCCGCCTGAAAAGAGCAGGATTGTCGCCTTCTGACATATCACTGCTCGTCACGGTATCGCCTCGCGGGCGTCCTTGAGCGACTTCAACGGCTCCCATTGAGCTTCGTCTATATCCCCGGCCCAAATTCGCATCAGAGCCTGCATGTTGCACCTCTTCATCCTCCATAGGTAGGGATCCTGCCCTATTCCGCACCGGCATTTTCGAGAATTTGATCTGCTGTGCCGCTCTGTCTCATAAAATCAGCAACAAATAAATAAGACTTCGCAGTGACTAAACCAACCTTGCAAAATCACCTTCATCATCACTCTCGTCACTCAAATCACTGCTATCCTCATCCTCTCCCACTCTCTGAATAACAGGAATCTGGCGATCGCGCCGTCTATTCTTGCGCGCGGATTTCCCATGGTTTTTGATCCCAAGTGCATAGGTGCTTCCACCCCCACCACCAGTCACCATCCCACCCTCATCTTCCTCCGCATCATCGATACTCAGGCCATCCCCATCATTCAACTCCGTATGTCGCGCAAATCGATAGTACTCAGATGCGACGTTAGCAGTTGTAGGTATAGGAGGCGAATATGTCCGTTTAACAAGAGAGCCGCTCTCTTGGGTCGTTGTCGTTGCGTTGGCGGATGTGGGCACCCAGCCCGCGGCGCGAAAGCCGGGGGTGTTTAATACTGAGTTATTGACGTCAATGAGGCGGTCGCCGATGCCATCTTTGATGGTAGAGAGGTATGAGGTTCGCAGCTGCCAGATTGTGAAACTAGGACAAGTTAGTTCTTGGTGTTGCAGGGCGCAACGGTTTGTTGCTGTGCTAGCACATCCTGGATGAATCACTCACTCTTCGCTCTGCAGAAGGGACATGGTTGAGTATAGCGCTAGTTCCAATCGCGCAGGTATTTTCACAATATTTCGAGGTCGAAAATAAGTCGTAGGTAAGGTCTGTAGTTGTTCGAGTTACGCAGGACAGAACTATTGTGCACCAGCATCCCCAGGATAACGCATGCCGACTGTAAACTGGTATCAAACACAGATAATATCGACTCGACGAAAGATTGTGGTGGTCAAAGTAATCATATCAGGTCCAGCCTGAGAGAAGAAATGAGAAAGGTCTGCTTATGCGATGTTCGAAGATAAAGTGTGAGAGAGCGTTGATCTGTTGACAGTGTTGAAGGGCAGGTGAGCTAGAGTGTTAGTGGCTCAGCCGCCGGAATTGGGGGGCCGTTGGCCAACGCTCAGTTACGTTAATCCACCGCGGGGAATACGGTCTAAACCCTTAATGGCTGTACAATCAACCACGATATTCACCGAGCTCTACCCCTAGTTTTCGCACCAGGCCAATTGGTATGAGAAATGAACTGTTTTATGCAGATTGTGGATCTAATAGCACGCTTAAATATTTATTAATGGTGATCATAAGGTCTTCATCATATCAATATGGTACAATAATCTACCTACCCACTCAACGCCGAAGTCGATATCAACATAGTAGCTGCGAACAATTAAGGACAATGTCATCTTTGGGTCGAAACCTCAGTCAAAGCTGCACTCTAACATAGCCTTACTTCGCCTTGGCCTTCCCCTTTCGTCCCTTCTTCGGCTTCTCTTCTTCGTCATCCTCGTCATCATCCTTCGCCTTTGCTTTCTTGCCCTTGGCCGCAGTTCCTTTACCAGCAGCTTTCTTCGCTTTGGGAACTTTGACATACTTGTCTTTCTTCAAATCCAATTCTTCTTCTTCATCTTCTTCCTTTGCGTCCTCGACGATTTCGTCTTCAGAGTCCTCAATTGCATCTTCAATGTCCGGTTTGACCTTGGGTCCTTTCTTCGGCGCGACAACATTGGTGGCTTTCATGAAAGGCAGAGGGTGCGATCTTTGGTTGTAAATTCTGGTGAATGCTGACTTTGTTTGGGCATGAATATTGACTAGCGATTCGCTCATTGGACCAAGGCCGAGTTCAACTATAGAATCAAAGTCCTCGCGGGTGATGAAATAGCTATCCATCAGATCGATGACACCATCGACAGCATCCTTGCCATCAACCATCAATGGGCGCACCATTTTATCCCAAAGAGCAGGCAGGTATTGTTGTCTAATCTCATCGCGGTCACCTGAAGCTCGTAGCCTCATATGTCCTTGAATCTCTTTGGTGACACGGTTGAGTTTGCCTAGCGAATGTTAGATATTTTTCTTAACATTCTCCATGAATGCTTACCAAATTTACTATTATTACCCAACCAACTGGTAAAGCTCGTTCGTTCCGACATATTGCCAAAAACGAAACTGGCAGGTCGAACAAAACTAAAGGCAGCGTGCGTGGGCATCAAGCTCCATTGTTGCTGACTGCCATGTATCATTCGATCCACAAGATCGCCGTCACTGATGCTGGAAGCTGCATTGTCGGCCAGTTCGAGAAGTTTCAGCTTTCGTTCCTTGCCAGAATAGTTGCTCGCCAGCGTTGGCTGCGTTTTTAGATAATTCTCCTGGAGCATGAGATAGCTGAACTCGTGATCATTAAAGTAAAGCTCGATCTTGTCGTTCAATGTAGATTTAGATGACTGGGAAAACGTCTGCGCGTTGAGAATCTTGGATGCAATATCCCAGGGTTTCAATATGATATGCTTCTCCCAAGCCTTTGATAGTTGCTGTCCTTGGTCGAAATCCAGGGTCTTCTGATCCAATTTCACCGTGGACAACATATTGATGAGCTGCCTAATGTCCGCATTGGTCCCCGCAATCAAGCTGTCGAGAACCTGTGGAGGAATCTTTAGACCCTCACGGAAGCAGATGGTCATAAGGCGTGCTCTGATCATATCCGCAGTTGGGCGCCTGAAAGGAAGCTCATAGGTAACATGATCGAATGGCTTCATCTTAGGCAGACTGCGCTCGTTGCAGATCAAAATCAAAGGAACATTTGTCTTTTTAGCGGCAGCAGCAAGAGCGCCAACACCACCTCGGTCTCCGGCAGACATACCGTCCACTTCGTCCATAATCAAGACTAGATTCTTCTTTTGACTGTCAACATTTTTGCCTTCGCCTGAGAAATAGCCCTGAAGAGACGTTGTATCCAAAACACCGAGGAGTCCTCCTTCAACCAGCTTTTTACTGCGAGTATCACTAGCATTGGTCTCAACGACGTCGTATCCTTCAAGTTTCGCAACCAGATGTGCTGCCGTCGTCTTTCCAATTCCAGGTGGTCCGTGAATCATGACAGACCTGTACAGACCAAAACCGTCTTTTCCGGGCATTTTGAAATTGCGTTTCGCATTCAAGCGCCAGTTACGCAGCCATGCTTGCAGCTTCTCGACTTGACCTTTGTTGCCGCATATCATGTTCATCGAGCTTGGTGCATATTTCGTTGTCCAGAGGCGGCCGTCAGCTTCGGGTTGTGAGCTTGCTGGGGTCGCAGTTGCAGTTGCAGTTTCAGTTGAGGTCTTCGTCGAAGTCTTTTGAGGGGTGCTCTTCGCTTTTGCTTCGGCCGCCTTCTGTTTCTCTTCTTGTTCGATTTCTTCGGCCATGGCGCGAATCTTTTTCTCTTCAGCGTCTTTCTTTGCTTGTGCCTGCCCAGCAGCCTTGCCGCTACCTCCATTGGCAGGAAGACGCTTGATCAACTCAAATAGTCCTTCTTCGCCGATTGTCTTGATATTCATCTCCTTAATCTTCCTGAGTTTGCTCGGTCCAGCATCACTTCCAAGAACAACATAACTAGTCTTTGAGCTAGGAGCGCCGGTGACTTTGCCGCCGTATCGCTTGACAAGGCTCTGGCCTTCCTCGCGTCCAAGAGTATCTAGAACGCCAGTGAAGACGAAAGACAAACCAGTAAGACAATTCTCAGCTCCAACAGGTATTTCTGCCGATCCAGCAGCAGGAGGTGTACGTGACCTAGCGGCGGTCGAAAAGTTGAACTTTGCACCAGGCACTGTCGGCGGCGGAGTTGGCGGTCTGACCGTAGGTATGGCGTCGAAAATATCTTGAATTTCCTTGTTTTCAGGTTCTTGTAGCTTCGTGGCAGACTTCTGTTTCTTGACTGCAGGTCCTGCACTCTTCTTGGGTTTGTTATCCTCCTCGTCGGCATCTGCCTTGCGTTTTCGTCCAGGCTTTGCTTTCGGTGGTGTATCGAGCATTTCCACTTCATCATCGAGTTTACTCTTTCTTGAATTAGCAGGCTTCACGATAAGGTCTTCAGAATCGCTCGCATCCTTGTCGTCGACGTAGTCATCATCGCGCCGACCGGACTTGCCATACTCTGTTGCAAAGATATCATCGCCTCCGAGACCTTCATCATCGTCCAGTACCTTCGAAACGGATTTGGATGCACGTGTCTTTACTTTTTTTTCTGTAGATGCTAGAACCTCTTTGTGTGGTTTAGCTTTCGGTGTGCTGGTTCCATTCTTCACAGGAGAGGCAGTAGCGGGTGCGGTATCCTTTGCTTCAGCGTTTTTCGGCGGACGACCTCTTTTCTTGTTCGAGGCAAAATAATCTGATGTGCTGGTCGGCTCTCCTTTGGCTTCGTCTTTTGTACTTTGTCGAGTTGTTAGAATATTCGTCTCGTGAATCGAGGCAACACATACTGTTTCTTCACCGGGGTTTTTTTCGGGGATGGTTGAGGTTCGAAATCATCCTCGTCGCTATCATCAACCACCTTTCTACTTCCTTGATAGTGTTAATATTTGATTCTATCCGTGTGTCGTCGGAACTTACGTTTCTTTCGCGCGGCAGTAGGATCCTAGTGACAAAACATTAGCAATTGATCGACAGTTGATAAAATAACCAGCAGAAACTGTGACATATAGTCAAGTAACAACAATTGTAAGCTCGAAATCCACACCCATAAGATATATCACACATGAAGAAATATCCCTAATGACGTAAAGCTTCACTTACCTCCTTGGGAGCTGGTTTGGCAGCAGCGGGCGCAGCTGTCCCTGAGCCTGCTTTGGCACCGAAAAAGTTCCTGATATCCGGCATTTCAATACCCGATCAACAACAATACACCACCTGAAGTCGATGTCGATGGTAGAGTAAAAATGTCGTTGGCTGTGAATGAAACAGCAGAAGGCGCGCGGAGACGCGACTGTCGCGCAGACCCGCGCTCGCCGCCTTGGTTGCCTCGAAGCCACGTGACMAAGCCACTTTTACCCTTTTGGGCCGGTCTTTTCTATCCGAGCTTCATCTTTCGAGACTTGGCCGCCGGACGGACGATATCTTTCAACACAGGAATTTTCCCTCACGCAGGGACATAATATCTGCCCAAGATGCTGGCAAAATCACAGTTCGGCCTGCTCAGGTCATGTAAGTTAATTGATCTGTTTCCTCTCTTCTACACTTTTTCTTCAATTTCATTTGTCTATCTTCAAATCAACTAACACCAACAACAGATAATGTCCTCCTTCAATCCCAAATCACACGATGCTTCTCCACCACATCACCCGCCATGGACTGGCTAACGCCCAAATTCGCCGAGAAATCCAAATCCCCCAAGGGTCGTCCCAAGATGCACACCGGTGGTTCCATGCGCGGCACAACCGTCGTGCACGGCGACTACGGTCTACGCATGAAAGACCACGACCGCCGTGTCGCAGCCTCATCACTCAAAATCGGCGAAGACACAATACGGAAAAGACTACGAGGGATGAACTATACATTGTACAAACGCGTTAGTGCGAATATTGGTGTATACACTTCAGGAAACGAAATGCGTATGGGTAAGGGAAAGGGTAAATTCGATTATTGGGCGGCTAGGATTCCGGTTAGTAGGATTGTGTTTGAGATTAAGGGAGATATTCATGAGAAGATTGCGAGGGAGGCGTTTCGATTAGCGGCACATAAATTACCTGGTTCGTTCTTCTTCGTTCTTCGTTGCAATATCAAATTGCGCATTATCTGACCGTCATATGTACAGGAATGTGGGAATTCGTCAAGAAAGGCGATCCGCCCGTCGTCGGAATCACAAAATTGGGAAATGGAGTCACATTGGAAAGTCTGAAACGAGCACGACGAGAAGTTCCCTTGGACGTGAAGAACAGCCTTAATCCGCCCAAGACTGCATCTACCAGCACGTCGCCCACTCAATAACTCATTAACCTCTTTCTGTCACATTTCATTTTCTCCTTCACGCCGTGTACTTTATATATCCGGTCTAAGCACCAATTCCCGATCCGGGCCCGAGTCTCTGCGCCGTTCTTGTCCGTCGAGCCTCTTCATCGATGCCCTCTGCATCAGGCTTCAAATCTAAATTTTGTACAATAGATTCATGCATTAGCCTTTCTCATCTATAGATATCACGAATCACATTATGTGCATGTCCAGTTTCTTGAACACTTGGGAATGAAAGGAATTTGGCTGGGCGGCGTACCTTTATCAACCTCCCCCGAAACACCACTCGTCATCCCCGCGGTCTGCGGACCCGTCAATGCTGGATCTTTGCTGGCTTGGTTGCCATTATCACGTTGTTCCTCGGACTCGTCTTTGGAGAGGGTTTTGAGGGGGCTGATGGTGCTTTTTTGGGTTGCTGAAGCCAGCCAGTCAGTCACATGCATTTGATATCTAATTCGCGGGAAAAAGGGGGAGTAGTACCACCGAGTTGTCCTTTATCCTTTGGCGGAGTCACTGTGACTGTGCGGATGGATTCGTATCTATTTATTATAGGTTGCTAGGTTAGCTGGTTGTGGATGTAGGTGCAGGAGGTAAGATGAAAAAGTAGGACGGACTGTGTGCTTTCACCACCTGGCTCCATGATTTCGAATTGCTCTGTAGCTGTAAATATTGGGATTTGAGGGACTTTGTAGATTGTACGAAGCTGGTATAGTTTTTATGTAGCTTGCAAGGTAGTCAAGATATTCAGAGCAATGACGTAACCGACACCGGCCTCGAAGACATCAACTAGCTAGGTTCAACAAACTCTTATCTTGAATCATTGCATTCATTGACTAGGATAATCAAACAGATGTCCTTGAACATACAGCATACAGTACTATACACATGGAGAAAACAGATTCGCTCGTTGATCAGATAACCATGCCCTCTAACTCTTTACGCCTAAACATCCCAATACATAGTAATTCTTTCAGCTATTTAGAAGTCCATTCCCATCAAGTATCTATGCACAAAGTTAGTTGACTCTCAACTGTTCGGAAGTTGAATGTGGCCACGTACCCTTCATAGATACGCATGAACTTGGCCACGAAAGCCTCAAGATGGAAGATGACTTTCTATAGAACTATCAGCTCAGCCCACTGTGTTTAATGAATCGATGGGAACATACACTGCCCAGCTTGATTCTATGCTCATAAAAAGCTGACCATTTTATAACCTCCGGCTTCAAGGCATCATCAACTTTCGAGATGAGCACGAATGTCAACGTCTGAAGATATTAGCTGTATATCCATCAGCCTGTCCAATGAATACGGAGGATACCTTCAACACCGTCGTCGGCGGAATACAATGCGTCAACAAATCATAAAGTCGTTCCCGAACTTGCAATATCCTCGCCGGCGATCGCTCTGCTATTATGTCATCCGCAACCACAGAGATGAGCGCCTCCCAATCCGGTGGAGGAATGGGAGTTTTGTCGGATACTTTCTCACTGCATCATCGCCTATATTAGCATCCAGCCACCAAACTGCCCATGGAGGAACTCACTTCTGGGCATATATAGCCTCAAACATAAGCAAAGCCCGTCTCAAATTCCGTCCACTCTCCTTCGCAATTCTCATATTCAGCGCGTCAGAAGGCGCCCAATTCTCCTTTGCCGCGGCCGATTTGAGCACAGCACAAATCTCCGTCTCTGACGGCGCCGCAACGCGGACCAGGAGTGTTCGCGACCTGATCGGCGCAATGATATTCGATGTGCTGTTTGCGAGTAATATGAGTCGTAGATTGGGACTATATTTCTCCATTGTGCGACGCAGAGCTGCCTGCGCGTCGCGTGTCAGGTGGTCCGCTTCATTGATAACGACGACTTTGAACCGTTGCCGGGCTGATTGATCAACTTGTTGGGTCTGAGCGACTTCTTTTAAGAGCTCTTGCACCACAACGCGGTCATAGTTGCCCACGTCTGATGGCGTGATTTCGAGATGATATACAGATGCGACAATGTTGAATTCTAGTTTGCGGTTGCTGGTGGTCTGGAATACGCGAGCGTCGATTTTGATTTTTTCGACGCCGGGGCCGTAGAGTTCTTTGAGAGTTGCGATTATGCGGGTTTTTTTGCCTGCGCCTGAGGGGCCGTAGACGAGAAGATGGGGAAAGTCACCACTTTGTGCCTGTGAAATATCAAATTAGTGGTGTGGTCTTCATTGACTTGGACTGATGGTGGGCTGGATCTTACCAAAGATTTCAGTCGTGCTGAGAGTTCGGGATGATAGGTTAGTGAATCAAGAGATCGGGGACGCAATCTGTCCACGAGAAGAGCCATTTTGTATCTCTTGAACTTGACGGTGCGGAATCCTTCGATGAGGTGCAATGTGTGTATCTTGTCGAAGCTGTCTTTGAAGCTAGTTGGTCTAAGAACGCGTCGGGAGTGCGTTGACGCGTATCACTTAATATGTGGTCCGTGCGTCTGGCCAGAGCCTCAGATTTATGGCGTATAACTGGATCACATTTCAAGATCTTTCTATATGCTAAATTGCTCTGTTTATACAAAACATTGTAGAACCACACAAACTGCTTGCGATATGTGATACTCGGTCTGAATCATTGAATCAATGTTATTTCAATTGACACCTGCATATGTACAAGCCATCTATCTATACATATCTTCAAATTTTTCCAAACCGTCCAATGCATAACGCCTTCCAATGTATGAGCTGAGTAGTCTGATATATGCAATTCAGATGATGATAGTACATGATATGTCAGAGTCCTGGTGGGTATCTCTTCATGCCATTTCTTTTCAGGCGGTAGGTCTCAAAATCCCGTTATCATCATACCGTGCCTCTGCAATTAATCTTGTATTAGTATACCGCTCCATATAGAAAAAGCGCGTTAGGAGAGGAAAAGCGAGGAAAGGGGGGCTCACTGAAAAAGGTGTACGACAACGTAATCGTATCAATATTTTTCATGGTCGGATCCTTTGCAAAATCCGGATCAATAAAGAAGAAAACCGGCATATCCACCGACTCGCCCGCATTAAGTTTCTGCTCCTCAAAGCAGAAACATTGAATCTTACTAAAGTACGGTGCTACCTGTCCCGGTGTGACGCTGTACGTTGCCACACCAATGATATCCTGAGGACCTTTGTTCACGGCTGTATAAAAGGCGAGCGCGGTTTCGCCGGGTAATACACGCACTTCGCGTTGTTGAGGTGTGAATTTCCAGGGCAGAACGTCGGAGACGGAGCCGTTGAAGGTGATGCGTAGGCGCCGTGAGTCGGTGACGGGTTTGAGGCGTGAGGCAGTGTCGCCGTCGCCGACTTTGTGGACTTGGACGGGTTGGCCGTTCCAACCGGTTTGTTGGCATATCTGAAAGCCAACAGTCAGCTATCAATACTTCGCTTAAAATGTAGGGGTAAGCTCACCATCTTATATAAAGGCACAGAGCCATAGGCCAAGGCAAGAGTGCCAACGATAATACTGGCAGTGTAGTATCTGTTCCTCGACGATCAGCGCTACCCTATCACTTGATGCAATTGGCTTTCACGAACAATGTAGATGTATTCTTCTGCTTCGAATCGGCATTTCCCTGTGACGATGCTTGTTGTCTCAAGTTCGAGCGCTGTGAAAATCGTCTCGTTCCGTTCGTTGTCAGATGACTAAAAGATTGCTGTGGGTGGCATGTTTTGCGATATCTGCCTAGGAAGCGTAGGCGGCGCATATCCATTGTGTTATTGATTGATCGGCAGTCCAAATGTTAGCTGAAATCGTATAATCGTGATCTCGGTGATGTTGCTGATTGAGCTGTTGCGGCAATTGTCGGCGGAAGAAGCATGATCGCCAAGACGTGCGAATTGAGTTCCGCTCTCCGCGCCCTTAAGCCGTTTATCTCTAGTGGAGTGCCGCAGCCAATAGCTATACTTTATATCTTCATAATAAATTTATATACACTTGTGACACTATCTGAGTTGGATCACTTGGCTAAACAACTAGCTATATTATATGTACAGCTTACTAGTCGATGTTTTCTTCCGTGATACGCGCGCTCTAATCAGATCCATGAACTAAGAGCAGCTAAAGTTGATCTTAGCTTCTGCAGCACTTCTCGGTACCTGAGTATTCTGCCCTAGGATTTCAGGATAAACACCCACAGGCGCGTTCGACGCGGCTCTTGTTGTGGTTGCTAAATGCATTTGTGTTGCATGCAACCTGACTGGTTAGCTCTGCTCCATCAGTCGCATGGCGGAGTTTCCTTCCTTCTCATCCAGTATTCAACCTATTGTGTACCTGTTTCTCTCTCCCTCGAAGAAGCAATCAATCCGGCGGAAGAGGCAAAAAATCCAAAGCCGCCTGCGCCTCCGTAATAGCCTCTCTCAGCTCCACAAACGGCGCAATATTGTTCTGCATCGAATTCAGGTGTCCATTCAACTGCATGACTATAGACTCAATCTCGCGATCGGGTTCAATCTATTCTTCTAATTAGCTCGCAGTTTAAGACAATGGGTATTTAGGGTAAGGGGGAAGTACCTCGCATAGGGCAGTTTGCTCCTTTGACCGATCAATAACCACAAACGGCGCGGAAGGTGTTGAAATATTGTCGTGACCAGGATGATCATCGATATGTCGTAGAACGGGGTGTTCCTATACACACCAACAACCTTTAGCAATATCCTTTCAAATCTACCCGAAGGGTGAGGACGCACATTTTTCATCTGCCGCCTGCGCTCAACCTCCGCTTTTTTCGCATTTTTTTCCATTTCTTCGACGTATTTCGTTTCCTTGGCCAAGAGGGCCTCCTCACGCTCAATCTCTAGTTTGAGGAGGTCGATTGTGTTCCGTGTTGTCGAGAGTTGGGTTTCCAATACACGCTGTAGATCAATTAGCCGAGAGTTGACATTGCTTACAAGCAAAGGTAAAGACAAACATGTTCATTTAGCACAGATTCGTGATCAAACCCAGCATCCCTCGTAAGCGGCGGAAACGGCATGCGCGGAAGTCGTCGCTCCAAGCTGCACAAAGTCAGAATATCCAGTCGCGCTAGGTAGAAAAGAATACGCACGTCTTCACAACACCGCCCAACGCAACCTGCGCCTCAATTCTTTTCCGCTCATCGCGCTGCCGCACTATAACAGGCCTCTCAAGCGATCTAAACAAATCCCGAACTTTGCTCTGCGCGGGTTCTGGTAGCGAAGACCATTTCGATTTGATGGTGTGTTTGGAGACATTTTTCACTTGTGGTTTGAGCCAGGTGAAGCGTTTATTTTCTCGCGCTGGATTGGTGGTATCTTCGTTGCTATCATTCGAGCGCTTGCGTTTTGTTGACATTGTTTTTGTTGATGCGCGCCTGTGTTACAGATATAGGCGAGAATTTTGAGTCGACTAGATAAAAGGCGCAATCGGTGGTCTTGTACTACTAGATTGCGAATTTATCTAGCTGTAACGTGAAAGACCTTAAGAAGGTGTCGATGTAGTTGTAGCTTTTGTTGTTGTTGGGATTAGTCTAGGCTTTGAGCTCCGCATGTTTTAGGTGCTGTAGGTTCCGCGATCCACAGGCCCCCACCCTACTACATATACATATTACACGGCCATACAGCTAAGAGTTTCGATGATTTACATTATCAGACATTAGACAACATAACACATCATTCATTATATACGCACAATAATCACAACATCGAATATTCACAATGCATCCAACAAATATGTCCTTATCTGCAAATCGCAGATGGCAAATATCCCTCCTTTCTGTACGTGGATATAACATGTACTCCTTCATGTTGATTATTCCATCCTAATCATGGATGCTGTACTGACCGGCCGATACTCCTGAACTTTTTGAGGGTATCAAATAACGAAAATAGAGAGCTCTGAGTCGCAGCAGTTCGAAGTCTCGTATTGGGGTGGTTGACTTGGATTGTCTATTGAGAGACAAATCGGATTTAAAAGGCACACAACTCATTTCACCGGGGTATCATAAAGCCGTTAACGGTTTTGAGCTGCGAAAGTTGTTTTCGCAGTTCGTTGTTGCCAATCAGAACCTCCTCCAAATAATCCGCAGCTTGAATGAGCATGGCACTTTTGCTGAAACCGCCACCACGAAGATCAGGGACCAACGCACATAGTTCGTCGAATCCTTGTTTGATAAGGTTGCGACGCTTTTGCTCTGACAGAATATGGTTCGTGCGTTTCTGCTCCTCTGTGAGGTTTTCTCTTGCTGCTTTGGCTTGCTGTGCCTTTGTTCTCTTCGAGGAACTTTCACTTGAACCACGTCTGGCCTTGCCTCCAGAGGCACCTTTCATCTTTTTGATCCTTGGCGTGCCGCTGTTATCGTCCGAGTCTTCGTCCTCTTGCATTTTGATCTTGGACCGTTTTCTTGGCCGTGAACTGCCATCACCTTCGTCATAGTTCGTCGTGTCAGAAGATTGGGAAGTGCTGACTCCATTGCCGTTATTCCACTCACGATTGTGAGGAGTCTCAAACTTTGTTGGCGTTGGTGCACGCGTGTTAGTAGTGCTTGATTGCGGTTCCAAACATTTCATATTTTCCAGGAGATTTTTTGTGACCTCGTCTGTGTTCTCCATTTCGGCAGGTCGTCGGTAACCTTGGTCCACGAACCCAGCATCTGAGCCCCAGCGTAGCCGTTGAACTTCGATGGTTGTATGTGGATCTACTGGAATTGCTGGCTGTTCTGGATTAAAGACTGATGTATGTTGTCCTTGAGGCATCATTTGACGAGGATCATTGTGATTTGCAGGCGGATGATGTGTCTGCTCTTGCTTGATACGGGGATGAGGCATATGATTAGGTGCCATTTCTGGCATACCAGCAGGGAACAAATGGCCTGTCGCAAAGTTCATTGTGTTGGCTCCGTTTCCATAAAGCATTTGAGCGGCTGCCAGGATATCGGAGTCGGGACCCATCCCTCCCATCATATTGTTATTCTTCTGTGGATTCATTGAGAGAATAGGTGGTTGTGATAAAGAAGTTGTCGAGCCTTCCAAATTCGGTGGTAGCCCTTCTGTCCAGTCCAGTCCAAATGCACCACCGCCTTTATCGTGTGAAAGGTCCTGAAACCAAGCATCGTTAACATTAAATTGGCTAGTGTTTAGTGTTGTGAAGAAACTCTCGAGCATGTTTGACTCCGTATCGTCTAAAAGTGACGGACCGGGGGGAGGAGCTGGACCGACATCGTAAGGAGGTTCGTTGGCTGCGAGGAAGTTGTCTGTATTCAAATGCGCCATGATCAGTAAACGGGCGTCTCACAACATCAGTAAGACATCAGGAACACTTACATCCAAAAGGGCCAGGAGGAGGCGGAGACGCCCTACGATTAACTGATCCAGCGACATTCATCATGGCGAAAGTGAGCCAATATTTCCTTGTTGCTTATGTGTGTGGTCTTATTATACATGCGGCGCCTCTGTCTGGTTGTTCCTCAGCATGTTTTCATGCCATGCACGTCGAGCGGTCGCTGCCGAGGTTGATTCAGTCGAGTCCGTATGAGCGACAATCTACGGCCGCCATATATCCTCAGGCACGAGAATAAATGTGATAGTAGTGAAGGACTGCAGCAGCGATCAATGGAAACCAGTTAAGTAATATCCCGGACGGGCTGGCTCGAGGATGAAACGAGAAGTTCAGACGAAAGTAAGCGGGGGAAGATCCGGGGAAGCAGAATGCAGCGGCGGGCGCAAAACTAAGCAGCGGTAAGCGATGACCGCAACGTCCGATAAAGCGTATCAATTAAAACCAACGCAGTAATCAATCAGAGACCCGTAGATAATAATACGGGATCGTGGGCTGAGTGTGGAGTTTGAGCGGAGGGCTGGAGAGAGAGAGAGTGAGTGAGAGAGAGAGGAAGGAGGAGGATCACATGCAAAGATTTATCTCGCCGACACTAGCCTCCGCTTCTTTTACGGAGTAGTTGACTAACTTAGTTAACTGACTTAGCAGCTTAGCCTCTTGGTAAAGGCAGTCGCGTGCTGTGACGTACTTGATACTTTCTTAAGAAGATCTCGATCCCAGTCGCCGGCCAGATCCTTTCTATACTACTTGCTACAGGAATTATTCGTCTGGTGCTCGCTTCTTCATTGTCCACTCTCGCTGTCACTGTAACCTCTTTACACACTTCACTGTACTCCCTTTGTATCGGACCAGTACCATCCGCAGAGCACTTGCACAACTATCGATCCTCTGGCCAGCGATGATTTACCCCTGACCCAGAAACAACAGTCCGAGGAACAGCAAGAATTAATGGTGGATTGTGGGTTACTATATAGTATGGGCATCAAAGCCGAGGCATCGCTTTCCGGCCCATCTCCGTACCATCTCCGATGGTCACTAGTGCCATGCGGGACGAAAATAAGCCTTGTATAGACTCTAATGACAGGCATTATTGTTGTTTTAGTTCAGGACTCATTTCATGAACGCACAATATGTAGATAGGAGCCAGAACTCAGCAAAGAGGACCTCAGCATAATCAATTATCGCGGGGTTGAGGGTTGAGCGCCTTGATAAGTCATTGACTGGGCCAGGCCGATCAGCCGCTAATTACTGTGCGACGGCTGGATGGGTCAATGCTACCAGTCTTCACATGTGATTCCAAAAAAAGTTGGCATCCCTTGTTGGCAGCGACCACTTCCCTCCCTTCCATCCGTCCATATACCAACAGAAGCCTCCTGACTATCGCGACGCCACTAATTGGACAAAATTGTTCCATAACGTTGGATTGTCAACTTCCCTCTATTATGCCGTACGAACATCCTGAAACCGCCTGATGGCAGTCCCCAGGGAAAGGGCTGTGCACCCTCACTTGATCCAACCGTGAGTGCAATCGATGTCTGCAAGCACGAACCTGTCTAATTGGTTATCAGAATACTCAAAGCGTACGGCTTGGGGTACCTAGCCTTGACAACACCAAGATTACTTGGTTTCATTCCTTTACTCATCAGCAAAAATGCCAATTACCGTGCGAAACTTGAAAAGGTGCGTCTTTGAAGGCACCTCCGGATTTCATGCTTATATTGATACTTGCTTGATTCTAGCTATATCGCATCCTACGAGGTGGTTTCGGCTTATACAAATTCTCGACATTCTGCGCGGTGCTAGTCGGCGGTTCGACGTGGTTACCTTTTCTGTTCTTTCAATGCATTGCACGCTCGCGCCGTTCGTCCTCCGAGAATCTCAGGCGTATCGTCCGGTTTGTTGCGACATGTCTCTCAGGATGGGCAGCTTTCCATTTGTTGAACAAAAAGGGCGAAGATCAGGGGTCAATCAGAAACAGCGATTTTGACCAAAAATTAATGGTGGAACGACAGTCGGATGACATTAAAACCAAAGAATATCGTCCAGATCTTGCCGGTCGATCGCTCGACCTTACACTCTTTTCGTTCACGCGAGCCGCTGGCGTTATAGCATCTCTAGCCTGGACCGAATGGGCGAGAAGACGAAGAAGCAAGGGAAGATGGTCGCGAGTGGAAGACATCGCCCCACGACTGGCTGATGCTGGGCTCTTTGCCGGAAGTGCTGCTATAGTCATGTGGGCGTGGTTTTACGCGCCGGAGAGATTGCCGCGCTCATACGAAAAATGGATCGGACAGGCAGCCCAAGTAGACGGACGTCTTATCGAAGCTTTGCGGCGAGCGAGAAGGGGTATATATGTCTATGGCAAGGATACAGGTCAAGCGCCGCTGCTTGAGTCTATGTGTGAAGATTACGGCTGGCCGATCACATGGGGTGACCCTGCCGTCACCGTACCAATACCATGCGAAATGGTGCATATGGGTTGTGGTCCGAATTGCGAATGGCATGCCCTGTCTCGGTTCATGCGATCGTTCAAGTTTGCTATGCTCACGAACCTTCCACTACAATTACTTCTCCGACTACGCGCTAAACAGCCAGCTACCGCGTTTAATCGAGCTGTCAAGGATGCGACACGTTCTTCCACGTTCCTAGCATTGTTCATTAGCATGTTCTACTATGGAGTATGTCTCTCACGGACAAGACTTGGGCCGAAGATCTTCAGCTCCAATACTGTGACGCCTTTGATGTGGGATTCCGGCCTCTGTGTGGGCGCCGGTTGTTTTATGTGTGGCTGGAGTATACTGGCGGAAACTGCGTCGCGAAGGCAGGAAATTGCTCTGTTCGTAGCTCCAAGAGCAGCGGCGGCAATCCTTCCCCGACGATATGAACGAAAGGTACATCCCCTCTTCTTGCTTATTCAAGTATAGGATCAAAGCGTTACTAACATTTTCTGTAGTATTTGAAGAGGGAACAAATAGCATTCACTTTGAGCGCTGCTGTGCTGCTGACGTGTGCCCAAGAACGCCCAGACCTGATTCGAGGTGTTTTTGGCAAACTTCTTTCGACGGTCTTTGTATGATATGACTTGATATGTTGGCTAGATGAGGATTCCAGGTTTCGTTACATTGTATTGTCTTCGGGTATTGTCCGTCACAGACGACTGGTAATCTCGTTATTGTATAAGTACTATTAATCATCATACAGAATAGAGGATAGCTATAGAAAATTTATAATGGGGACTGGTTGCGTACACATGTAATTTACTGAAGTTCGTCAATTCGATCTGCACAAACCAAGTCTCCTGGAGAGACTGTATAGTGACAATTATAGCCACTACCAGGTACATGTGCACTCATGAACAATGAATGACTCGGCACAGATGCGTAGTGTGAATACGTAAGACCTGGACAAGTCTGGAGTAGCCGGCAACCGCGCCGAAAGAACCATAAATCGCTGGGCCAAAGACCAAAGTCAAATTCGACTCCACATTTTCCATCTCTTTATTCTTTCGACTCCAACAAAGGCCGAACATTTCGCGATCGCATTGCTACATACATTCTTTTGCTGCCCTTTAGCTTATCGGTAGGAGGTACATAGTAGTACTGCGATACTACTGATTTGCAGCGATTCTGCTCTTTCGCATTCCTTCCTGATAACGCCCACCCCCGCATTGTCGGAGGGATTCGCCAACCATGCCGGAAACCATCGCGACCGCCGCCCCCGATCCCAGACCACACGCGTTGACTGGAACAGGAGGAGCAGAGGAAGACGTCAAACCGAATATAGAGAATGCATCGTCGTCGCAAGGAGTGAATAATGCGGGTAAAGGTTCTTCTACTGAGCGACACCAACATCATCCCGCCAAGGCTGATGCAGCTGCAGGCCAAGCGCATGCGTCGCCGAAGAAGAGGCGCAAAGTCAACCATGGTATGTGTTGTGCAGTTGTCGTGTAACAGCCGAGGATAGGAGATGTGCTCACTGATTGTGTATAGCGTGTGTGTATTGCAGACGTTCAGTGAGTTCGGATTGTAGCTAAATAGGTTGAGAAATACTGACTAATCGTGTGAATAGCATATGACTTGCGATTCGGTATGTTGTTCTTTTTTGGTCCAAAAACGGTTGTATTAACGTATTAATTTCTAGGAACGACCATGTACCCGATGCATCAAGCGCAACATCGGCCACTTGTGTCATGACGAGCCGCGCGAACCCGCCAAAAAGAACAGTCGTAGCGACCACGAAGATAGCGCGGTTGTTGGAAACGACTTTGCCAACCCGCACAACCTGGCTGACACGGGGAATCAGTCGATGCTGTCGGACTCATCGTTGAGCATTCGCCCGTCTACCATCGACCCTTCGCAGGCCGTTCAACCCGCTGCAATTCAACCTACGGCCGGACCGGGGAACAATCAGCAGGGTAAGACTGGTACCCAACCCACCTCGCAATCAGTTTCAGACATATGCTTATCTTCTGTTTTTTTGTTAGTGTTTGGCTACAATACCGGCGGCTCAGGAGGCGGCGACTGGGCAATGAACGGACAAAGCAATGGGTTTCAGGACATGCATACATTCCATCCGTCATACATGTTCAATGCCCCTGAAGTTACTAACGAGTACAACTTACTGGGTGATTTTCTCAACAACAGTCTACTTGACGACAACGGGATGTATGGAAATGAAGAGCTTCAGGGACTATTCGCGGACTCTTCTTTAATCAATATGAGCACCAATATCAATAGCAATGCTGTACCATTTTCTCAGCAACAACCGCAACAACAGCATCAGCAACAGCTAGCGCCATTGGCACCACAGCAAGCAACAAATCCACAAGCCAACGCAGTTCAGCGACTAGCTACTTCGGCCGTCACTACCGACAAGGCTCGTGAGATTTATTACATGACCGCCGCTGACCCATCTGGCATGGACCCTCCCGAAGAACGAATGAACAAACTCCTCAAAGCCAAGTACGAAGCCGGCATGTTGAGGCCATTCAACTACGTCAAAGGCTACGCACGACTAAACCAGTACATGGAATCACACATGCAGCCCGCCCTACGCCACAAGATCCTACGACAACTCGATAAATTCCGTCCCAAATTCCGTGAGCGAATGCAAAGTTTGACCGATATCGAACTTGTCTTGTCCGAAATGTGGTTCGAGCGTAGTCTGATGGAGTACGATCGCGTCTTTGCTAGTATGGCGATTCCGGCTTGTTGCTGGCGACGAACCGGCGAGATCTTTCGCGGGAACAAAGAGATGGCGGAGTTGATCAATGTGCCTATCGAGAGTTTGAGAGATGTTCGTCCAGCCCTCACCATGATTTGTGTTTAAGTACTAATATCGTTGATTGTATAGGGCAAACTTGCTTTACATCAAATCATCACAGAGGACCAACTCGTCAGTTATTGGGAGAAGTTTGGCGCCATAGCGTTCGACGGCTCTCAAAAGGCGATGCTTACCAGCTGTACACTCAAGAGCCCGGATGACGACGATTCAACGAAAGGCATCCCATGCTGTTTCTCCTTCACTATTCGCCGCGATCCGAATGCCATGTAAGTTTTCCTTTTTGCCTGACTTTGAAAGAAGTATGCTAATTAATGGGGTAGTCCGGCACTCATCGTTGGAAATTTCCTTCCCTCTGAGAGGCGTCATCATCATTGACCTGAATTGTATATATGAACGAACAATTTTCGTGTTCTGGTCGATGTCGCCGTTATCAATAAGTTTTTGTGGATAAGCGTTTGGATCTATTAGTTTGATACCATTTGGATATATTGCTGGCTTGTACAGCGGGGTCGATGTTTTGTAGTGCAGGATTCCATTTTCTGGAATATATGAATGTTTTCTGTAGTAAGCCCAGGTGCATGTTCAGGGTAGAGTCCGTAGGTAGAAGGGGAAGGCGCGACTATGGCTACTTCCAGTCCTCTACCGTTCCTTCCTTTCTGGTTAAGTATCATCTTCCATCCTGTCGAACACAATCCAGAATCTTCATTTTCTTGAAGAAACTCTACCTATAACAGTCTACAATCGTAACATCGCGAGGAAAAAAGACAAGATACTCACAAACCCATTCAACAACACTCCTGACCTTTCAACCATGGACATCGACGAGGAGGAGAACGCTATCTCAATATGCGGTTCGTCCTCCATACCCATCTCATCACAACTGCTCCTATCATCCTAACACTGATACCTCATCCCAGCATTCACAGCAGACATTATGTCCCGCCTTGACAACGACAACGCGTCACTTCAATCATTCTCGGCATGGATGCAAGAAGCAGACATATCACACACACTGAGTACAACAATGCAGTCTCTGACCACGTCTGCATCGAGTCTGAGGTTTTCGTCGAGGTCGTTGCGGTTGGTGGATTGCTCGGCGACGGCGTTGTGGAATGCGTTTGTGCGGTTTTTGAGGAGGGTTGGGGTAGATGATGAGGTTAAAGGGGGGCTTGTGACTGGTATACATACCTTGTATACTAATGTATGAGGTCGACATATACTGACTGGGAGTGTGATAGTTCCGCTGCTTGTGTGTCGGATGTTGGAGTGCTGCTGTTCGGAAGATGGGGAGTCTGGTTGGCAAACTTTCCAGGTGCTGGTCAGAAGCGCCGAGATATGTTTAGGTTTGTTCCTTTCTGAGGACCTGCATGATGATGTGTCAGCTCATCTTTCGTTAGGTTCAAGCATGATAGTCGAAGCTACTGATCTTCTTCAACAAGCGGCTCTGAAAGTCAACTCCATTGATCTGGGCGAGCTGGCTGATTGGGATGGTCAGGATGTCATAGCTCGGTATCATTTTCTGTGTGCTTGGATGGTAAGAATCATTGATCTTGTTAAACGGCTCAAGACGACTGACGTGTACAGGCACTGAAGAATGAAGACATCAAGGAATTTGACGCGCACTTCGCATGCTTACCCCAAGATGTGGCCAAGATGAGTTTGGGTTCTCAAGAGCAGTATGTTAGTATACGTTTGTCTGCGTTTCGGCTAGCAGTCAAGCATGGCCTTAGAGAGCTCGCAGAGTCATTGTTGCATAACTTGTCAGAAACGTTCAGCATCCTACGGCAGTGTCATCATGAAGTTCCTGAGTATAAAACACTGGTTTCGGGATTCTTCTATGTTCTTGGTGAGTAGCCTCTAAATCGTGGGTTGGGAAATGGTACTGATGAACCAAGCAACTGTGGAATTAGAAGACATGTCGAAAGATTTCAATCGTCTTAGAAGTGAACTTCTTGAAATAACTGAACAGGTGAGCTAGAGTGCCAAAGATATTTGCTGAGTACTGACTCGTCCGGTATATAGGACCTAGATGGCCCGTTAGGTCTTTTTCTACAACTTGAGGTAGCGTCTAGACAGGAAGTTTTCGACAGGATTATTTTTTTCCAAAGTGAGTACTCCACATTCACCTTGAAACCTTCGGCGAAGCAAATCGCTTACTCTACTCTAAAGTCTTGACCAAGTATATCGAGACCATGGAACCTACCAAGGACAAGTTCAAGAGGTATGAATCAATAACTTACTCGATTTTGGAGGCCTTGAAAGAAAATGGCTAAGCCAAGAAGATGCTTGCAGTATATATTCAAACTCCGAGCTCAATGGTAAGACAAACAGCGTCGAAATATCTCTATAAAAATGCTGACTGATCAGCCCTGAAAATGCTATGACGACATTGAGGCTGCTTTATCGAAGAATAGATATGTTCGCACAAGACGAGAGATGGATACAACAGAACTTCGTCTCCCTCTTGCGCCTTGTACCTGCTCCACCTTGGAAACATCCTGAATCACTGGATTTCCTGACTGATCTTGCAAACACTTTCAATGAAATTCTTGCGGAGCCCATGAGTTCTGCAGCGAGCAATGCAGCTTTGATTGTAGAAATCCTCAAACAAATGTTATGATATTCACTATACTGACGATGAACATAGGTCATGTGGAAGTATATCGAATCTGCTTGCTCGAATGGTGATTACCTCGAAGCTCAATCATGGTGTCGTCTTTGCCGAAACAGGCTCTTTGATCCAGCTAGTCCTACAAATAAAGCAAACGTTTTAAGGTATACCACCAAGGACTAATCTGAGTCAGATACTTGGATACTGACAACATTGCATAGAAAGTCAATGGACTGTTCGTTTCAAACTGGTGACCATACAGAAGTCAAGTTAACATGGGAACTACTGTCCAAAGCAGAAAGGGATCAAACAACAATATACATCATGTATCAGGTGTCTCTCAGGGATTCCGACATTAATACGGGTAGGTACTGCTACACCTATGAAAGTTATATGAGGGCTAACGAAGGATAGCTGCAAGTCTTTTGGCATCTCTCATTGAGCTAGCTAATGGGGAACATCGCTATGTTCTGGCTGCCGTTGCTGCAGCAGTAACAGTGTCCTCTCAACTTAGACGAAAAGCCCTACAAAGTGCCCAAGCACTTGTAGAGTACTCGATTGTATCAAAGAAAAAGCCAATCAATTTGGACTTACACCGGTATGTCGGTAATCAAGATTGTCTGAGTTGAAGGCTAATTCAAGACTAGAGCTTTGATAAGGCTCATAGTCTATGAGCTACGAGACGACCCTGAAGATGTAGAAACTCTGAAAGAGCTGATGTGTAAGCTTTTGACCTGGGGTGAGTGGCTGTCTATTACAAATCTCGTGTTTTTTCAATCAATAACTGTGTAAGTAGTGAGCAGTGCAATCAGCCAGGAACCTTCGGATTCTAATGACCATGACTGGTTTGTTCGCTGCGCTTATGTGCTGCTCTTAGAATCAAGGGACTGGATTGCGAGGCATCAACTACTGGTTCTGGGTGTTTGTTTCAAGGTGAGTATGACATCGAAGTGATGTATGACTGAGCTATGTAGCTAACGTATTTGTTGAATCCTAGCTCATTGATATGTACCCCAATGATGTTGGGAATGATGTCAAATATGAACTAAATTGCCGTCGAATTGCATGCAATCTTCTCGGAATGCTCATCTACACCAACATGGCTCGAAGTGAACAGAATGTGGATATGAAGGTGAGCAACATGCATTTATATCAAAATATGATCATTGACTCCGTCAAGAGAACTTACTACCTTGTGATGACTGGCCGATACACAGACATTCAAAAATTCGTGGCAACATCCACAGATGCACCGAATATCACAAAATACCTCGATGCTTCCATGATTGAGATATGCTACGAGATACTGTGTTTTTACCTCGAAGCTGTTATATACCTGGAACAATGGCCAGATGTCGAGGCTTTCATTAAAACGGCATCCACGATCGACAGTGACCACGTCCACTCAATAATGGTAGATATGATTCTGACAGCCAAGAAGATGCCCCTTGAATATGCCCTACGCAGTCTACAAGTAAGCCCACCCCTTTTATCTACTAAAGAACAACTGCTAACTTCTCGCCTAAGGAGCTTCTTAATGCCCTGCAATGCATCGACACTAAACGCTTCAGCTTGATCAGATGCATCTTCGACCTATGCCTCCAGCACCGCAGAAACGACATCCGCATGTGCGAAATAGTTCTCAATCAAGCCCTCATCACTGCGCAGGACACCACCGCATCCACCGAAATCAAAGACGATGAGCTCGAATACATTAGCACGAAATCATTCAATTACGCCGTCGATCTGTACCTAAGTGGCCAACAAACAGACTCTCAGCGCTGGGCACGTAAAGCTATTGAGTTGTCGCAATTGATGAGAGAGGATTGTGGTAGCCTAGCCTTGATTCTACAGAGCAAGTACGAGAAATGGCTTACATACGACATGGTTATTTCAGATTCATAAAGTTAATCTTCGACGAAGAAAGGAAAAGGAGTAAATGAAATCGAAAAGTAAAATTTGACTCCGAAATTGCTCTCTTTTAAAGGGGTTGGGTATCTTCTAATTATTGTAGTATGGAAAGTGATAAAGAAAAGTTGAGGCGAAAAGAATGATGAAATCAGATAGTAGCGAAACCAAGAACGCCATGAGATAGCCTCAGATGCGGATGGGAAGAAAAAAAGACCTTCGTGAATCGACTGTCATGTCCGTCAAGAATCCCAGTGCCAATCGCGAAAACGCAGCAACAAGCAAAAAAGGCAAATATAGAATGTGTGAAAACGGAGTAAATCATCCCTCGCCATCAGCATCCAGCGAACGACTTCTAGAAACCTGCCTCGTGCCGGATTTCGTGGAAAGTAACGGTGTAGAAGGCATCCGTCTTGCGACCTTGGTCAATTTCGCGCTCGGTGCCAGCAACGACGCGTTCGTGGAAGATGATGAAGAGGATGCTTGTTTTCTGCCGCTCTGTTTATGAACGGCGATGCCGTTACTGGTATGATTATCTTTGTTCTCTTTCTCGCTGCTGTCAATCTCCGTATCAGGGCTGGAGCTGTGTCGGGCTGCTCGTTCGCTGAGAGCGTGAACAGTCAAATTCAATTCTCGCTCTAGCTCTTTCGCGCCTCGAGGGTACTCTGTTGAGCTGTGTAGTTTCTTGCGATAGGCTCGTAGTGTTCGGCAGACCTGCTCCGTGGACATATTGAGACTTCCGAATTCACTTGGTGTGGAGTTTCTCGACCGAGTTGATGATCGGAAATCAATAGATGAGTTGCGGAGATTGTTTATGCTTGAACGATGATTCACGCCGTTGATAAGCCTGGTTTTGGGACTGGGTGGAGAAGGCGACCTTCTAGGGTCGAGAACTGGAGCAGGAGATCGGCGAAGGTTTGGTAGAGGGGGTGGTGAGTCGTTACGCCCTATATTTCTAGGTAACGATGGAGTAAGTGTATAACGAGAGGTCTTCTTGCGTATGCGTGGCGGGGACTGTTCTCGGATTGGCGTGGGTGTTGCCATAAGGCCATCCTGGCGGAAACCGGCGAGCTCTGACCTGGAGAGTATTCGACGAAGCGGAGGCTTCGCGGCGACTAACTCCTTTGACGGAGTTTCCTCTTCATCGCGAATATTACCTTGCGATAATTCCTGTGCCTGTTGCTGTTGTATCGAGAGGTCCCATATCATGACCACTCCATCCAGACCAGTGCTGACCAGTGTGCGACCAACTTCATGTGTATTGTCTTTTCTTCGCTCTAGCAAGATTATATCACTGACACCCTCCGAATGGCCGAATTCTTTAGTTAACAAGGCATCCCGCTCAAAGTCGTAGACTCTGATTGATTTATCTGTAGTTGAAACACCCACGAGTATGCGGGGGCTCTGCCCAGGAATTTCACTGGCTACAGTCAAGGAGCTCATGACAACAGCGTCGTTGGTCTCGAAATCGGTGGCCTTGAATGAGTGGACATGCCGACCAGAGGTCACATCAAAACGCTGTATGTGTCGGTCGATTGTCGACAGCACCAGGTTATCTGGGTCGCCGGGAGTAATTGTCATCGAAAGAGGTGACACTTTGAGAGTAATAACTTTAGACATGAGGTATGCAACCACCGTAGACGAGTCAACATCGCGAGTGGCCTTTTCACGGACAATGACTGTGCGATCAGCAGAACATGACAGCAACCGTTCTCCGTCATTCATGAAGAGCAACTGTCCAACTGCTCCTACATGATCGTCCATAGTCTGAATCAGTTCAAAGGTTTCCTCGGTCTTTTTGAATAGCTGCACCATGCGATCACGCCCAGAGCTTGCTATTAGACAGAGTCCAGGTGTGGAATTTACGACAATGTCGGTAATTTCCGTACCGTGAGCTCGCACCTCATTAAGGCACTTCCACGGCTCCGCAGATAGAACTCTTCTCAAGTCAGTATATCGACAAAATCATAACATGTTGGACAAAGACTCACCGAAGCACACCATATCGATCACCCGAGACAAAAGTATTAGTATCCTCAGCGACCCGGATAACTTTTAATTCATTGGCGACTTCGTCTTCGCCCCAGACCAATTGTTCCAGCTCGACTTTTTTTGAAGCTCGGCACCGACCTTGCATGTCCCAGAAATTGACTGAACCTTCGCACGACCATGTGAAAAAGTCAGCCATGTAGACGTTTGGCAATTTTAGCGGTCCGACACCTAACACCTGGTCCCGATGAGCCGGTACAAGGCTGTCTCGAAGGATCTCTTCGTCATCCCCATTCCCGAACGCGTCAACAGGACACACGTGGATAGCTTTTGTCGAATCAACCGTTACGATATGGGTTGCAAGATACGCTATGGAAATAAAGGTTGGTACTTTGCCCTTGGGATTGATAGTGTCGACAGGAGAAGAAGGGGATGGTGACCTCAGTTTCGTCCATTCTCGAATGTCTTCCATTCTCAGTTTCAAGGATTTCCTTCCCCGACCACCAAGCCAGACAGTACCAGATTCGGGAGCAACCGTAACTGAAGTGAGTCCAAACGGCACAAGTTTGACGAGTGTCAATTTCTGGTTACCCTCAGTGTCGTCGAGTAGACAGACCGCGCCGCTATCTGTGCAGATAATAGCTTCACAATCAGACACGCTAGCTATGCAGGTGAAGGTATGTTCTCCTAGTGAGCCCAAAAGACAGTTCCGTCCTGATAAGGCTTTCGGGTTGCCTGAAAATGAGCTTGAAAAGTTGTCGCTGTTCGGACGTAATTTGGAAGGTGATCCAGGCCGCGAGTCAAGCCTCCAAACTTTGACATGGCGTACACCGGCACTAGATCTCACGTTAGTATGGTTCGTATACACAGAGGTGGTAGAAGTACGTTATCAGTGTTTGGCCCATCCAGCACATGTCGCGAATAAACGACGTGCATTTATTTGTCGAGTGAAGCTTCGCGGCTCCAGTCCGCAAGTTGATTTGCCAAACAAACAGAAATCCGTCATTCATATCTCCGAGGGTCGCCAAGTATTGTGAGTTGGAGCTGAATGCGAGACTGCGCACGCCGAACGTGTGCTCCGTCAAGGCTGTTAGAGGTATGTCGCGGGGCGCATCGGGGGCTGTGGAGAAGATCAAGACTCGAGGGTTATAGCCGGTCTGAATCAATTGTTAACAATTTCCACAAAGTCATCAAAAAGAATTGCAAGTCATACCTCTCCAACAGCTAGGAACCTTCCATTAGGGCTAATTGCGACACTTGTAACCGCCTTGATCCTTTCGCGCGATGTCCATGTTCGAGCGCCACTCGAGTCCGCCCAATCGGCAGCAGGAGAAATCCCTCCGCCATTCCCTACCCTGCTTGCAACGGACCTGACGCGGTTGTCTGGTGTTGTCGGACTCGCGGGCTGGTTGTAGAATGAGACGACAGGGTTCACAGGGGTGGCGGTGGGGCGTGCGCGGAAAAAACGTTGATTGACAGTCCCATCTATATCAATATCTGCTAATATTGCGGCGGAACCCACACATAGGGCAAACGATCTGCTAGGTTCGTGCGAGGAAAAGCCATTGGGTGTGGCGGTGGTTGTGCCAATCACGGTCTGTAGGGATAAAACAGACTGATGCGGTGAGGGCTTACTGGGTGATCGAGTGCCGGGTCTGAGGACCGGTGAATTGGCAGGTGTGATCTTGAGAGTTGCGCCGGATCCAGGTATTTTGCTTTTTGTGTTCCACGGGGTGCTGGCCATCACATCGGCCAGTGAGTCCCCTGCCTATGTCGAGGGCCGGGACAGGTCGAGCGTGAGGCTTAACAACAGAGGCATTTGTATATCATTAGTTTGGTTTGATCGACAATTGTCAGATAAGCCTAATTAAGCCTCGGATATGAATGTGGTTGCGCTTGCAAGTTTGGAAAGAAATTGGAATACGATTGTTCGTTGGAGGGGTGAGCTCGTGAACTGTTTTGTTTCGCTATGAGGGGATGGTAGGATCTTTCCGACGTAAACAATGAGAAGAAAGTAAGCCGCAGAATGAACTCGATGTGATGGAATTGTGAGTTGAGCAGGGTGATATTAAGGAGAGACGAGAAGGTTAGATATCAAGAGAGAGACAGCGGTCAGGTTGAAGCGAGGTGAATTCGAAGAGGATCACTGATGATCGTTGATCTTGGTGAGGTTCGATGTTGAGAGCGGGTGTGGAGAAGGAAGGAGCGACCGACGCAGGGGAGCTTCGGTTGACGGCCTGACGGACCTGGCACGAACTTTTGTTGGTGCTTTTCCTGTTTCAGGCTAGCGGCCTTTCTTACTCTTTTGGGCTCCTGGTTGTCGCGCTCTAATTGGCTATCAGCGCAGATCCCGCGCATTGAGCATTTCCAGCCCACAACTTCTCACAATCATACTCCTCGATGTTCACCAAGGTCTTTTTGTATTTGATATTCTTCGAACCAAAACCGGGGCGATAAGGTTCACATTCATCAGCAATCCCTTGGATAGAATCTCAACGATTGTGTTCGTCCACTCCGTAGAAGCCGTGGTGCGCGGATCCTGCCCAAGCCTGTGGGAAACTAGAATTGGCCAATGCTCCCTTTTCGCGATAAGTCGCCAACATACCAGCAAAATGAGCAGCAGCAAGGGCAGCAGGCTTTGCATCGCAATTTAACACTGCCGACACCGCATGATCTCGACGCAATAAACCTACGAGATTCGGGATGATCTTCATTAGGTTAGGGATTCATGACTCGCTCATGCTGGGTAAACAGCCTAAGCAGTTCGCAAAGTCCGCAGCTCGCAATTTTCAACCTACATATATGTCTTAGAACGCTGTTGTCTCATTGCTAGTTTCATCGACTTACAGGTCTCGGCGCATAGTCTTGCTCTATAAGAAGCTGTTTCTCTGCAACGCTCTTTCAAATCGTCAATTGACGCAGCCCTAAGGGAACAACGACGGCTGAGGTTATCAAGCGATCTGTCATCATTTGAAAGTTCTGAATTGGCGGCAACATCGAGACATTTTCTCATTGGAGAAAGAATATGTTCTCCGACATCCAAAGCCATTGTTCAAGAACATAATCCTGCGGGGTACAGTCATATCGATAACAAGTGAATTTGACGGGCAAGCTGTTACACAGAGACGTCGGCGAATTCTCATATGGAGATCGTCCCAAGAGTAAGTCCTATTTCCCGGCAACTCAATATCGCGGTCCCACGGAACACATCATAGCTCTGCGGTCTATGTCACAACCACCGAGATTGTTTTCTCAAGTCGTTTACTCGCCTACATTGTAAAGACAGCTACAACAGCAACTTGATTTCCCACAAGATATGCGCATAGCCAAGAGTCTAAATATCTAGTCCAAACTTCCCAAGGTGCATATTGTAACCCTAAATAGTGTCCCGCCCCTCATGGTTTGTTTCATGTTTTAGCGTGGACCGCCTAGATCTCACTTTTGAAATATACGAGCCTCTTAATCTCCAAGAGGTTACTTCGAACAGATCGTCACTTGTATTATGGGCCGCTTTATAGCCCCATGTGGTGAAATCGAACAATGGTTTGAGACCAGCGTAGTACTTAATTCGTGCAAGGCATGCCAGGTATCGGATAGAAGCTGTCAGCACTTAATCGTCTAATCTGGTTAATAATTGTCAATTATATATATGTTTCTTGTCACTATTTATATTGCATTGATCTCCCAGAAAATAAGTCGCTACTACATTTTTTAGAAGGACAAGTAATGGTACTATCGGCTATTATACACACCTGGGTAATTGCACTATGAAAGCCTCAAGTGCAGTACTGTTGGGGGCAGCAGCTTTCGCTCGCCATGCTGCTGCCGCCGCCGTGTTTGCCCATTATATGGTACCTCTTCATTTTCACATTGCAAACTACATCTTCTTATCTGACGGCTATAGGTCGGAGGCATAACGCAAGACCACGCCAATACCGACATACAAGATGCCATCAACGTCGGTTTCGACGCCTTTGCGCTCAACCTCATGAGTACCGAAGACTGGTCTACCGAGGCTGTGGCTTCACTCTTCACTGCCGCCTCAGGTACAGACTTTAAACTCTTCTTCAGCTTCGACATGGGCCATTTCTCGGATCCGTCTCAATTCCTACCCATTCTCGAACAATACGCTAGTCACAACAACTACTATCAATATGACAGCAAACCGTTTGTGAGTACCTTTGATGGTGGAAAGCTCACTTTTGGGTCTTCGAGTCCGAATGCGGGATGGCAAAGTACTTTCAAGGATGCTGCGAGTGCTGCGGGTGTTGATGTGTTTTTTGTGCCGGATTTTGATGATGCGAGTGGCTATCCAGACAGCTTCTTTGATACTTTTAGTGTTGTGGATGGTGCGTTTTCATGGGAGTCTGCATGGCCGTATGAGGATGCTGGGTTTGCAAATGTTAGTGATACTGTAGACAGCACGATGATTGATGCTGCACATAACGCTGGCAAGATCTATATGATGCGTGAGTTCTCCTCTCTGATTCATCTAAGAAATTGATCTAACCTCGTGACATAAAGCACTGTCAACCTTTCAATTCAAGCACCTCGACACCAGTGACAACTGGTACCGCCGAGGCGAATCCAACCTCTACGTCCGCATGGGCCAGATTCTTGATCTGAAACCAGACCTCGTGGAAGTCATCACCTGGAACGACCCCGGCGAAGGGCACTACATCGGAAATTTCTGGAACGAGTCCCTCGGCAACACCAACATTTATGAATATGCCGGCGGATTTGATCATACAGGCTGGCAAAAGGTCATCTCACCGTTCATCACTGCGTACAAGAACGGTACTTCAGCTATTAGTGAGATTACTGCATCATCAAATGTCGGTACGATGTGGTACAGGACGCTCTTGACGACGGCATCGTGCTCGGATGATTCTATTGGATTGCCAAGGTCACATGAGAATGCACAGGATGCAATCAACTATGCTATCATCCTCCCAGACTCGGGCAGTGATTACACTATCAATGTCTATAGTAACAATAATTTGATTGGGACGGCTGAGGGTGTCACTGGTCTTAACGGTGGAAGTGTTTTGGGTCTTGCGGCTGGRAGCGCTGATACACAGCGCGTCGAGGTTGTAAAAACTAGTTCGGATGGGGCTACGACCACGATTCTTGCAGCGACGGGCACCAAGAATGTTGTGGCTGAAACTTCAGGCATTTGCAATTATAATTATGAGGTTGTTGCTCTCTCTAGGGATGCAAGTGCTGCTGGCTCTTCGGAAGCTGCTTCGACGGTGGCAGCAGTGGTATCAACCTCGAGTTCGTCGGCACCCTCCACAACTTCATCAACGTCGTATGCTTCTTCACCAGCAACTTTATCACCAACGTCACCTACACCGGAAACAGCAGCAGCATCCACTGCACCAACGACCTTATCAACGTCAACCTCAACAACTGCACCAACCACCACCTCACCCAAAACAACTACAACAGCAACTACAATAACTGCCTCTTCCTCCCCACCAGGCAAATCAGGGTGCCGATGGGACCCTTCAGGCGCGCACTGCGGCAGCGGAACTCTCCAGGCCGGGCACAGCCACGGATTCAACAGACACGTTCACAGCGGTGGTTACTAAATTACCCAAGCCCCTAGTCATCACTACAAGCTTGGAAGCTTGAACGTGTCGCTGGGCTGACAACGCTCACTTTGTATTTCTATATATTCTCCTTTAGAACTACCGCTATAGCGAGATCAGATTGATAGATAGATTGCCTAGAAGTTTCCGAGTCTTTTGCTTCTTCAAACTACTATCTTTACGCTTATTGATATTTCCGGTAAATAAACGTACGGCAACCCCGAAGCCCATGATTCGGGTACGTCGTATCATGATTCATGAAATGCTGGCAAGTGCCAAGTGGAGATGTTTCAGGGATCAATTAAGTCTATTCCTGCCGCTTTTAACCTCAAGGAAGGCTCAAATAAGTCTTAGCAGGAGGGGTACTACTTACCGAAATCGGAATGAATGGATCATTATCCTTGGAAATTTCAATTTTGCAGGTTTGCGTCACTTGCGTGTCAAATTCGCGTGGAAAAGAGGAGAGGAGTCTAATTGCCTAGATAGGATCAAGATGCCGCATTGGGTCGGTTAGGGCTTCGCGCGGGAAGAACTGTTACGAACGCTTCTATAAATAGTGAAGCACGCTTACAATACTTGTTTAATATCAATTATATCGTATTTGGAATTGTGTCTAAAATATGTAAAGTATTGAGAAATCTGTTCTCTGCACTTGCTGCCATCACTCCAAGGAGTAGGCGGCAGCTAATCCTCGGAATTCCTCGTCTGAATCTTATACTTCGACTTCCGAACCTCACACGCATACCGGTGCAGCAAAACCGGCACAGGTACCATGAGCACACTCAAACCTCCAAACAACGACAATCCATCACTGATTTCAGATGCTGATGAATTGTGATTGGAACCTCAGCCATTGCMCCCGCCGCAACTTATCGCATCATCAAAACATGGCGAACCCCCAAGCGAGTAAACTCCATGCTTTCCAGCTTGAGCGACCATCATGAGCTTCCAAGCACTTGAGGTTGTTCAACATGGCCGCTTCACATTGTGAAGGCCCCGCTCTTCTATATTTTGTGTTTGTTGCGCCTGAGTTCCAATTCCGTCATTGTCCGCCACATGATTGGTCATCAATCAAGCATTATATAAGGCCATCAGTATTTTCAGAGCAGTGGAGGTCCTATATCGTCCAGTAAAATTGGTAGACAGCGAGTTAAGAGGAAGGGGAAGATGAGATGAACCACGCTAGCCAGATTGGGTGCGGAGCTAGAAGACCCACTTTCCTGAGCTGCTTAACTTTTGAGACTTCCCGCTGAGTATTTCTTCTCAATCTATCTTCACCTTGCCTTTCATTCATTCTTTCAAGCCGCAAATATGGCTGTCTGCGCTGCATCTAGACGACTGACACTGTCGAATGTCCTTCAAGGTGTCTACCGTACGGAGCTTGTTCGACAACATGCAGATCATTCGGTCATCAACTTATACACTCATCGAGTGACAAGACCGTCCTTATCGAGCTCCTGGCTATCACTATCAAACAGATCCTTTTCTACCTCCCAAGCCTCAAGCGGGGCGAATTTTGTGATTTACGATGCCATAGCTACGAAGGCTCCTGATCGTGACGTGCTCACCGAATTGACCTCCACGAAAACCGAAACCCCGGGTGAGACGCAAGAAAATCCAAAGTCTACATCGGAGAAACCAAAAAGTGACGACAAGAAGAAAAAAGGAACGAAGAAAATCAGCACCAAGAAAGCCGAGTTAGAAACGTTAGGCTTTGCGAAGAAAGTGAAACGGCCACATTGGCAGACCCAAAAAGAAGCGCTCGAGAAGAAATTCGAGGAAGGCTGGCATCCACGTAAAAAGCTTCCACCAGATTCTTTAGACACAATTCGCCATTTACACGCCACGAAACCCGACGTATGGACCACGCCGGTCCTTGCAGATCAATTCAAGATCTCGCCAGAGGCCATTCGACGGATCCTGAAAAGTAAGTGGCAGCCGACGGAAGAAGAGAGAGAAAGGCGCGAAGCAAGATGGGAGGAACGCTATAAAAAGATTTATAGTCATATGGCGGAGCTGGGCTTGCGAAAAAAGAAGGGTGAATGGGTCGCTAGGGCATCGGACGCTCGTGCCCTGGGGTTGGAAGAAAAGACTATACGGCGAAATGTCCGGAGAAGGCCCCAGGTAGCGCCTTCAGAGCCTTCGGAGGGCACGAAAGTGCGTTTCACGAGGCCAGACCGTGGGGATGCGCCGAAGGAGTCCGCTTCATCATGATAGTAATGTCGTTCAATCAACGCATGGACATGTACTCGTGTACAATTTTAGCATGGAGTCTGGAATCGCCGTTGGTTTAATAATACCTAAATAACGCATTGAAAATTCTTTTACCTTGGGCTATTGAGACTTTATAGGCTAAATGTATTTGTTGTGTTAACATTTTGTGGCCACAACCCTATGATGCGACTATACAGTGATTGGATATGTATTCGTATTTAACCAACTCAGCCTTCAACATTGAAATATAGCACATGCAGCGATATCTTTGATGTCCTTGGCAGGCCGATGCTGAAGGCGATATCTAGCTGTCATTCGGATGTATATCTAATTCTTTAAGATACCAGTCTCACACATCATCGTGTTTTCATAAGGTTAGGTGATTGAAATCTTACCATAACATTTTCTTGCATTCACTTTACTATTTCTATCATCGACCTGAGCACACTGGTGATTCTTACAATTTGTATGCTTGAAGCTCTGTATTAATCCCATTCTCACTCACGTGCTCTTAGCCCTAATTTCCACATACGGTATACAGTGCGAAATCGCTACAGCCAAGAACACAGCCCTCTACAAATCATGATCAGCATCGATAGGATCTAGATATGATTGCCTAGAGAGTCGATAGTTGTAAGGGTCGTAAAGTAGAGGGTAAAGAAGATATAAAGACGATCAATCACATATTCCTATTCTACACCGGCTCGTCAATCATTCCGACATACCCCTTATATTCGTGCGCCTTCATGCCAACGTAATACTAAGATTGTATAGTCAGCTGTCAAATAGAAACAAGCACGCGCGCCTAGGTATGTCTAGTAAAGTCAGTCTTGTGAACTCGGGCAGCTAGTTGGAACTTTGCAGGTGATCGTCACACCAGAGCAAGCGTCAAAAAAGACCAGGCTAATGCGGATGAAGAGGAAACACAAGTCGCGACTCCAGATTTTCACCCAAACGTGCGGAGTAAGATTTTTGAAGATATTGCATCAATATTCAAATGTCGATCCAGTAAGTGTTGCATTAGAGGTGGTACATGCTACATGGCTAAGGAAACATGATTCACGTACCTTATTTCCATTTGAATGAAGTGAGACACATGGAAGCGGGGAATCTCGCGATCCTTTGCGGTTAATAGGATAAAAGCATTACTGGCTATAGTGGACCTTTATGAGTCGATAAGACAGACTCATCTTCAAAGAATGATATTTAAATCGAACACAGTCGATTAATTGAGTCGAAGTTTCAAGGTTGATCATCACCAAGGAGTGCTGTAGCTAATCAACATGGAGGGGCTCAAAATTACATCGCTGCTTCAGCGATTTGCTTACATTTTACCATTGGCTCTACTCAGTATTGGAGTGGTGAAAGCCGACAACCCCTTTGTGCAGACCATCTATACTGCTGATCCGGCACCAATAGTATACAATGACCGCGTTTATGTCTTCATGGACCATGACAACACTGGAGCTACCTACTACAATATGACAGACTGGCATCTGTTCTCAACGGCAGATATGGCAAATTGGCAAGATCATGGCGTCCCCATGAGTCTGGCCAATTTCACCTGGGCCAACGCCAATGCGTGGGCACCACAAGTCATTTCTCGCAACGGCCAATTCTACTTTTATGCTCCGGTCAGGCACAACGATGGTTCTATGGCTATCGGTGTGGGAGTGAGCAGCACCATCACAGGTCCATACCATGATGCTCTCGGCAAACCGCTTGTAGAGAACAATGAGATTGATCCTACCGTGTTTATCGACGACGACGGTCAGGCATACCTGTACTGGGGAAACCCAGACCTATGGTACGTCAAACTGAACCAAGATATGATATCGTATAGCGGGAGCCCTACTCAGATTCCACTCACCACTGCTGGATTTGGCACTCGAACGGGCAATGCTCAACGACCCACTACCTTTGAAGAAGCTCCATGGGTATACAAACGCAATGGCATCTACTATATCATTTATGCAGCCGATTGCTGTTCTGAGGATATTCGCTATTCCACGGGAACCAGTGCCACTGGCCCATGGACTTATAGAGGCGTCATTATGCCGACTCAAGGAGGCAGCTTCACCAATCATGAGGGTATTATCGATTTCCAGAACAACTCCTACTTTTTCTATCACAACGGCGCTCTTCCTGGCGGAGGCGGCTACCAACGATCTGTTTGTGTGGAGCAATTCACCTACAATTCAGATGGAACCATCCCAACGATCGAGATGACCACCGCCGGTCCATCTCAAATTGGGACTCTCAACCCTTACGTGCGACAGGAAGCCGAAACGGCGGCATGGTCTTCGGGTGTCAGCACGGAGGTTTCTAGCGAAGGCGGAATTGACGTTGGCTACATCAACAATGGCGATTATATCAAAGTTAAAGGGGTAGCTTTCGGTTCAGGAGCTCACTCCTTCTCAGCACGGGTTGCATCTGCAGCAAGTGGCGGCACCATTGCAATACACCTCGGAAGCACAACTGGTACCCTTGTCGGGACTTGTAATGTCCCCAGCACTGGCGGTTGGCAGACTTGGACTACCGTTACCTGCTCCGTCAGTGGCGCATCTGGAACCCAGGATTTGTATTTTGTTTTCGGTGGTAGCGGAACAGGATACCTGTTTAACTTTGATTATTGGCAGTTCGCATAAGATAGAAAGCGCCAATAACAACTAATTTACTTTGACCAGTCTCGTTACCTGTAATGCTACCCATGAACTGAGCAAAATTTGTCTCGATCAGCCAATAAGTAAAGTGCCGATGCACTCTCGGCAGATATTTTTGTTGAAATCAGCCGATATGGTGCGTAGCAAGCCAAAGGCGTTGATCTGTGTGCCTCAAGCTAGTTTGAGCAAGCCCATATACTGAGCGCAATTCGTCAATTGTACAATTATAGTGCCGGTCGTGGCTTTTAGGTTTCGCGGGGTATCGTGTGCAAGCGTGAAGATCCGCGGGTGATTTACCTATTGACCTCTACCTTCATTTACCGAGCAGCATTGATGAAAAAATGCCCCATAATCAGGCTAATATATTGAGATACTATACGAACATAGCTTCACATGTCCGTCATATAATTAACCGAGCGTTGAGCATGTATCGAGCAGGCTAATTGAAGAATGAAGGAAACATCACCCGACCCCATGTTGCATCAACCAGAATCCGGGGCTCGTGCTATACAAGTTGCTCCAGGTTGAAAATGGCTTATAATGCCTCTCATTCCAATTGCCTCCCCATAGCTTTCAACATCCAGTGTGTTACATGATCAGTGATCCAAGCCGGATACGTCATTTTTGACTTGATTGATACGTTAGCCAATAATGAAGTGCCTCACAATCGCAATTCTTGCGTCGACCGCAACAGCCTTGAATAATGGCCTTGCCGTTACACCCCAAATGGGATGGGGTTAGTGTCCTGATTTTTCTTTCAGAAGGATTGAGTAACAAGTGCTGAGACATGATGCGAGTGGTATAGATGATTGGAATGCCTTCGGATGTAGCCTGAGCCAGAGCCTTATCCTGAACACAGCGAGCGTCATCGTAAAGACCGGTCTACGAGACTTGGGTTATCATTACGTGATTTTGGACGATTGCTGGTCGTCAGGCCGGGGTTCTAACAACTCAATCATTCCCGATTCTTCAAAATTCCCTAACGGCATGGCCTGGTTGGGAAACCAGCTTCATGCTCAGGGGCTCGGCTTTGGAATGTACTCCAGTGCTGGCACAAAAACTGTAATTTATTCCTAGCCATGAATCCGTTGACCTGTTGAGAGAACGCCAGGGCTGACATATGACTTTAGTGTGCTGGTTATCCGGGGAGTCTGGGCTATGAGACGGTAGATGCTGATACCTTCGCCAGCTGGGGTGTTGATTATCTAAAATACGATAATTGCAATAACAACGGCGAAGCAGGGACCCAAGCTGCAAGCTCTGCCCGGTATGACTCTTTCAAATTTACATCGCAACCACTTGGATGGTATCCTGTGCTGACTGTCCGAAAAAGTTATGAGGCCATGGAAAAGGCACTAGCAGCCAGTGGCCGCAACATTCTCTACGCAATCTGCAACTGGGGTCAAGACTCTCCTTGGATCTGGGGGCCTTCTGTTGGCAACTCTTGGAGAATCACGGGCGACATCACGGACAGCTTCAACACGGAAAATTCTGTCTGCCAAGTGTAGATGATTCCCCTTTCCCCCTTTCTTTCCAATTTCCCTCTAATATTATTTTATACAGGCCAAACTACGGCGGATACGGTTGTTCCGTAACTCAGATCTTGTCCAAACAAGCTACGATTTCATCGTATTCGGTAAAGGGCGGCTGGAACGATCTTGACATGCTCGAAGTTGGAAATGGAGGAATGAGTGACTCTGAATATGTTGCTCATTTTAGCTTGTGTATGATTCTTCAATTTTTTGGACTCCCCAACACTCACGGAACTCTTGAGCCGTGCTGACCTTTATGATTTAGGGGCTGCGGCAAAGAGTCCACTCATTATGGGCAACGATATGACCAAACTGATTGCCAGTGACTATTCCATTCTTGCTAACCCTGCTGTCATTGCTGTTAATCAAGATCCTCTGGGAGTTGCTGCTACATACCGGTGGACTCAGAACAACATCCAGCTTTGGAGTGGACCTCTTGTTTCGACAAGTGGAAGCTCAGTGAATGATCAGGTAGTGGCGTTATACAACAACGGCGGATCAAGCGCCACGGTATCCGCAAGCATCTCGGACATCTTTGGCTCTTCGTCGGTCCCGTCCGTTCAATTCGAGATTCGAGACCTCTGGGGCTCGCGGTTGAACGATAGCCAAGCTCAAGCCATCTTGACCAACGGTGCAGCGGCCAACCCATCGTTGCTATATAATGCTACGGCAAAGTCTTATGCTTCTGGACTTGCACAAGGCGATTCTAAGCTTCTTGGAACATCCATTGGTAGCGTTACGGCACCTGGTGGTAGTATCAGTGTCAGTGTTCCCGCGGATGGATGCAGAATTCTCCGACTTCGCGCTGTAACCAGCTCGTCAACGTCGTCCTCTACTTCTATATCCACTACTACTGGAACTTCGACTACCACCACGTCTCCTTCTCAGCCACTGCAGACACACTGGGGTCAGTGTGGTGGTCAAGGTTACTCCGGACCGACTCAATGCCAGTCCCCTTACACGTGCCAGGTGGAGAACAGTAAGTTTCAAAACTCCGTTTCATCACAGCCTTTTTCTTGCAGTGCCATACACTGACTAAGATTGATTGCAGCCTATTATTCTCAATGTCTATAAGTGAATCTACTGTGTGAAGTAATCCTATTGGGTTGAATATCTTTTGACTCTATCTGAATGCCGGAATGATCCCCATTCCCAATACCTGTCACTGCGGTGTAAAAGATACCCATAGTAAATTTACTTCCAATATGACTCCTTTTAAATGAAATAACAAACATACACCATGGATAGTTGGTGACTTGTATAAATTATTTGTGGTTTCAGAAATTTGTAGACTCGATTAGTTAGATTTGAGCCCTAATTGCTTATGACCTGAGAGAATTATCCTAGCGTCAGAGCTGCGATAACAAGCGTGGAGCTCAGCAGGGCCAGAAGGAAGAGGAATAGATACGTTTTATAGTCTCATTGATATTTTTTCCGGATAATGGGATCAAGGTTTGCTAGGTATGAACAAGAATCGATGCTATATTTTCGCGGACTCCATTGCAGTATTTAAGATGTCCGAAGCGTCATAATCACAACGAGTTATCGTAGAACGTATGAAACAATTTAGCCGGAGAACTCCTCTCCCCGCTGAAAATCATCATCAAAATGAAACTTAATTTGTACGGACAAATGAAATTAGAATCCTCGCTGTTTCGCGGAATGTCGCATTGCTTCAAACAATCAATTTAGACGTGGAAACGGTAGGTTTACTTCGTCAGAGATCCCCCACAAAAATGAAACTGTGGGGATCATGATCGACAGGGCTAAATTCAAAATGTTTGTTGCAGGAAAAATCAATACTGAGTATTGTCCACCAAGAGTGAATTTTCAGATTCAAAATTTGCCGATAAGTTCCACAACCGTGGAGAATGATTGCTAAATATGATTTTACAGGTATTCTCCTAAGGTCATAGGTATTGATGTTTAATTAGTCTAAATTCTCTAGAAGTAAGAAATTACAAGTTATCTGACTTCTTAGCTCTTATAGACTTTGGACAAAGACACTAAATTAGACCACTGTAAGTTCCATGAAACTGTATTTTGGAATTTTTCCAGATAAGATATAAAAGATTCATAGCTTCCGATGTTTTTCACATAGAGGCCTCGTTTCCACGCTTTACCTCTAAAAGTCAGCACAGCTTCCCCCTTAGAGTTGAGTCCTAGATATGATGACACACAAGATAAACACAATACAATACACTACGACTTTCCACTCTGCACATATTACATGGACCTGAATACCTCCGCAGGAGGATCGCCCAAATTGGACATCGGAACTCCACAAGATGTAAAGAAGTCTGGTGAACGTTCATGACATACATTTTATCGACTAAAGCTATACCCTTCTCAGGTGCCCCAAGATCCTTATGCTTTGCTCACCTTGGCCATTCTTTGAAATATTCTGATGAAGTCGAGATATTTCCGACCTGTCTATCCCGCAGGAGTTTGCGCTATTATGTATATACCCTTTACGGCATAACTTTTGGCTTGAGTCCAGGTATATAAAGCCTAAGAACAGAACATGATTGTCCTCACTATTGAAAAATATTTTTCTGAAGCCGCCAGAATATCCGTGGAAAGACAAAATGATTCTATTCCAAGTGGTTCAAGTCTTCGCAGCTACAGTGGTGGCTGCTGCTGCTGCTACTGATTTATCGCGACGACAATCTTCTTCGACCACGGCCGTCGTTGATCTTAGTACTAATCGAGGAGCAACAAAGCACTTGGCCTCAGGATTCATCTACGGTATACCGGACAATGAAACCCAAATTCCAGACCACTGGTATACGAACATGGGATTCGAGTACAACCGTGGAGGTGGCGCTCAAATGGGTACGTTTTTTCTCCTTTATCCTTTCTACTTGGTTGTTATGAGTTGGGAAGAAGGATATCAATTAATCATATCGCTATAAAGATGCGCCAAATCGTGGCTGGGTCTGGGGCTTAAATGAGTATAAAGGACGGTTCCAGTCAACTCTGTCCAACTATCAAGTCACTCGAAAGTTTGGGGGAACTTTCATTATTCTTCCCCATGATATCTGGGGCACCGATCATACAAACTCGTCGACACATTGGCCGGGCGATAATGGTGACTGGAGTAGTTATGATGCCTTTCTCGATCAGCTGTTGTCAGATATTAAGGCAAGTAACATGGTGGACCACAGTGTATTCGACATATGGAATGAGCCAGATATTTCCATCTTTTGGGCACGCTCTTCAGCTCAATGGGTTGAATTATATACTCGGACACATCAGAGGATTCGCTCTGACTCTGCTTTGAACGCTATGCAAATCTCAGGGCCGACGTTGGCCTATCGCCCCTCATCAAGCAACTCTTGGTGGACAAGCTGGCTGCAGGCTATCAAATCGAACAATGCAATACCTGATCAGTATGCCTATCATCTCGAAGGGGGTACCACGGCAGTGGACAATGACCTTCAGACTTCCAACCAGACTCTCGGGGCTTTGCTATCGCAATATGGCCTACCGGAGCGCCAGATCAATATCAATGAGTATGCAAATACTGGCGAGCAAGTTCCTGCAGGTGCTGCTTGGTGGATCGCTCGATTTGAGCGCTATGATGCTATCGGCCTACGAGGAAATTGGCGCGGTGGCTGTACACTGCATGATCTCTTTGCTGATCTACTTACAAAGACATCCAACCCAAATTCATGCGGTGCTACTGACTATGCTCCGGCGCCCGAATATCCAGTGTACGAATATTACAATCTCAATATGACAGGACATCGCGTTGCTACACAAGGCTCAGGAGATCGACAGATAGACGTCTACGCCACCGTTGGCAGTGACGGGGTGGTGCGCGTGCTCTGTGGTGTCCGCATCAACACTGGCACTTGGTACATTACCATTGACAATCTTAGCTCAGTCGGTCTGCCTACGTCCGGGACTCTTAATATTCAGACTTGGGGATTCCCCGGTGGAAGTAGCGTCTTCTCTACCGCATCGGGGTTGCAGAACAAAGGAGTTGCTTCTCACAGCTATTCAGGAAACTCTGTCACATTTCCTGTTTATCAGACCGACACATCAACTGCCTGGGCCTTTGAGTTTAGGGCAGGCTCGGGCACTAGCAGTACCACAACTACGTCGGTATCTTCAACTACCAGTACCACTAGTACTTCTCCGTCTGCAGCTACTCAGACGCACTATGGTCAATGTGGCGGCGAGGGATGGACAGGCCCTACGCAATGCGCACCACCCTATGCATGCGAGAGTGAAAATACATGGTATTCCCAGTGCTTGTGAGTAGGGATTTTTACCGCACATTGTGAATATTGCCACTTGTATAGTTTTCGATGTTTGCCAATTGTCAAATGTCGATGTCGGATCATATCAATTGTAAAAAGAATGTTCTTTCCCTTGTTAAGTTTCAATTTGTGTCTACTGAAATTTGAAGTCTTTCCATCAACTATAAACCATATGATCCGGTGAGACCAGCTAAGGGGGAGATGGCTTATTCCTACTCTCTGCTCGAATAGACTGCTCTGAACTGGACATGCAGGAAACAGCCTGTATAGTTGTATGTTAAGGACTAATTCTGTCTAATGATCACTAAAAAGGCATGGTCAAATAGAAAAAGCAACATGAGGACAGGAAAGAGAAAGTAAAATAACAAGTTCCTCGCGCTCAGACAATCTTATATGGGTAAGGGGGAACAGGAGCTTCCGGCGGGCTGCTCTCAGGATTTCCGGTTTACTGGATGTTCAGTATCTGAGCGAATTTCTCTCTGGAACTCTGATCCCCACGGAGATTGGGTATCTGCTCGTGGTCCGAGAAGAGCTTCATGTTCGAGTTAGGTTTAAAGGAGAGTGCTGTTGTTAATATCCGTGAGAGCTCTTATCCTAAACATGCTCTCGTTGTTAGGCATATACCTTTAAATCTTACTAGAGAATCAAACGAGATGAAATAATCTCGTTTAATTTGATCATTAAGCAATTTTTCCAGGCAAACTGTTCGTAAGATTCAAGATTTTTTGCCGAATATCAGATTTACCAGGTGCAAGCTGCAGTACAGATCACGACTCTCATGATTACCTATCAACAACAAATCCGTCGGTTAATTTGCACAAAACCACCGCTCGGTTAGACATGAGGAAGAACTGGTTTCATAAAACATGACGAGTTTTGATACATGAACTGGCCGATACTCCGAAGGGTCTGGATATTACTTAGATCCTCTCGAAATCAAAATAGAATCTTCCCCGCAATTTGGCGAATTTGCTTGCTTTCTCACTGCCGAGTGACCTCAAAATGAAGAGGAAATCATAATTTTATTAGGCTGATTTATGCCGTATGACATTTTCTCACATGTGTGGAGTTGTCACTCTCGAACAGTAGTTGTTCAAGGGGCAAAAGAATTAGGGTTGACTCATCCCAGAACTCATCAAAGAAGAACATCAAAACTTCAGTAAAACACTTCCCGATACCTTGACCATGATTCATCTCGCTCCCGCTCTTATTCCGTTGCTGCCAGTTGTCTCAGGCCTTGCACTTCCTACATATGTACACACATAAAATACCAAAGAGGCAAGAGCAGGGTGTACTCTTGTGTCAAACCACTATGGACACCTAGAGATCAACCGGTCCATTGGCTAACCCCGATAAAACTTCCAACTGTCTTACAGCAGAGCAGCTGAAAGTCATTGATATAATCTATTGCTCTTGGTATGCTCCCGACGACTCCATGATATTCCCTCAGTATCGCTATGGAAGAGAACGTCAATTCGCCATGCTGGCCACAGGCGCCGTGGATGGCGGCTTCAGCAAAGAACTCTTTCAAATATCTCGTAATCTGGGATTTGAGCTTCTAGATCGTGTTGAATGCAGAGCCCATTGTCAAATCGTAAGGCTTGGATGCCGACAACTTCCCTTTGATAAAAGCAATGCTGACAAGTGGACTTGTAGAAGTTATCAAGAGCTATGATTTATAGTGCTTGAATCTGAAAACAAAAAAAAAAAAATATCTACTAATTAGAGATGATGAAGAAGATCAACATAGCTTCCACTTTCCAGGGATGTTGGCCGAGGCGGTTCGGGGCCAATAAAGCGGGAGGTGGATAACTCCGCGATCCACCAAGTACATCACTCGCTCACTGACACATGCTGCTCCTTCTGTGTCCTTCCATTTTGCTCACAATACATTCTGCCATTCTATCGTTCTATCATTATCGGTCTCGTTTCTGATCGCTTCCGATAAGCTAACCGCCGTGTACAGAAATGTTTTCCAACAAAACCGCCGACGCACTCAGATAACCCCGCTACTCCTTTTCCCTGCACACCCATGCGGTAGACCAAGCTGCCATGGTCGCCATGCCATCGGACCTCCAAGTGTTCGTGAAATGGAAAGAGCAGACAGTCTTCGCCGGCGAAGACGTTGAGTGCACAATCACCTTCAAAAATGTTGCAGAGATCGCGGAGGAAAAGGCCAATAATCCGTCCCATCAGCAACAACACCAGCGCAGAGTGTCCCGACCGCTAAATGCTTTGAATGGTAGCAAAAACGATGGCTATTTCGCGGCGAAGTCTTCGCCTACGTTCTTTTTCAATGGGAGTCGAAGGTCCGTTCCATCGAGTCCTCGCCGGCCGACGCTGGGCTCGCATCGAGTGTCGGCGTCCTTGAGCTCGCCATTGACGGGGTCTCACAGCTTTCCTCCTCTGCATACGCCGTCGCAGTTGAACAATGGAGCTCCCAACTCGCACAAACACAAACGATCGGTATCGATTTTGTCGATAGAGAGTGATAATGGAGGTGCATTGGAGAAGTCACCAGCAACACAATTCTCTCGTTCACGGCCATGGGGTCACGGGCGGTCTGCGAGCTTACAGATGCCTCCTAGCCGCTCGAATGGATTGGATGAATTCTTGGGTATGCACCGCGCGATTTCATTGCCGTCTACGCGTATTGACTCTCTTTAGGAAACGGCAGGAATTCAGCTAGAGGCATCCCGAAAGAATCGGCTCTCAGCCCGCGACTTGAGGCTGAAAAGACCGGTCGAACTATCCCTACAAGTCCAAGCAATGCAAGTCATTTGAGAAGCCCTCGTACCAGACCTCCATCATTTCCTACGGATTTCAAGTTTCCACCAAGCCCGGACCCTGCAGCTGAGACGGACGGCAATACCAATGGTGCTCCTGCAGCCGCAAATGATGGTCCAGCGTCGCGACCGCTGTCGAAACAGCCTCCATCTCTGACGCAGCAAGCACATTTGGCTCCTGCAACAAGGATCCTCTCGAGCTCTAGCGCCAATGGAAGCAATAGAAGCAGTGGCGAGTTCTATGCGGCGAGTAACAACTCAACCGATACACTCGAGTCTGAATACACGAATTACGGTGGGAATAGATCAAAGGCCAATCTAGTTAAACATCGACGGCATTACTCGAGTTTGGAGCCGATTGGCAGGAAAAGAGATGCATTGACTCTGTTGATGGGGTATGCCCAGGTCAGCGCATCGTTTACTGTTGACGGCGCTCTGATCAACCAATCGGCATTTGAGGAAGTGAAGCGCAAAGGTGTCGTTGGTGGGCAGACCAGCGGCCGTAAGCAGGAGAAACCGCGGCGCACTGGTGGGTTTTTGGGCGCATTTGGATGGGACGCGATTGAAGAATCTATAAGCGGGTTGCTATCGAACGGCGATCTCGAGGGTTTGAGGGATATGAGAGGAGTTACCTCTTCCAACTCTATTCCTCTCCTTTCGACACCACAGTCCCTTCTTTTTGTTGATTTGCGACTCGGTCCTGGAGAGGAAAAATCATATTCGTTTTCTTTTACTTTACCTCGAGGTCTGCCGGCTAGCCACAAGGGAAAGGCTATAAAAATATCCTACAATCTGGTGATTGGTACGCAGCGACCAAGCGGTCCAAAGGAATCGCAACAAGTCAACCGGATCAACGTACCGTTTCGAGTTTTTAGTGGAGTTAATGGTAAGTACTATGTATTTAATCTGGCGGCATAGTACTAACAATGCATAGATCAAGGAGATGTTCTTGGCCATGACCTTATGCAACCTTACGTCTTACTACGTGATGAAGCGCGTGTGCAGAAAGTGAGTAGCACACCACGTCCGCCTCAAAAAGACAAAAGTATAAGTGGTCCGACATGGGCTACGGCTCCTGAATTTTTGTCGTATGTAGACGAAATCCTGGAGAAGCATGAGACACAACATCTCCGCACCCCTGGACCACCATTGGGTACACCACTCGAGAGAAGACGCTCCAGCACTGGACAGGGACCGCCTCCCACCTGTAAAGAAGCGATTGAGTTTGCCATTCTTCGAAGTAACCATGTTAACACTTCCAATCGGAGCGCAAACCGGTTTGATATCGCCCGGAATGGCCGTCGCATTGCCGTGGTCGTTCTCAACCGTCCATCTCATCGATTAGGCGAGACGATTCTTGCCACGATTGATTTTACAGATGCAACCCTACCATGCTTCTCTTTACGAGCGACGTTAGAGACCTCTGAAAAAGTTGATCCCTCATTAGCATTACGATCCAACACGAGCATCCATCGAGCTACTCGACGTATATACGCTTCTTATTTCGAAAACACACTCTTCTCCACACGAGTGGTCTTTAGCCCTGCGATCCCAATCTCAGCGACACCCACATTGTTGACTACTGGTATCAAGCTCGACTGGGATCTGCGCTTCGAGTTTGTCACGACACATTCCAAACATGACACAAATGTGAGTCTGTCTGGGAACGGACTTTTGGAGCTGCTTGGTCAAGATGAGCGAGGGTCGGTTTATTCTGCGTTGGAGAATCTGCCTAGCGAGTCATTTGAAATTGCGATTCCGTTGACTGTTTATGGCGAGACGATTCGGGAGCCGTTGGCTGAGGAGGTTGAGGGCTATTCCATTTAGGCCAGCATGAATCGAGGAATACTTCCATATAGTCTTTTGCAGCCGTGTATAGCAATCGCTCAACTAGATATTTACAGATGAACATATAGTCACATGACCGGTCACCCAGGCAACGTGATTTCGTCTCGGAGATCTGGGCGGGGAGCCTTAGGCTAGTTCTTACTCTAGAAGCACTATACACTATATATCAAGATTCCTCATTGCTATGCTCATGCTCATTGCTCATTGCATCTGGAACGAATAACTGCGCTGGAAATCACTAATTGACTATAGAATTCCTACCGTACGTGAGTCCGAGTCGTCTGTTGTCCCGCTCCACCTCCACTTCGAACCATCAACTAACAGCGTCATCGCATTCCAGMCCTGCCAGTAGGACGAACATTCCAACCCACATATCGAATCACGAACCGAACAGCCAGCAAGAAGTCTACGGCGAACAGATAGAGGAAGCAAAATGGCTTCCTTCCTGAACACAATGTGTGTACTCCTTCCACACTCCCATCCATCCCAACCCAAACACCACAATGTCTACCCTGAGTGCAACAGCTGCTGCTCCTAGCAGTGGCCTCACCCCCTCCGACTCAACCCAAACAATAAAAGCACGCCATCACTACCTCCCCATCGAACCACCCTCCTACCTCTCCACAGCCGTCCGCGCTCTCAAGGGCACTATCCCGATACTAACACCACCCAGCAACGCGCGCACAAAGGGGCCTTTTAAGCCGCGTTCGTCGCGAGGTACGACAAGCTATCAACTGCGAAAGTTTGCAGAAGAGACGCTGGGTAGTGGGAGTTTGAGAAAGGCGGTCAAATTACCGGAGGGCGAGGATGTGAATGAGTGGTTGGCTGTTAACGGTACTTCTTCTTCTACAAGAAACCTGTATGGGTGATGACTGACGAGTGATGAACAGTGGTCGACTTTTACAATCAGATCAACTTGCTATATGGGTCCATTACAGAGTTCTGTTCGCCGCAATCATGTCCCGAGATGAAAGCTACCGATGAGTGAGTTTCTTACCATCCTTTTCCATCAGAACCAATGTGCTGACGGAAAAAGATTCGAGTATCTCTGGCAAGACTCCGAAAACTACAAACGACCTACCAAAATGTCCGCCCCAGCATACATCGAGCATCTCATGGCCTGGATTCAGGGCAACATTGACAACGAGCAATTGTTCCCCAGCCGAACCGGTAATCCCCCTTTCCTTCCCCTCTTTTCCCATTTTCTTCAGCCATACTAAATTTGGTACTGTCCAGGCGTGCCCTTCCCAAAGACCTTCCCCGCTCTAATCCGACAAATGTTCAAACGCCTCTATCGCGTCTATGCGCATATCTACTGCCACCATTACCACGTCATCCTCAAACTGGGCCTTGAGCCGCATCTCAATACCTCTTTCAAGCATTACGTGCTTTTCATTGATGAGCACAACTTGGCCAGCGGAAAGGACTTTTGGGGTCCGTTGGGGGATTTGGTGGAGAGTATGTTGAAGAGCGATTAACTTTCTTTCTTTCCTTCCAGGAGGGGGAGTGTTTAACGAATGGTTCGGATGGGTTTCGTTTATTGGGTGAGGGATGGATGGATGGATGGATGGGGGTGGTGTTTAGCATTGCATATGGGTTGCTTTTTAATATCTTCCTATGGTCTGATTACTGGCGTTGTCTTGGCCTCACGTCTTTCTCGATTTCCAAGGTTTTTATGTGCGTATGGCATTACACTTTCTATGTTTCTACTTGTTTTATGACATAAATAATGGCATAGCCCTTTCAAACTTCGAATTCGACTAGGTCTTTCATATGTACCACTTACGTACCCTACAACCCTACTAGGGCTAAGATGTCACGGAACACGATACAGACAAAGGAAAAATATATTTTAACAATTTCGACAGCTAAAGTCTACTTCACAGAAAAGAACTTTGTTGGTGGTGGTGATGACATATAATATAGATGATGAGAGGCGGACAAGAGAGTTTAATTTACACAGCGTCGGTAAGAGCTTTGTTGAGACGGTTGATCTTGGACGAGACGCTGAGATCGATGGTGCGGTCACCGATTTCGACGATGAGGCCGCCGAGGACATCGGGTTGAACCTGCACCATTTAGTACGCAGTTAAGAAAGGGAAGGGCAAAAAAAGAGAAAGGCATACCTTGGTGACGACCTTGAGTTTCTTGCCCTGGCTGAACTCGGACTTGGAGACGGCCTTTTCGATGCGCTGGATGGCCTTGTTGTCGAGTTCCTATCCCTTATTAATATTTTTTCTTATTGTTCCTTTTTGAGGATGTAGAATAAGGCATACCTGAGCACTAGTAATACTCAACTCAATCTCACCCTTATGCGCGCTAATAAGAGTCTCAAACTTCTCAATGACGCCCTCCAACAATCCCAAACGGTTATTCTCAGCCAATGTGCTCAAAAAGTTTTTGAGGACTTCGTTCTTGTCGCCTCCAGCAACGGTCTGCAATTCCTTGATGATTTGTTGCTTGTCGCTGACGCTGAGGGTAGGCGCGTTCAGGATGGTGGTGAGTTTGGGGTCCTTTTTGAAGACTTCGCCGAGCTGGGAGAGGGATTTGGCAATTGCGTCCAGAGAGGAGGTTTTAGCGGAGGCGGTGTACTATCCAATGTTCTGTCAGTTTTATGGAGGTGATTCTATTTTTGATGCCGGTTGATTTTGAGGACAGCGCGCAATTGAGACCCAGAGGATTGGCCCTGGGAGACCGTAGATGGGAAAAGACTGACCAATGCGTTGGCATAAGTACCATCAACACCGTACAAAGCAACAGGAGGTCGCACATCCTGCTGAGTAGCAGCAGCAGCATACGTCCTCAATCCACCCACGGCAACGGATCGGGGAACAGCAAAGTTGCGAAGCCCAGCGCGGGCGGCGACACGAGCAGACAACATCGCGATATATCGATTTCTCCGGTGAGAAGTAAGAAAAAGACCGGCGGTCGAGGTCTGGTGGGAGGTTGAGGGTCAATGGAGAAGAGAGAGAGCTTGTCCTGACGGTTCGTCGTGGAGTCCAGCACATCCGAAGTTCTTCCCAGCCAAGCACGCTTTGCTCTTTTGGGAAATCACATGACTATATCACCCGAAACTCGCCGTTCTCCACTTCCTTCACTTGTTAACTACATAGTTAGTTATTCTGTGCAAGTCTATGTGATCATATGCCAAGTTGAAAGATATACTGTCTCTTTATTATACTATATGAATATAAACCTATCTAAATTCTTTTCTACTCTACTTTCAAATCGATTAATGTCCATTCGTCCCATTGGTACCATTACGATCAACCTCCGTCGTAAACTCATCCTCATAAGTCCCCAGCGTCGCGCTGCTGCGAACACGATTGAGCTGGTCTGCAATGTATGTAGTAAAGTTCTCCTGCATGTGATCATCCGCGCCATTGGTAGACGTGGCATCCTCATTCTCCTCATCCCCGGCTCCGTTAATGCTGGCTGTAAAGTCGCTGCGGTTGCCAATTGAGCGACTGGTTGATGAACGGCGGAGCAGACGGCTGGGTCTGCGGCCACCCTTGGGTGGTCGCCCAGGATGGCTGAAGACGTCGTCAAAGTAGTGCGCTGCTGCAGTAGTGGGTGTGCGAGGGGTTTGCGGGAGACGGCAGTTCAATCTAGACACGTTAGTAAGTGATTTAACAGTAATATTGGGGGGACCGTACCCAGTGTCGTGGATGACTTTGGCGAGCAAGCCGGTCCATCCACACTGGTGAGATGCACCGAGACCGCGACCAGTATCGGCGTCAAAGAACTCATAGAACCAGAGATAATCTCTCCAGTGCTCATCAAAGTCGAGCAAGTCGTTGCCATTGTTGATGGCCCGGCGTCCATCGTAATCCCGGACATACAAGTGCTGTAGTCGGTGCTGGAGCTCTTCAGCAACATGACCCAGATGCATGTAGTCACCAGAGCCAGTAGGACATTCAACCTTGAACGAGTCACCGTAGAACATGTAGAATCGTAAAAGAGATTCAATCAGCAAGAAATTGACACAGATCCAGATCGGGCCACGCCAATTGCTGTTACCACCAAACAGTCCGCTGTCAGAATCACCGGGAACGTATCCAACCGTGAACTTCTGGCCATTGACATCCATCGAGAAGGGGTTCTTCTCATGGTACTTGGACAACGAGCGGATACCATGGTCCGACAGGAATTCTGTCTCGTCAAGCATGCGTTTGAGAATCTTCTCAAGACGGTCCTTGCTGACAAGAGCAAGAAGCAAACGGTCATCTTTACCGCGATTGCTCATGCTGGCAATGTTGCGCTCTGCAACGTCATTTTTGTTCTCGATGAACCAGTTGAGGCGTCGTTTGAACGATGGGAACATGTTGATAATCTCAGGCTCGAGTGTAGAGGCCGCATATAACGGAATGAGACCGACCAACGATCGAACTGGGAGTTGTTGCGACCAGGGCCCTCCGTATGAGATAGAATCGTAGTAGAAACTGATATGTTAGTATTAAACGTATTAATGAGTCGGGTTTGGTTACCTGTCTTCCTCATTCCACAGAGAAGTCTCTCCATCCTTGTTCTTGAATGACATGGCATCGGAGATGAGAATAAAGTGTTCGAAGAATTTCGACGCAACTATAACAGTTAGCAGAGTATCAACATACTGAGAATATTTGACGTACTGTCTTCATAGGTACGACGGTGTTTCGCAAGCTCAAGAGCAATGTTCAACATGCTGAGACAGTAAAAAGCCATCCAGCCAGTACTATCCGCCTGCTCCAAGACACCTCCAGTAGGCAATGGCTCAGAACGGTTGAATAAACCGATATTGTCAAGACCCAAGAAACCACCCTCAAAGACATTCTTTCCGTCGGCATCCTTGCGGTTCACCCACCAGGTAAAGTTCAACAAGAGCTTCTGGAACACACGCTCCAAAAAATCCAGATCCTGTCGGCCGTACATTTTGCGTTCAATTTTGAACGTTCTGAAAACTGCCCAGGCATGCACTGGCGGATTGACATCGCCAAAGTTCCACTCGTAAGCTGGAAGTTGACCATTAGGATGCATGTACCATTCTCTCGTAAGCAGGTCAAGCTGCTTCTTTGCGAAATCAGGGTCGACCATGGCCAAGGGAATGCAGTGAAATGCGGTATCCCATGCAGCAAAGAAAGGGTATTCCCAAGAATCCGGCATGGACAGGATATCATCCAGGTACATATGTCTCCATTGCTGATTGCGAACGTTCTTTCGGCCAGGTGGAGGGGGAATCATGGCAGGGTCACCATTAGCCCATTGATCCCAGATAAAGTGATAGTACTGTTTCGTCCACAGCATGCCAGACAGAGCCTGTCGCTGGATGTTTCGGAGATCTTCCGCCATAGGAAGAGGGTTGATGCGGTAGTAGAAGTCATCGGCTTCCGATCTTCGCTGCTCAATCACGTTGTCAAGCTCCTCTTCATTGACATACTCCTCATTCTTCCTGGAGAATCGGAATCGCACAACGGCGCACTCGCCAGGGGGAACACCATCGCCTTCGTCAAAAGCGTACCAGGCTGCGAACTTGGTACCCTCGTTGTCTGGGTTGACAGCATCCTTTTCTTCGTCAACAATGTATCGGTGGAAAGCATCCTTGACGTATGGTTGGTCATTCTTCGTTCCATACAACGCTTCATTGTTGGTGTCATTTTCAGTAAAGAGCATGCGGGGTTGAATATCTTCCTCGCTTCCATTGAACGACGGGGACGGAGACAATGTGACGTAACGATCGCCCAAAGCGTGATGCGAAGTCTTGACCTTGAGAGGGCTTTCCTGTTTGATAATGGGCTTCTTTGACTTGTCTTCCCAACCCCAGGTCCAGGTGTTTCGGTACCAGACTTGAGGAACGATGTGCAGAGGTGCCGGCTCAGGACCTCTGTTGTATGCAATCACTCGGAAGGAGATTTCCTCTTCGTCATCTTCTTCCTTTCCGGTCTCGATGAAGATGTCCCAATACTTGCTTTCGTTGAAGACGCCGGTGTCGAGAAGCTGATACTCATGGTCTTGTCGTCCGCGGCGCGCATTCTCGTCAATCAAGTCTTGGTAGGGGAACTTTTTCTGGGGGTATTTGTACAGATATTTCATGTAGGAGTGCTATTTAGTCAGTCAATATCCCAATGAAGAGAACAATGACTTACCGAAGGTGTATTGTCGAGATGGAAATGGCATTCCTTGATACTCTCACCATGGTTTCCCTGGGGGTTAGAGAGACCGAACAATCTCTCCTTTAGAAAGTCACTTGAAACAATCAGTTTTTCAGCCCATGCTCAGTAGTTTGTGAAACTGACTCTTTTTCATTCCAGAATGAGAATGCAATGTTGAGTTGACCGTGCGTGTCGCAAACACCAGCTATACCGTCCTCACCCCAGCGGTAGGCTCTTGAGCGGGAGTGATCATGAGAGAAATCTAGAGCGGTTAGCTGGGCAATCTCCGAAGATCAGTCAGCTAAATACATACGACTCCAAGCATCGCCGTTTTCCCTGTAGACACGTTAACAATTGCTCCTTCAATCGAGAATTTTGCTTGTAAATACTCACGAATAATCCTCTCGCACTGTAAGCCGGAAACAAGTTAGCAATCGTCTTCAAAGAGCTTCCCGCGATCGATTGCATCATCGACGCCGTTCCGATTCACGCCAATGACGAGCGCAAAGCAGAAGAATGAACGTACCAGTCGCCCATTGTCGCTCGGCGACGTAGGGACCCCATTTCTTCCAGTATCGCTTGCGCTCACGATCTTCCTTCAGCCTCCTCTCCTCGTCGCAGAGGTACTCGACGTCGTTGACGACGACCATGGCTAGCGGGGTAGGTCGGAAGCGAGAGGGAAGAGAGACAGAGAGACGAAAAGCTCAACGAATTCAAGAGATAGCTACAGGAGATACCAGGATACAATCGAATATAAAGCTATAACCCCGTCAATAAAAAGAAAAGAAAAGCAAGAGAGAAAGAGAGATTAGAACAAGCCACAGCCTTCAGCGGCGTTTTATCTCGGTCAAGGATAGACGGTCTAGAGCTGATGGATGCTGTCATTTCCTTATCGATAAGCTTCCTTGTTTTTTCCTTTTCACGTTCTGCATCCAGACCGTCTCTCTGTTCTACTAGTATTTTCACTGTACGTACATACTATGTACATAGAAAATAGCTAACTGAACAGCTAGCGAGTGCTAATGCAACGGCTTKCCCAGATTCAACCTTCCGAGAGCTGTCCTGGCCTAAAATATAGCAGATCGACATCATCCCGCATGCCGGCGTTGTTTATTGGAGGGGTGCTTACTGTATACACCGTACACAGGATAGTAGATACTGAAAGTCAGTTAATCTATATTAATATCTCTTTATCCGGCACTTATATATCACAATGTCGGACGAAGAGAAATCTGTCGTATAACATCGTTCAGCTCATTCAACGTTCATCGACCCTACCTCGATAAGAGATGGGACTCACAATTTGAAGGTTATTGATAAGATATATATAAATGCCACACGGCATCACAGGTACATTGATTACCCTTGTACAAGAGCAAGAGCAATTGCATCTATCATGGACATACCTACTCTTCCTCTTCGGGACGACAACAAAATTCCGACATACCTACATCCAGATAGGTATGTGAAACTTTAAGTGTTCTATATCGCAAGCAAGTTGAGGTACATAGCTAGCCGTGGGCACGGGGAAAACATGTTTCGATCACCCCCAACTCATCCAAGTCATCAAAGTCGCCATCGAGCGTGGATACTGTTATCTGCCTAGGTAGATTGCGCACAAATGGACGACATGGAGAAAGAAGGAAAAGATGTCGATTTCGCACGTAAAAAATCTGACGACATCCCGCGAGACAAATTGTTTGTGACAGATAAAGTGTCGAATGGAATCGATGATATTCTCCCGGTGATGGAACCGGGGTTGGAGATGATGGGGTTGGCGTCGTCAATGCAGACCAGTCAACTCGAACTGAGGTTGCGATGACGACGAAATGACCCGAAAGACTGGATAAAAATGTGTGTACGTCGAGGGTAAGGTTGAGGCAGAATGACAGCTCACAGACTGTGAAGTGAGCGATGCGACTCTTTTGAAAAACGACGTGGTTGAATCGGTTTGGGGATGATCGGTCGTGATAGCCGGGACTTGGGCCGTCGGTGCACAGCTATGCAGGAAATCATGCTTGTACATCTTTTAAGGAATCTTCAATCAAAAGTAGAGACAATATCCTCAAGATGAGTGCCTTGGAATTAATATGTATTATATGGTATCAAATGAGCACGTAACGATATCACAACATAGGAAATCAAACGAATGTCTCTTGGCCCGGCTAAAAGACAATCATGCAATATGAATAACGAGAGGGCCTGCCCGACTCCTGAGCTCCTGCGCCATGTAAAATGTCGGGTAATGACAATAAGTATATCCTAATGAATAGAAAGTGAAAAAGAATGCTCAACACAACAACAGTTCGTCAGTGGTAACTTTAAAGGAAGAAACCACGTTTTTGATGTTGCCGTGCTGTCTGCGTATGAAGTGCATATCGCGTCGTTCAAGCACGGGGCTTTCCTTTGCCGTCATCCTCTTGCTCATCCATGTCGTTCGAAGTGGCTGCCGAAGTGTCAGAATCTGTAGCGCCTTCATCAGACTGATGCTCATCCGAGAGAGTCGACGACGTGGGAGAAAGGGCCCGGGCCAGGTCACTCTCACCTCGGCCTTGTTGCGCGGAGTCCGTGCCCTGGAGAGTGTTGTTTTCAGCGTTCTTGGCCGCCTCTTTGGCAGCCTGCTCTCGCTGTAGACGTTCTTCAGTCTCGCGGATTCGGGCTTGGAGGGCTTCAAGCTCCCGTGTTTGAATGGTCATGCGCTGTTTCCTGTCAAATCCTGTCAGCTTGAGACATGAGAGTATTCGTGTCAGATTTACTTCAGTTCAATAGACTGTGTCAGGTCATTGACTTCATTATCAAGCATAAAAGCACTGTCAAGTGCAAGTGAGAAAGCCTGAGCCATGGTGCTATAGATCAAGTTAGCGGGTGAAAAGTGAATGCGAAATTGTGGCAGGAGKATTAATCCATGAGGAAATCGAGGGKATAAATAAATAAGATTGACGTACGACTGCGGGCGGCGAGGGTTGGGTTTCCACTCCTGCTCTGTGTCCGACATAGTGGTCTATTTGGTAGTGTTTCCCGAGAAATCCGTGGAATGTTTGTAGTATGTATATCGTCACCCAAAGGAGTAACCCAAGGAGCGACAAGAACGCGGCGTTTGATATCCCAGGAAAGGAGCTCCCTTCAGATATGCTGATGACTTCTTTATAGGCTGGTGTGCCCCTCGTTCAAGAGTCGTCGTCAGATAAGGCTGAGGTCAAGGCTTAAGTGACCGGGGCTTAGATCTCGTAACCGAATCCTCGATGTTCAATTTCGGTTCGAATTCGCGAAAACAGCCAGCTGAGATCAATCACCTGAGGGATTAATGCAGATAGGCTGCAGATGCGAGGCGAGTGGTGATAGGTTTCGGAGGTCACAAGCAGTCGCGACCGAGACGGTATATAAAAGTTCCGGGTAAAAGTATATGGGTATAATAGATCGAAATAACGATGGCGCGGTATAGTTCGGCAAGCAAAGAGCTAAGCAGGTATGTGCTCCTCTCTGGTGAATGTTATGTGAAGAGATTATTAGTGTATAGAATAGATGAAGGGGAAAGAGAAGAAAAAGTAGCAAAAACAAAGGTCAAGAGTACTTGTGCTACGATAGCCTGGGGCAGCTCACAGAGAAGGGCGCTTTAAGGAGGTACGCCGGAAGGAACGACGGAGGGATTGACACCTGATCAGCGAACCAGAAGCCTGTGTTTGCCTAGCTCCGTACCCAACTTACGGGTATTTTACGGGTCTTCTCCATAGTCTACTCACTAACCCGTAGAGTCTTGTTACTACGTACATACTACATAGTAACATACGATGTACAGAGTAGGCTGCGAAAAAGGGGGAGGGGCATAAAGACTTAACAAGCCTATTATGAATATACGGAGTACGTACTATGAAACATATGCGATCTTGCGTGCATACCCGAGCCCGATAACTATGCACTCACTCCTTAATTGCAAAACTACAAAGTTCCATAGTAGTTGACGTTGTGGCGCCTGAGGGGCTCGTGCTGGGGCCCTGGTTGCTAGCTCGTCTTTTAAGGGGTATGCCTTGAAGGAGCTCGCAGTGCCGACCAACGCGCTAGTAGCTAGCGGGTTTAGCTAAGTTAGAACGTCGTGATATGATGCACCGAGTCAAATGACTGGTCTCAAAAGTCTGCCTCCAACCTGTCAAGCATATCTGCATGAACTCGGTTGCGAGAGAGCATACCGAACGAGAGTCGACAAATCACAATCGAATCCGTCTCACAATCCTTGGGATTCCGATCAATCCCAGTGGAGCTATGGAAGAGCTGGCGGGAACGCACGGTGTCCACTGTAAACACTGCTGCAAAAGCTTGCCCTGATTGGGACTAATCATGCTTCGTGAGTCCGCACAAGATCTGTCATGGTTGGTGCGTACTTTGGTTTGGAGAAAAGACTCGAAGATATTTGACCGACAGCAAGCCGAGCTATGGTGTTGGACTGCAATAATCCCTCGTATGAGAAATGCTTTCTTGGTCGGAGATCGAGTGACGACCAAATTGCGGGAACTGCCTAAGGCGTGGGAGGTAGCCTCAGGCAGATTCGAATAGTATATGAAGACGCAACTAACAATATGCATCGCTGATGTGGCCCGACCTTTGACCAAATCACCCACTTCTCTTTCTCCATATTTTACTCATGCTAGAATGATCTATACTCTGTAACCGTAGAAGAGGTATATCAGCCCTTACGAACATACTATGTAGCTGAGCGTAAGGTACAGTTCACAAGCCATCACGTGACCGGGAAGCCGTCATTCGCTGAACCGGCTGCAATCTTTCGTTCTCAAGAACACTTTCAGTCAAGACTGAACACAGCCAGCCCAGTTTCCATCGCATAAAACCCATCAACGTCATCATACGCGTCTTTAAAAAATCCCGAGTCATCAAACACGCCAACAATCTCTTCCAGGTTTTCTCCGAATTTTATTACCCCGTAAAGTCGATATTTGCTCGCGTGATTGTGTGACCAGACGCGGAAGTCACGGTCGGCGTGCCTTTTGGCCTCATCCCCAGTTCCGAATTTCGAGTGCAAGCCGATGCAATTGACCCACGCCCGGCAGTGTTGATTGTTACAGATTCGATCTACTCGATAGATCGTTACTTTATATTCACACCCTGGCTCCCATCAGTAAGGCCTCTCTCGTGAGTGGCTACTTAGACCTGCAATGGGGGATGCCGCCGCTGTCAGCTTACACACCTTTTGAATCTCTTCTCTTCTTCCAATGTCTTGCGTCACTAAACACTCGTCCTGCGAATTTCGCCGCTATTTCAGATACCTTGCGCAAAAATCAGTTCATCAAGGAAGATGACGCTTTTGATACGAATCGATTGACTCCGCAGGCTCTCGAGGAGCTATATACCACATTGTTACAGGAAGGAATCGACGAGTCCTTGGATAAGAATGGGTTACAAGATGGAGGCAGCACCAACCCAAAGAAGCGCAAGATTATCAGCGGGGTTGGTGCCTCGCAGTCCCATACTGCGATTATTCCAGAGCTCGTCACGCAACTTTACGCACGATACAAGGATCGCGTAACAAAGGAAATCCGAGAAGAAGAGAAGAGATATAAAGATATTAGCCAGGAAATTGAGAAAATCCAAAAGGATGCATTGCAGGAACAGGCGGTACCTGCTGCGCCTGAACAAAAAGCTACGGCAGGKCTGGCAGGAGCTGCTGCTGAACAAGTCAGCGACGAAACAGATCTGGACATCAAGGAAGATGCTAAATTGGTGGAAAAAGCAGCTCCAACAGTCGCAAAAATTACGGAAAAAGCTCGAGTCGATGTGCAAGTTCCAGCACCGGGACCTCTGGAGCAAAAACCAGCTCCTCCACCCACAGTCGCAACCACGCCTCTTCCACCCAAGCCAGAACTCGCGCCGCCTACACCAGATTTAAGCAAGCAACAGGTACCTCTACCGCCCGTACCTCTGCCACAAGTCGCACCACAGTTGCAAACTCCACAGCCCACACAACCTCCAAAAATTCCGACACCACAACCACAACAAGTATCACCCAAGCAAGCAACTCCTGGAGGTCACATACCACCTGTCACTTCGACGCCTCCTATTAGATCAGCAAGCAATGGCAAACCTCCTCCTTTGGCTCCACAGCCTCCAGCAAAGCAGCAGCTATCTCCTAACATTCAAGTCAAAGTACCGCCGCCTCCTCAACCACAGCGACAGTCGCAACCTCCGTCCCGTGGTGCAGCCAATCGCAACCAACCCAATCTTCCTCCCGGGTCAACAATTGTTTTTCAGGCGCAACAAGGACCGAGTCAACCTGCGACACCGACATCTCAACGTCAGGCTCACGCAGCCGGCCCTGGGTTGGGTAGAGGGACCCCTGTTCCTGTTGGCTCGCCAGCGTTTTCACAGCTACCACCGGGTCAACAGCAATTTCAGCAATGGGTTCCGCATCCTCAAGCAGGTGTATTTCCTGCGACACCCCATGCGCCTCCGCCGTATAAAAACCAGCCTATGATGCCTAAACAGGGTACTTTTGTTCCGCACGACTCTACGGGAAAGCCAGTACCGATCGCACCACAGGGCCATGGCCCAGCTACCCCCGGTCCTTTCCCTCATCCTATGCAGACACCTATGGCCCAGATACATCCACAGGCTACACCAATCACGGCAACCCCGTCTTTATCGGGCATGAAGCCAAGGCCGCACCGTCCATCAATGGATACAGCTGGATCGCTTACGCCTTGGAAACGCACTCCAAACTTACACATCAATATTCCGGAAACTCCTGGGTCCCCACCACGACCAAGACCTGAAGATGTCAGTCCCATTAGCGAAAGGGCTCCCTCACCAACCGAGCCCGTCGCGCCCACTGTCAAAGAGCAGAAGAGGCGTGGCCGGGGTAGGAAGCAAAGTGTACCGCCTGAAGCCGAAGTAGTAGCTACCAAGGCAGTGACAGCCACTTCTGGAACGAAGCGTGCTGGTAGTACCGCATCTACCAGAAGTAGGGCACGATCAATTATGTCTCGGGATGATGAATCAGCTAGTGAATTGGCAACAGCTCAGCGGAGAATTAAGCATGAGGCCCCGCCAACGCCTGCAGGAGTTGCGGATGATGTCGAGGTAGAAACGAGAGCTGGCACTCGGCGCAAAGGAGTTGCCGGCGATGACACTCAGAGCAAATCAAGGGGTAAACGAAAACGCGGCGCCAGTGAAGCCTTGGAAGCTGATATGATTCAACCAACTCCTTCTCGTGGCGTATCATCTCAGCTCGTTTACTGTACTCGAAATTTTACACGAACGGGCGCTCCCATCATGAATGACGTTGCTGCTCACAAACACGCTTCAATCTTCGCCAAACCACTGACCGAACGAGAAGCCCCTGGGTATAAAGATCTAATATATCGACCACAAGACTTGAAATCGATCAGGGGAGCACTCAGTCAGGGAAACAGAGCTGTCGCCGCTGCAACTGAGGCTGCCGCTGCAGAAGGAGAATCACCCATGCCATCAGGCACACCGTCCAAGAACACTGCTTGGCTCGCAAAGACCTCCGAACTCATCCCTCCCAAGGCTATAGTCAACTCGTCTCAACTCGAAAAAGAGTTGATCCGTATGTTCGCCAACGCCATCATGTTCAACCCAGCTCCCGACGCCGAACGAGGATTTGGACCATCTTTTCGGATGATCAGACACGGCCAATCCTCTGCCACAACGAGATCTAGTTCTCATCCATGGGATATGGATGAAGGAGGCATCAGCCGTGATACACGGGAGATGTGTGATGATGTAGAGAAAGCGGTTACGAAGTGGCGCGCAGCAGAGCGGACAACTACGACTGATGAACAGGCTAATAAGAGTATGCTTTCTTTGCGAGGGAGCAGTGGTGATAGCAATGTGGATGCTATGGATGAAAAATAGACATCATTAGACTCACGGTCTCGCGCATTGCAGTGATTAGCATAGCAATAAATACCATATTCTTCCAAGTTGTTTTGTCATGATATATTATATATTCTATATTCCGTTTTAACATCAAACAGAGACCTGCTCCGCCCTCGTCCTACCCAGCCCATCCTTCCCATAGAAATCCATCGGATAAACACCCCCGTTCCCTTCATCCCACCCCTTTCTTGCCTCCAACGCAACAAGAGCCTCATACGGCGTCAACAACGGTCTCGGAAACGCATAACCCCAATCAATACTCAACCTAGGACACGCAACCTGCACCCAACACTCCACATCAGGCATAGAAGCCAGTTTCCCCGGAAATATTTCACTAAGCAACAAGTTCACAAACGGAATGCCCTTTTTGTTAAGATGTGATTCGATTAATGACATTGTATGTGGATTTCCTTGTCTGCCCAGAGAGCCGAGAATGATGCCCCATTTTCTGGCGCTGGAGGCGGCGGTTATCGCGTCCCGACGTAGGGTATGCATCTCCTCATGCTCATACGTCTCTCGCGACAACACCCTCGAATACGGATCGTATCTATATGCCGGAATTTTGGGGTTATGTATCATCGCCGACTCGAGATGGAACCGGCCATCACCCAGATACAATAAATAATCGATTTCCTTGTCCGACAACTGCGGCGACGTGCAACCCAATATCTCACCCTTTGAGAGCGGCATGATTTGAGGGATTATGACTTTGAAGCCTGCGCGCTCGAGGACGGGTTTGAGGCCGTGTAAGGTAGCGTTGAATTGGATTGTGCCTACCGTTGCGATTGTTTTTCCAGCCTGAAAATTGCGTTCGAGGGTGGCGATAAGGTGGGTTGTGTCAATGCTAATGTCCACGAAGATGTAGAGGGTTTTGATGGTCGTGACGTCTACAGGTATCAAACAACTGTGCGCGTAGTGCACCAGAAGATCGCAGCCGAGGGCGCGCGCCGTGTAGTCGTCGATACAGCAGGCGCCGTACGTGACGTCGCCCATGATCAGGATTTCAACGCCATCGCAGAACTCGGTGAGGATGTCTGATATTGTGGTTGCAAACAGCAGCAGGCCTTCGGGGAATTGGAGGGCGACTCGCTTTGCGCCTAAGGTGCGGATGCGGTGGATTGTTTTGGGGATTTCGAAGGAGTAGTTTGATGGGAGGAGGGAGACGGCGGCGAGGATGTCGGGGTTTTCGGAGATGGAGGGGGGGATGTGATTCAGGGTTCGGGGTGGTTTTCGAGGGGTGGCTGCACATATTTTGTGAGGCTCAAATCAAAAGATGTCTCGAGGATAGTCAAGGCTCACCCTTCTCTATGCTGGTGTCGGTGTTGGTAGAGTCAGTCTGTGCCTGGGCATCTGCTGTCCGTCTGCCGACAAATCTCTTCTTTGGCTGGCGGGTTGCGGGACGAGATGTTGTATCTTCTATGCCGTCCATCTTGTTTATCGTGATATAATTAATCTAAGCGATATAAAAGTTGTCATGAAGTTATTCGGACATACGTAGTGGAGTGAAAAATTAAAGGCGGGGCTCCGATGTCGAATCGATAAGATCAGCCAACGCCGAAGCTAACCTTCCGCGCCCTCGGGTCTTCTCCGCATTCCTAAAGTTGCCTCCCCATTGACTATCCTCCAACAACCTCTAGAGAATGCAACAAGTCATCCATCCTTCGGTCTGACACACAGTCGAAAATGCAGAAATTCAAATCATCTCTCCGTCTTACATCCGCTCTACGTACAGCGGGTCCTCGAACTACCCCGGTTCGTCACTTCGCGACCGAAGCGCGGTTAACCACGGACCACGTCCGCATCGTCGAAGTCGGTCCTCGAGATGGACTACAGAACGAGAAGAAGTCGATCTCACTAGAGACAAAGCTTGAGTTAATTAACAGGCTTGCAAAGACTGGCGTAACTACAATCGAAGCCGGGTCTTTCGTGCCTGCAAAATGGGTGCCGCAGGTAAGCTCAAAACAAAGACCGTGATGCATGTGTTGTACTAACGAAGGCAGATGGCGAGCACATCCGAAATCCTTCAATACCTCATCAAAACACCACCCCAATCACAAAACCAGATTGCATACAACTACCTCGTCCCCAACATCCGCGGCCTAGAGAATCTTGTCAAAGTCATGGAAGCTGAAGGCGCAACAACAGTCGGATCCAAAGATGATCCCAAAGCAAGCACCACCACTGAAATCTCCTTATTTGCTGCCGCAACAGAATCCTTCTCCAAAGCGAACACGAACTGCTCGATTACCGAGTCAATAGAGCGAGTAAGGCCGATTGTCGCATTGGCTAAGGAGAAGGATATCAGAGTACGCGGCTATGTGTCTGTTGCACTGGGCTGTCCCTACGAAGGACCGGATGTGTCTCCGGGTAAAGTCGCTGAAATTACGGCGACGTTACTCGAAATGGGCGCCGATGAAGTCTCGGTTGCTGATACTACTGGCATGGGCACTGCGCCGCGCACCTTGGAGCTTCTGCAAGCTCTTTCTGCGGCGGGAATTGCCAATAGTGACCTTGCACTTCATTTCCATGATACATATGGACAGGCACTAGTCAACACGATTGTGGGACTGGAACATGGAATTAGAATATTTGACAGTAGTGTGGGTGGATTGGGCGGCTGTCCTTATTCGAAGGGTGCTACGGGCAACGTCTCGACCGAGGACTTGGTGCATACCCTGCATGGTCTGGGGATGCACACGGGTATTGATTTGGAGGAGATGTCGCGAATTGGTGCATGGATTAGCGAGCAACTTGGACGTGCAAATGATAGCAGAGCCGGGAAAGCGACTCTTGCGCGCATTGCTGGAGAGAAGAGCTGACTCTAATTGACAGAAAAGTTGTATCATGTCTAGTATCGAAATAATGTACATAAATGAAGTGAATCATTTGAGTTTATAAATGTCCCTTCTCGAGATCAGAAGTCCGTCACGCGGCCATTATAACTCCAATCCCCTTCATGACCCCATCTCAGCGGCTCATTCTTCGGTCCTCCAACCTCTCCCGTTTTAGGGTTTGTGTCTCCCTCAAACTCAGGCTTCACCGTCTCCCTCATATGCGGAAACAATTCTCCTTCGGGTTGTCCATTCGAACTAGTTTGTTGCGTCGTACTCGTGGTAGTAGTTGTAGTAGTAGAGACCTGCGAATCCGGCGATTGATTCACCTTTGGAGGTGTGCGCGGCGTACTGAAAGCGCCTGTAGACTCCTTCTGGAGGCGCTCAAATATTTCTTGCTCTTCTTTGGGGAGGCGTGGTGGTGCTGGACCGCTTCCGAAGGGACTGGCTTTGTCGTCGTCGGCTACTCGGCGGTTATATGATGATGTGAAGGAGCGGCGTGGCGAGGAGAGGAAAACTCGTCTGTTGGCGTGCGCTACAGCACGGGGGATTATCAGGAATTGAGAGAGTTTCATATTTGCAATTTTTTGAGAGATTGTTTGTAAATGTGGTGATATGGTTGTGGTTGCCACAGGAAAAGTAGAGAGAAAGAGGCAAGCGCGCCTTTTGATCTGCTCTTATCGATAAGCTTTTCTTGTCGGCCGATTTTCGGTCAGTGCCGTCGAGTCATCACAACGAGACATTTATTTGTTCTTCCCTCGCCAATTGACTCACACCCACCACCTGGGATCTTCCCCTGTCTATATATTTGTGTCTTGGTCACCTCCTCGTACTGATTTCTCTGATCACACCACATATCGAAGTAAAATGACTATTCGTGCGGCCGCGCGCCGCCTACAGTCGCTCAAATCTGTGCAACCTCTCCTCACAGCACGCTCTTTCAGCTCGACGTCGTATGTCTGCAGCTTACCTCGAGATGAGAAAGCGCGAATCTTGGTATGATCTTCTGTCCAGAAATGTAATCAATTGATGCTAATCTCCAGCAGAAAGAAAGTTCTCTGCCCACCCCCGATCCCGGCCCAGACTCATCCACAGCCGCATTTCTTCGAGATCGAACTCCATACATGGTGCCTACATATGTGCGCCCAACACCCGTCTTCGTCAAGGGACAAGGAGTCTATCTATGGGACATGGAGAATCGACGATTCCTCGACCTCACAGCCGGTATTGCCGTCAACTCATTGGGTCATTGTGACCCCGAGATCACAAAAGTGATCTCCGAGCAGTCCGAGACTCTGATCCATGCCTCGAATCTATACCACAACCCCTGGACAGGTGCCCTGAGTAAATTATTGATTGATGAGACGATAACCTCCGGCGCGATGCGTGATGCATCTCAAGTATTCGTGTGTAATTCAGGCGCAGAAGCCAACGAAGCCGCAATCAAATTCGCGCGCAAAGTCGGCAAAACGCGCGATGCTACCGGCGAGAAAGTCGAGCTCGTCTCTTTCCAGGGGTCTTTCCATGGACGCACCATGGGTGCATTGTCAGCTACCCCTAACCCAAAGTATCAACAGCCATTTGCGCCGATGATTCCGGGATTCAAGTACGGCGCTTTCAATGATGTTGAGCAATTGGAGACGTTGATCACGGAAAAGACCTGTGGTGTTATCGTGGAACCGATCCAGGGTGAAGGGGGTGTTAATGTTGCTACTCCGGAGTTTTTGATTGCTCTTCGTGAACGGTGTGATCAGGTTGGTGCTGTGTTGATTTTTGATGAGATCCAATGTGGTTTGTCTCGTACGGGTACTTTATGGGCACACGGAAACCCTGTATTCACTCCCAAGGACGGCAGCAAGAAAGCTGCTCACCCGGATATCTTGACTACAGCCAAGGCTCTCGGTAACGGTATCCCCATCGGCGCTACTATCGTTACAGAGAATGTGTCATCAGCCATCAAGACAGGAGATCACGGTACTACCTTTGGTGGAAATCCACTCGTCTGCCGTGTTGCGCACCACATTGTTGAGCGATTAGCTGCGTCTGAGCTCCAGAACGGCGTGGAGGTTAAATCGGCACAATTTATTGCCGGATTTAAAGCTCTGCAGGAGGAATACCCCGAGATCATCTCCGAGGTTCGTGGTGTCGGGTTGATTCTGGGTGTTCAGCTGTCTGAAAAGTATGCTTCCAAGGCCACTGATGTATTGACAGCGGCACGTCAGCGTGGTTTGTTGGTGATCACTGCTGGCGAGGGATGTCTACGTTTTGTGCCGGCGTTGAATATTACGGAGGACCAGATTGAGGCTGGATTGAAGGTTTTGCGAGATAGTTTTGCAGCTGTTTTCACTGAATAGGCCTGATAGAGAAAAGTTATGGTTGAGGAGTTGTTGTATATGAGAGACATGTTTAGCGTTTGTTGATTTTATGATAGATCTGTTAATACGGTTATTGAGACAACGCAGCAGCACTATACTAATTTTCGGCTTAAATAATACAGACTTCTATGGTTCTCACAGTCGTCCTCAGTTGTAGAAAGTTTGCACCTCTATACCACACCGGCTCGATATTCTGCGACAACTTGACTGGGCTATATAAGTTAGTTACGTGCTGACATAAAACGCTGGATCTCCAGAGATTTCAAGGTCTGCATTTGCATCTCCCCAGCATATTGTATCTCCGCGAAGCTGCGCTCCGAGATTTGGAAATGTTGAGTCTGCAACATGATGGAAAACGTCGACTTGAGGGACTCAATCTCATCCATGAGTATAAGCACTCTTTTCTTCCACAATAGGGTCCTCACTAATCTCACCAAACCTATGTATTTCGGCCACAACCCGGACCCTAGTCTGAGATTCAAGAGATCCAAGATGTCATACACTTCACTTATAGCTGCCTGACCTTGCTGGACAATATCAAACCCAAGCCTTTGCTGTTCGGCGGACATAGAGATACAAATTACATTTGTCGCCGTCTCTAGGACACTGGAGAATTGACGTATTCTTCTGGAGAACATCACGAGCTCTTTGAATGAATTCCTCGTTTGCATAATGTCGAATGATATCTTAGCTGCAGAACTGATGAGTTGTGTAATGCTGATTTCAAGCGTCGTGCTGCTTCTAGTATCCATCGAAAACACAAAGGATGATGGCTGTCCGTGACGAATAAAGGGTGGTAGTCTGCGACGGAACCTTGACCTCTGCCCTTCTGATCCTGATGGCTGTGGTTGATCTCGATTGTACTCCATGCTTCGTGGGAGCGGTTCAGAAGGTTCTTCTTCAGGCCCATTTAGTAGAAGTCTTTGTGAGCCGATTTGATTGACCTGCTCGGCATCCTGCTCAGAGAGTTCTTCCAAGCTCAAGAAGCGAAGATACTCATTGATTTCGCCTGCTAAGGTTTCTTGGTGCACAGAATGTGTTCGCTCCTGTGCTGATCTAACATTCTGATGTTTTACAACAGTGACTTTATCCAAATGAGCAGCGGGCGGTAGAGTACGACGCTGTGAAATAGCGTCAGGCGTAGGGGATGATTCATTATGTGGTAAAGTGTGAACCCTTGGATGGTCAGCTAGTAGCAATCCTGATTGCCTGGTGAGAAGGCGCTCATATACAAGATCAGTGATACTATCGACTCGTTCAAGCATATCAAGGCTGTTGATCAAGTTGTAGTTCCAGTCAAGATAGCTTTGCCTATGCCTATCAGAATAAACTGCTTTGCTGAAAGCACTGTTGTGCGAGGGTTCTAGTAGAAGTTGTTGCGGTTGATTGGACCTGGTTATGATTGACAGGATAGCATTTGATATTGTAATATGGACGAGATTGACTTGGGCAGAAAGGCTCTGTCTGAACTTGTCGAGGTCATCAGCTGCGCTAAAAGCCCACTGGAGTTTCCTCGGAGCGCTGGATACAAACCCACGATGAGAAGATTTCCCCATCGATTTTTCGTACTTGACGATGGCACCCTTAAAACCCTTCACAAATTCGCGAGTATGTGTTGAGTACTCCTCAATATGGTTTCTGAATGACTCCGACACGCTTGAAAGATCAAGGCGTTGAATGTCATCCATTACCTTGAGGAAGCCTTGACATTGTTGTTGAGCGAGACAATACTCTGATTTCGAACCACCTGCCTCCTTCAAGGCCTTGATCACCTTTGTAGCGAATCCGAGGAAAAGAGTAATATCGCCTGGAGAGAAACCGAAACTCATTTTGTCGTCACTGCTTGGAAAGGACTTTGGTAAGATTCGATTCCGTAGTCATATTCAGAATTCGTTATTGATAAATTTTGTTACGATTTAAGTCTCGTTATTTCATAGCTTGCGTAGCACGCGTCTACAATATCAGGCTATCAGCGTGATAGGCAAGGCTGACTGCGAAGTAGCCCTAAGCCTTCGACTGGCAGGGATCTTAAAGCATTCTCAGCTACGCCCGCTCCGGAAGTCCTCGACTGGCCAGAAATTAGTTGCTTGGCCGTCTGATTTTATATAGACGGGAGGAAATGGTAACTGATAATCGCCGATGACAAAAATGTGGCTATATCAAAGCCCCTCTTCATTTTTAGCCTTGCTGCCTTATCCCACCAAAACATGCACAATCTTCCTCGCCTGTCAGAAATGTCGACCCACGAAGATCAGAAGTTGGAACTTAGAGCAGTCTGTGGATGTGATGGAATATCATAACTTATATCAGTTGACCGATAATGGAAGCCACCAAAATCGATGAGGCTCTACAAAGAGCAACAAATGAGTTCGGGCTCTGCCCAAATCGAGTTTGGGCCATTGGGCACAACCTCGAAGACTGGGAGAAGAAGCTCCCAGACTTGATTCCAACGAACCAGAGGGCAAATAGTATGGGCATAATCGGACATGAAGGCCACGATCGATGCACATTCGAACTCTGCGAATACTCAATTCTCAACTACACATCAGTAATCCAGCGTCATGAATATGGGGTGGCGTCCTGTCGAGAGGAGAAACGCTGTGATACCCTCAAGGGACTGTTTTCAGTAAGAAAACTGGACGAAGCATCTCTTGCCGGGAGACCGACTGCCTGGAGGCTGGATGGAGAAACTACCATCGACGTGGCCGAGCCTTACATGGCCATATCCCATGTGTGGTCGGATGGAACCGGCAATGGCGTCTCGGCCAACGGAGAAGTTAATGAATGTCTATATCGATTTTTCGAGCGGATTGCAAGGCGTTGGCATTGCACGGGCATCTGGTGGGATGCAATTTGCATACCAAAGGACAAAGCTGCCAAAGACAAGGCAATCAGGCGAATGGAGCACAACTACGAGGGTGCACGAATCACGCTTGTTCACGACTGCTATATTCGAAGCTGGAAATGGGAGGATTCTGAGACTGCGTGTCTTGCCATCATCCTCTCGCCATGGTTCAGTCGTGGGTGGACTGCGTTGGAACTAGCGAGGTCTACAAGAGTTAAAGTGATCTTCAAAGGCAATGTGATCAAGGATCTGGATGACGATATCTTGTCCAAATCGGACAGTGATTCCGCATGTCACCGGTTCGCGACGGAAGCTATCAGAGGATTGCGCAGGAAGCGCGTGGAGAATCTAAATGACCTCCTTACCGTGCTTGGCCCTCGCTCTACCTCATGGGCCCGCGACATGGCAAGTATCTCGGCGCTACTCGTCGGGACTCCAAAATCGAGCGGAGGAGAAAAGCAACATGTTATATATCAGCAAGTACTATATACGATTGGGTGGGTTGCTCATGGACATCTGTTCCATAGGTCCGCAACGATGGCAGGCAAATTCAGCTGGTGTGCAACGAATCTGCTGGCCATGCCTATGGCTTCTCGAACGCAAGAACGACTCAAGATCGAGCATGACGGATCCATTACAGGCCGTTGGAAAGTCATCAAGCAGAACTCGGTCCCAAGAGAGCGATACGTGCTACAGAACGGCTTTCCACTTGTGGACATGAAAGTCAACGTTACCCTAGAAGCAGGAGACAAATCCGTGCTCTTGGGAGAGCCTGATGCCAAAGCCTTGACCAGAGCAATTGCAGCAAAAGTATTGGACGAAGCAGAGCATCACTATGAATTCATGGGGCCTGTGTACTTCAACCCCCCTCTTAACCTTGATGAGATTCATTGGGAGAATACTGGTAATGTCACAATCAGTGGCCGTCAGGAAGACACCAACTCCTCTCAGAAAATACCATTCGAGCCTGAGTTGCTGTATATTCCTGATCATCTCAGATATCTCATAGATTCAGTACCAACAGTAATGAGCGCTGCTTTTAGACGGAAGTATCGTTTGGCTCGTGCTCAGTTGGAAGGCGACCATGAAAAAGCTAGTAACATTCTGAACGAAGGACCCGTCGGTGCTATGCCTCGCGTTGATACCTCCATCAGCAAAGGGAACCGTTTAGTTCGTGCCGTCATGGAAGGCGACGAAAACGCTGCTCACAAAGTCTTGGAAGATAAATTCATCGATTTTAGCTTCAAGGACGATGCTGGATGGACGGCTCTGCATTATTCCGTGCGAAGAGGATACAACTCAATTATTGAGAAACTTCTCTATAACATGCGCTATGGAAGGGGAGATACAGCGGTTCACGTAGCGGTTCAAGATGGTCTGGGTCAACAATGCATTCATTTGGCAGCCGAGCGAGGGGATTGCGAGCTCGTTAAGTCTGAAGAGGAATTGCTGAAGGTGCACAAAGAGTGTAAGGATGGCCAAACCGCTCTTCATCGGGCTGTTCTGGGTGGGTCTTTGGAAATGGTCAGGTTGTTACCGGACGCATTTCTCGAAGCTGCAAAAGATGCCCAGGATTTGCAGGGTAGAACGGCGCTCCATCTCTGTGCTGAACTGGGCCAGGGCAAAATGTTCACTGCACTACTATCTATAAAAGCAAACCCTTTGCTAAAGGATAAGGGGGGACGCACGACACTTCATTACGCGGCCATGGATTGGAACCATACCACAGATGTAGACATGGTTTCAATCCTGCTGAATTATGAGGAGCTCAATATCCCCGACAATGACGGACGAATGCCTCTTCATTACGCTGCTGAGATAGGCTATCCGCGAGCAGTCAAACTTCTTTCCCGCAAAACAAACCTAGCTGTGGCAGATTCAAGAGGGCAGACAGCCCTTCATCTCGCAGTTAATGGCGGTCACCTGGAGGCCGTAAATGAACTGCTAGATTACGATATGGAAAAGCACGAACTTCTACAGCTTGCTCTTGATACAGCATTACACTTGGCCGCCTCTCTGAATCATTTGAAGATTGTACAAGCTCTTGTACACCACGGAGCAAGCATCTGGTACCGAGATGCCAGCGACAACAAAACGGCCACAGAAGTGGCAGTAGAGCAGAAAAGAGCGCCATTGACTATGTACCTCATGGAGCTTGTGCTTTCTTCACAGCGACATGAAGAAGCCCCCCCTGGTTGGATCGAAGTGGCAAGCACTTGTTCACTTGAAAAGAATAATGATGCATCAGCACTACATCACGCAGTGAACAGAAATTACCAAAAAGTGGCAATTGCATTGGCACTTGGCGGAGACGATGTCTTCGTGACGGATGGATTCGGCAAAACTCTCATCTCTCTGGCCGTTGCCAAACTGGCCAAGAGCGTGGTATATGCGCTTGCATATTCATACGGTCAAGCAGTTTTCAGAGCCAAGAATGCTGAACAAGGTCTCCAGAAGGCAGCATACAACTCAGGAAAGCCACTAGACTCATATACGATTGAGTTGGGAGAAGTGTGGAGGGATCTATTCGGAGCTACGTTATCTGATTCCTGGACTGCGGTAAAGCATCTTGAGCAGGCGTACCAATCAACGGATAATCCTGAGATGCAGGCACTGCTTCATCCGGATTGGGAAGTTTTGCGCTTAGAGTTTCCCAATGTGGATTTGGGTGAAGCGAAGCGTTCTCAGGATCAGTTGACTCCTTTGCGTTTGCATGGGAGGAGTATTGGAAGATTGGAACCGCATGTGCGGGAAGTCTTGGATCTATATCGGATGGATGCTCAAACACTGGGATTGCATGCATGGCAGTATGTCGCCAGAAACAGGTCCCCGAGTGGACAGTATGAGCTCGAAGACGATGAGGAGGAGGAGGAGGAGGAGGAAGAGGAAGAGGAGAATGATGAAAATGAGATTGACGACGACGATATAGATGAAGAAGAGGAGGACGAGGGAGATGATTATTCAAGTTCAGACGCAGACTTGTACAGCCCAAGACGGAGGCGAAGAGGACGAAAAGAAGACTCAGAAGAGGACCCCGATTCTGATTAAGACTTTGCCATTTAATGTAAGACTCTAGTTACTGTATGTGAAGTACCCTACAGGTGATACAATTTCTTTATAAATTTGAAAATGATCTAATCAAGGACATACATGGATATCTCTATCGTGACTCAGTTACTCTGTTTGATCAACCGTATAGGAATCGGAAAAGACACCAGGAGGATAAGCCAATACTTATTTCGTGGTTCTCTATCGTGGCCTGCACAGGAAATTCAGCCACGTGTGAAGCAAAGTAGTCATTGAGTGGAATTCGTGCTGCGGCTATTCTTCTTTCCTTACAAGTGCTAGCGTTGGCTAGTGTTATGCAGGTTGGTTTCGAATATGCCAATCCTGTACCTTAGTGTAAGGATCAATGCGAGCCAAGAGGATTCCTTGTTAGCTAAATGAGGGAAAGCGCCAACATATTTCCAACATATTTCCAACACATTCTGGATGCAGCCGTATTATTGGGTAAAAATAACTCTAATTGTACGTGAGATTGACTCTCAGTCCTCACTCATCTGTCTCCTCTAGATTGAAGAGTATTTATCCAAGACGTAGAATCCGTATCGTCTTTCCAAAGGGCCAGGAAGATTAAATCTCTTTTTGGGTAGACACGGCGGACCGGGTTCGCTTCGGTCATACTTCTAGATATACACTACAAACCCTGCTACATTCCTTCTAGGTTTTGATGGTTGGTTGCTAGCTAGCTAGCAGGTTAACATACAGCTCAGCATGGCACCGCTCGCAGTTACCGATCCACTGGCATCAATGCCCTTAGAGCCTGTTGCCATAATTGGCATGGGTGAGATGTCGCACTTAAATCCAGCACATGGTTGAGCATCACTGATACATGGGTATTATACGGTTTAGGATGTCGGTGGCCCGGAGATTCTGAGACACCCTCGGAGCTATGGGAATTTCTGGAGGCCAAGCGAAATTCTTACAGCAAGTTCCCAACGGACAGGATCAACGGAGAAGCATTCTACCATCCGGATCCCAATAGACCTGGGTCTTTCAAGACTGAGGGGGGTAGCTTTCTCAAGTCTGATGTGCGACAGTTTGATGCCAACTTCTTTGGAATCCATCCGAAAGAGGTGCTCACGTTGGATCCCGCACAGCGAAAGTTACTTGAAGTCGTTTACGAAGCTTTTGAGTCCGCAGGCGTTCCTCTTCACAAACTATCTGGTTCCAACACGGGAACATTTATCGGAAACTTCAATTACGACCATCAGTTGATGCAATATCGCGATGCGGAGAATGCATTGCCTTATTCTGTGACAGGAAGTGGTATCACTATCCTCAGTAACCGAATCAACTACATTTTCAATCTCAAAGGCCCTTCTATGACGTTGGATACTGCTTGTTCAAGTTCTCTCTACGCACTACATCTCGCCTGCTCGGCGATTCAGACTGGTGATTGTACTGCTGCAGTTGTTGGAGGTTCAAATTTAATTCTAACACCGGAGTGTCAAATCTTTTCTTCCGTCTTGGGGGCTGTGTCTCCGACTTCAGTTTGCCATACCTTCGATTCTCGCGGTAAGTCTCGAACCACACCATATCTAGGAGTTAATTGGACGATAAAAATCTACTGCTAGTAAAGAAAATGCTAACTGATGCAATAGCTGATGGATATGCCCGGGCTGATGGTATCGGCGCGCTTTTCATCAAGAAGCTATCCCAGGCGGTGGCTGACGGTGACCCAATTCGTGCGATAATTCGGGGGACATCATTCAATGCGAACGGTAGAACAGGGGGAATCACACATCCAAGTCCAGACGGTCAGGAGGCATGCATACGACGAGCATATGAGCGTGCAGGCGGCCTCGATGTGTCTCTTACAGGGTACTTTGAGTGCCACGGAACAGGAACACCTGTCGGGTGAGTTTCTATTTCACACCCATGGAGAGTATTTAGTTCTGACTATCAATTGCTCAAGTGATCCAATCGAAGTGTCTGCTATTGGAAGAGTCTTCGCAGACGCTAAGCTTCCCTCACAGCCATTGTTGATCGGATCGATAAAGTCCAATATGGGTCACAGCGAGCCCTCTAGCGGTATCGCTGGGGTGATTAAGGCTGTCTTAGCCATCGAGAAAGGCATAATTCCCCCCACGATTGGCATCGAGACCCTCAATCCGAATATTGACTTGAAGGACGGCCGGCTCAAAATCGTGACTGAGAGTACTCTATGGCCAGACCTACCTGTGCGCAGAGCAAGCATCAACTCGTTCGGATACGGTGGTTCAAATGCCCATGTGAGTTTTACTACTTATGTCAACTGATATCTTCAGAAAAGTGTAAGGTTCTAACCGGAGTAGGCCATCATCGAATCTCCGGAATCGCTCTTACCAGGTTATAGGGCACGTCAACAGGCTAGTTCAGATTCCTTCAGCATTGAAGCCTTTGCCAGCGCCAACGGAGTTTCTCAACTGGCATCGCCTGCTGAAAATAGGCAGACCAACGGCCACACTAATGGCCATAGCCATGCACAGGCCAGTGCTGATGGTAGTAGCAGTGGCAATTGTGTGCTCAAAGACAACGGGAATAGGTCCAAGTTGGATAAGACTCGGTTTCTACTACCGTTTTCCGCCCACGACGAGAAGACACTAAGGGCAAATTACAAATCTTTAGTCGAAAACATAGAGAAGTGGAACGTGGAAGACATTGCTTTCACACTTAGTGCTAGGCGAAGCTTGCTGACTTACCGCTCATTCGTAGTAACGAGTAGCGATAATACCAGACATGATCTACCAGAAGAGAATGAGCTAACTGTTGCGAAGAGATCTTCCAATGCTCATCCTTTTCTTGGCTTTGTCTTTACTGGTCAAGGGGCCCAGTGGCCGCAAATGGGACTATCGTTGATGAAGGAATTTCCAAGCTTTCTCTCCACAATTCGCAGACTGGACGGATATCTCGACGATATTGGGTATCGCAGTTGGCATATTGAGGAAGTGCTCAGCCAGGATCCGGAACAGAACCCAGTATACAACGCTGAGCTTTCACAGCCCCTGGTGACCGCATTGCAGATCGCACTTGTTAACTTGCTTTCGTTGTGGAATATCAAACCTCACGCTGTCGTCGGTCATTCATCTGGAGAAATCGCAGCCAGCTATGCTGCGGGCATGCTGACTGAACGTGAAGCGATGGTTGCAGCCTATCTGCGTGGTGTGGCTGTGGCACAGAATAACCAAAATGGATTGATGATGGCTGTTGGTTGCCAACTTTCCTATATCCAACCCCTTGTTGATAAATTTGACGGGGAGATAGTCGTCGCATGCCATAATTCCCTTGAAAGCTACACTTTGAGTGGAGATGCAGATGCTATAGTCCAGCTCAAGAAGACTTTGGATGAGGAGAAAATCTTCTGCCGCTTACTCTCCACTAACAACAATGCTTACCACTCCCATCACATGAAAGCTTTCGGTTCGCAATATGAAAGCAACCTCGAAGTTTGCTCACCTAAGCATGTGGATTCGTACAAAGTCAAAGATGCCAAAACATGGTCCACAGAAGCCGTCTTCTTCTCTTCAGTTTTTGGCCACGCTACTCCTAGGTCATTATTGGGTCCAAAGTATTGGCGGCAGAATCTAGAGTCTCCGGTGCTTTTCCACCAAGCCGTCACAGATATGGTTTCACGGGTTCCTGTAGATGCTCTTGTTGAGATCGGGCCTCATAGTGCGCTTAGGGGACCGCTGCGACAGATGTCGAAGATTATGGATAGTGGTTCGAAGTTCCCAGAATATTTTACAGCATTAGTCAGGGGGGACGATAATGTAAAAAATATCCTTACTCTAGCAGGCAGTCTTTACAACAGGGGATACGAAATAGACCTCACTCGAGCCAACGCTATCGAAGACACAGGGGGGGATCAGTGTCAATTCGGCAAGGTCATTACAGATTTGCCCCGTTATCAGTGGCAGTACTCAAAAGATATTCTTCTGTATGAAAATCGCTATACTCGTGAGTGGAGGTTGCGCATGCACCCAAGGCATGATATATTGGGAAGCCGAGTTCCCGGTGGAAATCGGACAGAACCTACATGGCGAAACCTGCTCTCAGTGAAAAATGTCCCATGGTTGAACGATCATAAGGTAAGAGATTAAATCTGTTATAAAACTTAATCTAATCTGTGAATGACAGCTCGGAACCGAATGTGTCTTCCCATCGACTGGATATCTCTGTATGGTTTTAGAGGCAGCTATTCAAGTTGTCGAACTTGACGGTAGAATTTCTACCGATGTAGTGTATTATGATATCCAGGATGTTAGCCTATCCAAGGCATTGATTATTCCAGAGGACGATCATGGCATAGAGACCCTGTTCAGCTTGCGACCAGCCTCCCTGAATGCCAACTCGCGACACCAGTGGCTATTCGAATTTACTCTTACCTCTGTTTCGATCGAGGAAGGACGAGACATCTTCTCAGAGCATTGCCGTGGTCTGGTAGAAGTGAGCTTTGAACGACATGGTAAGTAGTCAGTGACCGTATTGATTTATGCTAGCAATTCTGACTTGGAAAAAGAATTCCCCGAGAGCCAAATGATGAAGGATATACAAGACGCTGCCACTGTTAGGAAAACTATCAATGCAGGACAGTGGTACCAAACATTTGCAAGAGTGGGACTCTTCTACGGTCCAACATTTCAAGGCCTGTCTAGTATATTCGCTGTGGGAGAAAAAACCATGGTCGAAGCACGAGTTGACTTGGAACCGGCCGCAAAGATAATGAAAGGGGAGTCGAGATACCTCATACATCCGGCCACACTGGACGCCAGCATGCAACTCTCCATCCTTGCAGCTCACAAGAGCGATACCACCAAATTTCAACGAGCTTTTATGCCTACAGCATTTGACAGCATTAGAGTATGGCCTAATATGGTAGGACAGGGCCATGGATTCGCTACATCCTATGCCAGCGCTCATTTGAAAGGTGTACGAGGATTGTCTTCGGATATTGTGCTGCTAAATGCCCACCATCAACGAATGCTGGAAGTAAACAACGTCCTCTTGACCGCATCCGACCAGTCGGCACCGAAACTCATTGAGAATTCGAGTCCCTATACGCGTATTATCTGGAAACCAGATTTTGACCACCTTAGTACAACCATTCTGGAAAAGATATTTAAGCCAGTGGTTCTGAGTGATGACGCTGTGATCCCTTCCTTGAACCACCTCGCCCTGCATCAACTTATCCACTTCAAATTAACAAATCAGGAGATATTTGAAGCCGGTTCCGAGAAATGGCATCTGCAAAGACTTCTAGACTGGACGACTGAGAAACTTGATCTCGCAAAACTCGATCCCAACTCTCATGCCCAGAAAATCATGAGTTATAGTAACAAATTTCGGGCTGAAGAGATCAACAGACTGTCCGATATTCTGAAACCACAGTCATCGGAAGCTCGACTAATGTGTCATCTCTATGATAACTTACACGAAATATACAGTGGGGAAAAGACTGGCATCGGGGTCGCGTTGCAAAATAACCTGCTTCAAGATTACTATGAGACAGGCCAGGTCTATCGTGAAGGCAATAGGCGCCTGGCCGCTATAGTTTCTCTTTATGCCCACCACTCCCCAGGGCTTAAGATCTTGGAAGTGGGTGCGGGTACCGGTAGCGCCACGAACGGGCTTCTCCCAGCTCTTAAAGGTGATAGTGTATGGAGGCAGTACTCGGAATATCGTTTCACAGACACAACAACCTCCTTTCTGGCCGAGGCCAAAGACAGATTTTGTCAGTATGGTGGGATGACATTCGGGTCCTTTGACATGGAACAGTCGCCAGACTCTCAGGGTTATGAACGGGACTGGGATCTCATCATTGCGTCAAATGTTATTCATGCTACTTCAGATATTAAAAAGACCCTGACCAATATCCGTAGCATTCTCAAGCCCGGTGGCAAGTTGATTCTCTTGGAGTTGACCCAATCTCAACTTAGTGCGACCCTGGTGCTGGGAACGTTCAGCGACTTCTGGAAGGCTGATTATGATCCCACGTATCCACGATACGACGGACCATTCTTAAGCCAGTCACTTTGGAGAACCGTCTTACTAGACGCAGGATTTAGTGGTCTCGATTTTCTACTTGACGATTATGCTGCTGAAAATGTCTCGACAACAGTTTTATGTGCGACGGCTATAGAGCCTCAGTCACATGTAACACTGTCGACGGGTATTTCTGGTCATGAAGGTATATCTTTCATCTACCGAAATAGTACAGAGCCTTTTATGCAGTCACTTGCTAGTCATATTTCGAGCTCCAGAGGTGTCCCAATTGAATGCATTCCGCTTAGAGCGATTGACTCTGCTCGCTACCAAAGATTTGTCTTTCTTCTAGAAACCACCGATCCGTTCTTTGTGAATGTGACTACTGAAGAGTGGACGGCTTTTCAGTTGGGACTCAAGCGATCAGCTTCTTCTCTCTGGATAACTAATGGGGATCTCATGACCGGCAAGGAGCCACTGCATGCGATGATTTCGGGCCTCGTCAGAGGCATGAAGACCGAAGATAGTTCTCTACGTTTGAGTATTCTCGATCTCGACAAAACTCCACAAGCTTCAGATACTAAATTATTCGATGTGATCGAAGAGTTAGAGGCCAGGGTTGCTAATATCACCGCTGTTGATGATGATTCCGAGTTCAGATATAAAGATGGGACTCTCTACATCAGTCGACTGGCCCCAGATGAGGATTTGAATGAAAAATACAATGAAGCCGCTGAAAGGTCTTCCGGCTTCGAAAAAATTGCTCTCAGAGATTTGAAAACTTTACCTCTTCAGATTGCAATTGAAAAACCCGGCATCCTAAGCACAATCTACTTTAAACCGGATCCTGCTTTCAGCAACTTATTAGCCGCAGATGAAGTAGAAATTGAAGTAAAGTATGCGGGTCTTAACACCAAAGACATCGCTGTTCTTAGCGGTCGACACCATTCCAACTCGTTCAGCGACGAGTGTTCCGGTATCATTACCAAGTGCGGTCGTGATGTTCAAAATTTGAAAGTTGGCGACCAAGTTTACTGCCAATCGTTTTCCAAGTTTGGTAATTATGTCCGAGAAAAGGCCATATTTTGCCAACGTCTTGAACAGGGTGACACTCTTGAGGGGACAAGCACACTCCCGATAGTTTTCAGCACCGCCCTGTATGGATTGACAGACCTTGGCCGTTTGGCCAGAGGAGAATCAGTCCTTATACAGTCTGCAACTGGCGGTGTAGGCCTTGCAGCTTGTCAAGTAGCCCATATGATTGGAGCCGAGATTTTCGCCACCGTTGGCACAGAGCACAAGAAGAAAGAACTGTTGAGCTTAGGATATGGTATAAAAGAAGACCACGTTCTTTGGTCACGCGAGAAATCCTCTGCCAAGAAGTTGCTAGAGATGACAGAGGGTAAGGGTATTGACGTTATTTTATGTAGCGCTCGTGGTGATTTCATGCACGAGTACTGGAAATGCATTGCCACGTGCGGTCGATTTGTCGATATCGGACGAACAGAGGTTTTGGATAATGGTAGGCTGAGCCTAGATGTCTTTCGTCGCAATGCTACTTTTACATCATTTGATCTCGAAGTCTTGAGCAAGACTAAACCTGAAGTAACTGCGTCGTACGTTCACTTTTATCCTGGCTGAAAACTTCTTAGTTGCTTACAATTGCTATTTGTCATAGGTTGATGAAGAGAATCCAGCAACTAAAGTCTCAGGGGCATATTCGACCATTGCCTTGTCAGAAATTCCATATTTCTGAGGTGGAGCAGGCAATGAAGACTTTTGCTAGAGGCAGCCATATTGGGAAGCTGCTTCTCCAATACGATGACCAGTCTGATCTGGGGCTTAATGTGAGTATACAGTCCAGTTCATCTTATTGACTTGTACAGCCTCTATTTACACACTGTAGGTACGCCGAGACCCGTTCAAAGCCCAGTTTGACCCGAATGCGGCCTATCTCCTTGTCGGCTGTCTGGGTGGTCTAGGTCGAAGCTTCAGTAGTTGGGCGGTCTCCCGCGGAGCGCGAAACTTGATCTACCTCTCTCGCAGTGGTGCAGGTAATGAGATAGCCAAAAGCTTCATCGACGGGCTCATTGCAAAGGATATCAACATCTCGGTTATACGAGGTGATGTGACATCCCTTCAAGACGTCCGGACAGCAGTGAAGAGCACCAAGTTACCCATTAAAGGAGTAATTCAAGGCGCTCTCACCCTTCACGACGGTCTCTTCGAGTCAATGAACCTTGAAAAATTCAACAGGACTGTACGTCCCCGTGTTATAGGCACCTTGAATCTTCACGAAGCGTTGAAGGACTGTCCACTCGACTTTTTCGAGCTCTGGTCTTCGTGGACAGTGGTCTTCGGCACAGCAGCACAGAGCAACTATCTGGCCTCGAACGCGTTTCTCGATGCTTTTGCACGCCACCGTCAGGCTGCAGGATTACCATGCACAAGTTTGGCGTTGAGCCAAGTGCTAGGTATTGGTATCGTGTCGTATATGCCCGAGTATCAGCAAGCGATGATCCGAAACGGATTTTACGGCAACGACGAGGAAGACTTCTTGAAGTACTGTGAGGCGGGAATTACTACACAGAATATGAAAGACCACCCGACATTTCGATATGATCCACAGACCACCAGCCACTTATTGGCTGGAATTGAACCCGCCGGCCTACAGAATGTTGGGCACCAGTATCCTCTTTCAGAGATGCTTTGGTACCGCGACCCTCGATTCAAGAATCTCACCCAGGCCACAAACCTGCTGTCTTCGGATAGCAAGAGCAAACCACTCGATCAAGGGCAGGAAGGTTGTGCGTTGGACCGGATTCGTATGAAAATTTCCCGACTACTATACGTGCCGCTCGACGAGGTTGATGTTGGCAAGCCAGTCAATGACTACGGCATCGATAGTATGATTGCAGCGGAGTTACGAAACTGGTTTTTTGCTAGTTTTGGCAAGGATATCAGCCTATTGAAGTTGTTAGGTGCAACGATGACGATCCAGAAACTGGCAGAAGAAGCAGAGCAGGAAGAATAGTATGGTAAGATGCACTTTTTCTACCTAGGCTATTGATTTTGTATTAATTGATTGTAGATGGTCAGGTCGAACTTCTGAAATAGAGAATCGATCCCCAGGTAATGCTTCAATATCATAACCGTCGTTCAATGCGAGGTAGTTTTGACGTTTGTCCCGGGTTTCCATTGAGCAGGTGGGTAGCAGGTAACGGAACTAAGCTAAGTAGAAGAAGAAGTACAGCAAAATTGGGGAGTGTAAAATATCATAAAGGACGTGATTTAAGCTTCGAAATAAATACTCAGTGAGCGGGACTATGAGTGCCCTCACAAAAGCGGCAGCAGCTGAAAAAGGAAATCCCCGCCTGGCAGGGAAAATCAAGTTCGTATAAGTACCTAGGTATACAATCGTGGTTTCTGCCGGACCGATGTACATCGAACAGCCAATTAATGAGATCAAGGATTGAAGGTTCCCCATTTTCGTATTCTTCTTGTCAACGAAAATAGCCACTTGTGCTGTACTTGAGAGATCCATGGGTATGAAAGCGGGTGCTGCCTTGACCCTACCCAGGTAATATTTAGGGCTTCCACGGTGTTTCAACACTCGAATTGATACCTATGAAAGCTCTGATTAGACAACATTTGACTGATGAAGGTATATCGACTCTCTCCTACCGATTCTGGTTGATATAGGCAGCGGCTCCTGGGGCAAATGATTAGGTGCAGAATTGGGTTTGACGAGAGGATTTGATGCAATTCAGACGATTTCGTCGAAAGAAGATTGAAGATTTGTTGTAGTCAATGAAGGTAAATATGTATACATGTGAATGCTGTTAACGTGGAAAATGATGTAGATAGTATTCTTGAAACGAGGCCTAGAATTGCTGAATGCTTAGAATGTAAGGTAACTCTGGGATAATTCCAAGGTTCTTTCCGTACTCACAAACATTTAAAAAAAATGGTAAAAGAATGTTCTCATAATGTTATACAAAAATCTCTTATATTCTTTGTCCTAACTGAAATGGGGCGGCATACGTGCGAGACTTTTGTCAACCAAAGGAAATGTTAAAACAACGGAAAAAAAGACTTAGTCTGGAAGGTCAATACTTTTGACTTAAGCCCACTGGACATAACTGGAGGATCTTGAGATTTGATTTCCACAATCTTCATCCTCTCCCTCTATAGGAAAGAACCTACTACGTTGCGTCACATCGGGATCAGGGACCGCTGAAATCCAAAAGGAAATTCGAAAGAACGTCAGCAGAAAGAGACACAAAGTGAGAAGGCAGAAGCCGGAGACAATAATATTTCGTTCGAGAATTTTTCCGGGTTGGTCAGGCTGAAATTGAGCAGACCAACTGTTCACCCCACCAGGAGAAGGCATTTCCCGTCACTTCATTCAATATTGTGAAGCGAAACTGGATCAGAAAAAAAAGATACAGACTATTGCTAAATTGACGCCAGTTTAATTGAATACAAACCTTCAGCGACCAGCATCAGGTTGACGTTGCACAAATCAACTCAGGCATTACACGCGATGTCTGGCATCGATCCCAACGCTCGAAAAGAAGTCAACGACGCGATTATCAACGCCGGAAGCGCGGCGGTCGGACAGATGATTGACACGGCTAACTCGTCGGTCGAAAAGCGTCGCAAGAACAGAGATGAGCGAGCCAAACGCGAGGCTGAAGAAAAAGCTGCGAAGGATAAGGCGGATGCTGCTGTTCGTACTCCTCCCACCTTCTGGGGCTTCGGTGCTCTCTTTCTTAGAGCTTGCAACATGCTAACAAAGACCTTCAACAGAAAGACGACACCTCTGCTTAGGTCTGTTTGGAGAGAATGAGGGGTTTCTTGTTGTTTGCCCAATCTAGAATTGTTCTGCACATGATGTACCAGTACCTACGAAGCTGATCCTTCCACTTCGTGCTTTATACAGAACATTAAATTGAATTAGCACGTGACTATCTGGGCGATTGTAATTTTGCTTCCTGATTCTTGATATTCTTAGAAGTTCTGAAAGAAAATGAATAAAAGATTGTTTACCTGGTTAGTTGGGGTTAACTCAAGAAATGAAAATAATGACTAAGCAGGACAACCAGCCAACCACGAAGGAGCCGCCGCACCTTTACCTATTCGACAATCAACGTGTCGAGTACATATATACATTGATATTTCCCTCGTGCCTGAGATGGAAGAAAGATTCGAACCATGGATACAAACGCTCTTGTCGACATCATTCACGAGGTCCAAGCTCAGTTCTGGGTTGACAAAGTCAACGAAACCCATCGAACCGGCCGTCTGTGTAAATGGGTGTCAACTTTCCATCCCGACCGGCTTCCCTGTCAACTCGACGGCACCTTTCATCATGGCGCGTTCAATGCGGGCATGAAGATGGTCTTCAGCGATAATACTGCCTGGATGGTTCGTTTCCCCCGAGTGGGGATGGTCAGCGACGACTACGCTGATGAAAAAGTTGCCATGGAGGTGGCAGCCTTGAATCTCATTGCCAGCAGAACTAGCATCCCAGTGCCCAGAGTACAGGCCTGGGGTCCCGCTATAAGCAACGAACTGGCCCTAGGTCCCTTCATTATGATGGATTTTGTTGATGGGGTGAGCCTTAGCGAGCTGCTCCGAGATCCCAATGCCGAACGCCCCACCAGGCTTATGAGGGAGGATATTAGTGATAGCGATATTGAATCCATTTATAGACAGTTGGCCACGTTCTTACTTCAAATATTCGAGTTGGATTTTGATCAGATTGGAAGTCTGCCTTCGCCAGAAGCTGGAGCTGCAAGTCCCACACCGAGACGCCCGTTGACATTCAAGGCACATAGCATTCTACAAAACGGGGGGGTTGACACATTTGGTATGACCGATGATTCTACTTTTAGCTTTTGATCTTTTGGTATGCTGTTATCTAAAGTTCTATCAACTAACCCTTCATTTAAGGCGACCGAAGTCAGGGATTCGCAACCGTAAACGAGTATTTCCAATATGTCATCGGTCAGGACTGGGAACAACTTGTCCATCAACCCAACTCAATTTTTGGCTCATACGATGCTCAAAATAAATACATGGCATTCAAGGCTTTGCGAAACTCGATACCTGATTTGGTTCACGAACAGTATGATAAGCGCAATTTCAAACTGATTTGCGATGATCTCGGCCTCGCAAACCTGATCGTACGGAGCAAAGAAGATCTTACCGTCGTCGGCGTCGTGGACCTAGAATGGTCGTATATCGGACCCGCGCAGCTGTTCGGATCTGCGCCTTGGTGGCTCCTCCAAGACCGACCTGTCAACAGTTCATGGGATTATACAGGCGACGAACCGCCCAAAATTGCCGATCGGTATCTCAAGTATCTGAATATTTTCATTCGTGTCTTAGAGGAAGAAGAGGCACGTATGTCCGAACATGCAGAGAAGGAGCTTTCTGGTCTAGTTAAGTGGTCACAAGCCTCTGGAGCCATGTGGCTGCATATGCTCATATCATCCGGCTTCAACGACCATCGTAGTTTTCCTTTTACGCAACTGCGGCGACATCTCGGGCCCGCTAAATGGGCACAATACGAGAGGGGATGTGGAAGCGCAGAAGAGCTTGACGCATTCGCAGCACGGAAAGTGATCCAGTTGGACGAGTACGACGAAGCCTTGGAGAAGAAAGAGGAGGAAAAAGCGCTCGTGGATAGTGGAAAAATGACGAAGGAGGCTTTCATTGCCAATGCTCTGTCATTATCCGATGAACCGTGCCATTCGGATATTACTACTCCGGTCAAAATCGAGATGGGAAGACGCGAGGGTCTCATTCACAGAGTGGCTATTTGGCTCGGCTTGAGGGCGGCATAGCTAATGCATATCACCATTTAAGAGGTCACTATTCAATCCGATGTGGATCTATAAAGTGAAGAACAACCGTCCCTTGTCAACATGGTTCCGGCTAAGGCCCTTCTTTTTGGTTGAAATGTGGCAGACTTAGTTCATATTATGCAGCCCGACTCAACCATTTACACCGGACAGGTCGATATAAATCTACCTATTTATATGAGCACATAGATATCTCAGTTATAAATCTATAAACTTAGCTCCTCTTTGACGCCTCTGGGCGGTCAGAGGTGTGGCTACAGTGGTTCAATCCACGAACTACCATGATCTGTTACAATGCATTCTCAATAATCAGGTCGTGACATCCCAAAAAAAGACCAGATATATGTGTATGACTGGGTTATGTAAAGGAGTATGAATCGATTCCCCGAAGGAACCACCTTCGTATGTTCACAAAAGCTAGATAGACTGGCAAAATAATGAATATAAAGGCACTAGTCGTTATTAATCATCATATATCATTCTGAATATCAAGTGTGGCATCGCAAATGTACAGAATAGCATATAATTGATATAATATGTATTAAAATACCCTAGATATCACGGCTACATTAGGAGGAAGATATGCTATTCCTGGTCATCTTTCTTGGCTCTATGCTATTTTATTTAGCTATGTTGAGTATCTTATCGGCACACTCTTCTTAAGTTTTTTTACGGTGTGATTTAGGGCTGCAATTTCGATATTCTATTTCCTAGACTCCGCGACGTACTCCCAGGATCGATCCAAGTCATTGCGGCTTTCATAGACGGTCTTCAGGTATCAAAATCAGCTGAGCAAGTCCTGTCACATGCATTTCTCGACAGTTAAGCTGAGTAAATAATTACCCGCCCACTTTCACATGCAAATCCAGCTTGAACCACGTACTCGATTTTGTATCACGATACACTATTCACATTTTTGACACCATGATCAATTGAAGGTGGAATATATTGAGCATCGTGTTTCAATAGGGTCTTTATTTAAAAAACAACTTGTAGCAATTAGTACTGTGTAGACAAACAATGAAAAGAAGCGGCTAGTCACGGGTGGCATACCATCCCCGAATTTGCATGTGACTCGAGTCATTCCTCGAACATCTCCACACTCGACAACAACAACAATCCACAACCACCGTCGTCATTAATCTTGATCTGTTACTGATTGGACACCATGCCTATTTTGATGAGTGCTGCTTCTGCTTTATAACATTGTCTCTCTAAGCCGTGGGCTTTGCATTCTATTCCACCTGACTACCCCGGATTTTTCTTCGTTTGGTTGCGACAAGTCCGATGTTTTGCCGGCTGGTGGATTGTTCTATACATCTATGGCATACAAGGCCCGGCACACTTTTTATTAGCGTCATCATAGAAGATACAGTATATGGACTTCCAAAATGATTGGTAGGTTCATTGACAATTCTTGAGCCTAGCGATAGTCAAGGCTGACAAGACAGATCACGTCCTGGGTCGACCGTCCACGCAGTTCAGAAAGATACAAGTTCTGGCTGTGGTATCTTTTTGGTCTTTATATTTATTCCGGTACGTCCTCTAACTACTTAATATCCTGGTAAAGATGATCCTAATACTGACGTAAATAAAGAGGCAACAACCACGGCCCCCCCGGCCTCCGCAGTATCTCAAACCACCTCCGCAACCGGCTCACGCCATGGCAAACCATGGTCATAACCCTCCTTTGGCTCTACGTAGCTCGCAACTTTTCCAAAATCATGGGCTTCGAAAGCCCCGAACCCTTGGCAAACCTCTACTCTCGATCGTATTTCCGCGCAACATGGATCACAACCGCACTCGATGCCGGCTTCTGGACCGCCATGAAAGTCAGACCTAAATGGCTGAAGGATATTGCCTCGATGGTGTTTACTGCTTACTATCTGATTGCCGCGGAGCAGGCAGAAGAAAAAGTGCGCAGGGTACGCGCTACGCTGACCGTGGAGCATTTACGTGTTTCGTGGAACAAGGCGACGACGCCGTATTTGAAGTTTTTTAATGGGCTTGTGAGGCCTAAATATACGAAATATGCACCTAGACAGATTAGGATTGCACGGCCGAAAGAGTCGTCGTATCGAGAGCCTGTCAATGCGTGGCTGTATTTTGATGGTACGCTGGCTGAGTTACGGGAACAGACGCAGTTGGTGCTGGATGTCCCCGGTGGTGGATATGTGGCTATGGATCCTAGAACAGCAGATGATAAGCTTTTGGCTTGGGCTGGGAAGACTAGGGTTCCGATTCTGAGTCTGGATTATAAGAAGGCGCCCGAGTTTCCTTACCCGTATGCACTCAACGAGTGTTTTGATGTGTATAGGGCTATAGTGGCGAGCAGAGGCCGATGTGCCGGTCTTGGAGGTCATAGCCGTCCTCATATCATTGTTTCTGGGGACAGTGCAGGCGGTAATCTGGCGACGGGTATGACAATTATGATATTGCAGTCCGGCAGGACTGAGGCCAGAAAATGGCTGGGAGAAGTCCCGCTGCCTCCGCCAAATGGATTGGTGCTGATCTATCCTTCGCTGGATATGAATATCGGCAGTTGGATGACAGAAGAGCAGATGTCTCTAATTCAAGATAGGGGTATGCGCAAGACAAACGAAAGAGTATTACGACGGAAAAGTGAAGATTATAGTCGATTGACCCCGAAGTCATCGCGTTCACTCTCTTCTGATTATCACGATCAAGCGTCCCCTGTGAAGGACTACTTTAGCAACCGTCCTCAAAACAAAGACTCGGAAAAGTCTGTAACAAAAATCGACCCAACGGCGCAAAATCAACCAACAAAAATCAAAACACGAATAGCAGTATCCTCCATGATATCCTACTTTGGAGACCGTATCCTCACGCCCGAAATGATGCGAGCAATGATCATCCTCTACATCGGCCCTCACCATCGTCCAGATTTCAAAACCGATTTCTTACTCTCACCCATCCTCGCACCCGACGCAATTCTGGCTACATTCCCAAAGACATATTTCATCACTGGAGAACGCGACCCGCTCGTCGACGACACAGTCATCTTTGCTGGGCGCATACGACAAGCGAAATTACACCGATTCCGTGAACGACAGGATTTAGCATTGGAAAAGTCTCGTGTTGAGTTCAATGAAAAGGAGCACGTAGAGGTCAACCTGATACCGGGTATATCCCACGGATTTGTGAACTTTCCGGGAATTTTCCCCGATGGCTGGAAACATATTCATAAATGTGCGAGGTGGATTACGGAGTTGTTGGAGTTGGCTGCTGAGAGGGAGCTTAGGAATTCTTCTTCAAGTATTGCTTCTACGGTTGAGAAGAGCTTGAGAGCTTCCGATTCAAAGGACTTTAAGCAGCAAGGAAAACAGCAGGATAGCAGACGGAGCTCTCTCGCAGAGTCATCGGCAGATGAGGATCATCCCCTGGAAATGAGTGTGACGAGGTTCACGCCTATCAAGCAATCCGTCGTCGAAGGCAACGAGGGCAATAGCAAAGCACCTTCCCGGTCTGATGCACAGAACAAATCTGCAACAGACAGATCGAAGCGAAAGGATAGCACCCCTTCAGCACAGCAACCCCGTGCCCGTCGACCATCACTAAGTACATCAAACCTCAAACCGCTGTCCTTCCCTCTGCATCTCCCATTACTCAAAACAGTCAAGAGCTCAGTAAACAACACGGACACCAATGGCTTTCAGGTTGAGAGCGTGGACGACGATGATGACGGCACGAAAAGTGCTGTGTCCGAGAATGGAAAGACGTTTACGCGGTTGCCGAGTGAGGAGGATCTCATAGGGAGACGGATGGACGGGTTGGCGGGTGGATTGATGGGGTTGGGAGAGGGGGCTAGGACGCCTTGAGGGATGTATTTGACTTATAATTCGGAAAGATAGAATAATTGTGATCGAGGTGATGTATAAATGTACGTTTATGATGTCATGACTTGAATTTAGAATGAATATGACCTTATCAAGCCTGGCGAAGGACATACCACATGTGCAAATTCCCTCGTTTTGTAGGATGTTATGTGATTCGAATGTCAAGATTGGGACAACAAAGATTCACGCACGCTAATACCAGTGTGATGAGAGTTGTCTATTGAGTAATTACAATCTGGCACATAGTTAATGGACAATGTTGTTCAATTTCTTTGCTCAATCTCAATCAAGGTCAACCCCTCCGCTTTTGTAGAATGTAGACGCATTCGATGCGCATAGACCAGTCTAAGTAGATTTTTCGATGGCTACATGAGCTTGTAACTCCTCGAAGACCTGAAACCCAAAATCCTTTCAAACCTGAAACCCAAAGTCCGTTTCCAAATAACATAGCAACTGTTCAAATTGACATCGCTGTCTCCATCTGTTTCTCTGTTGCCTCTGTGTAGCCTTTCATTGTGTCGATCACTTTCTGAGGAAACTGGAGGTAGGCGATATGAATTGATCGTTCAAGATGGAGCGAGGAGCCTCCATGAATCTTATTGTAGAGTAAATGAAGTCCGACTCTCATGAAAAGCTCATTCTCCAAGTCCTTTTCCGTCCAGGTCTTGTGAGGTGGCAATTGTAAGAGGGCAAGCTTGTGACGAGTTTCATCGTCTGGATGGTTCTCGTTGACAAAATTGGCAACATCGTTATCCACCTCCAAGTCTGTGTTAAGATCTTCCTCTTCCCAGTTAGTGTCTAACATCTCATCCTCACTGTCAATGTCATCAGGTATTTCGTATTCTTCATCACGATCTTCTTCGTGGACTATCGATTCGTCATCGCTGTCCAGTCCAGCAGTTTCTGAGGAGGAGGAGTGTGGAAGAATGCCCCCCCTGCTGTCATATTTGAGTGAGGCGTATCTTTCTGGAGCTCTCCGAGATCGTTTCTCCCTGATTACTTCCGTAGCTGCTTCCGATCGTTTTTGGTTTCGGGCCGTCATTTCCCTCAGCAGGTCCTTTCCTTCTGCGCTTTGGTGGCATTGATCGATTTCTGGTTGGAGGGCTTGTAAAAGTTGAATTATTAGTCGTTGTATCGAACGATCTTGAGCATTTGCAGCCAGTTGTAAGGTGGCTTTCTCCGCTTGGCGAGCACCACGGAACTGGTCGTGGCTGTTTGGCGTCCACCTCCGGACAACTGTGAGTGGAAATTCCGAAGTGATCTGCTTGGAAGTTAGCTGCATATTCTAATAGTACTTYCCAAGCCAGTCCCCCTACGCATTGAGAAGGGTTTACGTGAAGTACTTTTGTTGAACTTGTTACATGAGACTTAGGACAGGAGACTTACCCGTAAAGCTCTACCAGCGAGCTGGCTTTCTTGACAACGACTTCTCGGCAAGCTAGATATGAGTACACGATTGCATGCTTTGTGTAAGTTCAGCCCGACTGCACCGACATCATATAGCATGATGAGAACTTTGAGAGTACTCTTCGCATCGTTGAATAGGTCTACCATTTGCCCCTTAGCTTGGTGGGACAGGTCGGCATGGAAAACTCTCGCGTCGATCAGGAGTGCCCTCAAGACGGTCTCCAAAAAAAAGGCGTTAGCAGGGATGACTTCTCCAATTATCAACTTCTGATGTTGATTGAACTGGGCTTTGTTCAGCTGCTCAATGACTTTGGCTTTGAGAACTTCCTGAAACGCAACACGCAACGCTGGAGAACCCTCACTGAAGAAACTCAAAAGCTCCTCAGCTGTCGCAGCAAGTCTCTCGCCTTTACCACGCGTTATCCGATGTATCATCTCTGCATTAATCCCCTTGGCTCTCCACAGTCGCAAAGTTGCGACATGTGTGTCGCCCCCAATAGCCTCCATGATCGCGTTGAGACGAGCCAGCTTTGTCGAGAAATTGGCCATTGCGAGCTTTCTCAGGGGAATCGTAGACACCGGAAAGTCCTTCTGGTCCCTTGAGCTCTTACGGACCGCAGCAGTTGGAGGAGCTATCTTGATATCTGTTTTCTCACCCGCCGAAACATATTCACTAAATAAATACATGTCAGTATAGTTTTTGAAGCGATAGAAAAGTGAACTTACTTTGCTGCCGCGCGGTGCCACATCTGATATTCAACCTCTTCGGCCGGGTGGAATTCCGCCTTGGCAATACAATAGTGAATCTTCTTGAAGAGAGTCCCAAGCTTGACTGACTCGCCATTGTGTGTCTTCAAATGTGATCCTTGAGACCTCTGTATACAAATCAGGTCAAGTAGCGGTTGGAAACGAGCAGCGACTCTGAGATGGAGGTTTTCCCTGTAGCCGAAGATCTTTGCAAGAGACTCAGTATTCATGAGTTCGATGCGAGCAAGATGGCTGGAAGAAAGCTTGGAAAGTTCTTTCGTGGGATCTCTACCAGGCTTCTTGATAGCCTGAAGTACTTTTTTCAGCTCTGGGTCACCTTCTGCCTGAGCGTACAGATCTTCTCGGGCAGCTGGCCATAGAAGACCAACAAGGCCAACGAGATCCTGCCACGGAACAGTTAGCGAACTTGAACATTATAAGTAAGAGATTTTTATGTATATGGCCTTCTCTGTGTTTGAATAGAAGTGTTGAAAAACATACCTGAGCTGCGTTGAACATCGGAGTTGCGGTTGCCAGTATGGTTTTTGGAAACTGATGCACTCGTAAAACGCACCAAGTGTCAGTGTCAGGGTTCTTCACTTTTTGGGCTTCGTCCGCAATGAGGAGAGAATAACACTGCGTATGTTCCGATTTCCATATCGTTTCTGTTCTAGGCTTTTCTTCGAAGATCTCTCTCTTAGACTTTGAAGAAAACCGGGGTGGGTCGAACGATTTTCCTGGATAGTGAATCACTTCCGTCTTTCCAGTCCTGTTCTTGTGCGTCATGTATGAGGTGAGGATGATCGCTCGGATGGCGCTTTGCGAACGACAATTGAATATGTATCGGATATTTTGAGGAAGAGAATCCAGATTAGGATATTAGCGCATAGCAATATGCGGGATTTGATCAATATCCACACTCGACCGTAGCGTCATATCTTCGTAAGAAAGAAACACCCGAAACAGAGGCCATTCATTGAATATTTCAACAGCCCACTGTCGGATCAAGGTTGGAGGCAGAACAATTAGTATCGGTCTGTAACACTGTTCGCCGTCGTCATCAAATTCCGTGTAAAGAAACGTGTGTAAAACTGCGGCAAGCAGAGCTTGCTTTGTTTTGCCGAACCCTGTTTCATCGGCCAGTAGTGCACCATGAATGCAGATATCTCTGAGCTGGCTAGCAGCAACACGAACATCAGCCGCTTGAGGATGGTCTAGCTGTCCGGTACCGGCGAGTAACAGTTCCGCATCTACATAGCCGTATAGCTTCAAAACCACACCGACAGCTCCACAGAGTTGGTAGTTGTAGAGCTCCGATTTGACAAAGTCTTTCAGAAGCTCGGACTTGTAAAGCCCGTTCGGCTGTTTCGTAGCAAGTAAAAGGCGCATACAAACGTCTAGTGGTGGTCCAGCACGACGCTGTGTGCCAGAAAATGCTCGTTGCATCGTGTAGTACTGAGCTTGCATCAATTTGTCATTCTATGACGATGGTTAGCTCCTTGATCTCTGAATGGAAAGTTCTTTGGAGTGAACAGCTGCCGTACCTTTTCATCATATGACTCTTCCTCGATAGAGTCATGACGAATAGCTTCCTGAATGTTTGAGATGATCTGCCGATCAGCATTTGCCAAATCTCTAGGGAGCTTTTCCTGTGTCACCGTCGCTGAATTTGCATTGCCACTCAGATTGGAAAGGACTTTGAGTTGGAAACTTCTCTTGCCCTCCTCAGTCTCGACATCGAAACCACTGTAATATGCAAGGAAATCATTCTTGTTATCGAAGGCCTTTGGCTCTGGTGGAAGCCCGACCTCATCGGAGTTGCTCGCCGGAATACTCTCGAGGTATTCAATCAAGTTTTTGTTCACATTCTGAACATTGACAGTGACATCAGACTCCGCGGTTGTGAAAAAGGAGGCGAGAGCCGGCAACGGCTCGAAGCTTTCGAAGAGCGAAACACTGTTGTCTTCGACGGCGGCAAAAAGGACTTTCACTGTGAAGCTGCTGAAATCCTTGTTGTCAAAGATAGAAAGAGTTTTGTCCCAGTCCCCGATAAGGATGTTGACCATTCTCTGTTCCTCGCTGGACGTGATGGTATACTGTAAGTGAAGTCTTCTGATGTCCATGCCAATTTCTGGACAACGGTACAGTCGCCGAAGACAGTCTTTGAATTGGAATATTGTTTTGAAGAGTCTGGGATCTGCATTGGTGGGTAGCTGATAGATATCATCCGGAATGGTGATTTCCTTCTCTTCCGCTGTCTCCAGCACGGTCATGAGCTCGTCGTAGCCAACAAACTTTTTGGTCCGTTCCCAGACGACTGTAACCACAATCGGTGTGGCATTGTCTGCAGTCGCTACTTCTCCTTGCGGTGCGATTTCGGGAGGGTTAAGGGTGTCTGCTGCTCTCATCCACCCGGGGATGTGAGAAGGTGCGACAGATACCTTAACGGTAACTCCATCGTTGCCAAATCGTGAATCCCAGCATTTAGACTGAATGCAGTTCCTCATATACCTCAACAGAGCCCAGCATCTGTTGATCGACTCTAGTCTATGTTCTTTCTCGAGGGGGCCCAGTTCTGGGGGAGGGCATTTCCGGTTGTATGTGGCAATTGTGAGATCAGGGTATTTTTGTGTAAACTCATTTCGAAACCGGGAGTTTTTGGAAGCGTTTGTGGCGGGCGCGAAGCGAAAGTCCTTCAAGTCTTTTTCAACGTCAAGAAGAATTGCTGCAATGTGGCGAGATCGAATAGTACTGTCAGGATTGTCACCGAGCGGCCATTTTTGGTCGGGCTTCACGCCTGTGTATGCATCCTCATTGCTGAGAATCAGTAGGAAAGCACTTTTTCGAGATAGCCCACGGCAAACGGCATCGAATCGAGGGTAAGATTTCATCAACGGCCAACTGATGACCAACTGTCTGAGGTGAGCGACCTGTGAATAGCCTACGTATGCGGCCGTTTTCTGCTCGTTGCCCTCTGTCTCAATAAAGGTCGACGGGTCAGATGACCGCCCAGGACAATCATTGATTGCATCCTTGCCAGTGATACCTTTTCTGACCTGTAAAACCATATTTAGTATGTTTGTCTATAGTTGATTATCACCGCACATTGACAGGGAACCGTACCTTCTTAGTCTCCGACGGGCCCTAAGACGCATATTCGCGTTAGACTGCAACATCCTTTGTTTGACTACGAGTATAGTACTTACCTGGTCACTAGACGATCCTCTTTTGGATGCCATGATGCGAGAGGAGTATTTTGGAGTCACAGAGTGAAAAGACAGCCAGGGAGTCGATCAGTGATAGTGCTGGTAGAGTGAAAAAATGAAGAGCCTTCTCAACACTCCAGTGAAGCCGTGAGTTGATAGCTAATCAATCAGTCGCCCAGAAAGTTGTTCAAAGTCTCCATCCATACGCTGTTCTCTTTGTCTCATTTGTGCTCAGGAAGCACTGAAACCATGCCCTCTGGGACTGTAAAGAGCTGATCTGAAACCTATGCAGTCCAGTAAGTCTGTAGATCAGTCGCCTCTCCTTCGAAGTACTGGGATATTTGAAAAAAAAAAAGTGAGAAAAGAAGGAATAATAAAGCAAGGCGTCTCTCGGCCTGCTCGAGATGAACTAGACAAGAAGTGGAGGATCGAGGGGGGAGATAGAGAAAATCTTCAGAAGCTTGTGATCGGGCAAAGTAGTTCAGCCGGATATCTGATCTTACCTCCGCAGTAAGGTCGCCGGGAAGTGAAGTGCGTTGGTTTTGGTTTGAAGCTCTGAAGTGAGATCTCGTGAGACAGTCAAATTCTAGATAGCGTCAATATATGTAAATTTTGTTCAGACAGGAGAGAAAGTATGAGAAGCATACCTTGCCAGATGAGGATCAGATCTTGTCCGACACGCCGACTTGAAATGAGGTCGATATCAGAATTAACAGTCTGAAAAAATGAAGTGCGAGTCCGTTGACACCCTATGTGAAGTTATATTGTGAGCTATTGGCTTAGTAAATTAGTAAGTCAATCGAGCTTCAGACCTTGTTAGAGTGTCGGACTCCAGGTGAGGTGGATGTCAGATGGAAAGTCTCCGCAGATAGCGCGAAGAAGCGAGTGACTACCTTTTCGGTCAATCCCTAAAAGAACTTTGTGAGACAATATCCTGTCAGATAACAAGAAATATTAGATGAGATCCCGACCTTGTCAGGAAATTGAAGAGACAACTGATGTAAGTGAAGCGGAGGCGAAACGAGAGCAGAAGCCGTCGACACTGCAGAACAAACGCTGACTAGACAGCGAGGTCTCTCAAGGTGTTCGTAGCCCAAAGCTTCAGTCTGAATTCCAAACGACTGATGAAAGTGCCTTCCAAGGTTGTGGATGAAGCTGATGAGTGCCAACTCAGGAGCGAAGAAGACGTTGATCCAAGGGAGAGGGCAAAAGGAGAAGAGAAGCCAAATGATGATAATAGAAGATGATGGAAGGAAATAGAAGAGAAGGTGAAAGAATGGATGGAGGGGGATGGTGGAGGAAAATGATGGAGGAAGGCGATAAAGCAAAAAAAGATAAAGAGATATAAGGAGGCGGCTGGGAAAAACACGAGCCAGTGAAGGCTAGTGGCGAGTTTCACAAATGTAAACAAACAGGCAGTGATAGCGGCAGTGTCCACCTCAATCAGAAGTTTCTTGGCTAGCTAACTTTCTAGTCAGTAATGTGTTTTCATAGACTAGTCGTTTAACTGGACCATTGTGAATCTATCTGGGCAGAATGGCACCGAGATTGTTGACCTCTCGAGAAAAGTCCTTTGTGAATACTAGAAGGATATTATCAAGAAGTACTTTCCCATGAACTCTCCTTATGATGAGGGCTCCTAAATGTCTGTGTTGAGACATCTATCTACTCTGTGTGCACCTAGGCGAGGGTATAGGTATGCCCTCGCCTAGAAAACACTATGCCTTACCAGGCACCGCCTACCACACGCGGGGAATCCCGTCACTTTATCTACCTAAGTAAGGCTCCAGTACATAAATGCTACCTATGTAGCATGGTCTGCTTGTATGGAAAAGTACTTTGATTGCTCATTGACTACATAAATGCTATGTACCTAGCATGGTCTGCTTGCTTGGAAAAGTACTTTGATTGAATGTTGCTTATCGACTACGTAAATGCTACCTAGTATGGATTGCTTGCATGGAAAAGTACTTTGATTGCTCATCGACTACATAACGACTGTGGAAATCACGTCAGCAGGAGACCGATAACATATTCAGCGAAAACATAACACGCGAATTTAGGTAATGCGCGCAGCATAGACAATACCAGAGACCCAAGAGTATGCTGCATGTAAAATGTGAGCCTGATAGAGATAATCCCGCTTAGTAATGTCACGTTCGCATGATCATGGATGATAATGACATTAATGGAGGGAAAAAAATGTAAGGATGTTTGAGTGAACGAGGAAGAGAGAAACATTAATGGGCGTAGAATCGTGGACATGCTGTGTTGAATAATATTCGACTTGGCTTGAGGGTGAACCAACAGTCAGTTGGTCAAAACAATGGGGTGTCCGAGAGGGTTATTATTGTGATCGAGAATCGTCAATAGTGAGTAATCTTGAGTGAAGACGGCGCGTATCAGCTTCGGATCGGAGTGAGCTAAGATCTTGTTAGCAATTCGACGACGTAAGAAAAGTAGGAGCCAAGTTGCATACCATTGCGAGGAAAAGACGTCGAGCAATCGATTACAATATGATCATTGATCATACCATTCACAATCCACGGATGGTAAAGGCCGCCCGGCTTAAATCGATTGCAGTGTTGATCGAGGCGGCTATGATCGCGAAGAAGCTCTATTCCCCAGCGCGGTTCGGGAATCCAGAAGTCGACTCGTCCATGGCTGCCTGGAGACCATTCACTGGATATCGGTACGCCACGTCCTACCACCTTGTTGAAAGCCCTGTAGAACTCATCCTGGTATTGAGCTTCCACAGGTCTCAGCCGTGCAGCAGTTGACATTTTCCCTGCCGAGCAATGCCGCAGCCTCTTGGGCGAGAAATTCTGGAGAATCTGTGTACACAAGATAAGAATGTTGGGAAAGTCGTTGGCTGGGAATGGCGAGGGAGACGTGCCGATTAGATACTCGACATATCTAGATAAATCAGCATAGTATTAGGAAAATAACTCCGAAAAACTTTACTTTTCATGTAGCCGAGATGCTAGAACAGCAATATATTCCGTTTCTTTGCTTCCAACATCACGCAAGGCCCTTTGAATCCATCCATTTTCGTAGCATACTCTAAGGCCAGGATCTGTTTCATCTGATCTATCAAAAGGAACGAATCCCTCCTCGAGTATCTTACACAACACATTCTTGGCCTGCGGGGTGAAGCCACCTCGGGTTGGAAAAGATCGTGTGACAACAGTTCCCTCGATTTTCTCGAACACTTCGTCATCTTTTGCCAGAACATCGACCACATCGGCTGTTGTTATCGTGGATTTTCTCCCATGTTTTATCTCAGAACGGAACACCTAAAATCCGAGGTTAGCCGGAAGTTACCCAAAAGGACTTTCGATATGTGAACCGGTATAAGTAATGACATACACTGAAGATATACTTAACAATCGAAAGAACTCCTCCGGGATGTCCATTGGTGAGGCCGAATATGTAGTCGCGAGCGCCTGCTTCAATGGAGTACCGCTGAGTAGCATCCCAAGAACAAATTCTTGTAACAACATCATCGAACTCGTGTCGGTCATAGAATAGGCCTATACCGTCTGCAACGAGAGGAGTCAACGAAACAGTTTGTTTCGCAGTAAAGTTAATGGGCGTGCGGTTATCGATAGGATCATAATCTGTGCCTGCTGCGGGACTACCGTAGGAACAGAAAAGACACAGTTGGATCTCGAATCTCTTCTCACCCCGAATATCTTTGACAATGTCTTCCCAGAATGTTGTGTCTCTGTAAGTTCCCTGTGCTTCATCTATGATAATGACGGTATCTTTGGCGAAAAATTCCTTGATTTTGTGAACGTTGCGGTACTTCACCCGGAGAACCTCAGCGAATTTTGCCCAGGGGTCCTCACCATCTAGGTCCTCGAGACATCGGCGCCAACCTGAAATGAGAAATACCTTCCGGTCGTTTTGGCGAAGAAAATCTCTGAACAACAATGCAAGTGTTGACTTTCCACTTGAGGGTGTGCCACGAACATGGATGATTTTTTCAGCATCCACCATGTTTGCAAGGACTGCAACTGTGCCACTCCGGGCACATATCCTGTCTTGCGGGCCAATGTATGGAGATTCGTCGCCTAATATTATCATTAGCCAACGCACGATATGATGAATGATGGCGAATCTTACACTGAACGTGACCTTGTGGTTTGACAATGATAATGTCAAGCCGTGGATCCTTTGATGACGGAAATTCAGGCGAGACATTCTGGTGCACGTCCAACAGAGCCAGATCATCTGGGTTGATTGCGCTATTGATGGGACGGACAGGGCTGCAAAGAAGGAGTTCCAAGAAGATGGGCAGGCAATCGGGAAAAAGAATGCAAATCCTCTGTCTGATGTCGTCGATATGATCAACACCAACAGTAACTCTCATAGCGAAATGACTTTGGAGCTTATCGGAAAAAGCACACCACAATATACGCTCAGAATGTTGGGGTTCAGCCATCTTTGGTGGATTTCGAGTTGGGCGAAATAATGAGGACAGAAGTTTATAGGCCATGATTGCTGCCAGAATCAAGAGCTCTGAGGAAAAGTACTAGTGAGGAGGAAGGCCCACGTTCGAAATGTGAGAAAGAAGAAAGGGCAGGCAAAGGGAAAGAACTTTTCAGACAGTCTGATAAGTGAGGAACGACCAGGTTTGACAGGTGAAGAAGGAAGGACAACCAGAAAAGGGCTTTTCAAGATGATAAGAAGAGAAAGAACGGAGGGTGTTTAATGTCAGGAGGTTTCTGCCTGTACCAGACCAAAAACACGAGGCAGGTGTCGATCACATGACATGCAAAGTTTGGACGAAAAGGAGATCAGGAGGAAATTGGTTGTGTCGGCGGTGTATTATCGGTCGACCGTTGATGGCATCACTACAATACCGTTGCCTCCTCCTCCTAGCTCAGGCACTAGCCTTGCATCATCATCGGTATTTTCCGATTGCTTCTTCTGGACTGGGTACGAATATCGGCCATCTAGTAAATTTCTGATCTTGGCTGACTCCAATATTGTCTATTGATATGTGCTAACTCACTGCAGGCCTGCCTAGAGAAGCGCCAACATATGCGTCGGCAGCGAGTGATCGAAGCGGTGTCGGTATTGTACCGTTGCCTCCCAAATCTAGCCCTGCATCATCTTCGATATCTCCCGTTTCGAAGGCTGGCTCAACAAAGTCTCCAAGCGCCAATTCAGTACAATTGGCATATCGCACGGTGTCAACGCCAGAACCAAAAGAGAAGCTGAGTCGGAGATTTTTGATTACAACAGAACTTATATCGGACATACAAAAAGTAATAAAGAGGTCATTTTTGGGACTGTATGGGAGCAAACATGGGATAGTGAAGGTAGTTCAGTTGATGCGGTTCTACAATGGTTGAGACTGGAGCTGTCAATACGGGCAGAATGTGGGAAGCAATGGAGTCAAATGCTCCGTCTTCAGAACAGCAGGTCGTTAATGCTCCAGTCTCCGACTATTTGGCTTGGGCCGTTGCATTAGCAACTGCAGCATAGCCAGAGGAATTGATATATGCATCATACGATCCAAGTCTCAGGCTGTCAGACGCATGACAGGAAGTACTGTTGATGACCTCGAATGCATCGCACTTCCGACTTTATGTCTATCAGAGCATCTGCTACGCTCCAAAGCTCTCGGCTGGACGAAATCCGCCCTCAATTAGTATCCCTTTATGTTTATCGTCAGTTAGTCTAACCGCGGACGAGCTGCTCAAACTTTATAGCCATTTATGTACGTAGTTGCTTTGGTCTATGATTTGTTTTTCTAATCCATTACCTCATCTTGTCCACTACACACACTGCGTGATCATTTTTGCCAGCTATACCTTACCATACTAGATAATCCAGTACATGTATGTGCGTTGGTTTTGTTGTCTACTTGATCATAATAAGAGCTGGCTACATAAGTCGAAGGCATTTTGATACATATTAACATCAATAATATGCTATTTTGAAATATTGCGATTAGTTACAAGAGATCTTTCAAATGGAAAAAAATCAACAAACGAGTATATACGAGTGCTCCTCATTTCTATAACGATCGAGTGAAACTTCTACATGATTATAAAATCTATATATAGAAAATGAGGTGCCTTTTGTCTATTATACTACCTATCGATTCCTTATACTGTTGGCATGAACGCCACGGATTTAAACTCCTAAATCGAGGTCATTATGAGAATTTTCTGATAATCGTCTTGTTCTGATGTTTCCTGCCTAGGCAGCAGGTTCTGCTCCGACTACCGTGGGCAGACACCTAGGTCCTATCGTTCGTTCCAACAGTAGTAGAATGAGTTAAAGTGATCTTCGCCTTGAAAGTATTTAAAGGTGAGTGTTCCTAAAACATCCATGAGAATAGTTCCAGTCAAAGTCGAGAGTACCGAAAAAGTAGGTACCGTAGGATCTCGTACAGAACGCAGGATCTTCAAAACATTTCTGGTCGTCTCATCCGCTGTTCACGCAAGCACAAAGCTGGCGAAGTGATACATGCCATTCGTCAAGTATCGCAAGATCTGGACAAAAGTCATCTTGTATCATTCGTCATCCTCGTCTTCGTCTTTTAGATTCTTCAGGAGTTCAGCAACTGACGTCTGTCCATCCTTCTCAGCCAGGAGTTGAGGAGTTTGTCCATTCTCATCTTTGCTGTCGAGATCGGCACCTTTCTCAACAAGGAATTTGACGATACTCTCATGACCCTTCCGAGCTGCGAGATGCAATGGCGTGTGCAAATGAACATCACACATATTTATGGAAGCCTTGTAATCGAGAAGAGTTTTTGCGACTTCTTCCTTGCCCTCGCGACATGCCTCATGAAGTGGAGTGGAGTACTGGCTGTCTTCGATGTCTACAGATGCACCGTTCTGAAGCAACAGCCTGGCAACACTATCATGCCCATGAAAGGCCGCTGCATGCAGAGCAGATCTTTGCTTCACGTATGTTGCATCAACTGGGACATGATGCTGTAGTAGAGTATGCACAATATCCGTTTTACAATTGAATGCTGCTCCCCACAATGGTGCCCACCCATGACTATTCTGATTGTCGAATACTGCGTCCTTGTCGAGTAGGAGCTTGACAATATGACCATGCCCTAGGCAAGATGCAGCAAGTAAAGCTGATACTCCAGGACAAACTTCAGTGTTAGGGTCATATCCTTGCTGTAGGTAGTGGGAAACAACGGAACTATCGCCTTTGCAGATTCCTGCTGACCACGAACGATTATCAAAACTCCCTACGCCACTGGATACCCCGTGATCCAGGAGAGCTATGGCAACATGCAGATGACCCCAATATATTGCATAGGTCAAAGGAGACCGTGAATTTTTTTCCAGAGCTCTGGGGTTTGCTTGCGCTTGAAGAAGCAATTGGGCCGCAGCGACACGTCCATTTCGAGCGGCAACGTGCAATGGAGTATCGCCATCATCATCTGCGGCGTTGACGTCCGCATTGTGTTCCACATATATCTTAACAATGCCGTAATGGCCATTCTGGGATGCCACATGTAATGGGGTCCAGTCATCCTCCGTCGGACATTTGATATCCGCACCATTCCTAAGTAATAGCTTCACAATGCCGTAATGGCCATGCAGAGATGCCGCATGTAATGGGCTCCAACCATTCTGATATGCGGCTTTGATGTTCCCACCATTTTCAAGTAATAGTTTGACAATACCGTAATGGCCATGCAGAGACGCCGCATGTAACGCAGTCCAGCCATTCTCGTTTGGGGCATTGACACTTGCGCCGTTTTCGAGCAATAGCTTAACGATACTGTAGTGACCGTCCTGACATGCCACTTGCAATGGGGTCCACCCATTCTCATTCGAAATGTTGACATCAATGTTATTGTCAATCAATAGCTTAACAATGCTGTGATACCCCTTGAAAGATGCGATGAAAACGGCGGTCCTTCCATCAATAGTTTGAGCTCTGACATCAATATGAGCTTCAATCAACAGTTTCACGATTTCATAATGCCCATTTTGAGCTGCTAAATGTAATGAGGTCCATCTCTGTAGTTCGGAGGCATGAACGTCAGCATGATTCTCAAGTAATAACTTGACAACGCTGTAATATCCCGTTGAGCATGCTACAAGTAATGGGCTAAAGCCAAGATCATCGTGGACATTAACATTAGCGTTATTTGCGAGCAACAGCTTAGTGATATTATAAAGCCCATTCTGGACCGCTGCAAATATAGGAGTCCAGCTCTGCCGAGGATGAGGATTCGGGTCTGCATGATGCTCAAGCAGAAGCTGAACAATGTCCTCATGGCTATTCGCACAGGCCAGATGAAGAGCAGTCCGACCTTTCTCGTAAGTCTGAGAATTGACGTCTACATGGCGTTCCAGCAGAAGCTGCACAATAGCCTTGTGTCCATTTTGAGAGGCTAGATGAAGAGCACTATATCCACTTCTTGGAACTTGAGCATTTGCATCTGCACCTTCCTTGAGGAGTAGCTCCACAATACTCAAGTGGCCGTTTTGCGAGGCTAGGTTAAGAGCAGTGCCGCTTTTCATTTGAATATTGGCGTCAGCACCTCTTTCAAAAAGTAGCTGTAGAACCTTCTCGTGTCCATTTTGAGCGGCCAAATGAAGGGCAGTCCCTCCACTATTGGTCAGAGCTCCCACGTTAGCTTTTCTGTCAAGAAGTAGCTGCGCAGCTTTTTGGTGACCATTTTGTGAGGTTAAATGAAGAGCAGTCCATCCAGAATCAGTTCGAGCTTCAACGTCTGCTCCTAGCTCAAGAAGGAGCTCCACAATAGGTTGGTGACCATTTTGTGAAGCTAAGTGAAGAGGTGTACATCTAGCCTTGGTTTCAGAGTCAACGTCTGCTCCTGCCTCAAGAAGTGACTTCACAATATTCAAGTGGCCATTTTGTGAAGCTAAATGAAGGGGAATCCACCCATCATCTGTTTCAGCTTTGACATTAGCAGCGTTATCGAGAAGTTGCTGCACGATAGTCTGGTGTCCATTTTGAGCAGCCAAATGAAGAGGAGTGCATCCGTCATCAGTCTGGGCTTTGGCGGTAGCATTTTTATCTAAAAGTAGCTGCACAATAGTCTGGTTTCCATTTTGAGCGGCTGAATGAAGAGCAGTGTATCCATGAATGGTTTGAGCAGTTGCGTCCGCGTCATGTCGAATAAGAAATTGCACAGTATCACTATGCCCCCCATGGGTTGCTTGAATCAGAGCAGTGTGTCCCTCATTACCTGCTATATTGACATCAGCTCCTTCCTTCAAAAGAAGCTGCACGATTTGATGGTGTCCACTTTGAGAAGCTGCATGTATAGCAGACCATCCGCTGCTCGATTGAGTTTTAACATTTGCTCCTTCTCTCAGAAGCAGCTCTAAAATAGACTGGTGTCCATTCTGAGCGGCCACCATTAGAGCTGAGTATCCATCATTGTCAATTTCATCGGCATCAGCGCCAGAACTGAGAAGCAGCTCTACAATAGGCTGAAATCCTTCTTGACAGGCTATATGTAGAGTGCTGAACCCATCGCGATGGCGTGCCTTCACATCTGCATTTTTTTCAAGCAGAGACCGCACAATATCCGTGTGTCCATGAGAACCTGCTATAAGCAGAGCTGTCTGACATTGATTATCTGCTATATTGACCTCAGCTCCTCTCTTGAGTAATAACTGCACGATAGTTTGATGCCCTTTGCCAGAGGCTGCGTGGAGCGCTGTCCATCCGTCATTATCCAACATATTTAACTCAGCTTGATGCCTTAATAAAATCTCAACAATGATATGATGCCCATTCTGAGATGCCAAATGTAGTGGCGTCGAGCCACTGCTATCCAGAGCACTGACTTCAGCTTTTCTTTTGAGCAATATATCAACGGTATCATGGTGTCCATTTCCAGAGGCTAGATGCAATGGGGTGCGGCCTTCTTCACTTCGAGCATTGACATCTGCTCCTTTCTCAAGCAGTAGTCGAGCAACAGCTGAATGCCCATTTTTACAGGCTAGATGTAACGGCGTTGATCCTTCATTGTCTTCGCAATCCACATATGCACCATTACTGATCAGTTTCTGCACTGCTCTCTGTGATCCGTTCGTTGCTGCGTAATGCATTGCAGTTTTGCCATCCTTATCGGCGCATTCAAAGTCGGCTTTTTCATCGATCAGTATATCCAATATCATTTCCGTCGTCTTATCCGAGCATTTTCTTGCTGCAGCAAGCAAGGGACTGTGATATTCTCCACCGATCTGATCAACGTTTGCTCCATGTCTTAACAGTATCTCCACTGCCTCCTTTCTACCTTTCACAACAGCTGCTTGTATTGCACTTCCGTATCGCCCACCGACGGAATTTACATCACATCCAATCGAGGCCAACCAGGAAATGACATCGCACAGACCCATTAGCGCCGCATAATAGAGTGCATTGGGAGGCATGTTCAGGCTTTGCTTTTCGTACACATCAAATTTCTCGACTTTTTTCTCAAATATCTCGTGGCATACCAACCATCGACCTGATGCAGGATCGAATGTCTCTTGCAATAGCGACTCTGCTTCAGAGGCGTATTCATTGCTTGTAGTTCGATGCACTGCCCACATTTCCGCTGCGTATGAGAGGAACTGAAATTTCTGCAATAGATTTTCTTGGTGGGTGGCACTTGATTGATATCCCTCTGTTATATCATCGAAGCGAACATATTGAAGACAGGTCTTTGCCAGGTAGGTATGCTGCCTCTCTTCATCTTTGAAAGAAATATCCCAAATTGGATTCTTACGCACATCTTTCATTAAAAATTCCCTCACCAGAGAATGAACAATGTGAACCGTGTGACTTTGTATATCGGTTGAGTCACCGCGGATTTCGACTAGTGATGGACAAAATCTTCGGATTTGGCGGTCTATATGATCATCATCCCATGCCTCCGGTAAATCATCGTATGGATAGTCAAAAGAAGAAGCCTCATCCGTAATCATGGCCTCGGTAAGCTCTCGTACTGTTAAAGGTCGGACTGCAAACAGAATCCATCTCAGAATTGCGATAGCTCTGGATTTCTCGGTGTCTTCCAGCTGCATAATGCGCTGTAGCTCTCTTTCCAGGACCTTCTCCATTTTAGGTGGTGCTGAAACAGCGTTCCGTAGCTGCTTCTTATTCTCCCCCCGGTGAAGTCGCTGCTCCAGGAGACGTATCCAGAGAAACATTCCATTGGCTCTTTTGGTTGCCTCTTCGGAGATCTCATCCAGAAATTTCTGATCGTTATAGGAACCAAGTTTCTTGGTGACTGTATTTTTTGCAAATTTGGCGATATCTGTGTCCGTGTCTGTCGATAAAATGGCATAATGAATCAGCTCAGAAGACCTGATGGAGGGCAATTTCGTGCATAAACGTATCGTTGGATCATCTCTGCTGCATAAAAGAAACCGGCATTCGCAATCCATTGATTCGTCCCATAGCCGTTCAAAAAACTCAACGATTTCATACTCTTCGTCAGGATCTGCGCCAATCCATTCGTCCAGACCATCTACTACAAAAATACAATGACGGATTTCTCGAATTATGAGACGGAAAACCTTCCATATTTCATCTGTTGTAGCCGGTCGGATGTCGTTACCATTCCAAACATCGGCTGCAATGTCAAAGGCATCATTGTTGACTGTGATAATGTGGGCAATCCATGAACGGAGAATCATCTCTGGTTTTCGATGACTCTCAAAGTCGGAAGAGCAGAAGAAGGAGGCAATCTCGCCCAAGCCATATTCTTCTTTTTTAGACGTAATATGTCGAATGAGACTGGCACACAGGTATGTCTTCCCATGGCCTGGTCCACCGTGAATCCACAGAACCTTTCTTCCGTTGTCAGGGTCAGAAGTAACCCAATTGTGAAATTCGTTCCGGTCTGGGAACCAGGTGCAGGTTTTCTCGAGAGTGGAACGCAGGACTTGTTCGTACCGGTCCTCTGTAGATACGCAATGTAGCCATCGGCGAAGGCTATCCCGACTGATCCTGTTTGATGTCAACTTCAATTCTCGAAATGTCTCATGGTGGTACTGCAGAACGAAGTTCATATTCTTCCGACTATCCACCTGGTCTAATTATGTATTAGTGCAATGTTCATTCTGCTCAGATTAGTACGTACACTCAAGATTCAAGTTGTCCATCAAGCTGCGGACATGCCGCTCTGCATCGTCCATCCTTTGGAGATATGGCTCTATGCCACTTACAGACGCGCTTTTGACAAGTCGCTCTTCAAGTTGCCACAAGTCAGCTTACATGTGCATCACAGATTGAACATTAACGAGGAGGACTATTAGACGGACTTAGTGCTCCACTGCCATAGTAACGGATAGCATTGGCAAAGTATGTCAGAATTGTGCCATAGAGTCGAATAAGCGCGTCGACCAGTTTTGCTGACGTCGAATATCCTTGGAGAACGTATTGCGTATCACTGTAGACCGCAAGCAACCTGGCCACTCGTTCTAAACCTTCGGCCATACTGCTAAACATTTGGTTGTCATTCACAGTCACCTGTCAATGGTGAGCGCTTGTCGTCTTTCTAGTGCTTTTCTGGCAACATACTTGCAGAAGAAGACGGAAAGCAGCCCATGGTAGCGCTGCATGTCCGGGATCGTATTGCATTACGATATCTCCGATTTCTTTGAACTTGTTCACCCACAGTATGATTTTGTCACATAAATCGCGTAGATAAACTGTCTTGCCTTTGATTTCGATCTTCCACCTTTTTTCCATACACTTAGTTTGCTGTAATTTGACATACTGTATGATCTCCTCCAATGATGGCGTGTCTTGGCTAGAAGAATCTTGAACTAATGAATCCTTATCTGTGGCATTCAGATTCTCAAAGGCTCTTTTCCACAACTGTTCAGAGTTTCTGTTCAAGCCAGTTTAGTTCGAAAGAACTGCAATCAAAATTTCAGGGTGATATTCTGCCTACGTGACTGGGTGCTGAATATCAAATGTGTCATATTGCAGACGTTGTTCATTAAGCGTAGCGAGAGGCTTGATTTTCTTGAGTTCAGCTCCCGGGCTTTTAGCGTTGCCATGGCTATCATGCTTCGCGACAACATCCGAAAGCTTCATAGCCAAAGCCATAGTGAATGATCTTTTTAACGAGTTTGGAAATGGCCTTTAGGCTCTGTGGCAGCCCAAGATTGACGCTCGAAGGGAAGCACAACCATTTATTTCACACATTGCATAAGTTGTTGAGCCTCATTGAATGAGGGGATGCCGGCACAACCAATAAGCCTAGCCACGCGTTCTGTTATGGTTGGTCGTCGTTTATCGACTCGGTCGAGGCTAAAATTGCAAAACCGCATGCAAGGCTGAGTCGGAGTCTGAGTCGCTCGCAAGGCTGTCAAAGCTGCAAACGAGGCGGGGCATGATTTGCAGATCTAAATAGGGGAAAAACCGAGTCCAGCTGCGCCTCGAGATATAACTATCTTCTTTCAACCATTTTCACAGCGCACCCGTCAGATAATCATTGACGTGAAAGTACATAATCTCTGACTTACATACCGTCCGAGGAAGTATTTCTCACTTTCTCTGAGTACTTTGACACGTCAGACTAAGTGAAAATTATGGCATCTTCCTCAAGCGCCTCAGCCGAGCTTTCTGCGGATGGCTCAGCCCCCATGCCATCTGCCACAACAAATCTCGCAATTCAAGATCTGAAGCAATCTTTGTTCGATGCTATCACAACAGCCAGCGATAGCCGATCAAGGGCTGTTGAAAATCAATTCGTAACAATGGAGCAGCTGAAAGAGCTCATTCAGACAACTCTCGATAAGCTGATAGAGGCAAAAGCCGAGTCAACCGCCGAAGACGAGGAGGAGGATAAAGAGACTGAAGATGACAAGAAGAAATCTTCGGATGCGGCATCTTCAACGAGCGAGATAAAAATTGTCAATGAAATGTAGGACAAAGTCGATTGGTTGAAGACCTGCTAGCAAACTAACCGATTTTTCACAGTTGGGATAGAGATACTTGGGATTTCGTCCTTGTGGATGGGTCAAGTACCGTCAAGACTGACGAATTGCCTCCTTTCGGGTTTCAGGTCCGAAAGCGTGTCGGTACGTTGGCTATCACCTTAGCTGGAAATTTTACTGAACAAGAATTTAGATCGTGAGAATGTGGTTACTACTTTTATCGACCTGAAGTCCCCGGACTTACGAGATATCCTGAGAGACGTATTCAAAGACATAAGAAGCGTCGATCTTGCCAGTCAAACCCCAACAGTAAATATTACTTTCTCTTTTTTTTTCTTCTTCGCGCCTGATATGTATTAACAATTATTTAGATCAAAGCAGACGTGTTGTATCATTTCCTACCAGAATTGAAGGAACTTTCCCAGACTGGGCAATCCGATGAAGACAAAAAAGAATATTTCCAAAACCTAGGTAAAATCTGTCAGTACCTTGAGGAAGCCTACAGGGTCACTACGGACCGTGTAGAGTCTCTTATCCGTGGTGGATATATTTCCTATGACCTCCTCTGGGCATTGTTCAAACCGGAATCTCTTTCATACTGCTCATGCCCCGCGACAGATCTGCCCAGATGCATCAAATACATCGAAGGGTACACTCAAAAGCCAAATTATCAAGAAGATAAAGAGTTCTTCAAGATTCGCGCTTGTTTTCTCAATGTGGACGGCGGATCAGTCAGAGAAACTCTCAAAACTTATGAAATTGAGAAATTCAACGGGCGCAAACGGATAGAAGATTTGCCTATCTACCCTCTACAATATTATCCGGATCAGGGAATAAAGGAGTTTCTAATCTCCCGAGGTCGCAAATTTGTCTCGCTTGCGAGCAATCGTTGTCATCGCCGCTACAGCGGGAATATCTTTTTTGAGCCGGAGGATCCGAATGAGATTAAGCTCGCCAGGAAGTTCGTTGATGGTAGAATCATGGTGGACTCTGTAGCTTTCCGGAAGATGGTTCCGAGATACAGAAGGCTACGTTCTGAAACCCCAGCGTCTTATAGTATGTTCTGGTCTTCGGGAGGCACACCTGCCAAAGTTGCTGGGAGGAATTGTTTGGATCCAGAAGACTTGCAAGACGATGACTTTCTCATTTGTAGCCCGACAGTGCTTGGTTTCGCTCTCGATGACAAAAAATGGGGTGAGTTACCTTATCTTCGTCTACAAACGACTGGGACTGATTGGTGCAGGGGAACTTTCTGTCTCGGAGGTGGAGGAGATACAATTCTCTGCCTCATCATTTGGCAAAGTCCTGATCCCCGAAAAGCAAAAGGATGTCATATTGTCATTGACGGCAAGTCACCTTGTCTCTACGAGCGACAAAGAATTTGGTGATATTATAGATGGAAAAGGCCGTGGAATCATCATCTTATTACAGTATGTCTGGCCATTGAATCTGCTTGACCTATCCAACGTGTGCTAATCCGCAACGACAGTGGTCCTCCAGGAGTCGGCAAAACAGTCACAGCAGAAGCACTAGCTGATCATCTTCGAAAGCCCTTATACTCGGTAAAGCCTCTCATAATCTCAAAGCGGCTCTTCGGTATATACTGATCTATTCAGGTTTCTGCAGGAAATATGGGAGAAAAGGCCGATGAATTTGAGGCCGAACTTACTCGCATGTTTCGGATTGCGAGTGACTGGGAGTCCATTCTCTTGATCGATGAGGCAGATACATTTCTGCAACGGCGCGACCAGAATATCCAGCACAATCGTATCGTGGCGACATTCCTCCGCACCCTCGAGTACTTTGACGGCATCTTATTTCTCACCACCAATTTCGTGAATAACTTTGATAAAGCTATTCTTGACCGTGTACATCTCAAAGTGCGCTATGAGGGCTTAGATCAGTCGAAAAGAAAGAACATATTTATTCATTTTCTTCAGTCAATCAATGCTGATGTCAAGGATGCTGATCTGGATCGCTTCTGTGAAGTACGGTTGAATGGCCGACAGGTGAGACTCAACAATTTCCCTCTAGACACTAATGGACATGACTGACTGTGTGAGGGATAGATACGAAACATAGTTCGAGTTGCGCATAGTCTTGCATCACACCAGCGTCTCAAGACATCTGCCGCCCATATTCAATTAGCACTAGAAAGCAATGGACACTACGTACGGGCATAGAATCTACAGTCATTTGCTTCACCGCACTGTACGGAAAGAGATCGGACTCTGCCCTAATCAGCTTGTACTTCATGACGTCGAACAATCATCTTCTTTTTCTGCTTTGATTAATGATACAATTTAATGAATTCATTCAGAAACTAACTGCCTTGGATCAATTATACGCCTTAACTGTAGGGTTGAGCAAAACACTGCTTACCTGTAGGAAGGAATAGAAGTACATGATGAAATTCGACATGCTTGACAAGCTTTGAGAATTTCAACCGGTAGTACGGATTGCTCGTGCGTAGGATTGTCTCTTACCGTCAAAAGTGTACTATGTAAGCACGCCCCCATCTTCAAAAGAGAAAACTGTCCAAACAAATTGCTTTCCGTATCAGAGCACTCCATGACGGAAAGACTGTTAATTGGTTATATTGACCCACCATGCTTGACATTATATATAATACTTACTAACTACCGTTAAATCTGATCCGCTCAAATCCTTCTTATTATCCCGCACCAATGAAGATACATTCCGCGTACACCTCCTATACTATGTAGACAACAAATACTCTGGTCACCATGATTCCATATATAAAGGTGATGATTCCGTCACAGAAACCTCGATTGAAATGATTTAGTGTGCAATTAAGACCTTTATATCTGATCACCATGGCTAACAAAATCAGGGTCACCGCTGACCTCGGCGAGGTCGAAAATCCCCCCATCTATGATGGCCAAGGCACCGAGGAGGATCCCTTTGTGGTTGAATTCATCAAAGATGACCCAGGGAACCCGATGAACTGGGGCTCCTCTCGCAAATGGCTCATCACAGCTATTGCGACAGTCTCGGTTTTTGCAATCACGCTAACCTCCTCCGCATACTCCGTTTCCGCCAACGAGATCTTTCAAGACTTTCACGACATTAGCTCTGAGGTTTTTACTCTTGGTCTGTCCCTCTTTGTGCTGGGGTTTGCCATTGGTCCTGCCCTCTGGGGTCCTCTGTAAGTATCTATCGTGTCAATGACACCTCTAGGCCCATCGCTAATTGTAATGGCTCCCCCAAGCTCCGAACTATACGGGCGACAAAAGCTGTGGGTAATCACTCACATTGCCATGGTTGCCTTCCTAGGAGGATCCGCTGGAAGCAAGAATGTCGCCACTCTCCTAATACTACGATTCTTCGCCGGCACATTCGGTGCATCCCCCCTCGTGAATTCTGGTGGCACGATTGCCGATCTCTTTCCTCCAGCTCAGCGTGGCCTTGCTTTAACGGTCTACGCTGTTGCTCCATTCCTTGGTCCTCTCCTCGGCCCGGTGATGGGTGGCTTCATATCTGAGAATATTGGTTGGAGGTGGGTTCAGGGCGTCTGTACCATATTTATCGGGGTGGTCGGTGTTCTGGGTGTCATTCTCATACCAGAGACATACGGCCCAGTTCTGCTACAGAAAAGGGCTAGACAATTATCCAAGGCGAACGGCAGAAGTCAGATTTACATTAGTGTTCTGGAGAAAAGTCAGGGCACGAAGAAGCCTTCGGAAGTCTTCAAGCGAGCCCTATTCCGACCTTGGATTCTCCTTTTCCAGGAGCCAATTGTTATGATCGCTTCCATTTACATGGCCATCATCTACGGTACGGTCTATATGTTCATGGGCGCTATGCCAATCGTGTATAGTGAAGATCGTGGCTGGAGCGAAGGCATTGGCGGCCTCTCATTTCTTGGTATTGCCGTGGGCATCATTTGCGGACTGGTTTATGCGATATGGGACAACAACACCCGGTATATGAAGCTGGTCGTATCAAAGTCCACGGCACCTGAATCTCGCTTACCACCTGCCATTATCGGTGCAGTTGCTTTGCCAATTGGGATGTTCGGCTTTGCATGGACCAACTATCCCAGCATTCACTGGTCTGTCAGTATTATTCTATCCGCCCCCTTCGGATTTGGCTGCGTCTCCGTTTTGCTGCCAATCGTGAACTACTTGATTGACTCCTACACAATCTACGCTGCCTCTGTTTTGGCAGCGGCCGCTATCTTCCGCTGTGTCGTTGGTGCAGTGTTTCCTCTCTTTACGACACAAATGTACGATAATCTGGGTATTCATTGGGCCTCTAGTATTCCCGCATTTATGACGCTGGTGTGCTTACCCTTTCCATTGGTCATGTACCGTTATGGCATGCAAGTGCGCATGAGATGCAAATATTCGTTCGAGGCGGCGGAAACGATGAAGAAAATGCAGATGCAGCAGGCTCAGGCCACTCAAGCGAAGGTGGAGGAGAGGAACAGTGCGTCGGAATGAGCGAATTGATATTAGAAGATGATATGGTGAGAAAGTAGTTTTAGGATACGAGCGAGAGTCGTTGACGGGCCGTAATGTCAACATAATGTTTTTTACAAGTCTGTAATTTATCTGTTCTAGATTGAGGTGATATATGTGATTAAGACATCGTACAGTACTTCCTCCCCTGAGAAACCTGCCAACGACACAACCACACTTCAAACGCCATACCCAGGAATCCAGCAATGCAGATTCCCCCCGAATCGCTCACAGTCGTCGCAGCCAAAGAGAACTCTCGATCTTTGGCGGGTACTCGATCCGCAATTTCTGCGAAGGTGTTCACATAAACCAATCCACCGAGCAAGCCTTCCCAAAATATGATGAAAAATATGATATACACGGTCGGGATGAAGTTAAAAAGAGCGTGCAGTGTCAAAACTGCCAGGTTTGCTATCTGGAGAAAGGATGGTAAGTAGAGGTGATGGATTCGGAAGAATGGCGAGGATGAGCGGGAGATAAAGACTCCGGCTTGGTAGATAGCGTTGTAGGCTGGGTAGAATGCGCGATATTGGTCGAATGGCGTTTCTTTTAGAGGGAACAGGAGCGTGGGGGTTACCCCCTGGTTGATAGTATATTCGGCAACGTAGACCAGAAGAAGGGGGAGCATGCTACAGACATCAGAATATTGGGATAGAGCAGGATTTAAACTTGACTTACAATGGGAAAAACAACCCCTTAGAGCGATTCAGATTTTCCTGAAATGACGCCCACGCTCGCGAGACTTTTCCACGCTCAGCAGCCTTCGCATAAGGCCTGCTATGTTCCGGACCCAGGAGGCCATCTTGCTCGTTCGTCTCATCCTCTCGAGTTCCATGACGCGCCTCATACTCTTCATCATGGTCGTCATCTATAGCCCGATACTGTGTTGCTTCACGAGCTGCAAGGCTCAATGGACCCAGAGGCAGAATCACAAAAAAACTCACGAGCATAATCGCCGGTAAACATGCCGATGCCAACAGCGTAAATCTCACACTAAGGCCTAGCGAAGTCGTGGCAACAGCATAAGCACCTGCACCAACCAACCCAGCTGCACCCGTACCACTGCTCCAAGAAGCGAGACTAAATCTGCCGTAGAAATGGGTCAGACCCAGGAAGCTGAGCTCACCAGCGCCGCTCGAAAGACTGGCAAGGACTATGCCTGCTAGTTTTGTGGAAATCGATCCGCCATCGTTATGAGCGGGCGTGAGAGCGATAATGAGCATGCCACATACGGAGAGAGCCACGAATATTAAAACGCGTATCGGGTACGGGACGAGATGGATAAAGTAAGGCGCGGTCAATTTTGTCACGAAGGATGGTACGACGTCGGCTAGGAGGACGACGCCTTTTGGGAAACCAGAACCGACGAGATCCAGCGCTGCCGAGAGGATGATCACGTAGAGGACATTATTGATTAAGCCTGTTGTAAGCATGCATCAGTATAACTTCTAAGACGAGATGGTCTGCGATAGAGCACGCGACCATGCAACAATGTCAATAGTGTACGTACCGAAGAACCAGAAGGCAGCGCAAACCCGCGGGTCTGCGTCATGGAAAAGCGTTTTGAATTTTTCCCGATATACAGCCCACGATGAGCCAGGACTTCCGGGCAGAGGAAGGGGCATGGCAGGGCGAGCGGTCTCGGCGTCCGAGCTATCAGACATACCAGACAGAGGGGGGCCTGGTCAAGGTCGGCATCAGAATCAAGCAGATATATGATTGTCTGTACATTCACATTCTCTCAGGCACAGCGAGCTATCAGCCCACTGAACAGTCGAGAGAGCGAGTTGTTTGTCTTGAGCCGAAGCAGTGAGGATGAAGTTGCTGGAGATGAGCTTGTGAGCAAGACGCACGGGCCACGCGAGAGATAAAGGCACGTAATCAGCGCTGATAAGAACTTCAGAAGTCGGTAAGGAACGCTCTAGCCTAATACGGTTAGCAGATTGGGTCCACATCGCATTAGCGGGCTCGGCCGGGCGGTGAGCTATTGATTGCAGTTTTCCGTACGGACTACGGAGACGTCAAACGAGGAGAGAACATGAGTTTTGCTAGTATACATACTCGGAAAAAATACAAAATCAAATGGCAATGGACTACATATAGCATGTCAAATACTTACTGTTCGTCGAAAGGTCTATCAGGCACGTCGATATCACCAGCGTTTGCACCATACATAGTAAACCTTCTGAAGGATTCGTGTCAACCTAAATTACTAGCGGGGCCAAAAACCGGTTCCAGTTACTCTTTATTACACCCGTACGGTATGTGCGTACGGAACTACCCTGAGGCTTAGAAGTTAGGACGAAGAAACGTCCTTCAAATTACACGGTCCCCAAGAGAATATCGTTCAGTTTACTATGTATATGATGACAACTATGACCGTGGATAGCAACGTTGTCAAATCTCATTTGATTATGCGTGCGCGTCGGCGAGTAATCAGAGTCGCATGCAAAGAATCAGATCAATCCGCAAATAAGGTTAGAGATCAACCAACATGTTTCTAGCAACTTAGCAAGACGTCATCAATCTACTACATAGTAAAGCCCAAGCAGAAGAGTGATGCGAACAGGCTGACACGAGCTTGTCAGCTTGACAAGCCTGCTCTCTATTCGAGTAAAGACTGTCAAATCGTTATTCGCGGTGTCTCGGAAATACTGGAAAATAAACGAGTGGTTCTTTCACGCAGATTGAGAAGGATAAGATACGTAATAAGGTCCGGCTTGTTTGATACTTCCAACCAATACATCGGTACGCGTATTGTAATGCTAGCGCGGATCTAGTGAGCGGCTTCTATTCCGCGGCAATCCACCTATTCAGCATTTCAGATGATCCCAGTCGCAATCTTCCGAGGTCGATCATGTATCACTTTTTTTTGACGGAATTTTCTTCCTTCGTATCCTCAAACTGAGGTCAAAGCCGCACCTGAAACTATTGAGTTCTCGTCGGCGTGTTTACGTCGTCTCCTATGCTGGTGTCTTATCTCCGCAGTCTGTCTTTCACTCCGTTCTACTACGTATTGGTTCCGCACTCGCTACGTATCATCTATTGATTTAGTGTTCTAGTAGTTACCGGGTAATTATTTCAAGCTACCAACGCATGGACCAGCAGACCTGACTGATGCCCAAGCCTTCAGCAGAATCAACACATTATATTGAACGTTGAGTACGTACAGCACTGAGAATATACTAGTAGTGCTAGTCAGTAAGCACCCATGACATACATAGTAGTACAATACGGCTACTGTAACAGCGGTAAGTATGATGGTAAGCTGCAGGGATAAGGCACCGCAGCCCCACCGGCACCCCATTGCTTCTGCGGGCTAAATTTACCAGTAGAACTCCTCTGTCTTCTCCACACAACAACACCTTTCCCTTTCTCTTCTCTCAACACCCGCGCCCGACCACTTCACCACTTCACCACTTCACCGACCTCTTCTCAACTTGGCAACGTTATTCGCACCGATCGATTATCGCCTCTCGCGTCATTCACCACTTGTCGATTGTTGTGGTTGTGTTTATCCTCCGTCACCGTCCCTCGCATCCGCGCGATTGTACCGGCACGTGTGAGCTCGCGACCTCCTCTTTCGCACTCGACCAGAACTCAACTATCCAGACAACTACCAAATTTCAACTTATCGAGCACCTTTTACCCATGCGAGTGACAAGATTGGAATAACATGGAATCTCGGCCACCCTCTATCCCCCATCCTCCGTTCCCTCGGCCGTCGCTTTTCAGCACCGCTCCTCAACACTCCCGTCAGTATGGATCCTCACAACCACAAACGTCGCGCCCGGAGGCACGGTCGCATACAGCGTACGAATCTTTACGCCGACCAGCAGACGAGCCAGCTCGAACAACGCCTACGTACGGTTACGCTGCACACTCATATAACCCAGACTTGAGGGCTCAGGCTCGGTCGACGTCCCCTACGCGTTTCGGCGCAATGCAGTCGGATGCAGCAAAACGCTCGGCGCTTGCTTCGCCCGTCAAGAACAATGGAAGTCTGGGGAAAGACAGTGCAATCTATCGTGACGGTAAGGAGCATTCTCCATTTGTTTTTCAAATACCCCTTGCTTGCCTCATACACTTGACACATTTTACCTTGCTGTTCAGCCCGTTCTTCCGTATTCCATGATTCTATTTCCTTTCTTGCCATGCCATAGCCCCTGTTCCCAGAAAGATACTGCCTGTAGCATACCAGCAGTCCTCTCGGGAGGGTCTGTGCCAGACTCAGTTTTTTTTTGCAGATCTGTGTGACGCATCTGTGTGACGCATCTGTGTAACTGCAAGCTGGCAATGAGAAGGCAGTACAGGCCTGCAGGATGCGTTCTAGATTTATTTCTATGCGATCAGTTTGATCAAACACGGACAAACTAGACAAGGACCATTCTGCGAGTCTGCGACGGTGTCGTCTCGTGGCAGGGGTGTGTGGCTACTGCTAGCATCTGTGTGTATGCATCGACCAGCATCGGCAAAGGCGCCGATCGATGATCCGTTTCTGCGATGGCTACTGCCACAGAGTCAATGATGGACGGGGCTAGCCAAGTTCGACTTCCACCTGATCCCGGGAACGCTAGCCGTTTTGGCTGAGCTCTCTTGCTAGCTCCTTCGGGACTAGCGCATACCCCTGCCCGCATGGCCCAAAAGATTGTGAACCAAACCTGAGGCCACGAGAGTCGCCGCTTCCCTGTGTTACGTCTACTGCCTGTTCCACTCTTTGCCGTTGATCACTCATCCTTAATCACCATGACTTCTCTTTATCTCTGTTTCTCACTTCTTTTATAGCGTCAGGCATGCGACGTACCTCATCTCCACGGGACCAGGAGAGCCGTTGGTCCGCGAACCGCGGCCGGAACCTCAAGTCACCTACTGCTGCTGGTGAGATTCCTTCCATTGCGGCTCGAATATTCAGCTGTCGCAAACAAATGACTTTTTGAATCGTCATCGGTCTTTGATTAATACTCATACTAATCCGGATTGTAGCGACCTCAGAATCTTCTGCGCATACTATCGGAAACCGCCAAATGCCTCCTCCGTCGCCTCCACAGCCGTACCCAGCCCGCAACTCATCCGCTTCTCTATCCCAAACTTCCTCAAGTCTATTTTCCCGTGACAACGGCTTCGGATCGATACATCGTCCTGGAACGAGCATGTCGATATCGTCAATGCTTGGATCAGACCCCGATCGACCATCCCGCGATCACCCGACCTCTCTCTTCTCAAGGCCGTCTGTGTCCTCACCGTTTGGGACATCTCGCAACTCTACCGGAGCAATGTCACCTCCGACTGCACCTGCCAGACCTGCATCTTCCATCGACCATCCTCTGATGCGCCGATCAGAAACACCAGACAAACCTGTCGCAAAAGACCCACTCTCTCGACAATCGTCGCGATCGGATTCTGGCGGATTCTCGGACTCGACGAAATTTTCCTTCGGGCGATCGTCGTTCTCACAGTATCCTGAAAAGCCGACCACCACTCAAAAATCGCCCCGCAATTCTACTGCCTCTGATCCGCCATTCGGCCATTCTCGCCGAGTGAGTCTCAACAGCGCCATCCAACGCCCAAATAGTCAGCCACAACAGGAGGAATCTCGAGCACCCGCATATAGCCCTCGAACACGGGCATCGGGGGACAGCATTTTCGGGAGCGCACATCGCAATACATCCTATCTCGATGATACGCGTCCATTTGCTAGATACGGTGGATTATACTCAGACAGGGCTAGGGAAGAACAGCTAGCGCGAGAACGAGAGAAGGAAAGGAATACTCCTCAAGAAACAGAGAGAAAGTCAGCCTTTGGATTGCTACATGGAAGATATGGAGCTCCTGCGAATCGGGACGAGGACCGACCTCCAAACCGCCCTTCATGGGAAATTGGTAGAAGTCAGCCCAAGTCCCCCGAAGCGCGGCGATTCACAACTGCATCAGAGTCAGGTGCCGGTTCGGGGTTCGGCTTTGGCGCTATCCAAAGTTACACCAAGTCGCTAGGTTCACAGTTGGGTGCTTCCAGGAGTGCCCCCGCCACCACTCCCTCCCACTCGAATTTCTCCCTCCACTCCCGGCAAAGTCAGCCGACACCACCTCCGAATGAGCAGTCTTTCCTAGGGAAACCCCAGCCACGGCCTCGTCCGCTTTCAGTCACGTCGGTGCCTTCGGCAAGCCAATCAACTCTTGGTGCATTGGGATCCGCAGCAGCCGACGAGCAACGTAGGAAAGGCAGTGATGATTTGATTCAACACCGTACTCTACTAGGGATTGGTGCAGATGGCAAGCGTGCTGGGCGTGCATCACCCTTACCGCAAGCGGTCCAAGGAGCCCAAGCCCAGTTCATTGGTTCTGCTGGAGAGACTGGTCTCAAAGGAGAATTAGGCAGAGTATTTGCAGGCATCGGTAGTGGCGTGGGCACAGGGCCTTCCAGTTCTACAGGAAGCGGTCCCCCCACACCAATGACTGCGAGCCCATTCAAACGGGATAGTTTCGGAGCATCGGACCATGCTGACGAGGGCAAAGGCGGTCGTGGTGGTGCTGCTCTGGGCAGGAAGCGAAGCTCCAAAGACGAGGAGCCTTCAGACCTCGGCGAACAGGCCCAAGAATTACGAGGCACCCCGTCAACTCGAGGTGGATCCCGAAGGGGCCGGCACGTCCACCACCACCATCACCAGTATGTGACTCTCAACGACATTCTATGGGGTCGGACTAACCATGAAAACTACAGTCATCATCACCATCGCTCTAAGAATGAGGATGAGAGTGTTGCACCACGCTCAAATATTGGAGCTACAAGTGTGCTAGGCAAAGCGCCTACCCCGGCTGAACCGGTAGCTCCGGTAGCTACTACGTTGCCAGCGCATCACCACCACCATCACCACCATCACCACCACGCGCCTCGCAATGCATCATCTAATATCACCTCAGCTCCAGCAGTTGTTACACTGCGAGATACTCGAACTCTGGTCAATATCAAGCCACTTTTGGAAAGCGTTGCTCAGTTTCCGCGACATCATCTGGGTTCAACATTGTACGCGCCACGTATCGGCGTGCCCAGCGCAAGTTCATCCGGAGAAAGCCAGAAGTTTGGCTATACCAGTACTCCTGTTCCTATACCTCGATTTGAAGGAAAAGAGAACTGCACATTTACTATTCGTGTACCTCGCTTCCGTATCGATCCCAGTCATCGAGAGGAGATTTGCGCACGTCGAGCTGTCTGGGGAACGGGTGTCTACACAGATGACTCTGATCCTGTAGCAGCTGCCATTCACTCTGGCTTTATTCGCGGAGAATGGGGTGAGGATGTCGACATCTCAATGCTCGACCTCGAGATTAAGAGCGACTATCACCATGCACCTCAGCCGACAGCTGATTCAAGCGCAACGGCGAAACCGTCTATCCCGCCCGTGCCTCCACCAAACAAAGATCTACACATTACACTACTTATCCTGCCCCGATTGGAACGCTACGAGTCTACCCTCATGTTCGGCCTCAAATCTCGAGCCTGGGAAGGAAACCACGACGGTATGAGCTTCAAAGTTGAACGCATCGAATGGGTCGACGAAGGATCAACACGCGGCGAAGAGCGTAGTGGAGCGGCACGACGAAAGCGGCTGCGCAATATGATGCAAACGGGGCGTATCTGTACGGGGCCAGGCCTGCTACGATTGCGTGGAGGTCCTGGCTTATTGCTCGGTAGTACTACGGATTTGGTTGCTGGCCAGCCGGCATCTGCACCTGTGCAGCCTGTATCATAACATATAAGGTTCTACTGGTGTGAGGGGTTAGGGTTTATGGTGTTACGGCTGTTGTATGGTAGCGATCTTTTTTTTTTCTGCAATTTGTTCATCCTCAACCATTCTTGTCTCTGTTTTAGATTGGTCGGCGTTCAATATCCGGATCGAGTTTTTTAAAGCGGTTCATCAAAGCTGTATGTAGCTCAGTCTGGCGCAATACAAGTTCCTCATTTGAAAAAAACAAGGATGTATAGACCAAATACTATAGCCCAACATAACCCGAGTAACGAACCCGCGGCGATCACAGATTCGTGTCTGAGTCGTGATCAGTTCACGGACCCGCGTATGAGCTCTAGGCCCAGTTCAAAGCGCCAATAAGCCCAGCCGCAACCTGAGTCCGCACTGCGTATTCGGGTAACTGATTCATCCGACCATACCTAGTTAGGTGTTAGACAGGGTTCTTCGTTGGAATCGTCCGGATTTTAGCGTTCGGATTGTGGAGTATGGCCGATGGATAAAGCCGAATTAGTGAGATGTAGCAGTGCGGAGCAGATTTAGATCTAGAGCCAAAAGTAATAAGGGCAAAGGATTGGATGAGAACCTAGGTAAATGGAGTACGGATGTAAGCTTGATTAATCTCCGGATTCAGAGTATGCATCTGTGATGTTTGAATGGTTTTATGAATTCATGGATGTAAATTCAGGTGCGGGGAGGTATAAATATAACTCAGGTCCGCTGTCGTGCTACTACTGTTGACCTATCTCCAGTCTGGGGTACAACATCAAAGTAGGAAACAACATTGGCAACAAAGGGAAAACATACGACGAAGATGTCCTCCGTCCTCATCACCGGCTCCTCGCGCGGCCTGGGCCTAGAACTAGTCAAACAACTGCTCCTCCTTCCCCCGACAACCATCAGCACAATCTACGCAACATCTCGCACCTCCTCGCCTCCGGAACCACTATCGCGCGTCATCACAGCATCCAACCATCGTGTAAGACACGTTCAGCTTGATGTCACAGACCCTGCCAGCATCACCGCCGCAGCCGATCAAGTCACCCGCTTGAGTGAGGGCAAAGGCCTCGACATCCTTATCAACAATGCCGGCACTCAATCCGAGCGACCAAGCAGCACAAGCGGCATGAGTCTCTCCGATCTTGAATCCACAATGCGTATCAATGTGACGGGAGTACATCTCGTTACAACCGCATTCCTCCCTCTCCTCAAAGCCTCAAAAACCAATAGCAGTCAAACCAAGAAAATAGTAAACATAACCAGCACCCTCGGCTCCATAACCTGGTCCCACAAATCCGACATCGCCCCCGTGCCAGCGTACAAAATCTCAAAAGCGGCGCTGAACATGTTAACTGTACAATACGCGACTGAGCTAGCACCGAAAAAATTTACGGTGTTTGCGATTAGTCCCGGCTGGTTGCAGACGGATCTGGGTGGTGGGTATGCACATTTGAAGCCCGAAGAAGGGGCGAGGGAGGTGGTGAGGATTCTGTTGGAGGCGACGCACGAGAAAGATAATGGGGTTTTTAGGGATATTTGTGTGAAAGGGTTTGGGGGGACTTATTCAGGGGTTAATCCGCCGTGGTAGACTTTATACCTAGACACATTCAGATTGGTCTTTGCGAGTTTACTATGATGGTTTTGATGTTCTCGCTGGAAAGCTTGGACTCCATAGAGCATGGTATTCTCCGTATATAGTTCACACATGCAATAATGCATTCACTTCGTCTGTATATACGCATAGGTTAATGTCATGCATTACTGCCTACTTCGACTTCGCAACAGTCACTTGAAGACCGCTACTTGGGAGGTCAAAGTGCGTGCCCCCTCTCAATCTCTGTCCACCTGCCGTCGTGACCGAATAAGTATCGGTGGTACCGGGCGTCTCAACCCAGACAATCACTTCCGTAGCTCCAGAGACCCCCGGAACAATGGTCAACTGTACAGATCCGGGCTGACCATTGCTCGCAAATATGAATTTATCAATCTGTCCCGCGCTGATGGTGACATAGACACCCAACACAGCCACATAGATACGTCGTCGCACGGGGTCGCGTGGGTTTACCGTTACTGTGTTGCCTGCCACAGCGATATTTCCACCGTATGCTATCAGGCCAACGTCCGGGTCATGGACTACATACGTACCGGATCCAAGCATCACGCCAAGGAAGTTCTGACCGTAGTCACCTGAGTACGCGTCACCTTCCAACGTGTCGGGGAATGAGTGGAAGGCGTTGTACATCGAACCGTCCGCGCGTACGTTGCTTAGTGGACCTGTGATACCGCCATAAGCGACACGAAGAAGATATGTGTCCGACGGCGTTTGGCGGAACTGCGCAAGTAGAGGGAGTGCATTTAGGCTGGAGCCATAGTGGTGCAGCATACGTTCGATACGCTGGAGTTTGCCGGCATATCTAGATTTGGACTCTATATTAGTGAAAGAATAATAGGAAACGATGTAGAGGAAAAGAAAGTTTCGTACATAAAGTCCCAGTAACGACGGGCGTTGCCATTCCAACCCCAGTGCGAGACGGTAGGTGAATAGCCAAGAATGGTACCGATCGCTTTGGTGGAGGTGGATGATAGGTTGAAGTAACTGTTTCCATGAGTATCTCATTAAATAGAAGAGGGTGTTCATGTTGTATGTAGCTTACTTGCTCCAGTAGTACACTCCTTCCTGCCCCGTCGAGTCCCACGCCATCTCACTGCCAAACGGCACAGCTTGAGTATCCCAGGTATCAGCTCGTAGTTTCATGGCAGCCTCTACCTGCGCTGCCTCATCGGTCCAACCTTCCCGCCGCAGGTCTACGAGCAACTCGCCCACAACCGTTTCGCCCATTAACCCCAAACGCGAGTAGCCTACGAGGCCATCACCGTTGGAATCCGTTGCAAAGCATGTGATGGTTGTGTTATAGGCATGAGCAAGATACCACTCCCAATCAAAGTTCGGGAAGAGTGCAGGGTTGTCACGACCAGCTCGGTACAACGCCCAGTATGACCCCAAGACATGGATATAATCATATGCACGGTCCGTGGAGTATGCGGCGGCCTGACTCCAGGACCACCAGTTTCCCCAGTCAATGCTACTGCTGTATGCATAATTCGGAAGTACTGTAGGATCGTAGTAGAAGACGCTCTTACGCACAGTGAAATTATTGGCGTTCTGAACGGTGGTAGATAAGACCTGGGTTGCGAACTGCTCAAGTTGTCCCACCTCAGCGACGTCAGCCTGTGCGAATTGCTTCATTGTGGATGCGAGATGGATTGTGCCGCCTTCGTCGCTCAAACCAGCAATCCACACGCGCGGCTCCTGGTCGACTATCGCCTGCACGGAGTCATCCCACGTCATAACGGACGGCGCACGGCCAAAAGGATCGCTGGAGTCGTCAAACCACATTTCGGTGGTTGTAAAATTACCGAGCGTTTTCAGCACATCTGGGCCAGAGGCAGTGATGAAGTAATGTACCGTCTGTGTCTTGCCGTCACTGTAGTTGATGGTAATCTTCGTACGGCCTTGGACGGCATCAGTAGGGGTTAGCTGAAGATATTTGGATTGGCGCACAATCTTGAACGCGTTGCTATCGGCGGCCACGTTTGAAATAGAGGCGTTGTGAAATATGAATAGATTGGCTGTCAAATCTAAGGGTACGACATAGCTCGCGCCAATAGTCAGTGGTGTACCTGTTGTTTGGACAGCCCGCTGAATGCCACGCACACCGCCAGAGACGAGGGAGAAACGTAGGCCAACGGTGATTGATCTACCAGGCTGTAATACAGTAGAGGTAGCTGTGTTCCAGGGTGTTGCATTGACCCATTCATTTTCCTCGTAGGCCAAGGAGTAAGTTTGCCACTCATAGAAACCTTCAAAAACCTGACTACCGTAAGCGTCGGCCGTGTAAACATCTGGTTCATTTAGATTACGCCACGCTTCTAAGGGGGTCTTGGTGTTTCTCAACGGAGTTACGATTAGGGCATCTCCGTTACCAGACACAGGTACCACTTGGAGATAGCCCGCGTCGAGTCCGATATATGGATCTGTTAGAGAACAGTAGGCTTGAATGTCCTCGGCGGTGCGGTTCGTAAATATGCTGTTGAACTCCGTCGGGAATCCAAGGCTACCGATTTCCAGACTAGTGCTCCCCTGATTGGCGATGGTGAAGGAGAGACCAAGGTCCCCATCAMCCTCGAGCCACTGGCGAGTGATCTGTAAGGGACTGCCCTTGGGAAGAGTTGGCTTTAGGTCGGCAGCTGCCAGTGTGGAACCATTGGTGTTGGTGATAGCCAAGACAGATTGTCTAGCCTGCGACGAATCACCATCAATCCATGTCTGATCGCTAGTAGAGCGATATCTAAAGGTAATATCGCCGTTGTGATACTGGCCATTGCCCGCACGAAAGGGCAGATAATCAAAGGGCAGAAAATCAAAGGAGCTGCCTTTAGGCTTTAGAGACGCTAGTACCTGGGCATCCTTTACCAATTCGACGTCGAAATTGGCGGTTGAGAAGGAGATGTAACCGTCTTTCAGTCCTAGATTATCTGTTTGAGCTCTCGCGGTGAGAAGTAGCGCAGAGAAGAACAGCTGAAGAGAGAGAAATCGCCAATCCATTACAGAAGGCGGTTATTTGTAAGTATGGCTATAGAGGTTGGGTTGCGCACAAAAAAATAAGTCTTGTCTTAGACATTCCCATGGCATTTATAGCTTGGCCGAGCGACAGTATTTGAGAAAATTACCCGATCGAGTATGGTTGGCATCGTTATTATTCATATCTAGGTTTGCACCGTATGCATCATATGCGTCAGGAAGCACCTTCGGATCTTTTTTATGCACCATTCACGTACCATTCCCCTTACCCTAGAGAGATGAATGTCATGCGATAGGCTGAGTCTTGTGGGGAAGATTCAGTCTGGATGCGACGTTGTAGATCGTAGCGAAGAAAGCGTACAACCAATAGCACGCAGGTGATATTGTCGCTTTCAGATTTACATGTGTCTTTGCAGGTAGAGCGCATGGGGGGCGACAGTGTGGGACAATCACTAGAGGGATCGGATAATAGTGTCGGTTATATCAAGACTTTTTAGTCCAAATAAGCGCTCCTCACTTGTCGATCATTTCGACTACTTATTACTACGAGGAAGCGAGCTGGAAATATCCGCCCTTGGCAACTTCTCTACGCAAATCCTGGTTGTAACTTGGTGCCTCCACTTGTACCGACACTGTCTGATAGCGCATAATCAGCTTAAAACAGGCCGTACTGTGGATCAGTACTTAACAATTTTTGCTTGGTCAAGCATTCAACAATACTTTCATCAAAGACCTTTCTATTACCTTTGCTGTGTCTGCCAATGCCGCATTGAAGCCTACCTTCAGCACTGGCTCTGTTGCCCCCAGCTCATACATCAGCGAGGCAATATCTTCCCTCGTCCCCCATGGTGCCCTTAGCGGCAAACCTCCCTTTGGGTTGTCATAGGCACTTCCAACGGTGACTTGATACGACCTACCCGTGCCTGGCTAATGAGAGTTTACAAACTATGTAGACTTTAGTGCTATCGACTATAGAGTACTTTTCTCAAGATTTATAGTGAGCTGGAAAATGCCACACTTCCGAAGCCTAAAGCAGCTCCATCGCTGGTGGAGAGAGTTGAAATAGTCTTGTTATATAAAACTGACAAGTTATTTATCTTTCTCGAGAGTCGTCAGTCGTAAGTCGTGACGAACTGGATTTATTTTGTGAGAGCTTAGTAGAGGCTTCAATTTTGGGGGCCATCTGGAGGCCATCTGGAATTACACCTATCTAAGAGTGTAAAAAATCAAAATGGTAGACTTTGTAGATTTTAAACGGAGTGGGAAGGGACATTAATAATCGAGATACAGATCGGATAACGGCACAGCTCTAAGTCTATCACAAGAGAAAACCATCAGACTTAGGCATTATATTATTATACCCATGACCGATGTGAAGTGGCTTCGGCGGATATACCAGTCGGGACGAGTAGTGGCAGTGACCTCTGAGCGGTTCCTCTCGGAAGCATCGGTCCAGATGCCCTGAGGCCATGATATAAATATGGTTACTACGTGTTGTTCATCAGTTCAAAGAGAGGACCAAAAACTCAAAGCAACACTCCAGCAATTCAAGTAACATCAATTTCACTGCTTCGACTTGGTAAAAATACCTATATATCCAACATGTCTGGCAAAATCGATGTTCACCACCATTACTATCCCCCGACATTCACCGCAGGTAGGTAGAATACCTAGATATTATGCACGCAATATTATCTCATTAACGACTCTATAGCCCTTGAACGAGCCGGGGGTGACCCCTCTGGTTGGTTCGTCCCTACTTGGACCCTCGAAGCCGACAAAGAGATCAACGCAGCCTGTGGAACTGGTACCACCATCCTCTCCATGACAGCTCCAGGCGCATGCATCGAGAAAAAACCCACAGCTGCCGCAAAGCTAGCACGCGAAGCCAACGAATTCGCAGCAGCTATCCGCGATGCCGAGCCCAAATCTTACGGCTTCTTCGCTTCCCTGCCTTCTCTTCTCGATACCAGAGAGTCCCTCGAAGAAATCGCGCATGGCCTCGACGTCCTCAAAGCCGACGGCGTTATCCTGTTTACCCGCTACGGCGAGGATAACCACTACCTAGGTCACCCAGATTTTCACCCGATTTGGGAAGAATTGAACCGTCGCAAAGCCGTCGTATTTGTGCACCCAACACACGCCGTGGATACAAATCTTGTGAATAAGAATCTGCCACAGCCTATGTTTGATTATCCGCATGAGACAGGTCGCACAGCCATGGATCTAATTACTAGTGGCAATCTACGCCGTTATCCGGACGTCAAGATCATCTTGTCGCATGCTGGCGGCACTTTGCCCTATCTCATTAACCGTGCAGCTGGTATGCTGCCATACACACCCGATGATATTGGTCTTTCGGCGCAGGAGATTATTGATGAGGCACGAAAATTCTATTATGACACTGCGCTTTCGACTAGCCACGAAACTCTAGATCTGCTTTACAAAGTTGCTGGTGCGGATCATGTGCTCTTTGGCTGCGATTTTCCGAATGCGCCGGTGCCTAGTATTCATTTCTTCCGTGACTTGTTTGATACATACAAGGTTGATGGGAGTCGTGATCAAGTAGATGTGACGAGGCGGAATGCGTTGAAAATTTTGTCGGGGTTGAGAGAGCGTCTTGCATCATGACACACGCCAGCAGATTAGGAAAGCTGTCGATGCTTGACAATGAACTTCTGTTTTTTTAGACCTATACTATTCTTGATTGTTTATGTACATGATATTATATATAATAACTAATTGCAATATTTTCTTCCATATGTATATCACAATACCCTGGAAAGAAGATTATTACGCTACGTATAAGAACGTCGTAAATAGTACTAAATAAACATGAGGGCGTTCGATAAATCCACGTTCTCGAAGGTCGAGCCACACCCAAAGAATACATCTCGATTCAGTCTACACAGTATAGTTTCGTCCTATTTGCGCTGATGACCCAGCTATGTTTTGTGGATATTCGTGAATCTGGAGATTTCTTCTTTGGGTAACAATTTCCTCTTCGGGTCGATTAGGGCTAGGGCTAGGGTAAAAAGCATCACTTATGAGCCTTCTTGATATCATCCGCAATCTTTTCAGCTAGCGCATCTACAATAGAATTGGTACATAAACCAGGTATGCTTAGAATGGATAACTTACCAACGGTCGACTGCGGATGTTTAGGAGACAAAAATGGAAACGCCGAAGCATCCATTACCCTCTGACGCTTCACACCAACAACTTTCTCCTTTGAACCAACGACCGCATCTTTGTCCTTTGCACGATCCGTGGTTCGTATTGAGGAGTTGTATTACGTGTTTATAATATGCCGTTGCGACTTATTGGTCTGCTGGGTGCGTAAGCCAGTTTGGGTTGATGAGGGGTGGGTCAGACATGTTTGCTGAGATGATGTCAATGTTTCCGCGCGATAAAGGTGCGACGAGCGCGAGTCTGATACAGCTTGAAGCCCAACGACAAACCTCCAATCGACCAACGGATTGAAATCGTCCTTCGCTTTACGGGCTAAGTGGAAGCGTAATTACCTCAGAACGAAATACAGTAGTATGTTTGTACCTTCTAGTGGAGCTAAGCGAGTCTTTTAATCGACTTGAAGCTTCTGACACTATTCTCAGAAACCAACCGTCGGTAACAACCAAGTGCCGTTAGTGAACCTGCTTCAACCTCCTCTGAGCAGCCATCCCATATTTATAAAACAACCACTTCTTCCCTGTCGCATGCCCAAACCCAATCCTTTCGTGCGAAAATTTAAAAACAGGATCAAAGCGCGCAATACTGATCCGATCATAAGAAGCAACGGCAGCATCCATGGAAGCATTCCGACAAATCTGCTCCGCCAAATCCCAGCCATCTTTCAGAGCTAGGTTTGCGCCTACAAACTCGTAGGGACTGAGGATGTGATTAGCGTCGCCAATGAATAGGACACCTTTGGGGTTGGAGTCGTCGTGTCGGAAAGCGTATTTCTCTTTAGCTGGGCGGATGAATGCTGTATCTGGTAGGGTGGCCTCCACCACGGTTTTGAAGGGTTCTTGGAACATTGAAGCTGTCTTTAGAGCCTCAGTTTTCAGGGCGTCAAACTCTTCGCTAGTGAAATTGGTTTTAGCTTTTCTTTCCGGCCCGATTGTGCTAACAGCCCAGGCAATTGTATTTTCGTCAAACGGATTGTAGATACAGCAGACACCTTCACCGGAAGACATCTGCAAGACGTAGTCCTTGTCAATAGGCTTGGGTAGCAAACCGGTGAGACGCGAGATTCCACCTATCTGAGTTGCACCGGCATACACGGTCTTCATATTATTAGGTCGAAAGCATGCTCTCATGCTGCTGTCTGCACCGTCAGCTGCCACAAGGAGATCACAGTCTTGTGTTGTGCCATCTGAGATCGTGATTCGAATCTTTCCATCCGGGAGAGATTCGGCTGATGTACATGCCAATCCCCAATGTAAGGTTGTCTTTGTCTCCTCAGCCGTTTGTATGAGAATGCGTTTCAGATTGCCGCGTGTGATCCTTACGGTTGCTGCAGGCAGGTCACCGTATGGACTTGGGTTGATGGACGAAAGCCACTTCCAATTGTCGGACCAGACACGAATGTCGCCGCTGTTGAGTGTTCCATGCTTACACACCTCATCCAATAAGCCTAAATCTCGGATGGCGACCAGGCCGCCGTCTTGGCTGAATCCGTTAATGTTTAGCGTGTATGGGTCTTTTTCAATGGACTTGTCGCGATCATCGCGCTCATACATGATGATCTCGGGATGTTTGAGGGAAGGGTTCCATAGTTTGTTCAACGCAAGAATGAAAGAGAGTGCTGCAAAACTCCCGCCGGCGATGATTATGCGCTTTCCAGCGAGGAACTGGCCTGGCTGTGTCGACATATTAAAAAGACGGCAACGTGTTTACCACGTAAAGGATGTACTGCAAGGTTCGAGTATATAGTAATCACACGACTGAAGTAAAATGCTTCTTGGTGAAAGTATTTATTGTCAAGAACATAATTTATCACTATCACTCAAGTCGGATGGTCGGAGTATCAGGATGCGGAGCATCAATAACCATCCGTCTAGGCTAATTGAAATGGCTCTTCTCAAAATGCCAATTATCATTCTGTTCACAAGAAGAAGAGGAATTAAGCATCTCAATATAGCTTTGGCGGCAATGGGTTCCTATAATTATTTCTTTATCTCTAAGGTTAGCCAAATAGGGATTTGAATGTGGGGAGCACCTCAGACACGTTTTCTATTTCACAAGCATTTAGGCACCGTTAAAGCTATCTGTGATATTTATTGGAGATATGCTTTCGAACTAAGCTGCAGAATTTCTGAAGCTACTGAGTCAATTTACCATAGAGGTAGTCGTTTGTTGATATCTTCAATCATCGTTTGTCCAAATTTACCGCTTGATATCACGCATAAATTCCCTTAGGCGTATGAAAGCATTATCAAGCGATTTCACAAATCCTAGGCATCGTGCAACAGCATTTGAATAATCATCAAACGGCCACACCTCCTTACCCAAACGCCTCGCACAGTAACGGATTGTTCTCTTGCGATGATGACTTCCATGGTCTAACATTAGACTAGAAGATCCTCAAATGACAGTTTAGAACTCTTGTTCTTATATTAGAAAAATACCGAGCATGAAGCAAGCCATCTATATTTTTCGTGTCTCACGGTTATTCGGCTTTGCGACGGACTTCTGTCTTAAAGCCGCGTCGTTCTCAACCCTAAATTAATCCCATAACAGAAAGCCAATGCATATTAAATCAAGACAAGCATAGTGTTAGTAAAGCCAACAAATAATCAAACCTAAAATTATTTTGCGTTAGCTGATTGATATGGACTGGGTAAACTAGATCGACTGACTTTGTATATCGGTCCTATGCCGAAAAGCCGATGACTTTTTACTTTTTGATATGAGATTTTCAATTAAGCGCTGTTCCGTGCAGACAATAATTTTTTGGGTGCTAGCCCAATTGTTCTGTTTATGACTTACTGTGACCAATTTTAGGGTATAAAATGCATCAATCATCCGATGGTTGATTGACTGGAGGTTCAATGAGTCTTTTCAAACTCAAAAGAAAGAAACAGAAAAAGAGCGACAGTAGCAGTCTCTCCGCTACCAATATCGAACCTACTATTGAGCAAAATACTTCGACTACGGTGCAAGACAACCTTCACCATCGAATTATGACGACTCTTCCAAAGATGGAATACGCCCGGTGAGTGCTGATGCCCTCTTTACACGACCGAGACTTGTAAGAACTTCAAGTCATTGCTAATGCCACCAACATCAGACTTGGCAACTCAGGCTTGAAAGTTTCGAAAGTCATCCTCGGATGCATGGGCTTTGGCTCTCCGGAGTGGGCAGGCTGGGTCATGGACGAAGAAAAGTCTCTTCCTCTCATCTACCATGCTTACCAACATGGTATCAATACTTGGGACACGGTTTGTTGACCCACTCAACATTCTCCTCTTTTACAAAGATCCTAACTTTGGATAACCAGGCCGACTGCTACTCCAACGGCGTCTCGGAAATCATCGTCGGAAAAGCGTTGAAGAAATACAACATTCCCCGGCAACGAGTCGTGATCAAGACCAAGCTATACACAGGTGTCGATGACGAGGGTGGCCAGACTCCGATACACCTGGCACAGAACAACGATGGTCCTTGGGTAAACCGCGTGGGTTTGTCACGCAAGAAGATCATGGACGCTGTTGATGAGAGCGTAAAGCGGCTTGGTACATATATCGATGTCTTGTACATCCATCGCCTTGATCGACAGACACCGAGAGAAGAGATCATGCGGGCTTTGAATGATGTTGTGGAGAGTGGGAAAGTGAGGTATATCGGCGCTAGCTCGGTACATTTGACCCTCATAGTCCTTTCGGACCGCTCTTTGTCTAACGTGCACAGATGCGAGCATGGGAATTCCAGGCCCTGCAAAACGTCGCTATCCGAAACAACTGGCATAAATTTATCGTCATGCAAAGCTACTACAGTCTCATTGGCCGTGAGGAAGAGCGTGAGATGATTTCTTACTGCAAGGATGCAGGTATTGGCTTGGTGCCTTGGTCTCCCCTGGCAAGAGGTGTGCTTGCACGTCCCTGGACAACGCGCGACTCCAATCGCGAAACTACCGATCTCGCAATGAAAGCACTCGTTCGCATGCGCGAAAGCGAGGCCGACAAGGCTATTGTAGACCGAGTGGAGAGGATTGCAAACGCCAAGGGTGTTTCTATGGCTCAGGTTGCGATTGCATGGCTTCTACATCATGGCACGTTTCCGGCTTTGGGGCTTAATTCGCCAGAGCGTATTGATGAGGCTGTCGGTGCTTTGCAGGTGAAGTTGACGGAGGAAGAAATCAAGGAACTCGAAGAACCGTATCTTCCCAAAGGTCTCGCTTTGATTGAGATGTAATCTGGTCTGTGTGTCGGGTGACTTTACACAACTGAATCTTAGTCTAGTGATGAAGAATGATCTTTGTAGTCGAGGTGACTATCAAAAATTTATCATATTACCCTTTTATATGTTACATTAAATGAAAAACCCGTTCACACCAAGACCATCCGTCTTTTCTGCCACAAAGGTGGAATATCCCATGTAATTTGCATATCCTTCGACTTTGACCCTTACGCAGGTGTTCTTCCGAGAGCCGTCCGCTTCGCCTTCATTCTTCACCTCTTCAAAAGCTGAACCGATGAATCCTTTGAGCCCTGTGCCCGACGCTGTGAAAATAGAATCAAACTTCCGCTGCTCCCCGATCAACAGATCTCCCTTGGCATAAGCAAGGCTGATTCGCGCAGCTACGGAGCCACCAGTTGGAGACCGATCTATCTGCTGGTTCGCAAAGAAGCAAAGTCCTATTTCAGAATCTGACAGAACATTCTCACGCTTCGTATCATCGACAATAAGAACCGAGTATAAAACGCCCTGTTCGGCGGTTTGTACGTGGCGAGTAAGATATGACAGGTCTGAGTTCTCGTTGACTGTCTTTTTGAGGAGCGCTGTTGCGTGGGATAGTTTTTGAATGTGGTCTTCTGAAATGCCTTGAGGGAAGCCGAGCTCGCTTACACTGATAACACAGTAGTAGGCGCCACCGTAACAAAAGTCCGCGGTGATAGATTCGCGGCCCCCCAATTCTGGCCATCGGTTTTCCTTAGGCAAGTAAATTGTCACCGAGATTCCCGTGGCGAACGACGGCACAGATACGAAGGAGACCGGACGAGACGGATCAGACTTTCCCTTTGACAGCGTCGGAACACTTACGTCAACAACTCCACATGGCACATGAAGCTTAATCGCTGTTGTCTGTGTCTCGGTATCATGTTTTAACAACTTCCTCCTCGGAAATATCTGCTCGTCGTCGCAATCAACCAAAAAACGACCTAGGGCAATCGTGGCATGTCCACACATCGTTGAGAACCCTTCATTATGCATAAAGAGCACGCCAAAATCGGCCTCTCCGACCTTGACTAGTTCTGTCTCTGGACGAAGAATTGCACCATACATATCCCGATGGCCGCGGGGCTCCAACATCAAGAACCGACGATATTGGTCAAAGTTTTCCTTCGCCTGCGCTCGTTGTTCCATCAGAGTTCCGGTCAGTTCTGGGAAGCCGGATAGTATTATTCGTGTTGGTTCCCCCGATGTGTGCATCTCTACACAGGAAATGGAAGTGGACACAAGACCATCGAGGCTGAATGGCATCTTGCAGATGGTTATTCGATGCTGTAAAAGTTCGATGGTGCTCGCGTTAATTTTTTTGGCTTCTAAGCTACCTCTTGAGTCCTGCCAGAGGTCTAGATTGCTTTACGGTTGTAAGTGGAAGATACAATTTCAAGCATAATGTCGGAACAATCTCCGAAGGGGTGCCCCATCGTTATCAGCGCGATGAGTCTCCACTCTAGTCACGAGGCTCCCTGAAATTGAAGCTATTTGTAGACAATGGCCTGAGCAAGCCTAAACATTCATTCCATGCAAATAGTACGTTATATGTTCCTTAGATAGTCTGCTGACTTTATGTTAAACGGACTTCGGAAATAAGGGTCAGGGCCAGGCAGTTTGATGCCTGATTTCCAAGGCATGTAAGCCTATCGAACACGCCAATGACGTCAAATCTCTAATCAGCCGAGGCTCGGATCCCTTACTGTTGGCTGGGTGTCGATTGCATCTTCCGGCGCCTGAATCAACACAATATGATTGAAGAAGTGTGTGCAGATTCAATATAGCGAAAATGACAAAAACAGCCTTGTGCATGGATCTTATATACAAAAGCTCCGTTTCCCCGAAAGTTGCGTCCAAACAGAACGAAAGTCAAAATAACCGCGTAACCATACAATACCGGTCCGGAACGTAATATTACGCAGTCCCCTCAGCCGAGGCAACGGCTCTTGCCCGTTGCAGTTCACCCCGGTTAACTCCAGAATTCCCTCCCGCTGGCCTTTTCCACAACCAGCTACATATAGCCAATACCAGTGGGAGATATTACTGAGAGACGCTCTTGCTTGTGATTTATTCCTGGTGTCGTCCTTTAGCCATTTATTCCCTGTTTAATACCCTTTCGCGCCGTGTTCCTGTTCAGTCGATGGGATGTTTTTGACTTCCGCTCGAAGTCGTCTTCTCTCACCCTCCCTCGGACGTGCTCCCGCTCTACGACTAACTAACAGGACTATTCCCGTATGTCTCTGTTCTTTCTAAGCAATTCATTTGTACTAATATTTTCTTCTAGTCACTAGCCATGGCTCCTCAACGGCGAAAGCAGTCTTCGGTTCCGGAAGGTATGTCAACCCGCTCGAGTTGCTGGCGCATGCGACTGACTTCAAACAGGCTACGTGGAGGACCTCTCCAAAGGCAGAACACTTCGATTCGAAGCCTCCCTCCCTAAACTCCCCGTGCCAACACTCGAAGAAACCGCAAAGCGCTACCTGAAATCCGTGCACCCTCTGCTGTCGACCCCCGAATACGAGCGCACAACCAAGGCCGTGCAAGAGTTCATCAAGCCCGGCGGCCAAGGAGAGACACTTCAAAAGAGACTCATTGCTCGCCGTGACGACCCCAAGATCGATAACTGGCTTATCGAATGGTGGAATTTCGGCGCCTATCTAGGCTACAGAGACCCCGTTGTTCCTTATGTTTCTTATTTTTACTCCTACAAGGATGACCGTAAACGTCGCGGCAACCCCGCCGCCCGTGCTGCAACTGTTACTCTGTCCGCCCTTGAGTTCAAGCGCCAGGTCGATGATGGATCATTGGAGCCCGAGTACTTGCGAAAAATCCCCATGGCGATGAGCTCATATCAGTACATGTTCAACTGCTCACGTATCCCTGCTCAGCCCGCCGACTATCCCCAGAAATTCTCACCAGAAGAGAACCAACACTTTACGGTTGTCCGCAAAAACCAATTCTTCAAAGTTCCCTACGTTGTCAATGGACAAAAGCTCACTAGTGGTGAATTGCAGAAGCAATTCGAGGTGATCTACGAGCGTGCTGAGCACCCCGTCACTCCTGTCGGTGTCTTGACTGCTGCAAACCGTGACCACTGGACTGCTACTCGAGCAAAATTGCTCGAGGTTAGTCCCGCTAATGCCAAGGCACTCAAGGATATTGAGTCCTCTGCTTTCTTGGTCTGTTTAGATGATGCTGCTCCTGTGACCCTTGAAGAGCGAGCACATCAATACTGGCACGGTGATGGATGCAACCGTTGGTACGACAAGCCTCTTCAGTTCATCATCAACGATAACGGTACTGCTGGTTTCATGGGCGAACACAGTATGATGGACGGTACACCAACACAACGTCTCAACGATTACGTGAACAGTCTTATCTTTGGCAACAAGCTTGAATATGACAACACACCAGTCCGATCTACCCTCCCCCCGCCAGCTCCTATCAACTTTGAGCTTAACGTCGAAGTCGAGAAGGCTATCAACGAAGCTCACCAAGAGCACAAATCGCTCATTGCTGCTCATGAGTTGCGCGTCCAAGCGTTCCTGGCCTACGGTAAAGGATTGATCAAGAAGTTCAAATGCAGTCCCGACGCGTATATTCAGATGGTCATTCAGCTTGCCTACTACAAGATGTATGGTATCAACCGACCCACCTATGAATCGGCAACGACCCGCAAGTTCAAAGAAGGTCGAACCGAGGTCATCCGCACTGTGTCCGACGAGAGCACTGCTTTTTGCCGTGCCCACCAAGACCCCAACGTTCCTCGCGAGGAAGTCGTCAAACTGTTCCGCGAGGCTCTCAAAGCGCATACCAAATATACTATGGATKCCAGCGACGGCAAAGGCGTTGACCGCCACTTGTTGGGCTTGAAAAAATTGGTGCAGGAAGGCGAGAAGTTGCCTGAAATTTTCGATGATCCTACCTATGGATACAGCAGTTCTTGGTACCTATCGACCTCTCAGCTCAGTTCCGAGTACTTTAATGGATACGGATGGAGCCAAGTCATCGACGACGGATTCGGTATTGCCTATATGATCAATGAAGACAGGTTAGTCTCTACCCTTATGTGTTAACATGATAATATTACTAATTCGATTCTCAGTCTGCAATTCAACATCGTCTCCAAGAGACTCGGCTGTGAGCGCATGAGCTTCTACCTCAACGAAGCTGCCCTTGAGCTCCGCGACGTGTTGATGCCCGATTTGTTGGCCGAGAAGGAGAAGGCCAAGTTGTAAACTGTATATATTTTTTTCTCTAGACATTTTGTTGTCGTCGTCATATAGACGGATTAAATAAATAGATTTGTATAAATGTTGTATCTTGATTCGTGTAGTATTGTACCCCGGATCAACGGAATTATTTTGATCAACACATGTGGGTACACTAGCTCAGTACGGCTAATGGTACGTATCATTTTCACATGCCAAACGTACCCCTTACATATTGTGGGGTCTTCCGTGAGTCGAAAATGTTCTGTTCATCATGAAGTTCTCCTAGTGTCACCAAGGAACATCAGCCTTGCCATACAAGGGGCTACCTAGGTAGTAAGCATCAGGCGAGACTTGGCCGCAACATAAAACATCAAAAAATAGCTTTGGACCAAACCCAAAAGAAAATCCTCGAGCTGTTGGATGGCTTCGACGACGTTTGAGAATATCGCAATCCATCTGGAGCCGACTAGAAAAATATATTGGGATCTAGATAGACACCACGAGTGTGCCCCATCTTCTTCCAGATGTCCATCCCACTCTGGCGTAGCGCATGGGTACTCAAAGACGACAAAGGGGTTCCCCCGATGAAACTCAGTCCTTCCTGGAAGATGTGATTGGCTTTATCTTTTCATTCTAACGCAGTCTTGCTAGATAAATTTCCAGAGACCGCAGTCACCGTGATCAGTACTGACGGTCTTCAGTGCATTTCCTGACTCCATGTAAAGATAATTGCCATCAGAGGCCTTGATATGTCGAAACCTCATTCATGTACTCCAGTAGTAACACCGACCTAGGAGTAGCAGGAGGGCCCAAGGAACGAGAGGAAACAAATATCGACTTGGAAAAGAAAACGGTACAGATTAAGAGATATAGACGAACCCTTCGTTCTTTTTGGTGCCTATCGTCCACTGACAACCTGCGAGTGGAGGAACGGCTGTGAAAGTAGGAGTCGCTGTTGTCGGCTACGGAACTAAACCATTAAACTGAAGAAGTTTCCCGGAAACTAGCGTAAGCCAATCTGTATCTTGGAACATGGTACTATTTGGCTCCGACTCCAGTCCAGATTCTCGCATGTATAGGTGATTCCTAGATCAAACTTGTCACAACATGATGTCTTTGGTATTTATTCACTATAAGATAGCTTTCTTCGCTTTTCACCATGATCAAAGCTCACAAAAAGAAGATATGAGTAATAAATGGGCTAAAGATAAAGATTTTATCTATTAGTTGCGAATTTGAGCTATGACTCTAACTTGTAAATTTAGGATTAGACAAATTCACCATGTTCCTTCACGTTTTATATGCCTCAGAATTAGGTCAAGTTTGAGTAGTTCCTCCAATTGACGTGCACATAATTTTTTTCTCCTATAGTCTGATTGTCCTACACTATCTAGAGATTAATAAACCAATTTGTACTTCTGGTAAGCGAGTTTGCAGCGCGAGGCTGCGTCAGCTATGTATGACTTATCAAAATCCCTGCCTGCATGGAACCAATAGCTTTTTTTGATTAGAGCTGAATTATAGAATCAGTACTCTTATTTCACAATTTCTCTCTAGGCTGCAGCGTGACATAGTGTAACACCTATGCTACTCATGGATACAATATCCAATCCATTACGTGTCAGACCTACACTGGACTACCACAGCCCCATGGCTGAGGAGTTCGAACAAATCCTTGCCGTTAGAATCGTATTTTCTTTGATGCGAACTGCGGTTCCTTTCTGTCAACAGCCCATATGCGGTTCGGGCAAAGATTGAATGTTAACTATGAGGCGGTTTTCTATATTTTAGAGTTGAGATTAGTACCCATGTTGAATTGAACATCATCCATATCAATCTGTCGTTGTAATGCGTATTGGAATCTTTAGCGGTATATATTGATGTATCAGATTATGTATATGAATTTTATGTCAATCTTGATGAGTGCTCCGCCTAAATGGTCCGATTTTCAAAGCAGTCACTTTCCTTCACCTCAGTCCTCAACAACGTCCTGATCCTTCTGTAAAGTAACAACGAATATATCATCACCATCACGATGAATAGACTCAAAGGGCACGGCCTCCCCAGCCAACATCTTTTCGATGTCCTCCTCTTCCTCCACTGCGTAGGTTGCTCCCTTCACATAGGGCTCAAAGTTCAATCCCGAAGACATAAACCGCTTCGATATCCGCATCACCTGAATCGCCCACACAAAGTCTGAGCAGCCGCTAAATGTCATCTTCTGTGTGCCTGTTCTACTAATCCCGCCGGATATATCAACGTCGACTATACCAGGTACAGATCTAAGATAGAAAAACAAAACGAAAGGTCAGTAATTATATACAATCAGTATATCATTACTTCGGATGAGAGAGGAAAGACGAAAAAATAAACCATTACACATACACCTGCGGCCCCAACTCCACCCCCCATCCCTTCTCTTCCACCATCCCATTCTTTTCATCCCCTTTAATACCCCTCGCAATCGCCAGACCTGTAATCATAAACATGGACCAAGTCCCGGTCAAACTTTTCTTCCGTTTTCTCTCAATCCAAGCCTTCACACACTCGATCTCTAGACTATCCTGGATATACTCCTCATCAGGCTGAATAATCTCCACATCCACAGCGTCGAAACACCAGAACCGCGCTGTAGATTTCTTGAATGCAATACTCAACCCGCCGCCAGCACTGACGAGTCCCATCGCCTGAGGGATGGGGAGCTGTGCAGTTGCTGACGCGGAGACACTAGATTTAGTCGCGGACTGCCAACGGAGGTCTGTGAGGCGGGAAGGGTAGATGGGCATGTATGCGGGCAGAGGGAGAGGGCCCGAGGCGGTGTTTATTGGGGGCGGTAGAGGAACGAGTGATGAGAGGAGGTGGCCTAGCTGGATTGGACCCTTTTGGGTTGGGGTCGATGGAGGGTAATGGTTTTGAGCAAGGGTAAACCAGCATTTTTCCATTTTGGCGCAGGATAAGTGTGGTCATTAAATTGAGATTATATCAGAGATCATCTGGAGTATGATCAACAGGAGTATTGGTGGGTGTCATTCTTTTCGCTGCTTGTTTGGTCGACCATGGGGGTGACGGAAGGGGATAGGGCCTGTGGTAGTTAAGTAGTACGTCCGAGTAACATGTTATTCGAATAAGGCTTTGGTGTTTGTAAGCTGAAACTTGTTAGAGCCCGTGTTTTGGGGAATCTGGTAGATGACTTAACGATGGTTGGCTGTCTAATTATACCCTAGTCAGTATAGTGCAAAGAGTTACCTTATAATAGATTGGCTGGCTGGGTCACCGACCGCAGCGCCAGGGATGGAGGCTTGCATTAGTGCTGTCGTACACTGCCTTCATCCGCGTTCTTTCCCGTTATTGGAGAGTGTCTTACGCTATATTCGGGCCAGGGTTTCCTTCATTGATGAGGAGGCTCGTGTTGGGCAGACTTGGTCTGCCATATGATCCGAACAACTAACCACCGACCTCTTGGATGATTGGATCCTCTCCCATTGCGGACTCGCACATCAACAACACTTACTTAGAATACCTACAAGAACGTCGCTTTCTCTCATCATGGGGTATCCTCCGGTATTCACAGCCGCCAAAACAGGTGACTTGCCAACCCTGCAGAGATTGCTTGATGACGGGGAAACTCCAAATATAACCACCTCCGATGGATGGACACCTTTACACGCTGCATCATACTTCGGAAAAACGAATGTTTTGCCTATACTTCTCGCCCGAGGCGCAAACCTTGAGGCGGAACTCCCTTTCGGATCTCGTCCTCTCCACAAGGCTTGTGAGACCGGGCATATCGATATAATAACACTATTACTTGAATATGGTGCTAAAATTGAGGCCCAAACAAGAACTCATCAAACACCGTTATATATTGCAGCGTATTGTGGCCAACTGGAAGCTGTACGGCTCCTGCTCGATAAAGGGGCGGATCCAAAGGCGTGCACTAAGGATAGATGGACACCTTTACACGCTGCATCATATTACGGAAAAACAAATGTTTTGCCTATACTTCTCGCCCGAGGCGCAGACCTCGAGGCGGAACTCTCCTCTGGATTCCGTCCTCTCCACAAGGCTTGCGAGGCCGGGCATATAGACATAATAAAATTATTGCTTGAATATGGTGCTAAAATTGAGTCCCAAACAAAAACTAATTTAACACCATTATATATTGCGGCAATGTGTGGCCATCCGAAAGCTGTACAGTTCCTGCTCGATAAAGGGGCGAATCTAAAGGCACGCACTAAGGATGGATGGACGCCTTTGCATGCTGCATCATATTATGGGCACACGAGTGTTTTGCCTATACTTCTCACCCAAGGCGCAGATATCGAGGCGGAACTCCCTTTTGGATCCCACCCTCTCCACAAGGCTTGTGAGCGCGGGTATATTGAAATAATAAGGCTTTTACTTGAACACGGAGCTGTGATTGAGGCCCAAGCGAAAAATCACCAAACACCGTTATATACTGCAGCATTTTATGGTCATCCGAAAGCTGTACGGTTCCTGCTCGATAAAGGGGCGGATCTAGAGGCGCGCCATGTGGATGGGTGTACGCCTCTTTACGCTGCTTCACGTGAAAATCATCCAGAGGTGGCACAGCTACTGCTCGAAAAAGGTGCAGACTCTGAGGCCAGCTCTAACACAGGCTATACCCCATTACATGTAGCGGCGGAAAAAGGGTACGAAAAACTGGCGAGGCTCTTGGTTGAGAAGGGCCGGATGAGAGATCTGGACAAAATGACAAAATCTGGAGACACGGCACTACACTTGGCTGCGCGGAATGATCACGCAGAGATAGTGCGGTATCTTCTTGCTCATGGAGCCGACTGTGACATTCCAAATAAGAACGGCTGGGGGCCGCTGCACACCGCAGCTTACAAGGGTCATTCAAGTATCGTTGCGGTGCTCCTGACAGCGTCACAAGGTGACTTGGAATCTCAAATCAGGATGGATGGTTATCGGCCTGTGCATAAGGCTGCTGAGGCCGGTCATGTTGATATCCTTCTCGCTTTGCTCAACGCTGGGGCCAAGATCAACTCAAGAACTACTCTTGGGTTAACACCGCTCCATGTTGCTGTCAAATTTGGCAAGGTGGCAACCGCGAAGGAGTTACTGGAGCATAGAGCCGATGTCCACTCTCAGACTTACGAGGTCGATGGACTCCGGACACCATTACACTTCGCTGTTCAGAATGGGGACCAGCGGATTGTCAGTCTACTCTTAACTTACGGGGCTAATAGCCGGCGTTTGGACAAGGAAGGAACGTCGCCTCTGGCATATGCTGAAGAGTTGAAGGACGAAAAGATGCTTGCCTTATTCAATACCACGGTCGAAACTACGGTCGCGGGCAATGGAGAGGATTTCATTCTCAGCGTTCGCGGTAAAACCATGACAGAGTAGGTGACCATTGCTTCGAAAGTTTCAATTGTGGTTTCGGTGGCTAATATAGAATTACTTTAGGACTTCTTCTACCTCATCGAAGGCCTGGTTTGACAAACTAGATGAGCTACGCAGCGTCCTTCTCCGGCCTCGTGGTACTGTCCACAAGCCTGTACAGTTCGCTGTTTTAGACAGCGGAGTTGAACCTGCCCATCCGAACAAGATGATGATCCACGGCTATCGGGACTTCGTTGATGATTCGGAGGAGTGGAAGGACAACAGCGGACATGGCTCAACCGGAGTGGACCTCATCTGTAAAGTTGTAAAGATGCCAAAGATCTACGTTGCTCGAGTGTTTGAGACTTCGTCTGGCAGCGCGGAAGTTCAAGATCGCATTGCAGAGGTATCTAATCTCCACCAACATTCTCATCGAGACAGGAACTGATCACCCAAACAGGCAATTAAACACGCTCGTACGGAGTGGAAGGTGAACATCATCATCCTAGCATCGGGCTTCAATCGCCCACACGAAAACATGGAGAAAGAAATCCTCGCAGCTTGCGCCGAGGGAATCCTCATTTTCGCAGCCGCCAGCAACAGCGGAAACTCCGATTTCATCACCTTTCCTGCAAATATCCCTGAAGTCATCTGCATGTTTGCGACCGACGCAAACGCAAAGGCCATCACTAGTGGCATCAACCCGTCTCCCAGCCTAAGAGGTAGGCCGAACTTTGCGATTCTTGGACACGATGTAGAATCGCGACCCCGTACAAAGCCACACACTGGAACGTCCATGTCGACGTTCATAGGCGCGGGTATTGCGGGTCTAATTCTGGAATTCTCGCGCCAGAGTATTGTCAGCGATATCATTGGAACAGATTGGAAGCGGTATCTTCAGACTGTCCGTGGGATGTCGGCTATATTTGAACTCATGGCTGAAGGTGGTCATGAGGGTTATCACTGTATAACGCCGTGGAAGATTCGCCCCATTTTCCAAAAGTCCCGGGAGCTTGAGAGGGAGTTCATTGCAAATGCTATCAAACACGCGTTGGAACGCTGCATCAGGGGGTCATAGCTCGTATTTTTCTCTTGTATATAGCCACCCCTTGTTACAATTAAGACTTAGGTTGCCTGCGCGAAAACCGATCAACACAACAGTCATACTATAGCCTCAAAAGGGAGCACCTAGCCTAAAGCTATCAGCGCTAAGGCAGCTATAATTGACTAAGGAGAGAGGTACACATTCCTATCGGTCCCCATCTTCTACCACATTGTCCACCCAGTAGAGCGGGGGCTTTGGGGAGAAAGGGGCGTCCCCCAATGAAGCTCAACCCTTCTTAAAATTTACACTGCACAATACCTTCCGCGACTCGCCATCCTCCACGCAGTCCTCATCAACAGTAGCATTAATCAGCCCTGTACCTGAATCAACCAACCGTGATTCCATGAGTATAAATCGACATACCGTCATCTTGAAGAAATATCATCGGAAGAGGAATGGCCCTTACACAAGGATATGCTAGGCTTTGGTTATGAACCTTAATAAAATCATATCAAGTTTAATTTTCCCATTTCCACTATGTATGGCCTACTTAGCAACTTTAAAAACAGAACGACATGCTCAAAGCCTTTTCGTGGATCGACAGGTCGACCGATTCAAAACGGAGCTGCTGCGATCGGGTCATAGTCATGTATGTAGTAATAAGGCACACGGAGATATTGGAGATAGACATCTTTGAGGGGGGGGGAGAGCTGGGCTGTTTCTTCGGACCCTAAGGGTTAGTAGCCGCATGCAGCCACTTTGTTACAACAGTCACATGATACCCCGCATTAAGGACCGGCATCCATATCCGTCATCAAGCAAACAGTTAACGTTTCTTTTCTTTGATTGTTTTATTATTTCCGTACTCTGTGACTATTTTTTGACATAAACTCCTCACGGCATCCTGCACAGGTAGTCTCAGATGGCTCCAGACCTCAACTCTCTCCCGCCCTCCAGGTCTTCCACTTCTTCCCCGCTCCATGCACGCAACAACTGGCCATCAACAGCTGAAGCTCACAACTCCTCTTCACGATCGTCAAGTGTTGCACCTTCAGCCACAGCAACCATGAATCCAAACCTCAATCCAGCCTCTTCAGGGTCAAATGACTTGTCCCACCGCTCGTCTCTTAGTGGACATCGCAGCTCGCCTCAGAGCACCAGACCTTCTATCTCGGAGGGTCGTCGACGCTCGCACTTGAACTTGAATGACTCGCCGTCTGCTCTTGCTAGTGCAGTTAATGCAGCTGGTGGAGGCATAGAGCATTACGAACATCGCTCGCCTTCGTTCAGCAACTACTTTCGTACCGCCAGCCCATCGAGTTTGGGTGGCAGTCCGATCATTGCAACTGGGGACCCGCACCATCAGCGTGCCCCGTCTTTGGGAGAGTTGCATCAGGAACTCGAGCAAGAGCAAGAAGCACAAGTTGTATGCCACTCACTTCAGTTTTCCCCTTGTTGAGAGATACATAGCTGATTTGGGTCTGTAGAACCGCCTCCTCCAAATGATCCGCCAACAACAACTCCAACTCCACCAACTCCAGCTCCAGCAACAGCAAGGAGGCCAGCAGCCCTCCTCCGCTATCATCGACGACAATCACAATAACAACAACAACAGCAATCTCACCCCCAGCTCCGAGCGCTCTCATCATCAATTTCCGACCCTCCCTCCCCTCCCGACTCCAGGTATCTCTCGCTCATCCACGGTCCATTCACACTCCCACTCCCCTTTCTCAACTCGTCGAGGATCCCGCGGCTCCGAAACTGCTGCACCTGCTTATCTGCAATCTTTCTCTGCTGCTGCTACGCCTGGAGAGTCGGTGTTCGATTTGAACGATTTGGTTGATCGAGATAGACAGCACGACACCTCTGTTGCACCAGCTCGTCGCAGTAGTCTGGATGATAGCGCTTATTATCAGGCGCAGGTCGACAGCCTCAATCGCGACAATAGGATGTTGAGGGCGAGGATTAGAGTGCTTGAGAGGCAGATCGCGGAGTTGCATTCTTCTGCTGCCGCTGCTGGAGGTGGAGGTGGTGCTGCGGCGGATACTGAGACTGCTACTGCTGCTGTGACAGGCGATGGAGCTACTCATGACGAACCTGCGGCGGAGAAGAACGTTTCGGGCTGAGGCTCAATGAGTAAAATGGATGAAGCGAACGAAAGGATTACAATTGGATATCTCCCTAGGAGCTAGCTATAATGGCTAGACATAAAAGTCAACTCGACACATGCACATATTCTCCCAAGAATATGATTAAACGAGTAAGTTGCTCATTCCTTGCTAGATTACTACCGCCTTTACTGACATTTTATTGACAAAGTCACAGACATGATGATACAAGCGCTTACATAACTTAGAATGCATCCTAACCAATTAATACAATTACCTTAAGAAGGAACACCTTCATACTCCCAACCCTGGCTAACCCTCTTCCGCCTTGAAATCCTCCGATTAGAATTACACTTGACAAAAAGCGTCGACGCCGTAATCACCAGAATGATAATCGCAGCAATGGTCGGGACGAGAATTATCCTTCTGGCGACGCTATCTGAGTCGCCGACGTAAAGACAAGTCGCATTCGCGCCGCCCATCACCCAGCAGTATTGAACATCGATTGAGTTCAAATTTATCCAGACGGGTTCGTCAACCGTAGTAGTGGTGGTGTTGCTGGTTGATAGGATTGTGTTGTAGAGAAATGTGTTTTCCAGACCGGTACGCGGTACGTCAAAGACAGAACCGGTGGAGCAGACGTTGGAAGAGTCGGAGAAGGATTGTTTGTTGTCGGAGATAATCCATGTATACGGGTTGTTGTCGACGCGGCATGCAGCGCGATACGCATTTGAGCAGTTTCCGGCTCGCCAATGTCCGTTGGAGGTGGGATCTAGCATTGCGCAGCGGAGGACATCGCTGTTGACTGGAATCTGTTCGTAGCCGGGTAGGCTGCTCGCGTTCCGAGGCTCGCCCATTGCCCACGACCACATTGAAGAGATGGACATGTTGCGATAGGGATCGACTTCGATGTTTGCTGTTTGGCCGCCTAATGTTTGGTTGATAATAGGTGATATGCCGCAGCCTGTGTAATTTTGCAATAGAAGCGCGGCAGAGGACGATGTATTTGCAGTTGTTCCATCAAGAGTAGACAGCGCCCAGGAATTGTTCATATTCTTGAGACTTGTCGTCTGCGAGCTATAGAAGCAGCCAGACTGCAATCCATTACCATCAGACGTAGTGGACACACCGATAACATCTTCTATGTAATCTGCCGGGAAAATATATGGATCATCGCCAGATGCATTGTACCCTTGCAGTTGAGGATCAATACTGCCCCGTCCTAGTATAAAACGCTTTGCAAGCTTGTTGATCAAATAAGCCTGACAAGGCCATCCATCCGGTGTGCTAAGGATATTATCGGCATTGGTAGTCGTGGTGAAGTACTTCTGTAACACCGTTGTCCTCGAGCTGGTCCCGTGGTACCAGGAACCATTGAGATTGCTGCGCTCTTCTGCAAGTTCTGGCGGGGTATATATCAATCCATAGAGGGCGTTATTTGCGATGTTCCCTAGAAGATGCGATGTCGGAGGAAGTTCTACACCTGACAGCACAGAAGCAGGTTGATCTGGATTGCTGGAGTCCGCCGCTGCATGTACGTTGAACACGACAAATAGAAGCGTAGAGTCTATATCCGCGCTGCTAGACTGTATATAGCTGCGCAAGACATCCATGATGGTCGTCAAATCAAATGAGCCGGAACAGGTATAATTCCCAAGCTTGTACGGTGACTCGTCGTCAAGCGTCGTCGTGGAGGGAATCGATATCGGACAGAGCAGCCATTGCTGATTGGAATTAGACCAGTAGACATCGATGATGAATCGGCGATATCCAATGGTCAAAAGATCCGACAGACACAAAGATCCGCCGTCTCCGAGGTATTGGTTGTCACCAAAGCATGCTGCGGTCAGTGCGATGGAAGGCTGCGTCACGTAGTTGATCGGGACTTGCGACGAGACATCTCGTTGACTCTGTAGATGACGATTAGTTTTTCAAGTTGCAATCCTAGGTGCATAGCATACCAGCAAATCAACCCAGAATGTGCTGTTGAGCAGAGAAAAGTCCGACGTATAGCTGCCAGACATGAGAGCTTGTACTATGAACGCGAAGCTAGGGTATTCAAGGTTCGCCGCGTGAGATCATCTCACGAGAGCGGGCGCTTGGACGCGCGTCATACAATAACGATTGGTGTTAGTAGTGGAGTTAAATAGAAAGAAATTCTCCATTCTACCATGAACGGCAGGAAGAGCTATGGAGAGATACTAAGAAGGAATTTGTGACGGAGGTGGGATCGCATGTCATCACGTCGCGCTTTACCCGTTTTGTCGATGTGTCTGATAATCTGGCCTCTTCGGGCCAAATAATTTGTGGCATCTTCAACTATTACACTCACGAACAGCACCTCGCCAAATCTTGGATCTCTAAGGGATCGCCGACATAACCGATCGCACAATCCCAGTTTCCAAACGACAGCACAGCTGATACTACAAAATGAACGCTCCGCCCGGGATGTCGCCGCAGCAGATGGCGGCATTTCAGCAACACATGCAACAACAAGTTGCCGCTGAAGCAGCCAAACGAGGAATGACACCGGAAGCTTTTGTCAAAATGCAGCGAGAACAAGTCGCTGCCGAGGCAGCCAAACATGGGTTGACTCCAGAACAATATGTCCAGGGATTAAGGATGCGGGCACTACAACAGCGCGCCGCCGCTCAACAAGCCGCACAGGCGCAAGCACAGCAGCAAGGCCAGCCAGGGCAACCAGCACAGCCAGGACAACCACAACAGCAGCCTTCACAGGGAGCACCTGGACAGCCACCACAAGTACCGGTTCAGCAACAGGTTCAGAAGCAGGTCAATGTCAACCCCAACAACCCCCCAGACCCAAAAGCCGTCGCATTGGCAAAATGGTTGCGGACGCAGGATCTAAAGACACGCACATGTATCTTGGATGGGCAACGAAAGGATATGTTTAAAGGTATCATCAATTGCTTCTGCTTCTCACGAGTACATGACTGACGGAAGTGCGATCTAGTGAAACGCGCTATTCGAGCCATTGAATCTCCGGCGTACGCAAAAGCCGCCGCCAAAAGCAAAGGACTCCTACCCCCCGTCACAGACCGCGCATCCGCAGAAAATGTCTTCAAGCTCCTTCCTCTATCACTACTAGCATTGAGAGTTACCAAACAAGATCCACACGCAGGCCACAATCACGGCAAGACCAAGCGAGTAAAGGGACTGTGGACCGTCAAGATCGAGCAACACCAAGAGACAGATCCCATGATGCATTACGTCTTTTTATATGAAGGTTCTCAATGGAAACAAAAGGCGATGGCTGTCGGTGTCGTGCTCGCTATCTTTGCCGTTGTGTTGTTCCCGCTGTGGCCTATTGTGTTGCGTCAGGGCGTCTGGTATCTAAGTGTCGGTATGATGGGCTTGTTGGCAGCATTCTTTGCTATGGCGATCTTTCGGCTTATTCTGTTCTGTGTTACTGTGTTTGTGGTCCCTCCTGGTCTCTGGCTCTTCCCGAACTTGTTCGAGGATGTTGGGTTCTTTGACAGTTTCAAGCCCCTGTGGGGCTGGCAAGAGGTATGTTTTACCATTTACGACACTTCGCTATTCAATGCTAACCACATGTTCTGTCGTCTAGAAGAAAAAGAAGAAAGTCAAATCGGCCAAGAAAGGCAAGTCTGCTGCGGCCGATGCMCCAGCCGCATCTGAGAAAGCCGAAGCTACAACGACAACTGTAACTCCTGCTGTTCCTTCCGCTGCTCCCGCGACTGATGACTCCAAGCGTGTTCTTGCGGCGAGTGTGGAGGATGCTGAAGAAGAGTAGACAATCCTATTCAGTCGATATGTATTTCATCTCGCAAAAGGTGCATGTTGCTTTTCCATAGCAAGGAATATTTCTCGTTTCAACCCAAGTGCGTTTTCATGTATGTCTTGTTTCATCCTTTATGTGTCCTCATTTTGTACAAGCGGTAGGGTATGATTAGGGCGTTGCTTTTTAAGGTTGCAATGCATCATTAAATAACAGGGAATTAAGGTGACAAAAGCCCATAAAATAGCTGAGAGACCTAATACAGGATATTAATACATAGACTTATAGTGTAAGGATCTGACATGGGAACGCAATATGGATTCTGAGGGGAACAAGAGTAGGAAACAAAAAGTCTGCTCATTTCCAGAATGAACTGATGGGCAGGATGGGCTCCTTATAAGCTCCAATCTGCATATTCGTGATCTGTCTGTCGGTATAGCTGTCAATATGACTACCAAAGAATATTCAGCCAATCAACCAGTAGCGCAGGAACCCAACGTCAGGGAGTGAATGTGAATGTATTTCAAAAAGCTAGACAGATCTAGATCCATGAAAAGTACATCATTAGCTACATGGATGGTTACAGCCACCATAGATCTTAACGGAAAGAGGTCAGGGAGAAAACGTACGACATAGGAACTAACAAGGCGTGAGCTGGAGAGAAGAATTATCTACATGGAGAGCAAGCCGATATTTATGCGTGCGGTTCGGTTCGGAACATGCTTCTTTGACGCAGCATGCCTCCAAATTGGTACAAAGAACACTAATCAAACAATCCAACAAAGTAAACAGGAAAAGCCTCCGTGAAGCTATTCTCAGGACGTGAAATTCATAGTGTGAAGGTACTCAAGCCAATGTTCTACTGGGTAGTTGTACGACGAAAAACTTAAGTAGAGGTGTTGAACCAACAGATATAGACGAGTTCTAGGGGAGATAGGCTATCGAATCATTAAGCTCGCTCCTAAATTGCCAGACGCGTAACCAGTTCCGATCCTACCCAATGAAGATCATATAAAACCGAGTATCATAAACTCAATCTAATCTTTAGATCAGTTTGCTACGTAATTAAGGGGAAACGCTTGACATGTGGAGAGCCACTTGTGGGGAGTGTGCCGTTAGGGCTAGATTAAAGCTTTAGAAGCATCATGTTGGTGCACGTGGGCACTAAGAGGGTAAATAAGAGGTGAGATATTAATCGAATTGAATACGAGTGGGTAAACCCAGCTGTTGTTTTTAACTTGTTTAATACGAAGTTCTAGGTGGATTTTCAGTATATATAGGGAAGACACCACCTGCAGAAAATAAAGATGTAAAGATTATCTTGTATTGTCGAGGAAAGGTTTTCCAAATGGCCGTCCTATCCCGTCTACTTCTCCCCACTGCTATCGCAGCACTAGGGTATGTATCTGAATAGCCTTAAAACCCCTACTTAGAACCCTTACTGAGAATGCACAGAGTTTCCGGCTCCCCAGTTAGCCGCTCCTCCTGCGAAAGCATCGAAGATGGCTATACCTGCTTCACCGACGTCTCCCGTAACTGGGGCATGTACTCACCTTACTTCAGCCTGGAATCAGAATCCACAATCTGTTCGGAGGTCCCCTCCGGCTGCGACGTGACCTTTGTGCAGAGTCTAMCCCGCCACGGCGCCCGATACCCAACAGCCAGCAAAAACACGGCCTACGCGAAACTTATTGATGCTATTCAGACCAACGCCACGAAATTGGAGGGTGATTACACGTTCTTGAAGACGTACAACTATTCCTGGCCTGCAGCTACGTTGACACCATTTGGTACAAACGAGTTGTATCAGGCTGGTATCAAGTTCTATGACCGCTACGAGTCCCTTGCACGCGACATTGTCCCGTTTGTGCGAGCATCCAGCTCGGCTCGAGTCGTCGCTTCCGGCGAAGCGTGGAATTCGGGGTTCCAGGCTACTAAGGACGCTGACCGACACGCAGACAAAAGTCAAGCTGCGCCTGTAATAAACGTTGTGCTTGAGGAAGGAGCTACATTCAATAATACTCTGGACCACAGTCGCTGCACGAACTTTGAGAATAGTGATCTCGCAGATGACGTCCAAGCTGGGTTCGCGGCTATCTTCGTCCCGAAGATTTTGACTCGCGTGCAAGCGCATCTGCATGGAGTCACGCTCACATCAACGGATATCATCTATCTAATGGACATGTGCGCTTTCGACACCGTGGCCCGCACGAGTGACGCCAGCGAACTGTCCCCCTTTTGTGATCTGTTTACGGAGTCCGAATGGAAGGAATACAACTACTACCAATCTCTAGGCAAATACTACGGTTACAGTGCCGGGAACCCTCTGGGCCCAGCACAGGGTATTGGTTTCACCAACGAGTTGATTGCGCGTTTGACAGGCATACCGGTGCAGGACGAGACGAGCACGAATCATACACTCGATTCTTCGGCTACCACATTCCCGCTTAATGCGACGTTGTATGCAGACTTTTCGCATGACGATGGTTTGGAACCTATCTTCGCGGCTATGGGGCTGTTCAATGGGACGAGTCCGCTGTCCGAGACGAAAGTTGAGAGTATTGAGCAGACAAATGGGTTTTCGGCGGCTTGGACGGTCCCTTTTGCGGCGAGGATGTATGTTGAGTTGATGACTTGTGAAGGTGAGAAGGAGCCGTTGGTCAGGGTGTTGGTGAATGATAGGGTTATTCCGCTGTATGGGTGTGAGCATGATAGCTTGGGGCGGTGTACTTTGGATGATTTTGTGGATGGGTTGAGTTTTGCGAGGGAAAATGGTAATTGGGCTAGTTGTTTTAACTGAGTGCCCAGGTGAGAAAATGAACATTGAGTTGTGTTGTCAGTTACTACGATTAAACACGTTCAATGATATATAAATATAGTGGAAGAACTTGACTGATATAATGAAAAGTACCTACCTAAGCTAGAGATAACCACAAACAGAGTTAGAACTCAGAAGATACGGAAATTGTCTAATTTGAGTACCTGATATCACGACTTCTTTTGGCTACATAGTCCCCGGGGCTGATTTGATACCCCTCAAACCATTGGGAAGTACGGCTCTGTAGCTATATGTGGTAAAGCACATGCGATCAATTGGCTGTTGAGGTAGATGCCGATATTCTCCCTCATCATATGACTGCTATTCGCGGGGTTGGCTCGGGTTTTGGAGAGGGACCATAGGCGCGAGGTCATTGCAGTTGATGAGTGCATTTCAAACAGACATGGGGTCTCACAGTTTTCCACCTGCTTGATTTCTCCTTGAAGTAGCCTCCAGCGGGACCTTTGGATGTCGTGGTGACGGTAATGGCGACACAGAAAGTAGGCCGTGAGGAGGCCTAGGTCTAAAGACAAGACCAATAAGGATAGTAAACAAGAGCTACTAAACCCGAGTGGAGAAAATACAAAAGCCTCAGAAGCCGAGAGCTCCATAATGCAACCCCATAGACTGACGTATTGTTCCACTTCAATGCGGAGAAAACTATAGGTCTGCGGCTTTTGAAGAGCCCATAAGAAGGACAAGACAGTCCCAAAACCTAAAGCTCTCTATCACCCGCAATATACGGATTGAGTATACAAATGCAAATGGCTGACAAACTCAATAATCACTCCGCGCAACTTCTTGTGCGCCTTCCTCCCGCTGCCGGCTTGGAGAGCTTGCCACCTGTGTACACACTTGCAAATGCGCAGGATGAGCGAGCTAAAACGCTGCTACTTCTCCTCGAGAAGGGCCATGCAACTGTTGCGCCCCTGCGTGAGCCGAAGTTGATTCTTCATAGCCATCTTCCTCATGTACTTTGACCCCCATACTTTCAATGTACTGTCGGTCTATGTGTTAATGGTATATAGCTCCTAGGGTCCGCTTATTTTCTAGGAGCTTCTGCGCAACAGCTAGAAGAGCTTTATGCTCATGAAATCACTACTCTGAAAGAGATCGATGATACTTTTATTACAGGAGATGCGATTCGCAAGGAGAATTGGAGGGAGTTCCTCGGTCAAAAGTCGTATGTGATATCCGCCAGTGCCACCGTTTGCTATAAAAAATGACTGATCATTGGAATAGATATACAGTGGCTTATGTACAGTATTTCGATAAGGAGATCGAACGCAACAACGGAGACTGGAAGAAGGTTCTCAAGGATTATCTTTTTCCTGGACCGGAGCCGCTCATCAATGGCTTCAGCGGTGGTCGTACGTTCCCAAGTTCTCGCATTGCAAGCCACATTATGCTCACTCGATAATTAGTTGGCCACCCGTTTATTCACCTTGCCTATGCATGGGAGCTTCATGCTCCTACAGTCGCCTCCGAGGCGCTGTCTCTGGGTTGCACCGAGATAATTGAAGCTCATGGTATACTAGACAACTATCCTCCGGATACCTCCACCTATAAGACGTCCAGTCTGGGTGACGTTATCAAGAGGGTGCATGACGACAAACGGTTCGACAACCTCTTCGAATATCAGGGAATTACGAACGTAGAGGATCTGATGAGGAACCGTTTCGAAGCTGTGCTGGAGCATTGGAATGCGTGGGAAGTGACTGATCCGCTGGCTCAGTTGGAGAATTGTTGCGACGTTTCAGCTCTACTCGCAATCGCGACTGGGGACAGGGAAAGGAAGTATGACTTTTATCTCATCCACACGATGACTGTTGCGCATGCGCTCCGCGTCTTGTGGGAACTGTTCCCGGAGAACCAGCGAGTCTGCATTCTCAGACAATATGCACTTTTCGTGATCATTAACTACATATGTCAGCTTAAGCCGCAGGTGGACTTTGGTCTGATCGAGCAGATAGAGTCTGTGAAGTTGCAGGAGGCGGACACCTGGGATTCTCTAGTCTCTAAGGCGCTCCAGCATAAGTGGATGAAAGACTCTCATTTCTTCAAGGTCTTCCGGGCGCTAAAAGCGTTCGATGAGACGTATGGATCAAAGATGGGCTTTTATCAGAAAGCATCGGCAAAGTTTCTGACTGAATTTGAAGGATGGGAGGGATTTGGGCAGGGCGTTGAGGGCTTCTTGCCCAGTCGCGACGGATATATCCCAGAGTAAGGTTGACTGCTTTTTTCGTTTCAGAAGTAGCAAGAAACATTTTGTTTTCTTTTTTTCGAGGTCATCGGATGGATCAAACATTGAATCATTCTCGTAGCAAACCCTGGGCATCAATCCATGTGTTGGAAATGCAATAGGATCCAAATCTTGGTGCAAAATGCAAGGATGTTTCAATATATATCATACAATGACAAAATGTTGGACGTTAAAATATCATCAGATGACAAATCTAGATTCACGCAGGTTTGTGGAAGGGCATTGAATCGTTCAAGCGACTGTTGAAGTTGTCTCTGATGCGCATCGCTCATGAGTTCCTGAAGCGAAGAGTAAAGCTCAGTTATCAAGGGATGATAGTATGCCTGTAAAGAGGGATCATGACACGAGCAGATTTGTTCCATCGCGACTGAAAACGCGTACCATGGCACAAACCACCGGTGGTACCACCGGAAGGTGCTTGAATCGTAGCTTTCGTGCAAATCTTTCAGTGCTTGCAGAAAATTTACTGCATATGAGAGTGATATATCGTAATTTTCTAGGCACCGAGAGGAGTGAGAATTATGGTCAAGCTGCATGGGGTTTACGGCAATCAGCTGCAGGTACAAGTATGTCACAAATGTGATCTTTTCCAAGAACAAGTGGACCGAGTGTGAAGGGTCTTTGGTGAGGCTGGATCCGTCCAGGATTGTCTGTGACTCTTTCTGGAAATTAATTGCAATCTGGAGACGAGATTGTGTGTCCGCACCAACTACGCTGGGATGGGTCCCAACGGACAAGTCGAGCGAGCGGAATGCGCGCTGGGCTTCGGCCATCACCATCAAGAACAGGGGATTGGCGAGAGAGGTCGATTCTGGAAACGGCGAATCCTCCTGCTCCTGCTCCAGTGTCAGGAAGTAATCAAGGAAGTTCATTGCTGGAATGGCCTGAGACTTCAGACAATCGGCACGGAGCATCGGCGCCAATCCGCGATCAAAGGACGCTTGAACATCTAGCAAGCATATTGTATGCCATAGACGTGAACGCATTTCGCGTTGCAATGGGGTTACCGGAAATGGGGGTTCGGATTTTTCGAGAAAGAGCGATTGAGAGATTCGGAGCGCCAGACTCAACATGGTCCAAGACTTTCGGCTTCGGTCGTGCGCCTGGAGGGACGCCTGGACGATATGGTTAGCAATCAGGTCACAGTACTGAAGATCTTGCTACAGCACATACAACGAATAGAACAAAGGCTTGCAGTACTGTTAAATCGTCGGTATTGTAATAATCCGTAAGTTTCAGGGCACGCTCGGTCAAATTGTAGTACCTGTCGAGCAGAAGGTCACGCGACAGGCCGATGTCGCGAGAGCATGTTTTATCGCTGAGTGTGGCGATTGACATATAGCCGATTGCGCAGACCAGAGCCCTAGGAGCAGGATGATCTGCAGCATAAGTAAGATACGGTAGTCCCTCGGTGATGTAGTCCCAAAGCGAGGAGCATTGCAGGATGGGCAGGATTGGATCGACTTGGGTCATGTATATTTGCAGTAGTCGTTGATCTAGAGCAGATGGCGCGTCATCAACGCTKCTAGGCGTCGCAATTGACAGGCTTGTATGATCATGTTCCTGACTCCCCAATTCCTACATATATACGTAAATTGCTCAGTGAGGAGAACGAGGAATTGAAAGTGCAGCAGCTCTCTCTTACACTTGACCAGAAAATTTCGTCCATATCTTCGAGCAATGATGCTGTTTTGCTGTCTGAAGTCTCTGTGCGGTTACCCAGCAAGGAGCGTACAAGTCTCTCCAGCATTTCTACCCGGTTGGACAAGTTCGGGGAATGGTGACACGACACCGCCGTCTCCTGCTGTTTGGTGATTTTCTCCTTCTTTGCCGAGCGTCCTCGTGGCAACCGAGCACGCTCAACAGCAACACAGCGAATGTCCGCCTTGCGACATGCCGTACAAGGCCGTAGCTTGTCACATTTGACTTTGCGTCGCTTGCACGTCTCGCAGGTGAGTTGGGCGCGAGGACCAAGGGACGGTTGGCTCATTGCTTCAATTTCAGCTGAGCTGCATACGTTGTAATTGATAATTGATAAGTAACGAAACTAAGGCCCTAGTACATTTGAAAAGATGTTAAATTAAAGACTGCACATTACGGAATGGCCGGGTGAGGTTGAAAATCCGGAGGCGGGAAGCTGAGGTCACGACACCCTGTCCCCACAAAGTTTTAGCTGTGGGACCAACCGTCGCCACCCCTGAGATCATCACCATCATGGAGGTAGTCCTTGATCATTGGATGAGCAAAAAAGGGGGGTGGGAGAGATCTCGGTCTTTGCGGCTTTTATAGCCAAGTGCTTTTTGTCTGAGAAACAACTTAGGCCCTTGAGCAAGCTAATCTCCATATGCTTATAAAGTCGTCAGAGATCAAAAGTTAGGCATGTAGTATTCTTCTAACCCTCTCCTCAACCCCTGTCCTTATAGTAGAGACACGCCACGATCATGGCCGATCAAGCAATCGCTCCTTCAATCGAACGGTCAGTCGAGCTGCGTTGCGTAGGAGACTGGGGGCAGGCCAACTTCCACCGCATTTTGTCATGGCTGACACAAGAGTTCTGCGACCGTGCAGGCCCTGCCAGTCGAACCATGATTATGTCCTTGAGGGATGGTGGGCTCGATTCCCTCATCCAAGTGCATAACGGGCAAGCAGACCTGGGCATTGCCACGCCTGCTGCATTACTTCCGGCCGCAATCGAAGGCAAGGAACTATTTGCACCAGTAGGTGCGATGCCGGATTTACGCGCTCTTGCTGTCTTGCCGCAGCGCGATCGGATGATGTTTGCTGTCAATCCCTCGCATGGCGTCCAATCTTTTACTGAAATCTACGCGAAGAAGATACCGTTGCGCATTGCTGTCTCGGCTGATGATGGGACCAATTTTATCGGATATGTCTCGGCCCGGATACTTGAGGCACACGGTTTGGGCGAGGACACGGTTCGATCTTGGGGTGGCTCATGGGTGAAGGCATGTAGACCAGAGCAGGTTCTAGCCCTGGTAGAGTCCGGCCAGGCAGATGCAGTGATACAAGAGGCTATTATGACGCCTTGGTGGAGAAATTTGATCGAGACGCGCGCAATTGTACCCATCCCCGTTGAAGATGGCCCGATGAATCAACTGTCATCCCTGATAGGCTTTCAACGAGCTACCGTAAAGGCCGGTTTCTGGAATACTGTCAATGAAGACATCGCCTGCGTCGACTTTTCCGATTTCGTGGTCCTCGTGCGGTCTGATATGGCCGACGATGTAGCCTATCTGCTGACGTGGTGCCTGGTTGAGACAAGGGCTACCATTGAAGCGCAGTATAAGCACATACCTCCTGAACGCAGCCCTCTGTCTTACCCCCTTGAGCCGTCAAAAATGGCTCAGTCAACTGTACCTCTGCATCCAGCGGCAAAGAGATTCTATCACGAGAGGGGTTTTCTTACTTGATATAACTGACCACGTCTGGAGTCACAGCTGGCGATAAGTTAGAGAAATATATTAGTCAATTTGAAATATCATTTTCGGGAAGCTAAAGATTGCAATCAATATTCAACTCAATGCAACTTCAACCGATTTCTCACACGGAGGAATAATGCTTTGCTTACTCAAAGTGCCCAAGCAGTGAGGCTGATGAACCAGGAGGTTTCACACTACCAAGAAACCACTGAGTTATTTGAGCTAGATCTTACATAACAATTCAATCGAGTCTCCTTTCTACCAATTAATAATTCGATCATAGTTATATTGAGGTAAATCATGGGCTGATACTACAATGCCAGTTGGACTTCCACCAGCATTAAAGTTCTTGTACTTATAGGAATGAAAAACTGAGGAAGGTCAATTCTTGCAAGTCCAAGGCAGCGATGTCGTCTACCTACTATCGAAGATGAAATGCCTTTCTCTCCAAGATGGCTCGATCGTCGTGTCTGTGTCTCAGACAGGGTCTACCACCCGGGCAGGCCTAAAGCCGACAAAATCCGCTGTTGTGGGTGGGACCTTGGATATAGCGGGCTCCCATTGAATCCTACTTCCAACGAAGGAAATGTCTCTTAAGACCGGCATACCTCATCTTCATGGTACAAAGGTTACACATTTGTAAAATTCAAGCTCAGCATGTCAAACACAACGCATAAGCCGACCAAACGCCACTTCGCTTTCCTGGGAGCCACAGGGAATACCGGACGACTGATATTGAGCAAATTGCTCACGGCGACAACACCGGAGGACAAATTCAGCATATATGTCAGATCACGAACCAAGCTCGAAGCTCTTATTCCTTCCATATCCCTGGACAAGCGAGTTGTCATCTTTGAGGGCAGCATCAAGGACGAGAGCCTCATCAAAGACTGCCTCTCTGGTGCGCAGACAATTTTCTGCACCGTCGGTGAGAATGAGAACATCCCGAACATAACGGTCCTTCAAGATAGCGCCCAGGCTATCCTCACAGCGCTCTCGAGGCTGAGACTGGAGACAAGGACGCCGTCAGAGTGGACGGCGCCCCGGTTGCTTTTCTTGTCGTCGGCAACATGGAACCCTCGATTTGCCGCTGACAGGCCAGCACTGATACACTGGATGATTTCAAATGCATTCGCGCGTCCGTATAGTGATCTTGTCAAGGCTCAAGAAACGCTGAAAAGTAACCCAGATCTCGTCGATCTGCTTCTCGTTCAACCTAATGCACTTGTCAAGGAGCCAGCAACTGGGTGTGTGATCAGCACCGAGTTTGCATACATGGCGGTGTCATATGAGGACCTGGCAGAAGGGTTCGTGCGTCTGGCTACCATGCCACAGTATTCAGACATAGCTGCGATTGGTGTCTCGAGCGCGAGAGCTAAAAATGTATTGCTGTACGCGCCATTTGTTTTTGGGAAGATTATCCGAGGCTTGTTGTTTCAATTTGTGCCGGGATATTGGCAATTGGAATATGCTATCACAAGACGTCTTGATGGTTTAAAGGGGAAGAAGAAGGTTTAGAGGTAAGACCAGGAGTGGTCTTTTCGGCTATGACACATATCAAGGTTGAATACTTGTTGGGACAGTGTACGCAAGTTTGTGGGATAATTGCGCTTTTTTAGCTTGCACGAAGGATAACCAAGGAGCTGTTTTATAGTGACAGTGATTCAAGAATGAAAGGCAGCTGTAATATTAGACATACCCACTAGCCCCGAAATTTGGCTGAGCTCGCCAAAATTGATCTCACCTGTCTATCCAATTATTCTGGGTTCTCTGAAATGCTCTTTCCCCACACCATTATATATGCCATATCCCGTCTAAGGCCGATTGTATTTCCGGACAAAACCAGCGTATACTCATCAATCCCACTATAAAAAGCCGATCAACCGTCTATACGCGTGATCATAAGAAGTATTCAGTAAGTTGCACTCAAGTATTCTTTCGCCTAGATCAGATCTCAGTCATTCATAGATTTTCAACCGCAACCATGCCCCAGGTCACGACCCTCGTCGAGGCAGCAGGAATAACCTCCTCTCTTTTCGTCTCCGGTAAGATTGTGACGTATTCTGGGTTCTTTCTTATGCTGATATGAAGTCGAAACAACGCAGGAGCCATGCTTGCCTTCTCTGCTGGTGGCGTGAGCACCTGTAAATTAGCCACGAAACAGTCTCCTGGTTTGGCTGCGAAGCAATGGCTGAAGGTCTTCAACAGATGCCATCATATTGGCACACCCATGATCGTTTTCTCTGCAGGATGTTTTGCATGGCTTAGGTATCAGACAAATGAGAACCATTTTCTTGCCGCTGCTACTTCTTGTATGTGCATCGTGCCCTACACTATTGTCTTCCTGCGTGGACCTGAGGAGGTTCTTTTCCCTGCTGCAAGTATGGAGGAGAAGACAAAAATCAGCCCTTGCTCCGATGATGTTGAAAGAGCTCTTGATCGATGGGGATGCTTGAATCTGGTTCGCAGTTTGTTTCCTCTGGTGGGTGGTGTGACTGTTCTGCTCACTAAGATCTAGTGAGCAGTGGTTTTGTGATTTTTCGGAGTACGCTACTACTTGTCTCTACCAAGGATGTTGTATTTACTTTTATTACCGAAATACAGAAGGAGAAAACTGTTAAGGGGAAATTTTTGCTTCTTGGTACCAAGTTGGGTCCTTGACTCAAGCCTGCATACGAAAGCCTCAGTGTCGCAGACACCATCACATTCAGATGATTGAAACTCAATCTACAACTCCAAACCATGCTAGGCCCCGGTTGCGATCAACTTATTATTAATATTGGTTCAAAGTAGAATACATATCAGCTCTTCATACAGAGATCTCTGAAAACATCAGCCCCTTACAGTAGTGCAGCAGCAATACCAACAAAACTACCAGCAAGTGGGAGCAAGCTTCTTACCCAATTTAGCTGGGTCCATTGGGAAAGTAAATTTTCCACCTCCGCACGACTGATCGAGAGGTCCGCCTTGCTTCCGGCAAGTCCAAGCAATTTGTCGTTCGTTCCACTCATCGTCGCGATCGTGTACGGAACAATGCTCAACGTCAAGACGGCAGCAACTGCATATATGCCAGCACCACCGTACCTGGCAGATGCAAAGATGGAAGGACTCTGTCGAGCTGACCACGCAACGTATGCGAATGAACTTGCTGTGATGGCGGCAACTGGAGGATTTTGAGTCTTGCCGGCCTCGTACATGTCCCTCCACTGTTTGCAAGCTACCTTTGGCGAGATGCTATCCTCCCGAACGGATTTTGCGATAGCAGGCGCCGCATTTGCGCTCAAAGCAGCAATATTTCCTACGAGAAAGGTTAATTCGTTTATTCTAGATCATACTTTGAAAGGATGCCCGCTTACCAGAGAGCCAAGCAGCGCCTGTAAAGCCTATGGCTTGGGCGACACGAATAGCGATAATAGAACCGGGCATGATACAGATGGATTATACAGGATGAGTTTGTGAACTGATTGTTGTAATTTTGTCGAAAAAACTGTGTATATATGAAAGGAGGCGAAGAGTCATGACGTAAAATGCGGTCGGATTCGGAAATTTGTGTTCGATCCAAAAGCCGACAGAATCCGGCCGGAAAGCCCTTACTGGACTCGTCTTGTCTCAATCAGCTTAAGGATCCCAATAACTGGGTCTGATGCTTTCCAGAATTTTCTTTCGTATCATTTTCTAGACAGAACACCTATATAAAAGTAAGCTTTCAGTGGCGCGATGAGCTTTCTGGCCCTGCAATCTATATAAAAGAGCGTCAAATATATTCTACCTGCCCAGGTTTTGTATTGAATAGAGTTTTTCGCCACTTACTGTGATCGGAGTCGGTCGAATCATATATTGTATAATATCAATTGATCATTTGAGAGAATGTACTTAAATAATGGAGATGAATATAAACAGAATCAGAGGCTACCTAGGTAAGGTACTTGGCGGATTTAATTGGGACACATACTTCCTATTTCGGCGGTTTAGGGCTAGTCGCTGCCTTCCACCACCATCTCTTTTCTCATGCTACTAACATGGCTCTCAAATCAATTTGCAAAGAAGACTAAAGCCAATGATGCGTAAGTGCGAATTTAATACTGCCGATGGCTTGATTTCAGGCAGCCTGGAGACCCAGGCAGAAGTAGGCAGTTAGGGAGCAGGCACTGGCATCAAACCGTGTTTAACCCAGGAATTCAAGACAAATCTAGCGCCTCATTCCTCTCCCATTCATTCGAAAGTTGAGAGAATTTCACGAGCTTGGTCTTCTTCGGCGGCTTGATTCCGATGTCTATCTGGCTGGCACTTTGCTTAGAGGAGCTTTGGTCAAGATGTTTTCCTTGGAGCACTTGAGAAGAAATTAATAGAGTACGAAAAAATCGTGCGGCACTACTTTTGTTAGTCTCTGAAAGCCTATTTCGGACATTATTTCCGTCAACCCGCAAAAATAATGCCGACTGCAACTGGTTAGAACTCCAATTGAGTGAATAACTTACCGGTGCGGCAATTTGTGAGCGCGAGATTTATTTTTTGGAAGAAATATGTGCTCTTGAAAAGAGGGAGAAACTTGAAACACTATGCGAAGTGGATAGACAGCGGCTGAAGGAACGCAGAGAAGATATCAAGAAACTGGATCTGGCATGGTGGCTCCACAAGAAGAATCTGAATCGCAATGACATGAATCGGCCCTGGGGACCTGTAAGTCGAATGTACGAATTCAGAGAGCATGTTCTAGACTGGATGCTTAAAAATATATGTTGGAAGAGAGGGGTATACTGTAACTTTGACTGTGGATGTTGTATTCGTTGACAAGGGTACTTCGAGATTCCTGACCACAAGCCAGCAGATCATGACTGGAAGAAGGACATGTAGGACTCTTTTAAAATTCATGTCTCAAATGGTGATGCTTTCAAAGATACTGAAGCTTGTGGTAAAGCTGTGGAAGGGGTTCTACTATCCCTCACCACCTACAACACAGAACTGCCTGAGACGCCCCTTTAAACAATATACCATTCAAAGTTCTATAATTTTTTTATTGTCCGAGCACATCAGCCAAACAGTGGCGGTAGCCGGCTTGACTGAATCAAGGCCCTATATAGATCTAGCGCATCTATTTCGTCTCCAACAGCAAGGTCTTGCAGCGCCCAAGCCTCACGCACCATGTTACAGACCGGAGCGAATTTGGCCTGAGGTCCACGCTTCATGATACGTTCCATCATAGCTAGAGTCAGTCGCCGCTGATCTCCATCTTCGGCTTCGATGGATAGAACGAATAGAGGCCATGGCCGGTCGCAGATTCGCATGTTGCCAAGCAGAGCGAATGCTTCAGATCTTAGTCGTGCAACACGTGGTGCATCCCGACGACTATTCCTTGCGACACGCTCCAGAAAAAGAAGCGCCGCAAGGCGAAAGGCTTCAGCGACTTGACGAGCATGTGAGGATTGGGGGCTATCAGTTCTGTCATCACCCACTCTTTCTCGCTGAATGAGATTCTGCAGCCGATCTGTCAGCTGATCAAGGATATCTTTGTGTCTCTGTGACATGTATTCAGAGTCGGTGCGATCTAAGCAGTTCAGCAACACGTCATGCAGGGTGTCAAGCAGCTCCAGAGAGCATCCATATAATGGAAGTATCTGTGAGTCATCAGTCAGTCCAAGCCAGAAGTAGTAGGCTTAGCCACGTACGACCTGACGCAGAGGAGATGAAACTGATGTATGAACCAGTCGCCTCTGCCTAGCAAGCCATGCTTGTGGGTATTCTCGTCGAACCCAATAAAAAAAGCTGAATTGATACATGGTGCAATGCGAAAAGACCCAGTCCATCAGCAGTTGTGCGTCGCAACCATTGTCCCCGCCTCCTTTATACGCTTTCTCAGCGATCCGTCTGGCACCGTCAAAATAAACCACCCAGTTCATAGAGGACTCGGCATTCTGCATCTACAAATATTTAGTGGTCGCTTGTGTACTTCAATAGTGTTTCCTCACTTCGAATATATAGAGTACCACGCTGGCAGCGACTGCCCTGAAAGCATCTGCTTCATCCCATGGTAAAGGTTGCTCTATTACTGCCTGCAGAGCTCTTATAGCGTGCAGTTGGTTCTGTGCCGCCCTGAGAGGCACCCCGAGTCGCTGGAAAGACAACGATATTAGTGCGTAGCGGAGCGCTAAGGTAGCCAATGAACTGCAGTTGGCTGTTAGTCTGATTAGTACGCCATTCAGTTCATTGATTCCATCGCTAAATGCAGCCATGAACACTTCCATATCGTCACGGCCTTTTACCCATCAGTAATAGTAGATTGTTGTCTTTAATGTTCACCACGCTTACCTACCTTGAAGCGAAGAAAATCTGTCGGAAGCAGGCGCGGTAATAGCATAGCTTCCGATTATCATAGCCATGAGCTCAGGATGACCAAGGAGACTTTGGTTCGTGGCTAACAAGTCTATGTTTTTTTTTTAGCAAACAGCAACCCAATCACCTTAGCAATGAACGAACCAGGCTACTAACCAGCATGGCCATAGGTTTTAATCTGGCCTAGGAGCTGTAAGTCCCGGACTGCAACATTGATGAAATATAACGGCCTGTTCCTGATTGGAAGTTCAGTGCCAGGAACCCTCACGACAGCTCTTGAGTGATCGGCTTCTTGTGGCCATGAGAGAAGCGTTCCATAACCTGCACAGACTTCACCACCTTGGTTGCATCTATCACACGAAGGAAGCTTTCTGTCGCATCGCTTCTTTTTCCCTACAAGATACTTCTGTTAGTCGAAGCCCTTCACCTGGTAAGCCATGATTTTGCCTACGGCGACAATTCCAACATCTTTTCATTGGTTGGATCATTTCTGAACAAGCATATGGACTTATTAGACCGGTGGTATCGCCCAAAGGTTTGGCGTACGGTTACAAGGACAATCTTTTCAGACATGTGCGTTGTGAATACAAAGCAGTTACTTGATGCGCAAAAAGTTGCACTATCTGCATGTAGCCATCGAATATAGTGATCATCAACTCTAATGATTGTGTTGTAATTGGTTGTGGGACCGTTAGTAGAGTGTATGTGGGGTGCATGGCATAGCGGCGCAAAAAGTTGCTCTATATGCACGTTTGCTATTAGATACGAGGGCTCGTAAGATGGCGGCGCAAAAAGTTGCTTGACGTAGAATCGATAGAGTGTTTTATTATTTGTTGTCTTTATTAATGACAAGACTACTTTACCGCTATCCCGAATATGGTGAGTGCAGCGCATGTATATGGCACTCGGATGCCTGATATTTTCATCTTATTAGACACACTTGAATACATGACATTACACGAACCCAATCAGTCTCTCAATTATATGTAAGATACTTTGCGGCATTTTTACTGACACCAAACCTCACAGAAGAGAGGTAGCTAATTATGTATGCACGTCGGATTCCTCTAGGGAGGGTCCTCCATTCAGTAGTAAAACAATGCGGAGGCGTATCTATCTATCGTTGACTTATAAGGCTTGATACCCAGAAGACTATTCCTTTCCATTTTTACGTCTCAAGTTCATACATAAGAGTACATCTTAGCGATTTAACTACAACTCAAGATGCCTATCTCACATGTCATGGTCAAGCCTAGTGCCAGTCAGCACACCGCCGTTGTCGACTTTTACACCAAAGCTTTGAAGCCACTAGGCTACTCGAAGCTTAAGAGCTTCCCCGATGGGTTGACAGGCTTTGGCAGCAAATCCCCCGACTGGTGGGTGGCTATTAATGACAAGGATACTCATTCAACCTTTCATGTCGCATTCCGAGCATCAGGTGAGATCTATGGCACGGGTTCTTATCATTTTTTTCGCAGTTTACTAAGACCAGAAACAGACTCGACTGCCGTTGACGAATTCTATACGGCTGCTATAGAAGCTGGCGCCAAGGATAACGGGCCTCCCGGCCTGCGTGCGGCCATGGATCCTAAGTACTATGCTGCATTCATCCTTGACCCAATGGGAAACAATATCGAGGCTGGTTGTATGGTCGAATAATAACGCCGAGCTTTGAGTTTATGCAGTTTGGCACTCCCATCGGAGAAAAAGCGGACAGATAAGATCACTTAGTATTCTCAACTGACGAAGAAACAATCCGAAAGCTTAGTTCAATCGTAAGGCAAACTATATTTCTGGATACCCTGCAAAATTTAGACACTTAATTGTCTCTGTAAGAGCTGTGTGAGCTGTGTAACGAAAATGTGGGACAGATTCTTTGCCTGCTTCATCTAAAGGCTAAAATGCTCTCCCACATTCCTAACTATCCGCATAATCTATCCTCAAGTGAAGGAGGGGATTAAAGTCTTGTAGACGAAGGAGGTGTGGGGTGACTGCTGTATAGAGAAATGGACTGAACGATGATTCGTTTTGCTTGGCCCAATGTTGCAAGTCCTTCGGTTTTTGACTGTAACTGGTGGACTGAATCATTTGGCTTAGCAAATCATTCCCACAGCATGGCATTCTCAAGTGAACATTGTTGCAATGTAAGTATTTTTGCTTATCAAATGGGTAGACGAGACGAGGCCCGTCGTCTCGGTGCGCCACGTACGCAAACCAGTCGCCAATATATTTTTCAGAGCAGTCCACCCACAGGTCGATCGTAAGGAAGAATTGATATATGAACGTGACCCCTCTTTCTCAACTCAGCATACACAAGTTTTTCTTTACCCTCTTTAGAACTGCATCAACCGCTCTGAACCCTTATCTGTGACCCAAATCTTGACATCAGCGGAAGTATCATGATGGAGGCATCACTAGTACCTCCTTCACCCGAGCGATCGGCTCTTGGATGGCACCCTGGAGAACGGGCGATCATGGAGCTGCTTGGAGTAACCACTTTCCAGCGACCGAACCCGACATCGTTAGTGTTTCCACCTGCTCATGGGGCACGTATCTCTGAAAACGAGCTGCTGGCGGTCGGCACACTTGACCACGAGGGCCGGCCATGGAGCACCATCTGGGGCGGCCAAAAGGGCTTTGCGCAGCAGATCGCCAAAGGCATACTGGGTGTCCGCGTCTTGGTGGACCGGCAGCATGACCCCGTGGTTCAGGCCCTTCTGTCGCCAGCAAACAGCCCGGACGACGACTACAAGCTAATGAGCGGCATAAGCATAGACTTCGACTCCCGGGATCGCGTCAAGGTAATGGGCAGGCTTCTTGGAATCGAGCCACTGGACGACATGGACATGGCCGACCATAATAAATTAGTGGGAGATTTGCAGCTGTCGATGCTGGTGCAGGAAAGCACCGGTAACTGCCCCAAGTATATCAACAGGCGAGAAGTACGGACGCATGTGCCATCACCTCAGCTGATGTCAGAGTCGCTCCCCTTGCCCCCGCAGGCTGTGAGCCTGATTCATAAGACCGACTTGTTCTTTGTATCTTCGACCAACGGGGAGTCAATGGACACCAACCATCGCGGTGGCCCTTCCGGATTCATGCGTGTGGCCTCCAATGAGCCCAAGGACTGCAGAGGTGTTGTATTAGTCTATCCAGAGTATTCTGGCAACCGGCTTTACCAGTCGCTAGGTAACTTATATCTGAATCCCCGAATCGGCATCGTTGTCCCGGACTTTGAATCATCCGATGTGCTTTATCTCACAGGCACTGCTGATCTGCTGCTCGGCGCAGCAGCCGCTGAGATTATGCCCCATTGTAAACTCGCTGTGCGCATCCACGTCCAGGCTGCACGCCTTGTGGCTAACGGTCTGCCTTTTTGCGGCAGCCCAGTCCATGACATGTCGCCATACGATCCCCCAGTGCGAGGGCTCGCCCAAGAGCCTAATGTGCTATCCGAAACCACATCCTCTGCGGCAGCCACGGCTGAATTAGTAAATAGAGAGTTGCTCACGCCAAGTATCAATCGCTTCACCTTTGCCCTACATCCACCTGCTCATTCTACCAGTAGTACTACTACGACTCCACAAGGAGGCAGCAGCATGATTGCCGTCAAACCATGGGCTGCTGGACAACACGTAACTTTAGACTTCAGCGGCGAACTGGACAAAGGGTACAAGCATATGAATGCGGAGAATCCTCAGAGCCTGAACGACGACTACGTGAGAACGTTTACCGTGACCAACCTGCCACCAGCTGCATCCGAGACGGAAGGAGAAGAAAATACACTTCCGGAAGGGACGTTGATGCAGCTTACAGTGCGGAAACATGGTGCAGTTACTGCCTTCCTCTGGGACTATGATATGAAGACAACGAAACTGAAAATTCCCTTGATGGGGTTTGGTGGAGATGAAGCTTTTCAATTACTACCAATTGCTGCTCAAAAACCGTGCGAGGAGCAAGCCGTCTTTATCGCCGGCGGCGTCGGGGTAACTCCACTGCTTGCCCAGGCTCCTGGTGTGCTGGCCGGCCCAGGCCAGGAATCTCAGGACTACCTGCATGTACTCTGGACCCTGCGGGCAGATGACCTTCCTCTTGCCATCGACACGTTTAGCAAGATCCCCGGACTTGCGGTGCGGACGAGACTATTCGTTACTGGAGTGAATCTGGCAGACAGAACCCACTCATCGGTGGAAGAAGAGACTCTTAAGTCACTATTAGACCAAGTCGCCGCGGTTGGAGCAGAAGTGGTCCACCGTAGAATAGATAAGGGTGACGTGCTGAAGCCTGTTCAGGAGGTGTCGGAGGCTGGGAGGAAGACGAAGTTCTTCATCTGCACGAGTACAGAGCTATCTAAAACTCTTCTAGTATGGCTGGGGGGTCAGACCGTCGTATCAGAGAACTTCTCCTATTGAAAGAATATAAGTCTGATACTGCTCCTACTAAGTATGGTTATACTAGTCTGATGGTGTCCTACTTTTCATTGATCTACGCTTATCTACAACTCTAAGCCACCGATATGAGGCCTTACTTTGGTGTCGAATTTGGTAAGCGACATGCAATCTCCAATCCCCCGATCTCCTTGACACGCTCTCACGTACAACCTTATCTAGGGCACAGATCTGTGTTGAGCTTGCGAACGAACAAGATTGGTATTGAATGTAGTGTTGGGCGAGCTTGGGTGTATGACCCGGGACTTATGTTAATCTAGGAGCATAAACACGTTTCATAGCTATGATCTATGTTTATAATTACACACAGCAATACGATGCATGATAGTATGTTATAAGTACGTATAAAGAGATCCATAAGCAACACCAGCATTAGTAGATATCAACAGTTACCCAATCAGACCAGCATAGGTACCAGTGGTCACAAAACCATCGACCCGATGGAACATGTACTTGACTTCCAAGGTATGAATTCGACGCCTATGTAGGGAGGGAAGCAACGAGATTTAGTACAATCAATACTAACTGACTAGTTGACATCGTATCAATTGATCCGTCGAAGTCATGTATTTGAAGCTGCCTATTAGAATAGGTACCAAGATTGTCCATCTAGGACATTTGAGGGCTCCGCAACTTCATCCAAAGATACCTACTCTACGACACCTTACAAGCTACACAAATCCCCACTATAATTATCTCATAAATTGTATAAACAAATCACCATTTTATACAAACTATCAATACACAACGGGTCATCATCACCACCGATACCTCCAATCCTGGGCCTAACCCAATCCAACCATGCATGGTATATGATACATCCAAAAATCTAAAATATATATACGTATACAAATACAAATACAATGTCCAACAAGAAGCGAAATATTAACAAAAACTTGGCGCCCGTGAGTCTCGGTGATGATGAATTACCCCTTTTCTTTCGACCCTGCTTATGAGGGATTAGGCCGCTTTTGCGGTGACTGGCTGCGTCTCTGCGGATATGGGTTTAATTGCAGGTTCAAACCCAGGGGTGGCGGAAACTCCGACGTCGGCGTCGCATTAGCCGTATTCGTCGCTGTGGTAGTGGTGGTAGTGGTGGTACCCGCAAGAGAGACGTCTGACTGTTTCCTGTGCATGATGCTGTTGTTTAGCATATTCGCCATTTGCAGGTGGAGGCTTCGCAGTTCGGAGCTTCGCCGGCGAGAGTGTTGTTGGTTTAGGTTTGGTGTTGATGAGCCGGTAGCGGGAGGGGGAGCGGGTGAGGATGCTGCTGATGTTAGGGGTGAGGATGAGATTGATGGGCGCGGGAGATGGGTTTGTTGTGCTTGTTGTGGAGGTGGCTGAATAGGAGGTGCTTGGGGTAATTGGGAGGGTGGTGGATGGGACGGTTGCTGGAGATGTCTCTTTTGCCATAGTGGGATGTGGCGAAAGGCTATGTTGGGTGGTGCTTCGGGGAGAGGCATGTTTGGAGGCGGAGCCGGTGGTAGGAAGGAGAGATTCGGGTTGCGGCGAGTGCGAGGAGAAGTTTGTTGGGATTGTGATTGAGAGGCAATGAGCGAGCTGCGCCGGCTTGATTCTTCTCGGGGTGTTTGCGGTGTTTGTGGAGATGAAGCTGGGGTTGTGGTTCGACTTTGCAGTTCTTCTGAGGGAGCAGGAGCGATTGTGGTCTGGCGTGGTTGTCGATGGCTCAATGCGGACGTACTTCGACTTGGAGGCTCTCGCGCTTTAGCTGCCGAAGATGATACCCTATTTGCTCGATCTTTACCCAATGCAAATCTAGCGAGGTTGCTTGGCGGAGGAGTAGATGTAGGCGTTGTGGACTCTGAAGCGTTACTGTTAATCTTCGGCATCCGGGTCAAAGTACGCCCCTTTTCATTAACAGATGGAAGCCGCGATTGCGTCAGCTGCGGCAGTCTTTGTTGCGGCAGGCGAGGCGTATGGTTCACATCTGGTAACGGATTCTGCTGGTAGAATCTCGGAGTCCCAGTTGCAGGAGTCACTGACTCGGAACTCTCCGATCTCGTCAAGGAATATTTACGAGGTGGGATAGTGGGAATCGTTCTGGCGGTTGCAGTAGCTGAATTGTTAGTCGGAGTCGCGCTTCTTGATGAGATCAATGACTGTCGCCTTTGTGTGTTCAGGTCACGTTTTACCCCAATACTGGATGTAGAGGTTTCCACCAGTCTGTTAGGGACTTTTGGTACAGGCTCCGTCGTAGGCGTCTTTCGTGAAGTCGAATCATCGGAAAGGATTAACCGTGAACTGTCACCACGTAAAATAGAATGTCGTACATTCGGGTTATGTGTGCTTGTATTCTGTGTGGAGGGAGATGGGACAGCATTAGCAGGGTTGTTCCCAACAAACGACAACGGTCGACTGGCTCTAGCAATCTCTCCTTGACGTTCCAACTGAGTCGAAGTATACGCCGTCAATGAGCGCCGATTGGTATTGCTAGAAGACGATGAAGGTTTTCGCAATCGTGGAGTTATCGTGGGGGATTGTGCAGGCGTCTCGACAGGAGGAGGCATTGGCGGAGTAGAACTTGCCGCAGTTTTAGTCGGCTGTGTTGGTTGAGGGGCATCTCGTGGGTTTTCAAATATTACATCAGAATCCCCAAATGTGCTAGTCGTGGAAGGAATCGTCACAATATCCAGAGGTCCGGATATCGATAGGCGATTCACCGTCTTTACCGGGCTAGGGACTCTCGGTTGTTGTTCTGGTTGCTGCTCTCGTTCCTCTTCTTGATAATAACTTTTCCTATGAGTGGAAGTTGCCGAAGGAGGCACTGGAAACGAGTCGGATAACGGAGATGGCGGATTGGATTCTCTCAAACTCGATTTGCGACTAGCCAGGAGTCGTGAGCCACGGTGAGCGAGCAAAGTGTTGCTAGGGACTTCTGGGGCTTCGTTGTCCTCTCCTGTTGCTAGCTCTGGAACGTACTTCTTCCCACCCAGAGACTCGATTGTCTTCCTTAACGCAATAAGCCAATTATTCATCTCTTGCGCGCTAGACATGACGACCAGAAACGTCCGTACGGCTCGACGCGATTCGGCAGTCTGCAGCACAAACCTGGACAGAAACGTGCGCCCAACAGCTGCCGGAGCCGTACCATCATCCGTAGACTTTTGTGATATCTGCAAAACATGATGTTTTCCCGGAATAGAGTCACTGGCAAATGCGGCTGACGCTGGGCCAAGGCGCATAATCTTTTCCGGGAGTCGATCATAGCTCCCTTCTCCAGAGTACTGAAGCAAGTAGCCTGCCGTCACCAAGACAAATATCTTCTTGAGAAACACAATCTGATCCAGGGCATTGGCTCCACCGCGTTTCATGGGTTTCTTATCTTTGGCGTCTTTCTTGCCCTTCTTTGCAGCATCCGCATCTCCACCTTCTACCTCACCCGGTTGCAACGGATTGCGAAAATTCCCAGCTTGCGTGGCATGGATGCGCAGAATAGTATCCGGAGATATATTAGGAACCGCAAGCCGTGCATGCTTTGACGCCTGCGGATAAGCTTGAAACAGCGGCGGAGGAGTCCACGACGAAGAGACCTTCGATTTCGGTTCCGGTTTCACTCTCGTACTCCTACCCGGCCTATCCGAATTGAACGTGGATTCCGTCGGCGTAGCTGCTTGCGATGATGCATGCAACGTCGATCCCGAAGCGAATGTTGGCGCAATTGACCGCGGGGTATCCGGTACCGTGGTTGATGGAGTCGCCGACCCGCGCCGCTCCCCAACAGCGGGGAGACTGGCTTCCGTCTTGCGTTCCTCGCGCAGAGCTTTGTTTCGTGCAAATAGACCCCGGAGACTGGTTTTGGAAGCTACTCTTTTGTTTGGCTCGGGTTGGAGGGGGACGCTTGGAGGTTGGTTTGCGACGACTTCGGCAGGTCGGAGGCGTTGGGGGCGAGGTTTTTGTAGGACCGGACGGGGGCGTGGTTGTGGTTGCTGCTGCTGTTGTTGCTGTTGTTGCGCCGGCGGCTGCGGTAAGTGCGACTGCTGTTGAGCAAGGTCTGTTCGGATAGCTGTGAGAGGAGGCCCGCGACGGGGTATGGCCGACTTGGGCGGCGGGGGTGGAGGAGCGCTCTGATCCATGGCGCCTATGCTACCTGCCTGCAGATGAACATTGGCCGGATGTATTGAGGAGATAAGACTGTGCGAAAGGCATGACCCGTTGTCTGTCGGTTATCGTAAGCTATTCATGTCACTTCATGGAGTTGATCGTAGAGCTATCCGGGGCGAATTAAGCCATGAAGCTATGATTCGCCAATTGGCTGTACAGCGAACGAACGACCGTGAATGAGGTAGAATTGAATGACGAGACTCAATTGACAGTCAAGAAGACCTGCAATTGAGTTTGTCTCCAGCAGAGCTGTTCCACATAAGAAAGTTTTGATTGCGGTTGTGATGTCAGAGAAACTCAGGTCGCGTTAGCAAGACAACATCAAGGTAGACGAAAGAACGACCTGAAGGCATAAAGAGATCAATTGAGTTTCAATGACCTGTTCGTCCAACGTCCAACGTCCAACGTCCATGTACAACAGGAAAAGGCCGTGGGCGAACTGGAGACGAACACGCATTTTCGTAGGGCATCATCGCGTTGCCTGATCGGGCCAATCGGTTGACGCTGCTCCAGTTCACTAAGTTTTTCAGTCCACTAACTCACCAAGGCCCTAAGTCAGTCAGCTCGGGCTTCGTATGAGGTCTGGGCCTCGAACGTACGTATTTTTGGTTCGACTTGAAGTGTACTGTAAGTGTGTAACCTCGTAAAGTACGTGGAGAACACGGGAATGACACGGGCGGAGCATTCCGCCCGATGAGCCGGTACCTGAATATCTCTCAAACGCCAATCGTGACCGAAACTATATTTTAGTTTACTAGCAGAACTGCACGTTTACCTTCCGCTTAATACGACACAGTATCGCGAACAACCATACGAAATGCGTACTATATGGCTTGTGCGTATGAACCGTGGAGTCTCGAGAGCAAGTACTCGTATCCACTGTCAAGAAGATCTTAATATACGGCCCAGTCCATCGGCACCAACAGTCCGGTAAACAATCGACAATGCATAGACTAGAGGATAACTACTTCCTTAGAGTCGTACTATAGTAGACAGTGGCAGGCCAAGAGTGTATGAAGTGAAACGTCTCCATATGGACAAGCCAAGAGATGCAGTGGACATTTGAGTCGAGTACGTAGTAAAATACGCAGTCGTACAAAAGACTAAGTTGAAACACCGACTTTACACAGAGTTCTTCTCCAACAAAGACAATCTGAAACATACACGAGTAATCTGATTCTTTGTTTGGCACCAAACCCCGACTTTCGGGGCCCTATGATGGAAGTATGTTAGCCTGTGTAAAGAACGGATATGTCTCGGCTTGACAAAGTTTCTTCGGTTATAGCGTAGGTAATAAGTTGGCATAAGGGAATCAAAGATCGACCAACAAGCTGCCCATCCTGAGCGCGGAAAGGATTCATATTAATTACATCTTACTGCGTTCGTACTAGCAATACACGCCTTGGTGAGAGTTAATACGTAGTTTATGGGGCTCAGTCCCGTTGCCTTCGTAGACTATCAGCCTATTCGAGATTTAGTCCTAGCACTAACGCAAGGCTAAGGTTGACAGAACTTTTTTGAATTTTGTTTAGTGCACTCACTGTAATGCTACGAATTTTCTTTTCTTTGATTCGGCTGCCGCTTCGCTTCCCCTGATCCTCTGCTGGGTATTACTTAGTGATCGGTGATCAGATTGTGATGGGATTTGAGGAAAGCGACATTAGCGCCAGGGGTAAGTATTAGTACTAGACTGCATAAGGGGTATTGTTTTCTTTTGTGTACAGCTGAGCGGACGGGATATGAGGAGTCGAATTCCGAAGCCGGAGTCCTGTATTATCAGATCCTGGAGTGTGCGTTACTCTCGATAGACCCAGTCTGAAAAATAGTGTATAAGCAGCGGACGGTGCGGGTGGATCAATTTTCCAAGTTTCAAGATCAGTGAGAAAATCCTCCCATGTCGTTCGTATTCGCTACAGCTTGCCGACTCCAAAGATTGTTCGCTGCTTCACAGCTCGGAGAAATGTCTTAAAGTTGATAATACATTCCACTCTTGCTGGAATCATGTCTATGAATTACGTAGTGTCGGAATCTGATAACACTGACTAAACTATAAGAGATCCGGTCTTATTACTGTGGGTATCAGATAAATCTGTTAAGACACATCTTAAGCGAAGAGGTGGGTATCTGTGTCTATAATCAAGTATCGTCTATCTAGTACACTATCGTGGGTCTATATTCAAGCAGAGACTTATCGTATAACATCCAACATCTCCTCTACGCGACCGAACTTCTCCCGAGGTTTCCCCTTTGCCTTGCCTCTTTCCTTCTCAACAGAGTCGATGCGCTGCCAGTCTTCCCACGAGGTAGGTTGTAGTCCTCTCTGCATGGCCTCAGTTCGCACGCCCTCCCAACCCAGGCCAGTGCTTCCGCCTGATGTAGAGTTCAAAAATGATATTTTGGCCTCGCTGCTCGATTTGGATGCTTCCCAGTCCGCTACAATAGAGTCTGCTGTACCAAAAGCATCCATCATCGTAGAAGCAATCACTCCAGTCGGCCCACGTTTGACCCAGCCTGCACAGTACAAGCCGGGTAAATGCGAGATGTGTGTTTGATCCAGGGGTGTCGTAGTATCCTCCGCCGCGCGAGTAGTGCTCGTAACTCGTCCGAAGCCGTCATTGGGAATGATTCCGCGTCGTCCATCAAACTCAATGCCCAACCCCTCGAAGCCGGGGAGCGGCAGAGACTTGTAGCCTATACTCCGGAAAAACACATTACACGGAATATTAACCTGGGCCGGATTACCGCTGGTCAAAAAATGTTGTTGAACTTTGGCATCTGGTGCGAATGGGTCGGGAGATGAGAACTCGTTTCGAATAAACTTGGCATGAGACAGCCGGTAGGGAAACATTGGTGACCAATGTAAGGAATGAGGAGAAAGAAGAAAGTCAAGAGACCAGCTTTTGCTGGCACTACTTGGATCTGTAGCGGATCCCTTGGCTAGAAGCTGTATCAATCGTTTTTGTGCGCGCGGAAGCGCAGCAACGATATCCTCCGGAGGGAGAAAGTCTTTTGGTATAGTGTCGAACGAAACGGAGGGAAGTTGAATAAGCTCACGTATCTCCTTGATAGTAAAGGCAGCCTTCAACCATTAGTACGCGGTAATGGACAGAACTCATGGTCAAGTCATTATCTCACCTGCATTGGCCCGCGCCTTCCAACAACCCGCACGCGCTTTATCTTACTTCTTGACAGCTCTTCCAACGCATGCTCTGAGATATCTGTTTTGCGCAAAGCATCCACATCCGACAAGAGAATCCTTGCCACGTCTAGAGCGACATTTCCCTGACCAACAACCACAGCGTGTTCCCCTGCCGTCAAATCCGGTGCCAGATCGCGGTATTCTGGCAACCCATTGTACCAACCCACAAACGCTCTAGCCGATAGAACATTCTTTTTGGCATCCTCGCCCGGAATACCCAGTTCCCGATCCTTAGCCGCACCGTAGGCGAAGAGAATAGCGTCGTAATGCGGTTTGAGTGTGGAAAATGGCAATTGGGAGCCTACTGCGATGTTTCCGATGAAATTGAATCGAGAAGATGTTGCTACTTCGGTGAATTTTTCTTCGCAATTCTATGACGACAAAGTACGTTAGTAACTAGTCTTCGATATACCGGTTTGAGGTCTCTGAAATACCTTGACTTCCGGATGATCCGGCGCAACACCATAGCGCACCAGGCCAAACGGCACTGGCAATTGCTCATACATATCGACTACAGCATCATTCGATTTGGACAAAAGCCGATACGCAGCATAGAAACCTGCCGGGCCGGAGCCTATGACGGCAACGCGAAACGGACGATCATGGAGTGCGGCAGATGTGCTGTACCGAGCTCGGACTCGAGGGACCTGTAAAGCGCTCCGTGCGCATCTTGTGCATAGAGAGAGATTAAGCGTTGGATGCATAGAGAGTAGCCGACTACAGAGACATTATTCATGATGAAAAGACATGGAACGGAGTGGAGGAAATGACGGAAGGCTCTGGCTTATCGCACTATCACGCTCTTATCACGGTTGTCGGGCCAACAACGGCGAACTAAACATGATCAGCCCTACCCGGCTCTCCCCTCGCACCTTTTCTATACTCTCTACTTTCTACTCTCTACTCTCTTCCACTCTCATATCATCAGACCGTGCTTTGCATTTAATTTCCACATTACTCATTCTTTATCGAGAACCGCATCAATGCAGTCTTCATTCGTTTGATGTCCGTCTTGCTGATCACAAAAGTTCCCGCACTTATCAGTTAGCTACATTCCTTAACCCCGGATTCTCGCACGCGCATTCTTGATATATTACCTCCCATCATGGGTGGATCATCATCCCCTCCATTCCTCTACGATCCCGTATCGCAGTGGTCATTCAATGAATACCACAGAGGAAAACCATTTAATCCCAAAGCCGTCACGGAGGCAAGCAGGGCTCCTCGCCCAACAAGCGTCCCTCAGGAAGGGCCGCTGGTGAACTTCAATCGCCACCCAGACACGGTACGTATCAGTCATTATATGTATGAGAGGATATACTAATGCGCTCACAGTGGGTTGCGCCCCGTCAAAACAATCATATACATCCTATGAGCCGTCACACCAAGGCCCGGGTGACGCACACGAGAAGATTCCAGCTTTTCCTTCGAGTCTTGTCTGTTCTCGGGGCACTTGGTATCTTGTTCTGCGTTATTTGTATCACTCATACAGACGTCGCTCTAGGGTGGATCATTCGCGTTGCAGTATGTGATTTGAATATTGGTACAAGTGCACGTGCTAACAATGCAACAGCCAAGCGTTGCCATTCTTCATAACATCTATGCAATCTATCATCTTGCTCGGTCCGCCGCTAGCCGGCCTGCGGGTTCTTCGACCAGCTACCATCTATTCGCGTCAATCATGGACTGTGGTTTGGTTCCTTTCTACGCTTTTACTAGCTTCGTTGCATATAAAGAGTACCATGATGGCTACTATAATTGGGGAACTCTTTTCAACGACGACAACATCCAACACTACATTGTCGAATCACTTTTCTACGCAAGTGCTGGTGTAGGAGGCCTGCATCTCTTTTCGCTGATGATCTCTATCTACTTGGCAGTGGTTTTCAGACAAATAACCAAGCTACCACCTGACATGAATCCTTTGGAAGACAACCTGACCGCCCGTCCATCAACAAGACGAAGCAAGTTATCAAGATCGGAATTATCAGAGAAGAAGCATATGAGCACAAGCACAGTGGACTCGGCATATTTCAGCGTCAAGTCACACTTGGATGACGTCTCCGATGACATACCACAACCGATTCCTTTTATGCACACCAGACAGCAATCATCGACTTCCCTGGCAGACCCTAAGAGAGCATCACGTACTTCTCTTCACTCAAGCCACCAATCCGGATATCCTACGTCACCGTCTCGCGCAGCAGCTCAAGATCAAAAGAGTCCATCTCGGCCGCGATCGGTATTCGAAGATGCGCCTGTACTTCGCCCAACATCCAGTGGCCTCGCGCCCAATAACCTTCGCTGGAGCAGCCCAGTGCCATCAGAATCGTCTGGGAACTGGGTAAGCTACGAAACGCCAGATGAGGATGTCATCATTCGTGAATCTAAGCCACCTAGCCGAGCCAAAAACGGCACACCGTTTCCTGTCTACAATGGTGTTAGCGACTGGTTGGGTCCTGTGCCAAAGTTCGGCCGTGTTGAAAGTGGCATCCCACACAAAGAAGCTCGAGGTCAATATGCAGCTTTGGAGACGAATGATGGATTCGAGAACGATGTCCACTTTGACATCAACAAAGACAACCTTGAAGAAGATATCACCGAGTACCTCAACAGAGCCCTTGATCCTTTGAGAATGAACCCTTCAACTCCTCAGCCTAAAGACGCAGAGAACAATAATGCTGGAAGCAGGCCTTCAAGTCTTCGTCGCGCTGTCTTGGGCGAAATTCCAGATGTCTCGGCTATCAGAAACACCAACACCGCTGATTCAGCAGTTGCGGATGAAGAGTTACCTCCATCCAAGCCGTCTAAGTTGAAGACTTTCGGCAGTCTGAGACTGTGGGGAAACAAATCAAACAAAACCACCTACGCATCTGTCAAAGAAGACGAAGCCAGCGACAACGACAGCGACAACGAGAACGATACCAACCAACCTGTCAAACTTACGACCCCGAAGCGACGAACCACTCAGACCACACTTGCCACTAAAGAAGCCGATCGCAAGGGCCGAGTCGTCAGTAACTCGGGCATTGACCTCGGCAGCGCATTCCATACTGGCATGGACTCTGAGCAATACAGCGAATACATTTCCGCCCTCGGAGTCGGTCGCAGGCGAGACGTAAGCGGGAAAATCGCCGAAGAAGGCCGCGGCGGAATTGTCGAAGTTGCAGAAATCCCTGAAGTGCCCAGCACGCCGGAGAAGAAGCAGAATACCGGTCGAGCTGCGGGTTGGGCCCGATTTGCTGGGCTGTGATTTCTCACTACTTACTACATGGATGATATGTGAAGATGCACGACGATGTCTTGAAGAGAGATATACAATTTGGTACGACTGAAGGTATTCGGATTTCGGTTATTGGAGTTATTGGGTGTTTGTATTTGAGCCGTGATTTTGTATTTTGTTATATGCTGAGCGATTTGTGTGTGCTTTTTTTTTTTAATTTTGAGCTTCTCATTTGCACTGGCATGTTTTGATATTCATGGATATCTGTGGTCGGACCATGTTGCTAGGTTTCATGTAGGTAGTGTCAAACGTATATAGATAAGTCTGTACAAAGGAATCTTAGGTCTATTCATCGATCGAAACACTTTCATCTACAGTATCATAACTAGTGTGGTCCACATATCCAAACCACTAAAAGCAGATTCATTATTTCTACCTAAACACCTGGACATATATATAAAGATGGTGAGGGGGAAAGAAAGAGAGATCAATCCCGATCAACACGCATCTTCCTCGTCCTCCAACTGATCATCTGCTCCTGCGTCCTCTGTTCAATTTCCGCATGCAGACGCGCCTCGTCCTCTTCGTCGATCATTGTTATGAAGTTTAGTTGATCTTCTTGATCGGATTCATCCGAGGTGTGTTCCTCCTCTTTCTCCTCATTATGATGATTGCGTACGGAGGAGAGAGGGTGGTGGGAGGGTTGTTCTTCTTCTTCCATTGGTGTGGGGTTTTTGACGGTCAATGTTTGCTCAGATTGCTCGGTAGGTAACGCTTCGAACGGCCAACCGTCTGGTTTAGCTTCGGCGGGTGGCCGGGCTGGTAGTACGGGTTTCCGTTTGATTTCTTTTTCTTTTGTCGCGGGTTTCCGTTTTTCGTTCTCCGCTTGTTCGCGCTCGATTTGCTCATCTTGATTCCACAGAGCCAATTTCTCCATTTCGAGTTCGGATGCATCAATCTCCTCGAATCCGATATCTGTCAGGACCTGGCCGACGAGGAATTGATAGCGTAGATGGCCCGACACCGTAGCGCTAACGTCGATGTTCTCGAGATTCGGGACGCCGGTGACGGGCTGGAGGCCTGAGATGTCGACTTCGAGGTGCGTGGCGCGGTAGAGAAGGGCGAGGACAGAGTCGTTCTCTGAGTAGACGTTTACCAGTCGACCGGCGACTACGGCACGCATGGAGTGCCATTCAGCTGCGTCTGCGGGGACGGGAGAGCCCATGAGAACAACTGATTCGATGAGACCGTAGGCTCGTCTTTTCGCTAGACTTTGCAGACATGAATAGATCACTCGAGAGCCGAGAGAGTACCCGATCAAGGTCACGGGTCGTTTCCCTTGTGCTCCGTTTATCAGAGCGTCGGCCAGGACTTCGCCGGCTTTGTCGGCTCGTGAGATGGCTACACTGAAAGGGTTTGCGGCGATTTTGGCAAGTCTCACGAGACCCAGGGGCAGAAATACCGCGCTCATGATGCCCGCAAAGACGGTTCGGATGAGGATTTGATGGCTCGCCACTTTCCATGCTGCCGTGGCGACCAGAGCACGCATTGAGTTTCCAAGTTTGAGTAATGCCTCGTATTCCCATCGGAGTGCAAATACTTCCGACTCGGGTCCGATGACTCGCCATGGTTCAGTTATATTGTTCTCTTCAGTGGCCCAGCCTGTGATACCAATTGTCACCCTCAGGCGGTGGTCTTCTTTTGCGGCTTCTTTTTCATCCTTTAATTTCTTTGTCATTTTACCTCGCAGAGGTATGAAAGCAAAGTCCTCAACTTCGCGAGCATATCTGTCCATCATCTTTCCGGTCATTTTCCCACCGTAGGCCCCAAAGAGGCCGCCCACTACTACCCCGCTACTGGCGAGCGCTCCCAGGTAAGAAGCTGCGATAGTCCCTCCAAGACCTAGTCCACCCATCACAGTACCAAGTCCGGCTGCTACCAGGGGTGCGGCAAGACCGCCAGTAATGCCGATGAGAGCTGCACCAGCTACTGTCGCAAAGCCAACCTTCCATTTTCGGAGTTCCTGGTTTTCCGCTGCCTTCTTTTTTGCTTCTTCATCTGCTGTCATGGCTACTGCGGTGTCAAGTAGTCCACGTGCTATTTTGGCTTCATTATCGTTGAGGTCACTGGTCTGAAGGTTCAATGAAGAGGTGACGTGCAGTAGAAGCACTCGCGAGTACGCATTGTAATGCTCMAAGCCGAGAAGCAAGAGTAGTAGAGAACGTAAGATAAGTAGCCGTTGCGCCTTGGGTCCTTCTCGAAGGGAATTATCGAGAGGTTGATATACTTGCTGTAGTCGATTCGAGTGCTCTTCTTCTAGCTCTATAAGATCCTCGGGAAACTTCTTGACAGGAGTCTGACCATCTTGTGAATCTTCCCGTTCGTTCACAACCTGTCCGACCCGCAAGAAGACTGAATTCTGCCATTCTTCAAAGTACGCCAGTGCTGCCTTTCTCGATCTGGGATCCAAGCCAACTGCACGTCTTACACCTTCCTCGGTTGTGTTCGACGGGACGTCATGCTCGACCCCACTCCAATCTCGAGCATCTTCATTCTTCGGCTTTGGTGACTCTTTCGGAGGGACGGGCAGCGCTTCGAAGCTTTCCAGTATTGTTTTCCGCATCTGCTCCAAAGCAGCCGAGATCAGTACCATCAGGTCCCCGCGCTGGGACTTGGATAGAAAATCGGACAGGCCATGTTCTTCATTTTTGTGCTCCTCCTTGCCACGATCCGGAGCATTCGCGAACCGGTCGAAGAATCGCTGAGCCATGATATGAGAATTTTTGATGTCAACGTTAAATGAATGGTTGTAGAAGATGATAAGACGTCGACGTCAAGGCGGTGGATGCGGGATACTTTGTGCCAAGACCAAACCAACACAACACCAACAACACCGACAAGGGTCTTAGTTACGACTTTGCACGACGAAATACTTTCCGGCGGTCCTTGTAGCCGACCCCAGAGCATTTCCGTCCCATTGGTCGCTCTCGACATGGCTGGCATCAGCGTCCTCAGTAACCTGGCGCTGTATTTTCTTTCGCCGACCGACCACTTGTTCCTTGGCTAATGCTTCCTTCAATGTCTCCAAGCCTATCGTAGAGTCCCTGATCGCCTCGCGACTCTCGTCTCGAATCGCTCGGAGAGGTTTGATGTCTTTTGTATCGACATCCTGTATCGATTTGACGAAGTGGATCTGGGCTTCGAGCGTCCTTAGCATAGACGTTTCCTCCGCTTTATCGACTGGTTGCGGGAGCGCTGACAGACGGAGCAGATGGTGAAGTCTCTGGGGCGTGATGGAGAGTGGAATCGTTGGATCATCGGTATTCGGGAGAAGGCTTCGGACAGACCATGTTGGTTTAGCTAGGAGAGTGGCTATATCGTCGCTGGTGTACTTTGGTTGTGACGAGTACTGCCGTCGAAAGGCAAACAGGAAATTCTTCATCCGGACTGAGCTCGAGTGGCTCAACGGCAGTTGTAATCTAGGCATTGAGATGTGGTAACGTAGAGAATAAAAATTGTGTTTCAATTAATTGGATTGTAGCAGGAGGAAGCTACAACTCAGATGGAGACTTTTGTTTAGATGAAATCATCGTCCAGTCCCCACTTTGGTGCTGCTATGTCACTGATTGGTTCATTCACTTTCCTCCATCATAAGCCATTTCTTTATTTACAGACTAGACGCTCACGCCAGCATGGAGTCAACGTTATGGATGTTTATTCTAAAAATTCTCACCTGCTTAAAAGTTGTGCCCGTCGGCACTTCGCTCGTGTTCTGTAGCTAGTAGCTAGGCGAATCCATCTGTGTCTGTGTTGTCGAAATACGTGTGCCTGCAGCAGCTGAAAAGCAATCTGTAAAAGGTCATTCCAGCCGATACGATAGTCCAATTAGTGGGTATTGATGCTACGGAACCGCGCAGCGTCTTGCCGCCAGAATTACTGCCGCAGATTCTTAAGGCATATAACGACTCCATTGACCATACGTTCTACGTCGGTATGAGCGATGCCTGCGTGAGTATTACCCACGCTCTTGTTCGATTGGAAATCGGTCAAAGAACACGGGTAACCCCATGAGAATGAGATCTGTGAGAGTGGCACGAAGGCTGTACTTGGCAAGACTCTTCGCTGAGGACGTTAATCGATGGATTTTCCTCTGTTCTTGATTTTGAATTTATTACCGATAAAGACATATCTAGTTCGTACCTACCTAGTAGGTATATAAAAAAAAGTAATGACCAATAAGCCTATGAAATATTCATAAAGACATTTAAAGAATTACAGATCCTTAAATATATAAGTTTGTCGGAAAGCATGTGTTACAACCTGATACGCTATATAGAGATTCCAACCTTGAAACAATTGCTCGTCACTTGAAATCAATAGTAGTGCAATTGCAGAGAGAGCTCGAAGCAGAGCTATGTGCAGCAGAAAAATTGCAAGCCAAGAGTTCAGTACCGTCATCATTATAATCAGAAGGGACTCTCGCAAACATCGCAGACCTAAGAATTGGAGAGGTGCACGCGAACTGTTTTGATCTCTGTATAGTTATCCAGAGCATATGCTCCGAGCTCTCGACCCAACCCGGACTCCTTGAAGCCACCAAATGGCATCTGGTAGTGAAGAGTGTTGTAGTTGTTGACCCAAACAGTTCTGTTACAAATAGATAGTCAGCTCAAATTCAAAGGGAACATGCTCGTTTAGAAGAAAAACCTACCCTGCTTTGACTGCATTGGACACTCTGATGGCGGTGTTGATGTTTGTGGTATGGACGGCCGCGGCAAGCCCTAATTTTATCGGTCAGCAAGATTGCAAACATCACAGCCTGGAGATCTGACCATAATTCGTTGCATTAGCTAAAGCAATGGCTTCAGCTTCATCGCGGACCTTCTGTACTGTGCACACGGGTCCAAATATCTCCTCCTTCACTATCGTCATATTTTCGGTCACATCGGCAAAAATAGTGGGTTGGATGTAGTATCCTTCGCTTCCATGTCGGTCACCACCTGTGATAACCTTTGCACCTGAGTTCTTTCCATCTGTAATATAGCCCATGATCCTGTCGTACTGTACCTGCGACACCTGCGGGCCTTGGAATGTCTCAGGGTCAAAGGGGTTTCCAACTTTGTTCTGCTCAGCCCGTTTCTTGAAAAGCGCAATGAACTCATCATAAATAGACTCGTGCACTAGAATCCTCGAACCCGCGCAGCAGCATTGCCCGTGGTTGAAAAAGATACCCAGATTAACCCACTCAACTGCTTGTTCTAGATCCGCATCTGGAAGAACAATATTAGGCGATTTCCCGCCAAGTTCGAGCGTCACTTTCTTCAAGTTGCTATTAGCTGCGTCTCGCAGGATTTGGCGGCCCACGAGAGTTGACCCAGTAAAGGCTACTTTATCAACATCCATGTGGGTAGCAATTGCTGCTCCGGCTGTTCTTCCAAATCCAGAAATAATATTAATTACCCCAGGAAGAAAGCCAGCCTCTTTGATCAGAGTAGCCACATAAAGCGCGGACAAGGGCGTCTGTTCTGCTGTTTTAAGGACAACGGTGTTTCCTGTTGCTATGGCAGGACCGATTTTCCATGCAAACATCAAAAGCGGAAAGTTCCATGGAATGATTTGACCGCACACGCCCACAGGCTCATGCCGAGTATACGTGAAGCTACCAGAGTCGGTGTCGATAGTTTGTCCGTAAATCTTGTCCGCCCAGCCGCCGTAGTAGCGAAAACAGCCTGCCGAAGCAGTCACGTCGCCTTTGGCCATGGTTACGCTTTTGCCGTTGTCAAGTGCTTCGATTGCAGCTACTATTTCAATATCGCGTTCCAGCAAGTCTGCCAGACGGAGGAGCAGACGGCCGCGTTCGGAGGGGGTAACATGTTTCCACTCGCCTTCAAATGCGGTGCGAGCGGCCTTCACAGCAATGTCGATGTCTTTGTCGTCGCCTTCGTGAACGGCTACGATGGGCTTCTCGTCGTGAGGGTTGATTGTTTCAAAGGTCCGACCTGCAACTCCAGGAACGAATTCATTGTTGATGAACCTAATCACTCTTTAGCGCATGGAATCATATAACTCATAATAATTCAGACATACAGTCCCAAGGGTTGCTGATACGTGAGCAAAGGTGTCTTGATTTCTTGAAACAAGGCCATTATGTGAATATTAGAATAGGTATGTATATCGGAGAGAAGAGATGTTGCAGAATTAGATGATGCACATGGCGGAGACGAAATATTTAAGCAGCATTTGGTCTCTGAAGCAGGCTCGTTACACAACATTCGGCTGCTTAAAAGAGGGGAAACGGACGCTTTGTCCGCAAAATGTCCGCAATGGTTACAGTATGCGGCTCCGCATCTACGCATTCTCTCCGCATTATGCAGAATTCCTTCGATCCGGGGAAACCTCTCTCCCGCGCTAAAGCTGAGCGAGAACGCTAAATTACAAACTCCGAGGGATTTGTGGCTCTGTATTAGGTCTGGTTTACGATAAGACTATCAATCAAAAAGGTTTCCTCAAGAAGCACGTATCTACTTTCTCGGGTGACATCAACTCGTCTGTTGATCTAAACTGTCAAGGAGTAGAAGTGGGGAAATGGTTTCTGAGCCATGTGAACCAGATAACTATCCCAGATACAGGGAAGATTTTCTGGAATGTGATGAAAGAGAAATCGTAGGTTCATTCTGCTTATCAGGGATGGTTGCAAAAAGAGCCGAGTTTCCTGTAAGGCTAATACTGCAGCTACGGCATCTTGAAGGATCTATAGTCACTTAATTTTGGCGTTGAGACCGAGAATTCATATCAAATTTATCTACTTTTTTAGCTGTATAAATAAATCCTTTAAACTGGTGACCATACCATGGGTAGCTGGCCAAGCAACAGAAAGGCTCTAAGATTACTACGAATACTACGAATAGTATGGAGATACTCTAAATGGAGACATTTCTTGAAAGATGTGAATTAGCTGGACATTGATATTGAGCACAACAGCTATGTCAAAAGTAGGAAATCTCATCATTTACATAATCTTTAACATCATAACATCAACTCCAGGTTCTGGTGGTCCATACCCAGTTAGGTAGGTGTTCAAAGAAATCATAATTACTCCGGCATCTCGAGCACGTAGCGTCCAGCGATCTGTCCCTTTTCTGCTAAAAGTTAGAAAAGTTGCTAATCGCGTAAGAACATAAAAAAGACTCTTACCCATAAGTTCAAAAATACTCGCGAGATCCTTCAAGGGAGCCACCTTGAACGGGGCTTTGATCAAGCCTCGAGCAAAAAAGTCTAGAGCTTCCACGCCATCCTGTCGGTTCCCAACGTAACTTCCCTTGATACTAATCATGCGAAGAACGGTGTTCAGAACAGGAGCTTTGAGATATGCATCGGGGGGCAATCCAATGGCAATGATTGTTCCGCGGGAGCGAACATATTCGGTGGCCTGTTGGAAAGGCTTTTCTGAGACTGCTAGTAGAATAACTGCGTGAGCTCCCAGACCGTCAGGGGTCGCTGCTTTGACGTCGGCTACCAAGTCTTTGGACTTGGTAAAGTCTACATAGGTCTATTTGCTGGTTAACTTCCTTTATCTCTATATCGGTGGGTGTTCATATTAATACCTCAGTGCCGAGCTGCTCACACATAACCCTTTTCTCATCACCCCCATCCACAGCCACTACTCTGATCCCCATCGCTTTCGCATATTGCTGGGCAAGGGACCCCAGGCCACCACCAGCCCCAACAATGGCCACAGTTTGCCCAGGCCGAACTCCAGATTCCTTCAACCCCTTATAAACTGTGATACCAGCGCAAAGCACTGGCGCCACGGCATCTAGAGGAACATCTTTTGGAATTTTCGACGCATGAGAAGCCTTGGCAAGTGTATACTGTTGGAAAGTGCCGTCTACAGTATACCCTGAAAGCTGTGCATGGGCGCATAGAGGGTCATCAGCTTGTCTGCAGAATTCGCAATTCGAGCACGACCCATTGAGCCACTTGACACCGGCGTGGTCACCAATGTCGAATTCGTGGACGAGGGCGCCCTTTGCCACGACCACTCCGGCGCCTTCGTGTCCGCCGACCAGAGGCATCTTGACGGGAATGGGCCAGTGGCCCATCATGGCGTGCAGATCGGTATGACAAACCCCAGAATAGCGGATCTTTACTAATATCTGATCGGGGCCCGGCTTGGGAACGGGGATTTGTTTGTATACAAGCGGACCTCCGATCTTTTCGGCCACTTGCGCCCACTGAAGTTCAGGAATAGACATAGTTGATGTAACGAGTCGGAAGATTGAATATGTGTGAGCTAAATAACAAGGAAGAAAAATTATTTTTTGCTTGATGAGCTGACAAGGTCGAAACAGCGTGATGAGGAGGACTTATATATTTGATGTACGGGTTTTAGGATATACCGTTCGCCAGTCAAACATCGCAACCGCCCCCTAGCTTTTATTCAGCTATCTCTAATATTTGCAGTTTTTCTACAAAAGGGTTTCTTTGCATGTCAACGTGGAGTAAACGCGTGGAGTGTGTCAGGTTTTGCGGGGAAAGCTTTTGTGCGGATGCGCATCAAGCAGCTACTTCCCCGCAGAACCATGAATCAATCCAAGATATTTTGCATATCAATCATGATCCAGTCTTACACTTGGTTACGAAAATCGATTGTTGGTGACAACTTCCCTTTGACCGACTGGGGGCGGTTTGTACTGGTCAATTGTATGCTCAGATCAGCATTTTCCTGGTGCGGTTGTGTGGAGGCGGTAGTCCCTTGGAAGCATCACCAGAAGCTGAATGAGACGCAGATCAACAATCAATGGTGGAGTAAAAGTATAGATCGAGTTATCGGGGCCGAAGTTTGCGAACGAATGCCGTCTTACTTTACCATATCGGTCCGTAGTTGTGCGGCCATGCGGTTCCGCATGAGAACTATCCGCATGCCCGAACCACACAGCTCGCTTCAATTCTAGCGGCTGGCCAAGAACTTCAAGCGAATACGATACGGGAATTCATTACGTTGGCAGAACTCATCAGTATCGCCGATTAATATTACGAGTGTACTTGCAACTTATCTGTATTTTTCATCGCTGGGCGGGGCCAAATGTACAAAGAACGTCCCCTGAAGTCCCCTGCCTACAGCAGTCGGTCATAAGGCAATGAGTTTGGGATGGAATTGACTCCTTACTCTCGCCGTTGTTGGAAAGTTTCCAGGGGTTTAAAGGCTTTCAGACCTCCTCTTCAAGATTTCATTGCAGAAAATTCAAAACTTTTGCACTCTTATCCATAAACATTCCTTCAGACTTGGTCTGCCAAAAACGAAATGAACACTTCTCTCAGTCATAATGGCAAGACAGCGGGCTCAGTTCATGATGAGGACAACCCGCTGTATAGATCCGTGACTCTATCAGCGGAACAATTCGAAAGACTGTATCTAGCTCCGATGACTCGCAGGCAGCCTAAATTGGCTAAGCAATTAGGAAATCCGACACCACTGTGAGCTCGTTCCACCTTACTACATATCAGAGAAAGAAAGAGTTAATACTAACAACTGAGAATACAATATCAGAGCGTTAGGTGGATTCGTTATCACTACTACGCCTCTTTCGTGCTGTCTAATGGCCTGGAGGGGATCTGGCGGAAATGGACTTGCCTTCATGTAAGATGCACAAATTTCCGGATTAGAAAAGTTTCTAACGAACGTAAAAGCGGACCCATCGTCTTCCTCGGTGGGCTTCTACTACTCATTACGAGTATTCTTGAGTTCATTTTGGGCAATACGTTTCCATGCGTTGTATTCGGTACCATCGGTTAGTGTTCATCGCCTGCAGTGTGAATCATGATATGACTTCCATTACTGACGCATTCTTCTAGGAGGATTTTGGTTTGCGTTTGCAGCCACGATGATTCCTGCCTTCAATGCAGCTGGTTAGTTCTCACCAGCTTGTCCATCTTTTGCGGAGAATCCTGACATATATACAGCACCGTATTCCTCGTCCTCGACCGACACGATTTCCGGATTGTCCAGCCCCGAGTTCATGAATACTTTCGGTACGTTTATCCTAGCTATACTGCTGTTCTCGAATAATACTTGAAAATACTCACTGTCATTTTAGCTTTCCTCTTCTTGACCATGGCCATCCTGATGCTGATCTTCATGATCTGCGCAACGCGAACCAACATCGTATATACGCTTATCTTTTTGTCATTGATTCTCGTTTTTTTACTCTTAACAGCTGGTTACTGGCAGTCAGCAGAGGGACACACCTCTATCGGTGGTCGATGTATTAAAGTAAAGTTGCCCCCCGGTTATTACAACGCGAAACATGAAATAATAAGTTCTAATTCGTATATATTTTTTTCATAGGGTGCCGGAGCTTCACTATTCGTCGCGAGCCTGTTTGGATTTTATCTTTTGATTGTTCAGCTCTTTGAGGCTTTGGAATTCCCATTCCGGCTCCCTGTCGGCGATTTGGGGGCCCTCTGGACTTTCAAACAACACGAGTAAGTTTCCTCTCACGACAATGGCAACAGCTTCAATCTCAATTGACCGTGCCAATAGTAATGGTGCCAACTCAGTTGATATTGGAAATGTAAGCGTTTGAAAGGGCCCATAGTTGGGAATCTCAATTTCGACCCCTTTTTCCCTAGCGGGCTACAATGTGGATAGATATTTCATTCTAAGGCGATTGTGTACAGCACACAAGCTAAATGGTTTCCTTAAAAAAACCGAGCATCATGTTGTAAAGATTTGTGCATGAAACCAACTCGTGGAAATAATGTGATTGAATTAAAAAGCTACAAGATAAATCGCTAGTCATAAGCAAACCTAAAAGGATCTTGTAAAAGCTTCATAGATTCCTACGAGTATATGAAGAAAGTAAATGTAGGGCTGCACTATGCCAGATGCCATTCTCATCCACAGTTGCATAATCCCCATTTATTGATCCCGGCCAACCGGAACGCCAATCCCTTTTACCCCGAGATCCACCGATACCTATAGAGAACCTCGTAATCTGCGGGGTTTCCGGGATGCCCATGGAAGACCCATGGAGCTGGAGATAAAACGTGGGGGCCCAGCCACTTTCCCCGCAAAGTCTTCATGTCTATATTCACCTATACTGAGATTCTGTCGACTAAAACTATCATTCAATACAAAGACAAGTCCGGTAGTTACAGACATCGACTACGCTATTTCACACCATGGAGGGGCCTGTCCGGCGCCAACTTCACAGCTGTGATCCATGCCGGAAAGGCAAAAGACGCTGTAATGCACCGGTGTGTGTGATTATTTATACCTTATACCTGTCCCATCTTTATATCTGACTTGATACACCACTATTCCAGAAAACCCGAAAAGATGACGAATTTGTCGCGTGCTACAATTGCAAGCGGTGGAAAAAAGAGTGTACGTTTAATTGGCTCTCTTCGCAGGAAGCAAAAAGACAGACAAAACCCAAATCACACGCTTCAAGAAACCCGGCAAGTACAAGCGATATTTCATCGACTGCAAGCTCGTACGGTGTCGTTCTGGATGAACAGCTTCGCTCTTCATCGCAATGGTATCCTGTTACTTTTAACCACGCGAACATACCTGCTTCGATAGATGCTGCGCATTTTCCTATCGAGTTCTCCTCAGGCCTACAAGGCGCATCTTTTGGCAGATTAGATGAATTAGGGCTGAGTGCGGATCAGTCGGAATTTCTTGCTCCGAGCATAGACATCTCGTCTGATTGGCAAACCGGCGCGGCCACTGGACACCCCGAAGACGCTTTCAGAGACCTTGAATGCCTTTTCAGCTCTTCTGAGAATGAAACCGACATTAGTGAGCAGTCCCAAGGAGGATACAGCCCTTTGAACTTTTTCTCTCAAGGAGACAATCATACCGGTCTCAATTCTTGGTCGACGCCTCATTTTAACACACTACTAAGTCCACCAAGTTTCTGCATTGCGTCCGAGAATGCAGMAAGCCAATACGCTCGTTCCACGATGAGACGTAACTTACTGCGCATATACCACGACAGCATGGAAAATGCATTATCATGCTGGCTGACTGAGCACAACTGTCCTTACAGCGACTTTATTAGCAGCGCTCTGCCAGGTGACGAGAGAGAAGAATGGGGTCCAAATTGGTCCAACAGAATGTGTATTCGGGTTTGCCGGCTAGATCGCTCCTCATCTTCAATACGTGGCAGGGCTTTAAGTGTGGAAGAGAACAAAACCGCCGACCGAGTACTGCATCTAGCCATCATGGCATTCGCCTCACAGTGGACTCAACACGCGGAAAGGGGCACAGGTCTATCCGTCCCAGCGTCTATCTCCCGTGATGAGAGATCTATCCGGGAGTACGTCTGGAATGAGGCACGTCATGGCTTGGAGCACTCAACCACAATTCCCTCATTTCGAATTGTATTTGCAAACATTATTTTCTCCCTGACTCAAAGTCCATTGGACATAAGGCAAGATAAACGGCTAGACCAGCTTTTAGAAAATGACTGTGCGCCAACATTCATGGAGACTGCTAACCGCCAACTCTTTACTTTTCGCTGTAAATTTGTTAGGCTTGTGCGAGAGGCTCATCCAAAAGTGAATGAGTCTCAAATGGCGTCAATCGGAGCAACATTTGTCAATGAATCGGAAAGGTTGAAGCGTCTGCAAGTGGATCCCATTCTCAACAGCCACGAGAGTCGTAATACACTAGGTCTCTTATTCTGGTTAGGAGTCATGTTTGATACATTGAGTGCAGCCATGTATCAGCGACCAGTGGTGGTATCAGATGAGGATAGTCAGATCGCATCGGCATCGCCAACAATACTTGATTCTGAACAGCTTAGCTTGACACGAAATCCGCAGACAGAGATTTACAGAAAGCAACAAGACGTGTGGGGAGAATTCTTCCTCTATCCTGCCAAGCTCAGCGGAGCTCACCCAAGATGGCCATGTTCCTACGAAGAGGCCGCCGCCGTACTTTCCGAAGCGACGCCCGTAAAAGTCTTACTCTACCGTCGGGTCACTCAATTACAAACACTTATTTATAGGGGAGCTGGTCCTGATGCCATTGAGGAGGGTATCCAGAAGACCCTTCAGGTATATCAGCATTGGAATCAAACCTATCGAAGATTTATGCTCGACTGCGTTGAGAATCACGACTTTCTACCTTCTCGCATCCAGTCATGGTATGTTATTCTCGACGGCCATTGGAATCTGGCTGTAATGCTTCTGGCAGACACGATGGAAAGCATAGACATCGGAAGACTTGGTTATAAAAGTGAGGATCGCATAGTTGCTGGATTCGTCTCGAAGCTGAGGACAGAGCATGCACTTGTGGTTAGCAAACTGTGTCGTGCGTCACTCTATGGGCAGAACCCATCCATGCATCTCCATTTCCACGATTCACTCAACGAGGTCGCATTCTTGGTTGAACCCTGGACTATTGTTCTGATTCATTCATTCGCCAAAGCAGCATATATCCTTCTAGAAAGATTGGATGCTTCGGGCGGACATATTTCCTTCTTGCAAGGATGTGAAGATTGTATCCGTGCGCTTCAATATCTTGGGAGAAAGTCAGATATGGCATTCATGTTGGCTCGGAATCTATCGGTATCACTGGACTTGAAGCTTGCTCAGATGTCATAAGATGTATTGAAAGGGGATGTTCTGCTGATTGATTATGTAGTCAAATTCTAGCTTCAACCCTGATCAATGTTTGACTATTTCAATCGGTGTTGTCCGTACCTATAACAAGCTATTCTAGAGAGTATGTAAAGAAATTAGACTTCAATTAAATGTCCCGGCGTTGAGAAGTATTCATAGTCTGTACATTTGTTCCCATGTCCAGGCTTTTTCATGTCCCTGTGGACGGACGCTACAACGTCAATCGGACAAAATTCTAACCATAACCGACTCCTGCAAACAGTGAGATCTTGCATCAATAGCTTGAATATGTATGAAGTACGAATAATATTGAACAAGTTCCTTGACGAGACATTCTAGGCCCGCAGTTTTAGGACTTTCAACCCATTATTGTTATTCTTCTTTCGTTGATGGGAAGAAAACCCCCTTTCACATACTTCACTACTCCTCTGAATGATTGAAGAACGCATCATAGGAGGCTTTTTCCTAACCATTCCTTGGCTGGACTTATCGATAGGCCAGAAATCAAGCATGTCCTCGATAATTCGCGGTTCGTTGAATTCAAATTATTTAGTGTGCTGGCCCAATGCTTCTGTAATCGTATCAAACGCCTTTCCCGACGCACCTCGCAACTGGCGATTTGTCAACTGAACTATCACGCGCTTATACGTCGTAATGCTTGGAGTTCCGTTGTCCTTGACTTCGAGGATAAAGTGAAGAGTCTGTCCCTTTTTCAGAGCAACACCGTTCAAGATATCGACGGCAGCAATATGTGGAGCGGGCAGTTTTACTTTTACAATAGATTCCTGCTTCTCCACAGGGACGAACTCGACATCCGCTACTTGCGTCCAGTGAATAAGTGATTGCGCCGATGTCGGCTCTTTATACTGGAACCAATTGAATGACAGCTCATCTCCATCGGGATCGTAACTCTTGGAAGCATCGAGTGTGATTTCGGTCTCGACCTCAGCCTCGATCCACAGTGGCTCSGGCCCYCCTGAACTATCGTTGACAATTGCAACTGGAGCGTGATTCGCTTTTTTTAGATCGCCGCTCAGGGTCCACTGAATGCGCGCCGCAAAATCATTCTGGTATGCATCCCTCCAACGCCATATAGTGGCCTGATTGCTGGTAAATAACTGACCATTCTTGCCCAGGACTTTGTCTTTCGCATCTGAGTAGTGGTTTGCCGAGCCTCCCAAGTCGGTCAAGACATATCGGCCTCCCCAACTACCCCAATGAGGATGTTCTGGGGACCCCAGACCGTTCTGCATGAGATAGAGAAAAGTTGGCGTATCCCCCTCCATAATAAAGGCACTGTCGGGATACTGTTCACCTAGGGCGCCAATTTGAATGTGCTCTCTGAGCCACTCTTTACCTACTATCTTTGTGTCCGGCCCACCTTTGTCTAACGGCATCAGCAGATCTCCGGAAATACCAACCCAAGAGGCCATTCCGTACTCATTCCAACCGTGAATAGAGCAAATGTAAAAGATCTCAGGAAATCCTATGCGAATCCATGAGCCGGTATCGTCTTGGTCGCTAATCGTATAGATCCGGAGTTTACTACGTAGTCTGGCTGCCTCATCCTCCGATCTTTTACGTCGAATTTCTTCCAGTGCCTGGGCAATTACGTTTGCACCACCCCAACAGAGGACCCAGAGGGGAAGTTCTGAGGCATCTAGACGGTCAATAAGCAATGAAGCACCATCACTCAGCGGCACATCTGGCTGTAAAGCTTCCTTTCCGTACACAGGTGGACCGCTTCTAATGAGCGATAGTAGGTACTGGACACTGGGGTACTGGTTGTCTGGGTGCACATGTGCGTTTAAATTATTCACCACTTGGCCGTATGCCTCGACAATTCGTCGCATATCTTCGGGATGAACATTTTTCCTCATCCAGGTCGAGGTACAAGCGACGAGGCCTTGGACATCAAACTCGTTGCTGTACAAGAGGAATCTAACCAAGGACTGCGCATCGTCGGGCTCATTGGAGATATCCGATGTGACGAAAATTCTCGGCTTGTCCCTGACTCTGCGTAGCTGATTCTGGGGTTCCATGGCCTGCGACTTAGTATCTGATCCAGTCCAGCGGAGAATGTGAAATGCTTTGATATTTCATCTGATAAAGAACAACGTGGTCGGAGTTCATAAATTTGTTGACAGCCAGCTATAGATAGGTAAAGGCAACTCGGCGGAGCGAAAATGAACACTTCCTTACTAAGATAGGAAGTCTTAAGCACCACCACATGGGGAAAGGTTACCCACTCTCATGGATTGTAATTAGCCCTAACTAGCTAGTACACATCCGTATAAGTACTGTCTACGAAGCGGAGTTGAATACAAAAAACTATACAACTCGCAGAAGAGAACACTAAATTATACAAAATCGAGATTTACATCTACTATCAGCTCATGCAACGGCACTTGTGGAGAGTTTCAACTACCGGTAGTACATTCTTCGCATGGAACTCCGGCACATCTAGAGCGACGGGTATCACTCCGGAACAAGTAACGAATGATACGTAGCGGTCTAATAGCATGCCAAAAGCAGTACTTTGAAGCGCCAGAAAGGTCATGATCACCACTAGGAGCACCGTGCCCAATTCGCCGGCTCCTATGACCATTCACGATTGACGGCTTGTTTTTATTCGGTTTGTAGAGTTGCTAGATTAGGTATCTGAAGTCTGCTCTAATTGACAGATCTGTATAGTAAGTCTCCCCCACTATGAAGCAAACCAGACATTAATCATACTAGTAGTGCCTACAGACGGCCTATTTTGGAAACTGCAAGCACCGCACCATGCGATTCTCCACAGTCTCCGGATTCCCCAATATCCCCAGATCTGCCGTGTGTTGCCTGGAAATATAAACTAGCTCAAAGCGCCAAGTTTCTGGGATTGATCTCTTCACACATGTTGAATCTGTTCTACTTGAAACCACCACCATAGGCTTGAGGATTGTGATTCTCAGTCAAAGTACACTACCTAATTTTCATCTTACATCACCATATCAGTTGAAACAGCAATTCCGATGGAAATGCAGAATAAAGCAGACCCAATTCATGTTGAAGATGCGGAGGTGAACGCTTCACAACTGGCACCCCTTACAAGCCTAGAGGAACACGAAGTCGGCATCCTGCAGTCTTTTGTCAAATACCCTTGGGCATGTGCCTGGTCTGCTTACGCAGCTTTCACCATTATTCTACTTAGTTTCGACGCTCAGGCCAGTTCAAGTGTGATTGGGATTCCACAGTTCCGTCGTGATTTTGGCTACCTATACGAGGGCGAGTATGTCCTACCAGCTGCCTGGCAATCAGCGTTTGGTGGCGCCCCCGTGGCGATGTAAGTGTCCCTATTGAGAAGCAGCCCCTAAACGATTCACTGACAAGGCGGTTCAGGGCTGTCTTCTCCTCGCTGTTTATGGCCCCCATTGCCGACAAAATCGGTCGTAAACCGGTGCTTCTTATTGCCTTGGTGGTCTCGTTCATTGCTGTCGGCGTTGAGTTCTATGCCACTACAAATCCCGTCTTCTTCGCTGGCAAGCTCCTGAACGGAATTATGATCGGGGCAATTGGTTCTGTCATGATTAGTTATATTGGAGAGGTAAGTTACTCGAAAAGGTGGGAAATGTCGAGGGGATACATTGCTCATTGGTCCTAGATTACGCCAACCGCTCTTCGTGGTGTATTCACCTGTACCGTGGGCATATCTTACGGTATAGGTCCATTAGTAGCGTTCCTCATTATAAACTACACGGGGCAATATCAATCACGATGGGCATATCGTTCCGTTTTCTGCTCTCAATTCGGCTTCGCTGGAGTATCGATCCTCCTATGGCCATTTATGCCCGAGTAAGTACGAACCTTTGGAATCCAATCCCCCACTCCGTGATGTAAAACGGCCTTGGTTTTTCAATGAACTACTTCCAAAAATAGGTCGCCGTGGTGGCTAGTTTCCAAAGATAATCGAGAAGGGGCTCTCAAGAACTTGCACCGGCTTGGCTACAAGGGCGATGCCGCTCGATCAAGACTTGCGCTCATAGAACAGACTCTCCAGGAGATTCGCTCCGAGACCGAGGGTGTTACATACATTGAGTGTTTCCGTCGCTCCAACCTGCGCCGCACTATGATCAGTATTATGCCATTGTGTATTCAGTGTCTTTCCGGTATTACTTTCGTGGCTGGATACTTCACGTATTATCTGGAGCTTGCAGGTTATTCGACCAGTGAAAGCTTCAAAATCCAAATCGCGCAGCCAGTTCTTTCGATCGTCGGAAACTTGATGGCAGTCGCTACTGTAGATTACATTGGTCGTCGCAACCTGACATTCTGGGGCCTAGCAGCCTTGACCGTCACTCTTCTCATCACGGGTATCCTCGGCCTTGGAACTGATCTTCCTCGGGTTCAGGCTACGGTTGCTTTCATTCTGATATACAGCTGGGGTTATAACGTGACTATTGGCTCAACCGCTTTTTCCCTACTCTGCGAGGTTGCTACACCAAGACTGCGCGTGAAAACTGTCGCCATTGGCTACTCCGCCCAAAGTGCTATTAATGTCATGTGGCAATCCGTGATCCCATATCTGTTCAACCCTGACTACGCAAATCTTGGAGCAAAGATTTCTTTTATCTTCTTCGGATTGTGTTTCTTGTGCCTGGCATACCTGTGGCTGTGCCAGCCAGAGACTGCCGGTCGAACCTATGAAGAGTTGGACGAGATGTTTATGAAAAGAATTCCCGCCAGAGAGTTTAAGACGTACGTTACAGATGTTGAAAGGCGAAATCAGGCTGTTAAAATTATGCTCGAAGAGAAGGCTATCTCAGGATGAGGGTAAGAAGAGGCGCTTGTCAAAAATATTGTATAAAACAAGTTATTACCTATATACTTGTTCGCGAAAATGCATCTGCTTAGAATTCATTTCTGGCCTTTGATGGGAGGGGACAGAAGTATCACCACTTTTGTTGACCGATTTTTACACTAGAGCTCTTACGGCAGTAGGGTGGAGAAGCAACAAAAGAAGGGATATCACTCGATATTGTTAAATACATTTGGCACACCCACCAGGACCTCCTTGTAAGAGGCTTTTGATGCTGTGTATGTGCAAAAGAATGTAGGTAAAAAGAGTGACGATATTTGACAGGATATTCTGGATAACTGCCTCCTTGTTGATTTGTAGAGCTTCAAATTGAGTCAACTCTCGAGCATTCTTTTTGATAATTTTGTGTAATTTAGATTCCGAATATCCGTAGGCGCCAGATTGCGCTTAGGGCACCTTGGCGTTCAACAACTATACTCCATCACTTGATCAAATTGGTAGCGAGCTGCGCGAGTCAACCTGAGTCAACACGAGCCGACGCGGAGCCCAACGAGAGTTTAAGAGCTGAAGCCTAGAGGAAAGTCCCTACAGAGAATCCACTACTGATTGTTAGATATACACATAGTGGTAGTAACTTGAATATCGCTTAATATTGCGAGGGGTCAGAATAAATGAAATCACCCATCCATCCTTCCATACTGTAGAACCCAGCCATATCTACCAAAAGTAAGGAAAGGAAAAAGAAAAAAAGAAAGAAAAAAAGAAAGAAGGTTGAAACACTAGTGCAATGCTTTCGTCAGCCATCCATATTTCTACCTTCAGGTATATCTCTGACCAGCTTTTGCTCAATATCAGTCCTTTATCGCCGTAGTAATAATGCGAACTCCCTGAGACGGACCCCTGGGGTAACCGAACAAGCGATCTCTAGCTATTTCTACGTCCTTCTCGGTTGTCTCGTGTAGTACCATATCGAAGCGACGCACGAGGACAGCTATGGTCATGTACAGTTCTACATAGGCCAAACTGCGGTCGCGAAAGAGATAATTGTTATGAAGGTTTTCTTTGAAATATTGACAATTGGTGCGTACCTCATTCCCAAACAATGCCTTGTTCCTTTACCAAAAGTGACAATATAGTCTTGAAGTCGCAAGCCTTTTTCTTGAGCCTCAATCCAGCGTTCTGGTCTGAATTCGGTTGGGTTCGGAAATAGCTCTGGATTCATGTGAAGAAAGTGATTGCTTTCACTTATCCCGGTCTACGTTGAGATTGTTAATCAATGTGCTCAGATCGTCCTCCGCGAGAAGTATAACATACCCCGGGCGGAATAACTAAGCCTTTATACACAAGTGTTTCAGCAGGTGCCACCCGAGGAAGCCGGGTCAATGGGCCCAGTGATAGACGAAGGCCCTCATAAACAACTCCTCTCTGAGAATCGTCAGACCCGTGTAGACAGAAGCGATGACTGATTGTTTGGCCATGGACAGTGATGGTGGGAAAACAACTCACCAAGTACGGTAAGGCTTCTAGATTTTTCTGGGCAATATGATCCATATCCCCAGGGTGCGGAAAAACTTCCTTGAGCTGTTGGTGAAGTTTGTTGTATATGACTTTGTTGTGATTGAGCAAGTGAAAGAAAGTAAATGCTAGCGTTTTTCCAGCCGTTACACCCGCGTTTAAGATAACGAATCCTTCGTCACCCAGCCGTTCTAGGCTCCTTTCAGATTCCGGAATACTTGGATTGTTGAGTTCTTTCAGTACTATCGCATCGCTGGGTATTCCTTGTTTCATTTTACCCAGCTCTTCGACTGTCATATCTAGAATCAATCGCCTAAGACCCAGCACTTTGGATAGATTAGGATTTAACCATTGCACAAGTCCGTAGGGTAAAACTTTTGCAAGTATCATGATTGTTGGGAAAAACCTCACAATGTGGAACAAGGCAAGACTGGCAAGCAAGCTTTCTCTGATATCATTTTTGAAGTAATCATCTTCCATGTATCCAAGACAGCGGCCGAAGCCGTACTCCGATGTGATATCAGCCGTCAAAGCTGAGAATGCTGAATCTAGCTTGATTGGGGTCCCTTGAAGACGAGCTCTTTCGAATCTTTCTGCCAAAAAGTTGATTTTGTTCCGGATGAGCGGTTCTATACCGGCTACTGCTTTCTTTGAGAAAACATTCAACAAAGGCAGTCGACGAGAGTTATGAAGTCTCGAGTCATGTGTCTCAAAAGCCGAGTGAGTAGCGCCAGTAAATCTATAGAATGGGGCATATTTGTCTCTCGGACTTGAATTTCCGGTATAGATTTTATTGTAAAACTCCGGGTCACTGAAGTGAAGCTCGTTTGGAGTAATGCGAACGACGGGGCCTAGATGGTTTTAACTGGAATACTACTACACTGATAACAACATATTTGAGTTGCTTACCATATTGTTTATGGAGTTCCTCTATCTTCCATGGAAACATGCCATCTCGTATGACGCTGTGGTAAAACTCGAAGGCACTTGTAGCAGCCGCAATTTTAGGACCGGGAAATTTAGACAAAGGATGAATGTATAAACGATATAAGATTTTGAGAAAAGAATAAAAAGCCACACAAATAAGGCCAACGACTAGCACATTGTAGGCACTAATTTGAGCTGAAATGAAATCCACAAGCATCGTGACATAGAAGCAAGGTTCAAATGGCTGGTCCGATTACAACCCCTGAACCAACTGTATACAATGTCCTATAGCCGGAAAATGTGCTATCATCTTTTCGGTGCTTATATATGACAGACTGAGTAAAATCCACACTAAATCATAAACACACTCTTGGATAAATGACCCACTAGCTGAACACAACGATTATGAGTAGATGCTAGTCCCACCTTGAAAATTTCCTAATATGGCAATTTGCAGTCATCAGCCACTACAGAGTAGAAAAGGAAATGGTCCTGCCAATGATATCATTCCAGACTGTCGACGATCTTTCAAATTTTACCATGAATAAGAATGATAACATATGTCATTGAAATTACCAATTTGTATTGGGCGTTGCGAGTTGCAAACCTAGGCCACCTGTACACAATTCATACCGTATTATCTGTGGCACTAGTCATAATTTTCCAGAGTAGGAGGTAGAGGTATAGCCAAATATGTGATGTCGATAGAAGCATGGTTATTACCATTTCCAGGAATTTCCAGGAATTTCGTAACTGGGGCATATGTAGTGGATATTTTATTCAGCTCCTCTATCACAAATACTATTTCACTAGTGACTGTATAACACACACCACGTAACTCAATGGTTTGCATTTCCATAGTTAAAATTCCTTGGATCCCAAAGCAACCCTCAGGTGAACGTGATAGTTCAACATAGAGATATCAAGACGATTTCCTAGCCTATAGTCATCCTTTCTACCTGCCAAGCCTGACAGTCATGGACGAGAAGCATCTTCCGTCTAGCGCGGCGGAATCTGATGTCGGCTTTACAGTAAGCGACAAGACTGTACATGCCAAGGCAGTACACAATGTGAGTTTTCATTTCGTCTCTATTTTTCTGTTGAAACGAGATTGTATACTGATGAGGCACATGTTAGGCGGAGCTATATGCTGCACTACAAGAACATGAAATAAATCTTAGGGGCAAAGAGTCATTTCAATTATACTGTGAGCAAATCAAAGGTAACTCTCGAATTATACCTAGATATTTGATTGATGGTCTTGAATAGTCGCTATCTTTATTGCATTTTGTTGTGCCTGTGCTATTGGCTACGATGGTGAGTAAAATATCGACCAAAAAAAATATATTTCTTAGCTCATATATTACCTTTAATAGGTTCCTTGATGACTGGTATAATTGCCATGAAGCATTTTCAAGAAACTTTTCATAGCGGAACAACTGGCACACACGTCTCTATCATATATTCGTTTTATACAGTGTTAGTGCTGCAACCAACCTCGTGCCACAACCTCCGACATACTGTATTGAAATCTAACATGGCAGGTGGTTTGATATAGTGGTTCCATGGTCGGTGCACTATTTGCGGCCATTTTGTCCGATCGATATGGCCGTCTGCGAGCGATGTTCTACGGAGGCGCGGTCATCATTGTCGGCATGATTATTGCGGCCACTGGTAGGCTGATCCCACTTCCTCTGTCAAAGATGCTCAAGTTACTAAAATAATGCTATCTATTGCTAGCTACAACCACCAGCCAGTTTGTCGTTGGTCGAGCTATCGTCGGCGTGGGGACAGCGTTCATGAGTGTCTCTGCCCCGTCCTATTGTCTTGAGATTGCCATGCCACATTGTGAGTTATCAATTTCTAATTCACGACTAGCACGAAATGCAACTGATAAATATACACCTAGGGCGGGGTCGATTTGTAAGCACTCCCAAATCAATCTAGATTATCTTCATCACTGACTGCCGCCGAAGACGGGGTTCTTTAATGTGGGCTGGTACGGTGGCTCTATTCCAGCTGCCATCATAAACTTGTAAGAATTTGACTATTGGCTTACTTCATTGAGAGTTTCGCATTGTTACATACGGCCTACCCAAACATACGCATGGAACTTGGTTCCCTCGAAGAACTTGAGTCCATGCCGCCGTGAACCTCTCTCTATCAATTACTGACTCTGATGTACTAGTGGATGCAACTACATCGATTCAAATTATTCATGGAGAATTCCTGTAATATTTCAAGCTCTTGGCTCCGTTATCGTTATGTCATGCGTCTTTTTTCTTCCAGAATCGCCGCGGTACCTAAGTAAGTCTCTTTCCACGCGACCTGCTCCTGTTCCAAAACCAGTTACTTTCTTGGTAATTCTTAGCCAGATGATATACTAAAACCCTTTCATGTAGTGGCCAATGGACGGGAATTAGAGGCTGAGGACTTTATTGTCAAATATCACGGCAACGGGCGCCGGGACTCCCCCCTCGTGCTCCTTGAGATTCATGAGATGAAGCAATGCATCCGCCAGGATGGTATCGACAAAAGATCATTTGACTGTAAGTCCCTTCCGCCAAAGATGTTGGTTTTATGAGTGTATCAACCTTAGTGAGCTAATATAATTCAAGATCGACCACTCTTGCTAACACACAGTGGGCGATGGCGACTGGCGCAGGTTTTGATGATGGCCATCTTCGGACAATTTTCCGGGAATGGCCTGGGTTACTTCAATACTGTTATCTTTGCAAACCTTGGCATAAATAGTGTGCCTCAGCAATTGGCGTATAATATCATACACTCTGTCGTGGGGCTTGTCGCGTAAGTCAGTCCCTTGTACCTGCGCGTCTCCTAGGTAATTGTGGAAACGTATTTGCTCCTACTGCTAACATATTGAGAGACAGAACGCTCGCATCTCTTTGTGTAATTGATCGCATAGCCCGGCGAAAGCTCCTTGTTCTAGGCTCACTAGGTAAGATGATTTGGCAATATTATGAGGTTCCAATGTCAAATCAGACTCATGATGCTAACAGAGATGTAATCATAGCATGTGCTCTTACGCTGGCCATCAACTCTGGACTGTCTGCAGCTTTGTATTCTCAGGATAATCATGTACAAAAGTCCTATGCCAAAGGCGCACTTGCAGCTTATTTTTTGTTTGCCGTCGTCTTCGGCTTCACGTATACTCCACTACAGAGTATTGTTCCAACCGAAGCACTTGAGACTACTACCAGGGCCAAGGGAATGGCCATCTACAATCTTGCGGTTGGTGCTTCAAGCTTTATCAACCAGTTCTGTGGCCCTATTGGCCTTGGAAATATGGGCTACAAATATATTTACATCTTCGTTGGGTGGAACGTAGTTGAGGCTATTTTGTGGTATTTCTTTGGGTTAGAGTTTCCTAACTGCTTTCATGAACATGAAGACTAACATATACCCTTTATCTAGCGTCGAGGCACAAGGTCGCACTCTGGAGCAACTCGAGTGGGTTTACCAACAGTCAAACCCTGTTAAGGCATCCCTCGAAGTTGATGAGATTGAGGTGCGGTCCGATGGCAAGGTCGTCAATCACACTGGCCATCGCCGAGTTTGAAGAATATTTATGGATCTGGAAGAAACAAAGTCAATTGCCAGGTTTCTAGGTCGTGATTGCTCAGATCTATTCTGGGCAGAAGTGTGCAGATTAACATATCCGTGGATATTAGTTACTTTAGTATTCCGAAAATCCTTCAGTCATATGTTATACTTCAGCTTCCATGAGGTCAATCTATCTCAGATTTTGTCTAATATTAGCACTTGAGCGTATTGAAAGACATATGATGATCTGAGAACATGTCAGGAAAGACTAATGTTGGCATGTGAACCTCACACCCTACGAATATGAATCTTTGTGATAGTCCAGCCAAATATTTTCATGTTAGTTCTCTTTACATGTATGGAGAGCAGGATCTCAAGCATAACTACCTAGGAAATATTCACAGTTGCGTTTTGTTTTAGGAAGCAAGTGTTGCTACTTTTGCTAGTCAATCATTCTCCATTTTCAGATTCTATAATCAAGACTTGGACTATATACATACAGTGAAAAGGAATTGCCTTTCGGGGAAATATGTGTTGCCTTTGAGCAAAAGACTTTGTGTTTCATACATAGCTACACGCTATTACCAGAGTAAACAGTGATAAAAGGTAGGGACATTCATGAGCCTACAAGAGAGCTATTTGCGGATAGAATACTGTCTGTGTATGATAAGCATATGTGTAAGAGGTCTCCTTAGAACGATCTGCTCCATGGCTTCTGCTAATGTCATGTATGGGAAAGGGGGCAAAAAAGGGAGGAGGGGACATTCACTCTCTTTTCTACATGGGTGGTCGCCGAGAATCGAAATCAAGTGAAACATTCACTGCTTGGACTTATCTATTGGAAGACTTCAAAGCCCAAACAAAGCTCAAACAAGGCTTAAGTTGCCAGAAGCAAGCTACAAAAGCAAAAATTACTCTATTAGGCAATGAATTTAATTCTTCATACACAAGAACTTAATCCAGGGATTATCATCAAGGGATACTGTAATATAAGAAAAGAATTTCCCCATCTGGCAATTGATCATGCTTAAGGCATGAATTTATACTCATAAAAATTAGTGCCACGAGATCATTTGACGAATAAAACCAAAGAGAAAGACGCAAAAGAATAGAATCTATTCTTCTATACTTTTAGAGATATTTTGGTGTTCTTATAGTCATACAGGGCCAAGATTCTCAGGGGTGGCTGTTTCCGCAGCCTCCAATATATACAACATCCTCTCCCTTTCATTCGAGGGTGCCACACCCATGAGCCTCGAGAGGTCTAATATTTGACAGAGCTGGAGGTCTTCAGTTGTGAGTAACGCAATGTCCCTAGGGGTATTTCCGACAACTTCTGCCAGTAGCTGCCCTACAATTGAATATTGCAGATCTAGGTCCTGCGAGCGCCAGCCTTCGTTTTTTGATGTTGCCCATGTGAATTCGGCAATGAGACAGAGCCATATTATCGATTGTCGCGCTTTCACCACAGACAAACCACCTGAAATACCGGTGGAGATACTGTTATTGACGACAGTGGATGATTGAGCACGTATCGTGAGTAATATGAACCTCATGTGTTTCAATAGGATGCTGAGTATTACTGATAGATCATCAGACTCATACGGAGTTGTCTTAGGACCACACAACGCCATACAGAGTAAGCCTGCGAGGCGAAGCGCAGTTGTTAGGGCCCCGGCATTGCCGGTTCTATCTGGTCTGCTTTCGACATCGGTTCTAGCCAATTCCTTGCCAGTTGCATGGACCAGCAGTCCCTCTTCCCTGGGCAAAATTGGGGATGGCACGGTCAGAAATGAATGCTGGATGCTGAACCAATCTTCCGCTAAAGCATCGATCTTAAACTTGAGCCTACCGTCAGTTGATAATGCATAATCAATTGCTCGTATAAAATGAGAAAGAGCTACGAAGGTTTCAACAACGGATGCAGTAATCCCAGCCCCAAGCAAGCTCCGCACAATGATATCCCGGGTTTTTTGTCGGTCTATGGCTGGAATAATACAGCTAACTGGCTCACTGAAACGTATGAAAGGTAGCACTGGCTCGGATGCTAACTTGATAGATCCTATAAGATCCGCCCTTTTTTGAACTTTTGGTTAGGGCTGTACTATTTTACAGTGTATGTTTGTCAAGATGGAAAAACACTCACTTTCTGATGAGAGTTCGCGTCTTAGGATCTAGGGCTTCAAGTGACCCTACTAAAGTCTGCAAACCTTGTAAGTGAAGATACCAATCGTTACAGTTCCCAAGTAGCACCTATGTTCACATTCATGTATCAGAAACTCGTTCACTGCCCGTGTGAGGTCTGAAAAACTTGTGCTAACTTACGGCAACGATTGCTAGACTAGAAGCAGAATGTACTATCTTCTTGTCGGCCAATCGAGCCTCCTCGCTGCTGAGAGCCTGGTTCAAAATAGCACAAAGCCGGCCACAGTGGAAGGCAAATTTAGTTGAATCTTTTTCTCCACTTTCCAGAAAGAAAAACAATGCCCCTATCGACAAGGCACAATCTCGGGCCAGGGGGTCTGATAACAAGGACTCGCTTTTTCTAGTGTTTTCAGAAGGATAGTCTTCAATCAAATGTAAAGTTTTGATAGGCCACAAAAGAGGAAGATGAATCAGCTTTATATATGAGTCGATATATCGGCTATCCTGTTCCGTCGTATGATTTGAACAACAATCCTCGAAGGCTTGATCGACGACCGGTTCAGTCACATCATAGGGCAATCCCGAAATGCTATCTTCATCGAAGAATGAGATGTCTTTAGATTGAGTCCATGAGATTAATGTATCAGTCCCAAATTCTGTAAATATGCTCGAGCAGTCGGTCGAAGCCGTCTGCGGATTGGCATTCTCAGTTATCCATGGATCAAGAATATCCACTCCTTCGTCACAGGGTAGGCCGGACCAGTCATAGAGTTGTTGTACCTCAATGCTCTCTGTTCTTATCAAATCATGCGTCTCATCTTCAGTAGGTTTGTTGTGGTCCGCTTGTTTGTCTTCATCGAATTTAGTAGTTGCTCGTCGATTTTTCTTCTTTCCAGCTGGATTCTTCTGAGTGACAAACTTCATTTGTTCAGGAACTGGCTTCGAGAACCCAGTCCACTCTTGGTTGTCTGCGTTCAACGACGATGAGTTGACAAAGGCTCGGCCTTGGTGTCTTTGTCGGACGGTTTGTAGACCTCGTTTGGCCACTACAGCCGGTGGTTTCGTGGTAGATTTAGGATCGCTCATTTCGCCCAAGAGTCCAATCAACCAAGTGGACAGTGGCAGAGAAGTGAGAGGCTAGATAGAGATAGACAGAAAATGTCTTTCTACCGCAGTTAATTACCCGCGAATTCATGATTAAGCCCTCTATCAAGTGGCTTGTATTAGCAATACTACTATAACCACTCCATCTTCCCAAAATTGATGGAAAGTCACGACATGTAGGACTGGCCCGACCGCCACACTAAATATACAATATATCTAGTGAAAGGTTTTCAGATACTTACATGGCATAAGTCAATGCAGCAATGAGCGCATCTAGTATAGTTAATCTCTGAAGATAATAATATTTTCTCAGTAGCGCTGAATTGTCATTGAGCTAAGGCAAGATAACAGGGCTGATTCTATTTTAGATAACAAGGCTGATTCTATTTCAAATACGCAATTTTTCTCGTGACCAATTCCACCCGGCAATAAATTCTATTAGAATTGCTTGCGTTGTATATGTGCCCCCATAGCTGGTTATGCTTCTTTCGAACTTCAATTTCCTGCAATGTGTATTTACCTTCACTTTCTACTAGCGCCATGAGAGAAGTGCTGTCGCGTGCGCAACGTTATAGCTTCAACATTAATTAGCTATGTTATAATCCTAAAAACTTGGCTATTATCCTAGGGCTACACAGAATAGCCAATGAGGAGCACCTAATAAGCTCTAATAATCGCCTAATTCCTGAACAAATTTACAACTTGAAGAGCCAATCGTCTTCAGCCGTAGCGCTAAAAACCCCTTGATGTCTTGATAGTGACAAGCTTTCCTCGTACACTGCTGAATGTGCATGTATTTTATCTTAATTTGACGTCCCTTTGGGGTGACGAGATATACATTAGTAATGCAGATCACTACTTGAAAGTATTCAGAATTCTATAGCCCCATACGAATTTGGACTTTTTAGCCCCTGCATAGGGTGTGCTGCCACCAAGCCGCATGTGATACGACACTAAACGAGGACTTGCTTCACTTGATAATAACCTTTTCATCTGATGCTATGACTCGGATCAACCTGGCGTTTGAGTTATGTTATATAACTCATTTCTCTTTTCTTGACGCTTGACTGCAAGCGTGTTTATTCAGTTATTTGAGATTATTCTTACTGTACTGTCTTAGGCACTTTTTGCTCCTAGAGAACCGAACTATTAAAATGGGAATGCTATAACGTACCTAATCGGTAAGCGAACTATCATTCTTTTCCAAAAGCGAACCCGATATTAATTCTCTATTATAAAACATATCGGATATGCCAGCAATCTATCAATTGGTTAAAGATACCGCCACTTAACGGACAACTGTACGTCGTAGTTGATAGGCACGGAAATGACGACCATGGTCTGTGACTATATTTCCTCAAGAGGAAATTTCTAAGAGATTCGAGGGACTATCTACACGTTGTAAATGAAATGTCAAAATATAGTAGCTGAATCACCTATAAGAGACACTACTGATATCTTCTAGGGTCCCAGTCTATGTTTCGGCCCCCAACGATACGAAGATGCAAAAATCACGAAGAGTTGGTTTATCTTGATGAGTTCTTACGCCAGTACTAGCTCTAAATTCGTCATCTGTTAGCTAGTAACTACAGAGTACTACGTGTAAAGATGAAGAATTGTCACACTACTGTAGACTATCGACGTGGATATCAGCTTGACAATAATCCAAATCAGTGTTGTAATGATATTACAAGCTGTATTTGTTGGTTCTAAGCGGCGGGGCCATCTGGGCAGAAATCTGAATGGCTCAACATATTATCTGCAAGAGGAATGTTGCTGATGTATAGACAGTAGTCTACGGAGTGCTTCAACATTCTTGGAATTACTATACACAGTAAGAAAAATTCCTAGTACTGAACTATACCCTTCCGAGGCTTAATGACCTGCGTCATCATAGGAGTGTTTTGTGCCTTCATGTCAGGGAGGATCAAGATTCTGTGTCACGTCTTGTTCCTTTGCAAGTCAGGTCAGCATTCCTTTATATGGTAGTTTATCGGGGTTTTCTGCTAGTAACGGCCCACGGAAAACCGAAAAGCAGCTTGTTAGCTCTGGTCTTCTACGTGACAGGTAATCAGGCCACTAAAGAAGGAAGTGGCGGAATATATTGGAGACAACTCGAGGAACAGAGCCTGCCAACCTGCTGTAAACAGATCGTATAGATGTGGATTTAAAGTTGAATGAAGATATCGTGGAAAGAAGCGCCAGGAGATGCTGCCAGCCGTAATCCATCAGAAGTTCCTCTAAGTCCCCGGTAATGTGAGATAATTCGACAACCTTCATTTGCCATCCTATGCTCAATGTTGAGTTATGATAGCCCGAAGTTGTTGGATGGCAAGCGCTTTTTCCAGTCTAATCCGGTATAGTGTCTACCATGACATTGGACGAAAACGGAACTACCTTTTTATAGCTATGATATCAGGAGCATAAATTCGTGGCTTAACTTTGAGGCATAAATTGGTTCGCTTAGTTAGAAATATTTGATGTAGATATTAATGCAGAGAAACGGGAACGAAAAATTTACATCCTGAAAACATCATGAAGGGTTGATTCCCTTGCAAAGAGACACTTGAATCAAGCTGTACAATTATCAGATTTTCAAGTGGAAGATTATTTATGCTCTATCATTCCTCAACACGGCTCTGCAACTTGTGCTTTTCACAAAGCTGTGGAAGACAAATTGCGTTGTGGGAAACCTTCAACTTCGCCTTTTTGGACCAAAAATCTGATCTGCGGTCCATAAATAGACATTAGAGTAGAAACAAACATGCTAAGAACAGCAACCAGCAACAAACACTGCACACTGTAACCTTCAACCGGTCGTTGGTATTTGGTCGGTGCATGAGGTCCTTTCATTTTCACCTCTGGCGCAATGTTTTCGGCTTTACTGGTCTTCATCGCGTTCAAAGCACCTGGGAGGCCGTCTACGCTCCATGAATTCTTCTCAGCCCAGTATCTGTTTCAGATGAGTCAGATAACCTGATAGAAGGCAGAGCGAGTGGAACAACGAGCCTTCTTATATCCTCTTTTTTATCACCTGAAAGGAACTTTTCCTCTTTCTTGCGGAATTGGTCATTCAATATCGTTCGAAAATTCTTGAAGTCATATCTCGGCACCGAGTATCCGCAAGAAAATCCCACTTGGTGTATGTCGACAATGATAATACATCTAGAGCCAGGGATTGTCTCGATATTGTGTTTAGCAACGAAACTTTTGAAAGATACAGAGCCGTATTCGAGGACTTCTCCGTATCCGTACAGTCTCATAATTCTTGGGGGCCCCTCGAATGCGTTAAATTGCACGGTGATTCGACCATTCTCGTACAAATGGCTAACCGTTTCGCTGCCCGAACCTGTTAAGTCGAGATACCAGAACTGCTTGGCATTATTGGCCAATCCAAAGTAGTTGCCTCCCTTTGGTGAGATATTGACATGTCCTGTAGCGGACAAAGGTGCGGTGGCTACCCAGAACACTTTCTGACTTAGAAGCCACTCGATTGTGGATTCTGGGATGGTTTCAAAGTATCCGCCCATTTTGTGGACTATTAATTCTTTAAACAAGGTGATTTCAATTCTCAAAATAAGAGAGAGTAAAGAAAGCTAGTCAGGTGATTCCTATACTCTTTTTTGAGCATGGGAATCCTCAGTGGGTACGGAGGGGAACGATGTTGCGTCAATACTGCCACAAATAGTGGATAAGGCACCTAGTATATTTGTGAGTAATAACATCATTGACAAGGATTGATGAAGTGGGAAAAGAGCGCTAACAAAGGGCCTTTCAGATAAAATTACCCAACTTAGTAAATTGTGATACCTTACCTAAGCAACGACCTGTGATTGAGCTATAACTAAGTACATATTGATTTGCATTCAAACTTTGAAAATAGGAGTTCTTCAGAAGTCTCTTAGGTCTGTCAGAGATGGCACAGATTCGTCGAGGTTGGTTTGTACTCGGATCAAACATCTTCTTAATTGCAGGGACTTTCTTGTTTCTTTCTGGCCTGCTTCGACCCAAGGCGATTCCATCGACAATTGATTCATCATGGGTTCACGATGTACAGAAAACTGCCTCGGCACCGTTCGATCGCGTGGTTTTCATGCTTGTAGATGCATTGCGAAGGTTCATTCTGACTTATCCCAAGTCATCACAGAGTTCATATGCTAATATGCATAATAATACCTAGCGACTTTGTGTTTTCCAATAATTCAGGTTTCTCCTTCACACAAAGGTAAGTGCACCCATTATCCTTGGTACAAGAAGTACCTTTCATTAATGCTTCGTGGTGGCAAGTCTCATCCGATCTGGGGCTGCTCTGCCATTCACTGGTTTGGCAGGTCCCCCTACGCTTACGATGCCTCGTGTAAAAGCAATGACTTCGGGCGCAAGTCCATGCTTCCTCGACATGTTCTCAAATATTAGAGACTCCATGAATCGAACAGAAGCTACACCCACATGGCTCCACGGTCTGAAAGCCGCGTATGCCGACAGGAATCTCACGTACGCTGGAACTAGAACTTGGACTGATCTCTATCCCGACGTGTTTGATAGATCGAACCCGACGGACGCGAATTTCGTACCAGTCAGTTATACCTCTCCAGAGAAAAGTACTGTTATAAATCTAATTGCGCAGCTCTACAGGACTATATGAGTGTGGATGAGGTGGTTAGAAAACACGTCGAGGTCGAATTGCAAAATGATGACTGGGCTGCCCTTGTTCTACACCTAGCAGGGGTTGATCATATCGGGCATATTGGAGGACCAGATAGGTGAGGAATCTTTTCTTCTACTTCGATCCTTTCTAGGATTCGATCTGACCGTTATCGCCCAGCCCATATATGATCCCCAAGGAGCGCGAAATTGATAAATTGGTGCAACAAATCTTCAACGCTATCAGTGAAAAGTCATACCTGCAAAACACCCTATTCATTCTTGTTGGAGACCACGGCATGGACAGCAGGGGAAATCACGGGGGATCTCTAGAGAGCGAGATGTCCGCAGCCTTAGTTTTCATGTCGCCTGTTTTCCAACGCTTGTATCCCGGGCAAGAATCTCCCACTAGGCCTATCGAGGGAAATTTCGGCTACCATAAATTGATAGACCAGACAGATATCGTACCTACGATTTCTGGTCTGATCGGTGTTACAGTGCCCAAGCTCAACTTGGGTGTTGTAATCCCAGACTTGTTGCCTTTATGGAAAAACACTCACGAGCACGTCAATTTGCTGCACCAAAATGCCGCACAAATCATGGCACTTTATCTAGATTGGTTATCATTATCTCCGGCGGCTGATTATGAGATTTTTAATCTTTGGAAAAGGGTAGAGATCGAGCTGGATTCAAGTCCAGGGAACGCATTGAGTGTTTTGTATGAGGTATGTCGTGTTACTCTCTACTATTGTCTTTCAACTGACTGGTCTCAGTTCTGTAGACGAGCACAACATACAATGAGTATACCTCATGGCGATATCAGCTATCCACCTATCTTTTATGGATTGATAGCAGGCTTGGTAGTCATCGTCACTGCACTTCTTGTATTCCGAACCATCCCGCCATCACTGCGTCCTGAGAAGTTGAAAATAGCCACTTTTACTCTGTTGTACGGACTTACAATGTTCGACATCAGACTGATCGAAAAGGAGCATCTGTTTTGGTACTATGGTTCTCTAATATACACGGGATATGTCAGTTATGCGAGGTAAGGCCACGCAATCACTATTCTCAAAGCTTGAAGAGTTGTGGAAATTGATGAAACTGATAGTTTCAACAACGAAAAAGGACTATTTTCGTCTATATCGGTATTTCTGCTTCAATTCATAAGTCAATCATGGAACCAGGCTGGTGAAAGCCCGTCTCATCTTGCTGTCCTCATTCAAGCGTACCTCGAACGCAACACGGTCTTTCTGTGGATACTAGTTGCTACGACTTATGCAATCAGTGGTCACTATCTGTCGAGTGGGCTTGGGCAATACGAGGCCAGGATATATTCAGTATTCCGTTTGTTGCTTCAAGGTCTAGCTTTAGCAGCCTTCCTGTTCAAATTTTATTCAACTCTCACCATCACCCCACAGTTAGTGGCATTCGCGCCATTATGGGTTTATAAATCCTCTCATTACATTGATATTATTACCTTGTATAGAGTTCTTGGTGCCGGCCTGATTTCGGGGATAGCCTTCGTTTTATATAGGGCGAAAAGAGGTTTTAGAAGAGAGGGTATGTCTTTGATTTTGGCTTCTAATTCCATGAATCTGCTGCTAATAATTTGACAGAGAATATTGCAGCCTTGACAGAACTTTCAGGTTTATACTTGATGACTCAGTCTCGCGTGCACAATGTACCACTCTTTCTGATTTACAGAATCCAGCTTCAACTCTTCGGTGAGTATTCCCACCAGCCCAATTATGATTGTACAAAAATGACACTGACGCGGTTGCACAGCCTATATTCTTGAGAGACCAAATGTTTTTGGGATCTCTTTTCTGGTATCGCTGCTCTCTCAAAGCGCCTATTCAGCGTTTGGATACAACAACTCAGTGGCAACATTGGACATACCATTGGGGTTCAATGGCGTCAATTATTGGGTTGCTAGCACCATTCAACTAATCCAGTGGCAGCTCTTCATAACTATGTGGGCAGGTTCAACTTGGTGGGTGTGTGCCGGACTAGGACTCCTTGCAAATGCAGAGGACTCGCTGGACAAACCGCCTCAAAATAGAAACACCTTCAAAACCGAGGAACTCAACGGCCACCAAAACGGAACAACGGCAGATGCATCAAAGAAAACTTTCGTTGAAAACGACTCGGTACTCGGACAAGGAAAGTGGACCACCTACTTGGCCTACATCACTTTGTTTCAAGCCGTGGGTTTGATTCGGCTCATTGGCGCAGCTATTTGGTACAGAGATGATCCTGTACTTTGGACTGTGATCCTACACGCCGCGGCACTTGTGGCCATGAAACTGATTCCACACACCACTGTGAATTGCTTGTTCAGCGGATTAATATGGTTGAAGGCGTAGAAGTTGGTACTGCGGGATTCCTTAATTTTTTGACATCTGTGCGCATCGCACAGTGGCTGCATAGCTTTTACTACCTTTCTCATATAATTTATTGCCGTAGACTACATGCAGTTCCCTTTGAAGAAGGCCTGTGTTCACAGGTCGCGGTACATAGATATGTTTCTAGTGGTAGTCAACAAAGGCAAAAGATACTTTAGACATGTTTTCTCAGCTCGCAGATCCAGCTCTACCATACTGTACACGTAGGCACCTAGTTTACATTAAAAAGGGTGGGAAAGAAAGACACCAGCAATAAAAAGAATTAAGAATCCCAAGAACCATCTAACATAAATACTCAACCAGGATTTCTCATGTACAAATAAAAGCAGAAGAAACAGCATGATAGTAGACAGCCTTGAAGAAGGTTTCATCCTACAGTGTCACCAGAAGGACTTTGTTAAATAGATGATACACAATTGGTCTCTATTACCTTCAATAACAACGATTATGAAGTCTCGGAAGCTGCCGCCTTCTCGGTTCCATCAACCGCTGCTTCAATTTTCGGTCCGCCTTGATCTTCCACGTTTGGCCTTTTCAAAATACTTTTCCACTCTAGAGTAGCCGTACCGAGCACAGTCAGGCATGCCAGAGTCAGTCCAACCACAAATACCATCCGCAGCGCCTCGTTATAGGCCACCAAGGCCTGTTCTATATCACTCTGCGGGAGCGCGCTCAATACCGATGTGGCACCACTCGAACTTATGAGATTTCGATTGAATCCCGGTACGTCAGATAGTCTTTGAACAAGCTGATTAACCAAGATATTCTCACCAACAGAGTTGAACACAGTTGACCCGAGGAGTTGAGCAAACACCATTAGCGAAGCGCCAACAGGCACGTCCCTAGCTGACAAGACAACCTGCACAGCAAGATTAGGTGCTTGAAAGCAGAAACCCTGCCCAAATCCTAGGATTATCTGATAACCTATCAGTTTCCCTTCATCCGTGCCGACCCTGAGAATTGTGAATAGCCCCGCCCCGATGGACATTATGCAAGAGCCCATGATGGCGAAAGGAGTGTAGTATCCGACCTTTTGGGTTGCTATACCGAATATGATTGATGATACACAAGTAGCTATTATCACGGGAAGTAGTTGAATTCCTGATTTGATTGCCGAATCACCATTTATCGACTGGAACCATATAGGAAGGTAGTTGGCTATACCGATGTTAGTTATAGGATGACCGGAAAAATGGCCCAAAACAAGGCAGTCTTACACAATAGAGTTTGTGCACCACCATAGCATATCGATGACCAGCAGCTCGCCACGACACTTCGTTGTCTGAAAATTCTTGAAGGTATTGTAGCCGATTGAGGGAGTAAGACTTGAAGCGTGACAAATATAATCCCAAAGATCCCGGCGAGAGTCAATAACGCAATGATACGTCCGTTATTCCACTGACGATGGTTGTGAGCTCCTAATATAAAAGAATATGTGGTTATTAAAAGGCTCACCGGCAGCTTCTGTTCACCCCATGCAAGCGCTAATAACAGACAAACCACGCAGGGTATCAACGCAAAAGTACCCGGAAGATCAAGATTCCACAGCTTTTTCTTCCAGGTGAGTGTATTGTCGTCCCTAGCAGGTACTCTCAAACAAGTTGCAAGTATTACCAAGACAATTGCTCCAAAAGGAATGTTTATATAGAAACACCATCTCCAAGTCAAATTCGACGTAAATGCCCCACCAACTAAGGGCCCTGCGATGCTAGCAACACTGGAAACAGCAGTGAAGCCTCCTTGTATGGTCGGACGCTTTTCCAAAGGAATGGTGCACATGATACACACAATCTATGAACGTCATTAGCATTTGATTGAGAATGTACAGTGAGAATTTTCAACGCACACATCCAGCGTATATGCCAGAGGCACCAAAACCGGCGATTGCTCTCCCAATGATCAAGGCTATTGAGCTTTGAGCGGAGCCAGATACTGCAGATCCTACTTCAAAGATTCCAACGCTTACGATATAAACCGCTTTAACGGAGTAAAAGGTGTAGAACTTCCCAACTAACAGCTGGGACGAGCAACAGGCTAGGGTGAAGGCACTTCCGTACCAACCAACGTCTTGGATCGAGTTGAATTCATTTGTGATCTTAGGTATTGCCTAGAGGATATTTATGAGCACATGGCTAGAGTGTTTCTTAGTCAAATCGAATTCGGAAAGATGACTCACTGTTGCGAGGACATTCCTGTCCAAACCGACCAAGAACGAGCTCGCGAACACCGAGGCCAACAAAAGGATTGTTCTGGTTGTAGAGTGGTTCTGGTATGTATCACCGAATTGCGTCCGAACAGGTGAAATGTTAGTCGAATCACTGGAAGACATCTCTTCTGCTTTGCTTGCATGTAATTTTGAGTCATCTGAAGTCAAATCACCGGTTTCGAAGGGTTGAGATTGGTCAAGCACCATATTGGCAGCAATTCCAGTCTGTTCCTGCTTAATTTTTTCCAAATAGACCATTTGCAATAATAAATCAATAAAATATGACTCAGTATTCAAGCATACGGCATCGTCTACAAACTTGGTGTGCACTCCCTGCTGTGCTCACTTCGATTGTTCGTTTGCATAAAGGAAACGAGGAGACAATACGATGCCTTCAAAAATAAAGAGATAACAAAGAAAAGAGACCAATCCCTGCCCAAAGTATTATTTTAGTCTCAAATCAAGTCCTAGCTCGATCTGGCAGGTCATTCGTTCATACATTGCATATGCACTAGGGCTGTCACACATAGTAATTCAAAATTACAAATACAGCTCCACACCTAACTTAGCAATTTTCATTTCCACGCATTCGGATACTACGCTGACTATAACCCTGGTATCAATACACTGCTTGAGCATCATATCGTCTGTGAAATGTGGTTGCCATCTTTGTCAACTATTTTACGCAGTTGATGTATTTTTTGATTCTTCATAGTACGGCTGCCGAGGTGAATGGAAATGTAATTCATGGCATTTCGTCAGGATATGTAAGTCAAGTCCCCATGCAACTCAAACTTTTAACAAATTCTCAATCTCTTCGACTTTCTCAATTAGCCAAAAGCTCTGCAGTCCTTGCACAAAGCGCTCTGAGCATTCATCTAGATAATCCTCCGCCTCGGCTGCAAAGCAGAGTCGGCAATAAGCCCAACCTCTTTCTGTGCGAATTTGCTCTGTGGCGCTGTACCCTGTTCCTGGTGATAGCAGTATCAAATACGGTTTGCGTGTTAGATGAACGAGCATCGCAATGGACAATGCGGGGCCATCGATGACATTATTATGGCTGCCCGTGGATCTCCACAAGGGATGTCGCTCGAAGTGCAACTTGATCCATACTGACATACCACCGCGCGGCCAATTGAAGGAGTATATTTGCGTCCTCGTACTAACATCATCTTTGAGTGAAGATGATCCTCCTGTTCGCCATGAACCCTTCTCCAATATCGAGCAGGTTCGGTTCATACGACGCTCATATACGCCACGTAGGCCTGCTAGCCATCGAACCCACCCATCCATCTGCCAACCACTGAATATTGGCTTTTGTTCAGGAGAGGAATCCAAAAACTGCGCGACATCTCCTTCCTGGGAGCCTATGATAGTCTGAGCGACAAGGCTCTGAACAAACCCGGAAGGTTGCAGGCTTCCAGATTCCGTGATAAGAAGTATCTTTTCGCATATCTCCGGGGTAGCAGTGATCCATCCTAATCGGCAGCCGGGTGCTACAGTCTTTGAGAATGTGTCTAACCGGATGACACGACCATCTGTGTCAATATTCAAGAAGGACGGTGTCAAAGAGTCTAAGAAAGTATAACCAGAGTTGACTTCAAGTGAATTTCCTGACCCAACTTCTGGGATCGGTGTCCCCCTGGCTTTGGCTTCCTCGATTCCAGCCGATGGATACTGAAGAAACCAATATGGCTCSTCTTCAATAATAATCACATCATACTTGCTGCAGACGGCATATATTTCCTTCTTCCGTTTATGTGGGAAAACTATGCCGGTTGGGTTATGGCCCACCCTGTGTGAGGTTAGCTGATTGCTCAAAAGCCAAGTACCGAGTTCTCAAACATTATTCGCACTTACGATACACTATACAACAGGTGTGGCCTCTTTCCTGTACTACTGTTCCAATTCGCAAGAATCTCTTCCAACCCTCCCGGTCCATATGCAACAGGACCATTATCATCAATCTCAACAGGAACGATTTGCATGCCGCGTGGCCTGGCTTGTTTCAACACGTTGGTGAACATAAAAACATCACAGAGCAGGCCAGGGCGATCTTCAATCTTGCTTTTTCCTTCAATCCAGATATTGGTAAATAGATCCAATACTTTCGAAATACCGTCGGTCGAACCCACTGTAAGAATGACTTCTGGTCCATCCTTATATGGGACTTTCGGATGTAGGTGATTTCGTGAGAATTGGCGGATGAATGACAACAATGGCGGGTAGCCCTCTGGATGGCCATATTGTAATGCTGAAGCAATATCTAACTTGTAGACGGGGTCTTTATTTGAGATACTATGAGGCACAACGATGCGTGACGCGCCAATCGAATCGGCTAACGAAACTGCTGATTCGATCAGTGCAGTTGCTCTGCTGCCGTCTAGATCTGGCTGATCTGGTGTAGGAGCCCATCTCTTAGGGACTGCAATCTGTGCCTCAAGAGTGTCAAAGGGAAAGAGTTGTGGATCGGGATAACCTGTAGTTTGCAATTGTGAGCCGCTAGTTGTGGTACATTTTAGGCTGATGGAAGAGGCAAACCGCCTGCAAGATTAGCCATGCCAGGAATCCGTAAGTACTCTAAGTACTTTTCCATACTGCTTCCCTGGCGGAGCTTTGTGACATCGGAGTAATAATGACTTAGGTCTTTGCGTAAGGTCTTTTCCATACTTGCGGTAACACAACTCATATCCGTGTCTTGAAGCAATTGAGTAAAGTACGTCGACAACTTGGTAGGGACGAAGGGGAGAAATTACAGCAAGGTTCATTACAATTCAAGTTCCTTTTTCCGCTTCCTATGATATAATTACAAGAACATCTATCAAAGAATCATCAATCGGATCCAGACAACTCAATCCATATCTGCCAGGTCTACCCTTGATAGACACCATAACAGAACCATTACAAGTGCTGTAATTAATCTAGCTGGTTGAGGATTAGTGTTCCTTTGCGCATCAATGTTCAACGAGACATCCAATTGAGGCGCCACACCGCTAATATTGGGTGACGTGATGGATGTATCGCGACATTTTCACCAATATGTCAGACCTTTATATGCTTAACAGTACTATTACAGTAAATTACTATATATGGCATTGCATTTTTACAGCTATGGGATCTTCAAGCTCAAAAAGATAAATTGGAATTATATTAGTATGTACTACCTATCTTTGATGATTTTACAAGGGAAATTGCCTAATTCGGTATTGTGACAAGATGGATATAGCTATTATAGGCACGTACAGTCGACCAAGACTCTATATTAGAGTTTAAGTTTAATCAAGTGGCCAAGACCTAATGAGGTGGGACTATACGTCTTCTAAATTACTCTATAAGGTAAAATTTTTTTAAGACATCAGAACTTGAGGCATCCTTAGGGCGCTACAATGCACCTGACGTGGTCTATACTGAAATCGCAGGTCAAGATATTGAACGCCGGGTTGTGGAGCAACAAAAGAGAATACATACAATGCTCGAATATATGGGTTGGGATAGCCCTTGTGGTAGGCTTCGGCTTGTGTAATCCCATTTAGAATCATTTATCAGGTCTTCAAATTTTAATCGGCACCATGTTATCAACAACAAGCCCTCCTCCTACTAAATCTGAAAAACAGACTGGGGACGCGCCTGCCAAACAAAGTCTTCCTGAAAAACCTCCTCTCTCTGTACTAGGAATTATCTACCGTGAGCTAGAAGTGACGAGACGACTCCTGAAATCCAACTTCATAGGATTTGTTTTCATCTTCATCGGTGGATTCCTGTCTAGGGTTGTCCGTTCACCGTTGCCAGTGGCGGACACGGCCATAGCAGCAGTGAAGGCCTCGATTTTAGACATTGCTTGCAATTATGTCTTTGATATCTGCAACCAGACTACTTCTCCCGAAGAGGACTATCTGAATAAACCGCATCGTCCCATTCCCGCAGGCTTAATTACCATTGACCAAGCAAAGACTCGGTGGTTCGTATCGTGGACATTTGTTCCCCTCGTCCTATACTACCTTTGTGGATTTTGGGCCATGGTACATCTGTTCGAGTGGGAGTTATTGATTGCGATTTGTTACGTTCTGGGGTTCTTCTCCTACTTTATGCGCAATTTTTTCGCCGCCTTCTCCTACTGTATTCTGGGACGACTCCTGAATCAAGTCCTAGCAAGAGATATACCAGCCTGGGACTTAAGCTTTGTAATCGACTTCACTATATTCGTGTGGTTCATGGGAACCATTCACGTGCAGGAATTTCATGACCTAGAAGGCGACCGGAAGAGCAATCGAAAAACCCTTCCAATGCTGCTTTCTGAACGAGGTGTCAAAGTTTTACGTGTTTGCACATCTGTCTTCGCTCTGGGGTTCGGAATCGGGTTGGCCTATCTCGGGTACCAAAAGAAGGATCAAGGAATTCTCATTGCCCCGATCTCTGTGTTGCAATTAGCGTCATCGGCCGTTCTTTCTTATAGAATTACAGCTTCGACATCGCCCGAGATGGATCGGAAGACTTACCACGTTTACTACTACATTCCGGTTTTATTCATATTACTCTCACTGGTTTTGGTAATAGAATAACCGCGTGATCCGGGCAAGGCTCCAGATTCATGGTCATAAAGATTGCTAGATAGACTTACCTTTTCATCAAGACCCTAGTCTTGTGTGGAACACAACATGAGAAAAGACGAAACGAAGATATTAAACTAAATACTGCATTTTTTGTATTATAGTAGGTGTTTTAGAAAATTTAAATTAAACTTGGTAGATAGGATGAGGTCTGTCAAGGTTCACTTCTACATATGCAATTTGATTCAATGCGTGTAAGGATGATACCAGGCAAATATGAGGTGGTGAGCTTTCCCGTCCTGATAAAAGTCTAGCAAATGATGGATTATGCTACGCACAGATAATTGTATCCAAGAATATCTTGAAGTTACAATGCTGTACTCCCTTTAAGAAGCTAAACATCTGCCCGCTAACATCTAAAACTATACTTAAATCCACATATCAAAGGCGTATGGGAGACTACTCTCATTTTCTCTCTTCTATCTAAATCTAGCTACTGCCCTGTGCTCTTTGATTAAAGCCACTTCCCCCCTTTTCTTGCACGATTTCTCTTGCCTTGACCACATATTTACTCGTAGTATCTGCTAAGATTCTTACATCGCTTTCTGTATAAATGATGCCGAAACCCAAATCTACCATCACTGGAATTAAAGTATGGGGAAACGCTCCGCTGTGCAATGTTAGACAAAAATTTCTCTACCCAGGAGTGAACGCATCATCATCTCACCCAAACAGTGGCTTTCCATACTTCTTGCCGGCAGCTGAGAACTTTTCTGCGGCTTCAGCGAGCGTAGGATGTGGGGTGGCCGACGTAGGAAGCGGTATACCAGCATCTATGGAGAAATCTCCGGCTCCGAACATCAAAGACCCAACCCCTTCGAGAGAAGAGATTTCCTCGACGTTCTCAATGCCCTTGACAGTTTCAATCTGAGGTATTACTACAACGTGGCGGTTGTATGTTTTGATGTTGTAAGCATCGTCTTCGTAAAGCGACGCATCCGATACACCGGGAGTGAAAGTCCAGGGGTTATAAGAGCGGTGTCCAATAGGAGCTAGGATAATGGTCAGTGTTTGTCTAATATCTAAAGAGGGAGAGGAATCTACTTACGATAGTATACTTTTGCGATTATCTGCTTGACTTCTTCCGCGCTTTCACAATGAGGAATGATTATCCCTGAAGCACCGGCATCAAGGGCTGTTGTCAATAAGGTATCGTCACCCTTATGTATCTGATGAGCAAACCACAAGTCAGAATTTCATTCTTATCATACTCTATGAGTAGTCTGTTGGGCGTATAATCATACTGCGCCCATGTTAGTACACCATTAATGATGTGCCTTCCAGAACTTTGACAGTGGTGGGAAAGAGAAGACACCAGTAGAATTTCATGAACATACCTCTCACTATTGCCAATGTATGTCCTTCTGAGTGATGCTGAGCGGCATGAATAGCACTGAAAGATGGACTTAGTGACCACCTTGTATGAATAAGAATCAACTCACTCGTTCAATGACAATCGATCAAACGTAGAATGTTCTGTGTCTATCCAGATGAAGTCCGGTCGAGCTGAAGCCAATGCCTATCGAATTTAGTTATGGAACATGAAGCATAGATTAAACGAGCTTACTTTTGTTACGGCTGGGCTAGGAATAGTCTGCGTGACCCCGAATAGGGTATTCTGGGGGTTGTCGCGCACTCTACGCAGTGCCTCCTGAAGATTTCCAGGGTATGTGAGCAATGCTGCCCGCAATGTTGCTTTAGATTGCGAGACTGGCTGCTCATCGTAGGACTGGTTCATGACGAGCGGTGATAATGCGAAGATCTGAAAGCTATTCACTAGAACGTGTTCTGAGGTAGAGGTCACCCTATCTTTGCTGGATTTTAACCATATTATGTATGATATTTGTACACGTGAAGTAGTACATGGTTAACCTGGGTCTCTTTTGACTTGCAGTGCTCGGTCTACTCTTCCAACTACCTCAATTAGACCAGCTCGTCCATTGGGGTTGAGCATTAAGTCCAAAGCCTACATAACACATCATGTACAAGCCGCACTGTTAGACTGTTTTGATGATCATTATGCATGCTGATACATTTCCGTGTATTGTACCTATATCTTGCAATAACACACCCTAACGTCGTGCTAAAACAATGGATGAACAAAAATTGCCTATATAGGAAATTTTACTAGCGCCAAGTATGACACACCAGATGCATCTATTGTTGTCAAGTGAAACAGGCATATGTAACAGAGTAGATCTGCAATTTTAAAGCTGTATTTTATGTACATATCCTGCAGAAAAGAGATTTGCCCCTTCATGTTTCGACTAGCTCGACTAACTATAGGACATACATGGCATTAGGGCTAACTAATGCTGGTGGGGGCCAGCAACAAGCTGTAGGTCGCAGAACTTAGGCTATTCTAATCAAATGTTTGGAAATAATTTCCAAGCAAAGTAATTTCCTGCGCCTCTTTTTTCTAAGGATACATGCTGATTGTCATGATTGCCTGAATAGTTGATTTTCCCACCTGAAATAAAGCGATATGTCAGTGATTGTATCACGCACGCAATTGACGACGCAAATTGTATAACAGCCTAGATCTACCCAGTTATCCAATTTTATTTCGCACTGATAAATCGGTTATGTTAACCAATCCAAGATTTCTATAATAACAGAAAGACGTGATTGCCACTTGGGGAATACAGATTATCAGAAATAACTGTATGTAGTAATAAAGTAGGCCGGAATCCATACACCTCAATTCTTAGCTCATACCTGGTCTAGCACAATGACATTGATATTGAAGCGATCCTATTATGAGTAGCTTGTTTTGTTGAATTTACGCATATCTCAACTAGCTGGTTCTGACAATGGACGCATAGGAACTATCGGTATTTATAAAATACAGACCACTAAAAGATGAGTAGACATTAGGATGTTTATGTACAACACCGGATGACCCTGTGTCTCAACCCTTAACAAAAGTCCGTAAAATAGAAGGGAATCACCATAACAGAATTCATGGCTCTCATTATCGTTTAAATCAACCTTTTCAATCGTATTCTGAATCTCTAAGGGGTCTGAATTCTGTTTATCAATATTAGAGCTCTATAGCAGGTTGACCTTTCCAACAAAAGAGTGCGCATGCTGATGAAAGGGCACATCACAATGAATTCTAACGACCTGGTACAACAGAAGTACATTTCTGAGGCTCTAAAGCGCCAGCAGCTGGAGTGGGATGCAAAACCGGAGGCTTTGAATACAAATGCAAATGGTCACAATGAACGCCTCCAACACTTGAGCGATGACCCGTGGATCGATTATGCTTCATTGAAGTCACCAATTCATTCCGGTGATAATGTCAAGTTCCTCGTCATAGGTGCCGGTATGGGCGGGATTCTTATGGCTGTTCGTTTGATACAAGCGGGTTTTTCCGCGGCAGATATACGCATTGTCGACCCTGCAGGCGGACCAGGTGGTACATGGTATTATAACCGATATCCTGGGCTTTACTGTGACACCGATAGCTATCTGTATTTGCCGCTTCTGGAAGCGACGGGGTACATACCATCACAAAAATATGTTTCAGGGGTAGAAATACGGAAATACATTACTCAGATTATTGACAAATGGGACTTGGGAGGCTCATTTATGTTTGCATCCAAGGTGGAGAAATTGGAATGGGACACTACAACACACCTTTGGAAAGTCAATCTGAGGGTCCAAAGAGGCCCAAAAAATTACCAGGATGTCACAAACGTTACTTTCAATGTCCGATTTCCAATCGCTGCTTTGGGCAGATTTCGCGGCGCACAAGTAGCCCGGGTTGAAGGTCTTGCCGAATTTGGCGGCTCCTTGTTCCACACCGCACGTTGGGACTATAGTACGACCGGAGGGTCACCAGAAGAATCAGCTCCCCGAATGGATAAACTAAAAGAAAAAACTGTGGGTATTATTGGGACTGGTGCAACAGCTATCCAGGTCGTACCGGAGTTAGCCAGGTACGCAAAAGAGCTGTTCGTCTTCCAACGAACCCCAGCCGCCGTTTATGCTCGGAATAATCGAGTTACTAGTGACGAGGATTGGAGTCGTATTGCAAGTGGTGACAGTTGGCAGGAAGCCCGTCAAGACAACATGATGGGACACTTAACCAATACCTTCCCTCCAGGAACAGAAGATATAGTGGGTGATGAATGGACGAGCAAGAGGGCATATTCAGCTGCTATTGGAGGTCCCCGACCTGAAGGAGTTACGAGGGCAGAGCATGTTCAGGATTTATATGCAGATTCATTTCGTTTGGATGCTGAATCCAGATCTCAACTACGGACTCGTGTATCAAATGTAGTCAAAGATCGAAGCACAGCTGAGCAGCTTACACCATGGTATCCGGTGTGGTGCAAACGGCCAACATTCAGCGATACCTATCTCCAGGCTTTCAATGAGCCGCATGTGCACCTAGTCGACACAGACGGCAAGGGCGTCCGGAGAGCCTCTATGAAGGGCCTTGTAGTCGGAGAGACTGAATATCCGTTGGATGTATTAGTTTTGAGTACTGGCTATGAATCTCGTGTGTCCAGTCTCAACATTGAGTCTGCCGGACACTTCACAGTGCTCGGCCGTGGTGGTCGTACGATGACAGAAAAGTTTGATGTCCAAGGTACAACTACGTTGCACGGATGCTGCTCTAATGAGTTCCCCAATTTCTTTTGGATCGGTGCCAGCCAGACGGCTGCCCCTGTAAGCTATACGCAATTATCCGAGATCATGTGCCAACATATCTGCTACATCATAACGGAAGCGCACAAGCGGGCCGGCGACAATGTCAATTTCCTGATTGAGCCTTCTATAGACGCTGAAGAAGATTGGAGTGTCAAGATCATGAACGGTGCATTACGATTTGCCGCGATCACGGCCTGTACCCAAGGCACCCTCAACACCGCTATTCTAGATATACAAAATGATAGTATTTCTGAGGTAGTCAAAAAGCGAGCACGTATGTGCCCCTGGGCGAATGGAATCACTGATTTCAAACAAGAGCTCCAGAAATGGCGTGAAAAAGGCACATTAGAAGGCATTATTATTCGCTTGACCTGAGCTACCATCTTCAACAAGGATGCTTCTGAAGAATGGCATTTTCAATGGGGCATTTCTTGATAGAATGCTAGATAATCTATCGTATTGAGCGGTGTTACAAATTGAGTGCAGAGCCAGCCGCAGATATGGGACTTGAAGGATTGACAATACCAGTATCAATGCACGTATTACTATTACATATGTATACGAGATGGTAATTAATTTTATGCGAGGATGAGTCAATGGAAGATGACAATTTATTTTACAATTAGCGCGGGGATAAACCCTTGTCACAAAAACAACTATATATGGAACATCCCAAGGCTGATCTAAAAACGCTATAAACAAAGCATTCATTTTTACTTTCTCTCTCTCTACACCGTTGACTAACAGGGTATCCATTGATAATCCGGCCAGAAACATAAAATGGGTTTTACAAACCTGGTCAATGACACTGGCCTGAGCGGTAGGTTTTCTGAGTGACTGTTATCCTGGCAAGGAATCAAACATCTCACTGAGGGCACTGACTAACCGATGTAGTGCTTAACACCTGGGTGACCACCCGATCCTACATTGTCTCGTGAGTATTATCCCACAGAGTTCCATACATGTTATTTGACAAACATTAGCCTTGCTTTATCTATGGATGATGCTGGTATTATGTTTATTTATATCGCTGATTCGCGGTTTCAATAGTTTTACTCCCACCCAGGCCGATGTTTCTGTGTTCAAGGTCGTTACCACCGCGCCTGACCCTGCTAAGTACCCTCACGCCGCTAGATGGTACAAGCATATCGCTTCGTACGAGTCTGAGTTCGCCACCTTGCCTGGCGATCCGTTGAAGCCTTATACAACCTATGGACCTGATATCATCGAAGATAAGACCGCCGCCACCACTAGCGGTGATAATGACGAGGAGGAGGAAGATCTATTTGGTAGCGATGAGGAGGAGGAGGACCCCGAAGCAATTCGTCTTAGGGAAGAGCGTCTAGCTGCTTATAAAGAAAAGAAAGCAGCTAAGCCCCAGCCTTCTGCTAAGTCCATCGTTACGCTGGAAGTCAAGCCTTGGGGTAAGTTAGAAAAAGAAAGAAAGAAAGGAAAAAAAAAGGGGGGGTCCTTCGTCGGAGAGATCGTTAACAAAGCCTGTGTTCTAGATGATGAGACCGATATGGATGCCCTAGAAGCATCAGTTCGCAGCATTGAAAAGGATGGTCTAGTCTGGGGCGCTTCCAAATTGGTCGCAGTCGGATTCGGCATTAAGAAACTACAGATTAACCTCGTTGTCCAGGATGAAAAGGTGTCAACCCTCGATCTCCAGGAGGAGATTGAAGGCTTCGATGAATACGTCCAGTCTTCGGATGTTGTAAGTCTGATGACTGCCATGGGAATTTCTATTGCAAAGCTAATTTATATCACAAGGTTGCCATGTCGAAGCTGTAAACAAAACAGCTAATACGCAATAATAAGTAGCCAACACATCCAACTTTATGGCTCAAAAAAAACCACATTATGATAAAGAAGCCCAATAAAACTCAATCGAAATTCAGGATTCGCAAATTTGTTCATTATCCAAATTTGAAGTTCGGCTCATCTTTTTATTACATGGGGGTTTTTCGGTCACGGAGAATTGCATAGGGTTATTCTATTCAAATGCTCATGACTCTAGGAGCGATAGTTGTTAAATTACCCTATATACACCAAATAAGATCTTTTCTTCATTATCTCTCCGTATCGTACTCTAATTTCGTGTTGACTGTTGCTTGCAGCATGATTGCGCCTGGCAGCCGTAAGTGAGGCAAACTATCTAGAATTTTTGGCGTTCGAAACATTATTTGTACGTGCAAGACTGGCTATGAGGTTTGCTGCTGCATATTTTCCTGGATTCTTGCGTGCAACATCCCCTAAGTACTTAGCCCTCGCCCGTATGCCACTACTCTTCGGTCCACCGTCTATGACCTGCAGGAACGCATCACTGATTCCTTTGACTGTCCATTCCGGAGCAGTCCCTCGCGTAGCATATATTCCAACCCCGATGCTCTCCACTCGTTGTGCGTAATTGTAAAGATCTGTCCACATTGGGATCACTATCTGTGGAACGCCAGCTCTGTGGGACGCATATTAGTGCCCTATTTCGACCATACACAGTACAACTCGCATCATCGATTCTATGAGACTTACGACAGGGCTTCATTATAGCAATTTGCTCCTCCGTGATGCACCGAAACCGAAATGTAACCCGTTTCCAGTAACGATACCGGGCTTGCGCTTAGCCAATTGTAGATCCGCACTCGCCCCTGATCGATGTGATCTTTCAAGTACAGTCTGGCCTCATCAATATATTCCGCTTGGCCGAATTTCCACAGAACTTGTACACCTGTCTTATTCAATAAAGTCTCTATTGCTTTTTCCATAATCATTGTGTGTTGTTGGTCGTATTGAAACAGACTTCCAAGACATACCATTATCGTTGATGCCTTCTGAAGCCACTCGAAAAGATCTGGATCCTGCTCAAAGGCCGTCACGACACTTGATACTATCGGATTGACACATACGACATTATCAGGTATTGGGTCGACAGTAGGACCAGCTTCGAGCATGGTTTGCATGATCCAAGATGTACTATTGTTGTTCAATGCGCCAAAGGCGTTGTCAATACCATGCTTGGCAATGCTTTTTTTAGTTTCGTCCAAGTCGGACATGGTCCCAAAACTGATGATTGCCCGCAACGCAACGTATATGTTCTCGGGGATGTTCTTCCATGGGATTGGAAATGGGAAGTCTGTGCCTACTCTGCAAACGAGAGGTCAATTAGTGTCATATTGAAAGGGAATGAGTGACTTCATAATAATTCTTACATGGGATATTTCCAGAGAACGTTGAGCTGAGGTTGGATCATGGGCAACATATCTATCAGGGACGTCGGTGTGAGGAACGTATGTAGTCGATTCCTTTTGTGCGTTGCGTCTATTGCTGGACGAAATGCAAAATCCAACACGACAAGGGCAGGGTCAATTTCATCAATGATTCTGAGCGTCTCGTTGTATATTCTGACGTATTCATCGCTTGTCCAGGGACTCAACGAAGCCTGTGCTATCTTATACAGTTGTTTAGCCCCTCTTGACCCGGGGGCGTGTCTGAATTGGACCATGACTTCAGACCCAAACTGTCGCTGCATCAAGACCTCCATGGGCTGCATGCCCGGTAGGGTGTGGAACACAATATTCCCCTTAGTACGCCCATCGCCTGACTTCCGGGCGGATGTAGAAATACGATCTAGTGACTTGGCCACCGATTGAGCAGAGGCAAAGTGAATATCAAGAAAGGGATGACGTTCCAGTAGTGCTTGAACTGTGGCTAGCTGTACGTTTAGCTGCCCATGGTTTTGAGTCGAGAGGAATAAGACTGTGTTGCTTTTCCCTCTTACTGGTGGCTGGACTTCTGTCGGATGGGCTCGGAGATACGAACCCAAAAATGCAAACACCACTGAGGTTAGAACGATGCCAAAGGTAACAGATATTTCTGGCATCTTGGTGTTGGCTTGTCGAATTCAATTCCTCTGGAACAGACGAACAGAATTTAGTACTGTAAAGAGAATACTCCCTAGTCATTCGACAGGACTTACTTTTTATACTGACAGAGATCGAGATTTTAGCAAAAGTTCATGCCATATCAACTTTCAATAAGCTCCAGGAATTATGATTAATTACTCATAGAGGGAACTTCTGTCCGCCATCTGCCATTATAGCAAGCCACTTCCTCTGTAGAGACTGTCATCAACCATACCAAAGACAGGCAATATGTTTATTGTTTCGCTGTACTCTTTCGAATTGGATTGGACAAAGATTGTCTGATGCAATTCAGGCTTGACAATACTCTACATTCAGGATCACGTCACGTCACAAGCAGATCGTTCCCATCCTGCGTACAAAACGAGGGCCAAAAATTACCCGAGTAGGAAATAATGCCGTTCTACACGCTTAGCTTAGCAAGTTTCTTGGCATAAGTGCGATTTTTTGTAAAATGCCATAATAAGTAAATTTCCTGTATTGCACTTATCTGTTGGGTCGGTTTTTCCCTTCAGTTCCCAATCCACATTTCGTGTCAACTTGCCTTTACACTATCATCTGAGTGATTGACAACTAGGCATATCCACAATGGCAGTGGAAAATAGCCAATACACCTTAAATATGGCATTCACACTTGATAGGGTAACTTGTTTTATTCCGTAGTTAGGTAAAACGTCGAGCGTCCCACCAGAATTAATAGACGCATGATCATCAGAGTCATCACCGTCATTGTCCTAGCACTCGCAAGCTCAATATGTATAGGTAGTTCGACAACCTGTTCCCTTCGCTCATGTTACACGAGCACCTGGCGTAGTATATTTTCTCCATATTAATTACACACTTCGATTGCTCGATGATTTCGGAAAATCTAAGCCTGGGAACAGGCAACCTATTCGTTCTTACCGGGGTTGTCTTGGTCTCCTGGTATCTTGCTTCAGTTCTAACTTCATGGTATCGCCTCAGGGCATTTCCGGGCCCATTCTGGGCAGGCTTTTCTTATTTATGGGTAGGCCAACTTGGTTGGGCTGGCAAACACTATGGTGCGCACCGAGAACTCGGCCGGAAGTACGGTCCAGGTCTGGTGCGAACAGGTCCTAATGAGCTCGTGTCGGACGATCCAGAGGTTATTCGAATGATGTCTGGCGCTCGTAGTTCATATCGGCGTGACACATGGTATCTGGGAGCTCGACTGAATGCGTACCATGATAATATGTTCTTGCTACTCGACGCTGCCTCTCACGACAAGGCCAAGGCACGCACATTTGGTGCTTATAGCGGACGTGAATTCCCACATTTGGAACGAGGTATCGACCAACAGGTCAACAAGTTGATAGATATTATTCGTACGAGATACGTTCAACCCAATGATGGAAACCCACGCTTGCTGGACTTGGCGCCCATTATGAGTTTCTTTACGTTAGATGTTATTACACAAGCGGCTTTTGGGAGGGAATTTGGCTACCTCGAGACGGAATCTGATTTATATGGCTGGTTCGAAAGTCTTCGAGCGTTTTTCCCCTTTGCGACAATGAGTGTCAATGTCCCTTGGGTTCGGAATTTCTTTTATTCACCATGGGTTCTCAAATTCTTTGGCCCGAAGACAACAGACAAGAAAGGGATAGGTAGGTTGATGTGGTAAGTTGGTACCCGTATTACGCGACACTTTGTTCCCCCTACTGAATCACTATTCCAAGGATTGCTCGAAAGGAGGTAAACAAGCGCTTCGATTCTGGTGTCAAGGTAGAGAATGATATGCTTGTATGTCATACACGTGCTGTGACCCCCGTCCATCTACCGTTATTAATATGAGTGTAGGGATCATTCATCAAACACGGGCTCAACCGTAACGACTGCGAGTCCGAGGGGTTGTTTATGGTCATAGCAGGATCTGAGACCACTGCTTCTGCGCTTCGAGTGATTATGTTATACGTGATGACTACTCCTCGGGTTTACCAGAAACTGAAGAAGATTGTCGCAGAAGCAGTCCGCGATGGGACCGTGTCTACTCCGATCACGTATGAGCAAGCCAGACACATCCCATATCTACAAGTAAGTAGCCCTACAATAGTGCAATATTTATTGTCAATCTTGTGCGATTCTTCCAAATTCTAAGTCATTCATCCTATTCTAGGCTGTTCTCCACGAAGGGCTCCGTATGCGCCCTCCTGCCCCATCAATGTTCCCCAAATCAGTTCCTAAAGGAGGCGATACTATAAATGGAAAATTTGTTCCAGAAGGGACCGCAATTGGCATGAACACGCCGTCAATGATGCGCTCCTTCAAAGAGTTTGGACCAGACCCGGACATGTTCCGACCGGAGCGATTCAGTGAAGCCTCAGAACAAGAACGTATCAAAAGGGAGCGAACCGTTGATTTACTGTTCGGGTACGGTCGTTGGATGTGCGCTGGCAAGCCCGTGGCCTTGATGGAGCTGAACAAGGTGGTCTTTGAGGTAGGTTGAAATCGCACGAAGCCGGAAAGTTTGAACTAACCAGTATACATCAGTTGCTACGCGAATTTGACTTTCAGCTAGCCAACCCAGTCAAACCATGGAGTACAGAAGCCTATACGATTTTTATGGATTACGACTTTTGGGTGAGGGTTACAAATGCGAACACACTTGACTCATCTCAGAACCAGGAAGCCACTTCGTCATGATCCATGTCTTATCATACCACAGACCATTAGACTCAACGACCTAAGCACCATGCCTTAAGACAGTCGAAAATACCAAGTTTTTTATTTGTGACCTTTTCTCAACATATTTATATCTATGATAATCCGCTTGCCACACGGCCAAAACGCTATTCTCATTTACACCAAACAAGGAGTGACTTCTCTTGATATAGATAGACAACCAGTGAGATCAATATTAAAGGAGCCTTGTCCCCGAGACTGTTGTATAAGGAGAGTACTAATGTCACAAGAAAGGAAGCTAATAATCATCTGAGATGAAAGAAGACCTATTCGCATACGGTAGGACTGTAGAAGTTAACATCTCAAGTATAGAGCGGGCAGCCTTAAGAAAGCGGAAGTGAACGAATCCTCATCTACAACATTAAGCGCACCACGCGATGATCATTTATCCCACTCAACGGTTAGCTTGAGCATTATGTCTCCGTAAAACAGAAGGATTATGGAGTCAAACTCATGCATGCATCTCTGCTAGACTTAGTGAAGGCCCAATGCTCGATGTGAACAGCAGCTATGGAAGAGCGAAAGATGGCACGATAGCGGTTGACACTTCCCAAAATCTACGCAAGCTACAATCAGCATGCGATAAGTGCAACATATCGAAGACAAAATGTTCTCAGGGGCAGCTGTGTGAGAGGTGCCACAGGCTCAAGACCAGCTGCTATTACATCGTTCGGAAACGTTGAAAAACGAAATACACCGGCACAGTCTTTCCGTGTTTATTTGAGCAAKGCGATSGAGCCACTCCTGACGATGCTTTCTTTAACCAATGGAATTGTTACAATCACATACGAAGAATACATGCTTACGCTACACCTTATGATGACTACAAATTGCAAGCAAGAGCAGTAGTTCCTCGGCTTTGATTTTTGATTCAGTCCTCATGACAGTGGCAGCCCGATTGCTAGTTACGAATAGCGCCTGGGTATCGGTTTCTATTACCTAGGTCTTTGTAATGATGCATAATTAGTTCAATCCTATCGGTGCAAGATTATGTGCCTCAATAATATCAGCAAACAATCGTTCAATTTTAAAGCCTCGCTATAGGACTCGATGCACGAGAAATCAATATATGTCAACGTTGAATATAATATATAATACTAGATACTACTCTCGATGTGCTCGTACATAACAGGAAAGTGTCCTCTATCGAATTCTAGGAGACCGGTGTGTCTCCAGATAGTCTCATATTCTGTCTTCGCTTTTTCTGTCCCACAATATCGGTCGTCAGCGGCCTCTTCTCTTCCAGATAGAAATGAAATGACGGCGATCAAGAAACAAACGGTTATCCTGCCATCACTTCTTCTCGATAAACTTACTAGTTCATTTCAGGCCAAGACTACTCCAATATAATTGCGGGGTTGGGAGTTATTGTGATATTTGGACCGGATATACAGCTGGTTCAAAGACAGAATAGGATATGGTAAACGAATACGAAAATGGGTTGAGATTGACAACATAGCCTGGCTATCAATCTTGATCATCCGAATAAGATTCCTTTTACAGCTTTTATATGTGGATAATCTTTTTAAATGAGTTGACTCTCATTGAATAGGCTACAATTATCTAATTAACCATATCATTATGATTGCAGCTATACCGAATACCTTGTGATTTCCCCTGTGGAGGCCTTGCAAGTGCGAAAGCATCTGGCCTTCTCCACACCGGCATGAAAATGATCAACACTGGAAAATACTTTCTAGGTCTCTCGAGATTTCTCCAGGGTTGTATTAGAGCTGACAGATTTTTCGTTGTTTCTGTGGCACTAGCACCTGTGCGTCATGGTACGACATAGGGATACTGGCAAAAATGCCGGCAAAAAACCGGCAGCGATGATTTATTAAGGAAGCTGTTATCGCTATTTATGAATGTTCTTGTAGTAGCCAATTCTCCACTAAGCAATGCACACGAATAGCAACATTGATTCACAATATTCTTCCATAAACAAACTCCCCTCGACGGACGACAGCATCGCAAAGATTGTCTTTAATAATGCGTGTTCTTAATCTTTCAACCACCGCTGCCTTATATGGTGTTCTTTCAGCGACGTTAGCTGGAAGCCAGATTGTAGTTCCTACAATTCAAGGGTTTCAGCGTCAGTATCTTGATAGTCCCCAACGTTCAGATCGATAAATTGACATAAAAAAAGCAACAATCGACGATTGGAAGGCTGCACGCGCCAAGGCAGATGCATTTGTTGGCAAATTGACGCTCGATGAGAAGCTGGCTATGGTCAGGGGCAATGCTTCGGCTGGCTTCTGTAGTGGGACAATTGCAGCTATCGAGAGACTGGATTTTCCAGGAGTTTGCATGGAAGATGGTCCTAATGGAGTGAATTACAACGATAAAGTTAACGTCTTTCCTTCTGGTGTTACGGTCGCGGCGACTTGGGACACTGAGTTCATGTATCAGCGTGGCCTCGCTCTCGGTGCCGAATTTAGGGACAAGGGCATCAATGTCATGCTAGGGTAAGTCAAAGGCTATCGACCGTCGGTCTCAGTCCTCAAAAGTGGGTTCGCTAATTTTAGTATTTAAGACCGGTTGGAGGGCCTCTGGGCCGCAGCCCGTACGATGGCCGTACCTGGGAAGGCTTTTCTCCGGACCCGTACTTGACAGGATTGGCGATGCAGGCTACGATACAAGGGGTCCAGGAAAACGGCGTTCAGACCACTGCAAAACATTTCATTGGTAACGAGCAGGAAACCCAACGAAGCAATACCACTCTCTCAAATGGAACTCAGGTCGCAGCTATATCCTCTAATATTGGAGACCGGGCATTGCACGAGCTGTATCTCTGGCCGTTCGCAAATGCCGTGAAGGCAGGAACAAGCGCAGTCATGTGCTCGTATAACCGGCTCAACGAAACCTACGCGTGTGAGAATTCTGATGCCCTAATCAGTATTCTGAAGACGGAACTAGGATTTGAGGGATACGTTGTTTCTGATTGGGGTGCTACGCACTCAGCCGCGCCGTCTGCCAACGGCGGTCTGGACCTAGAAATGCCAGGTTATACTGGAACGACAGAGGTCTCTACATGGTTTATACCTTACCTCCCCCAAGCCATTGCAGATGGGTCCGTCTCCATCGACCGCCTGGACGACATGGTAGGTCGTATCATGACCCCGTATTACCTCTTGAACCAAGACGCTGGTCATCTCACACCTGACGAATCGATGATCTATATGTTGCTAGTAGCTACTAATGGACTGCCGGGAGCTGAGCAGCTTTCCAGCCTGGTGGGTGTACCTTGGCAAAATATCGCCGCACGAGATGTCAGAGGCATTCACGGTGCCATTATTCGCGAGATCGGTGCTGAGGCGACAGTTCTCCTGAAAAATGAAGGCAGTATTCTGCCACTCGGCTCGTATAATGAAATCGGTGTCTTCGGATCCTCTGCAGCGGATTTTGTAGACGGTCTTGCGTACTGGGATATGGGAATAGATTACGGTCCCCAAATTGGTCCTATTGCCGTTGGTGGTGGTTCCGGATCAGTTCGCTTTACCACTGTCTCTGCTCCACTTGATGCTATAAAAGCTCAAGCTTCCACAAAAGGCGCGCGTGTTCAATATCTCACCAATAATACCGCCATCGCTGCCAATGACATCACCTTCTACCCTGTTCCAGAGATCTGCATCGTCTTCATTTCCCAATTTGCGACCGAGGCCTCTGATCGTGATAGTCTCCTTGCTAGTGACAACAGCACCGCTGTAGTAGAAAATGTTGCTTCTCTGTGCAACAATACAATTGTCGTGATCAATGCACCAGGGCCACTGGTATTGCCTTGGGTGGAGAATCCCAACGTTAAGGCTATCCTCGCGGCTCACTTTCCCGGTGATCAGATTGGCAACTCCATCGTCGACGTCCTTTGGGGCAATACAGAACCCAGTGGCCGCTTACCATACACAATCCCAGCGAAAACCTCAGATCCAGATATTATTCCTGTAGTCAGGGAACCGGGACCAGATGGCTGGCAGTCCACGTTCACGGAGGGTCTATTCATTGATTACCGAGCGTACGATGCTAACAGGTCTGAGCCAGCGTACGAATTTGGATTCGGTCTTGGTTACACGACTTTCAATATAACCGGAGAGCTAGCAGCTAGAACTACAGCATTTAATCCCACAGCAACACCCGCTAATTCGGCTATAGCGCCAGGGGGCAATCCTAGCTTGTGGGACGAGATCGTTTCTGTCAAAGCCACGATACTCAATGTGGGCAAGGCCACTGGCAAAGCTGTCCCTCAACTATACTTAGAGTTTCCTGAATCATCGCCAGAAGGTACGCCTGTCCGAGTTTTGAGAGGATTTGCAAAATTGCAGCTGGATCCTGGAAAAGAAGGTGACGTGCAGTTCTCACTAATGAGAAGAGATCTCAGCTACTGGGATATACATGAACAGCAGTGGGTGATCCCGACTGGAGCTTTCACCGTCAATGTAGGCTTCAGCTCCAGAGACCTCAGGGCATCCACTCAGGTGACTGTTTTGAAGTGATTTGCGGTGTGTAATCTCATTTTGCTTCTGGCTCGTGGTTAGAATATCAAGTCCACTTAGTTAGCTAAATACCTATTAGTAAAATACGAGATTCTTTTGGAAAGGAAAAGATTCAGTTCTTTTAGGCTAGACGCTGACTGGAATTCCGATTCCGAAACCCCAAAAGTTCAGCATCGGCCAGTGTCCGATTCTAGATTGGATTGTGCGTCTAAAGTCCAAACTAGAAACAGGCGATATGTATACTCAACTCAACTAAAAACAGAAGTATTTCCAACTGATTGCGTTTATTTCAAGCCATTGCGCCAAATGTCAACACGTATCAACGCACTAAGCTGACATCACCCAAGGTTGCATCTATCTACAGAGGATCCGACACATGATTGGAAAACACAACATAAAGAAATTTGGACTGATTTGTTGGTTGTTAGCTTCCTGTTGACTTCTCCATATTCCTTGCCACAAACTCAAGTCGAATATTTCTCAAGTAGTACCTTCCAAGATGGGGCAGTTATACCCTTGTACTACACACGTAACTGTAAAGCAAAGGATAGACAGAAGTACATCCATCAACAAGCGTACTCAGTTGTTACGTACTTTACACATGCATCATATGTAGCCGCGGGGAATCATTTCGGGCTTAGAGACAGTCTTGTGAGTCTTGACCAATATTCTTGCAAATTAGGTATAATGAGCAATATTTAATGGACATATCTGCCTTTGCTTCTGTTATTTTTCGAGTAGATTGCTCGGATATGTACGTAATGAGTTGTCACTATGTCCAGTCTACTATTCAATACCTAATAAACAGAAAGGGAAACTTGATACGAATACGTCTCGGCAGATGTGGGAAAAGCTTCCAGCCTATGCCACCAGTTTGTCTTTTACATATTCAAATGCGCAATGGCGTTACCCGAGAGATAAAGGTAGTATCTGATTCGGTTAATTGCACTTAGTGCGTGCGAGCCTCTACCTGTGCCTGTGCAAGATCTGGCTCATCATGAGAGGATTCGGCAATTGACAACTTTGTTGTCGCACCTGCAAACAATGTTGGGATTGCGGTTGCATGGCGCCTGTACATTGAATCAGTATCACTACGTGATATCAATAGCTTCCCCGTCAGTTAGATGTCTCCCCATATTCCTCGCTTCTACTTGGGGCTTAAGCACTTGTCTGCCTGCAAAATCCGGAAAAGGTCACCAATCGCTAGATCAACATAAGACTACGGAAGAACCAAAGTGCAAATACATAGCTCCGCGCCTGTCTTCGTATCGCTTTACCTGAAAGGGTCGTAAATAGGCACTATACGCATGCATGTGTCTAGCGTATCAGATACATCCATATTATTACGCACTATAATAGGCTCTTATGACATCGACACTTTCCTTGCTACAGATAGCAAGTGCAATACTAGTGCTATGATATTCTCGTTTCATTCGGCCGAGGTAAATCAGGAAATTTTTTACTCGGAAAAACAAGACAGTAGATAAGGTAAAGAAACAGAGTGCTATTAATGTCCAATTTCCTGGTGGGTATATCTCTCAAGAGTATGGAATAACACCCTCACAATCACTAATTAACCCTTCCAGGAGAAGCACGGCACTGAGATTATGACGGCTCTTTCATATTTCGGCTCAAGAGCCGAGCGAGTCTTCTGTAAACTGAATGATTCATTCCGTACACAGTACAGAACATATATCTGGTTAGTTGTATACAGCAACCCGGAAAGATCAATAACATATAACTAACACATTCGTGTCGATCGAAATAGACATTTTGCGGCACAAACTGGGACAACCTAGATTATTCAGGGGTTTACACTTCGTACGACGGAGGTGCTGCCATTGCCTGACCATATGACTTATAATGAGATTGAAAATAGATACAATAAAGAAGAGACGTTGGATTATTTTGCCTAGAAATGTGGTCATTCAACATATACCGACAATATCGCGATGTAACTGGTTAGAGCCAAAGGCGGTGAGTCTCCAGGCGATTACATAGCTGAGGCCCCACTCTATGCTGTCCCGCATCGAAAGCCATCAACCTGGCAATCTTTATATTTCAAAGAGCTTCTATACGTTGATTTGTGTCAATCTCAGCAGACTCACGATATCGCACTTTTATCATAATGGGTGACCCACGCGCCCTTCTACAAAAGGTTTCTTCACACCATCTCCCGACAGAACGTCGTTCGGTGGCTAATGTTGTTATGTTCGGATCCAGGCCGACAAAGCCCTCTCCGGTGCCTCTGGCGGTTTCAGCTTCTTCGGCGGTCGATCCGAGAAATACGAAAATGCAGCAGATCTATACGTCCAGGCGGCGAACGCATTTCGAGTGCAAAAGATGAGTACGTCAACCTGTACTCTCTGGGTGCAGCTCGAGTGCTGCGGCCCGAATAACAAACCAAACGAATGAAGCTAAATTCTTATTGGTATGATGAACAGATAAAGAAGCCGGAATCGCATTCGAGAAAGCCGCCGCCGTTCAGAGAAATAACCTCAACGAGCCCGACGATGCCGCAAATAGCTTGTCCGAAGCTTTCAAAGTATACCGCAAGACAGATCCCGAGGATGCAGTGCGAGTCCTTGCAGGCGCAATTCAACATTATATCAACAAGGGAAATTTCAGACGAGCGGCTACTCACCAACAAAACCTGGCTGAATGCTACGAAGTTGAGATTGGTAACGCCAAGAAAGCGTTGGAGGAATACGAGAAGGCTGCCGAGTGGTATGAGAGTGACAATGCGGAAGCGTAAGTCATATTCCGATTGCCCCGAGATATTCAGAGTAACACTAACTTATGTCACGATAGACTCGCAAATAAATATTACCTAAAGGTGGCCGACCTCGCAGCCATAGAAGCCGACTACTCCAAGGCAATCGGATATTACGAGAAAGTTGGAAAAGTTTCCATCGACAATAACTTGATGAAGTGGTCTGTAAAGGACTACTTTTTCAAAGCGGGTATCTGCCACCTTGCAGCCGGGGTATATCCTATTCTACCTATGAGTTACACTCATTTAGCTAACCACTGTTTGGCGTAGGACCTCGTTGCGACCAATCGTGCTTTGGAAAGCTATAGAGACCTCGACCCCACATTTGCTTCAACCAGAGAGCACGCATTATTAGTCGATCTTTTGCAAGCTGTTGAGCATGGCGAGCCAGACACTTTTGCTGATAAACTCTTCCAATTCGACCAGCTGAGCAAGTTGGACAAGTGGAAGACGACATTGTTCCTTCGCGTCAAGGGTAATATTGAAGAGACCGGTGAAGATTTTTCGTAATCCTTGTATTCGTTTGCACCGTTCTGGTAGATGAAGTTGTCTGTTTAGGATTGCATTTTTTGATACACATTCCCGTGGCTCTAGGTTCTGATGATTATGTTGGTAGATTATCATGATTCATATGATCAAGTGAACAAGATTTTCAAGGCGAAGTCCGGTACTTGGGTATAAGGAAGACAATACGTAGATGGCGGGTATATTCAAGGATTCCGAGTTTGTAGCCCTAACCAGACGTTAGAATTATACCGAAGTACATCCATCACGTTCGTTTTGTGGCGTCGCAGACTATCTAGGCAGCAATACCTTGAGTTTAAAACAAACTATCAGATACTTAGCAGCCGAATATTTCAAACTCTTCATTTTACAAGCAAACAGCATGGCTCTCCAATAATTCAAGTCCCAGTTCGTAGCCCATGTCAAAGCACAGCGCGACATCGACGCAGAAGACACTAAACTTCTTCAAAAACGGAGATACTACCTTGGATACTAAGAACTCTATGAGCAATCCAAATTATAAATCTCTGAAGAGAAAGTCCAATTGCAGAGGGCGATTTATGTCCCGCGCGAACGCGTTACAGAGCTGTGTGCCTACCTTAGAATTTCTTATTCTGTCTTGACATCTTATGGCTTTTGAAAGGCTTGGTACATGTTTATTGATTTTTATATAGAAAGGCTTACTGCAATTCAGTCATACAATCAATATAATTTACTATAACGACACCACCATGCTCATCAAGCTATGCAATACCAATATACATCAGATAGAACGCCAGGTTGTACTATACAGAACCGTTCGGGTATCATCAAAAAGCGACGACAGTCTAAGCATGCTTTTCTTATAAATCCTTCTTCGACGCAAATCTGGCAAGCGCAGGGCCCAGCTCCTCTCGCTGTTTTTGCAATGTCTCGTTTTGATGAGAAGAGCGTTCCTTTTGTATGGCTTCAGCCTTGAGACGCTTCTCGTCAATGACGTTCGTCTTTCCTCTCTTTCGGAGGTATTTTCTGAGTGCACTATTGCGGCCACGACCCCGGTTCCTTAGTTTCTCTATTGCTGCGTCTTTGGGTTTGTTGTCTTCTTCACGCTCTTCGCGCCGTTTCTTGTCGCTGATCAAGTCGAGTTTGCCGACGAAGTTTGGATCGAGTGAGATCATTTCGGGTTGCAGCTTATTCAACAAGGCCTTGACTTCAGCTTCCTGGCGTTGTTTGGTTGTTTCGTAGGGATTGACTTCTGTGGCATCAAAGTTGGCTTCTCCGGCGCCAGGGACAAGTACGCTAGCGAAACCCTTGTCATGGGTTACACCGAGAATATCTTCATATGGGCACCATTTGACAGTTTCGATGCGTTGTCCATCGCCACCCCATGCCATGTACGGGCTCTGCACTTTTCCAGCGTCGGTAGCGGCAGCATCAAAAAGACCCTTCCAGACACTGATTTGTGTGCCCCATCCAACAGCTGTGAGATTGCGGTCGCTGATTGCGACACTTGATCCAGGTTGGTAACAAGAATACGAATGGACCGGCTTGAACATTCTAATATCCCACACATTCATTCTCATGTCCTGACCAGTGGACACCATATATCGACCTTGTCGATCAATGGCCATTGATCGTACTGGACCTCGGTGCACAAGAGCTTTGATAAGGGCGGTTTGCGAATTAGGCGACCAAAGAGTGACTGTACCGTTCTGATGGCCGACGTGGAGGATCGCATTCCACGGGTTCTGGCAAAGTGACGTTGGGGAGCCTAGTCGAGTAGGTAGTTCGGCAACTAGCTGGCCTGTGGAAGTGTCTGTATATTTGAGGAAACCGCTGTTTGCCTATTGATTCAGTTAGTTAATAGAAAAGTAGTAGGTGTTTGGGAAAAACTCACAGCACTAGCTAAGAGGAAATGATAGGGTAAAAATTCAAGATATTTAGCTTCGACGTGTTTGTTGAGGCAATGAAGTTCTACACCGGCATGGTCGTAGATATAAACGTTCTTCTTCTGAGCCACGGCAAAAAATTGATTGTTGTGCAGCCACTTCGCATCGCGAATCGTTTCTCCAAGTTGTAGTTCACATCCCAGCTTCCCGGCTCGCCAGTCCATCGTCGCAATATGACCTTTCCTCCCAGCCAAGAGTAAATTCTTGCCGTTTCGCGTATAGTCTGCACGATAGGGTCCAAGTTCCTCCAATTTCAATTCAAACCCTTTCTTTGCGACTTCGATTCCAACATTTTCTCTGATCTCATCTTGTCTGACTTTGTAGGTTCGTTCAAGTTCCGCCTCGGGCTCTAGGAATCCGGACTCGTTCTCGAGGAGGATCTCCGCATCTTTTGCGCGCAGTGCAGCTGTTTTGTATCGGTCCTCAACAGTCCTGAGGTTGCCTCGAAGCTTTTTGTCTCTGATTTTCTTCAATTGTACTGCCTTGCCACGCCCGTATTTCTCTGTAGCTTCTGTGATGCGTCTCTTTGCTTCTCGAGCTTCGACGGTGTCTTGCGGCGAGCGCTTCGCGACCGGCCCGGCGACTGCTGCCATGATTGCGGACAATCAAGCAAGCCTATAAAACAAATGTAATAACAAATGGAAGTAAATTGACAATAGGATAATCCTGTAATTGGAGAATGATGAGCCCGGGTTCAACGAGAGTAAGTAACGGAGACTAAAAATTTCCGTGCCAAGAGTTCCTTCGCTTGTCCGCCACAACTTTTTTTCTTATCGATTAGCCAGTCCCCGCCTTCCGTTTAGTCTACATTTTAAACATTTTTTCCCAAGATTATCAGTTGTCTTAGAATCAGACATCATTCTGGCGACTCTTGCATTCCGTTTCAAAAGGCCAGACGCGGCCAACATGGCGCCAATCACTTCGTCGGTGCATCACCACCGGAGCACAACTAAAGCAAACCACAAGCCCTTCAAGAGCAAGCACGCTACCAAGAGTGCTCTCAAAGAACGAACAAGAGGTATTGTCTTGTCTATGCCATATTTATATTCAAGTAATTGACCGACCGGGCAGGCAAAATCGAGACAAACGAGCGAGGAGTCCGGAAAACACCCCACCAGCAACTCATGTCGAAGCTCGATCGCAAAAACCAAGCTCGTCAGAAACAACAGGTGAAACGCCAGGAGAAGTCTCAGGCTGCCAGTATCTTTGCCGGACAAAATGGAGCTCCCCGTCAAGTCGCCATTGTTCCTCTCGCCAATAGTATTGACGTCGCTGCCGTGATCCGTGCTTTGAACGAAAGTGTCGATATTTCCGAAGATGTCTCAATTGATCGCCAACTACGCATTCGCGTCGACCGGTTCAAGCAGAATATTATGTACATTCCAGCAAAATACGATTTGATACATGCTTTGGATGTGTGTCGTGTGGCCGATTTCGTGATTGTGGTTCTCCCAACAGACATTGAGGTGACGGAGGAAGGAGAAACTCTTTTGCGGTCAATTGAGAGCCAGGGTATCTCTAACGTCCTTGTTGTGGCCCAAGGTCTGGATAAGGTAAATCCGCAAAAGAAACGCCCACAGATCGTTTCTTCTCTCGTGTCGTTCATGAATCACTTCTTCCCCACGATCGAAAAAGTCCTTTCACTCGACTCCCGACAAGAGTGCTCGAATGTGGTTCGGAGTCTATGCACAGCTACTCCAAAAGGTATTAGATGGAGGGACGACAGAAGTTGGATGACAATTCAAGATGTGAAGTGGCCGGACGTACCAGGAAGTCTAATTGACGATGTTGTGGTCACCGGTGTCGTTCGGGGTAAAGGATTAAAGGCAGACCGAATCGTGCATATACCAGGATGGGGGGACTTCCAGATCGCATCTATAACAGCAGCACCCCTTGCAAACACAAAAGGCAAAAAGGAAGATTCGATGAACATTGATGTTACAGAGGCGCCTCAAGTTCTGGATCAGCCAACTGACGATCGTGATGATATGGCGGTTATCGCACCTGAGGAAATCGAGATGAATGATGATATGCTTTCAAATCCAGATGTGGAGAGACGAGGAGTATTGCTTGACGACCACCACTACTTTTCCGATGACGAATCTCATATTCCCGCGCGTCCAAAGAGATTGCCAAAGGGTACTTCGGAATATCAGTCTGCTTGGTATCTTGAGGACGACTCTGATTCCGCGTCCGATATGATGGACGATGAAGACGAGGATATGAATATGGAAGTTGATGAAATCGAGGGTCGTCCTGAAGACGGTGTGTTCCCAGACCATGGCGATGCCATGACCGAAGGTGGCCCGTCAGAATATCCTCAATCAGAGATGTTCTTAGACCCATCGCCAGAAGATGAAGCAGATCAGCTCGAGGACTATCGTGCCAGCCGTCGAACTGAGGCCAAAGAAGATTTGGAGTTCCCTGATGAGATTGAATTACACCCCAATGTCCTTGCCAGGGAGCGATTGCAGAAGTATCGTGGCTTGAGAAGTCTCAAAACTAGTCGATGGGAGACATCAGAAGATCGACCATTTGAACCGGAAGACTGGCGACGACTACTTCAATTCAGCGATTACAAAGGTATCAAAAACAAGCTTATTCGGGAGGCTCTTATAGGCGGCGTAACACCCGGCACACGAGTCAATGTGCACTTGAAGGCTGTGCCGTCAGTATTGCGCAACAGTCCATTGCCAGTTGCATTATATTCTCTGCTTCGACATGAGCATAAGCACACAGTCATCAACATCAACATGACATTGAACTCTTCCGTCGAGAAGCCTATCAAGTCTAAGGAGGAAGTCATCATTCAATGTGGACCTCGCCGTCTTGTCGTCAATCCAATCTACTCCGACGCTGGAAATACGCCCAACAATGTACACAAGTTCGACCGATACCTGCATCCAGGTCGCAGCGCCATAGCTACGTTTATTGGTCCTGTAATCTGGGGTGCGGTTCCGGTTCTAGTATTCAAGAATCAGGCCGTCGAGGACCCAGAAATCCTCGACTCCACCGACAGCACCACTGCTGGAAAGACATCTAACCGGCTGGAACTTATCGCAACAGGCACAGTTGTTGCGCCCGATCATTCCCGAGTGGTTGCTAAACGAGCAATCTTGACCGGTCACCCTTACAAGATTCACAAGAAAGTCGTCACAGTGCGCTACATGTTCTTCAATTCCGAAGACGTCCATTGGTTCAAGGCCCTTCAACTCTGGACCAGACGCGGTCGCAGTGGTTTCATCAAGGAGAGTCTGGGAACTCACGGTTACTTCAAGGCCATGTTTGATTCCAAGATCAACCCTCAAGATTCCGTGGGAATTAGTCTATACAAGAGAGTGTTTCCACGCAGGGCTCAAGCTTTGGAGGAGGTTGAAACTGTTGCATAATCTTTGGCATCTTCTGTCCTCTTCTTTTCTTTTGTGATAATGGCTTATGACGAATGCATACCCCCTTAACATGATAATTTACATGTCATGACTATATAGATGAGATATTGATTGACTTCTCGATGTCAGTTGAACAAAAGTGATACACATTTAAACATCCATCGGTCCAATGGTTATTTGTAGGCATCCATCATACACAAATTCATAAGCTTCTTCCTAAGTGAAACAAAGAGTCTGGAAAGATCAATCAAACACTCCCCGAGTTCCTCGGCGCACCATTATTCCACCTCTCCAAACTCGTGTCATACGCACCACTCGCTTTCCACGAACTAATAATCAAATTTACAATGTGATCCACTCCATTCCCATGCTTCACAGACCCAAACACCGTTGGACCCCCCTCTCGAATCTTACCTGCATCCCGCTCCATAACACTTAGGTCTGCACCCACAGCCTCCGCCAAATCAATCTTGTTAATAACCAACAAATCACTGCCCGTGATGCCCGGACCACCTTTTCGAGGCACTTTATCTCCACCGGCGACGTCGATTACATAGATTATGAAATCGGCTAGTTCGCGGGAATAGTTTGCGGCGAGATTGTCGCCACCGGATTCAATGAGTAGTAAGTCGGTGTTGAATTTGCGTTGGAGGGTCTGCAGGGCGAGCAGGTTTGCGCTGATGTCTTCACGGACGGCGGCGTGAGGGCAGCCTCCAGTTTCGATGGCAGAGATGCGTTCGGGGGCGAGCGCTTTGTTGCGCGTTAAGAATTCGGCATCTTCTCTGTTGGTTGCGTAATCGTGTCAATTGTGTTCATTTAATTAGAGTGGATAGAGGGGGACGCACTTCGTGAAAATGTCATTGGTTACTGCTGCAATGTTGTATTGATCTCTCAATGCGAGGCAGAGCTTCAGCATCAGTGCTGTTTTGCCGGATCCAACTGGTCTTTTAACAACGTGTCAACTGAGAATCGAACGATATAATCGGAATGAACGAGGGCTTACCCTCCGATACCAATTGTGAAAGCTCGATCCTTCCAATCCCTTCCTTCATGGTGAGAAAGCGGCTGCTCGCGATTTATATACGAACCTGGACCACCATAGATTTCATGAGAATGGCCATGGCCACCAAAATCATCGTTGCCACCGTGTGAGTGCGACAGTCCGTTGTCGTGGGAATGGGTGTGACCTGTCGACATGGTGTTTACCTTCGGTATTCGAGGGGTAGATAGCTAGGTTGCTTTAAGTGATCAGGCGCGATATAATCGATCGGTTTGGCCTATGTGTTTGGTTTCTGGACGAGAAATATAGGGTACTCGTGTATACCGAATCCTTTTAGTTTGTGAGATCAAGGCTATCGCAGAAATGTAGATATTTTGGAGAATAAGATATCGTGTGCTGTTATCAGCAAAGCAGCCCACCAGCCCACCTTGCTTATCTAATCAGATGCCTAGTCAATGAGGCTGACGACGAAAGATCATATACTTGCTGATACAGTATGGTTGAAAATTAATATACAGTCAGGAACCCCTGCGAAATGCTTTATATGGGCATTTCTTGTAGGCCGTGCTCAAGTGTTGGAAAATTGTTACCGTACCTGCCATGTCTTGCTCCAGAAACGGTACTAATTAGGGTATTCACTTAGAATCTAGTTATTGTAAGAAATGCGGCGCAGGACGAGCGACTCCCACGAAGCTTGAAAAAGCAAACAGCAACAGCTCGCTCACCGCATATTTAGAGTAGCATCTTCGAAGTTGTTCAATTCTCGGAGAAGTGTGATGATCCAGACTTATTGACTCTTTGATCTCGTTCTCTTCCAGACAGATTCTTAACTAATTTAGAACCCATATTGTATCGCTCTTATCACCGTGCCAAAAAAATGCCTCTCCGGACTTGCGAAACCGATGGGTGCAAGGATCCAGCAGAGCGTGGCGCTGGTAGCTGCATCATCTGTGCTAGACATTATTGCGTAGAGCACAAGAAGAAAAGCTATCATAAATGCCCATCAGAGGTTAGTCAGAAGTCAGCGATGGATTTGGATGGTGACACTGATTGATCAGCAAGAGTGACGAAGATAAAGAAGTGTATTGGGCAGCATATGACTCTGCTAAAATCAGACACCTCGCCGCACTACTTGACAGGATTAATGTCAATGCCATGGAAACCATTATAGGTCAGGTTCGAGGGGTCAAATGCCGCATTCCAGTTCTTGACGCTGATCTCGATCAAGCTGCCAAGATCGAAATCGTCTCGTCTCAAATGGGTGGACAGAATTGCCATGTCGATGCAGAGTTTGAAGACGGCGTGACTTGGATTGTAAGAATCCGACTCGCCAATCCAACTCTGCCTCCACAGAAAGTACAAGATGAGATACTTCTTAGTGAGGTTGCTACACTCAAATTCTTAGAGCAGACAGCCGTGCCTGTTCCCAAAGTATATTATCACCAACTAGAGTCTGAAAATGATACCGCTGGCGCTTCATTCATCGTGATGGAGAAATTACCAGGTAGAGCTCTAGAATGGAACGAAACCAACAGCGAGCAACGGGAAAAAATAATGGAACAGCTTGCAACCATTTTTTTGGAACTTGAAAAATATCCTTTCGAGAAGACCGGCTCCATCGTCTCAACCAATTCTGGATTCGACATTGGCCCCCATGCCCAACTACCTTTTTTTGAATCTCCAATATCACGGCTTGGTCCATGGAGCGATTTAGATAATGCTTACTCGGCGAGAATTCAACAACAGCTACAGGCAATCAACAGTAAAGAAATTGCCACTCTTCCTGAGGAGAATAGAGGCTATTTTCAATGGCTACTATCAGCTCTCCCGTCTCTATTGAGTTCGACGAAGAGTGCAACAGGCCCTTTCTACCTCAAACATTTCGACGACAAAGGTGACCATATTCTCATTGACGAGCAATATAACATTACCGGCATAATTGATTGGGAGTTTGCGTCCACCGAGTCGAAAGGCCTTGCATTTAGTGCTCCTTGCATGATGTGGCCTGTTGGAGAATTTTACGATGGGAAGAATGACCTTTCACGGGATGAGCTGAAATTTGTACGAATCTTCAAACAACGTGGCCGTGAAGATATCGCGGATATTGTTCTTGGAGGTCGCCCGTGGCAGAGGTCTCTTTTCTTCCTTGGTGGGTTGCCGAAGGAAAGAGAGGAATTCGATGGATTGTTTCGTGGTCTGCAAAAGTCTTTTTTATCCATTGTGTAGTGGTAAAAGTATCCGACAGTTTCCGTACCCAAGTCTCTTCATCTTAAGAAAGAATGTGAAGAACGAAAGGACAAACATGAAGTCGAATTAAGATTGAGGTCCATATAGCGTTGATCACTGGACCAATGAGCCTGCTTTGTTCATGGACGGTGGGGTCAAGTTGCTGCCTGAAAAAAGAGGAGATAGCATCGATATCGAGCCTACACTTCTCTTGTCACAACATTGGCAGGTAGATGGAGGCCCATAGCAAAGACCTGGTATTCGATCGATCCGTCGTGGCAAAATGCTCCTATCACTTCCCGTCGAGCTACAACACAGAATAGTAGATTTCATCGACCCCCAGGTTCTAATCGCATTCTCATCCACTTGCAAACAAGCACGCACCATATCCCTAAAACGTCTCGAAGAACACAAAATCTTCACCAATCTCGTCCAAAGAGAACTCTTCTCTCTATCMCCCGCCAATGTCCAACTTCCCGCAACCGAGGCGAGTTTCTTGAGATCGGCCGGCTCGCCTGGGCTGTTATATGCTCTTGCTGAAACGCCTCGTTTGGCATTGTTCCTCAAAGACTTGAGTTTTAAGCATCATTCGCGCCCTGACACAGGKCCTGTTGCTCCAGAGCGTGCTTGGGAAGTGATTGGGCAGCTCGTTAATGCATCGTCAATACTAAGAGATGAGGACGAGGTGCATGACTGGTTGGATGCAGTCACCAATGGGGTTGGTGGCGCCGCACTGGGTCTTCTCCTCAGCCGGTTGACACGGATCAAGAAAATTCAGTTTGATATCGGATTCAGAGATCCGGTGACTCCATACGTTTCAAGAGCTGTAAGCAGGTTGGCAGCGAGGTCACGGAGCGGGTTCCTTGATCAAGGTCTCTCGCAGCTGACTGATGCGAGGTTGAACTTCATCGATGACTCTGAACCTGATCCTCATCCGGATTTTGACGAATCCGATGACGAAATAGAAGAAGAACAGCGAGAACGTGTAGTTATTCCAGAGGATCATTTCCAGCAACTTGTGCGTTTATTAGCGTCCTTGACAAGATTGCCGAATATGCGTCATTTATCGCTCATGGACTATGTCTCCCAGCCGGAGACTGAAGACTGCAACGCATTCATTGACTGGGACGACGCCAACGACCCAGAATATCCCATCCCAACATCCCCATCTCAGCTACAATCCCTTACAATCGACCGCGGCAACATATCCTCCCAAGACCTATCCCGCATAATCGAGCACTGCACGACTTTTAGCTCATTCAGATACATAATCTTCCACACCATGTACGTGTTCGGGCGCTATTGGGAAAACATCCCCGAAGTAGATCCTATACCAGACATGACGCTCGAATCCATCTGCGCCACACTAATCAAACACGGGAAATCTTCTTTACGGCATCTGCATCTGGAGTTGTCAGATTATGGCGGGRTGTGTGGGTGTCGGCATGATCCATGTCTGAAGCCGTACGGGCAGTACATGTCCATTAACCCATGCGCGCCACAGACCACGAACTGGCGATGGAACGAGTTTACGAATTTGGAACGTCTAACTCTTGACATTGACCTCTTCAGCAACGCCAAGGGGGGCTGGCTCCCATTCGCAGAGACGCTGCCTACATCAATCAGAGAAGTAGCGATACTCGCCCATCGCTGTCCTCCAGGTGCCAACAAACTCGATTTTGAGAACATGTTCCGCGGTTTCAGGCCTCAGGCATTTCCGCACTTACGCTCTATCAACGCATGGCATCGTAACTTCAAAGATTCTCGAGACATCGGGCACAATGCTCCCGACCACATATTGCAAATATACAGTCACGCGCTCTGGGAAGCGGACATACCGACTGAGAGTATACGACAGTACGAATTAGACGATGACTACTTCAAACAAAAACGCAAAGAGCATTTGGCGTGGGAGCGAGCCAGTGGGATGAACAAGATGGTGATGTTTGGATTCAAGGAAGGGGAGTTGTATGCGTTACCGGAAAGGGATCTAGAGGGGTCGGTGATGTTTGGGGTGTATTATTCGGTTGGGATGAATATAATGGATTGGGGGAATTTGTATGTTGGGCTTGCGGTGGAGAAGACTTGGGATTAAACTGTGCACATGCCCTTAGGTGTATACAATAGAAATAACTAACAGAAGCCTCCTCATCCTTACATTTTGTATCCAGGAATCTAACTCGATACGAAACGGAGGATACTTTAGTATACTCATATAATTGATCATATTTGCTCAGAGCACTCCCTTTTACTCAATTGACATGATTTTGGGGGTAACTCGTGTAGATCAGGGCGTGGTCGTAATAACAAGACCGACTGACTAGTGAGTTTATCTTAACCTCAAAACACAATTTGATACGTCAGGTGTATATTAATTGATTAACTCGAAGATGTCGACTGACAATTGATAGGAAGTCCCAGAATGCAAATAAGTCATCATTAGAACATCACAAGGAGCAAACTTCTATTAGGTCAACCGATCAAATTTACAATGACAACGAGCAGCGATTGATGATACAGCACGGAGGAAAGTCGTAAGGCAAGAAATGAGAAAAAATAAAAACCCTAGTAGCGAAACGCAGAATCATCACACCTGCGAACACCTCACTCGATGATAAGAGAAAGAGAATAGAAAAAATGTAGCACGAAGAGGAGAGGAAATGAAAAAGATACATGAAAAATGCAGAAACCCATCTAAATCGCGGAATCATCTGCCGTTCAAAATGAAAGCCATATATGACCGCCTAATGGAGACCAACGGGGCTTCGAGAAAAACCATGGTATCGTGCTCCTGGGGAGAGCCCAGAAACGTATCAATGAAATGCGTATCAGAACAAGAAAAAGGCCGCAAATGATGGCCGAAGCAGAGACCTTTGCTAGACGCCATGCGTGATATGGATCGAAAAGCATCCAAGAAAAAAGCCAACGATTCGTAGTCAATAACAGGAAATAGGGAATCATATGTCCGGATGAATGGATGAATGGACATTCGAAAATAAAAAAGCAAAAGCAAAACTCCCAGGGTGTGAGATGAAACATGAACAAAACCGTAATACGCCAATTACCGATTTCCCCCTTTTTGTGAGAAAGAAATGAAAAGCGGCAGAACGCAGAGGTAATAGCAGGAAGATCTCTACGCAGTGCCTTTATGTCTTTTACCACCAACCTTGGGGCTTGCTCTGACTTTTGCAGCACCGGTGGGACCAGCTCCATTGACTTCAACGCCATCGTCACCCTCGGTTTTCACAGTGCTGGCACGTCGGCGCTTGTTGGAAACATTAGGGCTCGTGTTTGCACTGGCACCTTGGCTGCCATTTGCTGCCAAAGAACCTTGGCTTTGCTGAGGAATCATTCCAGGTCCCATGAGATGGTTTTGGGCCGGACTCGGATGGGCGGAGTGTCCCAGATGCGGAGAGGCTTGCGCCCCGGGCAAGCCCATATTAACGACAGATGGGGAAGCGAATTGAGAGGGTCCGTTGAGACTAGGCGTACGTTGACCTTGAGCCTGAAGAGCGCCAGGATTCATCCCTGATTGACTAATCAATGCGGTCACATCTCGAAGCAGCTCATTGGCACTTTTATGGGGGTTGCTGGCACTGTGACTGATCAGGCTAGTCATATATGACAAAGGTTCTGCTATCTGAATCACACACAGGCAAGTCAGTTATTGAGTACGTCTATAAAAACCTGTAAGTCATACCTCGAGGAAGCACTGGACGCTATGCGGAAGTCCGTTTTCGTTCACCAATGACTCTGGAGGGGAAATGATTGGCGGGGCCAGCTGTTGTTTCTGCATCCTTTTGCTGGCATTCTTAGCCACACGCGGGCTCGGCTTTTGATCAATCGGTTCCGGTTGTTGGAGAAGGCTGCGGGGTATGAATTCTCGAAACCCTGTTACCGAGATATCGACCAGATCAAACTTGTAATCTGGATTCACAAGAACCTTGAGCGACCCATTGACGAAGAGCTGACAGTCATTGGCAAACCAGTAAATAAAGCTAGCCTTGGGGCTATACACCACACGATAACCATTTGAAGGAACGAATTCTTGCGTGGCTTCCATGTGCGTTTGTATCCGTCTGATGCCATTATTGAAGAGCGTGACGTAATAACGAGGCAGAATGGTTGCGTTGACCTCGAAAGACTTGGATCCAGTTCCTGCTGTCAAGACACCTTGACGCAAAACACCCCAAGGTTGACCAGTCATTGGCTGAAATGTAGTGTTGTAGTATTTGTTTACAACTTCCTGCCAATAAACAAGGTCGGCATCTTCACCATTACTCTGCACAAAAAATAATCAGTGATTTGTTTCTCACCGTGAAGCACTGTGATATAACCTACCTGGAATGTGCTTAGGGTCTCAAAGTAGCTATTGACATAGTGTGTCAATTGTCCTTTGTTCTGCAAAAAGGAGTTCATGCTTGCTGCACGTCTTTGCTGTTCTATCATCATCTGCTGCTGCAATTTCAACTGCTCCGGGGTCGCCATGGCTTGTTGTTGCTGGTTTAATTGGGCTTGCTGGGCCTGTGTCACTTGTGGCTGGCCATTCTGCGGCTGCGCTTGGGGCTGCTGTACCTGCTGTTGCTGTTGGTTCACTTGAGCCTGTTGTTGTGACTGTTGCTGAGCCATTGCCTGCTGAGCTTGTGGGATCTGTTGGTGTTGAGGGTTAGGCGTCGACTGTGGTGGTTGCGAACCCTGATGAGACGGAGGTTGTGGGGTTGAATGTTGTGGGGGGTTGGATTGCTGTGAAGGCGTAGCGCTTCCAGGAGGTCCTTGGGGGCCCTGTTGTGGTTGAGGAGTGACGCTCTGAGGTGGTACGGCGGCAGCTCGTTGTTGCGGTGTATGCTGGCCCTGTTGACTGTTTGCCTGTGCTGCTGCTTGCGCTTGTGCAGCGGCAGCTTGAGCTTGCGCCTGAGCCTGCATGGCAAGATACTGCTGTTGCTGCTGTATATTGGGAGGCATATGCTGCATCTGTTGCTGGAAGTGCATCATATTGACCGGGCCACGCATGTTGGGATTCTGCATGGCGGATAACTGGGCTTGGTTGAGGCCCTGTGTTCCTGCAGGCATCGAGACCGGTATACCACCTGCATGGTGTTGCTGCTGTTGCGCCAAGTGCTGCTGCTGGAGCATTCGCTGTTGTCGGACCATGGCTTGTTGTTGGAGCAATTGGTTGTTATTCGACACATCTATAACACGGTTTAATTAGAACATGCGTCGTAACACACTTGGCGATGCTGTGGATCACTTACTCATCCCGTATGGCTGCTGCTGAAGGAGATGCGCCTGGGCAGCTGGGTTCAAGTGTTGCAGAGCATGTGCGTTTGGTACTGGGCCACCGGGGCCAGTAGTCGCGCCTGGAGGCATACCAGCCATCATGGGCCCAGGCTGACTCACTTGCGGACCACCAGCAGCGGAAACGCCAGGGTGCATGTGTTGAACCATACCAGGCTGGACCATATTCGGGTGCTGGGGTTGGGCCATTGGATGGCCAGGGGGGACTCCAGGGTGTTGGGGAATGCCTTGATGGGCAGGAAACGGCTGGGTCATCATCATCGCTATTCTAAAAAGCCCTCAGCCACGCGAAGGCTTATGAGGACTATTCCAACCGAACCCGACGATCACAACTGCGACGACAAAGGCCTCCCAATGGATTGATGCGACGTGCGTTGTTTCTAGTAAGCAAAGTGAATAGCTAGCGCGATAAACCAGACAGTCGATGGTATCAAGGTGTGATAGCCAGGACACGACAGGCTTGCGATGAGCCTGGGTCAAGACGGGCCAAGAACAGATATACTCAAAAGCATCGATCACGACCGGAAAATCAGTCGCGTCTCGTAATTAGTCGGTCAGGCTGGGCCTTGGGAGGTGGGCACACGCTAATCCGAGCCGAGAAGGAACGAACGACGGCGGAAAGTAAATCGGACACAACGGGTGAAGGATATGAGCCAACAGCAGGTAAAGAGAGTACTTCTTTGGTTATGCTGAGGCCGGAAGGCCAGAGAGAATCCAGCTGACAAACTGCAAAGACTGGGAGAGACTGCGAAGGTTTCGGGGAGGGGCTAGTTAGGTAGGGGCTGGCTGGCTGGGCTGTTAGGTGGTCCAAGAACGGCGCAACGGACACCGGGGAACCTCAGATCACCTTATGTAGAGCAGTCGCGCGCTCCAACAGGGGACAGTCTGCGGTGTGGCGTGACCGACAGTGGTCAGGTTGTCGTGTACTTGTGTCTGGCCACCAGCTGATTCAAGAAAAGCCAAAACAGAGCGAGATTTGGAGGACTTTTAGGGAGAGTCACGAAAAGAGGGAAATTCCAGTATCCTGGAGGAAGTCGCACTCCGGCCTACGCACTTGCCATCCCGTGCGTTGTGTGAAGCACGCCACGCTGTAACAGGAAGTCACGTGTTGTCACGCTAAATTTTTTTGTGCTTCCTTCCTTTTTCTGTTTGTATTTGTCTCTTAATTTCTTCACTCACTTTTTCTCACTCAATTGACTGAACAACACAATTACTATTCTCTTTAACTGCAGGCCAGTCTTATTGACAGTCCCATTGCACCAGGTTAGTACATTGCTTTTTGCCCAACTCTCCACTGCATACTCCATCTCAAGATGACAAAACCTCTTTTACTTCTTACCTCTCTGAGTCGCCCTTGAAGAGATATTCGGGCCTTCCTTTCCCGGTTGGCCTGCTACTTGCCAGTATACATTGTCTGACTATATGGATTATTGTCCCATCTATTCTGCTCGCATTCATTACTTGAATGACATTTGCTAATATTGTACGACTATTAGGTTCGATGATTCTCTTCAGCCGGTGCCGTGGGAATACAGCGATAACGGTCATTTTAGGTTGACCTAGGAGCTATATTCGTCTGTACCGCGGATTGTATATGTACAACCACATACTTTTGTCAAAGCAGATGGTTGTCGTTGTGTTGGCGATTCCCTACGATAGTTAGATGTGGTAGTCTATAATTACACCAATGAATTATGCTCATACAGAGACATTGAAGTCTTTCCCAATTACTTGTAGTCCACTGTGGTATTTTTCGTCTAGACAATATATATAAGTTATAGTAAGCCTCAGGTGTCATAGGCCTGAGGCCGTCATACGTCAAGATTCCGCAGATCATGTTCTTGGCACTCTGTCCGTCACTATCCCCAAAGTGGTTAGCGTGCATGTGTATCTAATGTTTAATCGGATTATTAAATATTTCATTCGGGAGAGATGACCATTACTACCGTTCGTTCAACACTCCCACCCCCTTTCCCTTTACATCTTCGGGTGCCCTTCTGTTGCGTACTTTGCACTTGGTAGCAGAAACAATACGTCCTGTCAATCAATTGCATTGTTTCTGCCAATTGTCCCGAGCCGGTCTCGCCAAGTCGTTGCCATGCAAAGTACGCTACTCCTTCCTTCCCATATCGTTCGGTCCTGTCGCTTAATCGCTGGTCGTCGATACGCGCCCACCTGGTCGGTCTCATCTCGTCATTTCCACCAGTCTCTTTTTCGTTACTCTCAGTCATCTCCCGAGTCCAATGGCGCATCGGACCCAAATTCCGATACCCCAAATGGTGTAAAGCCTTTCGACGTGAACGCACAGCCTACGGAACATGCTCAAGACTCTACCAGCGCGAATCAGTCATCTGCCAGTCGAAAAAGTTATATTTCAGGTCTTCGTCGGACATGGAAAGATAAAAAGCCCCCACCCGAAGTTATATCGACCGCCGCTACAATTCCTCAATGGTTTATAAACAGGAACATTGTCACATACCACCAGGCTGTCAAACTGCCTCAACAGCTGATTGTTCAATCTTACGACCAAGAACAACTTTCTTCGAAGCAGACAACACCCACGCCGACGTCGCCACCATCCGAAGATGTCACACCCCCTTCACAAGAAAGTAACTCGGATAAGCTAGAAAATAGAGAAAGCGAGAATGAGGGGTCCAGTAGTGATGCGCCTGAGCCAACCATCATCAATGGTCGTTATACAATAGATGGCAATGTCTGGTCCAGACTGAGACTTTCAGTCAGAGCAGGTTTTACAACCCCTTCGGCGCAATATCTCAATGATCCAGCAACGGAAAAGTCGCACATCCTTCTTCAATACCCCCATAGGAAAAACGAAACGAATATTGATGTTATTGGTGGAAGCCTGTTTTTGCATGCCGTGGTTCAAAGCTTAGCGAAGCAGGAAGAGGCAGATCTGGTAACACTGAACGCGCAGGATATTGCTCGGCTGTGCAGTGAGCAAACCCGCGCGGAAGCTAAAGCCTCCTCGTCGATACGCAACCTAGGGTACGAGATCTATAATACCTGGAATAAAGAGCGCCGACTGGACACGGAATCGCCATTCGATAAGGAGGACGCCGGCGACGATGGTGACTCTTCAATCTCGCTTTCCGGAGCCCGTCCGCATATACTGCCTATTGAGGTCACGCTGCCAGATACCCAACTTCCCAATTGGCTATTGTCATCTTTCGGGGGCGGTGCGGACAGTACTCGCACATCCCGTACAGAGACCAGTGCATGGATTCGTGTTATTAATCAGTTAACGTCTATGCCTTTACAAACTCAGCCTATCCCCATCGACAGTACCACTACATCAGATAGTGAGAAGAAGTCAGACTCGTCGCCAAAAATGATAATTCATATACAAGATTACGTGGAGTTGATGCAGACTCGAGAAGGTTCGAAGTTTCTAAAATTGTTGCTGGATGCAATTCACAGCCGTCGGCGCCTAGGCCACAAAATCTTACTCATCGGGACGTCTGCGGCACATCGAGACATATCCTTTAATAGGGAGATGCCACCAATCGTTGAGCGGGCAAGGCTTTACCTTGATAGCTCAGCTAGGCCCTTCGCTTCTCCTATCGCCGTCTTCCCCTCGATGGATCCGAAGGAACTGAATGTCAAACTCGCAGAAGATCGGCGGTCTCGAATCAGAGATATCAACATACGTCATCTACAAGATATGCTCCGCCTGCGAGTAAACACAGACACAACCCCCATAGATGACAGCATCTTCGATACAACCTCATGGCCCGATGACATAGACGCCACCCCACATTTTGGTTTGGATAAAGATTATCTGGGGTATACTCGTGTACACAATCTAAGTTCAATGATCATGGGTGCTGTGCAGCCAAACGAGAAGTTAACCTTTGAACACATTCGGTTGGCGTTCTCAGCCGAGACCAAGCATAGAAGATCCTATGAAAATTGGTACTCACCTTCCAAATCTTCAGGACCAACAGCTTGGGGGACCAGTGAAAAACCAATGATCTCGGAGTTCGACGAAGGGCTTAGAGCTTCGAAACTGGACATCATTTCACATTTAGAGTGTAACAAGTACGAGAAAAAGCTTTTGAGTGGTGTTGTCGATGCGGAAAGTATCCGAACGACATTTGCTGACGTTCATGTGCCCTCTGAGACGGTTGAGGCTTTGAAGACATTGACTTCTCTCTCTTTGAAGAGACCAGATGCGTTCACCTATGGTGTGCTTGCATCTGATAAAATTCCTGGAATGCTGCTTTATGGCCCGCCTGGAACTGGAAAAACATTGCTCGCCAAAGCTGTGGCTCGAGAGAGCGGTGCAACCGTCTTGGAGGTCAGCGGATCCGACATTTATGACATGTATGTTGGTGAGGGTGAGAAGAACGTCAGAGCGATCTTCACCCTTGCGAAAAAGCTCAGTCCGTGCGTGGTCTTCATTGACGAGGCAGACGCCATCTTTGGATCTCGAAATCAAAGCCGAAGTCGTTTCTCGTCTCATCGAGAACTTATCAATCAGTTCCTACGAGAATGGGACGGTATGAACGATATGTCTGCTTTTATCATGGTGGCAACGAACAGACCCTTTGATCTCGATGACGCTGTCCTTCGACGACTTCCGCGAAGACTCTTGGTGGATCTACCTGTCGAACAAGATCGAGAAGCCATTCTCAAAATACATCTGAAGAATGAGCAGTTAGAGCCGTCGGTTGATCTTGCAGATTTGGCTCGACGAACCCCATTCTATTCGGGATCTGACCTTAAGAATGTCTGTGTAGCTGCTGCTTTGACGTGTGTCCGTGAAGAATTTGAGCAAAAAAGTCTGCATACAGGCGACACGCCGTACCAATACCCAGAAAGACGTACCCTTACCCAAGCACACTTTGAGCGCGCTCTGGAGGAGATCAGCGCATCGATCAGCGAGGACATGTCTTCGCTTGATGAGATTCGCAAGTTTGACGAAAAATTTGGCGATCGCAAGGCCAGGCGCAAGAAGAAGGCATCTTGGGGATTCATGCCTCTAAACGATACCCAAGCACCGTTGGATACAACTCGCGTGCGTACTTGATCTTTATATGTCCTTTGTCCTATTTTGACATATGGGCGCGATATGTAATGTACCTATAGACCTGTATTTTTACTTTGTGTATTATAATGTCACATATTATATTTATCAGCTTGCATGTTCGTCTCTATCCCTAGTATTATATACGCGATACATCATACAAGACTCGTAAGTTGTCTGCATACCAGTACGGAGTACTTCAGTACAGACCATGCGTATACATACCATACAACGTACAGTACAATATTACGATTCGTATGTAATAATACAAATACACCCGAAGCGGCGCCGGCGCTGTGGTCCGGGCGGGAGCGATCCAGAGTCGAATCCCTCGTCATGACAAGCTTTGACTTTGACATCAACTGACTTTTCTTCATTTATATATATGCTCTCTTTACCCACTCTCGCTTTGTCCACAACATCGATTATGAAGAGACTATCATACGATCATTAACGCCCTTAGAGGGTGTACTTACCATTCTTACAGTCTTCATACAAAAAGAACAGAGCACTTTGACCATATTCACAGTGCACACGACCGCCTGCCCTTTTGCTTCCCCGCTTTTTGTAAGCGATCCGGCCCAACAGCAACGCAGCAATGGCTACCGTCCCGTCTTCCTCTCCGACATCTGTCTTCCCATCTCTTCGGCGCAAATCAATAAGTAAAGCGGCAAATGCAGAAGCGAAACAGAAACGAGAAAACGCCGTGCGAGAAGCGAAACAATACGTTCGAGATGTAGTCCGTACCGACTGGTCGTTTGAGCCGCCTTCGAATCTGTGGACGGTCTCGTCGTATGCGGATTTGCCGATGCCAGCTGTAGCTGCTCCCGCTGCTTCTGTAGTCGCGCAGACACCAACGGAAGCGCAACCCGCGATTGAGTTGCACCAACCAAACATCGCGCAATGGCGTATTCGGGAACCTGCAAGCTCCGAATCGGATTCTGATCTTGATCCGGCATTGCGCAGAGCGATTGAAAGTCACAAGAGTCGAAAGGGAGATCCGTACCGCTTTGAGAGTCCGGATGCTATCAAGACTTCGGTGCTGGAGCGGGGTCGAAGACGTCGAGCAGATTTGGAGCAGGAGATGTTGTGGAATCCGGGACTGCGATTCTATGTGGAGAGACGAGATGCATGGACTGGGGCTAGGAAGCGGCGGGATGTTGAGCAGGGAACGACCAAGCGGCGGCGGGCGTTGATCAATATTCTATCGAGAGAGCGGAGCAATTCGAAAGCTGTTGATTTGAGCGGAAATGCGGACGAGAAGGTTGGATCATTGCAAGATTCGACTTCATCGGAACAGCAGTCGAGAGACTTGCTTGAAGATCTGAGTCTGTCAGAAAAGAAGTCGAGAGACACCCCTTCAACAACCGACAACAACACTTCAAATGAAGACTATGGCCTGGACGGCAGCACCGGCGACGACGGAGACATCGAAGATTCCGACGATGACCGTAGTTTCGACTCTGACGAATCCATAATCCCGGTCATGGATTCCTTCATAGACACTTCCAACCCCGTCAGATCGTCCATATCACCAACTTTGTACCCCTCATTGTATAGCAAAGTGATTGTCCAAGGTCTCACACCTACAATCCCCATCAACTTAGCAGACGTCACAAAAGCGCTAGTCGCAGGATGGAAAGCCGATGGTCAATGGCCACCGAAACCCACCGTTCCGCCTCCCGGGTCTGACGTCCCTGCTCGGAAGAAGGGTACCAAAGCACAATCATCCACCAAGAACGACGAGGCTACAGCATCTGGCGTTGTTGGACGACCTACTCATGGTCGAAAAACGAGTTTCAGTAATCAAGCGACCAGTGCTGTGAAAAAGGTGCTGGGGTTATCAACCCACTCATTCCATTTACGACGATCAAGTCGCAGTTCGGCTAATTGCGACGGTTTCGCGGATCGATCGTCGATAGCGGATTCAGTTCCGACTGATGTGCTGATGGTGGAGGAGGAGCAGGAGCATGGGATGAAGCATCATCCTTTTGGCTGTTAAGCTGAGAGAAGCTAGCAAGCCCTGGTTGGGTAGGCTCTAACGCAGACATGAAACGAGAAAAAAAAAGCATGATTGAATCGATTGACGGATACGATTATCAGTATGGTGATTATGCAATGTAGGCATTATCCTTATATAATAGCAGTCACAACTTGAGTACGTTGATAGGCACAAGTATGTATATCACCTATGAACCTTGACATTCTCTATCGTGCTACACACCTATCCAATCAATGCTAGCTATGTACCTACTGATAGGTAGAAAGCGGCTCGTCCTTCAAGTCTTCCTGCTGTCACTCTTCTCGAGGGATCATCCACTTGAGAGCCCTAGACCGCTCTGGTCCAAATGCCATCCGCACCTCCATTATACAACGAGTGTAATCAGGGGTGAACGCGCCTTTCAGAGGAGTCATAAGCACTAATACTACATATGGTTTGAGGTAAATGACTCTAAGAGATCAGCGATATAGTCTGTAGGCAAGATATTAGTCAAATTCCGCTTGGACTTACTGGAACACTTGATAGAGATACCTATCTATGAAACTCCAACATGAATACACAAATACAATTATTGAAAACTCTATACATATAACACGTTTCATATCTACTTACGCATCTTTTTATAGGTTTAGTCATGAATTTTCAATCTCGAAAACGCCATCCACAGAATTCGCCGGCCGGCGAAGTGTGGTCCATAGTCTGAATGGTATGGTGGCATGCTCACAGGTACATGCTGCGACTGTGGAACAAGGCATTCTGGCAAATGCATGGAATAGAACCGTAAGTCAGACAACATATGCATTAATCGACATGGGGTTTTACTGATATTAGGCACTTGTTCCTATCAGGACGCTGCAGTAGCAATCGGTACGAATTCGATGGTTGTTTCCTGCCAGCACAACACTTACCATAATGACCTGGTTGAACCGCTGCAGCACTCAATGTCACTAACCCTGCTCGACGGGCATCGGCGGCGACATGTCCTGCCTTTTCTACCACGCCAACGACGAGAATGTCTACGTACTCAATGGCTCCGGTCGATCACCACTAGATCTCACCCTGGAGACTGCTTAAGATGCGCTGAAGATACCAGCTGATCAAATCGGCAGTATCCCATTGACTCATGTCCTCGCTGTGACTACGCTCGGCGCAGCGGCTGGATGGGTAAATACGGTTGAGAGGTTTGGGAGTGGGAAATTGACGATGGAGCGGATTCTGAGGGCTGCGATTGAGTTGTGTGAAGAGGGGTTCACGGTTAGTGAGGTTTCGGCGCGATTGGTACGTTCACACTGATAGAGAGATGAGTTGAGGTTTAGTTGTCACTGAATAGGGTTCGAAATGTCATCGTAAGTTCGGGGTTGGTCATGACCTCGCCTGCCATAGGTGCTCGAAAGCCGACGTCAGCAAGGGAATCGGGAAAGAGTAATTCGTGATATTATTCTGGCGAGCTTTCGCAAGCGCCTTTTCGTTCTCCTGCTACTATTTCAGTAACAAATGGCAAAGAAGGGTTCTACAACGGCCCGATTGTGCACCCTATAGTCGAAGCAGTACACGAGCGAGGCGGGTTACTTTCCGTCGGGGATCTGGCGTTACATGTCGAGAAGGGTAGTACAACACCTGATCCCATCTGCATCCGCTTCAATGACATGGTCGACGTATGGGAGCATCCGCCCAATGGTCAGAGAATCGTCGCGCTCATGGCTCTTGTTCTGTTGAAGGAAATCGAGAGAACGAACCAGATTACTTGCATTTCGAGTCTGAGACACATTTCAGCAGAGTACATCCACGCTCTTGCTCTTATTAAGGTGTTTCGCATCGCCTTCTCGGATGCATGATGGTGGGTTGTAGACCCTGATAACCTCGGTTCGAATCATCTGCCTGATCTCCTGAGTCGGACGTGCTTGACTCAGAGCGCCGGAGAACACTTCAACCCTCTAATTGCTTCACGTCGCATCAACCACGGCGACAGCCCCGCGTTCAAGTCCTGAGATACAGTCTACTTCTCTGTCGCCGACAAGCACGGCAATGTAGCCTCCTTCGTAAACAGTAATCACCATGGTTTCGGCACAGGCATGATCCCACACGGCTGCGGATTCACGGTTCAGAGTCGAGGCGCGAATTTCTCGCTACAGCGCAACCATTCCAATGCCCTTGCGCCGGGGAAACGGCCTTTTCATACCATCATTCCGGCCATGGCTTCTGATCCGGTGGATGAATTGCTGTCGTTGATTTTTGATTTTTTTGGGCGGCTTCATCCAGCCACTGAGCCATCTGCAGTTGCTCATGAACATACCCGTTTTTGGAATGAATCCGCAGTAGGCGCTTGATGCGCTGCGGATTTGTATCGGGTCTAAGGGACATCCTTCCTCCAAGACTAATGCGAGGATGGTGTATGTAGAAGAAGGATTCGATCCGTAGGTATTAGATCAGCTTCGCGACCGTGGGCATGGGATTGAGGTAGTTCGTGGATGGAATAGGGAAATATTTGGTAGAGGGCAGCTTATTCGTGCGCTTTCGGTCAATGATGATCGTTCGAAGAGGATGTATTCTGCTAGAAGCGATTTCTGGGCTGATGGGATGGTAGTTCCAGCTTGAATCGATCATGCCGTAGTTGAACCTGACTGACCTTTGGAATGCTAGTCACATATTCAATTTAAGTGCGAACAATAATCAGGAGTTAGTTAGCAGATTCGAAACATCTAGTGGCTAATACATGTATTGAATTCATAAGAAATACATACATACTTATTTACCTACATATAGTTCGGCTGGAACACAACGTCGTAATAAAAATTGGGTAAACCAAAGTTAAAAGTTACTTTACATACGGACAAGCTTGACTATATATTACCACGCTCTTTGCATGCGAGTCGATTGATACACGTGTACTTGGTAACTTTGACCCCACCACGATACGATTTTTGTTTATTTGTACCAAGTCAATGTGTTGTAATCTTTATTGATACCGTACATAGTTCTCTCACAACAAAGTACTACTGTCTACTGAGTATATGCGCATGTCAGAAAGCCGATTATTTCGCAGCTCAACTTCCGTATTGAAAAGACAAGCGCGTATTCGGAAAATATCCAGCCTCCAGGAAGACGAGAAAAGAGATTATAAAAAATTCACAATTCCACTCTACCCACTAACCCCTTTCCATCCCTTCACCCCTTCAACCATAGATCATAAATCAATAGAATAAAGTCTGCAATGTAGCGCACAACTTCAAGCAGGAAACGAGAAAAATAGAAAAAAGTATAATAATGAAATAACAAGAAACCCCAGAATCCACTTGTACCATTTCTCCGTATTGCACCGTTGGAAAACAATAAGCAGCAAAATAAGAAGAGAAAACCCATCGTGAGACGTAAACTATATCTGAAGAAGTCGAGGCTCAACGTCATAGAGAAGATAAAAGAGAAGAAGAGATTTGAAATGTCGTGGATCTCCTCACTCGTGAGGCTTAGTTGAGACGGAAAGCGTCGAGGATGACTTCGTGGCCGCGACGGCAACCGGAGCCAACCCACATGCCAGTGTTGACGAAGGCGTAGCGCTCATCACCGCTTTCCATGGACAGGTTGAGGCGGTACTTGTAAGAGGTAGGGTTGATGGTGTCTGCGTGATTGGGGTCTTGGAGCTTCTCAAGAACGTCCTTGGCACCGGTTAACCAGCCCTGGGCCTTGACGATGATGTATGCTGGTGGTTCGTCGGATGATTGAAGGACATAGTTGGCGCTTAATGATGTGGCCATTTCTTTGACAGTAACCTGAGAATCTTGACCACCGGGCTGTATAACGCGTTAGTGGATGTTAACGACGAGCAGACGCGAATTATACGTACCAGAATAATGCCCTTACCCCATCGACCAGCCCACTGACCACCAAGGAACGAGACCCAATCGCGTCCACCCCACAGTCCACTACCAACGCTGACTTTGGGGTTCAATTTGATGCTCATGCGGAAATCGAGCTCAATACTGGGAACAGGAATCTGCAGAGATCGCGCAATATCGCCCTCAGGGAAAGTGTGAAGCAGGTTGTTTGCAGGGATGGAATCTTTCATAACGTTCAAGTACGTTGGGCACTCGAGCAAATGTTGGCGTTGACGGCTTGTGTTCTTCGCGCGCACTTGTTGGCAATAGATACATTGCACAGACAAGCACTATACTTGTGAGTAAGTTGCACAACACAAAGTGGAGAAAAGGAAACTCACTTTGTCTTCTTCTTTCGCGCGGAACTCCACAAAGGCAGCGTGAACATCATCAAGTGGTGGAGCAGGGAGAGCAGAGGTACTTTGACGATTCTGTTTGGGCTTGGGAGTGGAATGACTGCGTTGCTGATGTGACAGAGGAGTAGAAGAAGGACCAGCGCCTTGCGAAGTTCCAGGCGCAGGCAATGAGGGACGATTTGTCAAGTTCTGTAGTGGTGTTTGAATTGGTGTAGCATGAGGATTGACACCATTCGACATCATGCCTCCATTGGGAGTGCCGAGCTGAGCGTTAGATGGGCCAGGGCCGGCACCTCCGGCGCCGCCGGAAGGGCCATTTGGAGTGGATGAATAGCCATTAGCGCCGCCGATACCGTTGGGGCCAGTTGCGGTTGCTTGAGGTTGAGGGGCAGATGGGTGACCTCGAAGACCGGGACACTCAAGCAAATGTTGTTTTTGACGCGAAGTATTTTTGGCGCGGATCTGTTGGCAGTAGATACATTGTACGGAGAGACACTGTATGTATTTTATTCAGTCAGTATTGATGTTGTGTTGCTGTATTACCAAGATACAGGGTCACGTGCCTTGTCGTCTTCCTTAGCGCGAAACTCGACGAACGCTGCATGCACCTCCTGATCGACTGTACGACCCATTGTTTTGTGCTGTTATTTTGCGTGTCGCACTGAAAAGAGTCGAATCTTCGTGTTTTGGGCCGGAAAAAGTCGAGAAAAGTATTGTATTTGTGTTCACAGACTCGACAGTGCGATCTGTAACTACAAAGAAGACGAATAAATTATAAGAAGCCGTGTAAAGTGCGTAAAGCAGAAAGAGAAGGTTGGGAAAGAAAACGCGAAAGAAAAAAATTGAAAAGAGGTGGAAAATACTGGAACAAAACCGGGCGCGGTCGGCGTATTTGTGACCCGTGACTGCCTGGCTTGGTGCGCTGCCCCCCACGAGTCCCGAAACAGAAACACGTACCAACACGGTTATTACGGAGCAGTAATAACGCCAAGACTGTCTGACCACGGGCGCTGATTGGTCTTCGGGGCTGTCTTACTGTCATGTCTGTCTTACGGTGTCGCTCCAGTGGATTACGAATACGTGGTTACAATGGGCGAATCCGGCTGACCGTACGTATCGCACGTATCATATGCTCTGTCTGACAATTATCGATCCGAGCCCATCCTCGTGTCATGTACTGGATTTGATGTCATGATATGAGTCAATTTCATACATCCGAAGTAAAGTGACTACGTGTTGTAACCTAAATAAATCTTCGTATACATCAATCAGCCTGAACGGTCAGATCCTTCAAATCCCGCTCCAACGACTCAGCGATCACTGAGCGTGCGTACCGCGGCAAGGATCCTACCGATCGCTCGGCGATTTGATGCTTTCGCAGTTTGTTTGCTTTTGTGAGCACCGAGCGAGTACAGCGCAGCCCCGGAAAGGCTGTGCTGTAAATGGGCTATCTGATTTGTCGGCTGGGGCGCCCGAGTGTATCTCTGATTCAGACCGAGCAACGAATGGACATGATCGTGTTGGCATATATCGCTACGGTCAATTCATGAGTTGGAGGGCTACGGAAGTTGAACCAAGTATTTACAGTCGCGTAGTATCGTTACAGTCGAAATCACAACTGTCGTTGAAATAAGGACCGATCTATTTAAAGTCGCATATCGTTCTTAGCGGTACTGTTTGATTTCTCGATTTTCGTACTGTTATCCCGTCATAAACCATAGTTACGCGGGACCGTTTGATGAATAACCGTGACGAGATCAGGTATTACATACATAACTAAAATAAGTATTAACTAGTTCCATCTTGAATTACTATCGCCGAATTAACAAATTCAGGATAGATAAAAATAAATAAAGATTCAGCTAGATTCTTCATCGATGAAATGTCAAATCGAAATATAAAGTTTTAGAGCATCTGCGGTTGTATATGCCTTGTCGCAGCTCTTCTCATCGATAAATCAGTGCATCTTGTTTCGTCAAGTCGGTTCGATAAATCTATTTCTGCAGTTTTAGTGACATGTTTCAAAGTTCGATAATCGATAGTAGTGGGAAATATCAACCGCTACATCAGACTACTTTCTGATACTGAGGCGAATTTCGTCGAGATCTTCGATAGTGTATGGCGCTCTCTTACAACGTTTGCCCTGTGAAACTTGAATAACGTCCTTGGTCGCAAGGGTCAGCACATGCAACAGGGCTTGCGTTACCACAGCGCGAGAAGTCGAGGTTGCTGGCAGCAATTCGGAGAATGCTATCTTCTGGATACCAGGCGATCCTTTTCCATCCTTAGAATTCTGCACACGTATCTGCAAAAAGTTTAGGAAGTTCCTGTCGTTGTTGTCCAGACTGGCTAACGTGATTTGGCTCTCGAACGCATTGCCATTCAGCTCGGCGAAACTATCAGAACCAGCCCCGTGAAGTAAATCACCAAGGTCATCATCATGAAAATCCCCAAAGTCTCTGAGCGATAGGCTGCTGAGGCTATCATGACCGAATAGATCCTGAGGAAGACCTCGTCTCGCTAGTGGACTTGCGCTAGAGAAGCGACTACCTGGTCTACCCAAGCCGCGATCGTATCGTCGAGATGAGAGATCAAACCGATCAAACCCATCAAATGGACGGGGTACACTCGAGGAGTCCGCAACTGATCCCTGCAGCGAAGCCGTGATATTCCAGGGCATTTGGGATGAGGCGTCGTCGGGAAGAGAGGGCGGAGCATTGAGACCAAGTTCTACATCCTGAGATAACGTTAGAGTTGTATATATAAAAGCACTTGCATTACGAACCTCTTGCATGCGACTCTCATACGGGCGAGTCAAGCCAACTTCAACACCATCGTCTGAAACCCTTCGACGTACGTTTCTGCCGTGGCCTTCATCATCTTCCTCGGGGTTTGAACTGCGCTTGCGAGGCTTTTCGTTTACTAGCGGTTCATCTGAGAGCGTAGCAAGAAGTGAAGCACCGCAGAATGACTCCCAGGGATGGGCAAAACCGTGGTTACCAATGCTCATTCCCACGGAGCCAATGCCGTGCCCAGCAACCCAGGATGCTGCATTCTTTCTAGCTTGCGCTTGGCCCTTCGCATTAGCCCTCTGTACATTAAGACGAGACATGATATCCAAGTAATCGCGATCCCACTGTAGCAGTTCGTCGCGACTGATCTGGGTCACTATGTCCACTTTCATTGTCTTAGGCGAGCGGTGCTTCCGATTGGAAACAACATTTTCTCCCGAAGTGTCGTTGACGTAGTCAGGATCAGGAAGACGGCCCCAGGTTGGAGATGGTTGTTGGTAATCTTGGGCATCGCTTTGAGCATCGTTAAGAGCATTCATCACGGGAGTGATGACCATTATTTCAAGATCCTGCAATTAAGTGTGAGCTGATATAGTGTGACTCTAGACACCCAGGAGATTTTTACCTGTGGATCCTGAAGGATGTCGTTGATCTTTTCGTGGCTCACTCTGCTTCTCACGGGCGTCGCAGGCGGCATAGCAGCAGCACCTGTCATAACAAGATCCACGATATTGCCGTCCTCGTCAAAGTCAAAGTCAGGTTGTAGAAGAAGTCCCTGTTCTTCTCCACCCAAATCGAGCCGTTCAAAAAGATTGTGATTTTCTGGAAAGTGAGTATTGCCGCTAGCGGAAGAAAATCCACCAAACTCAGCAAGAATGGTGTTGGACGCATCTACATCCAGTTGAGGAAGGGTAATGAGCTCGAGCTGAGAGTGAGATGAGTTACTCATGTTGGAGGAGAGCAGGCTGGAGTCGAGCTTTGATTTTGAAGGAGCAACTGATTGAAGAGCATTGAGCAATTCAAGGTCGATACTAGGAAATGTGAAGTCAGGGATGAAAGCTGGATCGTAGGGCACGATTAGTTCCTCTGGTCTTATAAATCGTTAGCTTCAGGCAAGAACAGAAAATGGGCATGGCATACCTTGCTTTGCCAGCGTCTGCCTGCAAGCCTCTACCGTGAACAACTTTAAGTACAGTCTTCATCTTGTCGAGCATGGCTTGGACGTCAGCGAGTGTGTACACACACTGGCGGCTGTACACCTTGGCGACGCCATATCTGTGTGAAATGTTAACGAGATCGATGGTTGGTCAATATTCAGATATGACACTTACAGAAGGTTTCCTTGAAGTCGCAAGGCCATGGGAGCTTCGGGACTCATGATGGTGTCACACGCTCGGCGGACATCCACGTTCAAAATGGCTTTTCTGTTGATTTTCTTAGACGTGCTATTGTGGCCCAACGTGGCAACAAGCCTATATAGGGGAGGAGTTCAGTTGAAAGTCGAGGCAAAAGAAGGGGATAGGGGGAGTAAAGAGAAAGAAACGAGGACTCTAGGGAAGGACCGCGTCTGCCCAAACTCACCACACTGTAGCAACACCATGTCTCTGGGACGTGAGGACTGTGGTTTGAAGGAAGGTGAGAACAAGCGGTTAGCTCTTGCTGAAGTGCGTGTATGTCGAGAAAGAGGGACATTGCATGACTAGTATGAAGCTTACTTTCGTGACTATAAAACATCTCGATGTCTGCAGGACGTAGCCTGATGAACTCTGTTCGTTCGCGTACACAGCAATAAAGATCGCAAAATAGAGCGAGAGAGAATCAGATCTATATGGCACAGTTCGAATCTAGATTTGTGGGCCTCCTGAGACACGGTTTGCAGACACGAAGGAAGTCTACACCGTGGCTCTCGTGGTGGGATAGGCGGATAGTATGGATGAAGAGGAAGGAGGAGAAAAAAAAGGAGAAGGAGGAAGAAAAGAAAGGAGGTCACCTGGCCTGGAAGGACACCAGAGGAAGTTGCGCCCGGGACTGTTTGGATGGAGGAAGGAGCGACCAAGGCGGATGATTGGAAGACGAGGAAGTCGCTGACCATCATGATATCAAAAGCAGAACCTTACACGCCATGTTGAACATTTCACAAGCTCCATTCAATAACAATATGACACTATATACCCGGGTATGTTGACAATAAAATACGTTCATAAGAACACAACGGATTTTCTTTTTTCTTTTAGGATTTCTCGCGAGACCAAACAACTCTATCGCACATATCGTTAACCTCTGACGAGATCAGGAGACGCTTACTCGAGTGGGATGCCCTCATACTCGGAGTAGCCAAGCGCGAGGTTCATGTTTTCTGTTGAGAGGGATCACGTCAGTTGCTGAGTTCAGCCAGCTTTGTCAGACCAAAACTTACGAAGACATTGTGTGGCAGCTCCCTTGAGAAGGTTGTCGATGGTTGCACAGATGACAACCCGCTTACCGCTCGAGTGCACAGCGAATCCACCAATCTCGACACCGTGACGACCAGCAATGTCCTTGACGAGAGGTGGTTCACCCACGATTTTGACCAGTTTCTCGCCAGCATAACGATCCTGGTACAGGTTGCGGATATCTCGAGATGACATTTCTTCCTTGAGAGGAAGGCTGATGGTGTGCTTTGAGAAGGTTAACAGATATGAATGACATCAGCGGTAGTAGGAAAACTTACGTGAATACCTTGGAACCAGACAGCGACGTGGGGAATGAAGGCGACGCTGGTTCCGAGTTGAGCGCTAATTTCCCGCTCATGGATATGGTCCGTCAAGCTGTAAGGAACAATGTTGTTGGTCAACACGTTGACGTCGTTCTTGGGGCTAGGCTTGGTGCCAGCTCCTGAATAACCAGAAACACCAAAGACGGTTGGCTGTCCAGCCAAGTGAGGCACCAAAGGCGCGATACCAATCTGGGCAGCAGTGGCGTAGCATCCAGGGTTGGCAATGCGGGTTGCGCGAGCAATAGCAGATCGGTTGACTAGTTCAGGGAGACCGTAGGTCCAGGATGGGTCGAAGCGGTAGTCGGCGCTGAGGTCGACAATCAAACCGCCCTTGTCAGCTCCCTGGTCAACTGCATCGACGAAAGGCTTGCAGACACCATTGGGAAGAGCCATGACCCAGCAGTCAATGTCGCCATTTGAAGCCATTCGGCGTACATCATCGGGGCTTAGATTCTCATAGATGATTTCCCGCTTGTCGTAGCCTTCGAGCTTCTTACCAGCGAGCTCACGAGAAGAAACATGGCGCAAGTCCATGTTAGGGTGAGCGTTGATGAGGTTGATCAGTGCTTGACCAGTGTATCCTCGAGCACCGATCAGAGCAACTTTGGAGGGGCGGTTATTAGAAACGTTCTTCTCTCCAAGAGGAGGGTTGGGGTTGGTGCTGTATGATCGTCGACCACTGATACCTTGGCTTCCGCTACGGAACGACTGGAGAGCGTTGGTGCGAAGAGTCGAGTAAGAGCGCTTCTGCTGGCCATTCTTGCCGATGTTCAGAGCAGCTTGAGCAGCACGTTGCAATCTAGCCTCAAGGTTGTAGTCACCGAACATCTGACGGCCGTTTTTGGTGAACTCGAGAACCAATTGCTTGACTTCATCGCCATCTTCCAGCCCGTACCAGAAAAGGACATCACCCTCCCGGGAAAGGCTGCCATCTGCCTTGTCAAAGAACCACGTAAGGTTCTCGTCATCGGCCTTCACAGTCCATACAAGCTTGGGGAAGTCTTTCTTGATGCTGGTGAACACATTGTCGGCAACATTTGTAAGCCAGCCAGCCTTGGTGATGGTGAAGGTAGCGAGATGCGCAAAGGCAGAGTCTTGCTGAGGAAGGACAACGGCCAGAGCATCCATGGGTTCATCGAAGTAGGCCTTGAAAGGGCGGTCCTTGAGGCCTTCGACGTAGCGATCGACAGTAGCCTTGGCGTCTAGGCCTTCACGTTCGCGGATCAACACGTCTTTGAGGGCAGCAAGATCTTCAAATTCGGAGAGGGAAGACTTGATGTGAACCTTGTTACCTCGTCGAATCATGGTACCGGCTCCAGAGTCGGTGAACAGTTCCTTCTGAAGGTCCGCTGGGTGGATGATAGCAACACTGGATGTGCGAGGAAGGTCGGAGAGAAGCTCCTTCATTTCCTTGATCTTGAGGCGTGTACCATGTCGAACCCACCACTGTGTCATGAGATGGTCGTATTCCTCGTCTAAGTTGATGACGGAAATTTTCTCACCAGTGTCACCGTTGAACAGACCTCCCTTCTCAGCAAGGTAGACAATCTTGAGGGGCTGCAAAGCGCGGGCGAGTTCGCCAGCAGCAACGTCAGCATTGACGTTGAGAACCTGACCCTCGGGGGTCTCAGCCATTGAGGTCAGGATAGGCAGACATCCTGCTTCAATGGCAGCCTCGATAGGCTTCTTGTCCACACTGTTGATCTTGCCAACCAAGTTGTATTTTTCCTTGTCGAGGTAATCTGCCGAGAAAACGCCGGTGGTGATAGGACGAGCACGGACGCCCATATTCTCCAATTCCTCCACCAACTTTAAATTCTCCTCCAAGAAGAGCTTTCTAGCCAAAGCCAAGGTCTTGCCATCAGTGACACGAATGCCATCTTCGAATTGGGGCTCAACACCGGCATCCTCCAACATCTTGTTCAACTGGGGACCGGCACCGTGGACAACGACCGGGTAAAGACCGACATGGTTGAGGAAAGCAAGAGCGGAGGACAAAGTCTGCAGGTGCTCGGTGATGATAGCGCCGCCGACCTTGATAACAGCGAATTGCTGAGAAGAGACTGAAGTGAAATGGGAGAGGTACTGCTGGACTTCGCGCTTAGAGCCGATGTTGCTCAACAACTGCACCACGGTCGAACGGGTCGAGAATTGAGGATCTGCAGGACGAGAGTAAGAACGGCATTGTGAATACCCGCCATATTTCGTGGTCGTAGTTGTAAGGCGAGCAGGGCGACGAGCTCCCAGTGCCAGTGCCTGCGGTGCGGAGATAGCACGGCGTGATTGAGTCACAATGGCCCTCCGCACAGCAGGACGGATAGCAAGCATCGTGTTAGCACCAAGTCATGCGGCAGCTTTGCTAGAAAATGTTGTAAAAGGCGATGGCTCTGACGCGAATTAAATACTCGACTTCGACGGCGAAACGATCAATTGGGTATGAATAAACGGCGCACAGAGGGATTTTTCTGACGGATGTCCCTCTTGTGGTTTGGCAAGGGAAGAAGGTGAAAAATGGCTAGGCTTGTTTAGGTGGTTAGCCTGGGCGGTGTCGGAGTCATTCTTTGTGGAGTGTGGTGGAGTCACTTCGCCTTGATGAATTTTTCCTGTCTTTCTTTTTTCCACACTAAGTTCGTCTAGTCGAGTCTTTTGAGGCAAAGATCTTATCTGATTGATTATTGTTTGAGTCTTTGATCAATACGTAGCATTTTTTTCTTCTTGTTTGGTGGTATTTATAGCTCGATTGTATATACTAGAATTAGGTACTTGTCATACAGACATTGACGGGCGTACTTATCCCCCATCAACATATTATTTTTTCTTCAATGTTCGACATTATGGACAACTCCAGAAATGTATTCGCGATATCCTCGAAGAAAGATTGTTTTCAGTACATACGTATATCATGTCTGAAGTCGAGTACGTATACGTTGTAGACCGTATGATGGTGGGTTCTGTGTGCTCCGACCTTCGGAGATGTACGTAGCACCAGGACAGGAACGGTTCTGACGTACCTACTTAGCTGATTACATCGGGATCTTCAGGTGCTAGCTATCCACCGCTAAGCTAACTACTGATTGTGGACATCTTCTGAGTACGAAGGACCACCAGTAAATTTACAACGGAGAAAAGTCTGAAGCCATAGAAGCCATATCGAACGAAATCATAGCGCGAAATTTTGCATCCGCCAGGTTATCTCATTAGGATTTGCATAGAGCCAAAAGCGCAAGGCAAGAAAAACAAATAAACAAACGGGGAACAGAATCACAAACATTCGCCAAAAGTATCATGTACAAGGGTTGAGTGGTTTGGAGGGAGAACCACGATTTTCTTCACTCTGATCCCAAGCTGCCGTTCTGAACCGGGATATATGGCGACTTGCGGGAATGTGATTATCGACAGGAATCGTGGAGATGTGATAATAATAGCGTGGGTATGGGTGAGGTTGAGGAGGATCATGACGGTATGCACTTGATACTGAAAACCGAGAAGTACTCTAGGTCATAACTTATTTGCAAGATGAGGTCGTGCGAGTCGTGCAAAGACTTAGTTCTTTGCAGCGCGCTCTCAAACAACCCGATACTTCTTTTTCTGGCACCAAGTAAGGAAACAAAACAATGCTCGTTAAAAGTCAGGCTGGGAGATAGGAAACGAGAAAGCACATCGTCGGAACATTCGTGGAGTATATGAGCTTAGTGTTTGGTTGCGACAACTATAATTATGGCATGTTAGTGGAGCGCGACTGATTTCGCAGGCGGAAGGCAGCTCACCAGCAGGAACAACAATGACTATGATCAAGATAATGACCACGATGACCAAGCATACGCGCATCTTCATGTCCTTCCACCACATCTGTTTTCGCACTCTGTTGGCTCCACGGCGGAAACCTTGGGCGGATACGGCTAGATTGTCGGTCTTGTCTTGGAGGGAGTCAAGACGTTCGCCACGCTGTGAGACTTTGTTGATGTTTTCGCGCATAACGCCGACGGTGTCGTCGATTTGCTATCATTTGGGTTAGTACTGAAGTCGAGAAAACAAATACCGCATTTTCGTATGACGTGAAATATCACTGTTATTGCAAGCCATACGAAACGGCTGGTTCTCAGGCAATACTCACAGCTTGCAGAGCTGCAGTCCTCTGGTTTCCGCTGGGTGCAGCGCTTCCACCGGGAGCACCAGCACCACCGGCGGCGGGAATATAAGGGTCATAGGGAGGTTCGCGGTCGGCCATTATGGTAGATTTAACGCAAAATGGAGATGGGAAGGGCGTAAGAAGCGAGGAGTTCGATGACTCGGTCGATAATAGCGCGAAACCTCTCCTGACTTTCAGCGGCGATCAGTACGACTTGAGGTCTGACAGTCGCAGTACTTGATAATTGAGTGATGTGAACGTGAAATATGGTAGTACACGTAGAGTCAGTCTCGTAAACGGTGGCACGCGCTTGAGTTATGGTTGTTGGTTTCGTGGTATGATGCAGGTCTAGAATGAGTTGAAGAGGAAAGGGTACGTTGCGTTTCGGGCTCCTGCGGCTGGGCCGGGTCGATCACGTGACTCCACTGCGCCTCCCAAATGAAATGTGGCTGCCTCAGGAATGCCAGTGTCTATTCTTAGCCCGATTTGCCTCCCTTCTTTGATTTTGAGGTTCATTCATGTTCGACAGAAATTAAAATTTTAAGCAAATTTCTGATTTACTGGGTATCGTCTACTCATTCCATTGATGACTCTTGCCGTGTTACCGACTCGAAGATTGACTCTCACTCTGACTCCGTACTATCTGACGCACGAGGTAAGACAAGAGACGTCTCAGACTGCAAGTTGCCATTTACTCATATTCTTCGGATTTCAACTATCACTCTGACTTTTTGGCAATGCCATGACTTATATCTACCCACGCTACATTGATCAACCCACAAAGTACTTCGGGGAGCTAGAGACCATCTCCATGGATCAAGAATGAGCGGGCCACCACCTACTTTGTTTCTTCATTTCTGCAGCTCTAATGACAACATTATGTGGGACCTGTAGAAATACAAGCCCCGCCTAACCGTCGCTAACCGTCAACAGCGTCTACAAATGATAACATCTTCATCCTCCCAAGAAGACTCTTTGTACGGACTATTACTTGCAATCATCGGATTTGGCAGTGGGGCTACTGTTCTTCGTGGTGCATATTCGGACTTCTTTCCTGTTGGATTCCACTTTTGTGTATATAGACCCCAACATCTCGTGTCATCTACCGTATATGCTTCTTTCTTAATTGTAGTCCCTTCAATATACTTCTAGGACATACTCTCTGCTCAAGATGTCAGCCAAGACTTTCATCGTCACCGGGTCTTCGCGAGGTAGATCGCTCGAATCAATATCACAACACAGGTCCTTCAGTAACTGACCGGTACAGGCATCGGTCTCGCAATATCCAAGTACCTCCTCACGGCACCTCAATCCCACAACGTAGTCGTGATCGCCCGCAGCACCGAGCCTCTCCAGAAGCTCAAAGACCAGTATCCCAAGCAAGTCGAGGTACTGACCGGTGATCTCACGGATTTCTCTCTTGGTCAAAAGGCTGTCGATCTGGCACTGAAGACGTTTGGGCGCCTAGATGGATTGGTTCTCAATCATGGCGGGCTAGGCCAAGTGGGAAATGTCGCGGAGGCGAACCCCGAACAGTGGAAACAGGGACTTGATCTCAATTTTATCAGCTTGGTGGCTTTTGTAAATTGATCGGACGTACTCTATTGATGAATATCTCTCATATCGGTTCCAGGTCAAAGCTGCGCTCCCCGCTCTCCGCGAGTCAAAGGGTAGAATCGTCTTCACTTCGTCCGGTGCTTCCGTCTCCGCCTTCAAAGGCTGGGGTCTTTACGGCGCCAGCAAGGCAGCCATGAACCACCTCGCCTTGACTCTTAGCGCAGAAGAGCCTGATGTCACTTCCGTGGCAATTGAACCGGGTATGGTCGATACTGAAATGCAGCGAGAGATACGTGAAGATCTTGCTACTACTCTGGACCCTCAATTTCATTCGTTGTTTACCACGGTCCATAAAGAGGGCCAACTGCTCAGACCTGAACAGCCGGGTCATGTCATTGCTAGAGCAGTGATTGATGCTCCGATGTCGTTGACCGGGAAATTTTTATCGTAAGTTGTACTCATGCCTTCTGTGAAGTTTTGCTCGGCGATAGAGCTGACGAGATGTAGATGGAACGATCAAGCTCTGAAAGCGTTTCAATAGACTAGAGAAGAAATTTGTACACAGATTAGTATATATGAGAAGAAGGTTCTTGTTGTACAATTAGTTAGTATCCTTGCATTTCTCAAGCTGCCTAGGTGGATTTGTCAAATCGCCAGGTTCCGTGACCCAAGTATAGTAGACAGCCACCACCTCGTTGCCAATTCTGACATTTTCAAGTTCAAGGCTTTGCGCCGGATTCTCCTAATCCCGCAGAATATTTAAGATAAGACTGCTCGATGAGCTGACTATACTGGTATATCCAGCATTGTGGTGTCATACCTGCATTCTTCAATTAGTTCCAGTTTTGAGAAGCCTGCATGCTGATCGGCTAGGATTACTGTCGATAATCTCATTTGAAGGCAACTACAAGCTTTGAACAAGTTGTAGGTAGCATGATTGATGAGAATGTCGGATCCGTTCTTGCGGTGGCCTACCGCCTTGCAAGATTATGCTGAAACGAAACAGATTCCAATCTTGACCTCGGTTTCTCCATCCGGTAGGTATGTACATCTAGACCAAACAATCGCAAGGACCAAACCAGTGCATTGTGAGTGCAAGTGAAATTCCCCACATTGAATAACCAGCTTAACAAACCTCTTAAACATATTCCCCCTTCATCAATTCAAACTTTGGACTTATCTACAAAATTCCACCCATCGGCATTATTGTCCTCAAAAATTCCCCCAATCAGAGGGCCCCATTCTACCCCAAGCCCTACCCGCTAGCCCACAACAGGCAATTCTCTATACATTTCACTCCCCGACTTAGGGCTAAGCCTTGATATAATCTTTGCTAGTCTATGCTAGGTACGTTTATCCGGTTAAATGAATTGAAGCTTCTCCGCATTCCTGGGGGGTTGTTGCTGTGGAATTAAATCCGGGGAATTGCGTCTCCTATTGGAGCATTACGTACTGCGTGCGTTGATTGAACAATGTCCCCAACTGCATAATTCTCCGTGATATGGAGCATGGGCCTGATTGTAGGTCAGGGAAGACAATTTTAAATTTGTTTTAGTGATTAATTGGTCAAATTTTTTATTGTAGCTGGCGTGGCTGGTTATATAAGGGGGATTCACCTGCCCACAATCCTGCGAGACAAAAAAAGAACCCCACAGCATTGGAACTGAGCATTGATCTGAGGCACTCTACATAATGAAATTCACTTCCACCCTCCAGCTGCTCCTCGCAGCTACTACCGTGCTAGCAGCACCCTCGATCGACGAAAGATCTTCATCCATCTCACGAAACAACCGAGTCGGACCCAAATGCGCATTCAAACCACTGCCCGAGACAGGAAAGCGTAACAGAGAGTGTAAAGTCAAGACTCACGGCAATGGCAATGACGACTCTGAATACATTCTCGCCGCATTGAAATCATGCAACAATGGCGGGAAAGTTGTCTTTGATAAGAATTATACCATTGGCACGGCGCTGGACATTCAGTGGTTGAAACACATCGATCTTGGTAAGCTCTCTACTTAGCTACAAACATTTCTTACTATTAGAGACTGCGTTCTAATTCAATGAAAGATATCACCGGCACAATCCAGTTCACCAACGACACAAACTACTGGATCAACAACGCCTTCCAGATCGTCTTCCAAAACTCCACCACCTTCTTCAAACTCGGCGGCGAAGACGTCAACATCTACGGTGACGGCACAATTGACGGTAACGGCCAAGTCTGGTACGATCTATTTGTTAAAAATGCTACGCTTCAGCGTCCCATCTTGATGGGTATCATCGGTCTGGAAGGTGGCTCTATTGGACCATTGAAACTGAGACATTCGCCATCTTGGTATCATATTGTCGCTAATTCCTCGAATGTTGTGTTTGATGGATTGGATATTTCGGGTTATAGTACGAGTGTGAATGTGGCTAAGAATACGGATGGATGGTAATTCATCTCTTTTCTATCTCTTTTTTTTTAACAAATGGAGTACTGACTTTGGAAGGGATACCTACCGCTCGGATAACATCGTTATTCAGAATTCTGTGATCAATAACGGTGATGGTATGACTGTTTCCGGGTTCTTGTGTGAATGATGAAATTGACTTGATACAGACTGCGTCTCATTCAAGCCCAACAGCACCAACATCCTCGTTCAGAACCTACACTGCAACGGCTCCCACGGCATCTCCGTCGGCTCCCTAGGCCAGTACCCTGGCGAAGTCGACATCGTCGAGAACGTGCTCGTCTACAACATTTCCATGTTTAACGCATCTGTAAGTATTCCTTCCCTTGATCCATAACAGGGACTTCCTAACGATATCTCGTGCAGGACGGCGCCCGCATCAAAGTTTGGCCCGGAATCAACTCGGAACTCGAAGCCAGTCTGCAAGGCGGCGGTGGTTCTGGAAGCGTCAAGAACGTCACCTACGACACTATGTCTGTGACAAACGTAGACTGGGCCATTGAATTGACCCAGTGCTACGGACAAAGCAATTTGACTCTGTGTGACGAGTTTCCCAGCAATTTGACCATCACAGATATCCACTTCAAGAACTTCAAGGGTGTGACTAGTACAAAGGAGGGCAAGGATATTGCGACTTTGGTTTGCTCGAGTCCTAACGTATGTCTTTATTCTTTCTGTCTATTTGCCTTCGGGTTTTGATTACTTTTGCTGACGGGAGGTATGTTAGGTATGCTCCGACATCTACGCGACAGATATCAACGTCGTCAGCCCTAGCGGATATAACCAAGCAATTTGCACGAATGTAGGTCTTTCCATCCTTGCAGTCGTTTATTTACATGACGTCTGACACACAAAATTATAGGTCGATGACTCATTGCTCGCGTTGAACTGTACTGCCTAATCTACTTAATGTTTTCTCGCAATCAGGCATACCCCAAACTCCAAAACATCTCAATATTCTTCTCCGTATTTGCATCCACATACGCCGGTTGTTCGGCGAATGTGACATTCCCCTCATGACACTCGGCGATTTTGCCTGTTAATATAGTCGTTTCGGGGAGTGGCTTTGTGGTTGTGGAGGTTGTTGAGTTAGAGCTAGGGCTGGGACTTGATGTTAATAGTATTTCAACTGCTCTTGTCACTGTTGACATGGGTGTAATGATCATGTTTTTGAATAGATCGTGGCTTGAGGCGATGTTCGTTTCTGTAATGTTCATCAAATGCAAGATTAGTGTCTCGTAGGTTTTTGAATGACAGAGAGAGGCTTCATACCGATAACAGCAGGCGCCAACGCATTGATTTGAATACCCTCCAGAGCCAACGGACGCGCAAGAGAGCGCACAAGTCCGACGACACCGTGTTTCGTCGTGGCGTACATAGGCGCCATGGGAAAGGGGTAGATTCCTGCATTCGAGGCTGTGCAGATGATTCCCCCTTTTGTCGAGGAGGTTGATCCATTCTTTCGGATGTAGTGGATTGCCAATTTGGTTGCTAAATATCCGTTAGTCACCTACTCTTTCCTCTCTTTTGGAGTAGGGGTGATGACGAACAGTATATGACGCCCGTCAAATTAACATTCAATGTCGCCAACACCGGCTTCGACGGCTCTTTTTCTTCCTTCTCCAATAAATCTCCCTTTTCCGTAATGCCCGCATTGGCAACGACATAATCAACTCTCCCTTGCTGTTGCGCTACTTCTTTGAAAGCAGCAGCTTGGCTTTCCCATGATGAGACGTTGCATTGGTGGAATGAGATTGTCGCGCTTGGTGAGGTGGATTTGTATTCTTCTTGTAAGCTCGAAACGACGGCGGAGCCGGTTTCGGTGTTGATGTCGAAGATGGCGATGTGTGCTGGGTTTAGGGTGGGATGTTGTTGGGTGATGAGGTAGCGAGTTATACCAAGACCGATGCCTGATGCGCCGCCTGTAGAGTTTCTAGGGTTATGAAGCTATTCAATGCTCTTGTAAGGGTGATGTATGCGCACCTGTCACGATGAAGACTTTTTTACCAGAATGAGAGGCCATCCTTTCTTATTTTAGTCGATTGTGTCAATTGAGTGCAGCAAAGTATGTTTCAAGTTGACAAATGTATTCCTCTAAGCAGCAGGCACGAGAGCTAGTTATTCTCTGTAAGAAAACTAGTGTCCCACATTCGTCCCTCTACTGCTTTTGTTCTGCGGGAATGCTCAGCCCCTTTTACCTGGACTCCAATCTGGTATTTTATGACCATAGCTTTGTCGAGCGTTCTACGTTCGAATACACCTAAAATGTCTTTTTGGTGACATGCTGCGTCTCATCAAAAAGTTGGATTATCCCCGCAGTTCTCTTTCTCCACGGGGGTTTCCCGATGGGCGGAGAATTCACTCGGGGAGGCGAAGTCACGAGCATGCAAGAAGTATCCACTATATACTTTACTACGTAGCAAGTATGCATGATTTGAAATTTTTGATATTAGAAAGTCAAGTCTATTGTATCAACTCCCCCCAACGCCGCCTGGATGAATAAAAGAGTGGTAGTCTCTGCGCCAAACTCCTCGCATCGAAACAGCCGATAATGCTGCATGAACCAGGCAGAATAATCATCAATCGTTATCATCTTGCAGAAGCACCTTCAATTTCTCCAGCTTATCCTCGCATTTGACCTCCATTTGCATGATAACATCAACACTATGCTTCTTCGTGATCAGCAAATTGGCTACCTGAAAGAAGTTGTACGCCGTCTTCATAAAACCCATCGCGGCCCATTCCTCTGCAGGTATCCGTGACTTCAAGTTAAGCCACAAAGTACGCCACCGACTGAGTGCGGCGCGAATGCTCACGAGGACTGGGTCGTCTGATGTTATTGATCGTGAGGTAGCTGTCGACGTGTCTTTCTTTTTGAGTTGTCGAATACGCATTATAGGTGCTAGGACGGTCATGTGTGAATTGATGTACGAGTAGAGAACTAAGATAACTTAGTTAGCATAACATACCGCGGTTCTGGAAAATAGCATGCAACGTACTATGTATCATCAAAAACATGTCGGTAACCGTAAAGCTTGTGCCAATGGAGGGTGTATGCTGGCAATAATTTGAGTGATTTGGACCATGCTGACAAATTAATGTTTGCGGTTCATCATCGAAAAGATGCTGGAAGGCTCCATAAATGGTCGTTTCTCTGGTAAACCGGAATTTGAGTTGAGCAAAAGGATGCTCGCAGTTGAAAATTGATTCTTCGCATGGCAGATCGCATTCTAGTTCCGAAGGCGCAAGACGACAGGGGAAGTTCGAGTAGAAGGAAAAAGCACAGTCGAGTAATGCAATGACGTTCATAGTCCTATCGTAATTAGTGACACTGCCAACAGGGTATCTCTCAAAAAACCCACCTGATACGACACTCCTTCTGAATCCAGAGTGTCTCGTGGATTCGATCCTCGGGAAGATGTTGACAACGTGTGAGTTCCATTCTGCGCGCAGTCTAATAAAGCTTAGCAATAAATTCCTCTAACAGCAATGCTATCTGGCTGAGCAGTGACTTACCAAAACGACTTCATTAAAACGAGCCTCCATCGCCCGATTTCGTGCTGTCTTTGAGCCCGCCCAGTATTGCGTGACCACCATCACATACCCCGCCTGGAGGTTCTGAAAATGAGCCCAATCCTTGCGTTCAGTATCCGTCGTTGGCCGACCAACAAACGTGCAGCTAACTTCGTGTTCGCTAGAAAAGACGTCTGTCGAGAACACATACAGCTCCGCAAAGTCTATCATTCGCCGAGCTACATATGCCTCACGTTCCTCGTTCGAATACATGGCGCCCATAAAGACGACAGCGGCCAGTAAAGGCATTGTAACCTTTTCGATGTTGAATGACGGCGGATGAAGAAGTTGACAGTTGATATGCCAGTACAGAAAGTATAGCGATACGAACTTATGAATGCGGCGTGTCGTTAGCAGGAAATGCAGGTTCGATGAGATTTCTTGTTGTGCCTTGGCGTCCATATTTACTGTCCATGTCTTCGCAAGTATGGCTTGAATGAGGGCGCTCGAGAATGCACTTTCCGTTTCGTAGAACGAGGCATCGTCAGCCAAGCTCATTTTTGGATCCTGGTTAGGAAGTTGCAACAGCGCGTGCGCAGCAAAAGTGCCTGAATAGGGATCGACCATGGATTTCTGAGATTCAGCAAACGGTCCAGTCATGAATGACATGAAGCTTTCATCGAATTTGGACAAGTCATCGAATTCCGAAAAGAAACCAGTGTTAAGGTTAGGAGTAGATGCGTCGATGGCATAGGTATTGGCGGGACTTGTAGCCTCTTCCAATTCTTTCTGGGTGTGATATAGTGTGCCTCGGGCGCGATCACTGCGTGGTGGGAGACGAAATCTCTCGGTAAAACTATCTGTACCGTCATTCAGGAGAAAGTTGATGGATCCTCGATCCGAAGACTCGAGTTCTTCATTTTTGAGAAGTGAGCTATCCATGGCTGTATATAAGTCAGTAATCAATCCTTCCACACGCTGCTCATTTAATGGCTATACCTGGATGCAACTCAAGCCTGGGGGTTTTCTGTTTGCCGGTATTATTGCATGTAAGGTTGCGCTTGACACATGAGCTGCAAGGGCTTTGTCCATCACAGCGAAGTTTCATAGAAGTGCACTATATCTAGTTAGAGTTCGCTTTTTGCGGTGCGATTTCTTATGCGAAGTGCTGACATACTGATTCACAGGCATGACGACGTCTTCCTCGCTGCCCAGTCTCCGGGATAGGGTTATCTCCACGCTGCGCGCAGTCTGGATAGTGATCTCGCAGGTTGTCACTTATTTCATTAGCTTAAAAGGTATGCTAGGATGGAAAGAACATACCATCTTGCAAATGCATCGCTACAGAATATACATGAGTACGGCTTCACACCAGAATCTGCGATTGGTCAGACTCCCTGCTCATGCGACTTGGAATGTCGAGAAAAAGCAACAAAGAAAAATAGCACTTACGGCGCAGATGATGTCGCTTCAAATGATCGATTCGGGTGAAGCCTCGCTGGCAAATATTGCATCGAAAATTCTTGTCCAAGGTCTGTTTCGTCATGATTGTGGATGTTGATGGAGGGGGATCATTGGGTGGCGGCCCCCAGCGGGAGCAAGCAGATTGCTGAAGATTTTGATGACAGCAATTTTGTGAAGATAGATGCAGACGCTGAAAGAGAAAGACAGTGTATTCAGCGACAGCAATTACTCATGCCATACACCAGTTGTGAGTCTTTCTCATACACGAATTAAGTCGGCGAGAGGCGACAAAGAAGCAAAAGTAAGACAGGTCCTTGTGCCTCGATCGGCCACAATCAATACGATACCAGCTAGCCGTATATAGACTAGCCCATTACGGACCCTGTATTGTCGGACGATGATGAAATCAAAACCCGTGGATACTATGTATGTAATTGATGATGTCTGGTACATAATCACAAATTATGGCTGTCTGAAATCGCTACCAATCAGTAAGAATGTGCTACTTGTATTGCCGTACGAGTATCATTCATAGAGGTTATTTCGTTACCCTGATGGGGTTATTGAAAGCTACAAACTTACAAAGCCATACGTGGTGGCTGTAAGAAACTCGTAATGCCCGCAAATACATTCTACTGTAGCTCGAGGAAGCACGTTCATAGTCGCTATTCATTAACGTAATGATAACCATAATAAACATCGTGAAAATGCACCGCAATGTACTAAATTTACTTAGTGGTATTGGCGAAAGTCCCCCAAAGTTCCCCATGGGTCAAGCTCACTAAGCGATGCGGGGGATGTTACAGTGGGGCCGAATCTTTCAGCTTTCACCAATCGACAAGCGCTTTTGCACTGACCAACGGTCTAACCTCCTTCCTTTCATTGGCCGGGATTTGGTAATACGTATATTACCATTGCTCAGAATTACCACAGTATATCGCATACGGTACTGTGTACGTAACGAGCCGATCAAGGAACGAGCGACCGTAACCGTGCCTTCCAATATCCAACCGCCTTCTGAGGAAATCACTTTCATCTCTCCCGAACAACTATTGAAATCTCTCTTCCTGGTCTTAATTTCGTCGGCTCGGTGAGAACTGCGATGATTTGGAACTACCAGCAAAAGATAACCCCCACATGAAGCTATCTAACGCACTCCACTTTGACAATGTCGGGGAAGCTCGGGGAAATGGGGAGTTGCTGTTGAAAAGGGGGATTTCCGACGAGCCATTCGTACATTCGTATGTTTCCAAATGCAACTTTTCGACGACAACATGGGATTGACTTTCACAGAGTCTCCAACCGGTACAGAAGCAAGCAATCAATTGGCAAGAGGAACGTTCACGGGGAGGAGGTTCCGTCCACGGTCAATGTTTTATCCACCTGCGTCGCACAGGCAGTAGATATCCATCCCGGATCAACCCCTCACGCTTATGCCGCCTCTTATTAGCTTGCTAAGCATGCAGTCCATGCTCGGTAGACAAGAGTATTGGCTGCCAATGGCTGGTTTCAAGAGGGGTCATGTTCTAAAAGCAGTTTGGCGTGACGTTTGAAGACCAGGCATCGAAGCAACTGAGAACTGCCGTGTAACCTCCCCGAAGGAAGTAGCTTAATCAGACCACCTGATTCAGCAGATCGTTCACGATTGTGAGATAAAAGATTCAGGTCTCCCCTTAGTCCTCTGGTTTTTTTGTGCTATACTCACGTAACTTTGCATTTCCAAGTCTCCGAAGCTTAATTAGCGGTGATTGGTGTCTAGCAAAGTCATGGCTACAGAAACCACGTCAAATGGCGTTCAGAGTGAGCCATGGATTGTTGAAAACAGAGCAGTTGATGATGCGCGACCCATTAAGGTGCGAGTAATGGGAGCAGGAATATCAGGAATCATTACCTGCATTCGTTTGATGCAAAAGATCAAGAACATCGATCTTGCTGTATTGGAAAAGAATGACGATATCGGGGGCACCTGGTATGAAAATAGGTATCCAGGCTGCGCATGTGGTAAGTATCCAATAATCAATGGTTCATTCAGTCTACATACTAATCACGAGCTAATGTCAATAGACATCCCATCTCACACCTACCAAGCTACTTTCGAACCGAACCTTGAATGGTCACATTTCTACGCTAGCGCAAAGGAGATCCACAAGTACTGGAAGGGAGTGGCCCAGAAATATGGTGCTACGGAAAAAATATACGTCAAGCACAAGGTTCTTGCGGCACACTGGAATGATGAGCTCGGTAGATGGGATATAAAAGTCCAGGTGTCAGATGGGTCTGTGTGGGACGACTGGTGCGATGTTTTCATTTCTTGTGCTGGATCTCTGAACAATTGGAAATGGCCAAGTATCCCTGGTCTACATGATTTCAATGGAAAGCTCCTGCACACAGCTGCATGGGATGAAGAATATGATTACAAGGTTAGTAAACATTCGCGACCCTGAATGCAATATTTAACAAGCCATAGAACAAAAGAATTGCTGTAATTGGCAACGGATCAAGTGGTATCCAAGTGGTACCAGCAATGCTTCCAGACGTCAGTCACATTGATCATTATGCTCGTGGCCGAACGTGGTTATCCCCAACCTTTGCTCGCGAGAAGCTTAATGAGATAGGAGGAAGTAATAAGGACAACAGTGAGACTATCCTTGATTATTATTCCGAACGGTTAACTGACTACAAATAGTCGCTTTCAGTGCCGAGAGAATTGCAGAATTCAAATCTGACCGAGCAGTATACCATAAATTTAGGAAGGGTATGTAGCTTAAGCGACCCAAATCATCGCATATACTGACGAAGCATAGACATCGAGCATGATCTTCAGGATGGATTTTGGGTAACCATAAAAGACACACCTGAACAGCTCGCAGGCTCAGAATTTTTCAAAGAGAATATGAGGCGTCGCCTAGCCAAGAAACCCGAACTGTTAGATCAAATGCTTCCAGATTTCCCTCCAGGTTGCCGTCGCCTGACGCCTGGTCCGGGTTACCTCGAGGCCCTCACAGACGAAAGGGTGGACGTGATCAAGACCGAGATCAGTAGCATTGATTCAACCGGTATAACTACAGCAGATGGCGTGCACCGAGAAGTCGAGGTTATTGTCTGTGCGACTGGGTTTGACACTACCTATTTACCCCGTTTCCCTATGACAGGTCGCAAAGGCATCTCTCTAGCCGAGAGGTGGAAAGATATCCCAGAGACATACATTTCTCTCGCCACAAATGAATTCCCCAACTATTTCATCTGCCTTGGTCCCAATGCCGCTCTCGGACACGGAAGTTTGACTCTATTAATCGAGAAGGAGATTGACTACATCACCCAGTGCGTCGCCAAAATTCAACGCGATAACATTCGCTCAATGGCACCTCGCAAGGAAGCTGTGGAGCGATTTACTAAGCACTGCGAGCAACATTTCAGCAAGACCGTATTCAGTGAAAAGTGCCGGAGTTGGTACAAGGGTGGTAAAGAAGATGGAAGAGTCATCGCAGTCTGGCCTGGTAAGCCTTTACAACTAATTTCTTCGTTATCTCGCAGCTAACATGTTCAAAAGGATCTTCCCTCCACGCTCTGAAAACATTCAGCAACCCCCGTTGGGAAGACTTTGAATATGAATACATCAACGATAACCCCAACGGCTGGATTGGCGACGGTTGGACAGCTGCCGAGAAATTACGATCATTTGATGTTAATTATCTAGATGATGATCAGATTGATTTCCCGACTCCGGTTGAGATTAAGGCCGAGGAGAAGAAAGAAGAACCGCATGTTCAGGAGACTGCTAGCGTGGAAGAGTCAAAGAAGTCGGGTACAGTGCATGTGGAGACCGTGACTGTAGCAGCCGCTTAGATAGTTAACGTTTGCATATCTTTTATCCATGTATGTTATCTTTTGGGGAGGATTTATACAGTTGTCTATATATCCATAAATCACTCGTCGCGCATACAGTGGCATAAAGTATGTATTAGCACCCTCCCGGTATCCAAAACACCACCATCATTCAGCTAACAATAAACGGTATATATTGCATCGCATGTAAATCTTTGTAGCTTTTTAAAGCTTTCCCTCCTCCAATTTCTTACTATATTGCCTAGGTAGGCAAGCAGTGAGCTTTCGGAAGCTATCGGATAGGGGGAGGCGAACACATATTTTGTGGTACTATATGTTGAGTCGAGAATGTGCTTTTAATGTGTATGTTTTCAGTTGATAGGCACCCTGAAAGATCTGCTTCTCGACTGGACAAATGACTGAACTCTTAACATCTACGGATGATTTACTAAGAGGAATCCCTACAACACCTCATCACAGGCCCTCACTACGGAGATTCACTGCGGAGGACTCACACCTGCACCCCAGTGATGAGAATGCCCTACGGATCTTTCTCATCAAGCCTATCGAACAATCCTATGTCTTGGCATACGGATGGCTGAACTTCTTGCTTTTCGTATCCCCATTTTATTCTTGGCCAGGCTCGGAGCAGTTGAGGTTCGATAGCTTGACTACTAAGCAAGTCTGAATCAATGAAAGCACATGTTCTACACAATTCTAGCATCAAACCATCTTTTTTCGAAGCTCAATACGAGTGGGGGATTATCTTTGACTACCTACCTAATTCTACCATAGTCTCCCGAGCTACTAGCCCAATCATTTGATATGTTTAACCGCTTCACGAATTGCCCGGCTCAAATCGAAATAATTTGAGGGAGCGACGTCACGGAAAATACGATCGGTTCACAAAGAAGTCCAATTATGGTCGGTTCTGCTATTCCACCTACAATTCTTTGCTTTCTGCTGTTCAGACGGTCGAGATTCTTATCTCGGTATGTAGATAGTAGATGAGAGTACTCCCCATCAACGATTCGATCTACGACTACATGTAATTATCTTCCTGATCAAGTTCATACAAGTGCATAAGATGCACGTTGTCGGCATGATGCGAGTATATCATTGGTTCAGAGGACATCTGAAGCTGAGGCGGTTCACATGTGAGATCCCTGCATGGCCTGCATGTGTTACATTGCTCTTCGTCCCTACTGGTTGGTATGTGCAACTCGAGTACTCCGCGGGTGACCACAGTATCAGATTCATTTCCTAATTATCCCTTCACTTCATCTGGAAGTAGTAAAAACAATAGTTCATCAGGTGCCGATACCCGGCGTACCAAGGCATCGATCAACACAATAAATACAATTGAACACAAGTACACCGCGAACGATGCCGAGTGTCAAAGAAAATCTACCACGCTAAAGAGTCCAAATTGTGGCAAATCCATGGGTCTACACTACCTAGATTCGCTCGTAAACTGCATTTGCTTCGTTCCAGGCAGTAAGCGGCACGCCTAACTACTCGCCTGACAGTTGGTTTTGTGGTAGCGAGTTAAGATCTGGACCACACCTTAGTTTTGACTAATGATGTGCATGAAGGCTCTGAAATAAATATTCCTATTGCCTATTTCTATGTGATAGGGTTTGATTGGATACTGCATATGGGCTTTTTGTACGTGATTGGTAAGAATAACAAAGCTGACTCCTCTAGTCGATTTTTACCAACGAATACGAAGCTCAGAAAGTCTGTAATTGTGATATTGTGACTGAGTCGCGCAGCTAATTTGGTCATTTGATTTATAAGATTCTGTGAATATTTCACTTGTGTACCGTAGGTCGAAAACTTGTACATGAATGGTCCGTTGAGCGTATCTTAGGGCAAGCGAACCGCAGGTGACTTCCCAATTAGGTAAAAAACGTATCGAAGAAACGAACACATCTACCAATTGGAACATAAACAATGCCAAAGTCGAAAAAGAAAGGCAAAGTTGAATCAGATATGATAGGACAGACTACGTAATTGTATTAACAGTCCGAATAGACCAGGGTCAAGTAACAATGATAGGCGATGTGGCGGGCATTTCGTATTCTTCAACCTGGTGAATGGCCAGAACAGACGGCATAGCCGAGAAATATCTACCTCAACAAAGAGAAAACTCTATATTGTACTTGAAAGTCCCAAAAGCCAGTCAACTGGAACCAAAGAGGGAAACAATGAAGCCTTATAGAGGGCATTTAGGCTAACGACGCTGTTGGTTTCCTTAGACAAAGAAACCCACATGTATATTACGTTGGCTCCGAACAAGGCTTGAAGGAGCCCGATTTAGTGGAGCTTTTATGCATGAACAAGTATTATTATTCTAAAGGTTGCCCTGATATCCAATAATATTTGACTCATAGTTTGGGGTCCCCCGAAGATATCATACATATGGAGGAGAGGTGCCTCAGGTTCAGATTCCTCATACCAGTAGAGCGCATACATAAGTCTTGTATGGAAAAGATACCACTCACTTTGTCTCTCTCTCCTGTTCTGTTTGGCCCATATATTATCACCACATGCTGAAGTAACGCAAGCAAGACAACGCCCGACGACAACGCCCTTTGATACGCGAGTCTAAGATCTGAGTGACATCAGCCAACGTCCTAAAGAGGGAGTCACAACTCTTCCAAACGCTTTTTGTCGCCTCTCTTTTGTTTGCCCGTCCAATAACATTGGGTACCATATTCAATATGGTTGCGGTCCCAACCGCCGTGATAGCGGTGCCCGACGTTACTCGTTTCTTCAATGACAGCGCGCACTTCTTCAGAGACAAAAACCTCGTCAAATGCGTCCAATTAGCTTCTCCAGAAACTCTTAACATTATTCTGTGTCTTCTATTTCTGACCTCTCTTACAATATCTCTGAGACTCGCCCATAGCTACTACTCTTCTTCAGTCAGGTCGTTTCCTGGTCCATTCTCCACCAACTTTACCGATGTCTGGCGTTATATTAAAACTGCTGGTGGTCAGGCTCATCTAGTCCATGCGGAGCTTCATCGAAAGTATGGCGTTGTTGTCAGGATTGGACCGAATACGTTGAGCATCTCGGACCCATCCCTAATCAAGATTATTTATAATACTAAGGATCCGTGGAAAAAAGTGAGCATCTTATTGGCATACCCATGAACACGGAAATGGAAACAAGACACGAGTGCCAGGAGATATACAGAAGCTAATCGAATTTAGAGTCGCATGTACACCCTGCAACAATCCGTTCTACCAGATGGAACCCCCCAGCCAAATTTATTCTCGACGTTAGATGAAAAATGGCACGCGAAGATTTTGAAGCCAATTGGTCCCTCCCTCTCATCGACTAAGAGCGTGCTGAGCACTGAGAAGTTTCTTGACAGCTCCATCAACTTGTTGATTAGCGTCTTAAGAGAGAAGTTTGTCAGCACAGCCCTACCTTGTGATATCGCGGATATCTTCATACGATGTGAGAGCCCTCGATATATACTCTATCGGTTGAGCAAATACTAATTGGGGTTGACTACCAGTCTCGTGGGATGCTATGGGTTACACTACTTTCGGTTCCTCTCTCGGGTTTCTCGATGGGTCTCTTCAAAATTCTGAGAAGCTCCTGAGAGACTCAGATAGGGACTTTGAGTATTTTGCTAGGGTAAGTTTTGTTTATGCCACTCTGTACAAGGCACCGAGTGACTATGATGCTCACTGGATAGCAGACCTGTCAAATGCCTTGGCTTCATTACTACCTAAAGACAAGCTGGATTGCACGACGATTCAATGCGCCACAACTCCAATGGGCGGTCAACTTGAGTTTTGAACATTACAGCAAGCGGAAAGAGATGCGCAAGCTATTAGATACAAATAAATCAGTATCTGGAGGAGAACAAGACTTTCTCGACAGATACCTCGAAGCACAGCAAAAGTATCCCGAGCTCATCGACGATTATCAGATGATTAGCTATCTCTTGACGAACACAGTAGCTGGGAGTCACCCAACTGCATACACTTTGATTGCCCTCGTGTACTATGTCCTCAAAACCGAGGGTGTGCTTGCCAGGATCCGCTCCGAACTCAAATCCGCAAGACTGTATGGTGTTGAAGGACCGGCCAGCTACAAAAAAGCCAAGACTCTTCCTTATCTTGAAGCTGTTATCCGTGAATCTATTCGTATCCACCCTGGCTTCGCTCTCGTGTTGGAACGCGAGGTACCGGAGGAAGGTCTTCAACTCCCTGATGGTCGAATTGTGGCTCCCGGAACCATTGTTGGCATGGATCCATGGGTGATCAATCGTGACGAAGACATTTTTGGTCCTGAAACTGGCTCCTTCAACCCTGAGCGATGGCTACAATATCGCCACGAATCCATTGACCAATTCAACTCTAGGCGTCAGAAGATGTTCAACACTCTACTCTCGTTTGGTAGTGGAGGACGTGCATGCTTGGGTCAGAGACTGGGACTTGTGGAGTTGTACAAGACTGCAGCAAGCTTTTTTGCAAACTTTGATGTACGTTTTCCTTTCATTTCAACCAGCACTACTATTTCAGCGGCCCTTAAACTGACTGACTTCATAGGTCCAACTCGTGGATTCTAAGCAAAAAATGAAAATCACTTGTGCTTGGGTCATGCGTACAGAAGACGTGCATTTGTACTTACGCAGCACCAGTGACACAGCCGAGAAACCCCTTACCTCCATATGATGAACAAGAAAGGTTTTTGTCGGTTTGACACAGTCCTAGGACACGAACTGAGGGTTGGTACAAGGCTGATCCGATCCAGCCAACAAGTATAAGCTTATCTATATGGTAAGACTGCCTGATATTGACAACTGAATTCTCAAGCTAATCTTATCGGGGAGAATAGAAACTATTTATGTTTACATCTCTGGGGACCTTTGTAAGGATTTATCTCCGTGGTGATATTTGTATAAAGAACGAAGAATATCATACTCCATATATGGAAGAATTGAAGTTAGCCCCAGGGTGCGAAACATCAATAGATGTATAATGATGCTTTTCGGGGTTCCTTTGAAACATACAATTTTGGTATAGTGACAGCCTGTTGCTTTTTCCCAACAGACACGCCAGGGATAGCCGTATGATGTTGACGTAAAGAGACATTCATTGGCTGAATGCACTTTGTAAAATACACGAATCTACCTAGATGTGTACATTCACGGCAATTCCGTACAAATTTGAGTGTGGGTATCGTCGACCTTCAATCATCGGAGTCCGACATATGGAACGCTTCGACCTCGTTTGTGAAACGTTTTCTGCGGGGAAAATTCGAAAAATATATCGTCGTAAGCATTTTTACTTTATCAAATTTTTGGATTTTACTGAATCATTCAAGCAGTAGTCACCATGGCGACAACCTCCATTCAAAGCGAGCTCATACGGGTTCCCTACAAGGAAGTCGATGGTACGGAAATCCCGACGGATGTCCACATACCCCTCGGAAAAGCGACAGGCGACCATGAGCTTGCACCAGTCCTCATAATGTGCCATGGTGGCGGATTCATCGTAGGCTGGTCCCGTATGAACAATGCGGACACAATCGAGGACTGTCTGGAACGAGGCTGGATTGTGCTATCCATTGAATATCGACTATGTCCTGGAGTCGACCTCTTACAGGGACCGATTACTGACGCCCGAGATTCTCTACGTTGGGTTCAAACTGGTGGGCTAGCTACAGCTCTGGAGAAGGCGTCCATTTCTATAAGGCCTGACCCCTCACGCGTCATGGCTATGGGCGCGTCAGCCGGAGGTCACTTAGCGCTGAGTATGGTAGGTCAATACTTTATGGCTCCTCTTCTTACCTCAAATGATTGATAATTGGCAAGGCTTGGGGCGTCGAAAAGCCACCTCTAGCAATTCTCGACTTTTATGGCCCTACGATGTTCGATGACCCGTTCTGGCTTCGTCCGGTCGAAGAGGTTCGGAGCAGGCTGCCATCGATGCTGCCAGATTCTGCATTTGAGCATTTGTATCAAGAAAAAACAGTCTTCCTGGGCGGCATCTCTCTTGAAGGTCAGCAAGATATAGCCGACGATACGCGCAGTGTGCCAATGCAGCCTAATCTCAATGACAAGCGCCAGCTTTTCGCAATGCAAGCTATTGCGCAAGGAAAGGTACTAGGGTCTATATGGCCGGCATTCCCGAATGACTTGGATATTGTCGACCCAGCGCGAAATGTACACAAGAATTGGCCTCCAACGGCTATAGTGCATGGGACTGCGGATACCATGGTACCTATGTATTTGAGCCAGGCCTTTGAAGGCTTATTGAAAGAGCAGGGGGTTGAAACTGAATTCATTGAAGTGGAGGGTGAACCGCATACATTTCTCGGAAAGATGGTGAAAGGCTCTAAGACTTGGGAAACTCAGCGTAGAGGATTTGACTTTCTGGAGAGAATTTTGAAACTGAGTTATGCATAAGTAACAGCCCAATAATCGATATGGAGCGATAGTTGAGCGGTCACATACATATACAAGGCTTGCGAAAAACTTCGTATCGCTGTGCACAATCAAAAACAACGACTTTATAGCAAGAGGTGCTGCATTGATCTTTTAGCTTGACTCATATACAAAACAGGCACAATGAAGGAAGGTGTCCTGAGTGGACTCTTGAGTTCGAAACTCATCAGCATACAGACACTTCTGGTTCAATGAACAAAATCCCCGCAAATATGACTTTCTAGACTAGCACTAGATTTACATTTCATACGAGGCTCTAAGTGGCGCGGCATTTGACGTATATATGAGTATACATAGTTCATTTCGGAGCTCAATGTCGGGATTGATATAGGTACCAAAAAAATACAGCTCTCTTTTTGACGACTTCGTTCGACTTAGGTCCGTCAGATGAAGCTGGACCAGATTGAGTCACAATCCAGAAGCTGTACATATGCAGTAGAATATCTAGACGAGTATAAGTCGATAAAATTCGAATATGCAAGATCAACGCCAATAGTTTCCTTTGTGTCATCCCGGCGGTAAATAGCCAAAACACTCAGGTTAAGTAGATATAGTCAACGGAACTTGGATATCAAGCACGTATTTCCACTTCCTGGATTCCACAATCGGAGACATTTGGGGCTCAGTAGATACATCTGCCCTGAGTTGACAGAATTGGTTCTTAAACGCCCACTTGAGTAGGACATCAATCTCAATTTGGAATCTTTCTTTTGTTACGAATTAGTTCTGAAATAGCAAAAGAATCGATACACGAAGATAGAAAATTTACCTTCCTGCCCGCCGAAATGGTACATTCCTCTTTATCCAAAAAGCAAGTAATACATAGGACGATCCTTACGACATAGCATCAACTTTTGCGGCCTACACAGCAGTAGCCACAGGTAGATGTCGCAGGGTGGATAGTCCTTTTCCAAGTGTTAGGAGCTGTCTCTCCAGCACATATCATCCACAAAACAATATGCATACACCAACGTATTCCAGCCTGCTACAATAACAAATAAACCCGACAAGTTCTGTATCAAATCAGTCAACTAAGCTTTGCAGTATCTATATCAAGATCATTGGTAATTTCTCCACCAATTAAACTGAGAGGCATGGAAATCAATGGACCCCAGAGACGTAACAACCAACATACGTATCTACCCCAGCTCTTGACCGGAACTTCCGTCGAAGTTGACTGTGATCCCGGCACAAAGCGACACAATTCAACTACCGCACGCGATGACCAATGGATCAACTCGTTACAAATATAACAGACTTATTATTGACGTCTAGCGTCCAAGAATCTGTGCTTTAACATTAAAACTATAAAATACGCACTGTATGGATTCTCTCTGGCGTGGATCCAACTCTCAGATGTGCGCGGAGGTCAGCAATGTTAGATGTGGATTGAGATTCAGCGCGCCACCAACTATCCACTGTATTTCATTCATTGTCCCGGAGATGACTTTGGAATATCCGGGAACGGTAAATTAAAAATAAGATTAAATACAAGATTTTCGTTGGGTCGCTTCAATCTATTTTCCAACAGTTGGTAACGTTGCGGTCATGTGATTTCGTGGCTTCCTTGTTCTCTTGTCTAATCTAATTGATGTAACAATCCAAGAGGATACTACGTACCAAGAAACCAAGACTCCGGGTCAAGGTTGATGGGTTAGCGAGAAGTTTAGTTCAGTAGTGCTTCTAGCTCCATACTACAGTAGGAATAACCACCCACCAGACCCTTGTAGATGTCGCGGAGTAATCGGGCTGAGTGTCCCCGAAGGCTATGGAAGGTTGAAGTCGTCGGATCAACCACTTGGTACAAAGCTGGTCTGAAGGGCAGTGAAGGCTGAGGTCAAACAGGATTCTATCGAGCCATAGTGCTCGAACCCTTGTCCTTAATACCTCCCGTGGAGTGGGGTTGGGGCCAAGGATGACCTCCTAATAATAATTGATACAATTATAGTTTTAATACTGTTTCTTAAGTAATGAGTAATTACGTATGTTAGCTATTGCTCCGTAGCGTACGAATACGTATGCATCAATATCATCTCATCATACGTATCATCGATTGACCTACTGGTCAGAGTCCAGAAGATCCCTGATAGGGACCACATCCTGGCCCTGGCGCCGGCGTTATAGCCGAGTTGATCACCGGTGATCCATCGGAGTAAATAGCAAGGTGGGGAGAACGTCAACTGTCATGGTATCAAACATCAAACAGTTAATGACCATGGCCGCCCTGGCCTGACCGATGCAGCGTCAGTCAGTGCAAATAAATATGTGATGCGTTACACGCGATAATTCTTGATACGTATGTGAATATGTATGTGTTCGTGCATATCCAATCTACGACTTTCCCCGGACAAGAATAGAATTACGAGTCAGACTATGGTTATTTTCTTACCCGGTGAACGAGTCGTCGTCGTCGTGACTCGACTCGCTGGTACGATGTGTGTGACCTTGCGCGTGTCAGATTTAAGGCGTCCAGCAGCCAATCTACTCAGCTCCGCAGGCTACTGGTCATTCTATTTTCCTTTCTCCCCTCCTGGATTATTACAGAATCATCTAACAAGAAGATTGATCGACTGTCCGACTGTCCGACATCAGTTTGACAGGTAGGAATGTGCTCAGACCCTCGAACAAAGTTTAGGGATATACGTAAATCATTACCCAGAGCCAGATGTTTAACGCTTAGGCCGTGGAAATCATGGTGAACGGGCGTACGGAGTCCATACAGTGGGTGTGCCTCGTATCGCAATGGCCCCTTGTCAAAACTCCGGTTGGTTGTCAAACCGCCAAACGGTTTTTGACTTGAAGTATGGACCTGTCATTGTTGTGTGAGGGTCCCGGTACGTATTCGCGGTAGTTGTATATTCAAAGGCTCAAGAACCCGAGGTCGTTAAAATATTGTAATAAGCCTGTCTACATTATACATTTGAATAATAATATGAATATGTGACCAACGATATTCGATATTTAATAATGCCTGAGGCCCTCGAGCGCAACATGAACCCTGAATACGTTAGGTCGACCCACATGGGGGATCATTATGCTACGTTTAACGTACCCTCCGTTAAAATCCGTTCACAGAGAACACACAATTGTTCAATACATCGAAGGTGACCAGATACTAAGATAGTAACAACGAGCGGACCTACGAATGGACGACATTCACCATGAAAATGTACGCGACCACACTACAAACAAAACGGCCCCAATCGCGTTACCGGAAACGACTTGGTCGTCTTGTAGATAGTAAACATTTATATTGAATCATCCGGTGGTATTCCCATATCCATCCTAGACGCACATCACGATTCATCCATTCCTAGAACAAGATTGAGGAGGAAGCATATTTGGGGGCTCTTCGTTAGGCAAACAATCATCTGACTGCTGAATCATCTTATTCATATCCCTGTGAATACGGTGAGTTGTTCCAGAATAAGTGCCGAAATCTATAGCCCGGGATATTACATTTGATGATCATTCCATCCAGGATAATAATCAAGGCCGGCGATCGTTGACCTCCTGCTGCAGCATGTACATATTGATATTATAAGCATACCTCGGTACTCCGTGGATCTACGTATCACCATAGCATGATTCTCACAGTATCGCGTCAACAGGCTGCAGCTAGGGACTCCGATTATTTTGGCTTGCGGTGTTTCTGATGCTACGATTCGCAGATATCTTTAGACATCAAACGACTTTGATCGCATGACCAGAATGGTATCGAAGGCTTATTGTCCAAACCGTTCATTACATTTGTTGTTACTCACTTGATTATACGAAGTTATGTTGCCAATTATCTTGGACAGCATGTAAAGAAGCGCTTGACGTTGAGTACGTATCTCCCAAGATCTGCACGTACTACAAGACTAGGATGGATTAGGGCTTGATTTCCAGTTTCCAGCCATCGATGTATGTAGGCACCTATTACTGGTATGTCATGATTCTGCAGATACGCATCGACATCAGGTATGAGTATGCTCACCATCACCATGGCCAGTGGCCAAGGTTAGTTAGGCATCAGATGTGATGAATCTGTAACCCTAATCCAGTTCCATAGACCCGTGGATCATCGTGGTTGACAAAAACCCTGGTAGACAAGCCAGCTCCGAGACCACATTGCATCATTATGACCTTTCAACTCGACGATCATGGTGTCATCTATCCAAGCGAATAGAAAAAAAGATAATAGAAAGGCCAATGAGACTATTGTTTCACAAAGAGACGATCTTTGATTTCTTTTTCTTTTTTTTCTTTTTTTGCGTGTTTCCTTCACTTCTATGAGTCTCAAGAGCGTAAGTTGATCTGTATGGATCAACGAGTTCGCGACCAAGCGGTAAATACCATGCAGATGATTGCATACGTACAGAAAACGCGGGTTTCATACCCAATGCGGGAAGATCTCCAAATTAAAAACCGTCGCTAAAAAAGAGCACAAATAAGCGAGCGCATTACGCGGAGCACACTTCTTCTTCGGGCTTAGTGCCTGCACCGCTAAGGTTTCCAAAGTTACTGGGTCATGTCACACACGCACTAGGCCGTTTGCAGGGCTAGACCGTGGATTTACTTATGGGGTCAATGCCACGTGAAAAAATCCAAGGATGATTGTCCTGGTGCGATCCACTTTGTGCGTTTTGCGTGGTCCGATTGGGTCGCTTTTCTCTTATTGCAGCCCATCCTTGTTGATTGCCCGTTGATCAACGTGATATTCTAGTGTATCGAGTGTATCGTTTTGTACAGAATGCCGATTTTCTTCGTAAGATTATTTCAATACGTTTTCTGCTCACTCTGCAGCCTTGAATTGTATAACAGTTATTCTTCGGTCAAATATGAGCATTATCGATTACTTTGTCGCTCTTTCAAGCGTAAATTGTATCGATACAGTACATATCAGCTGGCTGTCCGTCGGTGTATCGAGTACCAGTTTCGACTCACGGTCGGCATCTTCCGCAACAATGAATGGTCTG